GGGGGAGAGAGGGAGGAGGAAGATGGGAGGAAAGAAGTGGGCGGGAACGAGGTGATTCTGCCGGATTCGGAAGGCACGAAGTGGCAACAGTGGAACGGGAGAGACAAAGAACGAGACGATAAAAAAGGAGAGAAGAGGCTTACCTGCTGAAGAAAACATTTAGAAGAGGAAGAAATTGAAGGAAGATTAGGAGAGAGAACAATTTATTTAGAAGGTTGACTGGAGAGATAAATATAAAAAAGAAAGAAAAAAGGGAAGAGAAGGGAATAATAACAGGGAGGCGACTATGTTTTAAAATCACAGTTAGAGATAGAATAATAGATGATAGGTGATGGCGGGAGTGGAGCCCAGTAAGGCGATCTCCAGATGGTGTGTGGAATAGAAATTAATGAGATATAGTTACCTAGCAGTACTAAGTATACCGATAACTAGTAGGAATGGATAACCCTGTCGTCGTCTCCCACCAAGACCAAGTACCAAGTACCTGTTATTGCTGATAGTGGCGGGACTCTCGGCACAGAGTCTGGAAGGAAAAAGTCAAACCGGGTGGGTCGATTTGGTCTTTTGTCCTGTGCGCTCGGCCGGGGGGTGGTCGAGGCCTCCGACACGAGATGTTTCCGGGGTGTCCGTTTGATTATTATTGATAAGGAAGAATTAAATGAAAATAACCTTTGGAAAGGTTACACTCTATAGACTGAAGATGGCAGTCAACTACCTAATTATATCGGATCTCTATAGACACAGATTAGTAGTAGTAACTACTAGTCTGTATCACCATAGTAGGAAGGAGTAACTCATTAGCAGTGAAAAAAGGATGCTGAGGTCATCGAATCCTTTTAACTAGTTAGACAATACAGTACTACAATGTTCATGCCAACTTGTAAGTTGGCAGGTGGTTCCCTGTTTTGCCTCGACCCCCTTTCCCCAGCATTTCTGCAGTGCACGCAAGTCAGTGCGCGCTTATCAGCGTAGGGAGGATATACGAGTGTAGCTACCTGGGTAGGTATCTCCTAAGTACCTGGTACATAGCTCGTTACCAAGGTACTCCGGGTGACCTGTTGCTGAGGTACTCCATAGTGACCGTATACTACCTTACTGTACAAAGTTTGATATGAACTTTACTCAGGCCAGAGATATGCTTCTAATGAGGAATTATAGAGTTCTACATGTAATTAGGTAGATACCCATAGAGATATAAGCAGTCGGTACTCAAATCTGTCATATGGCACCATTGAATTCTTCATTAGTGTTATCTGATGCCATCTAAAGATGGAGTACATCATTCTTAGTTATCGAGAGTGGTCAGATGATGACGTCATACATGACTCTTTCTCGCTTCCTACTCCTTAGTTGGTTACAGAGTAAGTCTAGGTATCTATGGAGTACATTAGTTATGTCACTCCCGTGTACTACTCCTGAGTTAATGTAGGTGTATGTACAGTGATGGAGTACTAGTACTAGTTGGTACTTACTACTGCATACTCTGTATGGTGTGCTTACAGAGTATGAAGTATAGTTAGTGAACTACTACATACCCAGGTAGGTACCACCTATGTAGTACATGCTTACAGATTACAATTCTCATACATTAGTCGAGTCAACCGTTCGTACCACAGCCCATGTTCCACTCCCATATCGCCCCACTGCCAGGAAGCTGCCTTGGAAGTTGGCTTGCAGCTATTCCCACTCCCACGCCCCCGACCGGTCTAGCCACCGCTTCCGGGCCCAATCAACGCCTGTAGACAGACATTGTGCCGTTATTTTGTGCATTGCGCTTAAGGAGTGGTAGGGACTAAGAGGTTCCTAAGACGCACTACACAGCCCTGAGATTGAAATTATTAGCAGTAGTAGTAAGCAGTATACTAGGAGGTAGTTAGTACTCATATCACTATAGTTATATTACTATAGCTAGTTATATTACTATATAACTATCACTTCAGTCATATCACTATAGTTATATCACTATAGTAATAACTACTATGTATATATACTACATAGTATAGGTAATTAAACACTTTGATATCAAGATTTGCCACTGATGCCGACAGCAAGGGACAGAGCAAGTTATTAGGTAATGTAGAGTCCATACGCTGTTGAAGGATAGGAGGACTGTACTCCGGAGTCCCGTAATAATAATGTCTTTTCAGCACCTACCTCCGTGGAAAACTTCAAACTTCTCCAGTACATACATCCATCTCCAAATTGAAGCAATCAAGTACAGAAACCATATACTACTAACTATACTACAGCATGCAGTAAATCTCCTACCCCATATTTCAATAGATTGGATGCTAGACCTAGATTCCGTCGATCCCGTCCAAGCGCTCGTGGCGGTTTAGACTTTTTCTCCGATACGGCGTGTTAGTAGCGGTCAGAGGTGGTACAAAGGTAGTAACTACCTAACTATGTAGTACTCTATGTAGTAAGTAGTCTTGTGGTGATTGATCAGAGATTTATTCAGATGATTATTATTAGACGGCAAGATCATCGCATCAATGATCTCCCTTGATAAGCTTGAACGACCATCAACTCCTGTCTTGAAGTAAATACCACCTACCTTAATAGTAGGTACCCTGTGCTCTTCTCTTCTTCTTTCTCTGTACCTCTCTCTCTATGGCGGTCTGTGCTCGATCACACCGAGTACTCTGTACTTCATATGAGGTGCATATGAGATACCTAGTGCCTTCCCTAGTGGAAGGCAAGTAAGTGGCTTGGTCCACGGTACTGGAGTCGGTTCTACACTTCGGCTTCCTATTGTAGAACACCTCCTATTGTTTAGCGCCCACTACTGCTAAATTAATTAATAGGATAGCCAGATGGAGTAATCCGACGCTCGTCTGTAACGCAACGCAAAAGTTGGCGCAAGTCAAAATATCTCCTCTGCACATCGCGGATCCACCGGATTCAGCCTTGGAACAAATCACACCCATGTCTTTTTCCTCCCTGTCTTTTTCCTCCCTGTCTTTCCTCCCTGTCTTTCCTCCCTGTCTTTCCTCCCTGTCTTTTCTCCCTGTCTTTTCCCTCCCTGTTTATCAGCACTGAGCACGGTCAAGTGGGGATTAAACACCGCCGCCTGCATCCTTGACCGGGGGGTTATACGGACAACTTACTACTGGCTGGTAATATCATCTCCTCTGGATACTACATAGTATCAGAAAACGCTCAGACTCAATTCTCTAACCTCCACCTACACCTTTTCCTCTCCTCTCCGCCTCTCCTTCTCCATACCGCTACTGCTGCTGCTGCTGCTGCTGCTGCTGCCGCCGCCGCCGCTACCAACTGCACCGCACTGCACTGCTGCTCTCAGCCTCCGCTGTCGCTCTGATTGGCGACCGGGGGAAGAGGTTTCAGACATTCTGGCCTATTCCCAAGGTTCTCAGACCTCACTTCTTCTCTCACCGGGGGAGGGGGAGGGGGGGGGGGAGGATATTTGCCATCGCGTTCTGCGGCATTGATGATAACCGCTGCTCTTGTCATTTAATATTGACCTCTAACTCCCTTTCTGCAGATTTTCAAGGGCTCGGGCTTACGCGGAGCACAAGAGTACTACATAATATCCTTGTACCTCTTGTACAAACAATGATCCCTTCTCTTCTCTTCATGCTGCAATTCTCAACTGCGGGGTGCAGGTGCTCGGCCCTGTCCCCCGTACGGTGTCCGAGCGACCAAAGCAGCATGATTGAAGGTATATATTAAATAGATAGCATGTAGCTATGTAGTATAGACAGCTACAGCTCCTTGTCGCCAAGCGGTGGTGGCATTACCCCTCTCGAGGTACCAAGTGGCAACAGTCCACTTCCTATTAGCTAATGGAGGGTATGGAGTCTGTAGTAGTAGGTATCTATGGTAGTAGTTGATGTACAGACTTGGGCTACTAGACTTCTCGGTTATTCATGAACTGCATACCTACGGTTGTCGTACAATCTAGAATAACCATAACCACCTAGTCAGTTGGCTGGTTACACAAGCATGTATGTATCCCTGGATATAACTACTTATGTAGTGCTCCGTACATGTACAACGCCACCCCGTTCAACGGGAGCAAACGAATCCTATTTCAACCTGGCCTCTCCACCCTCTGGTTGGCCGTCGTGTTTGATATTCAGGATAAAAATACTACCCTTTTAAAGTTCCGTTCGGATCCAGATCATATGATTTCGGCTGAAAGACGGATGGGAATGAGTAGAAAGTACTGCGTATACAGGAGTATAGAATTATGCATTGCTCTATGCATTGATTCTGGTACTTCTGGTAGACTTCATACAGTATTCTAGACTTGATCTTTTCCATGTCGAGACACACTCTTGAGCTGTTTCTACCAGTGTCGGAGAGAGCTTCGTGTTCGGGTTTGTCGTCGATCCACGGTGGAGGGAGGGACCACGTCTAGACATCAGAGAACACTTTCTTAGCTTGAACCTGCCTGAATGAATTTTTTTCTTCGCTGCCAGGTTAAGACTCGGAGAATCAGAGACCAAGGAGGGGTGTTTGTTCAAGAAAAACCCGAATACGAAATGAGGTAGAGGGAGGAGTGAGAAAGACGTTACCGGCCAGGAGAGGAACAAGATCTCTTCACCCACTTTAGACTGTAGAGAATTCGGCTGTGTCTAGACTGGGGATCAAAGCAAATCTCAGACTTTTATGCCACCGAAAGCTCTGACTTGAGCTTGAGTCGACGGCTGGTTTATTGTAGATTTAGATCCAGTCATCCTGTTCTATCGCGATCGTCTTATAGAGATGCGTGTCAGTTCCACCAGGTAGATATGAGAGAAGAAATTACCTAGTCTCAAGAATCAAAAGATTTAATAGATGATACTAATCGAGTGGTCTTGGTGGATAGTAGTAGGATTGAGCATCTTCTATCGCCTTGAACCATGAAGTGGTTGCCTCACTGGATGCCCAAGGCACACTTCATTCTGTCTACTACCAACTACAAACCAGTACTCCGTAACTAGTACCTGACAGTGTATAATATTAATTCATACAGTTGACACCTTTATTCCATCATTATTGTTCTCTATTAGATTTTGCCAGGCTGATCCTACGATTCATCGAGGTTCTGCTGTTGTGGGGGAGTTATTTTGGGCCACAACCACAATTAATCTGATCCACGGGACTCGCTCTCCTCTATCTCTGGATCCCTGGATCGTCTGTTTACTTTCAGTCCCCCAGTCGATACATATTCTTTTCTTAACTATACTATGGCCTCCGCCCGTTCTGGCCCAGGGCTGGTGGACCTGGAGAAGGAGCTCGCCTGTTCGGTATGTCCGTGGTTAATCCCTTGCTGCATCTGCATATTCTAGAAGATTAAACAGAATAATTCTTTTTCGGCTCTTTGCTAACGTCACGTTGTCAGATTTGTACAGAACTCCTCTACCAACCGCTCACCCTCCTTGACTGCCTACACACCTTCTGCGGCTCGTGTCTGAAGGAATGGTTCGCCGCGCAGGCCTCGCGCCGTCCCTCCTCGTCCAGCTCGCGGCCTCGCTTCACCTGCCCCTCATGCCGAGCGATCGTCCGCGAGACACGCCCAAATGCCACCGTCACCACCCTGCTGGACATGTTCCTGGCTGCTAACCCGGACCGAACTAAACCGGAGAGCGAGAAGCAAGAAATCGCAGAGAAATACAAGCCCGGCGACTCGGTGTTTCCACCGGCAAGACAGCAGCAGGCGGAGGAGGAGGATGACAGCTCCAGCGGGTCGGATGAGGATGACGACGGGGAGGATCAACGGTTACTACGTGAGGTCCAGGAGCTGAGTCTTCGGGAGACTCGCGCGCAGGCCGGACATACGGCAGCAGCGGGTCATCGTGGGGGACTGTCGTCGAGAACCCGCCCGACCGAGAGCGCGGATGAAGATGATCGTTATCGCCGGCGACGAAGGGAGGCTGCCCAGCCGCAGCGGGCAACGCAGGCAGTTGCATCGACGAACCATCATCTGGACTCATCTGGCCGCGCCAGGCGAGTCGAACATCAGTCCAGTCTCCGGTCACTACTCAGCCTGTCCGACGCGGAGAGCATGGAAGAAGAAATCCTCCGCCAGATCGTCGAGGAGGGCCTGCTGGACGGGATCGATCTGGATAATCTGGAACCTGGGCAGGAGGAAGAGCTCAGCGAACGCATCGCGGACGCGTATCGCCGGAGACACCGGCTGCAGTCGCGGCCGCAACAGCAGCTACAGCGAAGACCGGAGGAGCCTGAGACGACAACAACTACAACTACAGCCACGACCCCGTCGTCGCAGGAGAGGAGACGCCCGCGTGCGAGGTCGCAGTCCGCACAGAGAACCACCACCATGACGGCACCGCCGAGCGCTACGCCACGAGAATCCACGCGAAATAACAACCCGCCGGTTTCGCGGCCACATCTATTGGAACCCCTCTCAGCACCAGCCCCCGGTGAACCAGGCCACCGCCGACGGCTATCAGACCAAGGAACCAGACGACGCAGGACGTCTCCAACGCCGTACAGCCAGGCATCTACGTCGGAGGTCGTGCTGCGGCCCGCTGCCAGGTCGGCAAGCGATATCTCTGCGGAGCGTCCTCGCAGCTCGCAGGCGGGGAGCAGGTTAAGGACGAGAGACACGTCAATAATCACGAACCGCCCGCCGACGGGCTCGGCCATCTCTTCCTCCTCCTCCTCGCAGACCCTGCAGATGGGGCCACCGCCAGCTAGCCCTCTTGTGCCCCCGAACAACAATCTCCGCGCGACGGGCCGCTCTCGACCCTCTTCGGCATCCCGGTCAGATGTAACACAGCAGCCTTCCACGCCCACACTATATCCGGAGCCGTCTATTGTGTGTGATGGATGTGGGAAGCAGGACATCCAGTACGAGCCCTACCGACAATGCACGAGATGTAAAGACGGGAACTTTCATCTGTGTCTACGCTGCTACCGTCTCGGCCGAGGCTGTCTGAACTGGGCCGGGTTCCGGGCGTCGGCCAAGGTAGCCGGGAAGGAAATCTCCGCGACGGCCGACGATGGGTCGGCAGCACACATCCTGGCGTCGTTCAAGTACCGGCGGCCGCGAGACCGGGCTCAACGCGTGAATACCAACGAGGATCATCGCCAACAGACGATGACCGGCGACAACCCCGCGCGCCGACTGCAGCGCGGTCTCTTCTGCGACATCTGCCATGCGCACGCGAGCAGCCGCCTCTGGCAATGCGACGAGTGCAACGAGGGCGACTGGGGGTTCTGCACGCGCTGCGTGAACCAGGGTCGACACTGCACGCACCCCTTGCTCCCCATCTCTGAAGAGCAGCAGCATTACCGCGCGGAATCCATATCCGACAAATGCGCCATCTGCGCGTGCGCCATCTCGCCATCCATGTCTCGCTTCCACTGTTTCGAATGCAACGCGGGCGATTACGACGTCTGCACCAACTGCTACCTCAAGCTCGGCGCCACCAACAAGATCAGCAAGGAAAACGGATATAACGGGTGGCGGCGGTGTCTCAAGGGCCACCGCATGGTAGTCGTGGGATTCGACACACACACCTCGCCGCCGCGACGAATCATTCTGCGTGACCTCGTAGGCGGGCGTGCCTTGAAAGAGGTTGATAATGGAGCTTCGGATTCGGGAAGCACTCCTTCTACTACAGGCGACTGGAGCTGGAAAGAAGGTAGCGAGCGACGGAAAAAGGCATCCCGGGTTCGCAATCACCAATGGGAACATAAACAATCCCCATCCTCGACACCCACAGATACAGTTCCAGGGCTGGGGCTGCTGGCCCCAGCCCCGGCGGTGGGATTACTCGTCCACGCGCGCTGGGCGTGGCTCCCCGACGACGGGGTGACGGATGAGCTGCTCTTCCCTCGCGGGGCGGAGATCAGCGAGGTGGAAAACGTCAACGACGATTGGTTCTGGGGGTGGTATGCTGGGGTTTCCGGACTGTTTCCTGGCGCGCATACCGTTATATTAGGTGATATGGCATAACATAAACATTAATATTAACACATAACACATAAACTATAACTAAGTACCTAGGTATACAAAAAATGTACTCCGTACTAGTAAGTAAGTAGAGCAATAAGTAAACGCTGGTAATCACCCGAGGTCTCCCCCCTCACTCTATCAACAAGGTCAGTCTTATATTTCGCGCGATACGCGGCCTTGACCCGCTCGCAATGCTGGCGGTCCCAATGCACACGGACCACGCGGGAGACGAGCATGTCGTCGTGCGTCCCCATGCCACGCATGCAGTCTTCCAACCCGTCCGCGTCGCGGAGGGCCCGGTCCATCGCCGTGCGGAGCATGTACAGCAGGGCATCCTGCATGTGTCCCGAGAACTGTTTCTCGACATGTTTCTCCAGACTGGTATGGTAGAGGGAATGGAAGCAGTGGGCGATGGAGCGTAGCTCGGTGTCCGAGCTGCGGGCGAACACGCCGCACACTTCTGACACATCATTCACTATCCTTCCTGAGGTGGCGTTGTGGATGGCGCGTGCCTCGCGGTCTATCTCTGAAGGAGGAAGGGAGGGGTTGTTATTATTGAAGTACTCTTCATGTCTTTGAGCTTGGAGTACTGCGGCAAAGAGATCGCGCGTCTTGAAGGAGAGATCATCCGATACGTCGCGAAGAAGCGATCGGCCGTATTTCGCTTGATACCCGGTCTTGATGGCGTGGAGGTCTGCGTTGCTCCGGCCCAGGAGCACGTCGTTCAGCAGCCATTCCTTGGTGCCGATCCCTTGCACGGCCTCGCGCGCGGATACAATGTCCTGCTGTAACGGTCCCTCGAGGATCTCCAATAACCCGCGCCGGAAGTGTCCGCTCGTCTCGGATTTCACGTCTTGGTATAGATCGCGCCGGATATGCTGCGAGTACGTCGCCCGCACGGCGGCTACTTGTAACGGGTCGAGCGGCGCGAGAGTGCTGATCAGCGCTTTTTCGTCTGTCCCGAAGCCCTTCATCGCTTTGCGGAGGGCGTCGGCCTGTGGGCGGAAATCCCCTGGTGCAACTCGCCCGGGGATGTAGCCTAGCGAAGGCAGGGCGATCTGCTGTGGGGGGGGAGGCCCGTATTGTTGTTGCAGAGGTCCATATTGTTGTCCGGGATATCCGTATGGTCCGGAAGGCCCTGGACCAGGAGGATATCCTTGGTTACCAAACGGTTGAGGCGGCTGAGGCGGCTGAGGCGGTTGAGGGTATCCTTGTCTGGGAGGGCCGTAATAGCCGCCTGGAGAAGGCGATCCCCGTGCGTAGTGATCTTGAGGGGGGTAGTAGCCTTGCGACGGAGCTCCATATGGCTGCTGAGGGTATGGAGGGTAGTTTGGGTATCCTTGTTGAGGATAAGGAGGTTCTACCTCAGTTAGCTGGACGATACATACAGAGTATAGTATATATGCATGGTGCTACTCACGATTTGGGTATCCTTGATAAGACATGTCTGTTCTGTAGCTGTCTGTAGTTGGTAAGTTCAACAGGCAATGGCTGACTGACTGACAGAAACGTCCATAATATATCCAGCGCAAGGCAACTTGAATCCCTCATACTTTCGGATGTCTGTCTGCCTTAAGGCTGAGAGCGGGGCATTCAGAGTGGCGGTGCATACGAGCATGTGCCATGAATGGCCAATCCACGTTTATGTCGTATTGGGGCTTAGCATTATGACATGGGGAGTACAGGGAGCATTTCATAACGCCACTTGAGACTACTACATACTATTATGTTCATAAACATGACTTAAAATCAGTCTAGAAATTAATACAATCATCTCGTCTTCTTCTCCTCCGCGGTGACGAAAGTAGCTCGGAGCTCCTTGGCAGCCTCCCACAGGACCCAGAGGGGAATGAACACCCACAGCGTGTTGAAGAAGAAGAGGTAGAACCACAGATAAACCGGGTTCCCCGTTTCCAGCTGCGAGCTACCGGTCAACCACTCCGGGGCAAAGGTCATGAACCCCCCGTACAGCTCTGCTGTGGCCAGAGCCGGCGCCACAAGCCAGAGCCGGGCTTTCGCTGAGCCTCTCTCTGTGGCGGAGAAGCGCGTAGCACTCGAGCTCTTCCACAGGAGGTAGCAGACATACAGAGCTGCCGGACCGCCCAGAAACACCGTCAACAGTTCCAACGAGATGACCGTCACGTCGGCGCCGGCCCAGCGGTGGTCAGCTTTAGCATATTCCTGCCACAGACGGGCACTGGGCCCTTCCCCGTATGCAGCCCCGTACACACGATCCTTGTAGCCTAGAAAAAACGGCTCGCGACCGAACCCGGCGGGGAGGGTGGTAAAGCTGAAGAAGCATTCGTAGAGGAAGGAGCCCTCGATGAAGATGTGGGTGAGGGCGTCGTATGCGTGCCAGTAGAAGAGGAGGCGGTTGCGAGTGTGCGTGGAGGGGATCAGGGTCGTGCCCAGGCCGAACGCGATGGGCATTAGGGATAGAGCGAAGGCGATGCACAGCGCTGTTGGCGCGTCGAGGGTGAATGGGACAGACATATTAAAAATTATAAGGATTCTACCTCGCAGGTAATTAGACAATTAGTAGAATTGCAGGACTTGCATGCCATGAAGAAGAAGAAAAGTCTGGTGTAAGTGACAACTAGTTGAAGTGTTGGCGGTACTCCGTATTATTATTGACTCGGCAGTGTCGATCCACCCCTGAACTGGTCATAGAGTGATGTAGTACAACATGCATCCTCATAGCTCTGATGACCTACAGAGTATAGATGATGATCTAAATGATTTGCAGCTTTCACCAAGTCAGTTTAAAAGAAAAGGAAAAAAAAAAAGTACAACGTGTTTCCACTACGTGGAAAAAAAGTAGTCACGCCCGGGATCGAACCGGGAACCTTCTCGGAAGTTGTGTTCAGCTTGTGAACGAGAAATCATAACCATTAGACCACGTGACTGAACATCGCTAACCAGTAGGTTACTGGTGGCGGTTAAAAATAGGTTTAATTTAAAGCCTATTGATCATAAACGTAAATCTGCACAAAATAGGAAGTCTATTGTTTGGGTCGTCGAATTGCCTCGAGAATAGCTCTAGCACCGTTGGTAAGTGCAGTTTCAATACTTCGTTCCACTCAGGTACGGTATTTTCAGGGTTAAATGAAAGTATCTATTCTAGAACTAGTATTATGAAATCATCCGTATCATCATTAATTATGCCAGCATAATCGAAATTCATAAGCCCATAAACCCAGCTGTGACATAGCACAGAAGACGTTGTAGAAGAATTAAGATCGTCGAATAAACATTCAAGCGCTTTAGAAGCCGAACGGCTAGCCGCAGCGTTGCATTCAGGCAGATCAACAGGTATGAACGGAGAATTCGACGATCATTGGTCTCCGAGCGCATGTCCGCGACAAGTCCAGTTGATCTGACGCAAGCAGTGAGACAGGTAGTTTCCTCGACATCGAGAAACACTGTCAACCGCAGAGCCATCTGTCGTTCTGATAATGTTGGTCAGAAGGTAGGTAGGCTGTTAATGAAAGGCCAGTCCTAGACTAGCAGGCTCAGCTAGCTTGATGGTGATGACGGAGCTTGTCTACGCCATCACGCACGGTGTCGCGCAGACTGAACCCGCCAAAGAGCCAGTCATTCGAGTGCCGGCCACAGTGCTGCACAGTCCCGCTGTAGCGACGCCAGTCGTCTGCGTTCCGTCTGTGGGTGGTATCGCGCTTGTTGGGGCCCAGTGCCGGCCGTTGCGGGCTGGTGGGTGAATCGGATATCATCGTGGTGGAGGCTGCGACGCGGGAGGAATCGTCAGCTGATGAGTGAATGGTTTTGGCCGCGAGGTTGGGTCGTGAGCGGAAGAATGATAGAGGTCTCGAGGATTTATTGTGGGTGCGGCTTGAATCTTCCTGGGAAGAGAGCGTAGAGGAGGTGGAGGTGTGGGAGAGAAAGCGCTCGGGGGGGGAATCCACAGAGTCACGAGTATGCTTCATTTGAGAGCGGTAGTAGTGCAGAAGTGGGTAGTGTAGTAGTTAGGTAGTAGTATAGTATTGTAGTAGTGTAGTGTAGTAGTGTACAGTGTAGTAGCTATGACTGAAGAAAGTGAAGCAGATATTATTTATATTCTTCCCCTCCTGTGACTCTCCCTCTGCCCTACAGGGTGAAAATGGAGCCGCGGGAGCATGAGCGATGACACAAGAGTCAATTCAGCCAATCAACATGTGCCAACGCGCCCCGAGTTCCTCTCTACAGGGTTTAGCGTGCAGTCGGTGAGGAATGGAAGCTGATACGGGACTTGGGCTGCTCTGGACCAATCACAGACAGCCAAGACTCGCCCGTCCAAATAGTCAGCCTCGGATTCACCGCTGACTTGAGGGGTTTCTTATCAGTAGAGAACACTTGCTGTTACACAAAACGCATCTAGATTGTTGTTGTCGGGTTCGAGAAGGGTTCGGTGAATTCTTGTCTGGAATGGAGGCACTCCGGACGCCTTATGACTAGAACATATAATTGTTGCCTACGGAGAACTCCGTAGTCGTCTTCGTACGATGACGAATACTTGATCATCGGAGGTACGAATAGCCAAGAATTAGGCCTAAGATAAGTACTCCGTAACTATGGAGTATACTCCGTAGGTACTACCTAAGTAGGGCGATTTACATACTAGTGGACTACCCACTTACTATTTGTCAAGACAGGCGGGACATTCCAGTATCCAATAAAAGCCGTTAAAATGCTTCTAGTGGCATTCTGGAAGGTCAGTTCTTTATCATCAGTACTCCATAGTTAGTACACTACTACATATAAGAGTAAAGTACTCCGTAGGATGTAATTTTGTATGCCCTGTTTTGGCCCCATCGGAGTCCGTCAGCCCTACTCAGTATGTTTACTCAACATAGCACAGACATATAATTAAAGTATCATTTATAGGAGACAGAGTCAGAGTAGCTATTCTAAGTTAATGAAATAATTACATCTAAATGCTTTATCAAGTTTACAGCTATCTATAAGGTATTCATCACAGTTGCAAATGCTCATCCTGTGCCGATATCCGGTCTTATTTAAATCGACGCCCCACGAATACTCCGCATGACATCAGCTCAAGCCAACTTTGCTCCACGCCAAGAATGCCGAAATAATAGCGAGATTTAATGGTTCAATAAGTAGACCTGCTGAATGAGTTTCAGAAGCATACCTAAGTATTTAACGGTCCATCTCTATATACAACTAGCAACCATCTATAACTAGCATTTACCCGCTGGACCTTGATGGTCGACCTGCCTCAAGTGATAGGATAATCCTTGTACAGAACTAGGTATTGTATTAGATATCTTCTGCTGGGAGATGTTACCTAGCGTCACCGAGCTTGCCTTTTTTTCTATCGCCTCGCCGCGTCTCTCAGATAACTTCACCATCCATCATCTTATACTTGTAGTTACTCAGGTGATTATTCAGACCGTGAGCTAATCCACTATGGCTTAGCCCAGCAGATCACGATTGCAGTGGGTGCATACGAGCCAATAGGATGACATGACTTTTCCCCGGGACATCCTTGGCGCTGGTTTATACCTCTTTTGACCTATGACAGGTGACTCTCATCATAGCATAATAAGGAAGGAGCGAGGAAGGCCAGGGGGCTTATATATGAGTGATTCTGCAGTAAATAATCAAATGTGCAAGCAGAACTATAAGTTGAACGAGGGACGTACCTCGAGTGAGAACGCCATCGCTCTCTGTGCCACCTGCCACGACTGGCTCGACTATGACCTCAATTACTTCCTGGAGTTCAAGAGGGAAGACCGCGTACGAAGACGTCTGGCATCATGGAATGGGGAGATCAATTTGCGGCAGACTCTATCAGCCTGTTTTCCTTCGGAAGCATATCGCCTCACTCTCCTCCCTCGACATCACGCAGGCCGTTCGTTACCTGCGCGAATGGCGGAGATGCAGCGCTTCGGGCCCCTGTTGCAGGATAGGGAAGGGTATTCCTGTCAGAGAATTTGTTTTGCTTCAGAGCTCTAGTTTTGTTTCAGCTCTTATTTTAGCCTATTTATAATGTTGATATGAATACTAGTAAAGATACCACCAGGAACTGATCATCATAGTTTACATGATCTATTACTCTGTATTAGAACGAGTGATTAGTACTGAACCAAGAGAAAACAAGAGAAAAAATAATGATACTATCACCCTTCCTCCACCAAAGTAAAGAGACTCGCACTCGGCTCTTTCCACGACCGTGGCTGCTCAGAGTGACATCGTCGATGCCATCTTCCCCCGGGCACAAGCAGCATGTCATCGTCAAGGTCGAGCACGGCCATCTGTTTTGCTTGTGCTTGTGTATGGGACTCCACCCAATATGAAATAACCACTTTATTATCATTATCATTATTCTTGTCGCTGTTCATGTTGTTGTATCCTCCCTCCGAACCCATGCTAGGCAGCACGAAAAGAGACCGTGCCTTCTCGAGCGGTGGGCGAATCATCCGCCGTAGCACTGCGCCGGGGGACTCGCTGGCTTCTGTGATTGTCGAGACAACCTGAGAGGATTTCTCTTCCTTTCCTGTGTTCGGCCAGAGACGGTGGTGATGGTGATGGTGGTGGGATCGAGCTGTTTTCGAGCGGTCGATGCCTGCCGATACGGCGTCGTCTTCGTGATCGAACAGAGTTGCCGCGAGGACTGGGTTAGAGAACGGAGAGTGCGAAACGAGCTGTTCTTTGTTTCTGACTCCTTGCTTGGGGGGTCCTGGATCTGTAGAGACCCGTGGGTCACCACAGTACGGCCAGGAGTATCGTCTGGAGTGAAAGAGAGGCATGGTATCCAAGACCATAACGTGTGAGACTTCAAGGCCAGCTGGAAAAGAAAGGAAATACAATATATAAACAGACCAAGCAGGCAGCCGGGCCCGGGCAACAGCTGGGCACAAAAAGAGCCTCGAGGAAAAAGGGTGAGAGGAACAGTACCTCCCATGTATTCCTGTTCCTTCTGCCTGACAAGGCGTCAGACTCGTTTATTTAGTTCCATTTGAAGTCTCCAGCGCTCTTTTGCACGAGGTCATGCGACCCCCACGCGCCGGGCGCACGCGAGGACAGAGAATGACGCCAGTTTCCAGATGACTGACACTTTATCAGAATGATGGATGAGTCAGATGAAGGGAGTCAACTGACTGGAGATGAGTATGATTAATAAACATAATCCTTATTCTAATAATAGATAGTTAAATAGATAGAATATTAGTTGGTGTAGATAATTTATATAGGATAATCAATGGAAGCATAGAATTGCTTACTTTATAAATGAACACCCAGGTTCTAATAAATTTCAATTATGACGACATATAATTATATTTAAAAATACTCTTCATATAAAATCTATAATATTCATCTAATGATAACTAAAGTGAGTGATATATAACTAAAAGATTGACTATTACTTAAGTATAACTACTTGCAGCACCCGCGAGGGCAGTCTATATATTCTCCATCCCTAATCGTGTCTTGCCAGGCCTCGATTCCTCTTTCACCATCCCCTTATGCGTTCTGCCATCTTGTGATGTCTGCCGTCGTGATGTCGAGGTTCTCCGGTACGAGGCGCTGGAGTCTTCCTACCTCCACCGCAGCTTCAAGGGGAAATATTAACACAATGAATCGAGAATGAATCTAGGCAGTTGAGGTATGGGGAAAAAGAACTTACTCGGACGTTGCGTCCCCGCAGCAGCATGGACATTGATTACACCCGAATCCACGTACGTCTTCGTGACGACGCCATTCGCAGACGCGGCCCCCAGCATCACCCGAATGCGGTATCGACCGGGCTGTTGGATCGTCAGGCTGTTGAACCTAGCAAACCCGCTGATTGTATTCCCCTGGCGACTGCGTACACTGGACGTCAGCCCCCCGGACAGCCCTGGAGCAGAGGCAGACCCGGACTCGTTGCGGAGGGAGGCGTTGACAACCAGTTGCTGAATGGAACCGCCCGATGGATTGCCGACTGGTCGCACAGCAACGATCAATGGAAGTGTGAAGGGGGTTCGAGGGCGCACAGCGGCTGGGGGAGAGATTTCAAAGGAGAGACCGAATTCACGGCTGGAGGTGCCGCCGTTTGAACTGGTGGATTGAACCATTTCTAACTTTCTTATGTTTGGCACAGGTCGAGATATGAGATGGAATAAGATTAAATGATCTTGACTTGGATGCCTTGATGGAAATGAAAGCCGACTTTGGATGCTCGAATGCTATGAGGATTGGCGAGAAAGACATGACACAAACGTATCGTTTCTAGCTTCATATATAGAGCAAGTAGGCCGTGTTTCTTTTTCGATCTACCACCCGAAATGGATAGAAGTGAGATTCCCGCCCTGCTCGAGGCAAGAGAACAAACGGTGAGCCAAAAAACGGTCCTGGAATCGCCACCGAGAAGCAAAAGTACCTTGTATTTCTTTTTCTTTTTTTTTGATCCTTCAAGATCGAGTCTCGGGTGAAAGTTAATCGTGTGAGATTCGCGTGGGATCTCCGATCAGAGCTCCCTGACGTATTGGTGCCGTGATGTATTGATGCCAAATAATGGGACGATCGTGGCTGGTTTAGGCATCAGAGACCTGATAAAGCATTATCCATGCACATCATGATTATACAAAGGGAGTTTCTTGTCATTCACTAGGTGGAGTGTGTGAACAAGATATAGTTGGCGCCGGAGGAACCATGGAACGCCGGCATGAAGCAGAATGATCGACTGCTGTGAACCAATTCCCGGGAATCCAGATCGGAAGCTTATTGCAGATAACTTAAGTCCCAATGCAGGCCCCCCGGCCTGTCCATCTGCAAAGGAACCTCTCGGCAGAGCTCCCGTCGAACCTAATAGGGTGGAACTAGTAGAGCATAACCAAGGCGATGGGGCCAATATAGTTGTTTTAATTGCCGGTAAGCTCCTTGCATGTGTGACAAAATGGAAACCCAGTTTTCCCGTGCACCACGGGCTAGATGGACCCATTTTCAAGCCATGTTAGTACTATACAGGAACAGAAGGGCATCAAACCCTCTCCTGCGTCACGGTGACGAGCGAACCCCTAGGCAAGGTAAACAAGGCATGCCAGCTCTCCGGCCTCTAGCCTGGGATCGCACACGACCCCTAAGATCAAGATACAGGAGATACTCTGACGAGAATCCCTGGCGGTCAAAGAGAACACACCGTCGTCGCCGTCGCCGCCGTCGCCGCCGTCGTCGTCAGAACCCAGTCTGCCCACGCGTCTATGCACCGTCGGTGAACCTGTGGGTCAGATCGGGGTCCACTGTGAGAGCGCACACTGGTAGGGATCGAGGTTGTTCCAAGTGAGGCAGGCGACAGCACTTGTGGCTTGAATTTCGGGGCGACCGGCTGCTTCGCCACATATGGGCATTACTCCGTACACTAGCCACAGGGGATTCAGCCCCAGCCTCACCTTGCTGTCTGTCTGCCTATGCTTCTTGCTGATCAATAATGATCACCACGAGGATTCAGATCTCTTCTGCGCTTGGATCGGCAACCATTGGAAACCCCACTGCCGATCTGTCATCTCCACCATCGTACTTTTCTCGTGGTACTCCGTACGGAGAACGACGGAGTTCCCAGGTCTTGCGTACAGGGGCACAAGTAGCAATCGGATGGGCAAAATCAAGTCAGATTGGAACCTCGTTCCTTTCTTCCTTTGAGTTCCACACTGGGTGTGATGTCTTGAAGATGGCAGGGGCTAATTGGTTTCCCAAAGTGGCAACCGCCGATAGTAGGTCTCTCTATGTCCGCGGTGTCGCAGGGTTCCTTATTTCCGTGGACAAAAACCTCTATATGAGAGTCTAATTTTCAGTAAAGGATTGGTTCAGTGCATATCGCCGCAGAACGCCGTTCGACATTTGGTGGTGGCCATAGATTGGAGCAGCACGGTCTCAACCCCGGCACGCTTGTGCTGGTCCGGGCACGCGGGGGGTGAAGATCCAAGGGATTCCTGGCTGCAATTTGATTCGTCTATACCGTCATTGCTCTCACATATAGTTAGACAGTATACCCTATACTTTGGTAGCGAGAGTGGGAATTTTCTGGGAAAAGCGAGGATCCTCGTGTTTGGCCCAAATGGCAGGAAGTGTCTTGCCTGTCGATCGTTCGTCGATCTGCAGCACCAGCCTCAAGTGGCTGAAGTATGGCTGATCAGATTATGGCGGTGGCTAGTGACTGACTAATGGGCATCAGCCACAGGTCGCACGGACTGGGTCTCGATGCAACAAGCGGACGACCTCACAAGCGTGCCTACTCCCTACTTCGTTCACAATCCGACAAAAGCTCGCAAGTCCTACGTGGACACGGCTGCTATAGGCGGGTCAATATTCCCAAGTCGGTCTGACTGACGAGTCCTATGTCGATAGTCGAGACCTTGTACAACAGGGTGTTGGTCATCTCCAGCGAACTACTAGTGCTTTTTTTTTTTCGCACCAGGCTTCAGATCATTGACTCGGTACTGCCAGGGTGGTCAGGTATTATCACATGCTTACTCGCTTTGATAGGCATGACTGGGGCTTCTGATTTTTTTTTTAACCTGTTGACCTTGCAGGAGATGGTGCTTGACGACAGTGTGCGCCAGACAGGGACCGAGAGGACCTGGTTCGATTGCAATTGACCTGACACATAGCGTGACGGGTCCGATTTTCTATATTTGCCATCCCTTCTTCCATATTTCTAATTGGAAAATCAGAATGTAACACTGCACAGGGTGGTGATCTCGTCTTCCTTCCCCCCTCCCCGTTTAGACCTCGACCAACACTAGCAGATTACCCTTAGTTCGAGTTGATACGTCACCCTCTTTCAATGGAATAAGATGGAATGAGAGAGTCATGATCATGTAACCCAACTAGAAAGGCATCACCCTGCCTCTGCTGGTTGCTAGTCCACAAGGGCCAAGGGTTACCAGGGCCGCCAGTCTTTGAAAACATGATACTAAAGTACCCGATAATACTTGATATTCCGAGATACGCAACGATTGGTTGATTCGATAGAATCACTAGCTCAATTGACATATGCTACTGATTCGGTGCAGTCTGCTGGAGCTGCAGGCTTCCCAACTCGCCTCAGACGCATCCGCGATCAAACCAGATTCAATCTTGCAGGCGAGATCAGCAGACTGTCGTGAGTAGAACGGCGGTGGCAGAGCTGCACATGTTGTCTAGGATATTCAACTGAAGGAACTTGGTATTTATGCAGCCGGGGTTTGGAACAAACACCGTTTGATCATCTATTGGCTGAGAGACACGCTTTACTTCCTACTAATTGTGGGTAAATACACAGCATAAGCCATATGATCAGTCATAATGATGTCAAGTCTCCAAATTCTTGTCTGGAAAGGGAAATGGGTTGGTGTTGATAGAGCCATCGAGGCATTGATCAAAACGCAGAACAGTTACACAAATAGACACGACAATATCTACCATAGTATCCTAATACCGTGGTTTCAGCTTCACCATCAATGGGCCCTTGCTCCAAAAGGTAAACGAAAGCTGTTGGTTCCAGTTTGCACATTCGGGCTGGAGACTGAGATCGAAATTCCACAGGACCTTGGCAAGGATAACCCTCATCTCAGCGTAGGCGAGGCTGGCGATGTGTCAGTTTTCGCATTGCTCCGAGGTCTAGAAGCTGGCTACTCAGCACTTACTTTTTGCCGAGGCAGTTCCGGGGGCCATACGAGAATGGCTGGAGAACATCTCGTTTATCGGCAGAGAACCTGGCATCTGGATTGTCAAGCCAACGCTCAGGGATGAACGAGTCAGGATCTGCAAAGTTGGAGCTGGAGTGGTAGGTCGAATAGTGAGCAACTGAGACAGAGGTCTTTGATTATTTGTTCCGTCAGTACAGTACAGAGCAAACGTAGGGAGACCATGTTTGAAGTTCATACGCCTTGAGGAATAAAGGTGCCGTCAATAAACGCTCCGCCTTCGGGCACACATCTTGGAAGGATTCCAGGAACGGGGGGGTATAGTCGAAGGGACTCTTCGAGTACAGCGTGTGTGTACTTTAAGTGGGAGACTGCGAGGAAGGTGATCTCATCCATCGACTTGAAAGCCCCCCGGATCTCCTCGACCAATTTTTGAAGCACGTCAGGGTTCTTCAGAAGATAGAATGTGCAACCCGAGAGGAGGGTAGCAGTTGTTTCGCTTCCTGCAATAATTAGCATGCCTGCGTTGCCTTCTATCTCGTTCTCTCTCAACCCCCTCTCATCGTTATATCGGAGGACATAGGACCAAAAGTCTGGCCGATCTGTTTGGGTGTGAATACGACGCTGCACCTTCTCTTTGCTTTTTTGGAAATATTTGATGCGCGGATTCATCAGATGCTTCATCATCACCTTTATGATCAGGAAAGCTAGCCAAGGATACACGTGAATGGTTCGCATGTAGGTGCCCACTAAAGCAGACTTGAAGGTCAGAGCGACCCATTCATCGTATCTGTTCTCTTTGAGACAGTCGAACGGCTCGCCGAACGCCAGGTCTCCGATCAGATCGAACGTGGTATAGTTGTACCATCGTGTCATGTCCACTGTATCACGAGAGGAAGCCACTTCCCCCTGGAGCTTCTTGATGAGAAGATCCACATATTCTTGAACAATAGATTCTTGCTCCCGCATTGCCTTTTCTGAAAATCCGTGCAATAAGAGCCGTCGCATGCGCGGGTGGTCGGCCTCGCTCGCAACGAGAATATGCGGCCCAGTGGTTGACTCGGTATAGAAGCCCGGGTCTTTGATAAAAGTGCCTGTCCCCTGTTTCCGGTGTCCGTAGATATCCTTCAGCGCCCCCGGAGTCCTGTAGTCAAGCGCGTTCGGTTTGATACGCACCACATCGCCATACTGGTCATGGAGCTCCTTGATCCTAGAATGAAGAACTCCTTTGAAAGACCAGTATACGAAGGGAAGATTTGAAATAGCAGCCAACCTAGGCCCTGGAAACTTCCGGAGAGGATGGAAGATAATATTATACAGCACAGAGTGCAGCAACCAGACACTGATTGCCTGGATGACCCCTCACTGTCAGTAGCGATCCAACCACGCATTTATGGGGATACTCCTTTTGTACTCACAAGTAATAAGCTCCAGGCTACAGTCTTCAGGATCTCCAGCAGTGCCATACTGGCTATCACGATTGATGGTGTGAGTACACGTAACAAGCGAAAGGGGAGGAGGGACGGCAGGAGATACGGAACATACCCTGCTGCACAGTCGGTATTTAACATATGGACTGGGACACTAATTTCTCCAGTCCTCCGACACATGCCAATCAGAACCCAGTAGATCCCATGTCGATGTGGGAAGACATACGCATTATGCATTCATAACTTCTCATGCGGGGGAGACTTGGCCTCCAGGACTCGAGTAGTTAGTAGTGACCTACTAGTACGTATGAGCAATAAGTTGACAGGGATTGGACCGAGACGGGCTGTTCAGACCCATTAATTTAAACCAAGTCACTTTATTAGTTACTCAAAAATATAGGAGAAAGTGATGGCACATACCTCCTTGTATGAACCTCTGCGGCAGTCCATGATATCGTGTCTGTTTTCGTTCTGGGCAGTAACGACAACCGCGGAAGGCACAACATCGCTGTCTTTCCTACCTACAGGAACTGCTACAGCAACACCGCAACAACGAGACATGGCACTGCTCGACGTCAAGCTGATTCTATCTCTACAGGCTCGACTATTCTTACAGTGGAAGCATTGAAAATGTTTCGATGCGTGTTCAGTCCATGGCGCCTCTGATTGTTGCCAGGCAATTCTACTCCGTTCCTCCTCCACGAGCCCCCAAACACGTGGGAGATACACCTGTTCTAGTGGAAGGCCATATCAGCTCGAGAATATTCATGCAGCTTTTTGCCGGGACGTTTATTATCTTCTTCGTTGGGATCGTCTTCTGGAAGACTGGGGCTTTCTTCCGGCGCTTCACACAAAGGAGGATCTTCCGGACCGGCAGGACAACAGAGACACGATGCGTGGGGAAATGGTACGGCTGGGTGTCTCTATCACGGCACGAGGCTACGAAAGACGTAGTTCGGAAATTTTTCGGAAAGCTTCACGACTGGACAGCATGGAGGTCATCTAGGGCTGATTACCACTGGGTCTGGTGGGATCCCGGACAGAAGGGCTTACAGCAGTACTACAACAATCGAAGGATAATCAAATGGCTGCCAAGTTGGTTACAGAGTTATGAGTACACTCCTGCTGATGCAATGTGGAATCCAGGCCCTCCTCGAGCACGGCAAGTGACACTGCGGGCCAATTACAGAACGGATCATTGATAGCTGACTGACCGTCGCAAATAGGACCCTTTCCTGGAGCGAGACGAGAGGCCTGGTGACTCCGGCGCTAGCTTTGCCACCAATCCGAGATTCAACTCTCTCTTTGGGCGCTCGGCGTGGATTTGAAGAGGTGATTGACGATGAGGCTGCTGTACCAAGAAAAATAGATCCGCGGCTTTTGAGACCAAACCGGTTTGAAAGAAACCATCTCCCATCCTTATTTTCAGATACCAAAATGGGGGCTACTCAGACCCCATCTCTGGCTCTGCCCGCCGCACTCAGAGAGTACCCTCATCTCCAAAAGTTGGAGACAGACTACAGTCCTTGGGGTGGTACAAATTCGACTGGCCGTCCGAAATTCTCATGCACACTAAAGGATACTCGTTGGGAAAGAAGGTATCAGGTCTGGGCAGCTCGGATGCAAGTGCAGACATGTAAAGTTTTGCAGCAAGACTCCATACCCATGATGGACCCTCCTGGGAGCCCTATTCTAGAAATTCTGGCAAGTGGTTCGTTGCAGGACTACAATTCTCCGAGGTCAACAATATCTCATGTACCAAACTCCCATGCCGGCTTTACTGACGAGAATGCGAGAACTATTGTTAGACAACCACGATACATGCGGAAGCCCCTAAGCCAGGTCCAAAAACCAAGGTCGGAAGGGTGGCTTGAATACTCATGCGCTCCCGTTTCCTCTGCGGCAAAGATATATCTTACAAGCATGACAACCCCATGTCTTCACGGCAGATCCTTCCGAAAGCCCCTGTATTTCGACGGCACAATGCCACATCGAGGTAACAAAACCGAAAACCAGACACAGGTTTCGCCTGTCCAAAGACAAAGCGATTGGGAGATACGCCTAGTCAACACTCTGGATCGGAAACTTGAGTGGCTAGGGAACGAAATGGATCCAGGCAGGAGGCCATACCAGTTTGCGATTTTCCCTAACCATTGGTTGAACCCTGCAGCATGGCACGTCTTCGATCCTGTGTCACGAGTTTCCCAAGATAATAGACGGCTCTGGGGAGATCCCAGGTTCAATGTTCCTTATCCCGAGCCATCTTACCAGCCTATATCAAAATATCGCAGGCCTCGCCACCGTCGAGCCCGCACGCCAAAGATCGATTCTTGGAGAGCCGCGGTGAACCAGTATCGTATTGCATCGGGAACTGGGAATGTGCTCGCCTTGGTTGACTTGTTCGAAAGCTCGGCTGACGAGCCTCCTGATGGACACATCGATACAGCCAGCTGGATGCTTCCGAAGCCGCCGCAGGGCTTTGGCCTGTCGACGAAGCAGAAAAAAGCCTACTTCGAGGGCGGAGCAGGCTGGCAAGAATCTTTGGAAGAATGGCAGCATGTTGATGGTGCATATCGGATTCGCAAGGGTCTCTACGAAGGGCGCGTCAACCGGACCCGGTTACGGGAGGTCTTGACGAATGTAGGGGGTCAATGTCGAGTAGCTTCCTCAAAGATATCTGCGCACCTAGGACATCTCTTGAACCAAGAGGATTCGTCATGACGTTAATCTTCAGCCACACCGAGGCGATGGTGGGCTATATACCGACAAGCAGTCAGCTAGACTTATCTCATATATTATCATTAGCAGCGCATATATTAGCAACGTCTGCTGTTTCTCAACCAGGCTCTTAAGAGTCTTGTGTAAGAAAAAAAAAGAACAAAGGGTGCATTGGAGATCTGAAAATAGACCGATGCACTTCAAAGGGTAGTTAAATTGTTCGATTCCCAAACTTCCGAAACTCCTGTGACCCGTCTAGTTCACCCAGCCATCGATCGCTGTGGATGAACAGATAACGAAAAAAGGTATGATGCAATGTATGGTACAAAAGATTGTCCAGTATGTCTTACAAGGCTAATGCCAAAATATTGTGTTGGTTTGTAGATGATTTCCTCCTTCTCCGACCACGTTTAGAAACCAGGCGGGTTCACACGCTGGCTGACTCTGGTCCACTTGGGCAATTCTGCAGGACGAAGAGACAAGGTTAGTCGCGAGGATCGATACTACTGGCACGGCAACATACTGTGAATCCCCTTGCGGTATTTCTTCTCTTTCCGGTCGAAAATCGTGTATTTGTCCTTGGGCAGCATCTCCTCCTCGCGAGGCATCTCGTGATTCCACTGCTCGACAGCCTTGGCGGTAAATCCTTTCTTGTACAGCGCCGCGGTGACCGTATCAATGACCTTGTCCACCGATCGGAGACGCTTGCGTTGCCGCGCCTTCTGGGGCGCGGAGAGGCGCCATGGGATCTTCCTGTATGTAGTAGAGCTAGTCAGTCGAATGTCCATGCAAAAAGAAAGCCAATGGAAACTGTATTTTTGTAACCCACCAGAGAAGACCGGAGAGAAGAGGCGACGTCGGCTTAAACATCGTTTTCGATGACGGACTAAGCTTGAGGGAGAAAGAAAGTCTGGACGTTCTCGTGGAGACGGACGGGACGGTCTGCAAAACTCGGCGGAGGTTGTCTGGATGTTGGTCTGTGCGCCCTCCGCGTGTGTCGATTTTCCATGCTAATTAACAGGTGTTTCGCTTTGGATTTCGATTTATCCTTTGGCTGCGATTGTCAATCCATGTCGTGCACCTGTTGAATCAGAGTCGGTGGACCTTTTTTCTTCTTTTCGTTATTTTCGTTCTTCTCTGTATTTTTATCCCCCCCGCCTTTCTTTGAACTGTTTATGGACTGCTGGCTTCGTCATGTCTAGCGAAACGCCTACCGGCGCAACGGCAGACTGCCCCTCGGCGCCGTGGAGGGTATGGTCGTCGACTACTATGTTCGCGGTGGGCTCCCTGTGTCGCGGATTTCTGTCAAGCCTGTGTAATGTGGAGGTGAATGGGATGGAGCAGTTTTTGGAATTGCTCGATTCGCGGAGCGATCCGTCGCAAAGAACGAAGGGTCTAATTACAGGTAAGGTGAACCAGAAAGAGAAACACCTTGAAAAAAGCAAGAAAAGAAGGGCTAATGGGTCCTGCTTGATTAGTATCAAATCATATCAGCGTGTACGTGTATACTGGTCGATGACCGTTGGCCGACAGACGTTGAGGGAAACTGACCTGGCCGCGGTGGCCGCGTAGCATGGATGATCCGTTAATATGGGGAGCTCTGCCTTTCAAGTATCATTTCGGCCTCGACTCTTGGAACAGACGCTGGTCATTTGGTAGCCATGATATTTGCTACCAGGGCAGGTACGTAGTAGGGATACGAATTTTGGAGCTTGAGCTGGGATTCTGACACGCGGGTCTTTCCATTGTAGACCGTTATCATTCTTCTTCGCCATGGGGCAGGTTCTGCCTACGCACCGACTTGCGCATTCGCTCCACGGCGGCCTTGCACAGCCGGCGATGACGCAGGCCATCCGATTACTCTCCAAGGGACCCTTCTCGCCCGAGCCTCATCTTGCAGTGCCCGAACGCCAGCGCTGGAGTTCCCATAATGTCTGTGTCGATCCGTTCTCTGATCTTCCCACTGCATATACAACAAATGGCGAGGACTCGCACCTCGCGCCGTCCGCCTACGCCTGCAACTCCTACTCGTGGGTTCATATCTTCCCCGAAGGCATGATTCACCAATCGCCGCAGAAAATCATGCGATACTTCAAATGGGGCGTTGCGCGGCTCATCCTGGAATCGACCGAGTGCCCGGACGTTGTTCCAATGTGGGTGGAGGGTTTCGACCAGGTCATGAACGAAGAGCGCACCTTTCCGCGGTTCCTTCCCCGGCCGTTCAAAAGCGTTAGCATTACCTTTGGAAAGAAGATCGACGCAGAGGCAGTCTTCGGGGATATGAGAAGGCGATGGCAGGAAATCAAGAAGAAGGCAGAGAAGGTGGCGCCGGATACCAAGGATCTAGCGGTGGGAGTCTTGAACGACGAGTTACTCTACAATAAAGAAGCGGTGGAGCTGCGGAAAGAGGTCACCAACAAGGTCAGAGACCTAGTATTGGAGACCCGACGATCCCGCGGTCACTCCGATGAAGATCCAAAACATGGATTCGCCGAAACGTGGGCGCGCGAAGGACCTGACCGTGAAGGCAGGAAGAAAGATGGGTCGATTGTAAGGGAGATATGAGCCGGAGTTCTCGCCGCAGCCTGTATGTATTCAATATGCGCCAAATGTACATAGATAGATAGAATCGCAATATTCAGCTTGTGGCATCCTCGTATTTCAATATTATTTCACACGTTTTGATTGACTCATACTGCTTATTTATTCTAAAATGGTGTTGTCCAAATAGTGGCGGCCAAAAGTTGCCTCTTTATTTTCTCGCCAACTCGCACCACACCATTTGAAACTTCTCTTTCTTCACCCCTGATTATTCTCGCTATATTCAATCCTCTATGCCAAAGAAGCATTACAAGCACGCCTATGGCAAGCCAGTAAATACCGTCCACCCTTCCCTGACTTCGAGTGGCCGGCACGAACAGAATAGCAACGGCGCTCGCCCCGCGGCGGCATCGTCATCGACGGGACAGGACCAAGCCAGCGTGAACGAGTTGATCAGCCATCTCCGCCGCACACAAGTCTCCAGATTTGGATCCGAAGACGGTGCTACGAATCTACCGAGATATGTTGCGCCACGATCTGTGCATCCTTCGCTTCGAAACCTCCTCGAACTGCCTGAAACTCCACCTCCCCGCCCTCGCCCCAATTCACGTCGTACAGTGGTGATAGGAGGACGCCCGATCCGACGAACACCTGGCCCACCACCGCCTGAGAGCTGGCTGTTGAGCAGTGATGTAAACGGTCTCAATGACAATGAGATCTATCCAACAGAAGGGGTCAGGGATGTGATCTACCGTCTCGACCGTCTGCCCGGTGCGACATTCCCGCGGCAGGATGGCCTGCTTCATACGACGCTGAAGTCCATGGCGACCAATTGGGCCTGGCACGTCGAATACGATGGGACGTTTCTATCTCAGCTGCCCAGTCAAATCAAGGTGTTGCTTCTGAGCTATATTGGGATGTATGCGAGAAACCACCAGCCTTTGAATGGCTTGATGCGGGGGCTGCACCCGCTTTTCGTGATGACGTCCCTAGACCACAGCGAAGGAGACAATTCAGATGATGATAGCGAAGAGAGTGTTTCGGAGATATCACGTCTCGACCTGGGTGGTCTGCTAGGCCGACTGATGACGTTCAGACAATTCGTCAACGAGCTGGTCGTCTCCGGTAAACCAGGCACGCAAATCACACCGGGAAAGCCTGAAAACACGGTTCCCTCGTCATGGGACGAAGAAGAATCCGAGAGTGGAACAGGAAATGTCAATGGCCCTCCATCCTCCGTCCCCTCTGTTCCTCCTACGCCGCTGAAACCCCTCGACCCGGGTCTTCGGTTCGAGAACTTGCGCTTTCTCTCGCTGGCACATCCACACCCAGCGGCCGCCAGCTGGAAGTCCCTGCTGAATCTGCTTCCGCATCTCTCCCGAATCACCCATCTGTCACTGGCGCATTGGCCCGTCCCGACCATGACCCCGCACGCGAAGAACGCCCGCGTGCGACATCCCGCTCACCGGTCCCTGACCTTCTCGTACAGTGGCACGGACTCGTACTCTGCCCTCGAAAACAACTGGATCGAGGCCGCGACAGTCCTGCGCAAGCTCTCCCGGTCGACATACTGTTTGAAATGGCTCGATCTAGAGGGCTGTGGAGATTGGTACGCCGCGCTGAGCTGGGACGGGAACAATGAGGCATATTCTACTCCGACAGGCCCGGAATGGAACGGATCATGGCGGAATGTGGAATGGCTCGGACTCGGGCCTGGATGGGTTCCATCTTCTTCTTCTACATCTACCATGATACCTGACCCGGAGAGAAGATCCCAGTCACCACCACCGCTGCTTCGTGGCAACCGAACTCTCGCTTCCTCCATCCATGCACCCGCATCTGCACCTTCTGCGTCGTCACCGGACGACCATCTCCCCTGGGACGTGGAGGAGGAACGAGTCAAATACCGCCAGGGAAAGGCAGAGGAGCGGTTCCGCGAGATAGTCACCACCGCCAAAACGGTGGAGAAGCGTCTCTTGCAGACTCGACGAGAGGGACGGGGGAAATGGCTGCATGTGTCGTATGGGCTTGATGGAGTGGATGAACATCTTCTCCGACGGGTCCTTGGGGGAGATTATTACAAGTACATGTAGTATAGTTATAGTTAATAGTGATACTCCGTATATAACTAGTGCATAGGTAGTTTCAACTAGAGAAATGGCTATATGTATAGGACAGGCTATGTACATTTAATATAGTACTTTCACTTTTTGTTAAACGTCTTCAAGGGATCAACCTTGCTAGACTTCTTCCCCCGCCCCTTATTGCGGTTGCGTTCTCTCGCTTTGCGGATGCGATTCTCGCTTGCCTTGCGGAACCCGACGTACCCTACATCCTCGGAGGAGATGCCCTTGCGGCCCTTGGCGGGCATCAGGTACTCCGGGACGTGCTTCAGGTGTTGCTGGATGCGGGCGGCGCGGAGCTCGCCGTCGTGGCGCAAATGGCGCAGCTCGTCCGGGTTCTCCTCGAAGTGGCGCTTGAGTTTCTCGCTCTTGATCAGTTCCTGGCGGATCTCGCGCGCCCGCGCGTCCTGTACCGCCAGCCGGGTCACGGCCCGCAGTGCGTCTGTCATCCGGTACCGGAAGGCGTCCACCTGCTTCATCTCGAAGTGATACGGCTTCACCTCGTGGCCCAGCTTGGACTGGCGCTTGACGATCTTGGCGAGCACGCCCTCGTCGTGCTTCGCAGTCGAGACCGAGGTGGGTTTGTGCTTGCCGAACAGGTCTGATGGGACCACAAATGATAATGCCATCCCAGTCTTCCCCGCGCGACCTGTTCGTCCGATCCGGTGGGTGTACGATTTCGAGTTCGTGGGCAAATCAAAGTTGAGGACGCACGCAACGTTCTGGAAATCGATGCCCCGGGAGATCCCGTAGTCCTTCTCCTTGGCTGTGAGTTTGCGGCGCTTCTCGGGGCGCGAGGGAGCCTTGCGTTTCGATTCTTTAGTCTCCTTCTCTTCAGCCTGGTTTTCCTCGTCGCTAGAGCCGAACTCTTCCTTGGCCTCGGCGTCCTCCCCCTCGTTGGATTTCTTCGCCGTTTTTCGAGATCCCATGACCTCTTCGTCATCAGCAGCGATAATAATGTCGTAGACACCTTTGTTGAATTCTTGAACCACGTGTATTCTGGAGTTGACGGGTAATTCTGAGTTGAGGACACAGCTCTTGATGCCGAACTGTTCTAAGAAAAGCTTGACACGGTAGCACCGGTCGACGTCGGCCACGAAAATAATACACTTTCCTTTCACCAACTGTAACTTGAAGATGACATAGGTCAAGAGGAACTTTTCGTCTTCCGCGCATCTGAGACAAGGCAGTCAGCAATGAACCAAACGAATGGCTAGTATCAATCATGAAGCTTACTTGACAATGAACTGGCTGACTTCGCCGCCCTTATCCTCTGTCTCTTCCAGCTTGAGAATGACTGGGCTCCGGCAAAACAAGCCCTTGAGGGTATCGACTTCCGAGGTGAGAGTGGCGCTCATGAGGAATGTCTGCACGCCTCGTGGAACGGCCTTTGCAAGAGCATTGATATCATCCTCGTACCCGTATGAAAGCACCAAGTCAGCCTCGTCGATGACGAGATGTGTGAGCTGCTCCAGCGAAAGAGCCGAGTTGTTGATGTTGGCCAGTACTCGAGCGGGGGTGGAGATGACAATATCGGGGCAATCAGAAAGCATGGATCGCTGTACAGCATCGGAAACCTTTTGGGTGAGGTTCACAGAGCGGACCTCCTTTCCACAGAATGCAGCGAACGTCGTGACAACCTTTTGGACTTGCTCGGCGAGTTCTCGAGTCGGGACGAGGATTAGACCGGTGGTAGCTTTCAAGGAGGGGTTGCTCTATTGAATCCGATTAGAGCCGTTCCTTCCAAAGGAAAAAAATTGTAAAGAAGTCGCCCAATGGGCAGGAATTTTCTTACGGCTTTCTTTTGGAGAATCGTCTGCAAGATCGGCAGAACATATGCAGCAGTCTTGCCGGAGCCAGTCTTTGCCCGAGCTGTTTTCAGTCAGCGATGTCAACCACATACAGGCTTCAAATAAAACACAACGCACCAAGAATATCTTTTCCTTCAAGAGCCAGCGGAATCGCTTTCGACTGCACGAGAGTGGGCTTTGTGAACTTCTCTTTGATTAAAGCCTGGCGCAACCTCGGGTCGAGGGCCTCAAAACTGGGGTCGACGGCGTCATTTTCCTCCACGGCATCTGTGGAGGGAACGTCATTGGCATCGAGCTTCCGCTTCATTTTTATCGGCGGCTCTGCAGGTCGTGAGAGCGAGAAGGGTTGATCTGAGGAGAAGATAATGTTAAATCATGTCCTGGAGACTTTTCTTAGTCTGCCGCTTGGGAAAATCTGTCGGGCGGTGAGATTTTCCGGCCGCGAGGATATCTTATCTTTTTTATGCCTTGGAAAATAGGCAGAAATTAATGATTGGGTTAAATCTATAGAAAGAACTAGGACTTAAATCAATATAGGAAATAAGACAAGAATTGAAATAGAATTGTGATAGAATTAAATGGCTCCAAGCACTAGGCGCCTGACTGCCTTAATACCTAGGTTATAGCACGGAATCCCTATATAGAAGGAAAGGGTGTCACCATATTATTGCCTTGAACATACTAACATATGATAGCAATTGATTAATATTTCCATTCATTTCTGGCAGAAGAAGCCTGAATTATAACTGTCTTTCCCGTCAATCGGCCAGACGGCGACTAACCACCATCTTGTGTCCATGTTCCAGTAGAAAGCACACCCAATACCAGCCTCTCTTGAATCCCTCTCATTTACCGCAGTAAAAGGCACGAGCATATAAACAGCCTCACTTCAGCGACCAGAGGCCGATGACATTATTATCAGGGTCAACGACGTGTCCGACTACACCCATACCGTTGGGGATCTCGGTCCGGGGACTGTATTATCGGGAGCACAAATCAGTACACAAGTCCACTCATGTACAGGTGGTCAAGAGAAGAAGAGTAAGGGGAGAAGAGGAACATACGTCTTAACACCTCCGCCGAGAGCCTCGGCCTTTTGAATGGCCTCACCAACGTCGCCAACGATAAACGTGGGGTACACGCCCCAGCCCTCCTTACCGGCCGACTTGGGCGAGTATCCCTCGTCAAGGAGCAACAGGGCCCCCCTGATCGACTTGGAGGCATCAGTGAAAAAATGCAGCGTCTTGATGCCCTCGGTCTCTTTAGGCAGTGCACCGGCAAACTCCCAGGCAAAGAGCTCCGAGTAGAACTTTTGCGAGCGCTCAAGGTTTGTAATGGGGATCTCGACGGCGAAGAGGCCGCCAATGGCGGGCTATTTCCTCGTTAGCCAACCTAATCCTAGCATATCCAAAGAGGCTGTTTTTTACTGCGGCAGCCATGGTTGCTTGTTGTACTATGATCGTACAGGTAGTTAGAAGAGTATCACAATATTAAGATGTCAATGATGCCGGCGACGATGACGAGGTACTATTTATGCTCACGACGTCACTTCGTCTTACCCCCTCATCCAGCTCGCTTGTCATCTTTTAGCACCTTAGTGCAGAACTGGGCGATCTTGTCCCAATTGAACTTATGTATTATTCTTAATAACCTTCAGATATTAATCTTCATACTACCTTTGACATGGGTGGTATTAGACCATGGGTCGTCACTCTAGCTGACTCGGCTATAAACAATATGCCTTGAGTAGCAATTATTCTATCAAAAGGTCACTTTATAATCTTTTGTCACAGGAATATATGACCATACAGGGCCCTAATTAATGTCTGGACATTTTTAGTGGCTCAGTGGTCTAGTGGCCCCCTGGATTTTGTCAAATCTTTTAATTGATCTGAGTATTGCTATATATATATCAAAGGATTTAGAGCCGAATCTGATAGGCTCTGGCCCATGAATCCCTACAACATCCTAGGTATCTACTGTCTATAATCCTGTTGCCTGGTCCTGCCTAATAAGCCATCAAATCCCTTAACTAGGAATTATTTATCTCTTATTTTATGCCGTGCTTCTTACTTATGGGTCAATTGCTCTATATCCCTCCGTCATCTCTTCCTAAATTTTACCACAGATTGTTAAATATGGCGGCGAGTCAAACGGTCAATTTTACTCTGCGAGCCCTACAGCTCATCTTCGCCATCGCTATTATGGGAACAGATGGCTACGGTAAGGAGAATATATATATATGTATCCTGTCATACTCGATTATTCAGGTTCTAATCTAGTTATCTAGCTATCAACTCATTTCGCAGCTACAGTTCATATGAAGACTCCTGGTTTGGCGATCTATACTTAACAACCGGCGTCCCCGATGCATGGGGCTTCTTGATGTTCTGTGCCGCGTGGACGTTTCTGGTCGTCTTATTACCTATCATTGCTGGAAGAACCAGATTCGTGGATCATATATGGATGGGCTATATTTATGTCGTCGGGGAGGCTGTTGCTGTCCTCTCTTGGCTTGCTGGTTTCATTGCCGTGGCTGTAAATATCGGGAATGATGTCTGTCCAGCAGGAGGAAGCGATGTATGTCCTTCAGGACATAACTGCTGTGCGGTGCTCAAGGCGGCGACTGTCTTTGGGGCCTGCGAATGGCTGCTCTTTATGATCACTACAGCCCTGACTGTGCTTGTCTTCAGAAGCACTCGCCAGCCAAAGACTGAAAAGACCACTCCCGCTACAGCTACTTGATCAGCGGGTATACGAGTACTTGGGATATACGAAGCCGTCTGGCTATGAGATCTTTGAACTTCAAGCTTCGAATAAGGATGATGATGACATTGGTTTACCTTGAAGGATAGTATGGGATAGTTGGATCATTGCTCGAGAAACAATCAACTAGCTAGTTAATGAGAGACTAGAGACATGATATGCTGTTGGAGGGAATAAGAACAAAACGTATTCCCTGGGAAGGCAGATAAACATCCACTGAATAGCAATAAGAAAAGGGGAAAGGGAAAAACTTATGTATAAGAGAATGACTAGATTCTGCTCAAAATACCCGAAACGAAATGGGAGAAAAGTGCGAGGTGGCAGTATCCAAAGCACTGATAGCCGTTGAGCATGCTCATTATACTCGTCTGTAGTTATAATCTGTCGTATCACATAAAAAAGAAAATAGAAAGTTGGAGGCATAGAGCAATGTCAGTCTGACAGAAAGATCATAGCTTGACTGGCTGAAGAATAGATGAGAAAAAAAGAAGAAATTGGCCACTCTTCGGTGACAAAATCGTAGATGCTATAAAGTAAGGCAAAACCCTGTTTCATAGCATAAGAGTTGCGTATTCATATTGCTCAATCACTGAGGAATCGAGGGAGCACGAAGGTACTATTCAGACTCAGTGAGGTAGGACATGAAGCGTCCATTCTGGCATAGATATAATGGAGTGATTATTTGGCCAGTTCAGACTTTGCGTAGCCTATGAACTTAGGCATTGATCCCTCTGAAATCTTTCCAATTGGCATAACTCTCTGGTTATGCTCCACATTATGAATCTTTTCAAAATCAATACGTGACATTTTGTCCAATTTGCAGTCGGCTTTCGTTGGCACAACAGCGATGGGATCCTTGGTCATTAGAGGTTCATTCGGGCCTCTCTCGGGAGAAACACCTTCCATGTGGATGATTGAATGCTTCGAAGGATCGACGCCGTGCTTTCCCACACCCTGTCTGGAGTAGGTACTGATGGGTCTAGTAGACTCAGTCAGTTACCTAAGTACTTGGCCTACTTCATGGGGCAGAATTGGGGATCAGACTTACAAACATAAGGCAGACCCATTGCGTTCTTTGAAGACAACCATTCTTCTGATACAGCTGTAGATCGGCTGGCCATATAGTCCATATGACGTGAAATTGCTGGGAGCCGTGTTACTACCAGCCGTATTATTGTTCTGACCGCGATTTTGGTGCCAGAGAAGTGCAAACACCTGTTTAGCCCTGTCAGCCACAGATTCCCTCTATGAGAAGACAACATACTCTTCCAGCTTTGAAAAATCTCCGGGGGTTGCCCTGGACCTTGAAGCCTACACCACTTTAATGAGTTGTCCAACAATGATGTAGATGTGAGGTTAGCATACTGGGATCTAGGCTATCTCTCGGGCCATGAACTCTATCCAAGTTGTCCTCTGTGATAGGATGCATTTCGTCCTGCTTGGCGGTGAGTGAAATGCCATTTAAGTTTGGATAAAATGTTCAAGACGTCTTACTTTCTGATGATTGCGGCCACGAGGGGGCCTGTGGCTATCTTGGTTGGACTGAAGATCCAAGCCGGAGCTCTCATATGACTGGCGTTGTGAATGAGGCGGTATCCCGGAATGATGAGACCGGGCAATGCCACTAATGCCAGAGTCGCGTCTTCTCTTATTTATATCTCTGCTTTCCGTTATTAGCCTGACGAAGTTGACTTCGAGCCGGAAGATCGTCAATACTCACCCAGGGACAAGCTCTAGATGCTGAGCTGTAGGGATATCATGGACTTGATATCCGATAGGTTCACGACAGTCATTACCATTGGGAGATGAAGATGTATATCCAAACGGCTCTTTCTCTGGAGGCAAATCTATCTCTGGGTTATCTGGAGAATCCGGATGGTCAATGTGATTGTCTGAACTAGGCTCATCTTGATCATAGCCATGGCGATCAAATCGTCTGGATTGATGGTAGTAGGATGACTGAGATTGGTCTGAGCCAGATTGGCGGGATGGATAAGATTGGTTTGAGCCGTATCCACCAGATGGGTGACGACCACGGTAGAAGTTTCTGTCACAATTTAGAACAAGTCGGGACGGACAGGTCCCAGAATAGTCTAATTACCCGGACTGTGTGCTTTGCATGCTACCTTGCTGATCGTGGGCATAGCCATCTGTTGATTACACAGCAGTCGTTAGACAATCGGAAGGGTCTATCCAAGTCACCAACTAGTACTGACCATAGTATCCGGCTTGCTGAGAGTGACCATAACGGTCCGAATAATTTCTATCAGACGCCATGGCGACTAGACATTGCGTGACCTCAGCACAACAGACCCTACCGGAGGACTTCAACTACTGATAACAGTAGCCGTTTCACTTATATATATAGCGAAAACAGACGACGACAAGAGAAGATGACGGCCCAAAGCCTTGTCTTTGCAGAAATGGGGAAGCATCACGGATCATTAGGGTCCCCAGCACTGCGGGAACAAATACTCCTCCATACGGGCGAAGTACACTGACTTCCATGCGGCTCTTAACCTCATTCCAAGCACCAAGCAAACGCATCACGGATGGAGCTATCTCCACTGGAAGATGCCGGTAGGCCCGTGCAACCGCATTATACGGAGCACTTGTCTTCCTGTGACTCGCAGACGGCGCTCCGTACTTGCACATGATGACTGACTTGTACTGGATCGCAGCGGGGTGGGGACACGCCGAAGATGAGTGGTACTGGCAGCTGCTCGGGTTGATCGAGTCCTATCCTTGACCATTCCTTAATGAGGGGGGTCAGACAAAAGTTGCTGTCATTGGTTCGACAGAATGAAGCCACTCACAAGTCTCGTAGCCCCTTGTCCTGTGCTGCCGGATATCGCCGGGGTCAGCGGGCGCTACTGTATGCATCCCGTCCGAAGACCTTGTTTATCGCGAGCGAGGAGGCATGATCTTGACTCGTTGATATCTGAACTAGATGAAACGGTGTTTCTCGGGGCCTAAAGAAAGGAGGGGGAGTGTCGAATGCTGTGGTGTGATAGGAGAAAGAGAGGGGAGACAACACAGACATTCCGCCCAACTTGCTTCCCAATCACTCACTCAAAACAACACCAAACAACCCCCCCCTTTTCCCAGATGTAGCTACTCCATGCAACATCCAGGGTTGGAAAGGTCTCCAGCCGCGAAAAAAGAAATATCCCATGCTCAGAGTCTGACTCCACGCCATTATATCGCTACCATCATCCACGAGTACAAGGCGGAGGACCAATAAAAGCATCCTGAACCCTCCTCCGACTTTGACCGCTTGTTCTTGCTGACCCCCCCCCCCCCCCCCCCCCTCTCCATCTCCTCTTCGGCAATTTTCCGCTGCTACACCCATGGGAAATGTCACGTTGGTCGCTCTAAAGAGAATGGCGACTTGGCCAGGGCGATCGCAGGCAAGGAGTGGTGAAAAAAAGCAGGTAACATGGCTCCTCCCTAGCCTAGGAAGATATGCTTACTAAGGTATGCGAGGATATGTCTAGACAAAACCCATCGAAGGCAGAGACTACGGCAGGCGTCGCTTGAGTACCAGAGACATATTAGAAGGTTCTTCAATTCCTCTGTCGGAGATCCCTGGCTGCATACCAAGGTCGACTCTTGACGACGCCGATGGGGTACCAGAGTTGGGTCGGACAACCTTCCACCAGACAACTGTGCATGACAGCGGCTCCAACCCGTCCCAGGAGTCCTTTTTGGAGATTTCACACTCTCAGCCGCCGTCGGTGGAAAACTTGAGGAGCAATGACCTAGCTGCCGAGCCACCGGAGACCGTTGTCAATGCGGATAATGGGCCTACCCAGCCTCAATCACCAACACCAAATCAGTTTTCCATAGCCTGTCAAACGGAAGAAGAATCTGATTGGACGGACTGCCCAATAAAGCTCCTCAATGCTATTGGGCAACTAGTCGACAAGCAAAGTGATGTGTCTGTAAAGCGACTGCAGGTCCGTGAATTAAGACTCGGGTTGAGGTATAAGAGGTACGAAGAAGCTGGAGCTCGCGGCGCGCTCACGAAGAAGATCAGTGCACTTTCTGCACAAAGGCATTCCACTGATATACAATCTCTCCATTCGGACTTTGAAAAGCTGGAAGCGGTGACTAATGCCTACCTGGAACTTGAAAGGAACTATCACCAGGCGGAAGAGGAGCTAGAAACAGAGGAATGGGCATTGATGAAATTGAACCAAAAGGTTTCGCACCTTGCTTCCCGAGTCCTTCCTGCAGTTGATCAAGCAGATGGGCTGGAACGTGAAGACCTAGACTCGGAAGACTCTGCATCCACCATCAGCGCACCATTGGAAGAACCGCCTAGCTTGCATGACTATCTTTCTCGCATGGGCGATGCCCAAATTCAGAAAGAACGCATTGCTGACTTAGATTCGGAGTACTATGAAATCACCGAGAGGCAGAGTGCCCGAGATAACGTGGATGTTCCCATTAATGATGAGTCATTGGAATTCCTACGTCTATATGGCGAGAAAAAGCGTTTATTACAGGAGGAGCTCAAGGAGATATCGATTGATATGGCACGGCTACGAGCTATTTGCGAGGAAGAAGGTCTACTCGACGAGCAGCCCAGGGAAGAAGAAGTCATAGCTGCTGTACACGATCTGCAACTGGAAGAATTCGCCTACTCTTACCAGCCATCCGAGCCTCTCCATATTAGTGAGCTTGAAGACCCAGCGCCATTCTTCCAGCCGGGGATGTCCAAGAAGGTGAATACAGCCGAGTTTATCAGCAAATGGATTCTCCATCAACTGCGCCACTCAAGAGTCGAGATCTTTCGTCTTCAAACCATGACCGATCTGTGCAAACTGAAAGAGGATGGCTGGGACCCGCTCGAGATCAGTGATTTGGTACTGGCTTACTGGGATCACGATGACACAAAGATGAGAACCCCTCCGCGGACAGCTACCTACAACTCTGAATGGACAGGACTGGAAGCAAGGTCTTGTTCATCTGCTCGTGTTCGGCAAATCGATGACCCTATGCTTTCTAAGAGCTCCTCGCTCCTTTCTTTGCGGCTCTGATTATGACCGAATTTTTGCTTAACATCTTCCCGCTCCATGTTCATGATATCCCATTTGGTTTTTGGCATGTCATCCACTCCATTTCCTCCTCTCCTTAGTTTACTGTTTTCTTTTTTCTTTGGCATATTCGGGCGTATCAATTTCGGGCACAAGTATGCATCATAGTGAGGTGCATTTCATAGATGGCATCATTTTGTGACACTTTTCTAAAACCTCCTTTTTGTTCTTGGAAAAGCAAAGAAAAGAAAGAAACATGGGGATATTCTACCCTTGGGATTGGAAAATAGATCAGAAACCCAACCACTAAAACAGCAACCTAAGGTCAAGGGGCCTCACTATTTCCTCTGGTCACTTGACGCGTGGCCTTGATTTCACCAACAGCCTATTAAAGCTGCGCGTATTGTTTGCTACTCATTATCCATGAAGATTACACGGATTCTTATCCCTGCCATCTCTACCCGATGACCCGATCGCGCGGGAAACGGAGCATCTGCCACTGATGTCATGATACAAGCCATACTATCACCTCAGCCTCGTCCAAGCAGGTCAAGCGGACCAAAGAGCTGCATGACTGGGGTAATAGAGTCGAGAAGCGAGCTCGGAAGGTGACTATTCATTTATCTTCTTGCAAAATATGTCTAGGAAATGCTTTGACCCTACAGAATCTCCATAGTAGCCTCCGTGAAACAAATCTGAAACTATAAACGATTCAGACTTGCTGACTATGGCTGTCCAAGCTACTATTATACCTTATACTAAGAGTTCTAGGCTAATATAGTATTGAACTATTTGTTTAGAGAAAAAAGGCTGATTTACAGAGGCAATATCAACTGTAGGCCTCATTGGTATCTGAAGTCCGAATTGATTAGAAAAAGTGAGTCAATAACACCTCTATATTATAGACTTATTCATAGTAATATCTACAGATAATTCACTTTTTACTTGGCTATAAAAGCCCTACCTGTCATCTCTCCCCTCGTGGCCAGGGCATTTCGGCACGCAATATATAACTATTTATGTCACCGTCTGAGACAACTTACCAAAAGAGCGAGGTTTCTCGCCGAGAAGGTGAGCGTCAGAGCCTTATAATAAGTGCCGAGGATATATTGCTGACGACGACACAGAAGGTTCAATGAAGGTCTCCCAGAATACCCGCAGCGTACCATGGCTCACCACTAACGGAATAACCAGACGTTTATAATTAGAACATCAGCCTCGTCTCGGCCGAGAAGCATAAAGAGTTGTGCGAAACTGTATTTCCCCGGAATCATGGGAAGGTTGCCAGGCAGTAGAGTTGGGATACACTCTATAGGAGTATGCAATGCGTCAGGATGTTTCTTAAGCTGAATCCATCTGCTACACAGGATCTAACAAGATTTTCGCACAATACTCCTTTAGCGGGCAGTGAACTACACTTCAAAGTGAGGCTCATTGACTCTCTAACACAAGTCAAACGATTGACGGCAGTCTTGAGTTGTAATGGTAGTGGAATTGAGATTCCAGCCCCCATTGCTACGGCAGATGTCTCCTGTGGTTTTCCGAAGAGGACGTCACATGTGGTATGTTTACAAAAGTGAAATAGGATTATCAGATAAGTAGGTGCTACCGTAGACTGCGAACCAACGAGGCTGAAAGACGGGATCCTAATCTTGTCTAGTATTGCTATTCCATCCTGATTATACGGTTATCTTTCTCCCTGCCAGAACCTCGGGGTCTCATATGTCGTGCTACCTTTGATACACTGACCCCAATCCTTTCTCCCAAAAGATCTGTATGAGAAGACCTCAAGCATTTGAGGAATGAATCATAGCATGATAGCCGCCTTTCGAAACACCTAGAAACATGGCCGCACACTTTCTCGGCAATGAATGTCTAAAGAGTAATTAATCTCGCGGGGAACAAACTTCTTGCGCAGGCATTATGTCCCGCGGTTATACTCGGTGTCAGGGGAAAAGTAATGAGAACCAAGATAAACGTTTGTATGAAGTCTTTGAAAGATCTTTGAAAGAGAAACTCTGTCCAGAGGACACCGAGAATGCTAAAGATATCCTGCATATCTCCCCCCGTCATCGTTTCCCCAAGACTAGATCGATCGCTCTACAGACAAGCTCACCATCAGGACCATGGGCAGCATTACATATTAGCCAGAATGTGATGCTGCCCAAGTCGAAGAAAACATCCTCAGATGCACGTTGGAGGTTGAACACACCTGCAGACATGCATGGGAGGCGGTGATCAGGGAGAGTGAGTCCAGACATGACTATTGTCGATGGTTCCGTGATATGTCCGGCCTACGTCATTTCCAAAGGCAAAAAAAAAAGGATCTCCCATGCCCTACCTAATTTTCCAAAAAATCCGCAGGGATGTTCTTTGGTCATCAAGAAAAGAAAAATCCTCCGACTGCAATGATCAAGCATTGGACATGCCACCCTTGAACACAGAACGGTGGACTCGCACGTATGCAGTCCCCTTCCTTTGAGACGAAGGCCGCCAATTCTCGCAATGGATCTGTTCCTGATCGAGCTCGATGCCCTGCAGTAGTGCGTCATGGCGAAGGGAGCCATACGACGGAAAGCTTGAATTAAGATGATTCACACTGAAATACTCTAACTAGATCCAGTTATTGACTGTTCGCCCCAAAAGGCTATTGGACTTGATCTCTATAGGGCTATCTTGTGCAGTGATTAAAGACAGCATTATGCCGTAACCTCCAGCATAAAGTACCAGCCTCGTCTTAGCTAGTAAGTACCTACACACTAGCTGAATAGCCATTGTCTGTGCTAGGCAGGGTATCACTCGACGTCGGATAGATCCGAGAGAAGCGGTGATCGGGTGATCCCATGCTAAGCACAAGATCTTGTATGCCAGCCGATCCTGCTGCTTCTGCTTATCGTACGGAGTATAAAAAGGTCTGCAGTACGTATGACATAGTTACTCTGTACGGAGTACGGAGTACTTGTCTGGAGTACTCCGTACTCCGTACTTGTCGAGGTGAAAAGCGAGTACAAGTTGTACGGAGGAGTAGAAATTGCGTCATAATATGTGAGAGGTAGATCAGTTAGTATACTACAGATGTATGCCATCCTATGGAGCAATTTAGGTGCTCACTTGGCTTCTACCTAGTACAGAGTACTCCGTACGGAGACTAAACTAAGCAATACAAAAGCTTTTCTCTATGAGTCATCTAGACCACCTCTCTGTATCGACTAGCGCATCAGTGCCCGACGTTGGGCGAGATCTGGCGGCGTCTCGGAAGAGTGGCTCTAGGAGGTTGTATTTAATTGACTAGTAACTATTAGTTAGCCATTAGTTAATTAATAGTTATAAGTTCTAGCGGGCTTCGAAAGTTCCATGCTCCACCGCAAGACAGTCAATTGCTCACTGTGCTGTATTGCGTTATATAATTATATTAAACTATTACTATTACCGATAGTAACCACCTCGATAGTTCTTAGTTCAATACTCTATTGATACTAGGTAGAGTTCGAACTCTTGGCCGGGGTAATTCTGTACGGAGTAGTATGTAGTATGGTAGAATAATAGACGAGAGACAATAGAATACAATACAACAATAGAATACCTGAATAGAACTTCTGTAATTACTTGGGCCGCGTTGGGCCTTCGGGCAGACCTTGGAGGGGCTGATGCTTACATAAGATGGCGGGGTTGATACATAACTAGAAATAAAGGAACCATGGATCCATTGTTATTGATTATAGTATAAGTATAAGTATATGGAGAACTATATAGATAGTCTATAATATACATATTTACTACACATTTACTACACATTTACTACATGCACATCAACCAGTGTACAGGCGCAGAGTAATAATCAGAATAAGCAAAGATCTCCAGCTCTCAAGAGTTTGCCCTGGAGCATATCAAATGGTTCCGTCGCCTCCGTAGATCAATAGTCTTGAGAAATATTACTTTGTATATTTATATAAAGATTTATTATATTTCCGTATTTCAGTATTATTGACTCCCTTCCGATCGGCCGGTCGCCCACGAAATTCTCTCTCCGACTCTTCCCCGTTCATTCGTCTGATCCTCCGACGCCTGCGTTGGGTACAAGAGCCCAGAGATCGCCTCTTGCGCCCTCCTGCATCGTCTCCTCGCCGCTAGCGACTTTTCCTCTCTCTCCTGCTGGCTCCGTCCGACTCTCTCGCCTGCTTCTTGCCTGGCTTCTGTTTCCCCCCTTCGTTCGCCGATGCTGTGAGCGCTCTTTCCTCCTGCTCCACCGCCCCCCCCCACCGATTTACCACTTTCCCACCTTTACCACAGTACAACAACATACACAATCTTACGACCCGTCTGTACAGAAAGAAGAAGAAGAAAAAAAAAAAAAAGAGTGCCTGGTCAGTGGCTCCCAGGTTACACAGCTGACTTTCTGCACTCTGCAGTCTCTGCAGCCTGTCTGGTAGCTAACCTGCTTGTGCCCTCCACTCACAGACTGCCAGCTGCACTCTTCCTCGCTTCTCGCCCTTCTGACCCCTCCCAATTACCAAGCCGAGTCCGGTTCTGTTTCGCGCAGTTTCGATGGAGACATCATCGCCGCCTGGAGACCACCACTACTGCTGCTGCTGCTGCTGCTGCTGCCACTACGAATCCTCCGCCCGCCGCTGACAGCAATCTAGACGCGCCGTCGGGAGGGGCCCCTCGCTCGCCTTCCAAGCGGATCTCGCTGCAGGTCTCTAGGGACGCTGGGAGTGGCCCAGAGACCCAGCACAGGGTAAAAAAACCCCCGAAATAAATAAATAAAAAACCCAGAATACACCCTCAGTACAGAGTATTATTGACCGGAGTCACGTTCGAGACGTGGGTGCTGAAGGCTGAAGCCTGTTGGGTCACCACGTTTCACGTCATCCACCTGGACATTTGCAACCCCTCAGGAACGGATTTCTAAAAAAAAAATTACAGGAAAAAAAAAAAAACAGAGACACACAGGAGGGAGGGAGAGAAAAAAAATTTAGTCTGGCCTTGGCTCGCCTGCCCAAGGAGTCATGTCCCGGAAAGTTCCTCACGCCGCCTTCTGTGAGGACTTCGATGAAGATGCTCGCGTCAGTCTCCCTGAAACCCGTCAAGTCGCCCACCACCCTGCCAGACTCCCCAACAAGGCCGAGTTGAGACTGTCTGCCGCCCCTGGAGACGGTTCCAGTGACTCAGGATACTCCAGCCGGACGGCGGCGACTGTCAACAGCACCCAATCCGCCCCGTCGGGCCGGAAGAGCCCCCTCTCTCTTAAGCTGGACGCCGCCCTCAGACGGCCGATCACCTCCACCTCCACCACCAACACCACCAACACCAACACCGCCGCCGCTGCCGCCGCCGCCGCCAACAGGACCATCGTCACCAACAGCTACTATAGCACCGCCGTCGGTGCGAACGTCAACGGTGCCAGCCGTAAAGATCGTGGCCGCGAGAAAATCCCCCGCTCGCTGCGCGAGGAAAAAATGCAGGTCGGCCCCTACCCTGGCGCCGGCCATTCGGGCCCTCCTGGTGCTGCTGCTGCCCATCACCGCCAACGCTCGCCCTCCAAGGCAAGGAGACGTGAGCGTGAGAACGCACAGGTGCGGCACTTTCCTGGCCAGTGCTGGGAGTGCGACCATGGCCTCTACCACTCGTCGACCGCCTCGGTCGACTCCCGCTCCGATTACCCCCCCGCCGCCTACTACACCAACGCCCTCCAGGAGTATGGTCACCCGCCGCCCCCGTCCCCCCAGTCGGCCCGGTACCCGCCCTCGGTCATCCAGGATGTCCATGTCTCGCACAGCAGTCGCCCGCCCGCTCGCACCAACCGTTCCAACTCCTACCACACCAACAACCGGCCCGTCAGCTTCCATGGCGCCATGATGCCCGGCGGCATGCCCATGCCCTACGGTCTTCCCCCCCCGCCGCCGCCGCCCATGACCCACAGTCGTCAACACTACGACCATGGTCCTCCTCTCCCCTTTGCCTCGTCCGCCTATGCCAACGGACCCTCGTACCCGCCCACCTACCCGCATCAGCAACAGCTGCAGCAGTTGCCGCCGCCGCCACCACCACCACCACCACCACAGGGCGGTTACTACTCCGCCCAGCAAGAGTACCTACCGCCCGCCCTGCCCGACTCCCGCAATCGCGACCGATCTGAATCCCGCAGCCGCGACCCTCCCCCGCGCCGCCGCATGTCCGTCTACGACCGCCCCGTCGTCGACTATGACCCCCCGACCCCGACCGAGTACGACGAGGAGCCGCCGACGGACCGGCGGGCCTTGCGAGAGCCGCCACGCTCGGCACGCATGCCGCCGCCAGCTCCCATGTACGACCAACGGGACGAGGACTACTACAGCATGCCACCGCCGCCCATGAGGAACAACAAGGCCCAGATCATCCATCATCAGAAACGGCCCGAGATGCCGCACAAGTCGCTCACCTCCGCCGGCCCCATCGCCGCCGACCGTCGGCCCTCGCGTGCCTTTGACATGTCGGACATGGAATCCGCCCTGTCGGATCACTCCTACCGTCGTATGTCGCGAGAAGCCATGCTTCCCGAACGCAGTCACAGCGTGCGCGAGGGCCACCGGTCGACCATGTACCATCAGGAATCCCGCCCGTCTCGGATTGCCATCGAGGGTGCCCGTCGGCGCCGTGTGTATTACAACGACCCGTTCAGCAGCGGCGAGGGCGGTGGGAGCGATAGTGTTACCGACGAGGTCGAGGAGAAGGAGCGGGAGGCAGAGGCCTACCAGAAAGTGCATAGCGGTGGCAGTCGTAGTAGCGGTGGCGGCAGCGGGGGGAGCAGCAAATCTGCCCCCGTCGCGTTGACCGCGGATGCGCTGCGCACAGCCAAGTCGTCCTCGCGTGCCGACAGTGACAGTGCAAGCCAGAAGAGCCGCTCGAACAGCAGTCGGGGCAGTGACGCGCGGACCCGTGACGGCAGCAACGTCGGCTCGGCCAGCAAGCCCGAGGAGGACAACAACATCGTCATGATGATGAACGGGGTGACCATGAGCTTCTCGCAGGAGTCGGCCGCCAACAAACGCATCAGCGTGCGCACCGGCGAGTCCGGCCAGGTCGAGTTCAACATCGGCGGCTCCCAGCCGCCGCCCAAGAAGTACCTGCCCCCCGCCCGCTCCGAATACGCAGGCAGCTCCAGTGGCCGCCGCGACCACGACGAGCCCCGACGGCCCATGGTCGATGACCCCCGCCGGCTTCGCGATGATCGTCGCTCCGACCGGGTCAGCCGTCGCTCCAGCCGTTCTGTCTACAGCAGCAGCCGGGCCTACATGGATTGATTGGGTTGAGTAACCAGATCTACTGGTTTACCTAGGTAGCTGGTTGGTTGCTCGGCTTGGCGAGTCCTTTTTTGTTTTTTTGTTTTTTTTTTTTTTTTCATTCTTGTTTTGGTTACATTCGATTCTCTTGCCTCTCCCACACAGGCAGTGACGGAGCTTGGTGATGAGAAAAAGACTTCTTCTTGTTCCCTTCACAAAAAAAGTTTTGTTCCTTCTAGGGTCGGGCTCTTTTGTTTGCAGAGAAAAAAAGGGCGGTGTTGTCAATGACCTGGGTTTTTTGCTCTCTTCCTTATTGGAAAGAGGAAGAGGGTGATGAAAACCCGTCGATAGGATGACGCCGCCCTCCAGTTTTCAAGTTTCGTTCTTCGCTTCTTTACTGAAACTGGGAGGCTTTAGTGATTCCTGTTATTTCTTCATTTTACCCCCCCCCAAGTGATTGTTTCTATCCCCTATTTCTTTTTGCATGATTTTTGTTCGCCACCTCCAGGGAAGACAAAAAGGGCGGGCCTCGCTGATTCCGACCGATCGCGTCCATCACGGTGACATGATTGTACGATTCTTGATGACCTGCAATGACTGATGGATGCTACGCTATGCCATGCTATTGCTATATCTATTACATTTTGCGTTTTACCTTTCCTCCCTGTGCTTTCCCCCCCCTCCCCCTCCCCATGTTTTTGACTACTTTGCAAGCGCCTGTATCATCTTCCTCAGTCGAATCGTCGATTGACTTTTTTTGACTGTTCTCGCTGCGTTGTTTTGCGTTGCATGTTCTGCTGTCGTGTCTGTGACCACATCTCCCCCAGCCCAGCATTCCCGGAACGTGGGTAGAGGATTCGTCGGAGGAAAGAGAGATATATACCCATTGAGTTATGTGATTTTTTTTTTCTATCATTTTCTATCAATCTTACTTTGCATTTCTTCCCCCCCCCCCCGGAAATTCATTTGGCTCTACTGGTTTCTCTGCTGTAGCTGCCCACCCCCCTTTCCTCTCAGATGTACCACATAGTGTTTGTATCCCACCGTCTTGTATTCAGTTGGCAGTTGAGTGTTAGGAAATCAGCCCAGTAGATAGAGAAACTATCCAGGATGGTCTTCAGAGTTTCACCTTTCCTCTTACCCCGGAAACTTCTCCATAGTTTCGTAATTTTGAATGAGCTTAACCTCAGCCTTGTGGATACAACCATTTTTTAGCCTGAGGACTCTCCCATTGCTGACTCAGCACCGTTGCCCGACCAACGGTGACGTAAACAATCAGGCGTCTTCCCAGCCTCGCGATTTCTGGGATTCGGTCAACCACCTGCTTTTCCAAAGATCATTTTGTCTTCTCTTCTTTACTACGAAGAACAGTTCATAGGGTTGAGAACGAGAAACTAGGTATTCTATTCAGCTCTACTACTACTACTACTACTACTCCATGATCCCTCTCTCTGGAATGTACATTCTTTGATTGCTCTATTTCTAGATACACTGAGCCACGCTCAGCATGCCTCCCGTCTCCCACGTGAGAAGTCTCCTCGGAGAGATTCTCAAGCGAGACGATGGGTTCGTCGAGGGCAGTGCTGTGATCAAGACACTTGCGGCCCGGACGACGACGACGGCAACCTTGAATGACCCCGGTCAGGGGTCAGTCGACCCGACGAAGATCAACAACAAAGGACTGCTGGGTCTGTTTGCGCTACTGGGTGCCGCGCTTGTGCTGGCAGCGATCTGGTTCTTCTTCTGGGCCAAGAACGGCGGGTTCATCTGGCGGAAGGGCGATTGGGAAGATTACAAGTCGACGGTGCTGCGGCGAAAGGGACCCGACGGGCGCACGCTGAGCAATGCGACCAAGAGCACGAGACTTGGCGGCGGGTCCGTCGTGGGGAAAGGCTACAGCGACGACGGATACACGTACACGGATAGTCTGTCGTACACGGAGACGGCAACCACGCTGACTGAAAAGACGGAGAAGACGGACCGCAAGCGCCGGCGCAAGCTCAAGGAGACCGCCAAGCAGAAGCTGCTGCGCCGACGGAAAGATGAGCGCTGGGAGGGTGAGGCAGACGACGACGTGCGCGCCTATCGTCAGGAGAAGCCCGCGCGGGTCGGTGGCATGAATGCCGAAGGAGATGGCACCTACCATGGCAGCAGCTACGACACTTCCAACCCGCCGACGCAGTACACGGGTAGCGAGATGAGCGAGGTGCACGACTATGCGTACGAGCCCGCCCCGGCCCACACCGTCGACACCAATACTCATCGTGGTGGTAATGAGCGCCACCGCAGCCACCGCCGCCAGCAGGACTCCCGCACCGTCTCTACCTTCTCCTTCACCCCGGGCAACGACGATGTGCTCAGCCAGCCAGCCGAGGATGACCGTCGTCAGCGGGATGAAGACCGAGCTGCACGACGCCGTGAGCGGCGCCGCGAGCGTGAACGGGAACGAGAAAGCCGCCACGCAGCAGCAGCAGCAGCAGCAGCAGGCCCGCCTCCGTCCACTTCCTCGCCCTCCTCCCGCCAGAGCAGCCCACGCAAACAAGCCCGTCGCTCGCGCTATACGGAACCCCTTGATTTCTCCTCCGCAGGCACCCGGTCAGAGTACCAGTACTCCAATGTCGAGACGGACGACGACACCACGGGAACCAAGAGCTACCACCATCCCATCCCCGGCTTGAGTAAGGGATATCGCCGGGACGGAGGTGGGCGACGCCGTGACAGTTTGAGTGAGAGTGATTAGCTCTGGTTTTTCTTTTCTTAGGGTAACCTGTAAATATGATGGATATGATATGGATATGGATGGTATGACAGGGTAGGGACTTTTTTTTTTTCCAAATGACGAATGGCTTCAACGACGTTGTATTTATTATTTATTATGCTCAAGAATGAATTACATTATAAAGACTTGATACTAGACTTTGCCTGCTACTTTCCATTCCATCCCAGTGCATCAACTCAGTAGGTTTTATACGGAGGACTAAAGAACTTCGCAGGAGAGGCAGTGCGGTGTAGAGTCATTGTAACGTGAGGATATTCTCATTGGACCAATTGAGTCCATATTGATATTCTATGAGTAAGATTTGAATGCCTATCTATAGCCATTGAGTTGAACTGTCTAGCTGCACCATGGATGGAGGAATTGTTTCCTGCATGCCTTGCCTGGAAGAACTGATAGTTGTTAGAGGGTGTTACCTTGTTATCTCAACTAAAGCTGGGCTATTGGTAGCCTGGATCAAGTTTACGGGTAAGGCATATATAGAAACCAGAATTTCATTGAATATAATTTTAATCAGTTTATATTCCGGGCGCTATAGAGCGGCAAACGAACAGTTGGTATTTTTAAAAAAAGTCAATTACATACTAGAGACAGTGGCTGTTAGTAAGAGTATCTCAACAAGAAAGACCAAAAAAAAAGAAGAAGCTTACCGTTCAACAGGGCTGAGACCAAGAACCCGCATGCCGTTGTGTAGAACCTGTCTGGCGGATGCGTACAGAGCCATGCGGGCCTTCTTCAGCTCCGGTTCGCTCCCGATCACCTTCAGGACATCGTAGCTGGAGCTGAGGGCGTGGGTCATGCGGAACAGATAGGTGATGATGGTGGTAGGTTCAAGGGTCTTGGTGGTGTTGAGCAGGACATCGGGCCATTGGGAAAGCAGCCGGACGAGCTCTGTCGCGTGTGCCTCGGTCAAGAGGTTCAGGTCTGCCGACAAGAGCTCCTCGTCGCTCAGACCAGACTTGCGTCTCATCGAGCAGAGGCGAGCGTGGGCGTACTGCAGGTACGGACCAGTGTCGCCTTCAAAGGAGGTCATGGCATCAAGGTTGAAGTCGTATCCGTTGATACTGGAAGAAAATTAGTCTAATTTGATTTCTAGCAGTTTTGGAAAGAAGAAAATGGGGGGAAATACCGTTTGCCAGTCATGTCTTGTACCATGACAGAGGTGATACCGAGGATATCAGCGGTTCCCACGGGATCCTCGACCTGCTCGTATTTTTCGGTATTCTTCTTCATAACCTCGTGCATCTTTTCACCGACATCGCGCAGGATGTCATCCAGGAACTTGACGGTTCCCTTACGGGTGCTCATTCCTCGGACCATGCCGAAGTTGATGTGCTGGCAGCGATCAGCAAGATCCTTAAGGCCCATCAGTTCGGTGATCTTGAAGAGCTGGGCCAGGTGGAGATCCTGCTGGGCGGCGACAACGTAGATCATCTTGTCGAAGTGGTACGCTTCTTCACGCTCCTGGATGGCACCGATATCACGCGTCAGGTACAGAGGAGTTCCGTCTTTACGAACGATAATGGCCTTGCCGAGCTTCTTGGCACCATGCTTGGTGAAATCGACGATGACAGCACCCTCGGACTCTTCGGAAACGCCGGACTTCTCCATGGTCCGGTAGGCGGACGCCATGCTCTCAGGCTTGATCTGAGACTCTCCGGAGTAGACGTCAAAGTCGATGTTGAGACGGGCATACGTTTGCTTGTACTTCTCAATACTGAGATCACGGAAGCGGCTCCACAGAGCGAGGGCATCCGGGTCGCCGTCTTCCATGCTCTTGAAGTAACGGCGAGCCTTCTCATCCTCGCTGACATCGACGAGCTTAGCCAGGTCTGCCTCAAGAGTGGCAACTTCCTCGCCCTTCTCCTTCTTCGCCTTGATTTGCTCCTTGAGGTCTTTGATCGGGCCGTCCTGTTCGGCGACGATGGCGTTGATCTTCACGTAAACGTCAAACAGATGGGCAATGGGGTTCTTGATCAGTTGCTCCTCGCTACCGAACAGCTTGTATCCGTTGGCAAGCAGACCATACTGCTTTCCCCAGTCACCGAGGTAGTTCATCTTGATCACGTCCCATCCCATGACAGTGAACAGGTTCGCGAGGAAACCTCCAATGATTGTACTACGCAAATGGCCTGCGTGGAAGGGCTTGGCAATATTTGGCGATGAAAACTCGATAATCATCTTCTTCTGGCCCTTGGAGGGGTCGGCGGGGTCCCGCAGACCCTGGTTACCGTTGGTACCAAAGGCAGCCTTGTCCTTCAGGATGCGGGTAATGACGGTCTCGGTGAGGGGCTTGAGCTTGCAGAAGAACTGCAGATGAACGCCCATCGGCACCGGGGGTTCGACGAGGTCGGACTCGGGGAACTTGTCGGCCAATTCTTGCGCCAGTTCCTGGGGCTTCTTCTTGATCTGCAGCGAGGGAATCTAATACAAGGAATCAATGCCCATTAGTTCCAGGGGGTTCAACATTGGAAACACTATGAGCCCATACCGGCAGGATCAGGTCACCTTTGTCCAAGGTGCTGGTCCAGTTCAAGCGGGTGTAGATCTTCTCGGAATCGATACCGGTCGCGGCGCCCAGCTTCTCAGCGATCTCCTGTCGGTAGATATCGATGGGGTTCAGGGAAGGAAAGCAGCCCTCGAACTTGGACTGTTCACTCGTGGAATGGATAGATAGCCCCTGCACCGCAGCGGGGAGAGTGTCGGCGGAGGCCATGGTTGTCGAAAGCTGCCGTCGCAGAGAAGCTTTTCTATTGATAGAAGAGGGGGAAGAGGACCAAAGCGACACAGGAGACTGCGACACTGGACGAAGACGACAGCTGGGGGGGGATGGGCCGGTAACTGGTCTGCACGATCGTAGGCCTGGAAAAATGGCAGTGGAAAATCGCCGGGCCCCGCTCAAAAGATGGCGACCCATAAACGGAGGGGATCTCAAGTCACGGAGGGGAACTTTTTCTGACTCAAAGCGGCAACCCTCAATACTGCCCGGGCGGTGAGCACAACGTCATGTGATCACGTCAGCTAGTTAGCCCTAAGCCCTAAAGTACAGCTTTGGGTGACGTCATAACAACAACAGCAACAACACTGGTTACCGTTACCTCAACCTTGGTATCTTGACACCAAAGCTGTTCGAGATGTTTATACACTGTGCATCTCTTAGCCGATATAACTGGCCATGGCACGGAATCGCCGCCAGACTGCCCTCACAAGATCCATCCAGAGAGCGCTATTTCGAAACCAGAGGGCGTTTCGAAAGACGATCATCGGACGCATCCTGGCATTTTTTGACTGCATTCATATCAAGCTAATTCGCTTCGACGAAGTCTGCTCATCGAGACTACGTAGAGATGTGTGGGGCATCGATGATGAGGAATACCACTCCTCGTTTCGATCTCAGGACGGGGATGTACCTTTGAAGGCGATGGGGGATTTAGGATACTCTGGCTCGGTATGGTGACTAAACTAAGAAGATTGGGCGAAATACTGATACAGAATCAGACGTTTCTCACCACTTCTGACTGCAAGTTCCTCGTCAAAAGTCTTCCCCGACACTTTGAGCACAGCTTCTTCCGCACCGACCTCTTCGAGCCCTACTGCAACTACATGACTGCCCACCCGGGCTCATTACTCGTTCGAATCACAGACTATCTCTACGCGCCATATATTACGTTTGGCAGTCTGGTGGGGACTATATCAGCGCACCACATCGTGATGGAAAACGCCTGTTACGGGAAGACGGAGGATTGCCAATGGGAAACCTACGACCTTAAACCTATCGACTATTTCTACCCGGAGCGCGACCTTCTGCCGGAGCAGCTTGTCAGCGCGGAGACGATGGACAAGCTCGCAGACACCTTTGATGACAAAATCCGTATCACGCACACTGAGTACGAGGACCTCAAGCAGACCCTCAACCAGGACACGGGGTTCCTCGAATCAGCCAACGCAGTAGACTACTCGCTGTTTCTAATCCGGTACCCGGCGAGTGTGCAGCCGGCGAAGACAGTCGGAGCGAAGAGCGCGTGGCGGGAGGGCGTACGTTCCGCGGACGGCAAGTGGACGTACCGGGCCGTGTTGCTGGATTTCTTCTGGGCAAAGCACAAGCTACACGCGCAGGCGATGACTGGTCTCGTGCAGACGTTCAATGTCATCGGCCGAATGGGACCCATGTCGATCACCACTACAGCAGAAGAATACGCGCACAAGTTTCTACAGATGGTGGACGGAATGATCGAGATACAGGAGTCGACGCCTCTTGGCTCATAATATGAGAGTAATGTACGATATGTTGCGAAATGTATAAATATAAATTATTTTCATTTTTCCCACCTATCTGTAACCATTCTGGCGTCTGACAGAATGCTTCTTCCTCACACCATCTATCCCGCATAAATCTGTTTTTCTTGAGATCTATGTCTCCAGATTAACAGTAACGACCGGAACTGAGGCCTCCGAGTCGCATTGCAGAAAACTGAGACCGGTCTCTGCCAACGGTTCCCATGCGCTCGATATTTACTCGGTAAAAAGGAACAAGAGCTATTTTTGGCGCAAGTCCCTGACTGGAGAACAAAAGGTCGCTGCATCTGACGAGTTTCATAAGACTAAAAGAAAGACTGCATTTAGAAGCAGAAAACCTGATCCTCGAGCTTGCTGACAGGACGAGCCTTGGTGTAGCCAAGAGACTCGGTAGCCTTCTTCATGGCGCTGATCATCGGAGGCGGACCGCAAAGGAGGATCTTGATATCGCTGGCGGGAGCAGGCAGGCGTTCCTAGTAGGAAGGTAATCAGCGCATGGGGAGAAAATAAAATGGCCTAATCGAGTTCGGCTCACCTTGATCATGTCGGGGGTAACGAAGCCAACACCACCCGACCAGTCCTGGGGAGGGTTGTTGAGAACGTAGTGAATGTCAAAGAGCTTATCGTCCTTGGCGAGCGCATCCAGCTCATCCCGGAGCAGGATATCCTCGGGGTTCACGTTAGCGAAAATGAGATCGATCTTGGTGGTGTCATTTCCACCATTCTGGGGACGGTTGCGGATGATCGCCTTGATGATCTGATACATAGGGGTAATGCCGGTACCACCAGCAATCATTCCAATGCGGCTGCACATGTTCGGAGTATAAACCATAGCACCCTTGGGACCACGGACCTTCATGGTCTGACCGATCTCGAGGGTGGTCAGGTACTTGGAGATGTTACCTTGCGGGTAGGCCTTGACCAGAAGGTCGAAGTACCCAGCCTCATTGTCCGAGGAGATGGGGGTGTATGAGCGCACAACCTCCTTGGGCTGGCCGGGGATGTTGGCGGCGAGGGAAATGTGCTGGCCGATGGGGAGACCCAGGATGTCGGTGGGGCGAGGGAGCGAGAAGCGGTAGATGGTGACATTGTGAGAAATCTCGGTTTTCTTGGTCAAGGGGAACTCCTGGAACTCGGTAGGATTGAGAACCTTTCGTTGTTCTAAGCAATTGCTGCTCGTTAGCCCAGCCACACACACGCGCACACACATGCTCTCTCTCTCTCTCTCTCTCTCTCTGTCTCTCTCTCTCTGTCTCTCTCTCTCTTCTCAATTGGCGAATATCACTCACTGTTGCTAAACACCTTCCATGCAGAGAGCATAGCAGCTACTGCAACGGCAAACGGCACCAATTCCTTCTTAACAAGAAAGGTGCCGACCACCAGGAGGGCCGAGGGGATAATAACCCCGTTGATGTTTTCGGTGGAGAAGACGTTGCTAGAGAGGCACGTCAGTCAAACCATGATCACAACAAGCACGGCAGCTCACGGACAGTGCGATCCCTACCTCATCGTGACGGGTACTCTCTGCGAGCTGGAGAGGACTAACGCAGGAAGATAGAAGAAAGGACACCGTCGACAGAAGAAAAGCCACGATGGAGAGGGAGAAAGCAACGAGTCAATGAGATGAGCGATAAGCCGCCGATCGGTGCTCCGAGCCAAAGAAAAAGCGTCGGCCCGTTCAGTTCCGCTGCGGAGTGTGTTTGTCTACTACTTTAGGATGTGATTTCCGGGGGTAGATTCGGATTGTAGTTATCTGGTAACCAGTTAGTTAATTAGTTGCGAGTAGGAGTTGGTATAGGACTGATTATAGCCGACAGCAGCCCGGTGAGGGTGTTTTGGCAATCATTTCACAGTGTGGTAAAATGCTGACTGGCTAACTAACCACTAAGGTGAAAAGCGTCCCAGGTCAATGCCACCGACGAGAATTCCTTCGGTTTGGGACTCCCACAGCTCAATCTGGCAGGCGGTTCCTCTGGATTCACCTTGGTCTCTATTCTAATCTAGTTGCCTCTACCGAGATACCATTATGGCGCCGGGAGTCGCTCAGGAAACGGCTCCCTTCCACCTCACGGACGTTGACCGCCAGGTTCTCTCGCAGACCGACGAGGAGTTCCTCTACCACGACTGGGAGAACATCAAGGAGATTATCGGTATGATGAAGTTTGAAGCTTTTTGACATTTGTGGCTATTATAAATATCATGGTCAGCTTATTCGCCCAGCTCGCAACGACCTCGCTGCGTTCAAGCGGAAACCCTCAGACCTTATCCGCTACATTGACTGGACGCGAGGTATTAAAGCTCAATATGGCACTATTACAAACTACATCTGCCAGCGCCGATTGAAATGGACCATTCCGCCAGAAACCGTACCGAATAGTACAGTTACTGGTGCTGCTCCTACCCCAGCCGTGGCCGGTGATAGCTGCCCCGTCTTCCCCTTCAAAAACCCCATTCCTTTCGCCGACCCGGCAGACTACAAGATCCTGCGCAACGACTGGCCGTACGGCGTTACGCCGGACATCTCTCATCTCGTGGTCTGGCTGCGGACACCCGTGCCCGTCAAGGAGAACGGGGGCGATGTGACGGACGATTCGCGTGCCTGCATCGAGGCCTTCGTCCAGCGGACGTTTGTCGATCGACTGGCGAGGGAGAAGGAGTGTTTCGCCAACCCGGCCGAGCATGTTGTGTGGTTCAAGAACTGGACCGCCCTGCAGAGCGTCAGGGCGCTCGAACACGTCCACATCCTGCTGCGTGATGTGCCAGAGCATATCTTGGTAGAGTGGACGGGAGAGAAACCTCAAGAGACGCGTATAGAGGAGCCATAGAAGTAGATTAGAATTTCTCATATAGTAGAAACAATTCGGTGTCGGTTACGAATGGGCGCTCGCCTATATACAGTACAGCAAATGCTCCGCGAAATAGAGGCACTGGCTAATGGCACATAACAACACGGTCCTCAGATAGATACAAGGAAAAGTCAGAAGAGCCGAGCAATAGTCCCATTCATGAGCAAAATTCTGAAAGAAAGGAAGAAATCAATGCGCCATCCTTGTCCATCCCAACAGCCCAGTAGAAGGAAGATACAGATTTAGTAACTAGGGTTCTCGATGAAAAATTATGTCTTCTGCTCCTCAACAAACTTCAGGGCCTCATCGCGCGACACCACGTCAATCGTACTGGCCTTGTTGCGGAAGCTGACCCCGTAGCACTTCTCCGCGACATGTAGCATCTCGGGTCGGAAAGTTGTGCAGATGAATTGTCCATTTGTTGCATCCGAAATGGATTGCAGCATCTGCGCGACAGCCGTGCGGTATTGAGCATCCAGATTGGCGTCAATCTCGTCGAACAGGTAAAATGGCGCAGGGTCACAGGCCTGGATGGCGAAGACCAGGGCGAGAGCGCAAAGACCTGGAAAAAGAAAGGCAATGTTAGCAGAAGCCCCGGACTTCTACCCAAAAAAGGACGTCTTACTCTTTTGACCACCGCTGAGCTGCTGGATCCGTTGCTGGTCGTCATGCTTGCTGTTGAAGCTAACGCTGATGCCGACCCCAACGTAGTTCTCGACACTTTGGCGAGTATTCTCATCGTCTGAATCGAGGTCATCGGCTGGCTGTGTGGCACGATCAATCTTTCGTTGGATGATCAAGCGACCACGACCAGCGGGGACTAGCTTCTCAAAAACGTTGTGAAATTCTCGAGACACCTGCTTGAAGGTACGTTCAATTGCTTCATCTTTGCGTTGATCAAGGACTTGGATGAGATCGTCGATCGACTTTTGCGATGCATCCAACTCTGACCGTCTTTGAGTGAGCGTCTCCCGCTGCTTGGTGAAATTGTTGTATTGTTCGAAAGCCTTCTTGTTGACATGGGCATATTTCTTCAACGCTTCATTCACTTTGTGGAGCTTCTTGACCACATTGTTGGAATCGGTGTTCTTGTACTTTGTGAAAGCCTCGTCCGGAAGGACTCCCAGGTCACGAATGTTAGAAGCGCACTCCGTGGCTTGCTTCGTTAGAGCAGCCCGTTTTTGCATGCTCTTTTCCATACGCCGTTGATGCTTTTCAATAGACTTGGCCAAATCGTCCATCTCTCGTCGGGTATCAGCGTTGCGCTGCTGAAGCTCGGTAACTTTGGCATTTCCTTGTTCTATCGACTCATCGACCTGTTGAAGACGCGCGCTGAGCTTTTCGAGAGCTTTACCTAACCGCTTCAATTCACGCTGCGTCTCCTTCAGGTTCCCTTGGGCCGAGTCATCGGCCATGTCAAGATCTTGGCTGACAAGCTGGTCAAGGCGAGGGTTAAGATTCTCGCGGAGCTCCACCTCCAAGACTGATTTGCGGGTCTCAAGCTCGCTGCGTTGGCTGGAAAGCTCTGAATACTGTTGCCGAAGCTCTTGAACTGTTGTACTAAGGGTGTCAAGCATTGCTTCTTCCTCGTTGCTAAGTGACTTTTGGAATGGAGATGATAATTCCCCCTCAAAAGCCTTGACTTGGTCATTTAGGGCAGCCAGATTAGACTCGATATTGCGGAGAGCGCGCCGTTTTGCCTCGAGGCTGTCACTCTTATTTTGGAGCAAGTCACGCTTTCCTCGCAGCTCCTGACGGAGTGGCCCATTGCTATTCTGCACCTGATGTCTCTGTTGCTCTAACTTCTGCAATTCACCCACTGCTTTGGTGATGATTTGGTCTAATTGCTCCAACTCTTTCCGGATCTCTCCAGCTCTGTTCTTCTTTGATTCGTACTCGTCGCGCCATTTGGCAACGTTCTTGACGGCATCTAGTCGTGACTGGCGTGAATCATGGAATCCACCGGTGAGAGCTCCTCTCTTGTCAGACCGATCTCCTTCGGGAGTGATGGCATTGACGCCGTGGCTTCGAGCGTACTGCGACGCAACCTGCAAGTTCGGGCAAATAATGGTCTTGCCAAAAACGTGCTGGAACGCTCTTTCATAGGTAGAGTCATACTGCAATTTTTCGATCATCGGGATGGTATCGCTAGCCCTGGGCATGTTAATCGGCTTGGACCTCAGTCGATTCAAGGGCATGAATGTAACTCTTCCGGCCTTTTCGTTCTGCAAGATCTCTAGAACCTTGGTGGCGGTTTCGTCGGTGTCAACGACATAGTGGAAGAGACTTTGCCCAGCGGTAACTTCAACTGCTGTTCGGTACCTGTCATTGACCTCGAATAGCTCGGCTAGTGTCCCATAAACTCCCCCCAAATCGTACTGGCGCTTGATCCGGCGAACAGCTGCAATACCACGGCTGGTATTGTGATCCATCATGTGAGAAAGAGAGCGTTCGGCACGGTCGACCTCTTGAGAGGCGTTCGAGAGTATCGAGTCGAGTTTCGCCTCTTCTCTCCACAGCTCTCTACAATCCCATGTTAAATGATGGAATCTGTGACGGGGTGAGCTGGAACTTACTTTCTTTGGTCCATGAGGCGGTCCCTTTCGTCTTTGGCGGCCTGGAGTTGCTGGTCGATGTCATGCATGGTGTCTCCTCTCCCCTCAATGCGCTTGCGCAAGAGCTCCGTTTCCGGTTCGAGAAGTGCAATATCATTTTCGAGCCCTTTGATGTCTTCTTGAGTTTGAGCCATCACAGCTTGGACATTAGAAATAGAAGAGTGATTTTCCCTAATCTCCTTTTGCAGCCATTTGTCTCGTTCGGATTTGTTCCTGAAACGTGAGTTACGACCCTGCTTAGCATAGAGACGCTGTCTAGAGGTTTCGGCCTCGTTGAGTTTTGTCCTGATGCTGTCTTCTTGCTCTTTAGCAGCGTTGAAACGAGGGTTTAGTTGAGCCAGCTCAGCTTCTCGCTCTTGAATAGCAGTCTGAACCGACTGCAGGTCCGAATCATGACGCGCCTTCGAAGATGCAGCTGCCGCCTGGTTGTCGGCTAGCGATTTCGCCTGAAGCTCGACCTGGGCGAGTACTTTGGAAGTCTGGCGGCGCTCGTCTTCCAGCTGAGCTTTGTCAACCTTCAAGAATTCGATCTGTTGCTTGCACTCCGCAATCTCCGCATCAATCTGGCCCATTTCCTTTTCTCCTTGAATAAAACGATCTCGGTTGATGTCTGTATCCTCGACACCCGTCTGTCTCTGCTCTTCCAGACTGTCAAGGACACCAGCAATCTCCTGCTGCTCGCGAGAATAGATAGTATATTCGAGGCATCTCCTCTCCTTGTCCTTCTCTTGGAAGCTTCGGAGCTCGTCCTTTTCTTCCTCCAGTTCAGCCAGCCGCTCGTTGATGAAATCCAACAGTTCATCGATTTTGGATCGCTTATTGCTGGTTTCGTGCATGATTTTCAAGGATTCTGCGCGTCGCGCCTCGTAGACCTGTGTTCCCGCGACTTCTTTAAGCAGGCTCAAACGTTCCGAGTCCTTCATGTTTGTCAAGGCCGTGACTCGACCTTGAGGAACGATGTAGTACGGATTCGACCGAGAGAAGCCAGCGGATTCCAACAGGTTCATCACATCTGCCTTGGTCGCATTCTTGCGATCCAGCGTGTATTCGTCCTTCTTCAGCCCGATCGTACGACGGAGGACCAGTTCAGGCTTGCCAGTCGGAAACCGTTCGTCAGAGTTGTCGAATATGATTTCCACATATGCAGACATCACAGCCGAGCCAGATCCTTCGTGGAGAAGAGCTTGCCGCTCTTCTCTGCCGAGATGAGTGTAGGCATCGCTGAGAACAAAACGGATGGCCGCAAAGAAATTGCTCTTGCCCGAACCGTTGCGGCCGACGATCACATTATGCTTCGGGGAGAAGGGTTCAATCACGGTCTGGTCCTTGTAGCTGTGGGAAAAAGTGAGAATCGGAGAGTTTTTTTCGATAAAACTCCTCTGGTCTTACCTCTTGAAGCCCTGAATAATGATCTGCTTGATATACATCTTGATGGAGACGCGCGTAACGTGTGCAAGGCGTCAGTTCACTTCCACAGCATCACGCGCCAATGTATAAACCTAGATCTTAGGCACCTGTTTCACAGTCGCCCACCGAGCTCGACAGCCGAAAAAGAGCGAATGCTGCAAGGCGGTTCCCCGGTGTTTGCGTCGGAGCTGTTCTGTTCTCCCTCACGCGTTGGACAAGCATCGGGCGGTCTCAAGCGCGTTTCTCCTGTGGGCGCGGGGTTCTGCCGGGCGGTGAGACCGAAATTGTCGCACTGCGGCAAAAAAAAAGTGTTGCTGTAGGCGAACAACCCTCACGGTCCTCGATTTTTCCAACACAACGCCCTGTGCTTTACAAATCCATCATGGCTACTTCCGGGTCTGAGTCGCAGGTACCTGGGCTTGCAGACGGCCTTGCTCCTACGCACACTTACGTTCAAAACCAAGGGTATGTGAACGAAGACGACGATAAACCCCCCACCACGGCGGGGCAAGAGACCGCGGATCAAGAGGAGGAAGACGGTGACGATGATTTCTACGACGACATTTTCGAGGAGGAATTGGATGAAGAAGACATCAATTCCGCAAATCATGCAGATCTCACAAAGGCGTACAATCGCCAACGAAAGACGAACGAGCTCGCTGCCGACCCGAACGCTCCCCGATGGACGTACCCTAAGACAAACACACAAAAACCGACTGTGAATGTATACGCATCTGTGGACGATCAAGTCAAGTCCCTTACTCGGCATGCGGCGAAGATCAAGCTTGACAATGTCCAGTCTGGGCTGGCGGTTCGAGGAGAGCGTGGCGCCGACAAGGCTGATCGAGCAACCTCTGAGCAGGTCCTGGACCCTCGGACACGGATGATCCTGCTGCAGATGATCAACCGCAATGTTGTCTCTGAGATCCACGGTTGTCTTTCGACGGGTAAGGAAGCCAATGTTTACCACGCGATTCTGCAGCCGCCGGAAGACGACTTGGATGCCCCACCACAGAACCGCGCGATCAAGGTCTACAAGACGAGTATCTTGGTCTTCAAGGACCGAGACAGGTACGTGACTGGCGAGTTCCGTTTCAGACAGGGATACAGCAAAAGCAACAACCGAGCTATGGTGAAGCTTTGGGCGGAAAAGGAAATGCGAAACCTGCGGAGAATCTATGTTGCCGGCATTCCCTGCCCCGAGCCTATTCAGTTACGGCTCCACGTCCTTGTGATGGGATTCCTCGGCAATTCCAAAGGCCTGGCCGCTCCCCGTCTCAAGGATGTTGAGTTCGATATTCCGGAGCCTGAGACAAGGTGGCGTTCCTTGTACGTTGAGCTCCTGGGCTACATGCGGGTGATGTACCAGACCTGCCATCTTGTTCATGCCGACTTGAGCGAGTACAACATCCTCTACCATAAGAAGAAGCTTTATATCATCGACGTCAGCCAGAGTGTTGAACACGAACATCCTAGCAGCTTGGAATTCCTGCGCATGGACATCAAGAACGTCAGTGATTTCTTCCGTCGCAAGGGAGTTGCGACGCTGCCCGAGCAGCTCGTGTTCGCATTTATTACCTCCACGGAAGGACCCTCCACCATTACAGAAGGGAACAAGGAGATGAACCAGGCTATCGAGATGCTCTTTGCACAGGCCGAAGCTGGTGATGCCGAGGATGACGTTGACACCGCTGTTTTCCGACAGCAGTACATTCCTCAGACGCTGGAACAAGTCTATGATTTTGAACGCGACGCGGAGAAGGTTCGCGATGGCGAGGGCAGCGACCTCGTCTATCGCAATCTACTGGCCACCGATAAGTCTGCTGCTCAAAAAGATACCGCCGAGCAGTCAGATTCGGAGATCAGTGGCGGCGTGTCTGTCTCTGGTTCCGAGGATGACGAGCAAGATGGTGAAACGGATCCCTTTGCTCCCAAACAGCCCCGGGGGAAGCGTTTCGAGGATAAGGATTCCAAGCGAGACCACAAGCGTCAGGTGAAAGAAGCCAAGCGCGAGCAACGTGCCAACAAGATGCCGAAACATCTCAAGAAGCGGCTTGTGGCTACCTCGTCGAAGAAGAAGAAATGATCATTCTCATTCTCCGATCATTTGCCTCGTTTTATACGTCATTACGGGTCTTTCTTTTGCATATAGGGTTTACGAATCTTCATGATGGTTTTGGGTTCGGTTGGATTGCATGGTATGAGATGGCTGTGGACTACATATATCTATTGATACACTAGCATATATAGGCATCAGGGATCAAGAAGCACATGGAGCTAAATTCTGGTCATTTATACCATTTGAGACCTGCTATCCTTGAACCCAAGTAATGAAGTAGAGCCGGTCAACTAGACGGGTTGTTTAGCAAGCTTTGTCACTAACTAGTGAAAAGAGTATAAAGTCTTTATAAAAAGATATTTCTTATATAGTCACCATATGAAATAAGGAAACTGGAATCGCAAGAAAATATGATATTATGTACTTAACATAACTATATATGGTAAGGTGTGGTAATGAGATCATAATATCTTAATATTCAATAGTAACCATATTCCCTGAGAAAACACCGGACTCCCCAAAAGCCCATATGCCCAAAAGAACACCCCTTATAAAAAAACATATATTCAAAAAAGATGAACGCCTCCAGAGGTACAGTAGGATGCTTTGATAGAACAAAAGTAGTAAAAGAGGAAATATCCCCGATATGTCGTTTTTGCCAATGATGAAAGGGGGAAAAGAAAAGAAAAGCCTTGAACAGACTACCGGGTATCAATGAAACAGATGAAAAGCACAGAACGAGACGCGCATCACACCTCATCATCCTCGAAACTATAAACGCGCACGTCGCAATCTTCGCTTCCAGAAGCAAAGCGGCTGTCACCCAGGCCAACACAGGTGACTGGGCCCAGATGGCCCGTGAAGGTGCCCTCGTTAAGACCGGTGCGAGGGTCCCAAAGCTTGACCATGCGGTCCTCGGCTCCGGTAACCACACGGAGATTGTCGACTGACAGCGCCCAGACGCCCTCAACGTGGCCGAAGAACGTGCGCAGGCATTTGCCCGTCATCGTGTCCCAGAGACGAACGGTCGAATCCAATGCGCTGGTGATCATGTAGCGGGGAGGCTCAGGGCGGTCGCCACTGCTGCTGAAGAAGGGTCCGAACGAGTCGGTCTGCAGCTCCACGGAATCGGCATCGTCTTCCGTTCTGTGAGGCGACGGCGAATCGGTAGCAGCCGCAGAGAGAACGCTATGGTTATCGTTCTCGCACTGAGCATCATGCTCTTCATAGTCAAGTTCAAATTCGCGAGGCAACAGAGCAACTTGTTGCACTTGGCCCACGTGACCGTGAAAGATGCGGAGGCACTGCTTAGTATCCAGGTCCCAGATTCGGACGGTGCAGTCGTCCGAGGCTGAGAAGACGGTTCGTGACGAGGCATCGATGCGAACGGCATTTACCCAGTCGGTGTGGCCACGCAGGACGTGGGTTGATTTGCCTTCAAAGTTCCATATCTTCACAGTCGTGTCGACGGAGGCCGTTGCCAGAATTCCACCATCAAAATGCAATCCGATTATTCCATCCTGGTGACCAATGTGGGTGCCAATGCAAGCACCTGTGCGCCAATTCCAGATTTTCAAGACTCCATCCCGGCTTCCGCTGATCAGTTTTGTGTCGTCAAACTGTAGGCAGCGAATACCAGCACGATGGCCTCGGAGCGTGCGTAGCTCTTTCCCGGTGTCGGTATCCCAGATCTTGATAGTCATATCGTAGGAACCGGTGGCCAGGATATTATCCTCAAACTGGAGGCACATGACTCCGTTGGTGTGTCCCCGGAAGGTCTTGACGTTGCATCGCCCGTGCCTCCAGTTATTGCCCACTTTCCAGCGTTTCATGTAGACGGACTTCCAAGGAATACGGCGCCGGGTGTAAAAGTCACCATCTTCCTCGGGCGCAGACGGAATGGAGGTACACGGGCGTTTGACGGCCGCCTCTTCCTCGGCAGGAATGTCATCGGATTTGCGCTTGTTTTTATTGATAGTGGCAACTTCTGACTGGGAACAAGGAGTATCGGCGGTGTGGGAAGGTGAGGAGGCCGAGATGGCAGCGTTCATATTGAAATTGGTGGCACGGAGCTCAATTTCTCGCTTAGAGTCGCGTAGTCTCTTGCGGTCCAGTAGTGGTAGACCCCATCCGCACTTCTTGCATTTCCGATGGATGTGTTGCTCGCACATGCGGTGCCAGACCACATCGTCATCAGCCAGAACCTTCCATCTTCTAGAGACTTGCGCGGCTTTGCAAAGTGAGGCCGTGTCGAGATAGCAGAGAATCTTGAACGAGAGCTCGGGAGGCAATACGGCGAGGAAGTCGATGCGAACAAGGTTATCGACGGTCTCCGAGATGAATGAAAGCTGCGGGAAGCAACATTGGGATAAGATCCCCTGCAACATCAATTTTCTCTGTTTCGGTGGAGCGGCGGAGAAGAGGGACCAAACATGAGCGATCCCCTGGCGATCTCGCTGAGGCAGCGATTCCAGATCCTAGCAACCCATGTCAGCCTAAATTCCAGTGTGCTACCAGTTTTCAACGCAGACGTACATGCTGCAGCTTGTCCATGGTCGGCTCGTCGGCCTGGCGCCGACACTTCAGATCGGGCCGGTGTCGATAGCAGAATCTCGAGCTGGCCATTGCCGATTCAACCGAATCGCCCGGCTGCGGGCCAAGAGGAGCGTATTGTTCTGGGATGTGTTTCGCAAGGAAAGGTGCCACGTTCGCGTCTGCAAGCTTTGACGGGGTCATGTTAAAGGGCTTGTTCAAGGTCTTCTGCAGCGGTTTCGGTGTAGATTCGGCGAACTCATTGTTCTCGTCGGAAGTTCTCGTCGGACCAAAGATCGAATGCTCGCCATCGGACTCTCCCATCGTACCGTCAACGGGGGGAGATCTCTTGATGGAAAAGTCTCCCTCTACCCGTCGTACGTTCAGACCCAGACACAGCAGCGTACGGTCCAACTCAGCGCGTGCCCAGTCGCTTCCTTTGCAATTTTTCTCTCACCCTGATCAACCGCGAGAGTCGCAAGGTATAGAAAGAAATCCAAACGAGCGAGAAATTATCGTTGGGGGGGGGGGTTAGGCCGCCGTGGTGATCGAGGGGTTCTCTTTTGCCTCCCTGGATGATTTTTGAACCACCCTGCGAGTACCCTGTGGGGGGATAGCAGATAACACAACAGAGCGAGCGGAGAGATTCATTCAACAAAGGTAACACACAAAAATCCCGGGCTGGTCAACAGTCTCCTGGTGGGTGAATCTCATCAGATTATAATCTGGAGCTGCAGGAACAGACGTAAGATGCAGTCGCAGTTTTATGAGTATCAGTATGGGGTAGCAGATCTTGCTGTGGCCCATCCAGCAAGCACGCAACAGCGCTATCGCTGTCGTGATCGCCCCCCAAATTTGGCGCTATTCCCGATACAGACAATCACGTGACCGATATCACGCCATCGCCAGCCCGACTTGCACAATCGCCTCAAGACTGGGCGAGTCTCGCGCAAGAGCACGACTGCCCGGGCCACGATCGCACCATTTGGGATCTCTAGATTTGCGGGTCGTCCACTTCGCCCTCGCCCAGCTTGCCCAGATCAGTCTCCGTCTCTGCAGGACGACGGGACACGCCGAGGGGCCCCAGTCTCACCGACTTTCTGGAACCCTGGGCGTCTGGCGCCTTGAGTCATCCCCAGGCTTGTTCTTGGGTGATTTTGAGTCTACAGGAAAGTTGAGGGCTCGAGGCCGTGCGGTGTCTCGTAAGTACCCTCTGCACTAGGTTTTCTACGTATTCCAAAGTCTGCTGGCAGCGGTTGCTTCGTGGTCTGAGACTCAACCTGTCTGGTGAGGATGGCAAACTCTCGCATTGCCCGGATTCCCCTCCTGCTTTTGATGACTTTCGGGTGGCCTTTTACGTTTTCTCACTCATCGTTTGGCAGAGGCGATCTTGTTGCGAGTTCCGGTGGTGTACACACACGTCCGACGGGGAATCTACGACGACACACGTTAGGGGACATGGGTGTATCTGTTTGATTCCCCAGCTGTGGATGTCTGGATGGCGGATTCCGGGATACGCTATCTGAAGCTATTTTTGATCTGCTCCACTCCGGCCCCAATTACGTTTATTTAGACGTCTCTTTTCGTTCTACTCGCAGGATCCCTGACGGAATCTGACCCGGGCGGCAGAAGCAGGCAGAGACAGAGTAGAAAGGATGAGTCTCAGGGCAAGTGGTGAATCCGACTATTGATTTGCAAGATACTGTTGATTTGAGCGGATCTGCCGGAACTTTGTTGCATCTTGCTTGACGTGTCTTCTTATTTGCGCCATCTCTCGTAATCTGTCAGACATCTCGTCTCATTTGGATCAGTCTTGTTCTCCGAAACAATCTGCAACACGCTTTCCCGTGCCACTTGTTCAAGATCTCATCTTTGCCTAAATCACACCATTGACGAGCCATTCAGCGTTATCGACCGAGGGTGTGAGAGGAGCTGGAACCATGGCGTCGTCGCAATCATCGTCATCACTGGGTTCTAGCGACAGGCCTGCTTCATCCAGAATAGAAGAGAACCAAGGGAAATCAGTCCCTCACCTAGAGAGTCTTATCGCGCATCTTGTGGCAGCCAAGCGGTCCCTGTCTTCAATTAATCATGTCTGGCGTGCCAACGAAATTGTGACAACGGCTCGGTCAGCGGTCGAAGAGAGTGTTGTGGTTTCTGCACGGACGGGCTTCCTGCGTCGTGGCCTGAATAATCAGCTGCGATTACTCTATAATGTTCGGGCCGAGGTTGAAGAGATCTCCCATCGCGGACGTGCTGATTTTTCAGACATCTTGAAAGACTTGGATGCCGCCGATGGGCGGCTCCGCAACACTCTTGACACTCTGAGAGATACGATAGTTCACGCCGCCTTTCGGCCAGAGGGGGAAGATCCTAAGAGCCTCCATGACTTTGTGGATGAACGTGGTGTCGAGGAGCTGCATGCGACTTTGAAAAGCTCAATCGACCGTACCAATGCCGCACAGGCAGAACTAGACGAGTCCAACCGTGCTTTTGACGATGAACTCCATTCCATCAAAGAAGCGTTGGGTCAATATCGAACGGCAATGAAGATGGCTTCTTCGCGGTCCTCTGCTTCTTCTTCATCCTCTTCCGCTTCCACACACTCGGGCATGGCTTCTCTATCTGCCCTGCCAGGCATGTTGAGCTCATTGGAGATGCACGCCCAGGAAATGGCGAATCTACTGGAATCACTTGTCCGGCATTTTGATCTCTGCGTCACTGCAGTGAAGCATACAGAGGGCGGTGGAGCAGCTGCTCGGTCGATCACCGGTGACATGCCTCCGGTGACCGTCAGTGGACGCAACGGTCTTAAATTCGAAGAGGACATTAACGAGAACCTGAATGCACCTCTTGATCCTCTCACTAATTCGGAATACCAGGAAATGGTGAACGTGCTGGTCAAGGACGCAGCTGAAGCCGAAGACGTCGTGATGGAAATCCAGGACCGCAGCGGAGAGATGGAGAGTGTGCTTGAGAACATTATCGCGCAGCGCGATTCTCTGCTCTCGGTTTCCAACGCCACCACCGATGTGTTTCAGCATCTATCGTCTCTCGCATCGACGCGCCTCCCGGGCTATATTGCCAAGGCACACCAGTTCACGCGTGTCTGGAACGAGGAACGAGACCGGATCAGCTCCGGGCTAGCTGAATTTTCGGATCTTGGTTCCCTCTACGAGTGCTTCTTGGATGCCTATGACGGGCTTATCCTCGAGGTTTCTCGCCGCAAGCACATGCGGCAACGGGTTGAGAAGGTCCTCCGAGACACCCGACAGAAGCTGGACCAACTATTCCAGGAAGACGTCAACGCTCGCGAAGCCTTCCGTGTGGAACAGGGGGATTACCTCCCTTCAGACATCTGGCCGGGCGTCAGTCGAGAACCAATGCGGGTGGACTTTTTACGAATTTCTGGCGGTCAACTCGGTGGTGGTGCTGCCACGGAACCCGTGGAGCGCGATGTGGACGTGGACGAGGATGCCGCCGCTGGAGTTGCTGGCCCTCCTCCTGCCGCACCGGCTGATGCGTTAAACGTCGGCGAGGTGATCCCGGACATACCTAGACAGGCGGTTGAGCAGGCTCTTGCCCGCCTTGAAAGTCGCGCACGTATTACGAGGTGACGTATTAGGTACTAGCAATTGAACCATCTTAAGAAGGATTTCAGATTATCAATACCTTGCCAGAGATATGACCCGATGATGAACCCAACTCAACTGATCTTCCCTCTTCGGACGCACACTCCTCGAGATGTGAGCGCCATGTCGTGAGACATGACGGTAGAGATGAGGTTGACAAAGAGAGCTCTGAGGGAGGATTCGATTGATAGAGGAATTGATGAGGAAGTTCTCAAATATATGGCCATCTATACTGTATTGAAGCTGTTTTTTATAACAACATTTAATACCAAGGGGAGCTTGATACTTTATTTACTGTCAGTGGATATTTGAAACATCGGGAAAGTCTATCAATAATAGATATAGGAGTAGCAGTATTCAAATTTCCAGTCACTCCTGTCATCTAATGTGAAACAGTATCTAGGTACTTTTCACTCTGTATTTGCCCATTGCTAGCTGTCACGCCTACCTGATACTATACTTTTATTCTCGTCAAGGAGATGCCTGAATCCAATAACCTCAGCTGCCTGGTTTATTCCTTGGTTCGAGATGTGCGAGTTTACTTCAGGCAACAAGTAGGATCCAAGGATTGAAGGATAGGCAGTACAAAAGATATCGCCTGAATTACTCATAGACTTATTCTTTTCTTCTACCCATTCTCCAATGCTTCATTTTCAACGACTTTGGTGCACCTGATTTATATCTTCCATTCTCTCACTCTAACCTGATGATGGCTTCCCAACACGATTCCCACTCGGAGAGGGAAGAGGCCTTGGACTTGGAACGTCCAGCAGCCGTCCAGCTGGAAGATAGCTGCTGCGAGTCCATCACCGAGACACCAGCCGTGAACAAGGAGGTTGGTTTCCCAGACCCCAACCCGCCACCCAAGTACTGCGCCAGCCACATCTCCTTTGGCACGGGGGTGCCGACCGATGAGCAGCTGGAGCGTGCTCGCAACCGGGGGAAATACTCGTGCGCCAGCGTGGGTGTGGTCGTGTGCACCATCATTACGGTGTTTATGGTCATGCTGGTCTCGCTGGGGATCTTTTTCGTGATTGTCTTCAAGCATAGCCAGAACAAGGCAAATAACGACCTCTTGCAGAAGGAACTCGAGCTCGCCAAGGACTTGGAAATGGATCTGGATATGCTCACTGCTGTCGAGACGGTTCCCACGGCTTCCATCTTCGAGGATGATCTCTCTGATGAGCGGATGACGTCTCTGGATGATGCCGTCTCAGCGACTACAACTCAACCGGAGATCAGGGATGGGGACAAAAAGACGACGACGAGGACCTGGACGATGCATACTGCCGATGGTGCGTTTCAGCCAATGATTCATTCTGCGGTGGTTGAGAGGACGGGCTTCATCACGGTGCCGATCCGTCAGACGGCTGATACTCCGGTGCAGACGATGAAGTGAGGTGGAATCAGAGGGGAGATGGAAAATTATATCTAGATTGTCAGACTGCATTATGTTTGACTATTCCTTGCTTGTGATGTCGAAATGAGAAAGACTTTATCATATAGTTCCTGAAGTCAGGTTGACTTTATCTGCTATAAGAAATATTTAATGAATATGATTAGTACTCATAGTCTGTTTTTTGTCATCAGTCCAAGGATTGTAAAAGCTAGAGCGGTCGAGGGACTTCTCGTTGAAGCACTCGTTTGGTCTTCAGATCCTGTACGGTAAGTCAGAGATAACTGATTGAAATGAATAGTTCAATGGGCAGAACTGAGGTCTCCCGATCTATAATCACTCATGCCGACTTGAGACAACTGATTCCTCTCACTCGTCTCTCAGTATATCAAGGTGATGCTCAATCAAACTTCGGCTAGGTTTATCTGACGAGAAGACTTCACTTTACCTTCTACTCTCTATTGAGCATCTCTCATAAGCATTCAGGCTCACAGATCCTTCCTTAACCGACATATATCGTTGCTAGGATAACTCGGCTTCAATGGCGTATACGGAAGCACGGCTCGAGCTTGCCAAGCGAGTCTTCCTCAATATCAGCCCGCATCACACTCGACGCCGTCACTCTCCTAGCCAAGATCTCCTCGGGGACTGGGTAGGCAGCCGTATATACTCGTTGCGCAAACGCAGTAACCACCAGAGTGCAACATGGATAGACGACGACCGGGACTCTGACTACGACCCACAAGAGGAGAGGAGAATCGTCGCGTCCAGCCGCAAAAGGAAGAGGACTGGCAAGTCGGATGGGAAGGCAAGCAGCAAGGAGAAGAAGAAGAAGGAGCAGGCAGAAGCAAGCTCCCAGCCGTTGAAACTTGTTGTGAAGATGGCCGTCAAATCGCCTGTAGGTAGAGAGTTTCTGGCTTCCTTGTCAATCTACCAGGATGAGATCTGTGGTAGCAGTGGTGGCCTTGAAGGTGATTGCCAGGATGAACAACAATGGGTGAAATATTGGTCGTTGCCCGATGGCAATGGCATGGAAACGCAGGCAGGATCTGGATATAATTTAAGAAATAGAGATCCTCAAAATACAAACGTCAGCTACAACGTCGACAGGCTTCTGACAGGGGGAGGGCCTGCTGATACCCCGCCTCATGACCATCCAGCAACCCAGGGTTGCCGTTCATGCTGGGAATTCGACCAGCAATGCTCGCTCATTGACAAACCGCTGGTCTATCCATGCCAGACCTGCCGGGAGGACGGGATCGACTGTGAGTTGCTTACCCCCCCGCAGTGGAAGAGGCCATGCGAGAACTGCAAGCGGCGAAAGAAGACGCCCTGTTCCTACAGCAGCGCCGAGGAGGACCACAGCAAGCCTTGTAGGGACTGCGTGCAGCGTGGAATACCCTGCGTGGCCGGGCCAGCAAAGAACAAGCCAGAAGCTGTCAGTTTCTCTGGGAGTGTCTCTGGGAGTGTTGACAGCAAGTCGGAGACAGTCACTACCAAGACAGGAAGAGTGCCTCAGGCCGCAGAAATCCCACAACCAAAACAAACCGTGCGAGTCATCTCGTCTTCAGTCAGCAGTATTTTTCAGGGCGCGAGCAGAGAATCCGACGTCTTCCACTCGACCGAGACAAGCACGAGCAGAGAAAAAGTTACGCAGACGGAGGAGAAGAGCAAACCACCCAATACGAGAGTCCTGCAGACCTACTACGCTCATCCTGTCGACTTCACGTACGAACCCCCCGACGATGGCTCTGGCTCCTGCCACTGGTGCGACAGCGTGGTTCACGGCCTACTGGGCCACGGGCGAGTGACCGTCAAGGTTCTTGATGCTGGTCACGGCGTCTACCACGAGGTAGAGGGAGGCCACCGCAGCCAGGGCCACGAACCAAGCCGCATGTGTACAGGCTGCGCCCTCGGTCGAATCCATATCATGCGGTGTGCGAGCCACCAGCTGGTGCCTCTCCGGGGATACGATCCAGAGACGTTTGACTTTGACGCAGCGTACGCCAGTCTGGCGCTGAGAGACGGCAGCGAGTGGAGGCTGCCGTGGTGCATGCTGTGTCCCAACCCGGCCTTCTTTGGCTGCAAAACCATCCAGACGGTCGACAAGTTCCAGGACCCCGTCCCTGCTGAGAGTTCCGCTGCCCGGGGTTGCGGCCTGCTACTGTGCGAGCGGTGCAGGGTCCTGCTCCACGCTCGTCGTGGTGATCTGGCGGCCGTTGTGGCGGATAATGAGCGACGCGACGGTGAGCTGGGGGTCCGGGCAGATGCGGTGTATCTGCTGCCTGGAAATGACCTCTATCGATGTTTTGCTGGTTCATCCTGAGTTGACTTTATATACAGCTCTGGTCGGCAGACTGTCTATAGAGGAGAAGAGCTGTTCATACACCAGAAAAAGGAGGATCAACCGCCAGAATTCTATTGAAGACTATTTTTATTCTATTCTGTATTGATTGATTTGAATTGATTTGTATTAAACAATCTATTTTTTCCTGCCTTGCTCTCCTTCTGTAGCGATCCAACAGCGACGCCCTCCATTATTGTAAGAAAACAACACCACCAGCTTCACTCCCTCAACTCACCGCAACTCAGCGCCCATCTCATCGAATCCCAAGCCCCCAGAGGCTCAGACACCCTTGGAAATAAGTGTCAACCACTCTCCTCCACGCACGAATACAGCGACTGCCTCCTCTCCACAGTCTGACTAACCGGGCGGTCAGAAAAAAAGCCCCTTCCAGTCGCCCTCGAGCATTTTTCTCCCTCGCCAGATCTCGCTGCCCTCTAAGAGCGTCGCCAATTCCCCCTCCCCCCCCCCCGATTCTCGCCTGTCTGCCCAATCGAGATCCATCCAGCGTTGTTGTTCAGAGCTGCCACGAGACGTGCGCAGCTCACCGTCACGACGTCTTCCACCAAGCGCCGCAAGTTTGCAGAGCCTCGCAGACCAGGAGGAACCGCTGCCCTTCCGCAGGCCAGACACGCAGACGCCGCCGGAAGACGTCCCCAACACCGCCACGAGCCCGGCTTGTCGACCTCTCTATCCTCCTCGATCCCAGCAGGGACTGCTGCTCGCTCGACCTCCGACCGCAGCTCCTCCGCCTCGCCCTCGCCGCGTTACATTCCCGCCCACCTGCAGGACGAGGTTCTGGGCATCCGAACCAAGGCCCGCCCGCGCTCCCCCACCCCAGAGTCCGCCTGCAGTGCCGAATCGCCCTCGACGGCCTGTGCTGGCTTGACCTTGTCCAGTGATACCCTGGCCGACATGTCCGGTTCCGAGAAAAGCGACCCCGTCCGGTCGTCCTCACCGGCGGTCAAACGGTCGGCAGATGAGATCGACCCCGACCACGAGCAGCAACCCCGGCAACCGCAGAACGAGGAGCAGAAGGCCGATGTGGAGATGGATATGGGCTCGGAAGACCAGTCAGTACCCCAGCGAGCGTCCTCGGTGGATATGATGGGCGCCGAGGAAGAGGAAGAGGAGGAGGAGGCCAAAGAGTCTCCTACCGTCGTGTATCCCACCCCGTCCAGTATGTCGACCTACACCACCACCTCGTCCACCCGGCGGAGCTCCCAGTCGCAGGAGTCACACGCGACACACGATCTACCCTCCATCGATGACCAGGTCGCCCATGTGACGAGATTCATGATGATGCCGCTGCAGGAGAAACAGAAAGGCTACGTCATCTCGAGCGCCTGGCTGCGGCGGGTCCTCTCGCGCAGCTCAACGCACGCAGAGACGGGAGACAAGACGGCCACCGAAGGCGAGATCGGCCCCGTTGACAACTCGGATCTGGTACTTGTGACGGACCCTGTCACCAGCTTCAAGGACGAGACCGGAGAGCCCTTCGTGCCCATGCGTCCCGGCCTGCAAATTTCGGAAGACTACGAGATCGTCCCCCAGGAGGCCTGGGATCTGATCATGAAGTGGTACGGTCTGGCCAGCCAGTCCCCTGCTATCGTCCGCTACGCCCACAACACTGCCTCGGGGGGCGATGCCGAAAATGTCCAGTACGAGGTCAACCCGCCCGTCTTCACCATCCTGAAACTTTCCAGCCCTGTGGCAGGCACCACGCCGCAGACCCTCCGGGAGAAAAGTACCCTCCCCATCAAGACCCTGGCTAGCCGACACACCAACTTCCAAAAGTGGCTGAAAGAGGTCAAAGGCTTGGCCAACATCGACATCACGACCAAGGTCCGCGTCTGGAGGATTCTTGGAGGCCTGGGCAGCGCTGCGGGCTCCGCCGTGATGACGCCAGTTGCCTCCCGCAGCGCGTCTCCCGCCCCGGCTGCGTCGCTGGTTGCCAGTGCGGGCAACAGCCTGGCCTTGGACCTCAACACGTTCCTCTCCCTCTCCGAGGGTTCTCAGCGCGAGCTCCTTGAAGAATGCAAAGACCAGACCAACAACGCCAACTACAATGGTAAGATGACCCTCGATGTCGCCGGTCTGGGTGGCAGCGATGTCATCGTCCTTGAAGAGCGTGCTGGCGGCGCCAACGGAGACTGGGTGTCGGAAGCCTCGAAGCAGACCCTCAGCCGATTAGGGGTTCCGACCGGCGCAATCAAGGCTACCAAGCTCAAATCCGACAAGAGTCCGGCCTCCAGCGGTCGCTCCTCTCCAGTCCTCGAGCCCATCCGCGGCAGACGTAAGGATGGCAAGCCCCGAGGCTGCACGGGACTGAGCAACTTGGGAAACACCTGCTACATGAACTCGGCCTTGCAGTGTGTTCGGAGCGTGGAGGAATTAACATACTATTTCCTGAGTCCGTCTCCTTTTGCGCGCAAATTGAATTGGGGAGCCGACCGGAAGGTTGATATGCTAACAGTCACCCTTTCTAGATAACATGCACAAGAAGGACCTAAACCCAAGCAACCCCCTCGCTCACAATGGCGATTTTGCCAAGGTGTATGCCAATCTACTGCACTTGATCTACGATGAAGCCGGCCAGTCATCTTTTGCTCCCCGTCAGCTGAAGAACACCATTGGCCGCTATGGTCCCGCATTTTCTGGGTACGGACAGCAGGACTCTCAAGAGTTCCTTCTGTTCCTCCTGGATGGCCTACAGGAGGATCTGAACCGGATCCAAAAGAAGCCGTATATCGAAAAGCCTGACTCGACGGACGAGATGGTAAGGAACAAAACCGCCCTGCGAGAGTTTGCCGACAAGAACTGGGATATATACAAGGCGCGCAACGATTCGGTCATCACAGATCTATTTGCGGGAATGTACAAATCGACCCTGGTTTGCCCGGAATGCGACAAGGTCAGCATTATTTTCGATCCGTTCAACAACCTGACCCTCCAAATTCCCATTGAGAACCTGTGGAGCAAGGAGATCTTCTTCTTCCCCTTGAATGGCAAGCCTGTTCTGGTGGATGTCGAGATTGACAAGAACGCCAGCGTCAAGGCTTTGAAGGAGTTGATCGCCAAGAAGGTTGGCTCTGATGCCCAACGACTCGTTATGGCGGAGATCTACAAGTACAAGTTCTACCGGATGTTCGACAACACGAGCTCCATTGCCGAACTGCAGATCAACACCAATGACGACATCGGCATATATGAGCTCGAGTCGGTCCCAACAAACTACAACCCGGACAAGGTCAAGAAGTCCTTCTCCATGTATTCCTTCAACAGCAGCCAGAACGAGGAGGTTCCCAGTTTCAAATCCCCCAAGGCGGACCGCCTCCTGGTCCCGATCTTCCACCGTGCCATCCGACCCAAGGCCAACAATCGTTTCTCCCAACGGTCGCTGTTTGGGGCCCCGTTGTACACGGTCATCTCGCGGGAGGAAGCTTACAACTACGATGCTATCCTGAAGAAGATCTTGGCTGGAGTTGCAACCATGACGACCCGGGACATTCTCCACGAAGATGCATCGGGTGAAGAAAATCAGGAGGCAGCGGCCGCGACAGCGGCGGAAGACTCCGATACTGTTATCATGAACGATGACGATGCTGAGTCGGCTGACTCCAAGATCAAGACATCTTCCGTGGAAGGGGAAGATGGCCTCGTCGACGTCTCTATGCAGGACGCCTCGGACGTGACGGATCCAACTGCTACGCCTCAGAAAGTCGAATCTACGGGTATCTTCATCCCCCCCGCCCTTCAAAACCTCTTTGATGTGAAGATCGTCAAATCTGCAGAGGTTGTTCCCTTGGGCTTCCAGTCTGTGGATGAGAACAAAGGTTATATGATGATGACCTCACGACTGAAGGCGAAGCAACCTCCGCCAGGCAAGCAGCCTAAACGGGAGCGTGGAGCTGCCAAGAAGAAGAACCGGTTTGTACAGGCCAAAGCCAGTCCTATCAGCAGCGAGGACGAACTTCAGACCGTCACGGCCCCAACCGTGACCATGCATGCGAAGCCGAGTGAATGGTCGGATAATGAGGACAGCGCGAGCCGAGCGTCCAGTGGCGGATCGGACAGCGAGCCGGACATGTACGCGGGCGTTAAAGGCATGTATCCTAATTCTACCCACCAAACTTCCCGCAACAACAGTAGTACAGATGTGTCCAAGACGCAGCAGCAGCAGCAGCAGCAGGCTGAAAAGGGTCCTTTGATTCGTCCTGGTGAAGGGATTGTCCTGGACTGGAACGAGAAAGCATATGATGCCCTTTTTGGCGGCGACGCTCGGGATCCCGGTTCCCTTCGCGGCGGTCCCACATGGACTCATGTCGAGCATCTCCCTGATCCCGAACTGAAGGCTCGCCGGGATCTGCGACACCGGCGGAAGAAGCGCGGCGTGACTCTCAACGAGTGTCTGGATGAGTTCAACAAGGAGGAGATTCTTTCTGAGAACGACGCCTGGTACTGCCCGCGGTGCAAGGAGCACCGCCGGGCTAGCAAAAAGTTTGAACTTTGGAAGACCCCCGATATCCTGGTCATGCATCTCAAACGATTCAGCGCCAGCCGTGGCTTCCGTGACAAGATCGACGTCCTCGTCGACTTCCCCGTCGAGGGCCTCGACATGACCGGTCGAGTTGAGAATCCAGAAGAGGACAAGAGTCTGGTCTACGATCTGTTTGCCGTCGACAACCATTACGGTGGTTTGGGAGGCGGTCACTATACTGCTTTTGCCAAGAACTTTATCAACGATGAGTGGTATGAATACAATGGTATGAGCTTTTCTTGTTTCTTTCTTTCTTTCTTTCTTTTTGTCCTCCTCTCGAAACTGACCATCGCAGACTCCCATGTGTCCAAGGTTTCCGACCCCCAAAGAGTTGTCACCCCCGCCGCATACCTGCTCTTCTACCGCCGTCGGTCTGAACGGCCTCTGGGCGGGAAAGTCCTGGAAGAAATCACCGAGTCGTCTACTAGACCTCCCACGTCCGAGGCGGACTCTCCGGCGCAGTCTCGCGGCACGTCACCGTCGGGGGAAGGCAAGCGCCTCGGCGGCTCCTCCCGCAATGGGTCGTCGAGCGCTTTAGCCGGAGTCGGAGCAGCTCACCAAGCGGGAGGTGGTGGTTTGCGAACCGAAATCCAAGCGAAGACCAACAGCAGCCGGAATGAGGAGGACGACGACGAGCTGCCGGGATATTCAAACAACCCTGCGTCGGGCGAACAGATCCTCGCCAAGGGGAGCAATCTGACGGAAGAAGGGATGGATTTTGACGATGACAACGACTTTGACGGCGGAGCGCCGCTCCATAGCTCGTTTGGTCTGTCGAACGATCAACCCATGTGGTCCTTCGACCGCCTCTCCGAGGATGCAGATGTCCACCACGGCCCTCTTTCTTCGCAGATGCTGGTGACCAACCATACCCCGTCTCGGCCAGGGTCTGATGATGACCGCGAGGGTGAGGACGAGGACCTGTTTGACGACAACGCCAGTAACACAGCTGTCGGGGGTGGCGACCTCAGCGATTCCGATACCCGCCTCGTCGGCTTAACAGACAGCCCAGATCCGGGTGCCGCCTTCGGAGCCACCTCGTTTGAGGACATCCCTCCGCAACTAGACGACGATGAGGATGAGGAGCTGCCTGTGGTGGAATTACGAGTACATGACGAGGAGAAACTTGATTCTGATTAGTTGAATCACACGGCACTGCGTTCCCTTCTTTTCTTTTGCTCATAAAAAACAAGGAAAGAGAGAGAGTGTGTGTGTGATTGTATAACCCTTACAGAGTATGTCATCATGTCTGATTTTACTGACCATCCTTCCTGGTCTGGTCATATTATGCTAGAAAAAAGTTCTTTTTTTCTTTCCTTCTTTCTTCCTTTCATTTCATCTCTGCCAGTCTGGTTTGGTTTTGGAAATGCGATATGAGTCTTATGACACATACATCAGTCAGCATGTCACTGGCTATTGTCCACGATCCCTCTATTTTCCCCCTTTGTCATATTATCATGTGGTGCTCATGAATAGATGGAGCAGTAGTTTTATACATTCATAATGCTATTCATCTGTTGCAACCCCATAAGACTGGATCAGTAGTATTTACTGGTAGTGGTTGAAGGGACAACAGGTCAAGAGAAATAGATTTTCTTAATTATTATAGTTATAGAAAAGATAACCCAGGTCTATTAGTTAAGCCTAAATAAGCTCCAATATTTCCTACAGAAGAGATAGCTTTGGTGCTGTTTTTATTCTACCACACTGTTATGCTGTCCTTCATTCCTTTTCTGCCTTGTATGCCTTGCTGCCCTAACCAACTTGTGAAAGTTTGTTCTATCAGATTGATTGATCTTATTTGATAGCTACCCCTGTGTCTAGTTGGTACTTTAGATCCTGGTCCACTAACTATTAGGCTGCCTGGTGATGAGAACCAGGCAGCTCTTGATTCTGCCTACAGTCAGGTGGACGGGCATACAGGAGTGATTCTTATATGTTCAGATCCACTGGATGACCATACACCCTGGCTGGATGATCAAATGCAGGAACCAGGATGCTTAACCACGCGCCACCAATGCTCGGAGAAACATTCCAGGGAAATACGAACAACCTGGGTCGTCATTTGTGGCACACCCGAAAACCGTCTCAGACACATGCTCTAGGACAACACAAAGAGACTGGCAATTATTTCTGGATCACGCAGGGCCATGTTCAGTGCTAGGTATGTCTTGATGGATCGATCCATCTAGACAAGGTCTTAATTGTTGGTTGCCACAGATGACCTTATCATTCGTCCTCCACCACCCTCTATCCGCAGTCATATGCCTTGTTCCTGACTGACTGGAGGCACCAACTCGTGTGTGGCTGTGCCATACAGGTGATCTAGCCTAGCGAATGATTATAAAGAAGTGTCGTGGCATACTCGGAAGACTGGCAAGAAGAAGAGTGTCCTATCGCAAATATACTAGTATTGATCAGCGTCATTCACACGGAGTGGCTGAGTGAGTCGAGGGAATGTGTTTACGACTCTGAGCCCTCAAATACTGTCTCATACCAGCTGTTTTGCCTTCTCCTTTCTGGGTGTTTATTTCTTAATCGCCTCCGTAAAGCCCGCGGAATCGAATGTCAGCGACTTGACTTGTTGGTACCACCTTATACCGAATAACCAGATCGTGGTTCAAGATGAGGTGGGCCGCTATGAATGGCAATAACTCTCCAGTCATAGATTTGGCAGATAGCTATCTCTTTCTCGAGGCAGACAGCATGGTGGAGAGTACGGATCCATCACATCAGGAAACCAAGCTGAATCTTGGAGAGCCGAGAGATGAGGAAGCCGGAAATCCACTTCCCTCCCAAGACTTGGACTGCTCGGACTGCTCTTCTGCCGAAGCTCGAGCATGGGAAGAACTTTGGGATAGAGTGTCTTTTGCTTCAGACCGAAACGCCCAGTATCCGCTGCCTGAGCTACACCAGAGTAGGATCAGTGATAGGGAGCTGGTCTTTGTGAAGCCAGGCTCTAATACCGATCAAGTGGCTTTACATACCCTGAATATGTCTCATATACTTACCAGTGAAACAAGTGAATGCTGGCTTGAAGCATCTGGAGAGAATAAAGAGGGGAAAGAGGGAGGAGTAAAGCGGAGAAAGAAAGAGGAAAGTGAGGCCCTCCTGACGACTCAGCAACAAGCATCACCATTACCTTCTTCTCTAGCTTCTTTGGCACTCCTATCTTCTCTACCTCACACAGCTTGCTGTCAGAGCCCTTTGAACCTCCCCAGTGCCCTTCGTACCTCCGATCCCATCAGAATCCGTCGCCCGAAGAAGGTTCTCATTCAGCTTGACACCAGAACCATCGTGACTCCCTCATCCGACTGCCGAATTGATTCCAAAAGCATCAGCAGTTCGGAGGATACTTTCATCGAGTCTGCTATTTTGAATCCACGTTCCCCTCCGCAGAGAGATACCATGTCTGCCTTTGATTCGTCTACACCTGGCTCACGCCGGATCAATATCAACAAAGCTGAGAAGCACTGGAAGCTGTCAACTTCGACCGCCTCCGAATCTCCCTCCCCCCCTGCTTTACAGAAACCTGGTGATAACAGTGGTGGTGGCCGCCTGTGCAAAGACAACGAGACTCCCAAGCTCGCTTCTCAGGTGGCTCCGGCGACGGCTGTCGAGTTCAACAAGCCCCTTCACCCGGCACGGTACAAGACCAGGCAGCGTTCTTTCCTGAGCGACAGTGAGATCAGCTTTCTGGACCTTGGCCCAAGCTTGGCTTCCAAACGTTCCAAGGACGACATGGCCTCTTCTGGTGCCTATACCTCTTCCTTTGGCCAGGATAGCGATGTCGTCGACACTGAGCCGGAAGACAACGACTCCGTTGCCATCACCTCCGATACCATGTCCTTTACTCATGAACACATCCTTGCGAACCGTCGGCGCCGTATGGAGGTTGTCGGTCGTGGTGGTAGCAATGTGTTACAGAGCCCTCAGCTGGACTTTGAGAGCCAGGATACCAGGATTCGCCCTCTTTCTGCACCGTCGCTTTCGCCGCTGGGAGCCACGGGACTCCAGGGTCGTCCGTCCTATAACAGAGCGAACACTTCTTTCCGAGGCATGGACAAAGATTTTATGCTCGATGAGAACAGTCTGAATTAGATGCGGGGGGTGGTATGCAAGGCTTCCGGTAAGTAGTAGAGCTCTTCGGGTCGAACATAGGACATTGCTTATGCTTCTCATGCCAGACATAATGTGGAATATGATCAGACGTCTACTTCTACAGACTCATGGATTCTCTTTCTTTAGATTCTCGGCTAACGGCGTCATCTATTTCAGCATGCACTTGTAATAGAATACAAGCAATTCAGCAATGAAATAATCATCTTGAATCAAGCGACTGGCAGTTGGTGTGTAGTGTTACCTACCATTCGCAACTATGTCTTCCCATGGTATCTATATTTGTAAATGTAGAAATGAAGCTCTATATCATCGAACCAAAATAAACCAAGGCTGCTCTATGCACCACAAAAGACCCCCACCCGCCCATATATACGATGAACGAAGCGATTGTATATAGTCATCATCAAGTCAACCAGTGATCCTTGATCACATTGCCACAGGCCAGCCATCTACGTATTGAAGAGGATTATAGCCCAGTTTTGCGTCCTGAAGAGATATATGTATATTAGTTTTGATATCCCCTAGAAACCAAACAATCATGGGAGCGATGATCTTACATTGAAGTTGTACCCGACACTCTTGTTCACTGAAAATTGAAAAATTAGGACCGAAGCCCCCAAACTAGCAAGATAGAAGGGCGAAACTCACGGTAATGGTAATAGAGGATATCTGAGTCGCTGTCTGCCAGCACGCCTTGCCCACCAGGAGCGTAGACGTCTCCATTTGATCCGTACACCACGAGACCACCGCCGTCGACCAGATTGTCTCCGTTCTGATCCACGAACGGACCCTGGGGGCTATTCGATCTCCCAACCCGAATACTATACCTATTTCAAAATCAGCGCTAGAAAGGAGTAGAAAAGAAGAAGAAGGAAAAGAAGAAGAAGAAGAAGACAACGCACTCTTGCCCTGCAGCCGGTAAAGCGTTTGGGTCCAGATCACAGCATTTTCCGTGACTAAACCAAAGATAATACCATGGCTCGTGGTAGCTCATGAAACTCCCTTCCTCCGGGTGGGAGCCATCTCGACACAGTGGATTTGGATTATCCCCTCCGTTGTCAATCGCGACAGGTTCATAAGCTAGATGGCGGGAATTTGCGCTTGAGACGTCTGCCGTGAGGAGGTCGGGGTTCAGAGGCACCTCCCAGATCCCAGTCCAGTAGCTGCCAAAGGTCAGATACGCCTGTCCACTCCCATCAATGAAGGCAGCGGGATCAATGGTGTTGGAGGTGTTGAATGGATATGATCCCGATCCGTCCCCTGTCCCGGACTGAACAATGATTCCGTGATCGACCCAGGAGCCGGCACCGGGTGAATCGGAGGTGGCAACGCCAATGGCGCTGTCGCGACATCCGGCTTCACTGACACTGTAGTAGCAGTAGAATTTCCCGTCATGCTCTAACACCATCGGGGCCCAGGGCTTTTCTCTATCGCCCTTCGGGATGACGCTGAGATCCTTCAGGACAGTACCCGATTGGGTCCACGGGCCATCAAGGGTTGGGGCGTTGAAGATACTGATATGTTCCCCCACAGCGTAGAGATAGTAGGTATCCCCGTGTTTAATGATGCTGGGGTCATGGGTCTGAAGGTTGGTGGCGTGGGTGGCCGGGAATGAGGAGGCGGCATTCGGCCCTCGATGCGGAATACCTAGGCCGACGGTGATAGCGACGTAGGAGAGCAAAGCCACAGCAAGAAGCATTTTGATAACGCGGCGATAGTGACGGAATTTCGGGTTCGAGGCAAAGCGAGGCGACCAGAATGATCCCGACAGGGGCTCCTGTCCCTGGGGAGAAAGAGGCGCGTACATCGCTGATAAATGGCCATGGTCCTTCATTATCTTTTCCCCCATGGAGTAACAGAACCATTGTTTTCAGAAAAACGAATCGAATGGAGTAGTCGATCGGTGGAGCGAAGTAGGATGTTCTCCTCGAAAGCGCATGGAATAATAGCCAAGCCAGGCTCGACAGACGTCACTCACATGCCTCTCGAGATGCCGTTGGAATGCAAGGCGGAAAATAAGCCAATGGCGAGCTTGTTGTGATGTTGAAAGGATCTTGCCAATTTCACTGTTTTATTTTGGCTCTTGTCGAGAGCAGAAGTACTGATGTCCGGATGCGTTAAGATTGCCTGAAGATGACTGCAGCTGCACGAGAACTCCCAAAATAAGAGAGAGGCAATATCTTTCCAATCATTTCAATCCCTCGTTCCTGTCTTCAGAGACAATGTTTATTGCTGCTGACCCTGGAACGCAAGGGTGGTCGAACCTTTCACCACCACTGTGAGGACTATTTAGACAGTTATTCCGCACGTTGGAATCGTGAAAGCGATCAGCGTATTGCTCCCCCAAGTCTACGAGGACATTATAGATATACTGAGTCTGAGTTCCTTCGAAACGATGGCGTGGAAATGGTCTGTCGAGGCTCGTGGTCATGCGAGGGGCATTCTGCGATGGTGTCATTTTGCAGTGATCTGACCATGCAAATCCCCGGACGTAGCGACTAGGGCACGACTGTGATAGTCAGTCAACAGGAACAACTCTATCATCCAGTAGATCTTCACAGACCAAGTTGCGATGGTGGCTGCAAACGCCATGGCAGAAGAAGCTCCCTTGCTTCAGCGGCTCCACCATGAGGCTTCTGCGATCTGCGGTGATGTCGTGTTATCCGATCAAGTCACTAGGAGAAAAAAAAAACGCCCATTCCTCTAGGAGAAATCAATAGATGAAAAGAGATCGAAGGATGGCGGATGCGTCTTCATGGGAACGAGTGATCGTCAGGGAAGGATTGTGGTTCTCCTGAATTGTTATTGCCTTTGCCTACGGTCCAGTGCCTAAATTGGAACCCCCACTAGACAATGCCATTCTGTTCCCACTCATGGGTCCAAAAAAGAACTGAATTGATTCTACATTATAGGGGAACTGCGGGATTGTGGCCCGAAAACATTGCACAGGTTAGTTCTGGCCATTGAGGACGTTGAGAATAAGCATAGCAAACAGCTCAAGCAGACAGAGAAAAAACTCCACCAGCGCCGGGTACTCTTCGTCGAGACATCTCAAAAGTGCAAGAACAGGGAGGCACGGGCAAACTTTTCTAGCGAACGACGATCTTATCCACCTCGTCCTTCGCTTCTGTCCATGTCTCCAGATTCTTCCGTGCCCAGTCAAGGTGGCAGCGAGCATATGCAACCTGCAGAAGGGACTAAGTAAGCGTGATGTTTCTCTGGGAAGATTCTATGTGCACAGGGAGTCTTCACATACCATGTATCGACGTAGATCTGCTTCCTTATCCTTTTGAAATCGCTTTAGGTCTTGTAAAACCCCTGCGCTCGCGTCTTTGACGTCTTTTTCAGACACCTCGAGAGCTTGCTCCAACTGCGTACAAATATATCAGTGTTCATTCTCCTCCTCCTCCAGTTCACTGCAGGCTGCAGCAAGGAGAGCGGGGTAGTCTCACCTGTACCAAGCTTTCCTTGGTTTTACCGATCTGATCGCGCCGTGTCCGTTCGGGATCGACGTCCACGAAGCCATGCACCGCATGGCTGATACGGCCGAAGATCTTATTCGCAACAAAGGTGCCACTCGATGTCTTGCGGTGAGAAGAGCCCGACCCGGCAAGGCTTTCGATCCGTCGTTGCGAAGAGGCGGGGGCAGGCGCGGCAATCGATTCTCCATGAGTGGGCGGGAAGTCTGAGTCAATGGATGCAGTGTCCTCTGCGCTGCCGGGACGCGCTGCGGCCTCATTGTCGCCGCCACTGCTTGCTCTTGAAGAGGTGGACAAGGAGCGACGGGGCATGGAGGAAGCTGAAGGAGGCGAGGTGCGGTTGAGATACTGCTCGATGCGTTTGGCTTCCAGCTCACTCTTCTCCAGCGATTCTAGCAAGGTCTTTTTCTTGGAGAGTTCATCGCGTGTCATTTCCTCTTGGACTCGTTTAAGCACTCGGTATTTGAGCACGCTGCGGACAATGCTGGCAAACTGCGCGCTCTCTCTCATGGGCTCGGCGAAGCTGGCGCCTAGTGCTGAGGAGAGCTCTTCAGTCTCGATATATGAGGTGTCTGCCGCCTGCCCGACGCGTTCAATCGCAGCAGCCACGGTGGGTGACTGCTCTGAAAGCGAGAAGCCATTATAACGGGCCCCCAGTTCCATCAGATCGGCAGAGAGGGCAGAGAGATGGGATAGCGTCCGCCGATTGACCTTTTCGATGTTTCCCTGCAGGAGGAGCTCCAGCTCACGGGTGGATGCTTCAAAGTTGATAAAGTAAGGGTCCAGATCCTTTTCGCTCAATGGTCGCGATTCTGGAGGGAACCGCGTTAGTGCTGGTGCCCCCACGGCACTCATCGGAGGGCTGTTCGACTGATCGGTGGGCGAGGCCGGGGCAACACCGCCGGTGGACTTGAGCTTTGCCGAGGTAGAAGGCACTGGAAGCCAAGAGTGGGCGGGGGTTGGGTTCGCAGGGTCAAGCGGCGGGGCTTTCAGGTTGTTTTTAGGGATAGACGAGGCGGGATGCGAATGCAGAACCTCACTCTAAACACCGGGATTAGTTTGATGGGTTTTTAGGCTCGACGAGAAGCATGTGCGGATGAACCATACCCAGCTAACATTGGGGTCTAGAAACCTCCACCACACGCCGTCTTCGCGGACCTCCTTCATTCGGCGACAGCGGTTCAGAAAGACCGCGAGCATCCGTTTCCGTAGCTCAATGATGGCGATATCCTCTTTGGCCTTGGTCGGCTTAGCAGCATAGTCCGCCATGGTGTGCTTCTCTGGAATGGGCGGGATAACAAGCGTAGGGTGCAGATTAACCAGCGTCTGCCGAAGCGACGCAAACTCCGAATACCGTCGGCGGACCTCAAGATCCTATATCAGGAACCCCCAGTTAGTCTTCATAGTATTTCATATTTTTTTTTTCCTTCGCTGGTTCGCATACCCCTGTCCGAATCGTATAGACAATAAAGCTGCCACCACCCTCATGGTTTTTGCCCGCATCGGTGATCAGAATCGGCATATCCTGGTTCTCGTAGAGAATCTGTTCGATGCGGCTATCGTAGACGCTCTTCCGCGGGTATCCGTGCCCGCCTTGCTGCGCACCATACTCCCCATCATCCTCATCCTCATCCTCATCGCTTAACCCCCCCTGGTGAGAGATATAATCCGGCGGTGCTTGGTTCGACGATCGACTCGACGGCGGGGTGGATTCGCGGTCGTAGGGTGCTGTCAGACACCAACAAAAAAGAGAGCACCTCGTCAGCAGCCAACCAGTACAGTACCCACGGACGCAACCTCCTCCTCCTCCTCCCTGCCAACCGCCATGAATTACTTACGTGGAGAGATCGCAGCGGAGTGCAACGAATCCGACAAATGCGGCTCGTGATGATCGAACGCCCCGTACGGGTTGTTATCCTCGTCGTTCCACATGGAGGCTGGCGGCCCGAAATCAAAGCGGCCTGGGGGGGGAAAGGGATTAGAAAACACAAAGACGACTCCAGAGACGAGCCACGGTTATCGACAAGACAGTCTAAGCCCAGCTACAACCCACAGCAGGCACTGACAGAGACCCTGCAAGGCAGCGAGGTTGGGACGGGGCCGAGCTTGTCCCACGCAGCGGTCGGAGACGGCGGGGGATTCGTTGATTCGGTACGTCACTGCGCTGACGTAATGTATGCTCTAGGCCGTGCTTGGACTAGTTGCTGGGCTAGCCGGATCAGGAATGGTTTCATTGACGGCTACGGATATACGGAAATCCTGTCGGATATGCGGATCTACTATACTACTAATCGTTCAACTCCTCCTGAGCAACCCTGTAGAATGAATAGCAGACTACCTACTACCTAACTATCTAGTACCTGGTAGTGGCTCAGTACAGAGTAGCGACAGCCGTAAGTTGGCGTGAACCCATCTACCATTCTGTTGCTGCTGGCGCTGCCCCTACCCCCGAGTCTTTCCCCCAGTCGATCGTCTCGCCAGCGGTTGCACTGTTGTCCTGGTTATTCTTGCTATTCTGGTTGTCCTGGTTGTCCTGGTTGTCTTGGCCGCTTGGGTTGTTCTCCAGCTGCACTCCCGCCCATGTCCACTCGTCTGTGGTAGTGTTGTTGGGAGGCTCAGTCGCCTGGGAAGGCTCAACCGGATCTGCAGGCGCTCCTACGCTTTCCCAGTTCCCTGCCGGGATCGCCGGCGAGTCAGGCTTCATGTTCACAGGCGAGGGCGGATTGGCAGGAATTGACGCTGACGCCGCCCAAGCATCCTGCTGGGGGGTCTCTGCTGGCTGTGCTGGAGTATTGGCCGCCGCGCTGGACCATTCGTCGAGCTTCGGTCGCTCGTCGATCGTAACGTGTAGGTTTCCTTTCTTCCGTGGCGGAACCTCAGTCGGTCTGGAAGTGGTAGTGACTGACCGCGACCGTCTTGTGCGCACTCGAACGGGCTGCATCTCCAGCCAGCTGCCGTCTGCAAAGGTGTTTCCTGCGCCGGGCCCTGGTGTCTGCCGTGAGCGAGCTGGTGTTGTTCGCTGGGAGAGATACATATTCCAACAGCGGAGGAGGAAAAAGCAGACTCCCAAGAGGATGAGCATGACGCCGAGGACAACCACGATCGCCAGATTTCCCTGCATTGTGGTGTCGAGAGATGAGGTCAGAATCGGATGGGATGGCAGCAGCAATGAGGTACTGGCCGAGGGAGGAGAGCTGACTCTTAATAGTCATTTAGTGAACAACTGGCAAAGACATGACATGATTGAGGTGAAAGAGTGGTTTCAGGATGGAGAATCTGTCGCAGTGAATAAAGAGATCTCTGAATTGATTAAGGGGAGTTGTGCTGCTTCCAAGACGCTCAATATAGAGAGTGGTAGGTTTAGTGTACAGGATTCTTTGTTACTGGCTTAGAATGACTGAAATGTACTGCACATTAAGTAAATAATACTCTTTATTTAGTTAACCATAGTACTTTTCTCTATACACTTATTCTAATGCTTTTTGGATCATTGAAAGCCATTCGTGATGAAGGTATGCTGCCTGCCCAGTCTCTTGGAGTGTCTGGAGGCGACGACGAAGAACCTCCCGATCTTGACCCAGATACTGCCGCCCAGCAAAACTGTCTGACGTGAAGGCAGTAGCCAGGCTAAACACTCTCAAGCCAAGAGTGAAAGTTTCAGGCTTGGAGGCCCAGCCTAACAGGCCATCCTTCCCTGTTTCCTCGGTACTCAAGTCGGCAATATAGCCCAGTCCATCAGATACCCACTGTGAGAGGCTCTTCACGAGCCCTTCCTGGTAGGAGCTTTCCGTCAGGATGCTGAGCTTTTGAGACCACAGGCCGAGTTCCCGAACGTCGTCAATGAAGAGGTTTTGTTTTTCCTCCACGAACAGCACTGTGCTCTCCTTTCGCAGCTCCGAGAAGAGATCGGATACTGGAACCAGTTTTGGTGCACCAGAACAGTCGCTAATTCTGGGTCCTTGTCCGCAGGCGTAGTTGAAGATCCGTTGAGAAAGCAGCGGCGAGTCTGAATAGCTCCTTGCGATAAACTCGGCAAGAAGGCCACTAGCATTCAAGGGTGCCAGAGCCACGGCCTTGGAAGGCGAAACGCTTGAATAAGACAACGCCCACGAAGCGGTAGCGGCGGAGATATCGCGGAGTTCTTCGTCGTCATCGTTCAACATGTCGTACAGGATCAAGTAGACGTCGAGGAATACAGGGTCGGTCCGAGCTGGGCTACCGAGAGGGCGTAGAATCCGTCCAAAGGTGCCTAGAGACTTGACGGCTGCCAGCCTGGTTGTAAATTCCTAGAAAGAGTCAACTCTATATTCCTTGACTTGAAGTGCGTATCACTCACGGTTTCTTCCTGAAGAGCAAATCGCAGCTTTGTTGTCCAGCTGCGGAGCGCTGATCCAAAGTCAGGCAGCGCCTGCCACTGGCTCAAGCTCGCCTTGACTGCCAGTAAGCAGCCCTGAAGCCGCAGTCCTGCATCACTCATTTCTCGATTCCAATTTTCGGTTTCTTCTGCTGACCGGAATCGCTCGCTCAGAGCATCCCAGGGAAGGTTGATCCCTTTCAGATTGTCGTGGCGATAATCAAGAAGGCGCTCAAGTATCGATGCTAGATTTGCAGTGGCACTCGTTCTGACGATCTCCAAGTGATCTCCCAAAAGAATCGAGGTGTAAATGTTGAGCAGGTTCACCCTGTAGGCTTCTTTTTCTCCGAAAAGCCCGTCCAGCTCCTCCAGTATCCATCGCGCAGCATTGGGATCAAAAGACGAAAGGGCTTGGAGGAATAGAGTCAAGTCCGACTCTCTACCACGCAACATCATTTTAAGAACAGCAGCCCATGCGAGTGTTCTTCGGAGTAATGAGCTAGCACGGGTTGTGCTCGAAGATTTCCAAGACGGCTCGTTTGTATTCAGGAGATAATCCAAAATATCGTAGAGATCATGATTCTCAAATACCTCCTCGAGAAAAGTAGCCATTCGACCTATCAAAGTTAGTCAGAGATATGACTCGACAAAAGCCTGCTGGAGCAATTGGTACCTTCTTGGCCATTCCGGACACTTTGTTCCACCGTGTCATTCAGCGTCTCCATCAGAGCACTGGCCACAAACGGCGAACGAGAAGAAGGGAACAAAAGAGAAAACGCTCGCCGAAGAAGAGAGACAATCTCATCGATATGTCCTAGACTTTGTTAGACGCAACTATTGAATACAGCATGATGGGGCACTTACCATTCCAATACGGTTGCGGAGTGTATTGGAAGCGTCGCAAAGCATATCTAATGCACATAGCTTTGCCGTGAAGAAGATTTTGTGAGGTTTGTTGGCTCTCGAAATCGATCAACTTCTGCAGTTCCTGGAGGATATCTGAACGATTGAGCAGAGAAGCGTATACACGAGCTGCATGCTCCCTGATTCCCCAGACGGGGCTGTTAATCCAATGCAGTACCAGGTCACGAAGGGTCGTATCGTCGTTGTCAGAGAGCATTGGAATCTTCTCGCCAACAAGTTCGAGGGCAGGGAAAACTCTCTCGGTGACCATGTCGATGCTGCCTGCCTCAATGACCTTGTTCAACCCCTCCGGAGCGAGGAGGTCGGACACAAGCTGCATGAGGCCAGGGTACTTATGGAATGACACTCTAGCACCCGGTTCCGAGCCCGACTCACCACCGAAACCCAAACGAGCTCCAGGGATATCACGATACATTCTTGTCAGGAGAGCGCGGAAAAGCATCAAGCCAGAGTTACGTAAATTCCAGCTGGGAAATGTCAACGATCGATACTATCGGAAACGAGAAGAACGCAAAAACTTACATAGGCGAACCCATACGTTCTGCAGATAGCGTGAGGGCTGGCATGACATATGCTTCAGTACGAGGACCAAGTTTGTTGTTTGTGAAGATGTCCTTGAGACAGTTCATCGCATGCACCTGGGGCAATTCCATATCCTGGGTTGTTTCTGACTGTTCTGCTAGCAGGCCGGTGATTTCGAGGAGTTCCGTAATGACCTGTTGGAACAAAGGTCCCCGAAGTGTCGAGGACAGGACTCCAGTCACAAGAGCAGGGATACCAGCTGAACGGCGAGTAAGCTTTGAAGCCGTCTCAAAAATGATTTTCTTTGCCTCCTACAGCAAGTCAGGATTAATCAACGGGAAGGAAGTGCATAAGAAACTGACTTGATACCATCCCTGGGGCAGGGAGGAGATGCTTGGGTCATTGGACTGGCTACATCGCTGGCAACAGGTAGCAAATGTTTGAGACACAGTTGTGAATGCACCTCGGTGGCGAAGCTCTGCCAACTGAATGAAGCTTGCTGTGCCTATTTTTTCGTAATCGGCTCGTTTGAGACCGTCGTCCCCACGGGGGCCATATGTTGTGTTTGCAAGAGTAGAATGAAGAAGCAGACTTTTGCGGATTTAGTAACATGAAAACTCAAAAGAACATGAAAAAAGACAGGACTACATACCTTGATTCTCGCAGGGCACGCCACGAGTAGGAGAGGATATCTTTAGGTCCAACATCCATATCCTCTGCTGGCTCATCCGTATGACCTTCAGGCGAATCTATGCATAGTACTGGTCTGACCTCTAGCCATATCTGGTCACATATCTTTGAAATTCTCGTGTGAATGGTTCTCCAAGGCCCAAAATCTTTGCCAGGTTCATCTGAGATGAGTTGGTAAAATTTAGGTGTCAGGATGATGTACCTGAAGAGAGGGATGAATTAGAGCGAGATGTCAACATTCTAGCAGGAAGTACAAACCTCAAAGCAGAGACATAGCCATGGAGGGGCGCATTGCGCATGGCGGAGCTAAAGAGCCCGCCGGGAAGAGACAATTTCTCCTCCAACTTTTTCAAAATTGCGTCGACAATGCCAATCTTGGTTTCCCACCACTGCCTACTAGTGGCAGTAGCCTGTCCTGTGGCGGCCACAGAGAACAAAAGGTGGTAAAGGCGAGCCACAGTATCTGCATGATCTGCTCTGCTAGTATTGCTTGCTAGTTGCTCTGCTCTTGAAAGAGCATCAATCAAATGTACCCCAACGTTGGGTTTCGATTCCGCGGAACTTGCCAGTCCAGTCAATAGAATATCGCGGGGAAACAGTTTAATGATGTTCAGTGACGTTGCTCGCACTTCTTCGAATGGGTCAAGAAGCAGGTCCACCAGCAATCGAAGCAAACTGGAGTCGACTACCTCCATGTGGAGTTTCCATTTGACTTGGGCAGGATCTGGCTTTGCAGATTGCGTTCTAACAACACGAGTGTCAAGACCAGACTCAAGGACGAGGCCCAATGCTTTGAGAGCGGTGATATGGCGCTGGTAGGAAGCAGTTGACTGCAGGTCTGCCTTCAGGAAATCAATGTACGCTCCAAGATAAGCTCTTGTCGCTGTATCGCTCCTCTGGAAATACAGAGAGTTCGAGTCCGTCTTGGCTTGCTGAGTCGAATCGGTCGTGGTTGCCAGGGTTGACTTTTGATCGTCTGTGACACCACTCTTGAGTCGAACAATGAGTTTGCGCGTCAGACTGACCACTTCGCCTCTTGAATACGCATCAGACTCCGCATGCATACTTGGCAGGCCCTTCATGATAACACGCATTGCAGCGGCGCTGACAGGCTTCGTTGTTGAGAAAGTAGTAATCAGAAGAGCGAGAGTCGCAATACGAATGCTAGACTCGCGGTGAAGAAGAAATTGACCGATAATCTCGCTGTTCAGAACCACAACCTCATCTGCGGTCTTCTTAGACGCAGAATTTGTAAAGTAATCTAGAATATGATGAGCAATCAGCGCTTGAAAAAATGGCGTTTTCAGAGTAAACACGCACGGTCTTCATGGACAAGTCCAAGCTTCTTCCCGACTTGTAGAGCCGCAAAAAGAACCATGTATTCGGCTAGTGGCGCGTCGGTCATATCACCGGCGAGTAGGCTCTTCACAGGCAGCTGGTTGATGAACACTTTGAACCCAGAAGGGTCTGCGGTAAACAACGGCTCGAACACATTGTTGGCTATTGTCTCTAGATTATCTAGATTTCGAAGGGAAATATGTTTGAACGGAGCAGCCCAAATTGCTGACCATTGCTGCGATTCTTCAGGAGATACCTGCTGGGACTCAAGTTCATATTTCATCCTCTCCACAAAGGTAGCCAACACAGAACCCGATACAGAGGCAAGTTCCTTGTTTTGAACTTGCTTCAGGAGGCTCAAGACAAAGACTTTGGCGGCGATCTCTCTCAGCGACGCTACATACTCCTGATTCTGCATATCGGCCTGGGCAAATTGCGCAGGTGTAATCGACAGGGCTTTGCAGTCGTCCACGCACAAGGCCAAGAATCGCTCATAGTTATTCAGAAGCCAAGTTGCAGTCATGTCAACCAGGTCAGATACTGTGACAGCTGTCTTGCGGATAAAAACATCTAGAGAAACCAGTGAGCCCTTGAGGCGGGACCGCTGTTCGCTCAGGATAACACCAGGCAAGACCGCATCCCCAATTCGGGACCGGAGAGCGTTCTTCTCCTGTGAGTCCTGATTTTTAGCCAGAATTGTCACCAAGGAAATCAGTACTTGTCTCATAGGCTTGGGCTTTGTGTACTCGAAGCGGTCCAGATAGACCTGGAAGACAGCGAGCCATGTCTGACCTGAGAACGCAAGCTGCTGTGTCTCTTCGTTCTCGGAAGCAGATGCAGCATCCAGAAACGCACTCACGGCATTACACGCCGCCGTCGTATGATCATTGGACAGAGAAGCCGTCGAGAATGTCATCAACAAGCTTTGCCATAGTTGGCTCACTTTACTAGAAAGGTGTCAGATCTTGTCTACGCTGTCAAAGTGACACTGCGAAGGTCACACCTACCGGGCATCATTGCACTCGTTCACATATCTTACCAGCGACCCTTTGCTGATCTCTCGGAGCAGGTCTGGGGGCAAGATCTGTATCTTCCCGGCGATTTCCTCCATGTTCCCCCACGTCCGTTCGTCTGGGGCGCCAGCGGTTACATTAGATGCCATTGTCGCACAAAATCCACATGTCCCGGGAAGAACCACGAGACCATCGGACAGATACGCTGCGCAACAGAGCCGGATCCTCTTCTCTCTCCCCGCAGAGAGTCTCGACAATTGCCCTCTTTCCATTTCGCCTCTGGTGGATTTTCAGGTGGGCTGGCCCAAAGAGGCCTAGCGCCGGCCACCCCTTTCTCCGAAGCCGGGGACAGCCAGAAAGGGGAAAGCGCAACAGAACTTAGAACAGTCTTGCCGTCACGGGACTGAAGTTTTTGTTCCCAAGAAGCCTCGAGCGTCATCAATCAACCTGTCTTCGCCCCGTCTAGAGTCGACCAGCGACGAGCCAGCGGTGGACCCGGACGATCCTATATTCTTTAATATCTCTTCTCTTCTGTATTTTAGAAAACTTTTTCCCTCTTCAACCCTCCTACACCATGTCGATCTGGGACTCATTCAGCGGCCGCAAGTCCAAGGGACCTGAGCCTCTGGATGCCGCCAACGCGCCCGACGTTTCCTCTTTCCTCTCCGAAGCCTCGATTCCCGATCCGTCGAAGCTTCACCCGCTTGCCGGGTTGAATCAGGATACCCTCGACTACCTCAGCCTTGAAGACACGAATCTTGACGAGCTTCCCGGGTCGCGATCGGTGCTGCCGTCAAGGGGATGGTCTGATGACCTGTGTTACGGAACTGGAACCACATACATCGCTGCGTTGACGGTGGGAGGAGCCTGGGGTCTTTCGGAAGGCCTGCGACGCACACCCGCGAGCGCGCCACCCAAGATTCGCTTGAACACCGTTCTCAACTCCATCACACGGCGAGGCCCATTCCTCGGGAACTCGGCGGGTGTGGTCGCGATGGTCTACAACGGCTTCAATTCCGGTCTCGGCTATGCTCGAGGGAAGCACGATTCGGTCAACAGCATTGTTGCCGGTGCTCTGAGCGGAATGGTCTTCAAGAGCACTCGTGGGCTTAAGCCTATGATGATTTCTGGCGGTATCGTGGCTGGTATCGCAGGTGCCTGGACCGTACGTTAACCCCGGTATTTTACTACCTTTTTCTTCTACTGACTGATTCTTGCTATAGGTGACGAGAAAAGCACTCTTCTAAACTCCTCGATCTTCTCAACCATGTTTTATTATCTTGCTGTTGGGTAATAGCGACCGCCCCCCGACATCCGTATACTGTGCACTATTTCCGACAAAGCGGCGGGCGTTGTTACCGCTTATCTTCTTCTTCTTCTTCTTCTTTTTACGCTGTATTAGAACGGTTCTTCAATATCTCCTACAAATCTCTTCACTCCGGCGCTCAAAGCATCCGTGTTTTCGCATTTCCCGTTTGGTTGGGGACTGGACATGATAATGGGTGTTATTTTCTTCTTCCGAATCTTTGTTGTACATATAAAGGTCTCCGGCATTTTTGGAACGGGTTATTCGGAACGTCCAGCCGGCCTCTCCTTATCCTGTCAGGCACTTTTTAATGTTCTTAGGAGCTCAAATAGAGAAAAACATGCAAAGTCCAGCAGGCTTGTTTCTCAGCTCAGTGCTCACGTAATACACCTGTGACTTCGGGCCGACATCGAGAGCGGACTCCGAGTCATCCCGAGGGGGACGGAGAATGTGGTATACAGGAGTTCATTATTCTTGACAAACAAACAGGGAGTTCATATTGCTCGGCATTGACATTTAAAGACTGATGGTACAGGAATGACTGTGCTTTGGCCCATATCACAATCGTATTGATGCAAAAGACCTCATGTAACCGAAAAGTGTCAGCTATCGGCATACTCATACCTCGAATTCTCCATGCATAACCAAACTCATAAATGCTATTATAATGTGCAACTGCAATATATACATGTGTACAAGAACACATATTTATACATCTATACAATACCCAAAAGTCTACTCATAAATATAACAGAACTTTCCCTCTATGGTGCTCATCAGATCCCGCATAACAAACTGACCGGGAACGGCGTAGCCGTAGTTGATCTCTGTGTCGAGGGTGGTGTTGGCGGAAACCGGGTCATTGAGGAAGGTGCCTGTGCCGGAGATGGCGGTAATACGGGTGGCAGGATCAAGGTTCTGCCAGATCCAGTATACCCTGTCAATCATGCGGTGGTGGTGCCAAAAGGCCGGGTCCCCAGGGGAGACGTAGAGGTCGCGGCCGGGGTCACCACCCATTGAATAATGGCCACCACCGTGCACGCCAATGACCCCGGAACCAGGAACACCTTGCATGACCATTTCAAAGTCCCAGATATCATCGTTCTGGGTGATAAGGTCGACCACAGCAGTATAGTTAGCCAGCGAGCGGATGATCTCCGTGGTCAAGTCACGGCGGAAGCAGCGTGGGTTGTAGTCAAGGGGGTTGGCGACAGCCAGAGTCCGGTTCCCAGGCAGGGCCAATGCGGCCGGTCCCAGGTTGATTGTGTAGTTGACGAAGGGGCCCGACACAACACACCCTCCGCCGTTACCAGGCGGCAGGATGACGGGTGCGTAGTCGCCCAGGGAGAGCACGATCTCGCCTTCATGTGGGATGTGCCAGCCGTTGCCGGACAAGGAAGTATCACTTCCGTCGAAGACCGAGGACTTTTCGAGGTTTTCGGTGGTCGATGGCCAGTCCCAGTACCTAAAGTATATCAATACCGAGACCGTCATGGGAAGGGAGATCACCCTAGCAACTCACGGGAAAGCGCCGCTGTAGCCACATTCTTCACGAAGAGCCTGGTCGAAGACCCAGACAAAAGTGCGGTGCCAGATCAAAAAGGTCCCCGTGTAGTGGATCTCCAGTGTCTGGTTGATATGCGTCGCGACAAAGTCATCATATCGTGTCTTGACCCCCGGGGCAACACTGGCAGGCGTCTTGGGTGAGGTACTCTGCAGACATAGCACAGCGTCGATGTACTCCTTCTTTTCGGCTGTCGAGAAGACATCCCTACCTCCTGTTAGACTATCCAGCCTCGGGCAACAGAAAAAAAATCCAAGGAGAGTATCTTACCAGTTGCGACGGACGTGAACGGTCTCCAAGGTGCAGCTGCCATTACTGCTGGAAAGACTGTCGATCGACTGGTTGTAGGCTTGCGAAACCAGACGAGAGAGCTCTGACGCAGAAGCAGCGTCTTCTGCGTTCAGGTACGCCTGAGCCAGAGGCTGACAGGCCAGTAGACCCCAAACAAGAGGTTTGAAGCCAACCATTGTGTGAGACCGACACGGGAGGGTTGAGTTGGGTGACTATCCAGCTTGGGGAGGGGGAAGAGCGGGATTTATATGAGCGACTTTTTCCCTCCCCTTCCCTCCCTCCCTTTTCTCCCTTCCTCCCTCTCCCTCCCTCCCTCTCGCTCTGTCAAGTGGTACCTCCCGTCCAGAGTCATCCCTCTAGGCAAGCCTTTTCTTGTCTGACTCGAAGGATCCGAATGCCGGGCTCTCCTTAGTACCCCGTACTATAACATAACATCGATCACCCGGGGTGTTTGTTGGTCCTCTGCTACAACTCGCGCCTATGAAATTGCAGCGTTGGCAACGGAGTGGGTTTCAAATACACCAGGATGAAGTTTATCAAAGGGAGATCCCTGTCGGACCTTTCTCCATGAGTCCGTATAGAGGGTGGAGTAATAGTGAGCACCAGGTTCATTTTCCTTCGCCGTATGGGATAAGAAAACGCTTACGCATTCTTCTGTCTGTCTGTTCACAATTAGATTCAGGCGGGGACCTTCTTTCCCGAATAATAACTGATTTACTATGGCCACCGGGCTTTTGACTGGGCTAAAGGAGAGATTGAGATGCTGCGGTCTCATTCCTTCCTGGTCTTATGGTGGCTCTAATATTGGGTAGATGCTGTCCAGCAGTCGGAATGTCCTGCTTTGCAATCCCTGATGAACTTGAATCAATAACCCGACAACGGATGGGATGCCGTGTTCGGTCTCTACGTCCCCTTGTTCAGTGACACGATCATGGAATAATCTGTCCCCTTTCTTTTCTCTCTTCCTTTTTTTCACTTTAACCCCTTGGCTTGTCTCTATCCCCAATTCTCTCTCTGTCTCTTTCTTCTCTCTTTCCTTTCCCCCTCTCATTTGTCTCATCTCCGCTCAAAATGACAGTTTCCCATCCTGGAGGCGAGGGTCTACCTAACGTCAATCGTGGGCCCAGCATCCTAGTTGCCACATCCATAGTCACAGGCTGTGCCTTGGCCACGGTCGTGGCTCGTATGTACGTCCGAGTTTTTGTCATTCGCAATGTGGGATTCGACGTGAGTGACCTTCAATTACGTGAATGAAAGATTCAAGTGGATGGAGAGTGTGCTGACAGTGGATCCGTAGGACTGGGCAATGCTCTTGACAATGCTGCTGGTAACCTCCATTCACCCAGGCGGAAGAGGGAGGAGAGAAACAACTGACAAGTCTAGAGCCTCGCCGGGTGGGCCATAATCGTGCCAGAAGTCAAGTACGGTGCCGGGCGACATACTGTCTATGTGGAGAAGACGGCTGTCAAAGCCATGCACCTGAACTTTGCTACGCAGGCCATCTATCTGTGGTCAATCGGGCTCGTGAAGATCTCCATTGGTTTCTTCTTGTTGCGGTTTGCTCCCAAGCGAGGATACAAGATTTTCATCATCACGGTGATGGGTAATGGATCCGAGAGTTGAGATACACCGATGAAGAGAGCTGACCTTTGACAGTCTTGATGTTCATCTATACCACGGTTTGCTTCTTTGTATGATTGCCTTCACTTTCCAAGAACGCATAACAATCATTCTGTGGGGTTCTAATAGCTTTAGACCCTCATATTTGAATGTAAGGATATCAGGACCATATGGGACTCGAGCATTGTGTCCAAATGTTTCACTACGACGGAGCTATTGGCTCTCAGCTATACGAACACCGGTGAGTGTGGAACGATATACGATGCAAGACACTCTCAGTCCATTCTGATCTCACTCAGCCCTGAACATTCTCACCGACTTCATCTTTGCGACCCTGCCTGCCTTAATGCTTCGGTTGGTTTCTATTCTCTTTCTTCGCCGCGTCCTGCTCACTCGACTCGCAGACACCTCCAGGTCAACCGACGTACCAAGGCATCATTGACCTGTATCTTGAGTCTGGGAGTACTGTAAGTGATCAAAGCAACGAAAGCACCTCTGGTTTGTCTCACCACAGTAGTGCGTGCGCTGCTGCGTGCGTCAAGCTCTCCATTCTTCCGCATTACGGCCAAACCGGCGATTTCCTCTGGGATTACACTGATCTGACCATCTGGGTTGTGTATGTTACTATCCATTATTCCTTTTCCTTCTTCTGCTGCCGCTGCTGCTGCCTTTTCCTTTTCCTTTAACGTTCAATTCTAGCGCCGAATCCAATATTGGAATCATTGCTGGCAGCCTCCCCACGCTCAAGCCGCTGTTCAAACGGTTCCTGGACACCTACGCCTCGCGCTCTAAATCCCAAGGGTACACATCTGGGGGACGGGACACGTTCCGGATGCAGAAACTGGCCGGGTCGCGGTCCCGCTACGGACCGGGGAGTCGTGGCAGCAGACAGATGCGCATATCCAACGGGGGCGATGATTTCGATGCTCTACGGGACGGGAAAAGCCCAACGGTAGCCAATGGTAAAGGAAAGGGCAATGGCATGGGTTTCGGGACCGTCATCGTTAGTACGCGGGGTGGTAGCAACTCGAGCGAAGAAAGAATCCTCCCCTTACAAGGGTCGGAAGGCATAGGAATCATGATGACCCGGGAGGTGGAGGTGACGGAAACGAGAGGCAATGACTGAAATTGCAGCTGTTCCTTTAGTCTAGACGCTACTCTTGTAGAGGATTCCATACCTTGTATTCATTTAATCTTCTTACTACATAGTTACCAGCTGCAGCCAAAATTCTTAGAGCAGGAACGGCAACTAGGATACGGGGACAGCAGGGATACTATCAGTGGGATGGCAGAGTATTACTCCGCTTTCTTTTCGACTCGTAGGGTCTCTCCCTCAGGACTGCATGCCCTAGCTATGTAGGGTAATTATTCTCCGAGATTATCCGTGGTATTGGAGGGCAAAGGGTGAGCTGATGTTGATGATAGCTAACAGTAGTAGTAACCTTGTCAAGATGCCTCTACTCCGTAGTGTATAGAGTAGAGAACCCGAGAGTTTATAGCCCTGGCGGTTAAAGCAGCGTCTTATAGACTAATTAATAAATAGAACAACCTAGACCAGTAGATATAAACAGTAGATGATCAAATTTCCTGTCTTTAATTTCCGACACCGTAGGCATCTACCGTGTACTAATAATATATCTTCTGGTGACCATGATCGAATAGAGACAGTACAGAGTACCTCATAGAGAGATAAAATCATAATAAAGCAGAAGAATCAAATAACTGTTGAATAAGATCAGAGAGGTATCTAGTAACTAACTACCTACTTTATTTTCTCTTGTCTTGCCGTTCAAAGCCTTAAAACACTATCCTTGAGTCCGCGTTTCAGCCCAAACCTTCCTTCCTCTGTCAACAACGCTCTAGAAATCAAACAACCGTCCATTTTCATCTCCAACCATTTGAGAAAGCAAGTTTGGTAGCTGGAATGAAGAAAAGGGCCACCGAGGGAATGCTAGGTGGATATGGGACATGCAATGAACGTCCTGAACGCCTTTCGCCTCGATGACACAGGACTAGAAACTTGCACTTTGTCAGAAGCGACAAAAACGAAGCTCTCACTGTCCAGGATATAATAGTTTAAGGACTTGCAGTTGCTGAGAGCCAGGTATGGCCTGGAAAAATGCCCGGAAATGTGGCCGCCGAAGGAGTCCTTGGTCAGCGAAGGCCTCAAGAGAAGGAGAGACAACAACAACACTGGGGACGACATAAGGACGAATGTCAATGATGTCAGGATGCCGGGACTGAAGAGGACGCTTTTATTCGTTTATTGCTTATGTGGTGTCTCTGGCCCTTGATCAAAATTTACTACGGTTGGGCGACAATGTGAGTTTGAATCCATCTCTGAATACCAGGCGTATCTGATATTGATCTTAGGTCGTCCTCGAATCATCTCCTCCCTAAACACATGGCGGGGATCCCATACTTCTTTAAGAAGTCCCTAAACGGCAGATACAAGTCTTGACTCCCATATCAGCAGCGCTGTCCGTCGCGGGATCAATTATGTCTCGGTGTGGCCACCTATTCTGTCTTTTTTGTAATCACGCTGACTGATTTAGATTTGCCTTTGTCCCTGAGGCTCTGCAGAGCTGCCAAAGGTGGCACATCCCCTGATCAAACGCCGAATATGAATTCAAAGCGACATCAGCCATAGGCTCACTGTTGGCGGGTTCCTGAGTAGCAGCAACCGGCCTCTACGCTGACGGTTTCTTGTAAGCTTCGCAGCTGGTCGCTCAGTAACGCTTGATAAAAACGAGAGCGCCAGAGCTGCTGGAGATCACGGAGTTGGCCTCATCCTCGTGCATCTGGTCTGAGCTGACCTATTGAGGGCAATCAGTTCGGCGAGATGCTCTCAGACACGAGCATACTGCCTTGAAAGTAGCTCAGGTTTTTTACACCTCAATTCTGGCAACCCAAATATCCCTGTCGGTGGCTCACCTCAGCAACCTCATACATCTCGTCAGCCAGGCAGCTACACAGGCAGACTTCAGCTGTGTGGGAAATATTGAATTTCCATTATCTGATGCCAATGAACACACTTGCAGGGACTATTATAGAGTACTTAATAGAGAATCTATCCATCTCTATTAGCCATAAAGGTCATAAAGACTAATACTCGCCCTAATTCGCTGACGTGATTCATTTTATGGCCCAGCCTAGACTGTACAATACGACTGAGATGAATAGAAAATCACCACGACCACCACGGCCCACTGCAGCGAGGATTCTTCAGATGAAGAGTTGAAGCAGCAATGGTGAACCTCCCGACCGTCCAGGCGCACAATGCGACTCTCTCCCTAACCTCCGGCCTCATCGCGGTGTTTGGTAAGTCCAATCTGCTCTCAAGCCCTTGCATCTCACTCATCCTTCACAGTCGGTGGCACGTCCGGCATCGCGCTTTCAACCGCCCTCGCCTTCGCCCGTCAAACTGCCTCGCCCAAAATCTACCTCATCGGGCGTAGCCAGTCGGCGGCCGATGCTGCCATCACGTCGATGAAAGCCATCAACTCCTCTGCCCAGGCAACCTTTCTCCAAAGCGACATCTCCCTTCTCAAGAACGTCGACAGCGTCTGCGGCGAGATTGCGGCCCGAGAGCGAAAAGTGAACCTGCTGTTCATGACGCCCGGGTACATCACGCTGAAAGGCCGGGACGAGACGGCGGAAGGGCTGGACCGCAAGTTCGTGCTTCATTACTACGCGCGGATGCGGTTCATCACCCAGCTGCTCCCCCTGTTGAACGCCGGCGCTCACGACAACGGCCGTCTCTCCCGCGTCGTGTCTGTGCTGGACCCGATGGTCTCCGTCCGCGCCGGCGGCTCCGGCACGCTCGACTTTACAGACCTCAGTCTGAAGCACACGTTTAGCCTGAGGAAATGCGGCTGGCACGCCAGTCTGATGGGCGATTTCTTCCTGGAGAGCATGGCGGGAAACTACCCGCACACCTCCTTTGTCCACGCGTACCCGTCTGGCGTGGCGACGGGGGTGTTGCGCGAACTGCCGGCTGGACGCGCGCTGTCGGCCATCCTCACACCACTGTTAAGGCCGTTCATGGTGCCCCTCGAGGAGAGCGGAGAGAGGCATTTGTTTGCGGCGACGAGTGGGAGGTTTCCTCCGAAAGCTGAGGGGGGGGAGGCCACGGAGGGGGATGTCGCTGTTGGCAGCGATGGGACCAGGGGCAGTGGGTGTTACTGGGTGAGCTGGGACGGCGAGGTGTTTCCTCCAAACAAGAAGCTGGAGACGACGAGGGCGCAGGGCGCGGCAGAGAAGGTCGTGCAGCACACAGAGGAGGTTTTTAAGCAGGTGTGCGAATAGGCAACATTGCTATCTATTAATTTATGAGTTTAAAGCCAAACTGGATACGAGTACATATTAATTTAATTACCGTCTATTAATTTATTCGTAGCATACTAAACAATCCCAATATCAGGTGATGACTGTTGCCTGCTCGCTTTCCCAGAAACCTCAATTCCTATCATCCTACACTCTGCCACCTACCTCTACCTCTCCCCCTACCTGCCTCTCCCTCTACGCTATTGCTAGCTGCAAGCTAAGTTCACTGGAAATTACTGGAAATTCTTTTATTTCCACTTTTCACAGAGTATTTTCCTGTTGTCTGACGGTATGGGAATTAGGTTGAGACCGCGAACAAAACCTCCGACCGCGAATCAGCATTGGGATCGACAGCACGTCCGGTTAGAAGGTTGGGCATAAGCAGGTGTATACATCGGTTTTATTCGCTCGACGGGTGGCATTCTTTACGTCATGATGGGAGCTTATCCACCGAGGGATAGACGCGACGATCTTCGAAGAAACGATGGTGATGGCTTTCAATAATGATACCTTGAGAATGTGGTCGTGGGGGAACTCCAGTGGTTATGGATCAAACGCGAGCTACTGGCAGGGTTCCTATGGAGTCTCCAGCTCAGAAAGAAGTGGTGAGCTTCATTCCACGACCTCATATTTGGTCTCAATGTGCCGATCGCCACGATCGCCACGATCGCTACGATCAGCCCAGGATACCGGGTGAAATCCTTTCACGAGGGGGTATTCTGCTCTGTACGGAGTACTCCTACTCCGTACGATCCGAATTATTCTTACGGATGATAGCCAGGGCCGTCGGTTAGAAAGCCTCGTCACTCATCACGGGTCCTGTGACGAGGCTGCAGGGTCCGTAGGGGTCATTTCTTTCGGCAAACTTACTCGGAGTACGGAGCGTTCCCACGGACAATAACCTATAATAATGAATCATGGAGGAAATGTGTCCCTGCAAGGAGAACCGGCAGTCCTTGCTCTGTACTCCGTACTCCCCCGCTGACGGGTCTTCTAACGATGAACTGGTTGATATACGCTACGAGGATTCCGTACAAGACAAGCTCAACAAGCATCAACTAGCCAAGGAGGCAACTAATGTCTAGTGAATACCATCTGGTTCAAGCCAAGAACGCATGCGTAATGCTGCGCTCGCTACTGCAACCTAGCGAGTCGCATTGGCCATGGCCATTGTTGACTAAGAATAGACGCTTCCGAGTAAAATGAGGCTTGTCTGGATCGCAAGTTGGATTGAGATTCGAGGAACCTGGGGCAATAATCGCAGATGAGAGAAATCCTGGTCCTTGCTTCCACGCAAGGCATCCTCTCCTCTCCTCATCTCCCCTCTCCTCTCATCGCCTCCTCGTCGAATGCTTTATAACAAACTCATTTAGGCTCTGCGGGGTAGCGTAAGAGCAACGCAATCGCCACGTACTTTCACGGCTTCTGGACCGTTTTGGGGAGCTTCTATGGAGTCGGCGAAATAATAATAATTTTTTTTTTCATCTGCTTGTCTTGTTCGACTGGCAGACGCGATGATCCAGGCCATCCGATCAGCTGATTGATTGATTGACTGTCACGGACGTCTGGTCCTAGTTATCGCTCTCCTTTCTTTATTTCCCCAGGCGTCCGATCGGTTTCACATTCATCTCTCATCTTGTCTTTATCTCTCATCTCTTCTTCTCTTGACTCTTCTTCTCTTGACTGTTCTCCTCTTGACTGTTCTCTTCTTCTCTTCTTCCTAGTTGCAAGTCAGGTACGTCGATCACCCGAAAAATCAGTCGGACGGATCAATCAGTCAGACGCGTCTCTTCCCTTTCATCCATCTCCTTCGATTCTTTTCTTATTCTCCTGCTTGCAGACAGCCGCCTCGCATTGTTCGTTTATCGACTGCGATCCATGGTCCCTCCGGGTTCCTCCCCTGCTGATTGCTCAGCGTTACACCGGCTGCGTGCCGCCGCTTCCAGCGAGAACCTCCAGAACGAGACGGACGGGCATGGCGACCTTTCAGTCCCTGTCTTGAGTCACAGTGCTGCCCTGCAGACCCAGACGCAGACACCATGCCTCCATCCTCCAGCCCTTGACGCTGTGGCGCCCCGCGTGGGTGCGCCTTCAAATACCTCCGCATTCCCGCCCACCCTCCAGATCCGGACCGACTTTGCCAGCGCCGTCTCTCCTCATTCTCATCCTCATCATCATCATCATCATCATCATCTTGCCTTCGAGTCGGACCATCACTCCGGTCTGCATCACAGCCTGTCAACTGCAAGTCTCCCGCGCCGCACCCCGAGCTTTCGCGCCCTCATGGCCGGGCCTAACTCGAGCGCCGGCTCGCTGTCGCCCGCCTCGCTCCTGTCTTCGCCCCAGCTCGCCGCCATTGGTGACCTCACCCCGCTCCCCTCGCCTGTCAACGGGCTGTCGCCCTGGCGCACGATCCCGCGCTCCGACTCACAATTGCTCTCGCGATCGCCCTCCGGTGCCTCGCGATCAGGTTCAAGTCTCAGCCTGCGCGCCAGCGACCTGGCGCCCTCCACCTCGCGATCGCGCATGAAGCCCTACCCGGGTCTGGATAAATTGGGAGAGGAGTCGTCCCCCACCACGCTCGACACATCCACTACTACACCTGTCGCCTCTTCTTCTTCTTCTTCTCCTTCTACCGCGACGCGTCGACACTCGCGCAATCGCAGTCTGAGCGAGTACGTGCCCCCCGCGCGCAGTGTGCCCTTGCACCCGCGGCCGGTCGCCGTCTCCGGTACGGGGCCCTCGTCGGGCATCGTCTCCTCCTCGAGCACTGACTCCACGTCCAACACCAACGCCCTGCATCGGGAACAGTACCTGGCGGTTCAGCGCGGCATCACCATCGCCACCGCTAGGCCTCCGACCCCGCCACGCAGCGCCCACAGCGGCTCGGAAGCCACCGATGATGACGAGCCGGTCATCAGACATCATCCGTCGCAGAATGGGGTCGAGGAGATCTACTCGGTGCGTTCCATTCGCACCAACCAACCGCGCAAGTACCGTAAACTGCGCCAGCTCGGTCAGGGCACTTTCAGCCAGGTCAGTTTGGCCGTACGCATCGAAGCCGCGGGTGAACGCAATCACTCTCATCATCACTCCTCCCATCATTACAACCATCACAACCACCACCACCAACAACACTCGAATGGAGTTCCCAAGATTCCCTCGTCGCTGCCACCGAAACTGGTCGCCGTGAAGATTATCGAGTCCGGCCCGGCCGGCGGCGCCGACGAAGAACGGGTCGAGGTTTCTCTAAAGCGTGAAGTCGACATTCTCAAGTCGGTCAACCATCCGTCACTTGTGCAACTGAAAGCGTTCGGCAGCGATGAGAAGCGCGCCCTGCTTGTGCTCGACTACTGTCCTGGCGGAGACCTCTTCGACTTTGCCTCGTCGGGGTTGAAGCCTATGAGCCCCGCCCTCATTCGTCGTATCTTCGCAGAACTCGTAGCCGCCGTTCGATATCTGCATTCCCACTTTATCGTCCATCGCGATATCAAACTGGAGAGTATGTTCCGCCCTTCCCCCCTCTTCCCCTCTTAACTTGCTCCGCCAATCTGTGTGTAAACCATCCCCGCTGACAATCTAGATGTGCTCGTCACTCTCCCTCCTGCGGCCATGGAAAAGATCACCGACTGGCGCACCTACGACCGGGCCGTGGTCACGCTCAGCGATCTGGGTCTTTCCCGCCGCATCCCCGAACCCCCGGAGAGCGCCCTGTTGCAGACGCGCTGCGGGAGTGAAGACTACGCCGCGCCAGAGATCCTCATGGGCCAGCCATACGACGGCCGCTCAACGGATGCCTGGGCACTTGGCGTCCTGTTATATGCGATGATGGAGAACCGCCTCCCCTTTGATGTGCTGCCCGGCACGCGCGGCGACCCGGCCAAGCTCCGCGCCCGCACAGTGCACCGCATCGCTCGCCTGGAATGGTCATGGTACCGCTTCGCGGATGCCGACGGCGACTGGGACCCAGCCAAGGGCGCCGAGCTCGAGGCGGCGCGCGAGTGTGTCGAGGGTCTCCTGAAGCGGAACACCCGGCGCAAGACTCTCGGCGAGATCGCCGCCCTCGACTGGGTGCGCGAGGCTATCGATGTGCCGACGGGGTTGAAACGCGGTGACCAAGAGGTTCCTTGACCCTCTTCTCTTCTTCCCTTCTCTTCTCTTCTTCCGATCTACTTTTTTCTCTTCTCTCACTTGTTTTCACACCATTTTCGCCCATGATGTACGCTTGATGTGTTCCGATTCTTAGAGACTATACCCGTTTATACTCATCTCCTGTTGATTATACTGTTGATCTTTTGTCATCTTCTGTCTGACTACGCTGCTCTGTCTGGTCTTCTTTCCATAGATTGTATTATATATACTCAATTAATCTCACTTATATAATCTCACTGATACAATGACTTATACAATTAACTTTATGATGACTCTGCATAACCAGATCTTGTTTCTTACGCTGCGTCATTTGGGGCCAGCTCGTCACGTGCCGGGGAGCGCCGGCGCGACTCCGGAGCTGGAAATCGCTCGATGCGGATTGGCCCGTCCCGTGACTCCGCCCCGACTTCGCTGCGGAGAGCCAGAATAAAATGTCAACTTCACCTGTGGGCAACTGCAACTCAGGCAACTCAGGCAATCGCTGTTCATCCCCATCCATTGCTGGTTGATTGATTCATCCCTGGTTCACCTCCTGCCATTCCAGCTGTGAGCTGACTCGCACCATGCTTCTCGCTCAGACCCGGGGGCGTCTGCCCTCTGCTCTGCGGAGCGTCTCTCAATCTGCGTATGACGATAGCTCGAGCTCCTTCTCTGGTGCCTTTGACTCTGTTGAACGCCTTGCTGACGTGTTGAATTGGTTCCAGTCGGGCGCTCTCGACAACGCCGCGGTATGCTGCTGCTTCCGACTCGACCGAAAAGATCATGAACCGCGTGTCGAGCACCATCACACAGCCCGTCTCCCAGGGTGCCTCGCAGGCGATGCTGTACGCCACGGGACTGACGGAGGAGGACATGAACAAGGCGCAGGTGGGCATTTCGTCGGTGTGGTTCAGCGGCAACCCGTGCAACATGCACCTGCTGGCGCTCAACAACAAGGTGCGCGAGGGAGTGCAGCGGGCGGGCTTGGTGGGCTTCCAGTTTAACACGATCGGAGTCAGTGACGGTATCTCGATGGGCACACCTGGTATGCGCTTCTCGCTGCAGAGCCGAGACCTGATTGCCGACTCGATCGAGACGGTCATGGGGGGCCAATGGTACGACGCCAACATCAGCATTCCCGGTTGCGACAAGAACATGCCCGGTGTGATGATGGCCATGGGCCGTGTCAACCGCCCCAGTCTGATGGTGTACGGCGGTAGCATCCGGGCCGGGTGCGCGTCGACGCAGAACAACGCCCAGGTGGACATTGTCTCGGCCTTCCAGGCGTACGGCCAGTTCATCAGCGGGGAGATCACCGAGCCCCAGCGCTTCGACATCATCCGCCACGCCTGCCCCGGCCAGGGTGCATGCGGTGGCATGTACACGGCCAACACCATGGCCAGCGCCATCGAGACCATGGGCATGACCCTGCCCGGCTCCTCGTCCAACCCGGCCGACTCGCAGGCCAAGGTGTTCGAGTGCCTGGCGGCGGGAGGCGCCATCAAGCGCCTGCTGGCGGAGGACATTCGCCCGTCGGATATCATGACCCGCCAGGCGTTCGAGGATGCGATGGTTGTCGTCAACATCACCGGCGGCTCCACCAACGCCGTGCTGCACCTGATCGCCATCGCCGACGCAGTGGGCATCAAGCTCACCATCGACGACTTCCAGGCCGTCTCGGACCGGATCCCCTTCATCGCCGATCTCAAGCCCTCGGGCAAGTACGTGTTTGCCGACCTGCACGACATCGGCGGTACCCCGGCCCTGCTCAAGTACCTGCTCAAGGAAGGGCTGATCGACGGCTCCCGCATGACCGTCACCGGTGAAACCATGGCCAAGAACCTGGAGAAGGCGCCCGACTTCCCTACGGACCAGAAGATCTTCCTGCCCATCACCGACCCGATCAAGAAGACCGGTCATATCCAGATCCTGCGCGGCTCGCTGGCCCCCGGCGGCTGCGTCGGTAAGATCACGGGCAAGGAGGGAACCATCTTCCGCGGCAAGGCTCGCGTCTTCGACCACGAGGACGACTTCATCGCGGCCCTCGAGCGCAAGGAGATCAAGAAGGAGGACAAGACCGTCGTTGTCATCCGCTACACGGGCCCCAAGGGTGGGCCTGGCATGCCTGGTATTTTTCCCCTTGGATTTATTTCTAGACTATTTCCGTACTAACTGCGTCAAGAAATGCTTAAGCCCTCATCCGCCCTGATGGGCGCTGGTCTCGGCAAGTCCTGCGCCCTGATCACCGACGGCCGGTTCTCTGGCGGCTCCCACGGTTTCCTGATCGGCCACATCGTGCCCGAGGCCGCGGTGGGAGGGCCCATCGGTCTCGTCGAGGACGGCGACATGATCACCATCGACGCGGAGACGCGCGTGCTCGACCTCGAAGTCGACCAGGAGATCCTCGTCGAGCGCCGCAAGGAGTGGGAAGTCCGCAAGGCGGAGGGTAAGCTTCCCAAGACCGGCTTGGAATTGCGCGGTACTCTTGGAAAATACGCCAGGTGAGTTCCTCTTTTCTTTTTTTCAAAAGTTTCCCCTCTTCTTTGTGTCTTGCTAATTCCAGTAGAAATGTCAAGGATGCCAGCCACGGGTGCATTACCGATGCGTTGGACTAAATCATAAAAGTGTACTTTATAATTATCGCAGGCTAAGGCGAGTCATTAAATAAATTTGTTCAATATGTAGTGATTTCCAGATATTCTAATCGATGATATTGACGTCAATAATCCAATTCAAAAGATATCTATTTAAACACGAAGCATTCATAAGGACTACCACTCTTCTCCTCCCCGTCATATCTAGACAGTCCTATTCTCCAGAAGCATCACGCGCATTGGCAGAGGGTTCATGGCCGTGAGTCTAGCATCCTTGAACCTATCGTGCAGCCCTGAGAGAATGTTCCCAAGGTTTGAGAGCCGGCTGGACTGTTCGCCAATAGCCTAGAGAAGCATACTTGCTGGCTAGGGGATATAACGGCTTGGTAGCGAGGATAGTCCTTGGTTTGTGAATAGAACTAGACTCTTATCAGATTGAACAAGAGTGTTGACTCCAGACTTCTCACCTGAATATGTACTCTTTCTAAGAGAGATTTATGGCATATGATTTGGACATTGCACAGTGGATTGCCTGGTTGGTGCATTGCATAGTTGTAGATGTTCTTGCGGTGCCATTCGGATGGTATCTCCAAGACCGTATTTGGGGGCAAAAACGGTCAAGGTAGGCTGAGATGTCCAGCATGGCGGTACGTTTAAGGATGAATCTATACAGTGTTGTGCCGTACATCTTGGTCTAGGAAAGAAACTGTTGAGCCGGTAGGTCTTCTTCGCTAGCCACGCAGTGATGTCTTCGAAGGGATTCGCAGATCTACAGATATTAGCTGTGCGGTGTGGTGTGCTTGTGGGGATAAGAGGCCGTCTTACAAAAGCAACACGCTTGAAGCCGCTCTCGGTGAATCGGAGTGTTGGACACCTGCTCCAAGGATGGAGTATGACAGCCCTGTCTCTTGACGGATGCCATCTAACTATCCGTCTGTTGAAGGCATCGTCGGTACTTTATGGCTGGATATATATGGTATAGTATAGATATAGAGAAGAAAATGATATGGGAAGGGGTAAGGAGAGACACAGGATAGAAGTATATATACTACGGATTTTGTCTGCAGGTATCCGGTGAATACGCAGGCAGCCATAATAAGTACTCTCTCAGGATTAGAATAATAGACTAGAATAGGCTGGAAGAATCTACTGAGAAAGAGAGAAGATCACCACGTCCGCCTCGTCCTGCTCCACAGGCGGACAAAATCCACCTTCTCCTGCACACCCAGCCCAACACGCTTGACACGGCCCAGACGAGCCAGCGACTCGCCCACGGAATCCAGCAGGGCCTTTTCAGGGGGAGTCAGTCCGTCGTCAGCGAGAACATTGCCACTGCCACTGCTGCCGGGGACTGTAATGCTCTCCGCGATCCGCACACGAATACAGTGCGTAGGCTTACTCAGGAGCGTCCAGAGGAAGCTCAGATACGAGCCCGGGAGAGGCGTCACGACATCGACAGGCGTATAGCGCAAACTGACAGGGAACAAGCGCGTCGCGGGCGGCACCCCCACCACCGAGGGACTGAGCGGGAGAACCCCTCGGCCATTCGTAGTCGTGCATTCGGGGAACAAAACAAGCGGCCGACTCGGGTACCGGCGCAGCAGGGTGTCGATATCCACGAGCTTCGTGCTGGGCGGGGGAGTCACCCGCGGCGGTGCGAACGCCCGCACCACCGCTTGAAAGAGCGACAGGTGTTCTACCTGTTTTGTACGCGGGTACGAAGCCGTAAAGACCGGATCAAACACTGCGGCGAGGTAGATTGCGTCGATGGGGGAGGTGAACGAGGCGGCGATCACGGCGCCTTTGCCTGGAAGGCGGGTTTTATTCTGCGCGAGGGACCTTCTCACAGATAGAAACAGTTAGAGAGATGAAGTATAGGAAGAGGTGTTAGTCAAGAGGTATGGGAAGAAATGTACCCCCTCTTCACTCCGTCAATCTGCAGATCTATCCACCAGATACTCGGTACACCCAGGATACACCATAATGCAGCCTTATTGCCCAACGAGCCGATCGGTAGCCACTGCAGGACGGCGAAATACGACACGCAGGCGACGAGGAAAAACACGAGCCGGAAGCAGAACAGGGCCACGCGCAGTGGAAATTGGATGCCCAGCGGCTCGGGGGGGATGGGCAGGAAGGGAGCGATGCCGGAGCCTGAAAGTCAGCAAGTTAAAGATAGGTATAGTCGTTGGATCGACATACCTCTGTCGCGGAATTGAGAGAACTTCTCCATCGTGGCTCTGTGTCAGATCTTTGTATTTTGAGTTGGATTGTGTGGCAGGAGTCGAGTCTAGACTCTAGACATGTGACAGTCACGTGATGGCGTTATTTACAATGGTATATAGTATAACCAGCATTAATAGTATTCCAGAGCCTGGATCTACCCGGTTGATAAGAACAGCTTCTGTGAGTTAGTTGTTTTGATGAAGTAATTCTATGAATACGAGTACACGAGTGAAAGAGCAGAAGTAAAGAGAAGAAAATGAAATATATAGATGAATATAGAAATAATATATATAGCCAATCAGTCGATATCTTCCTTGGGCTCCTCTCTGATGCCCGGCGGTAAGCGGAAAGCAAAAACGGCGACACCGACGAGAGCGAAGAGGCCGGAGGTCATCATCCAGGCGAGACCGACCCAGACGCCGCCGATCTCGAGGCCGAGCTTGAAGACGTTTGTGATGGTGAGGCTGGCGACGACGTTGCCGACGGCCTGCAGGACCTCGATGAAGGTGTAGAGACGGGCGGTCTCGTCGCGCTTGACCATGACGGTGATGAGGGAGCGGGTGACGAACATGAAGCCCGATCCGGCGGACTGGACGAGTAAGCTCGGGGCCAGCAGGAGAACGGAGGGGGAGAGGCCGATCCCCAGGGTGCCGACGATCAGGCAGATGATGCTGCCGCGGGCGATGCGAAGATCTTTCAGCGGGGGGGACATGGAGAGCAGGAGGCGTTTCGAGAGTTGAGGGAGGACAAAGATGAAGAACGGCACGTTGAGGGCGGGCTTGAAGGAGACGAGCAGGTTCGCCTGCGCCAGCGGCCAGGCGAACCGCGTGGACACGTACTGCACCAGGAACCACGAGGAGCCACGTGAAAGCCGGTAGACCAGGAAGGCGGACAGCAGGAGCAAGACCTGTCGGTTGCGGAAGATGAACATGTATGGGGAGATGGTGGCTTGCGCTTTGTTGCGGAGGGCGAAGAAGACGGACGAGGGGTGAGTGATGCCGTAGAATAAAGATGGTAACGATGATGATGATGATGATGATGATGATGATGATGATGGATGGGTGTGGTGTAGGGATTCCTTGATGGCGGCTTCATCGAGATCCGACAGTTCAACGTCTTCTTCTTTTTGCTGATCCTTCGACGGGAGGTGTAGGGTTTCCGGCAGCAAGACGGCGAAGAGCATGCCCAGGAAGATGACGCCGTAGCCGATGAGCAAGGGGATCCAAGGATTGAAGGCCATGAGCAGGGAACTGGCGGCGCTGGCGACAAAGTCGGCGGCCATGCCGGCGACGCCGAACTGAAAGAAGATGGAGGCGCGCTGGGCGTCGGTGGTGACGTCGGCCATCATGGTCCAGATGATGGCGAAGGCGACGACGGGCCCGCCGCCGAACAGCCAGCCCAGGGAGGAGAACCAGGTGGCGCGCAGGGGAAACACGTTGGGGAACCACATGACGACGAGCATGATGAGGTTGTTGATGGCGAAGCCGGGGATGCCGAGACAGATGGTGGCCTTGCGCCCGATGCGGTCCGCCAGCAGACCGTAGGGGATGGCGAGGATGGCGCTGAGCAGGCCATCGAAGAACTCCGAATACCCCTTGACGATGGCGACCTCGGCCTGCACTTCCGTCACCTTGCACAGCTCCTCGGGGATCTCGCCCGTGGCGGGGATCTGGCTGGGGTCGTGGGCGGCCCAGTAGTCGCGACAAGCGATGGCCTCGAAGATGCGGGTCATTGGGCCGTGGACCATGGGCATGCCCATCTCGATGGTCATGATCATGGCGAATAGAATGATCATCAGACGAGTGCGCAGCTCTGGCGAGGGCGTGTGCCCGTGCCCGGCGCTTGCTGGGCGCGCTGCATCTCCGTGATCGAGAAAGGGGGCGTCTTCGGCATCAAAGTCGTCTTCGAAGTGTGCGGGCGGCACGAGGGTTGTCATTTCTTCTCCCTTGAATAAAATAGGAGAGAGGAGAGGAGAGAGGAGAGAGGGGGAAGAGAGGAGGGAGAGGGGGAAGAGAGGGAGGGAGAGTCAGAAGAACTAATTACTAGAGACCGGATAAGAGGCTCAACATGGCCTGATTACAAAGGAAAGAAGAAGGAATGAATCAGCAAGGGATAGCAACACATGTGCGCCTCATTGACGGCCAGAATATCCAGAGCAGACGAAGGATAAGGACAGATTGAGGAGGAGCAGGCAGTCGCAATAACTGACAGGAGGTCTGAGACTAGTGAGACGAGTCTTATCGAATCGCCGATCATCTATTATTATCTGTGGATCGTGGCGTCTTCAATCGGCCCAAATGTCCATCTTTTCCAGACCTGCGAAGACGACAGAATCCATTCATTCCCAGACCTCGTCGTCAATGAATAAGAACAATAGGAAGAATGGGAGGAATGTCAGTTGCGGATGACTAATGAGTCCAGACGCTGGCTCAGACGCTAAACCCGGAATGGACTCGACTGCTACTGCTGCAGGAACGACCGAGGGGACTGACCAATCGGATCGCTGCGCCAGATCCAACGTGATCGCAGGCCTTGCGCTGATTGGCCGGGCACATCGCCGCGTGTACGTGACGAAGCCTTACGGGCAAATCAGATTAGATGTACATATTATTTGTGGTATGTATTGTTTGTGGTATGTATACCTATTTGTGTATGTATTATTTGTGGTATTGTAAGTATGTACTTCTAGTACAGTCTTCCAGTACAGTCTTCCAGTACCAAGGAGTACTGGGTACGTAGTAGTACCTATTACATGTCGACCTCTTCAAAAAGACCCCCCCGGATCTGCACCAGAGCAGCTAGCTCGAGGAGAAACTCGTACAGGATGGCCACGTTGGTAAGCACATGGCCGAGACTGGCAGTGACCGAAGTCCCGTCGGAAACAGCCTGCTCGGCGACCGTCTTGGGCGAGGCACGCACTGGAAACGGGGCGGCGAGGCGTCTGCGGAGCTGCTCGGCCGCTAGACTTGGCGAGGGGGACGAGGAGCGGGAGGGAGGATCACTGTCGTAGCTGTCCTGGTCGTAGGAACGAGGCGGGGAAGACATGGTTGCGTCCGACCGGCGGCCACGCGGGGATGTCGTTGACTCGGGAGCGGACTGGGTGGTCTCCGACAAGGCAGGAGATGACCCCTGCAGCAGCGCTCGACGGGCAGCAATTAAGATATCAAAGTCCGGGATCTCCTGCCGCCACTGCTCCACATCCTGCACCAGACGGTGGAGAATGGCCGTCAGCACGGGCGTGTCGCGGCTCGCCCACGTCGGTTCCTCGTACGCCCGCTGGATCTGGTCCAGCATCGACGCGGGATCGGGGGCCAAGTCGACGCCGCCGGGAGTCGAGGGCCGCGAGATGACTACCCCCTGCTCCTCACCGTCAATGCTCGATGCGGTCTGGTATTTCGCCGGGTCTACCAGGATCCAGCCGTCCAGCGAGACAAGATGCGATGAGGCGATGCTGCCTAGAACCTCCGTCAGGGCGAGGTTGACCACCACGCTGTTGGTGAAGAAGGTCTCCAGGTGGGCCAGCAGTTCCCGGAAGATGGGGTCTGTCCGGCGCAGCTCGAGCGGGTACTCGGCGACGTCGTCAGACGAGCTTGGAAGACACAGGCGGGATTCGAGCGTCCAGGCGGCGTCCTTCAGGTACGTGTCGTACGAGCTGTCGAGCGTGGCATCCTCGACGACCAACGAAGTCGCCAGCTGGAACAGCTGGCGCAGCTCCGCGTTCAGCGCGCCCACCGTGCGTGGCCGCGGCGGCGGGCCAGGCACCGTGCGGACCAGCGACCGGGTGAAGGCGTGGTGCCGTTGAAGGATCACCGTCAGCAGTCGCAGGGTGGCTAGGATGGTCTGTCGGTTGGACGACTCGAGGCCCAGCAGCACCAGGTCGCGCAGGTTGAACAGCGAGGGCGACGGTTTCGCCGCCTCTTCGGCAAACGCCGTCAGGGCGTTGAGCGACTTGCGTCGGCTCACGGACATGTCGGGATGCGTGGCGTGTGGGTGCGCGGGGGACGCGAGCAGGTACTGCAGGATCTGTTGGATAAGATCCGCCTGGTCGATCGATTCGAGGATCCGGTATAGATACGTGAGCACCGCCGATGTAGACCCGCCTTCCACGTCGGACGACTCGAGCAGCGAGGGATATCTAGGGTAGTCAGGTAGTCAGGCTAGTCTTGAGTAAATCATGGTTATTGACTTACAGCAATTGCTGCAGGAACAAGATCTGGAAATGGTCTAGCAGCGTCCCGTTCACCTCCAGCGATTTGCAGTGGTCAATGGTATCCTGCCAGAACAGCAAGTATGACAGGAACGAATCCATGGCGCGTCCGAGACGAGGATGCAATGAAACATCCTGCTGTTGATCCGAGAGGGCGACAACGGTCGGCAGATTCTCATCGTGTGGTTCAAACGAGAGGCTGTACTATTAGTAAAGGAAGGGAACCCTAGAGAATGGAAGGGAATCTTTACCTTCCCAGCTGGCTATACAAAGCCCCCAGCCCCGTGGCCATCAGAGTGGCCAGATCACTCTCGATCAACCACCGCTCCAGCGGCTTGGATCGGGACGCCGTCTCGATCAGATACAGGAGCCCCGTGCGGGCAAAATCGCCCGCCCGTCCCTCATGATGGACATAGTCGACGAGCAGATAGAAGAGGGGAAATTCATCGCGTCTTGTGGCACCGGCAAACTCTTTCACAACGGTATTGCTGCTTTCTGTTGTCTTCGTCGCGTCCGTCTCGGAAACACCGGCAAGACGCGGGGTAAACCAGGCGGGGAGAATGGTAGGTTGTAGACGGATATTATTCGAGACGCCGAAGAGCAGCTCGACGAGTCTGGTCTCGACATCCTCGGCTCTGGTGTCAGCGCGGCGGACGAGGTCGACGAGCGCCCTGGCGAAAAGACGACTATCAACCACCCCGTCCAGCTCGGCATCGATCAGCGTGTTGAAGAAGACGGCGGCGGCGCGGAGGATGTCGTCGTCGTGCGCCGAGAGGGCCAGCTTCGTCACCGTCACGTAGATCTGCGAAGTCGACGCCGACGCCAGACACGGGTGCGGTGCTGGGCCGCGCGACTCGTCGCTCAGCACGGCATTCAGACGGTCGATGCAGCTGCGGGTGTGCAGCGTGGCGGCGTGGTCGCCGGGGGTGGCATTGCTGGACCGCCAGATTTGCTGCCATCACCACGTTAGTTTATATCCTCTATTTTTCCAATCTGTATCTGATGTACCTGCAAAGCATTGCATGTCCGCTTAAACGCCGCCAGCCGCTCCGTAGGTGAGGTGGTTCTAAGGGTCTTCGCGGACGCGCGGGAACCGCCAATGAGCCGAGACCACTGTTGCTGTCAGTCTAGGGGGAAAGAATGCAGGGCCTGGCACGCGTACAAAGTCCATTGCATACTATCTCATGGCTAGCGTGGGAGTTGACCGTCGTCGACTGAGAGTTGACTGTCGTGTCGACTGAGTGGGCTATCGAGTTGGCTGAGACGCGTTGTTGGAGTCAGGCAACAAGGCAGGAAGGAAGAAACATAAGGCAGAAGGCAGAAGGCAACAAGGCATAAGGCAACAAGGCAACAATGCCCAAGGCATCAAGGCATCCACAAGATAAGCTCTTTTTTTTGACTACGTAGTATGCTATTTGAGCACTCCATAGTTTGTAACTATATCTTATAGATTACTTGTATCATCATATAACCATCAAGTCAAGTAGAAGAATTAAGATTTTGGTAAAATATACACGAAAGACTAGCCACCAACGCCCGAGTATGCGCCGCTCCGTCCGTCTAGGTGTCACATCACTCATAAGGAAACCCAAAGGACACGAGTTTAGTCGCTGTCGTCCTTGGGCCGGCGACCGCCGCGCTTCCGCTTGGGCTCGTTGTGGTCGCTGCCGTCATCTTCGTGTTTGCGCCCGCCAGCGGGCTGGTCGGGGACCTTGGCGATGATGTCGGCGAGGAAGTCGAGCACCTCGTCCTTGGCGACGGCCTGCTTGAGATGGAGGGCCGTGACGCGTTTCGAGTTCCGGTCTTTGGCTTCCTTGGCTGCTTTGGTGACGAGTTGGATCATGAACAGTTCCAACGCTTTGGCTGTAGAAATACATTAGCCATTGTGTTTTTTTTTTTTTTTTACTTTCCATACTAAGTTTGCAACGTACAAACAGCAATTGGAGTCACCTGGGCGACTTTTCCCACATCCTCATCCGCCTGCATGATGCGTTTGATGCGCGCGACGGGAAACTTGGTCTTGACCTCGATGCCGGCCGCGGGACTCTGTTTTATCGGCTCCTCCGGCAGCATGGGCGGTTCGACGAAGGGGGCGGCGGCCTCGGGGGCAACCGCGACGGGCATGGGCACGGTGGGTTCGGGGTCGGCAACGCGTGCGACACGAGCAGAACGCCTGGCCATCTCGGAAGAATAGCTGCTGCTGCTGGCGACGTCCTCAGGGCTGCCGGGGGGCACGTATTGCTGGGGGATCCGACTCGGCGGGGTGGTGAAGAAGGGCGAGGCGTCGTACGAGGCGCGGTGGGCGACGGGGCTCGTCAGCGTCAGCGGGGGGGCGGCCGCGGCAGGGTCGGAGGCAGGCAGCACGGAGGGGAGAGACGAGAAATCGGGGGATCGGGGTCTGTAGGAGCTGTCTTGGTCGGTCATGTCTAAAAAAGAGAGATTAGTTATAGATTAGTCTAGTGTCAGTGTGGAGGCTAACAGTAAGTAACCAGTCCCCAGTGGATAACAGAGACACATACCAGGTACCTTTCCAAAGCGTGGTCAAAACATACCCGAGTATGTTGCGATACAACGTATCAGCAGAGATCAGTTAATGATTCTTGAGCTGATAGACTCTGTAGTTGTAGAGGTAGTAGTAGTAGTAATAGCAGTACTGACAGTGAATAGTAGAAGGTGCGTGGAAGTAGTTCGTGGCAGTAGCAGAATCCCAAGCTTGCTCATATAAAAGAACGGCGGACGCAGGCCCCTTTTTAACCCTGCGCCCTGCCGAAAATCAGCAGAAAAAAAGCGAGCCGTGGGTCCAAGCATATCTTATTCTTCATTCATTCATTCATTCTTCCAGATTTTTATCTGATTCCTTGTTATTCACTATGTTATTCACTATGTTATTTTATGGAATATCATGATTATTTTTTAACTAAATATTTATAATGTCATGTCTACTTGCCAGTGATGATATAGAGCTCCAGAGATGTACGGGCTGAAACTGTCTCAGTATCGCCGTCTGCCTACGAGGCCTCATCGCTGACGGACATTACTTGATCTAATCTGAGGCGTGGCAATCACTGTTTATAGAGTATGATAGGGGTCTGGAAATATTGAGATGGATAGTAGTATAGAAAGTCAACTGTTTAGAATACTTCATTCACCCTGTATAGTGGAAGAGTAGAAGACAAAGAATACTGTGAGAGAGCAGCGGCTGCCTCAGGCCTCACGGAGCCACGTTCTTCCGGTCCGGGTCTCGACGCCAAAATCCGACCGTCACGACGAACGATTTGGCACGATTGACAGAGCATGTCGCCGCCTGCTGGACGCCCGGGAGATACGGTTTCTTTGTTCGCTGACGCTGCTGCTGCTTCCCAGGCTGAGCCAGCCATGTCAGCTACCTCGTTCTTCATCCCCGCCGTTGCCCTGTCATAAGACCTCGGACCAGAACCGTGGCTGCCGACCGTTGCAGGCCTGCTCCTGCTCCTGCTCCTGCTCCTGCCCCAGTCCCAATGGCCGTGGCGGACCAGCCTTCGGGCCTGATGGACATTGCGAGGTAGGTGGGAGGGGGTGTTTTCTGCCATCTTATTTTCGCTCGGTGCTGACTGCGACAGCTCCCTGACTCAGGATGAGATTCCCTTCAAGCTCCGCTGTGCAGTCTGCAACAAGCTTGCGGTCAACGCCTTCCGTCTTCCCTGCTGCGACCAGGCAATCTGCGAGAACTGTAGGTTCCGACCCCGGTTTGTGCGGGGTATGCTTACTGAACGTGTTAAAACCAGGCCAGACCTCCCTCCCCGAAACCTGTCCCGTGTGCGCCCACACGCCCATCTCGCCCGACCTTTGCAAACCTAATAAGGCGCTGCGAACCACCTTGAAGGCCTTCCTACGCACAGAGGAGAAAAAACGGGAAAAGGAGCGCGCCTCGGCTACCCCTGCGACCCCCAGTATCGCCACACCTGCCGACGCCGCTGCTCAGCTGCAGCAGGAAGCGCCCGTCACGGGAGATGCGCCGCTGAAAGACCCTGCTCCGAATACAGCTGGCGATCTTGTCTCAGAGGTAGAAGCCAAGCCAGAGGATGTGGCAGGGGAACAACTGGAGCCTACGGATTCAGCCGCCGTGCTGACCGACCACGGCGAAGCTGCCGAGCAGCCTCAGGTACAACCATTTACCTCTTGTGTTCATCGAAGAAAAAAAAGAAAAAAAAAAAAAAAAAAAAAACTAACAACCATAGATCGAGGACGCAGAACCATCCACCGATGTCGCCGATGTACAGGAGTCAAACGAGACTGCCGCAGGAGACGGGACGGTAGATGACAGCGAGTCGCAAGACCCTAGCCAGCAGTCGATGATGCAGGCCTCAGGGCCCGGCCAGATGTTCCCGAACGGTATGGGCTTCAACATGAACACTGGCGGATTCCCGAATGCGAACATGGGCTGGCCGGGTAACACCAACTTCCCGATGGGGTTTATGCCCGGGATGTTCAACTTTCAAAACATGGGTACGAACCGATACTTCAGTTACCCCAAATACGCGATAAAGACCTAGCTAACAGAAGTTCAGGAATGGGGATGGGCCCGATGACTCAGGGGATGTATGGGGGGTATGGGATGAACATGAATGGCATGAACAATGGCATGAGCATGGGGATGAACATGGGCTTCGACGCGGGGCAGGGCATGTACGGAGGCGGAGGGTGGGATGGCTCGCAGCAGAACACTATGTGGAATGGAGGCCAAGATAAATTCAATCCAAATGCGTTCGCAAATGGCATGGGCCCTGCTCCCTATGGTGGTGGCCATTCTGGATTTGGTGGCTATAACGCCAATTACTCCCAAGGTCATCATCATTATCCTCCCACCGGCTACACTGCCAGAGGAGGCAACAACCTGCGTGGTCGTGGCGGCGGATATGGCCCTGCGGCCGGTCGAGGCCGTGGTGGTGCAGCAGCAGCAGCAGCAACAGGAGGAGCAGGAGGCTACAACTATCCCCCCAATGCTAACTACTCCAACTATCCGGATAGTTCTAATCAGATGCAGACTCACCCCGACGGCGTATCGGCGGATGTCTCATCGACGACTGATCAACCCCCTAGTGCCGATGCTGACCCTAATAAGATCCCCAACGACGAACTCGCCCCGGGAGGGGAGGATGAGCATCCCAAGGAGGCTACCGCCGCAGACGAGGCAGCAGATGGTAGACCTGCAGAAATCATGCCTTTTACCGACGCATCTGTTCCGGTAGAAGGAGAGCAGCAGCAAGAGCAGCAGCAAGAAGAGCAGCAAGAAGAACATCAACAACTGCGTGGTATCCCCACCATCGATAGTCTCGATCACCAGGACGACCCGCACCACCACGGCTTCCACCCTATGATGTCGGGAATGTCTGGTCCCATGGGGCCTGGGCCTGGGCCTGGTTTTCCACGCGGGGGCGGCTACATGCGCGGCGGCCACTTCGGTCGTGGTGGTCCCAACGGTTTCGGAAGAGGAGGAGGCTTCATGGCAGGGAACAATGGGCCCATCGAACCTAGAGGGTTAGGAGTCGAGGGTGCTCCGGCTGCTCCGCGCGCCATGCGAGAGGGATTGCCCAATACTAGTGTCTTGCGGCAGCGCATGTTCCAGCGAGGGTTCCCGGGGGTTCAACCTGAGCCTAGGTACTTTATGTTTATTGCTTTCATTGCTGATTGCTTGACCCGTGCTAACGTCTTGTATTAGTGAAACATCTGCACCACAAGATCCAGACGCAAGTCAATCAAGGACGATCTCTCGCCAAGCGACACCAGACCGCCAGCGTCGGTCTAACCGCTCGCAAAGCCCCCGCGACAGTGACGAGGGCACCGACCAGCGGCGAGACCGCGACGACCGCGACGACCGCGACGACCGCAGATCTCGCCGCGGCGATCACCCGCAGAGCGAGGAGCATGTCGCGTCCGCATCGATCCAGGAAGGAGGTGCGCGCTCCCGTTCCGCGTCGGTGGATTCCCCGCGCAAACCTTCTGCCTCTACTCGTCGAGAACGGAACCGTCGTGGAGGTCGTCGCTCGCGCCGGTCGCGTCGGCATCGAACTCGCTCGCGTAGTCGGACGCCCAGTCGCAACGGCGAGGTTCGTGATAGTGTACCTCCTGTGACTGAGGGATCGCGAAATAGAATTGGTCAGGAAAGGGATCGACGCAGAGACCGTGATCGTGAACGTGATCGTGAACGTGAACGTGAACGCGAACGAGACCGTGATCGAGAGCGTGAACGAGACCGTGATCGAGACCGCGAACGAGACCGTGATCGAGACCGTGATCGCAGAGACCGCGACCGCGAGCGCGAAAGAGAGAGAACGCGCGAACGGGACAGGGAACGAGACCGCGAGCGACCGCGCGACAGGAAACGGTCTCGCCGCGACCGCAGCGAGTCCCCCGGCAGCGAGTACTCGCGCCACCACTCCTCGCGACGAGTCAAACGCCGAGACGAGCATGACAATGCCAACACGAATACCCCCGACGAGCGCACAGGGAACGGCAACAACAACCGCAGTTCCGCTCGAGCATCTGCACAGCCCGAAAAGGACCCGCACACGCTGGAGCGCGAGGCACGCAACCGCGAACGCATGCTCAAGGAGCAGCAGAGACGGGAAGCCATGGGCGGCGCCAGCAGCCGACGACGTGTGAGCTACAAGTATGAAGATGAGGAGACCCAGAGTGCGCGGGCGGCTCGTGTGGAACAGGAGAGAGAGGCGGGGAGGTGGCATTAACTGCAACTGCAATCTAGAATCTAATGCATCTACTCATAGTACAAAGGAGACATCATAGTACGGCGTAAAGTGTACTATTGCACGGGAATTGTATTGGAAAATCTACTTGTATATTCATTGCTAGGACAATATGCTAAACTACATGGACTAGGACAGGCACACCTCAAGCAAGCTTGCTCTTGAGAGACTCGATCTCCTCGGTGAGGGCCTGCATCTGCTGCGCCTGCGTGGCGATGGTCTTGGTTTGCTCGGCGATCAGCGACTTGATGGACTCGATCTCCTGCTGGACACTATCTGCGACGACCGAGTTGGAGGATGAGATGGGTTCGGGCACGGGGGTCGCCGCGCCGGGAGTGGCGATGGGCGAGCGCTCGGGGGTCTGACAGATATAGGTCAGAAAGAGTATAGGGAGTATAGGGAGTATAGAAGGAAATTGCTTACCACAATCTTGGAGACCTCCGGACGTTCCACGGGCTTGGAGATATCCTCGAAGCTGGAGTCGTCGTCGTCGGCGGGCTCGGCTTCCTCGTCATCGGCAAACTTGTTGACCATGGCCGCCATGGAGGCACCCTGGTCCTTCATCGAGGGGGCAGGACGCACCACGATGGTGGGGGTGGGCTCGGGGACGGCGACGGGCTCCGGGGTCTTCTTGACGGGCACGGGCAAGGGCTCGGGCTCGGACGCGCTCACCGTCGCGTTGGGCTTCTCCTGGACGCTCGTGACCTCCTTGAGACCCTGACCGTCGTAGAGACTGGCCATGGAGACCTTGGGCGGGATGGCCTCCTTGCCTGAGAACCACTCGGACGCGCCCATGGCGGGCTTCAAACCGATGGTGGGAGGGTAGATGTCGTCCTGGAAAGTTTCCGAGCGGCGCGGGACAATGAATGAGATAGGCTCGATGTACGAGTCGCTGACCGTCTTGAACGCGCGGGTCACCTCGTTCTCGTGCATGTTCACGCCGCGCTTGGGCATGAAGGCAATGCCGCGCTGGGGATCGCTCGACTTGTATTCGGAGAGGAATTCAAACTTGTCGTTTTCTAACTCGAAGTAGCGAATGTTGCCGTCACTTTTTCCCAATTAGTACGATGCTGAATCAAACAAAAAAGACACCAAAAAGCAAGTCTCACCCTCTACCAGCCAGGTATAGACACTGGGTTCCGTCATCCCAGAAAGGCATACACACACCCGAGATGGAATCCAGCATCTTGAAGCCGTTGATGGGCTCGCGAGGGGCACGGAAGTCCCACAGGGCCAGCTGGCGGTCGCTCATCTTGGAGAAACCGGTGGTAGCGATCCGGTCGCGTTCACCCAGCCAGACTGCGCGACTGTTCTTTGCACCGGAGTGGCCTGCCGTCTCCTGCGCGGGGCGTTCCTGACGCACATCCCATATCCGCAGCTTCTTGTCGCGCGAGGTGGTGACCAGCAGCGAGCCGTTGGCGCTCCACGACTGCGACTGCACGATATCCCCGACGTTGAGGGTCAGCTTGGCCTGACCGGCCTCGATATCCCAGATCTTCACGGTGAAATCGCCCGAGGCTGTGGCCAGGATGTTCTCGGCCGCGGGGTTGAACAGCACGTGCCCGACCTTCCTGCATCATCGCACAGCGGATCAGCGGGTTGCATGGGTGAGAGGACGAAAAAGCAAGAACAGAAAATAAAGAGCTCACCGAGGATGACCGCTCAGTTTACCAACAGGCGCAATGTCCTGAATCTCATCGGGTTCGCAGTTGGGGTGGAGGGTAAAGCCCTCAGGGACTCGCCAGAGGAAGACCTGCAGGGGTCAGCCAGATAAAATAGCCCTCTTCTTTTTTTCGGTACGTACCTTGCCATCATCAGAGCCAGAGGCAATAAGCGAGTCATTGAAAGGGTTCCTAGCCAGTCTTTCAGCACCCATTGTTGTTGCAGCAATGCCCGCGCGCAGCACTCACCAGTCGGTGTCCAGGACCACGGCAGTGTGTCCCCGGAAAAGAGGGATCCTCTCAGGCAATTTGCCCCGTTCCTCCAGAGGAATCACAGCAAAGGCGCCGCCACCGCCAGCCTCCCAGTTGACAGACAAATACTGAGGGTTAACCTGAAAGAGGGTGTCAGACCGTGTCTCCCACCAGCAGCGCTGAGCCAGCCGACGCAACGCACCTTGACCAGATTGGTATCCCAGGCATTTCTCGAGACGCGAAGATTATCGTAGCATTGTTCCTGTATCAATTCTCAGCCTCAACCGCCCTCCCCAATGACGCCGGGGGGGGTTGTCGCGCACCTTTCTCGTCGATCGCCCGAAGACGTGTCCTAAAGCCCAGCAGGTGGTCAGCCTCCCACGATCCGACACTGCCGAAGCGCCAGGGCAGCAGAGCACAGCACTCACGGTATTTAGAGGAGCGCACGAAACGGCCGGACATTTTGCAAGCGTCGTGTCCGCAATGGATCTCTCGGTATGAGGGGGAAGGCAGAGGAGGGGGGGGGACCAGGGGGCGTCGGCTGGCATAAGAAGCAGTTTACTTTACGCAGAGCAAGGGCCACGGGGGGAAACCAGCGGCACCATGGGCAACGGCGCAGCAGCGCTAGTGAGGCACGACATGCAGCTGCCTACATATGTAGTATATACAGCGAGTTTCTACACCATCCTACATAATACTATCCCACCGAGCACAGCACCTTCTCGAGAATAACGATGGGAAAGCCGTATTCCAGACGAAAGGCGAGCGGCGAGGAACACGTGAGCCTGTCGCCCAAAGCAGCCTAGCGCAACGGGCGAGCCCCGCCCGGGTCCTGCTGAGTCAGCAGGGTGTGTTTGGCTTGTTTGTTTATCCACAGGCGGTTCTCAGGGCAACGAAAGGCCAGGGCAGCGAAGAACTTGTCCATGGCATCATCCACGCTGCGGCGCAGATCGGGCCATCTAGACGTCTAGATAAGAGAGACAAAGGTTGAGGGTGTTCTGGCTCTGACTCTGACTCTGACTGCTGACGCCCTGGCATTGTCTGTCGCTGCGTGTCTTTGTTTTTCTTCTTTCCTCACTGCTGCAGCGCCCCTGACTTGGCCTTAATAATGGACCATGAGAATCTGGTATGCTCATCCTGCTGTCCGCGATTTATTTTGGGGTATTTGCTGACTGCTCTAGTATCAGTCGAGATCGCCCACACGCAGCCGGATTCCTTCGCGGACAACTGGACTGAAGGAGATGAGCTCGATGTCCACCAACTCACGGTCGGGGCTGGTGCAGCCGGGGACCATTGCTGGGAAGACGGTGTCACGTAGGTGCAGTCGGTCAGAGAGGGAGGCGAGGATAGGAATTTGCTGACGAGAGCAGAGCTGAATAGGTCGAAGAGCACGACGCAGGCCCCCGACGTCCGACGAGCGGGATCCGTCTCGTACGGTGCGCGGTCGACCCCCGCCACACACGGACGCACCACCTCCTTTGCATCCACGATGAGGGCGACCTCAACCTCGTCGCGCAGCGTTGCTCCGGGATCCTTCTCCGCCACTGTCGGCCCGGGATCGCGCCCGGCCACCGCGATGGGGGCCTCTCGCCCACAGACGTCCATGTCCCACGCCAGAAAGCACACCGGGCCCTCCCTGCCACGACCGGCAACCTCCCTGGACACCCACGAAGAAGAAGCCGCTGCGAGCGTACTAGGAAAACGTAAGGGTAGGCCGTCATTGTTTTCCTTGTTTTCTTGTGATTCGTCATCCACCAGCGAAGATTGGGCGCTGGGGCACGATGATGGTGAAATGAGCGACCCCCTTGTCCGAGCGTTTCTTCCGGGAGAACCGCTGTGGACTCGCCGTGGTGGTCGTGATCTCTCATTGTGCCGCGCCTTTGATCAGCTGTCCCTGAGCCAACGGGATCCCCAAATCCGTCCCTCGGAGGGAGTCCCCAAGCCCCCGGCGTCCAAGATCCCCAAAGTCTCTACCCCTAGCAGACCTACTCCCCGAGCCCCTTACTACTATGTGACGCCCAGGGTGTCCCCACAGAAGCATCAACGACAGTTTCTCAACAAGTATTCTTCAGTGACAGCATTTGACATGACTACAGGACCGGAATGGGATCAAGAATCCCGCGAACGCTCTTTCGAGGAAATGTTTGCTACCTTGGTTTCCAAGATGAGCCATGCTGGTCAGTCTACCTCTGGCCTGCAAGAGTCGGTCGAACTGTACAAAACGAGAAGTAAGTATCTCGACATCTGCAATAAAGACCAAAGGTTGATCGTCTGTTAGTCCAAGAGTTGGAGTCCGCCCGTAACGAGCTGACCGACTCGAATTTATCTCTACGGGTCGAGGTTGAAACGATGAAGGCCCGTATGGCAACGGCCGAAAGCGCTTTGAAGAACGCGCAGCGAGAGCACGAGATCGCCCTTGACGAGCTGGACAGGCGCCAGCGGATCGATACAGAGACAGTCAAACAGGATGGTAAAAAGAAGCTGGAAAACATCGTCTCACAGCACCAGGATGAAATGGCGGAGCTCAGACGGCAACATGAGCGCGACCTGGCGGACGCCGCGGTGGCGCATCAACGAGAGCTGACTCAACTCAGCTCCCAGAATGCACTCGAAACACAGAAATCCCAGATCGACTTGGATAAGAAAGACCGCGATCTGTCTCGCCTGCAAGAGGAAATCCAGGTGCTGCGTGATGAGCTCGGCCGGGAGCGCAAAGCCAACATGGACCTGCGCGAGAACCTGAGCACTGCAAGCAACAATAGCGTGACCATGGAGTCATCCATCCGGGCGCTCAAGGCGCGCATCGAATTCCTCGAATCCGGTCGGGAGGAGCAGTCGGAGGCCTTTGAGCGGCTTAACCAGCAGATGATGGATGCGCTGGCCGAGACGAACGAAACCAAGGAGAAGCTGCGCAAGGAAGAGACTCTACGACGCAAGCTTCACAACCAAGTCCAAGAGCTCAAAGGCAACATCCGTGTGTTCTGCCGAGTGCGACCCCCGCTGCCCTGCGACCCCGTCACCTCCATTGCCGAGATTGAATACCCCGATGCCTCGGACGACGCCAAGGAGATCTCGGTGCTGGGGCCGGAGGAGAAGAGCAGCCTCGGTGTGGTGTCGAAGAAGAACAACAACTTCTCGTTTGACCGGGTGTTCAACACGGGCACGCAGAATGCCGAGGTGTTTGAGGAGATCAGTCAGCTCGTGCAGAGTGCACTGGACGGGTACAACGTGTGCATTTTCTGCTACGGGCAGACGGGCAGCGGCAAGACGCACACGATGTCTTCGAACGACGGAATGATCCCCCGCGCGGTGCACCAGATCTACGAGACGGCCAAGAACCTCGAGGACAAGGGGTGGCGGTACACGATGGAGGGCAACTTTGTGGAGGTGTACAACGAAAACCTGAACGACCTGCTGGGCAACCCGGACGAGCTGGACAGGAAGAAGCACGAGATCCGGCACGACATGCAGCGGGGCAAGACGTTCATCACGGACGTGAACACGGTGCGGCTGGAGACGCCCGAGATGGTGGAGAGCATCCTGCAGCGGGCGGCAGCGAACCGGTCCGTGGCGGCGACCAAGGCCAACGAACGGTCGTCGCGGTCGCACTCGGTCTTCATCCTCAAGCTGATCGGGACGAACAGCGTGACGGGCGAGCGCAGCGAGGGCACGCTGAACCTGGTGGATCTGGCTGGCAGCGAGCGACTGAGCCACAGCCAGGCGACGGGCGAGCGGCTCAAGGAAACGCAGAGCATCAACCGCAGCTTGAGCTGTCTGGGCGATGTGATTGCGGCTCTGGGGCAGGGCAAGGAGGGCGGGCACATTCCTTACCGGAATAGCAAGGTAAGACGATATGTGAAAAGTTCCTATACGAAAAGCATGCTAACTGGTCAGCTTACGTATCTCCTGCAATTCTCGCTGGGCGGCAACTCCAAGACGCTCATGTTCGTCATGGTCAGTCCGCTGCAGGCACACTTGTCGGAGACGTTGACGAGTCTCAAGTTCGCGACGAAAGTGCACAACACACACATTGGCACTGCCAAGCGCCAGACGCGGGCATAGTTGAGGTTCAAGATTTGAGGCTTAAGTGTGATTGGGATTGGGATTGTTTATGGTACAGCGCAGGCTTTATGACCCGAGCCTTGATTTTCTTTTGTTGGATTGATAACCCTGATTTATGAACATAATACAACTTTGAAGAGTATTCGCTCCTTGCTATAAATCTCCAAACAAGCGGTCCATCTGCTGTGCCACCCGTCTCGATCGGTCCCTCAGAGCGTCTGGATGGAGAACGCCTTGTTCGCAGATCAAGGCATCGATGAGGTGCAGCGGCACCGATTCGAAATATGGATTGCGGACCTGCACGATGTCTGTTGAATCTTCTTTGTTTCTCATTTCTCTGTCGATAATCCCCATGTCTATCCCCTCGGAGCGCCAGCAGCGGGTGACCTCGTCGGGCTCATTCTCTTCCGTCGGTGTCGAGTCCAGTCCGGCGACCTTTTCCATCTCGCTGAGAACAAGGATTCTAGCCCTTGGAGCGACGAGCTTGGTACCCAGGACGGCAGGGAGGGAGCCGATCTTGTTGCACACGCCGGAGGGGGAGATACCGTCTGCGCCCAGGAGGAGGAGGTGGATACCTTGAGCTGCCGTGGCGGCTGCGGCGTCGGTGTAGAGAGTGATTTTGAGACTTTCTTTTTGCCCCTGTGCTTCGAATTGACCGAGGATGGACGACGCCAAGCTCGCGCCTTCGCAGAGGGGACGGGACTCGAGGATACGCACGTCCAGCGATGAACAGAGCGCTGTCAAGGAGGCGATGCAGTCGCGGATGGTCGAGCTGGCGGAGAGGGTAAGGAGGGAGATGATGGTGGGATCGGTGGCATCTTCCTTGAGAATGGGTTGCAAGTATGTTTTGAACGTCTCTTGGATGCGAATAATAATCGGCATCTCCTTCCGTCGGGCGAGATGGCGGTCCACGACCAGCAGGTTTTCATTTGTATCATTGTTGCTGCCACTCATATCGTCCAAAACAGCCATCAACGCATTGACTATCGCGGCGCCCATGTTCTCCCGGCCGTTCTTCCAGATATGCCATGCCACCATACGGATATCGGACCAGTCCATCCCCTCGCCGTGGGAGAGAACGTCGCGGAAGATTGCCAGCGCGATGGTCGTCAGCTCACGCGAACCACTCGAACGGTCGGTCGACAGACGCTTCAACCCCGTGGAGAGCGCGGCGCTCGCCTCTCCGGGGAGGGTTGCTTCGAACCACACTCTGTGCAGACTATCTTGTAGTCTGGGGACGATCTTTCCAGCCGCCGGATTGTCCATGCAAGTCTTGGGATCGTACCAGTCCCACGAATCATGCTCCCAGTCGATACGGATGGCTTGTCTGTCGGGATCGAAGAGAAAGGCAAACGGGTGGACGGTCCATTCTCTATCCACGGAGGGGTCGGTGAAGGTGAAGGGTTTCCCTGTGCGCCAGAGGGTGAGCGAGGTAGCGGTCAGGCTTGTTTCTTCGTGGATCTCGCGCCAGGCACATGCCAACGGGGACGGGTCGGAGGAGTCGACTGAGCCGGAGACGGTTCCTAGATGGTTTCTACCCAGTTAGAGGCAAAACGCACCCTGTATTGCTTTACTTACTGGTATGTTCGGACGGAGGCGCTGCGGCGGAAGAGAGCCACGCGGAGGGGGTTCAGACGGAAGATGAAGGCTGAGATGACGGTGTTTTTCATTGAGACAGAGAATATAGAGATAGAGAATAAGAGCAATAGAGAATAAGGGCGATAGAGGATAGAGAGAGAGGATAGAGAGTGTTGATGATATGGTCAGTGACGTCAGAATTATACGATATATAATAGAGTATAATAGTGAACAGATAGTATAGTATGTTTATAACTATCTAGTAACTACCTTCCAATCATCGTCGCAGAAGGAGACAGCAGAAAGAGAGAATCCCTCTTGACACTCTCGCTCCTCCTCACTGTCCTCGCCGTCCTGGCGGTCGTCCTGGCCGAGACGGTCTGCGATCTGTAGAGCGAGGGCCGCACGTAGAAACACAGCAGCTGCTGCTCCGTGCAATGCGCGCACTTGGGCTGTTGGCGATCGCAGTGGACGGCGCGTACCTGGCAGGCTTGACAGGCATAAATAGGCTGTGGTTTCTGTGTCTTTGGTTGTGTCTGGGTGTCCGTCTGGTTCTGTATCTCGTCTGTCTGACTGTCTGTCTCGGTGACAGTGACAGTGGCAGTCTTTGTAGTATCTATCGCAGTTGCAGTATCTATCGCAGTTGCAGTCTCTATCGCAGTTGCAGTATCTATCGCAGTTGCAGTCTCTCTCTCGGACAGACTGTCTAGGACGGTATGGACGTCGCCGAGGGGATTATACTGCACATCGGGCTTCCAGGAGAGAAACCAGCTGGACAGGCGCTTGAGCGTGTTGGAGCGACGGAGAGAGGGTCTAATAATTAGCAATCAGCAATCTCTCAATAGAAAGACCAATATCTACCTTTGATTCATCGTGTGTTGATGGTTGTAGGGATGAAGTGACAAAGGGATATAAAAGCTGGAATGTAAACAACATAATGTGCATAAATTATGCTGTATGACGACGAATGATATAATATAGCATATATAATAATACTATCCATTCTATAATACTATATTTACTATACTTACTATACTATACTTACTACGACATGTCCCTCAGCAAATCCATCAGAGCAACCCACGACTCTCTCGCCTCCCTCTTTGACCAGATGGTCGACTCCCTCGACGCCGACGACCAGACCAGACTGCAGAACCAGTTCGTCTGGGAATTGGCGCGTCATCTGGTGGCGGAAGAACTGGTGCTGTATCCTGCCATGGCCAAGTACGTCGACCGGGGAGTCCTCGATCTCGACCGAGATCGAAGAGAACATGAATCTGTAGGTTGAAAAGTGTTATAATTATACATGAGATACTCTTCTGAATTCTCCAGATCAAATACTATCTCCGTCTCTTCCAAGGAATCCCCCCCCAAGACCCCCGTTTCACCTCCACCATCACCCGGTTGATGGGCGAACTGCGCGCCCATCTCCGCCGGGAGCAAGACACAGAGCTCGTCCTGCTGGAGAATGCGATCACCAGCGAGGAGAATCTCCGACTGGCGAAGAGTCTGTCGCGGACGAAGCTGTTTGTTCCGACGCGCGCACATCCCCAGGCCCCGGACCAACCGCCTTTTGAGACGGCTGCGTCTTTGCTTCTTGCGCCGATGGACATGCTGAACGATCTACTCCGACGGTGGCCGTAGTATACAGATAGTAAGATAGTAAGATAGTGAGATAGTATATTTATCTATTTTCCATTTCATCCAGTCGATCACTCGCCCGCTGCTTTCCCTCCTCTGAGTTCCGGGGATTCTTCGTTGCTCTACATGGGTTAGAATGATCTAGTAATCAAAGAAGGAGACAATACGCTTTGTATCCTGCTGCAATCCGCATGGGATCCTTCTGGGGATCCCCCCGCACGGCGTACAGATCATGCCGTGGTTTATCGCCGCCGAGTTCGTTGTCGAGCACGTCTTGGGCGTGGGCTTTGGCTTCGTCGGAGACGCGGGGGTTATGGATTGCCCTATCGGTATAAGCATGTAAGTATAGAAGAGCAGAATGACGAACGCTTTGTATCCTCGCATCGCGTTGACACGGTCCTCGCCTGAGGCCCAGAGTTCGTCTTTGTCTCGGGAGCTGGCCATAGTAGAGTGAGTAGTGAGTAGTGAGTAGTGAGTAGTGAGTATAGAGAAGAAGAGTAAACGTATAGAGTAAACGTATAGAGTAAAAGTATATAGTAAAGTGGTGAAGTATATAGTATGTGGTAGAGTATAACGTCACAATATGTCAATATGATGAATTGCCTCTGATGTAACGATTGCGTGCCGATTCTTCCCTATATCTACCCTATCCAGATCTCTCCAAACACCCTCCACTCCACCTACGAGACATCATCATGTCAAACGTCGCCGAACGAGAGGCCGAAGACGCCTACGAACGCGAGAACGACGAGTCGCCCGTGCCAGGAACCGTCCAGGACGATACCTATGTCCGTGAGACAGACCCTTCCATCCGGGACAAGGTCCCCGTCGTCGGCGACAATGAGGATTACGACGAGCCCATGCAGCCGCCCTATTCGAACAGCGATGCACAGCTGGGTAGTCTCCCTTGACATTCCATGTCCATGTTCTCACTATACTGACTGCACAGCTGACGACGAAAACGAGGCCATCGATCCGTCGAATATCATAGACGAACGTCTCCGGCATGCAAGGCCTCGCACCAAGAATGGATACGATGAAGGCCTGGGCGAGGACGATTTGCCCGAGGGAGTGCGTCAGGGGGATGTTGGTGTTTCGGGCACGACTCGTATTTCTTAAGATATACTAGATAGCTAGATTATATACTATCTAGACTAGGCTTCAACTATAATTCAAGATACTGCAAAGGCTTTTTTTGACATCCTCCCAGAACCTCTCAATCCCTCTGTCTCGGCAGATCTGGAGGAAGAGCCGGCCAGGATAATCTGGCTAGTGTTGCGCTTGAACATGCTCAAAGAAAGGGTAGAGACGTCCATTTTGAGTAGTGATATTCAATAGTTATTCATATAATAGGGTGGGCTGATGGAATAAATAAGGACAATAGATAACAGATAATATAGTTAAAGTTAATAGAAGTAGTATTTGCTAATGCCTCATGCTGTCTTATTAATCAATATAACTGTATTATAAAGGTGATGTCAACATGACATGGGTAAAGGAAATAATAGATATACTACTATTCTATTCAAATCTTAGCTCCCTATAGGGTATGCACCCAGAGGGTCTTATTACATACTTATAGTTTATTTATATAGTATTAAGTAGATTTACTGGATTAGGGAGGGCTTTCTCTATGCCTCAGTGGGGACCTATACCTGGCTGTTGATCCTATTCTTCTACTAACGGATCTTCTCCCGTAGAGTGCTAGATGTGGCTGGCTTTACTCTTTAGCGTTTCTAATAGTCTTCTACTTGATTAAATGTATGTTCCTCACTCTAGAAGACATTCCTTATAGACATTAATATTTATATTATGGTTTGATTTATTAAGATACTAATATGAAGAAAGCTTTAGAAAGCAAATTGTATATTAAACTAGGGTTCCTAAGGGGAAGATGGTACTGGCTAGAGCTTGCAGAGTTAAGGGGGCATTGATCTATTATTATTATAACCTTCCTAATGTTTGTCTGTTGGCGATTGACCGATTCTTCTTGCTGAAACCTAAATAGAAGTTTATCCAGCTGGTTTACAGACAGAACTCGATCTGGGAAATATGCTCAACAAGACCATCTTTCAGTGTTTCTGTTCGAGGAGGGGAAGTTGAAGTCTAGTTGGCCTGGGTAATAAGGCATCTTGCCTAACTAGTTACGGCTAGTCTATTGCTATCAAGTGAAAAAAGCCTTTAAAAACCATGTCCCTTGAATTCTCCTACTGAAGACATTTTTATATTCGAGGATGGCTTTCCCGGTGCCAACCGTCCCCCCAGTCCCCAGTCTGGCAGGTGATTTACGCCATCATTGGTGTTGTCGCTGCTCCGTTCCTGGGCACTATATGTGTGGTACTTAAGGGCCAGACGCAGGTAAGGGGACTTTAGCGAGAGCTGTTGGTTAAAATCTGTATTTACCGGCGATTTTTCAGGTACACCAACCCTATGATCGCACCGTTTGTGCCCCAGACGGTTGATGAAATGGAGGGGGCCATGCGCCTTGTCCATAGACCATCGTGAGAGATCCCAATCGATTCCCGGGTGTATCCAAAGGAAATGTTAGTAATCATCGTTTGCAGGGGATCCGTGGTATACAAAACTTGGCAGAGCAGTTTGGTCTTGTTGTGCTGCTCAGCAGCCGAGCAGAGTCGAACAAGTGTTCGAGATGCACGGGGCAGTTCGGGGCGGAGATCCGGCGGAAAAGGAGCTGTCACAGGAATATATGACCATATAAAGCTCTAAGTAATGTCTGGACATTTTTAGTGGCTCAGCGGTCTAGTGGCCCCCTAGATTTGGTAGAAGGCGAAGCCGCATTCAGATAATAATTTTATGGGAAACAACGTTTATGGGTAGAAGAGACTTTTAGTTTCCCTTACCTACGGAGTACCTTGGGTACGGAGTACTATACAGAGACCTAGGTACTAGGTAGTATGCTATACTGTAAGTTACCGTATGAACTCGGGTGGTATTGTATTGACAACGACCATCCCATTTAGGAAGGCACCTCCATCGCTCCTTCTTCTTCTTCTTCTTCTTCCCCCTCTTTCTCTCTCTCTCTCCCATCATCACTTCTCCTCTCTTCTCTCCTCTTCCTTTTCATCTCTCATCTCCCTTCTATCATCTTCTATCATCTCTGTCATCTCTGTCATCTCTGTCATCTCTGTCATCTCTGTCATCTCTCTATCGAGATCTAAAAACTGCCGAATATTGGCTAAATTAACTATCGCAGACACTCCGTATCGAGCTGCCTCGTTCGTCGTCACCCACGTCGCCTCCTCCCCCACCGCAAGATACTCGGGAGGAGCTGTGGCAGTCACCGTCCATGCGTGCTCGCGAGTGTAGCCATCAGTATGGAAAAACTGCCTCCACGCCGCCCGCCCGAGCGTCTCGCTCTGCAGTTCCGCCGCCGCCAGTCCCGTCAACGTCGAGTGGCTCTGTCGCCAGGTGGCATGCTCCGGAAACACAAACCCAAACTCCTCGCGCTGTACGGCCTCCCCCCCGTTGTAGGCACGACAGTACGCGAGCCACACGCGCAGGAACCGTGCCACGCAGTCCGGATACATCTCGCGAGCGTAGTCGAGAAGCTCGGTGACAATCTCGGGGAACCCAAACAGCATTGATAAGTGCGAGATGGCATACTCGGGCGTCGGAGGCGGGCAGGCCCGCATCTCGCCCGTCGTCGGGTTCAGCAGGATCGCGTTGTTGCCGATCCCATGCGGCAATCTGGCCACCCCGTCCAGCAGCCGGACCAACAGATCGCGCGCCTGCATCCAGCCCTCGGCGCGTCGCTCCCACGTGCTCAGCCACGCCGCCGCCAGCGCGCCGCAGTCCAGCCCGATGTTCGTCATGGCAAACCCCTCGGGCAGCTCGTCGGCGTGTTGCTGCACTTTACGGTGCGAGTCCAGCGCCAGCAGCGTCTGCTGGCACGTCGCGAGCTCCTGGATGAGATCCCCCGTGCGCTCGTCGCCCGTCAGGTAAAAGTAGATCCGGCGGTACAGCACGTTGGAGATCCGTAGCTGCTTGGAGCTGTCGCTGAAATGCTGCACCCCGTGCCGCGTCCCAAACCCCTTGAACCGCCCGGCGTGGTAGACATCCACCTCGCCCGTGTGGCGCGTCATGGCCTCGGCCATCTGGAACACCTCCGCTCGTCCCGTGTGCAGGAAATACAGCCACAGCCACAGGTCCGTCGACAGCTCCGAGTTGTCCCACGCAAACCCGCCCACGTCGTAGCGCCAGGCATGCCGGTACGCGTCGTACGTGTGCTGCACGTCCCCGTGGTCCCAGAAGCCGTACCATCGATTCTGCTCCACCTGCTCGCGGTAGAAGTTGAACAGCAAGTCCAGGTTGCGCTCGATCTCCTCCACCTCGCCCGCGCTCGGGGTGCTGCTGCTGAACCCAAGTCCGTGCAAGTCGGGGGCCCAGCACCCGTGGAAGACGCCCGTCGAGTGCATGTATTGTCGGTCTGCTATTAACCGAGCTGGCTGCCGCACCAGAGACGAAAAGCCACTCAACTCGCGGTTGGAGGGCGTGGCTAGATATGGCCGAAGGAAGAACTGGTTCGTCCGTCCGATCCCGTTGGCCGTCACAAACCCAGGCTCATAGTCCTCGTACGTCACGTCGAGGGCCTCCAGCTGTTTTCCGTACGAGTCGAGCCCCAGGCCATCGTGGTACGGCGCGGTCTCAAGCGGCTCTGCCAGAGGAGAGTACATCCACACCGTGATCACCCCCTCCTCACTCGTGAGATGGTCGAGATCCAGTTGGGTAGGGTAGCGTTCCCAGAAGTCCGACATCCCCACGGCCAAGCCGCCGTGTCGAGCTGATCCCACATAGGCCAGTCCATCGGCGCGCCCGCCGCCCGTCACCTTGACCCAGGAACAGCCCCGTCTCGTCCGTTTCTTGACCGTGAACCCGTCCGACGACAGCTGCGACAGCGAATACGAGTCCCAGCACGGAATGTACGTCAGTCCCCTGGCGAGGTCGGTCCGCTTCCATTCGGTTTCCCGGAGTGTCACCGCTCGGCCGGCCGTCTGATCAATCCGGTCCTGCACGGTTGGGCCGTGCCTGAGCCCCGAAAGACCCTGGACTTCTTCTTTGAGGATGCCGCCCCCCGATCCCCCAAGGCGGATATGTCGGTTATATCGCTCCGTCCCTCCAAGGGGCACAGAAAACTGCAACCCCAACGAGGTCAAAGGCTCGTCCGCGTCCAGATCGTGGATGAAGGAATGAAGAATCCGCACGGTTGATGCGTGAGAGTATACGTACACCCGGACGTCAAAGGGGAGATGTTCCACCCGATCATCAGGGGAGGAAGAAACAACGACGCCGGAGACTTTGACGAGGACCCTACTGAAGGTGGCGTTTTCCACTGTGGCCCCCTGGACGACAGTGGTATATTCCTTTTTATCGATGGAAGCAACGATCCGGGCCCCGGAACACACCACACACCCATTCACAGACAAGCTCTCCAGCCAAGTCGAACTTCCTGGCGGGGAGAACTGCAGCTCGAGTCCGAGCTTCGTCGAAACAAGCAGATGGGGACCACTTTGATCAATGGCCACTCCTGCTAACTCCTCGGCCTTGTCCGCCGCGCCTTTGACGGTATATTGTGCGCTGTACCCGATATCCTGGCTGACAGAGTGTGCCGTCCATCTCAGAGATCCGTCCGCCCAGAACGCAAGTTCTCGAGAGTCTAGAGGGTATGTCTGGCCTTCTGCTTCGATCACAAAGGCCTGTCCTGGTTGATAACGACCCCTTGGCCATGGCATGCCAAATGATGTTCCGCCAGAGAGAGCCTCTTCCTGGCCCTGCCCGGTCAGCCACCGCACGGTACCTGCCATGGTCGACGGAGAGGTGGAAGATGACAATTCCTTTTTTTTTTTTTTTTTTTTTCTAACAAAAACTGGTGCAACGTTTTTGATCCCTGAACAGCTGGCGATGTTGCATTCAAAAGGAGGGGTAGAGTTGGCTCAATTCAAACCCAATGAACCAATAGCAAAAGAAAGTTCACCGAAGAACCGAGAAACAAGTACAATAAACAGCCCAGCTCGTATTCACCATGACCAAGCACTCAATGGGCATAAAGACACGCTGATCATCCCCGGAAGTCTCGAAGATCCTCGTCATATGTTTGGTGGTTTAATTTCGGGGCAGTGGCCTGCGAACTTCGGGGCATCTTTACCCCGGAATTGTCTCTCCGTTCCCAACGAGGCAGGCTGTTGCGGCCATCTCTATTCGACCCCGGGTGGAAGTCAAGTCTCCTTGTTTTCCCCACGTTCTCCGCAGCGGCAGGAGCCTGAGGCGCTGTATCCACCTCCACATCTTCCCCCGCGTTTTGGAGGGTCTGCCCATATGGAGAGAATATAAATTGCTCAACCAAGGCCTGTGAACGACCCGGACAACAACAAGAATAAAAGCGACGACGACGACGACACTGAAGTATGGCTGAACACCAAGAAGATTTGGCCGACCCTCGGTCCACCACGGTGATCCAAGAGAAAGATGAGGAGCGATACATTACGCCAGAAGAGATCCTCAAGGGTGCTCAGAAGGCAACGGATGATGAACATGGAATGGGATTGCGGGAAGGGATCCGCAAGTACCCCATGGCGGTGTTCTGGTCGATCTGGTTCTCGTCCTCGCTTATCATGGAAGGGTTCGACCATTCCTTTGTCACCGGCTTCATCGCCTTCCCAGCCTTTCAGCGACGATACGGCGTGCTCCAGAGCACGGGCGAGTACCAGATCCCCGCCGAGCTGCAGTCGGCCATTGGCAATGGCGTCAATGCGGGCGAGATTGTCGGCTTATTCCTCAACGGCCTCTTTGCCGACTGGTTCGGCTACCGCTGGGTGATGATGACCTGTCTCTTCCTGATGATGTGCTTCATCTTCCTGCAATTCTTCGCGACGAGCATTTACATGTACCTCGGGGCGGAGATCCTCCTGGGGATTCCCTGGGGCATCTTCCAGACGCTGACCACCACCTACGCGGCCGAGGTGTGCCCCAACGTCTTGCGACCCTACCTCACGATGCTGGTCTCGCTCTGCTGGAGTATCGGCTATCTTCTCGGCACCAGCGTGCTGCGCGGCTTCCTCTCCATGTCGAGCGAGTGGGCGTACCGGATTCCCTTTGCGCTGCAGTGGGTGCTTCCGATCCCACTCATGATCGGCATCTACCTGGCGCCCGAGTCGCCCTGGTGGCTGGTCCGCAAGGGCCGCGCCGAGGAGGCGGGCGAGACGCTGCGGCGGCTGCGGCGCAAGGACACGCCGGAGGAGGAGATCGCCGACACGGTGGCGATGATGATGTACACGGTCAAGTTGGAGAACGACATGCAGTCGTCCAGCTCGTATCTGGACCTGTTCAAGGGATATGACCTGCGGCGCACGGAGATCACGGTGCTGACGTACCTGATCCAGGAGCTCTGTGCGCCGCTGGTGGCGTACATTGTGTACTTTTTGGAGCAGGCGGGCCTGCCCTCGACCTCGTCGTTTGATTTTGGGATGGGCGAGTATGCCCTGGCGATTGTCGGGGTCTTCATTGCGTGGTACCTGGTGCCGAAGGTCGGGCGGCGCACACTGCTGCTGTCCGGCACGCTGTTCATGACGGCGACGACCTTCCTGATTGGCTTCCTGGGCATCCCGGACACGACGACGCACGCGGGGATTGCGTATGCGATCGGCAGCATCCTACTGATCGAGTACTTTGTCTTCTTCATCACAATCGGCCCCATCATCTACACGATCGTGACGGAGATCCCGTCGAATTTCCTGCGGACCAAGAGCGTCGTGCTGGCCCGGGCAACGTACAACGTCGCGGTGCTGATCTTTGGGCAGCTGGTGCCGCACATGGTGCAGACGACGGCGTGGAACTGGGGGGCCAAGGCGGGCTTCTTCTACGGCGGGCTGATGGGCCTCGGTCTCATCTGGGCGTATTTCCGCGTACCAGAGACGAAGAACCGCACGTTTGCCGAGATGGACATCCTGTTCAAGAACCGCGTTGCAGCCCGGGATTTCAGCACGACCAAGGTTGATCTCGCGACGGAGTCGGTGGTGGATCATTAGTTGTTGTATTTATCGGTAATCACCATATTTCTTCCCATGTCCAGGGTAAATGGCATATTGAATTGTCCATATCGACTTTAGAGTGTAGTCTTTCTCCCTATCTATAGGCTAACCCCTAAGATGTCTCAAGGAAATTTATATTGCATCAGCTCATCCAATTAGTATCTAAATAGAATCATAAGCGAGAAATATAATTAGAATTATTCAAGATGTAATATAGAGATAGATTCATTTCGCAGAGCACCTACTACCATTACTCTGTACAATGGAGTGTCGATTGCTCTACCACATAAAGAAAGTATGCCGGTACTTGTCACTGGCCACGTCAGCGATGAGATGGAGTCGAGCATAGCCGATATATTGCCGAGAGTCCGGGAGAGATGGAAGAGCCGGTCTTTGATTTATCTGTATCAGTCCAGGGATGATTTATATTTATAGTAAGATTACTACATGGACTTCCTAGCCATGGACTATTGTCTAACTAGGTATTGACTATTGACGCCTCGTCCTCGTACTATAACCAGGGCTTCTCAGGGTCTCTACTCCGTACTGAGTACTCTACAATAAGAGCATTAAATATAGAAATAGTACTCCGTAATACTTCGACAATGTTACTATTTATTCACGCATTATTAGTTATGGAGCATCTTTTTATGCTGACTCAGCCACGAATGTGGCTCGCGACGCGTGGCTCTGCAACGCTAGTCCGCTTCGGGCCCAGCGTAAACACGTCGACTTGAGCGGGAAACAAAGCGTCGGTCGGCGTCTGCAACAGCAACAGCAACAGCAACAGCAGCAGCAACATTCCAGAGGGCCGTCAGACTCGTCATCCGATCGACAGTCTACTCCCTGCAGGATAATTCCTACTTCTCTATTTCTTTTCTCGACCTCGCTAAAAATCCCTCCCGCTCAAACGTCGTCGTCCGTCTCCACCGGCCACTCAGTCTAGGCCTCGGACGCTCCTCCCATCGGCCTGCCTGACCGGATCGACACGGTGGGCTGGCGGATCGAGAGCCCCGTCGTGTCATTGGGTGCTGGAGACATGGTTTCCTACTAGGTGGCCTGGGTGGTGCTGGGTTGCTGACGTCGGCAAATATGTCCTGAGCTGAGAATGTCGGAGAGAGACAGAAAGAGGGAGAGAGGGAGAGAGGGAGAGAGGGAGCATTCCAGGTGACGGGGACTGCTTGCTTAAAAACCAAAAGGCATGTACGGAGTACAGAGCATTCTGTCGAATGCTGTGAAGGTGGGTTGCCCCCTGGTTTCACGAGTGACGAGGTCGAAACATGCCTAACTGACTGTCGCTGCAAGTACTCGTCGTTTCAGGTTGGCCACTTGCGTTGTTCGCCACGTTTCACTCGCCCAGTGAACTCAGGAACTCAAGAACTCAGGAACTCAGCAACTGAGAATGAAGGGAATCCAGGCCGTGATTCGTCCAGTCCCTCCAGCCATCCCATGCCTTGACACCGTCGCTCTGCGTGGCTTCTGCCCGTTGATTCGGCAAGCTGGAGCCAGGGACGGGCGTCAGTCCCACTATAGACGGAGTAATGGACAGGAATAGCCTTAATGGGCCTCTGCTATAGTCGTGATTGCTTCACTCCTGACGCGGCGCTGCCCTGGCCGGCCCAGAACCTCTCTCTCTTTTTTTTATTCTATTTTTTTTTTTATTTTTTTTTATTTTTTGATTCAATGAGAGGGGAGAGTCAGGCCGTCAATAAGAGCCCTATAGCTATTGTCCCCAGTCTACAATAGCTAATAATAACAGTGTCCCCCTAGACGTTTCCTCCTTCTTTCCTTTCTTTTCTTTCTTTCTTTGTCTTTACACACACTCTCTGTCTCTCTTTTGGAGATCAGTCATTCTTTCCCATTTCCTCTATACAGACGGTTTTTGTCTGTAGACTGTCGCTCCCTGACTAACTGATGATCTTGATGATTGTCTGACACTCTTTCTCTTTCCTCAAGACAAGAGAAGATCCCTTACTATCGTTATTTTTTTATTTTTTGTTTTATTTCTGTAGATCCTCAACCATGCCTTCTTCCTCTCTTCTTATCGGCTCCCTTGCCGTCGCTTCTATTGTCGCCCCCGCGGTGGCTCGCGTGCCTGGCAAGCGGTCATCCTCGGAGAGCTACACCCTGGTCCAGACCTGGGAGGGAAGCGACTTCTTCGACTACTTTGACTTCTACACAGGCGCCGATCCCACCGATGGCTTCGTCGACTACCTGGACAAGGCCAGCGCAGAGAGCGCCGGCCTGGTAAACATCACCTCCTCCGGCAGCGTCTACCTGGGCGTCGACTACACCACCACTCTCACCTCCAGCTCCGCCGGCCGTAGCTCCGTCAGACTGGATGGCACGCAGTACTTCGACCATGGTCTCTTCATCGCCGACATCCAGCACATGCCCGGCAGCATCTGTGGTGTCTGGCCCGCCTTCTGGACCACCGGCGAGACCTGGCCCACCGACGGTGAGATCGATATCATCGAGGGTGTTAACCTGATGGATTACAACGAGGTCGTCGCCCACACCGGCAACACTTGCATCATGAACAGCACCGACATGACCGGCACCCTGACCAACGCCGACTGCAGCGAGACCTCGAGCACCACCGGCTGTGTCGTCGAGGGCGCCACCGGTAGCTACGGCACCTCCTTCAACGACGGCAACGGTGGCGTCTATGCTATGCAGTGGACCGACGACTTCATCAAGATCTGGTTCTTCGCCCGTGACTCCATCCCCACCTCCATCACCGACGGCACCCCGGACGTCTCCGCCTTCGGCACCCCTCTCGCCAACCTCCAGGGCTCCTGCGACATTGCCGAACAGTTCCAGGCCCAGCGCTTTGTCTTCGACACCACCTTCTGCGGCGATTGGGCCGGTGGCGTCTTCCTCGAGACCACATGCCCCATCAGTGACTCCTCCAGCGGTACCGCCAGCTGTGTCGACTACGTCGCTGCCAACCCCTCGGCCTTTGAGGAGGCCTACTGGGAGATCAACTCCATCAAGATCTATCAGGAGGGTGCCCAGGCTTCCGCTTCTGCCTCCGCCTCTGTCGTTCCTTCTTCCGCTCGCATCGTCTCTGTCGCCACTTCTTCCGCTGCCGCTGTCGGCGGTGACTCCGTCACTTCCGTCGCCAGTGCCTACACCACCACCATCACCCACGCCGCCACCGCCACCGCCGGTGACGACGAGGATGTGACCTACACTACCATCTACCGCACTGTAACCACCACCATCTGCCCCCTGGGTTCCTCCACTCTTGCATCCGGCGCTACCATCGGAACCAGCGTCACCACCGTGACCGGCGGTGCCTCTAGTGCTTCCGCTACTGGTGTTGCCGCCGAGGGCTCGGGTTCCGGCTCTAGCTCTTCCGGCTCTGGCTCTTCCGGCAGCTCCTCCAGCGGTTCTTCTGGTAGCTCCTCCGGCAGCTCCAGCGGCTCTTCCAGCGGCTCCAATGGCTCCAGCAGCTCTTCTGGCAGCTCCTCTGAGGCTTCTGGAAGCTCTTCCACTGGCACCAGCGGTTCTTCCAGCGGCTCCAGCAGCTCCTCCGGCAGTTCCTCTGAGGCCTCTGGAAGCTCTTCCACTGGCTCTACCGGCACCTCCTCCAGCGGCTCTACTGGCACCTCCAGCGGCACCTCCAGCGGCTCCAGTGGCTCCAGCAGCTCTTCTGGCAGCTCCTCTGAGGCTTCTGGAAGCTCTTCCACTGACACCAGCGGTTCTTCCAGCGGTTCTTCCAGCGGCTCCAGCGGCTCCTCCGGTAGCTCCCCTGAGGCTTCCGGCAGCTCTTCCACTGGCTCCTCCAGCGGCTCTACCGGCACCTCCAGCGGTTCTACTGGCACCTCCAGCGGTTCTTCCAGCAGCTCCAGTGGTTCTAGCGGCTCTTCTGGCAGCTCTTCCGGCAGCTCTTCCACCGGCAGCTCGTCTGGTAGCTCTTCCTCTGGTACCTCTTCCACTGGTAGCTCTTCAGGCTCCTCAGGCTCCGGTAGCTCTTCCTCTGGCAGCTCTTCCAGCTCCTCCGGCAGCTCCCCTGAGGCTTCCGGCAGCTCTTCCACTGGTACCTCTTCCACCGGCTCCAGCGGCTCCTCCGGTAGCTCCTCGTCTGGAAGCTCCAGCGGCTCTTCCGGCTCCACTGGCACCTCTAGCGGCTCTTCTTCCAGCTCATCCGGCAGCTCTTCTTCCGAGGGCTCTGGAAGCGAGGGAGCCTCTGCTACTTCCGCTGAAGGGTCCTCCAGCAGCGAGAGCGCCACTGTGACCACGATCGAGAGCTCCACTCCTGACTCTGGTTCTGGCTCCAGCTTCAGCTCTGGCTCTGGCTCCGGCTCCGGCTCTTCCGGTGCCTCTGTCGCCGCTTCTCTTCCCTCTGGCGCTGCTGCTATCGGTGTCTACCCCTCTGGCTCGACCAATGGCACCCGCCCGGCCTCATCGCGTACCGTCGCCTATCCTACTGGTATGAAGACCTCGGGCGTGGCCACTGTTGCCACGGCCGCTTCCTCTGGCTCGGCTTCTGCCTCGAGCGCGGCCGCCGCGGCCAGCACCTCTCTGGCTGGAACGACCTTCACTGCCGGTGCTACCCGGATGTCCGTTGGTCTCTCTGGCATTGCTGGTGCCCTGGCCGTTGCTTTGCTGGCATAATCTCACCTTGATTCTTTTTTTATTGTGTATACTTTCGCTCTTCTTTTTTCAGTGCATACCTAATGTACAGATACCAGTGTTGGACATAATAGATACCGTTAGAATGTTAAACATTTTTAAGTAAAGACCCAATTTCTGATTCATAACAAGTGGCTATATACCTCTTGTACAGTATAAGCTACTGGTCTACCCATCTCCTGCGCCAATCCCGAACATAGATATCCAGAATCCCATCCTGGACCATGCGCAACCTCCCATTCCGCAAGGTACGACTCTCCCTCTCGGCCTTGTCGGTAACGAAGCGGGGCATGATGGTTTTCTTGTTCTTGCCAGTGGCGCCGTACATTTGTTCGTAATGCTCGACCAACTTGACGGCAGGATTTATCCGTTCCTCACCACGCGCACGACTTGCGCGCAAAGCATCTAGCCAGGTAGCCAGCTCCACTGTCTCGAATTCGAACCCGCCGGTGCGTAACCTGCCGAGCAGAGCGGTCCAGGCAAATGTGTGCGGGTTGCATATGTTGTAAACTGATTTGTCTTCTTCTTTTTCTTTTGATATCGTTGGTGTTCTTGTCAGTCCCAATCGGGAGCGGAGACCCTTGCGTCGTTTACGCGGGGAAGATGAGGACGAGGAAGAGGAGGAGGAGGAGGGAGACAAAGAGGAAGAATTGCTATGTGTATTGCTGTTTGCACGTGCGATGTCCAGAATGGTTGCAGCGAGGACGTCAACGGGGAGCCAGGAACAGGCGGGCTCGAATTCGGATAGATCAGGGAGAGCGTGGAGAGTCAGGGCCGAGCGAATCAGTAAGGTGATGGCTTCCGAGTCGTTCCAGAGACCGCGTTTCGAGTGTCCCGATACCTGGCCGATACGGAGGGAAAAGGCGCGGGCCTGCGCTGTGCGGCCGGCGGCGGAGACGAGGCGCTCGCCGATGAGTTTGGAGCGAGCGTACCCCGTTGGCAGGGCGGAGGTGAACAAGTCGGTGGGTGTCTCGGGAATGACCATGGGTGGTTCGTGTTGAGACGCGAGCACGGTGGAGATGGAAGAGCAGAAGAGAAACAGGGCTGGGGTCGGCGAATGGGTGTCCAGCGAGAACTGCAGGAGATGGTGCAAGGAGGCCAGCTGAGGCTCGAAGCTGGACAGCGGGAGGGTAAAGTTGACGGGCCACGAGGTGTGGATGACGAGGGTGACGCTGTCGAGCATCTGGTTCAGCGTGGCTGGGGCGAGACCCAGCGTCGGCGAGGTGAGATTCGCGTGTAAAGCGGTGATCCGGGACATCTGGGACTCGGTGATGGTGAGTTTCTTGGCGTCCAGGCTTGTCAGGACGGCTTCCATGGCGTTTTCGCGGCGAGTGAGGCAGTACACTGTCGTGATGGCGGTGTCTTGCAGCAGCCGATAAAGAACGTGGACGCCGAGAGAGCCGGTGGCACCGGTGAGAACCTACGAGGGGTCAGCAAGAGATAAAAACAGGGGCAATGAAGAATGCATAGATGGCACACACCGCGCTGCGGCCTGCTCCGGAACGCTGTCGCGGCACATGGGGCGTGAAGGACGAGTATTTGTTGACTAGGCCCGGCATGAGGCCGATCTCGTCCTCGGTCTCGATCAGGTCATCTCGTCCTTGTTGGAGATGACAGATCATGGCTGCCAGACGGGATACGCTGCGCATCTCCAAGACGACGTTCGATCCAATCTTCGACTGCATTTCGTCGTCGAATTTGAAATCACGTAGAATCAGCCGTCGCAGATGGATCGCCTTGAGACTGTCAATGCCAGCAGCGAACAAGTCTGTATCCACGCCGGCGGACAGATCCAGCGCGAGCTCCTTTCGACAGAGCATCATCAGATGGTCCTTTGTCGCGGCAGTATCGAGTTCGAGAAGGAGAGCCCGTGTCTCCTGTCTCTGACCCGTGTACAGGCTTTCAATCTCCTTGCCGAACACCATCTCGACCTGGCCTCGGATCAACGACCCTTTGTCGGTCCGCGGACAGGCTGTGCCCACGGCCATCACGGCGATCATATCTCTGGTGATCTGCGAGAACTGTTCCGCATGCGCATTGGCCTCCTGCACCGCCGGCCAAACCGCGTCCAGGAATTGGCCGTCGGTGAGCTGGGCGGATGTCTCCTCTCGGAAGAGCAAGAGTCCCGGGGCAGCACGCCCGACGCCCACGGCAATGGCATCATGGACGAGCGGGTGCTGTTTGATACGTCCCTCGATGGACAGGGGGAGGACCTTCTCGCCGTTGACCAGGGTGAGGCGGTCGTCAAGACGGGTTACATACTTCCATCGGTCTGGTAAAGAAGGGTGAGGCGTGAAGACGTCGCGACTATGGAACGAGCCCGGAGGCTCCGAGGCGTTGGAGACGGTCAGCGCCGGGTGGCCTGCCAGATAGACACATTCGAACAGATTATCGCCCAGAGGCTTCATCCAGATGAAGCACCGGATGTTGTCAAAGAACCGCAGATAGTTCCAATAAGGGTCCGCAGCTGGGCGGGAAACTGACTCAGCGACGAGGCCAGTTTCAGTCCTGAACGTCAGTATCGGATGAAAAGGATTGAACAAAAAAAGAACCAGAAAGAACTTACGAGCCAAATAGTCCCCCAAACCTCACGTCCTGCTGAGTGAGTCTGTCGCCTAACTCGTCTGGGCACTGGGCACCTCCGAAGGTGACGAGTCTGCATTGTTTCAGCACAGCGACTCCCTGCGGGCTATCACAGAGCAGCTGGAGAACATAGGGGACAGCATGAACGGATTCCGGCTGGGAGGCGTGCAGAGCTGCAGTGAGGGACTGCGCCGTGACGGGGAGGGCGGCATTCCACAAGAAGGCGGTCTTGCGCATCCACATGGCCTGGATGGCAGTGGAAAGGCCGTGGAGATGATACCAGGGCAGCGGATTGAAGGAGGTCAGACCCGGGCCCCGCGGGGGATGCGTCATGAGGGCCTGATGGCTGAGAAAGAGCGGTTTGGGGTTCCCTGTCGAGCCAGAGGAGTGCAGGATCAACGCGATCTTCGTTTTCTGGATGTCCAGGCGATGCCGGCGATGCAAGACGATCACCCTTGTCTCCATCGACTCCTCGTCGCTGTCTTCTGAGAAGGAAGCAAGGGGCTGCAGCATCGATCTGCAGCTGACGAGCTTCAGCTTCACGATCTCACCCATGATCGATCGGATCGAGGGGGTCGCGCCGTAGAGAAGCGAGTCGCAGCCGGCCGCATCCAGCAAGGAAACACAGGCCGACGCCGACAGCCGCGGCGAGAGCATCATGACAGTGTATCCGAGTCTGCTGAGGGCGAAGAAGGTGAGGACCATGCTGAAATCGGACACTGTCAAGAGGGCGACAATCGTGCCATTGTTCTGCTTATTTGTTAGAACAACCCATCTCTGGTGATATGAAAGAAAGAAAGAAAGAAAGTTCACCGGAGTAAAGCCGTGCTCCATCAACTGCCGTACAGTCTGATCTACCAGCCGATCGAGGTCCTGGCCGGTATAATAATCGTACGTGACGTCCTGCGAGCTGGTCGGATACGCCAGAATGGGCACCTGAATGGCGTCGGCAGCTCGCAGGCGGATGAGATCATCGAGGACATGGAGCTGACCGAACTGTTGAACGAGCTCTTCAGGACGTTCTTTCATGATGAAATGTAGATAAGAGAGTCGGTGATGGAAGTGACAGTGAGGAGTGAAGTGAAGGAGAGAAGGAGAGGAGGAGAAGGGGGTTTTCTGTCCTGATATCGAATAAATACAGACAAACAACCAAAGAATCGAACAAGACAGCTTCTATCGATTTTACCATTTATTAGGCTATATTTCTACTGATTATTGAGTTCTCAGCTGCTGATCCGGCTCTTTGTTAAGATATGAGTATAAATGAATTGGAATATAACCTCAATAAATACAGACTCGCCTTTACCCATTCCCAGGACACATGCTATGGTTTGCCTCGGTAGAAATCTTCAGCCAGGGAGTATACTTCGTACGGAGTACTGTGATGTGATGTGACGCTCCTGCAGAATATCCAGAGCCAACTCCAAAACCAGGAATCAGATCATGTTCACGCCCTGCGGATCCTTCTGAAGGCATGCCCGAAGACCCTATTGTCCAGTCAGGATTGGGGACAAACCACCCTGTCACGACAGGCTGGACTGTTCATTGTGTAGATAAACTGCCACAGATCGGCAAGCCACTGCCTCTGACGAGTCAGATTTGAGCGGTCTGTGGAACGGGGGAGAGGAGTAGAGATACTACGTCAGTTCAGCTATCCTAAGCTATGTAGAGCAGGAGTACTAACAGGAATAGTGACTAGTTAGTAGTGACTAACTATCTCTCAGACTCGCCATCATCCTACGCCACGCCTCGCCCGCTCGGGCTGCATGTTCCTCGGGCACGCTCGGGCGGGCGTCGTGCGTGGTGCGCGTAAAGACCTCCATGCTCACCCATCCCCGGTACCGCAGCCCCCGGAGGAGCACGTCGGTCACCTGGCGGATGGGGAGGTACCCCCCGCGCTCCTCTTCAAAGGGGAACAGGCGTGCGTTGCGCGACCAGCCGAGCAAGGGCGATTGGTCCTCGAGATGGAGAAAGGGCGCCGCCGGATCGACTCGCTCGCCGTCTGCGATCTGCATCGCGAACACACGCGCTGGATCGCGGATCTCACGAACCAGCCGCTGCAGCGACTGCTCGAGGGCCTGCGCCCCGTCGGCGCCCCGGCATCCGGTTGGCGCTCGTGGGTCTGCCCACACCCGCGCCGCGATGTTGAACGAGTCCAGACACACGCCCAGGTTGCCCCGGTTCGCCCGTCGGATCACCTCCCACGATCTCTCCCAGGTGTGAACGTGCGTGCCCCACGCGAGCGCTTCGTACGCGATGCGCGTGGGGAAGGCCAGATCGGCTGCTAGCGCCAGGTCGGCGGCTAGGCGATCCTGGTCCCCCGTCGTCTGCGAGGCGGGCAGGAAGGAGGACGGGATTAGGATGCTGATGCTGCCCTTGTCCTTCTCCTTCTCCTCATCGCCGAGGATCCCCGCCAGTTCAATCCAGTGCCGCAGTTCGCGTATCCGATTCGCCCGCTCTGTCGGATCGAGGATGCCCTCATAGTTGCGGAATGGTTGCAGGGAGATGATTGCAATCTTGCGCTGCTGGCAGAGCTCGCGGATCTTGTGCGCAGCAGTGATCTCATACGCCCACGCCGTGGCTTCTTCTTCATCTTCCTCCTCCTCCACTTCTCCCTTCCGATCTATCTCTTCTCCAGAACCCTGCCCTCGGCCCCGCTTTCGATCTTCCTCCCGTAGAGCGTGCGCCACCTGGACCAGATCATCGTAGAACAGCTCGATGCCCTGGAGACCATTCTTCGCCACGGCGTCGATCTTGGCCTCGAATGAGTGCATTGAAGCCACCCCCAAGCTGACCGTGGCCACTGCTGGCTTCCATCCCGGACAAGAGTCTGTATCAGTGCTGGCAGCGGTGGACAGCGAGAATAGGCGGCCAGACGATAGCTTTGACAGGCAGTTGAGTGCCGCGGCCAAAGCCCGCATCAGTGATTGAAACATGAGGATATTTTCAGAAAAGAGTAGTTGCAATTCAAAGGAAACTTGCACTCAAGATTTGCACTCGAGATTCCAACTGTCGTCGAGTCATCGTAGATTATATACTGCAATTTCATTGTAGATAGTTTACTCATTAGTTGGACCCGGTGGCATAATTGACGCCTCAGAAGCAAAGGTCCAAAATCCCAACATATTGTTCTCCGCCCAGTCAATCAATCTGCTACAGCGGTCAGTCACTTCTTTGATTGCTTTTTCGATAATGCTGTTACGGAGTAGTATGCTATGCTTCGTACTTTGTATTGACGATCGATCGAGGTTCCAGGAATGCTTCGATCTTGCATCACTATGAGCGATTCTCCGCCAGACTCATTGGTCGGAAAGACACGGCGATCAATGGGTCTCTCTCTGTCGTGCTAAACGAGAAGCCTCAATAGAGATCTTCGAGGTGATACCCAATGGGATGTTCAATGAGATGCCCGTCAATAGGATGCTCAACAGAGTTCCACGATGCTAGACATAAGGTTTTCCCTAGCAGCTTAACTAGTACGGAGTTAAGTCTGCACATTGCCATTCGGTACGCCAGTAACAAAGCCATCAATTAGGAACGAGTGGCTGACCTAGCAATTGGCCAGGGTCCAAAATATTGGCTGTTGACTAGTCCGTCATACTCTTTGTTTGGGGGTCTTTCTTTTCTTTTTCTAAATGACCGGTCAGATTACTGTCGTCAATCGATGGACGGTGTGCTCCGTACGGGTCGCGTGGGCCATTTACCGACCTCAGGACCCCCGAATTTGTATTCAATTTGCTCGTTCCGATTTGCTTGCTGCTTAGAGGGGTCCGCTATGAGGTTTCGTACTCCCCAAGAGTACTCCGTACTTGGTACTTTGTGTGTTTGTGTGTGTGTTTGCTAGTTACCTGGATTGGACTTCGTGTTCGTATAAGAATGGCACTGTCTCAACATCAGCCATGTTCCGAATCCCTTCAACAGAGAACTCGAGTTGCCAACATGTTTGACCTTGTGTTATCCAAGCTAAGATTTTCACCATCTTCGATTCTCTTTGCTCTGCTGGACCGGCTGGTGCCTCCAATCTACCCTTTCAGAACCTCCATCGTGATGGACTCGGCTTCAGCACAGTACATCTTCCGCAGCTCAGAGCAGAAAAAGATGCTCTCTCTCGTAGATGATATCAGGAAGCTTGCGGAGATGGAGTGTTCGGATTTACAAAGCCCGACAACACACGCCCAGTTGCTGACCATGGTCAACAAGCTGAGGTTGGCGATAGAAACACCGACGGAGACAATTCTCAGATTGATTTACCAGGTGCGTGTGTGTAGAGACACATTGGCGATGAATTGAATCTGACTCAGAAACATGCAGCCCCCTCAAAATGCAGCTCTGCGCACGGTTGTGGATCTCGACATCTTCAAACTGGTATTAGAAGCAAGTTCAACCAAGGGGGGGAAAGGCATCTCGGCGACGGAACTCGCAGCTCGTACCGGAGCGGAGAAAACCCTCGTAGGTAGGTTTTGACACCACGATTGACTGTGCATGATTGATGCTGACCCTGCAGTTCGTCTGATGCGTGTGATGACCGCTCTGGGCCTTTGCACTAGCCTCGAGCCAGAGGTATATCTGGCAAACGACAAGACGGCGACTATGACAAAACCTATCGGACGGGATGGTGTTAGCTGCATGTGGGTTGAGCTCCATTTTCAATCGAGTGAAGGGAAAGAAGGAAAAACTGATAGATTAAAGATATGATCTCACCCTCCCAACTCTTACCCAGCTGCCTGAGTATCTCCGGGAGCACGGCTACGCCGATCCCAAAGAATATTCCCGTTCCCCCATGCAGTGGGTCGTGGGAGAGAGTCAATTCGAGTGGCTCGCCCAGCGGAAGGATCATCAGACTCTCTTCAACTCATACATGTCCAGCCGACGAGAGGGAAAACCGAACTGGTTCGACATCTACCCCGTGGAGAGGCTCACGGAGTGTGCCAATCCACACCCTGAGGCGGTGTTCCTCATCGACATCGGCGGGAATCACGGACACGACCTGCAGAAACTGACGCACTGCCGACCCGACCTTCCAGGACGACTGATCCTGCAGGACCTGCCCAAGGTCATAGCTTTGGCGCCGCAGCTAGACGGCGTAGAAGGAATGGGATATTCCTTTCTCGACCCGCAGCCGGTGAAAGGTGAGCCAATCCGCAAATATATACGCAAATTCATACTAATTTGGCGGATCTTTTCAATTCCAGGCGCTCGAGCATACTTCTTCCGTTCGATCTTCCACGACTGGCCGGATCGTATCTGCCACAAGATCCTCACCAACACCATGAGCGCCATGGATCCGTCGTACTCTCGGATCATCATCATGGACCATGTCCTCCCTGACGTGGACACCCCTCTGCTCCAGGCCGCGATGGACATTCAGATGATGAGCATCGGAGCAGGAGTGGAGCGATCAGAGCTCCAGTGGAGGAGCCTTCTCCGGAGTGCAGGCCTCAAGATCACGGGCATCTGGAGCGGGAATCCCGGTATGGAGTCAGTCATCGAGGCAGTTCCGATGGCAGAAAGCGAGGACACGTTCTAGACTACCTTTCATCCTGTATTCAGCTTCTGCAGACGTCAGATATCAACTTCGATTCCATCCTTTCTTCGTGCTCACCATCTCATCCCACTTCCTCCGCCGGACACTTATCAGGTACTGATTGTATTTATCGTAGGGTAGTAGGACTGTGTCAGCAAGACTCTTTGCTCCCATTCGATGGCTCTCGATGCTATCGTCGATTGACAGCCTCAACATAAGAAATATGAGTCACTGCTGAGTTTTGACGAGGCGACGTTTTTCTCGACAGGAAAGAGAACGTGACATCGGAAGGCCGACTAGTCCCAAACGGTGAGTCATGTGCTCTCGGCCATAAAATGACCACAAGAAGAGAGGAAAACAGAAAGAAGGAGGAAAAAGAAGCACCTCAACCACGATGACGCAGCTGGATCCCACGTTCCGCAGCTACGACTGCGCCCAGGCGGCGCGGTATGCAAAAGCTCGCCTCTCGTATCCCGCTGAACTGTACCAGGTCGTGCTTGACCACCACCAGGCGACGGGCGGGCAGTTCGACACGGTGCTGGACGTCGGCTGTGGTCCTGGCAACGCGACGAGGGACCTGGCGCTGTCGTTCGATAAGGCGATAGGCGTCGACCCAGGCGAGCAGATGATAGAGGCTGCGAAGGAGCTGGGGGGCACCACGCAGACGGGCAGTCCGATCCGGTTCCATGTTGCGTCGGCGGAGGACCTGGCTAGAGATACTACTAGTATCTGGGATATACAAGGCGGAGTGGACTTGTTGACAGCTGCGATGGCCGTATGTTGGTCGTCATCTATCCATCTAATCTATGTCTGTGGTTCGACCTCTGACTCAAGACAGGCCCACTGGTTCAACATGCCGGAATTCTGGAGGGCCGCGGAACGAGTCGTCAAACCGGGAGGGACGGTCGTGCTATGGACGCAAGCGTCTCTTTATTGTCGTGCGTTCCTTTCTTTGTTGCGGTGATTTTGTTTCTAATTCTCTTATCAAGACCCATCTACTCCCAACGCGGACAAGGTGCAGGAAGCCCTGTCACACCTTGAAGACGTTGTACTCAAGCCATATGTGCTTCCTTCAAACCAGCTCTCGCACGATCTCTACGATAGCCTCCCTCTACCGTGGACCGTGGAGCCTGTCGTGTCCGCATTCAAGGAGTCGGACTTTGTGCGCCGGGAATGGGACCGGGACGGGATACTTACGAACGGACAGGACTATGCCTTTGGCAGCGACGAAACGTCCATCAGCAGACTAGAGAGGGGGCTTGGAACAGCCAGCATGGTCACCCGATGGAGAGAGGCTCACCCCGAGCTGGCCAACACGGATCAAGACTGCGTGGCTGTGACGATGAGACAGGTGCGCGAAGCCCTGGGGAATACAGAGGCAGATGCGACCTTCCGAACTGGCCAAGCTACAGTCATTCTTCTTTTCAAGAGGCAATAGCTACTAGTGATCTAGTAAGCATGGTTTCACATACCGGCAGGCAGTGTAGACAGCTTCACTAGATCTTACCGAATTCCTGCTTAACAAAACCTCTCCGTCGGTATCAAAATCCAAACTGCAGGATATGTCCGTTTGCAGTTTGTTACAGGTCTGGCCGTCGGGCACGCTTGCTTTTCCGCCTTGATACTGTCTCGCATATACTTGACTCTCTAGATATCTAGCCCAGGAGATGGATTTTAAATCCAGATCATTCAGAGAGTCTCATATCATCTTTTCAGAGCACGGGAGCCTGACTACCGGTAGAAACCACTGTAGGCCGGTTTCGAACCAGACCTTCGCTAAGCAGGTGTCTTCACCGACACGGATGAGAGTGTACTCTCATTCTGGAATACCATTCAAGTGAATCCCGTCTGGGCTAATACCGTGTCTGCCTGTAGATAGGCGAGGGGACGTGGGCATTCACCAACAGTCAACCAGTCACTATGCCCCAGACCTCTAGTAGTTAATGAGATCTCCTTTCGGATCCATTACTCATTCACCTTGTCATCCATTGTGCGATTCTACTGCAAGAGTCAGACAGACTGCCTGAGGTATCCAACTGCTCGAAGCTCGGGGTATCTCGGTTCTCGCGTCAGTGTCTGCCGAACTATACCAGTGATCCCGTCTAAGGATATGACACAGATGCCTTTGTAGTAGGACAAAGCAGTCCAGAAGAGGTATTTAACAGCTAGGTCTAATATATTAGTTATAAACACTCTTTCTATATAACCACAGAGCTTGTATATGGTGTTCTTAAAGAAATTCTTTTTCTATATGTCATTAACAGTGAGGTGCTGTGCGCTGGTATCCTGAAGCCATAGCCGATTACCATAAAGAACTATCTCACCACACCACAACCCGGTGAATCTATGGATTCACACTCATACTCTCCATCAGAGGGATATAAATACCCCTTCCCCTGCTCCTGGTCTTCATCTTCATCTTCTCCTCATACACACTCCTCCCTTCGGGGTGGTGGGCATACCTGGGCAGTCATCCTTATACATCTTTATATACCTTCATATCTTCTCCAGAAGAAGAGACACTAAGCTCAAGTGTCTTTTGCTGTCTTGCATCTTCTTCATGCTTTTCATTTTATAGTTTCATCCCCAATGTTCAACCTTATCGTCGTGTATAAAATGCGCAGTACACGTCTGCGTCAATCAGCTGCTATTAACTACCGGCTGGTAAAGGATGTGAGTAGTACAGAGCCCCTTGGGAATCCCAGGAGTCGACTAACATTCCTCTCTCAAAAGCTATTCCACAAGGGCGTCAATGGAGATCCAAATCGAGATCGAGATCGAGATCGAGATCCTGTTTTACCCTTCTCAGCAAGCCGTGATGCGGTGCTGTGCTTTTCTTGGTGCTTTTCACTTTCATCCGACTGTTCTCGTGGGCTCATCCTGTGTATACACGCTGTGCATTCATGGTAAGCGTGGATATTTCTGGTGTTGAAAATGGAATAAACTGACTTTTCATGAGAGGCTGGTGGGCACGGGTTAGTACTACCCTCAATAACGCTGCCTCGCGTTCAACGAACGGATGAAGTAACGGGCGGCAACGTACCCAAGGGCAACACGATTGCTCCTGGACTAAATCACGGATTCGGATTGTCACATTCCGCTCCAATGATCCCATGGCCATCACGACTTCGAACTGGACGAACAATTCCTCGAGCATTGCTTGATGTAGCCTTCCGTCCTCCAAGCTCCAGGTTCAGTGCTAAGCAATGGACCAACTCCCGAGACATGGTTTCGAGCCGTTACATTCCGTGACGACGATCCTAAGACTACCACGATTTCGAAACAGACGATCAATTCCTCAAGCATTGCTTGATGTGGTGCTGAGACAGCCTTCTGCCCTCCTATCCCGGATTTCAATGACAGACCATGAACCACCTGGCAAGAAATCGTTTTTCCCACGCCTTATTCTGTCAATGGAGAGCTCCTCTTTTTCTCTGACATGTGGGTAACGAATATGAATACCCTCGGGATGTGGTGGCGGGTTGGGCTTGCTCAAGCGCCAAAATCCAGACTGCACGGCCTGGTTCCGGTTGCAAGTTTTGACAGGCTTCCAGACGAACATGGATGGTGATGGTTTTGCTTTTCTCAGTCATGCTTGACTGCACGGCATGCTCGAGCTGTGTCGGGGCAGAACTTTACCCCCCTCCAGCTTCCGCGCATTTTTCTCTTTTTTATGTGTTCTTTGTTACGTTCGTTCGAAATGGAAGAGATACCTATCTTCTCTCGAGTGGATTGATTCTGGATTCCAGACGAACTCGTTGCATGGGAATGGCGGTACTTTCTGAACGAGCAACGCGGCTGTCGTACAACCGAGCCGAGTACGAACATGCCTCTCTTGAACCTTGGCGTGGAGCATTTCGGGTCTTCATTGTGTGTGCGACTTTTTCTGGAAGAGCCTATATTGTTGGTTCATGGGCACCTCATGATACTCCTGTCCATTTGTGCTCAAGTCCTGATGGATGGGCTGGGAGATATTCCAGATTCTAATCTGTGATACCCCATGCTTCTCTTGGGTATCCCCTTGCAGGCATTCGGTGCTTCTCAATGGACCTGGCGCAGGGGGGCATAGCCCGACACTCCCTCCATTCTCTCCTCCGGCAACGGCACTTATGACCTGGCTCATGCTGCGTATCCCAACCCTGATTCATCACCCGGCTCGATGAAGCGGTATGGGAACGCAGTCCAACCCCTCCACAGGTCGGCTGGACGAGACAATGACCCATAGAGCGAGATATCCGTCATTTCTTCGATGTATTTGCGGCAAATGGTACTCTCCATGGTTATCCCTCTGCAGGAGTTCGTTGTCTCTTCACTGCCCTCGCTGAGAGGGAGTATTCCGACAATCCCTCCATACATCACCCAGTTCCGAGCACGAGGGGCAGTCTAACGCTTCCGCCATCTACTCAGCCATCTTCAAAACACAGATGGCATTCGAACGCAGTCGAACCCCTCCACAGGTCGGTGCTGACAGGGGGGGAATCTGTCACTGGGTGTGTGCCGGTTCACGGTTTCATTATTGATATCCTTTGCACGAGTTCGTTTTTTGTATCCTGCTGTTGTTAGCCACATGTCGAGGGATATCGTGGAAATGCCAGCTGGAGGTAGTGACAAGGAGAATGAGTCGGGATCTTTGACTTTGACATTGCGTGGAAGTTTGCACCGTTCATGACACCTGCATATCCAACGGAGGATGGCTTTCATGACACCTGCGTATCCAACGGAGCATAGCTTTCTTGTTAAAACTTGTATGTACTCAGATAGGTACTCAGACAGAAGCAGAGTCCAAAGGTATTTCGATAATCTCCATTCGAACAGACGGGTATCGTATATACAGCGAACCAAAAAGAAGGAATGAATGAACCAACAAACACCTTCGCTCTACCTGGTGACGTTACTCAGGGCCGTCTCCAACCACAACTTGGTATACTGGCGATGCAGCCAGGCGATGTGAGGGGGCATGGGTTCTCCCTCGGCCTTGCCCAGGCCGCGGAAGAAGCAGCTCTTCAACGCGAACTCGGCGACCCCCTCATCCGGTTTCACGACGGCAGACATCTCAAACAGACCATCGGATGCTCTGACGTCCTGGTTGCGCGGGGTATCGCCGCAGCGAACAAGAATGCGCTCGGATGTTTTCTCGACAACCTCGAAGTGGTCGGTGATCAGAGTTCCGGCCTCGTAGGACGACGTTCGCAGGTCGGCAGGCTCCCAGAGCTGCGAGGCGGTCTCGGGGCCCTGGTATTTACGGGCGAGGTATGCACGTTGGAAAGCGTATCCTATAGAAAAAAGGAAAAGAAAACGCCAGTCAGCTTGGAAAGAACCTGAGTTTCTTTAATCTCCAGTCTGACGTACCCCATCCCGACCAGACACCCGCACAGAACGCTTCCACGAGCCTGCCCTTCTTCTCCAACAGGGTGGGATTTATATCTGACAAGGGCACCCTGCGCACACATAAATCATGCGTCGTCGGGTTCTGCGAGGGATTGAGCTTGACGTGCTGCGGGGAGTGGAAGATGTGGTCCGACAGTGGCATGGGCACGAAGACGTCTCTGCGCGTGCTCCAGAAGAACGCGCCGACGGTGGCCACGCCGCCGTACGTGGTGAGCTTGACGAATTTCCCAATAATTCCCATTGTGGATTTGAATGAGATAATCACAGAGAGAGAGAGAGAGAGAGAGGAGGGGGAGAGTGGGAAGAAGAGAGGGAAATATGAGGGAGAGTCGGCGATCGCACCGAGAGATCGGCGAGTGACTTCATAGATTATTAAGCAGTTCCACATACGATACTTTGAGATTGAGACTTAGATTAAGCATAATTACCTGATATTCTGACAATAAGCATTGCAGGGGGTTATGGAACAGCTACACTCTCAACCAGCTTGAACACCTTACCAACGACAACGACAACAGAGAACCCTCCATCGCGACATCTCCATGGAACTACGCCGTGGTATAAGCCAACCGCCCGCCAAAAAAAGGGAAATTGCATGAACTTCCAGGCTGTTTTGTGCGACGAGATGAGCCAGGCTTTTTCGTCAAACTTTGCTAAGCATTTCACCTGCGGTGGTTAAGATCACTTTGGCGTCGGGGTAGGCTTGATTGCCAGCTCGCCAGCTCGCGCCAGAAGATCTGCGACAGGAATGTCGAGACATGTGTCGTAGGCGCCTAGGAGACGGTCGGACTCTTCTCTCCCGTATACTTCTTTGGTTGCATTGCCGCTATCTGCATCACGGCTGTTATCATTGTTGGTAAAGGTTACGGTTCAAAGCTGCAATCCAGAGATTGAAGTCGTGGGGCGGGTTATGGAAACACTTGGAGCCGTGGTAGGGCGTATACCCCAGTTGACGGAGGGCGATGGCCATTGCTAATGACTTAGTTCGTAAGTATGGTATAGGATAGTATCTCGCAGTACAGTTTGTCCCTGTGCGGGCGAGACCGAGGCCGAGAATGCGCATCGCTTGACGCGGGTTGGGTTTGTGGTCGGTATGACGGGACATGAGAGTTGTATTGAGGTGTATAGATGTATAGGGAGATGTAGTAGAGGTGTGGTAGGCATGGATCGTCAATAGCATTAAAGTTTATCTAGTACAATATAGACAGCGACCGAAACATATCATACAGCATAGCATAGCATATACTCAAGATACACTAGATGCTAAGCTAAGCACTGGCGAGCTAAGCATACGGAACCTCATCGCGACCACGGTAGGCCGTGTCGTAGGTCAGTTGCGGCTGCTCACTCAGACTGCCGCCCGCGTACTCCATCTGGCTCGGGGGCTTGAGCGACATGGCGCGGATCAAGCTGCGGATGCTGAACAGAGACAGCCACATGCGGATGTTGAACAGGCCGCCCTCGTAGCGCGCGGGCTGCATGTTGGCGTAGTCGCCCTGCTCGACCTGGCGGGGATTTTTGTGCAGTTTGTACGGTTTGATTCCGTACGCGTAGTGAAAGAAGACCGAGATGGGGACCATCAGGATGCAGATGATCATCGTGGGCAGGCCGATGTTCACGTCTGCCCAGGTGAGGGTATCGGAGGGGGCGAGGGCACTCGTGTCGCGGAGGATCAGAAAGATGATCTGATTGGTTAGTATTGTTGCCACTTGGTTGTGCCCTACTATTGCTGACTCACGCTGATCAAAAAGGTAAATCCGACGATGATTTTAAACGCGACGAATTTGACAAGAGGGTTGATGCCCTTGAGGTGGGCCTTGAGCACGGTGAAGAACCTCAAAACATTGATGACGGCGGCGCCAACGGACACGTTTTGAACAATAGAGATCTATTCGTCAGTTGATGCAGGCACTTGAGAGACCATGGTACTCACCCATAGATGGGCAAAGTAGGGCTTGTTGCTCCCCAGACAGTAGATAGAGGCCGCCTGGGTGATGGCGGTGACCAGTGCGGCAATAAGGGAGACGATGGGAAACTGGATGGCCATGATCCATGATTTCTATGCAGTCAGCGTGTTGAAGAAAGCTTTGAGTCTAATGTCATATTGTCATACCCTGTACAGGTCCAAGCCGTTCACGGGCTTCTTGGTCTTCTTGTCCGCGGGCAAGTCGACCTGGGCGAAGAAGGCGTTGCGCTGTTCCGGGTCCGTCGAGAGGTAGTCGCATAGAAGGAGGAAGAAGTTGACCAAGGCGATGCCCTCGAAGAAATTCAGCCAGGCGTCCAGGTAGACGTATGCGTTGGGGAAGCAAATCGATAGAAAGGACAGGATAGAATAGATGGGGATGATCAGGGAGATGCGCATGATCCTGTTTATTAGTATTTCCTTATGCTCGAGGATAAGCCTTCTCACTTGATCTGTTCCTTGGGCTTGCTGAGATGCGTCGCGTGTAGGCACAGCAGAGCCAAGATGGTCAGGCAGGCAAACGCAGTACAGGCGCCCGACAGGATCATATTGAACCTGTAGAAGGAGGTCGTGCCGAACAGCAGTTTGGAGGCATCTGCGACCGTGTTAATGTCTGAAATAGTTTTTTTTTTTTTTTTTTTTTTTTTTTTTTTTGGTGTTTTCTTAAGGACGTACCTTCTGTCAAGTGCGCAGGCACCGGGCAGGTATGATTCTTGGAGCTGTGGTGGAAAAGGCCCATGGTGAGTATTGGACTATGAATACACTGTACTCTGAACGTACTCTAATTGATTCCAGAGATGAAAGACAGTCGAGGCATCTTAAATACTCGTCAAGTGTCTGCGCTGGCTGCTTCACCCGTCGCATGCCTTTCCACAAAAGGCACTCGTGGCTGCGGCGGAGTGGGCGGGGGCACGACGATCCATCACGAGCTGATCCATGGAGAATTAATTTGTCCCAAGCCACTCGACAGCTGGAGGATCAACAGTGGCAGTGGCAGTGGTAGATTAAGAGTGACGGCGTCTTGCAGGTGCCAGGAGAGCCAAAAGTGTCGGTGTCGGCGTCGAGTCAACAGTTGATAGGAGGAAGGAGGAAGGAGGAAAGCGGAAATGCCTCATCAAAACAGCCCCAACGCTCAGCCTTACCGCTAACCCATTTGGGGGCAAGTTCAGGGTTATAGCGCTAACCATATGGGGAATGGTCTTGCGAGCTGCTGATTACTCAGCTCAGAGAAACCTTGGTAACTACGGAGTAACACTGTAACAGTAATCCCTGCCAGGTGCTGTAATATACAGTACTCGATAGATTACCTCGTATTTATCAACTGTTCTATTCCTCGTTTTTTAAATCCTCCCGCAATAAGCCAAAGATAAGCAAATCCATAATCTTCCCCCCCTTCTCCACCGCCTTCCTCATCCGCCCCTCGAGTTTATATCCCGCCTTGGTCAAGACGCGCGCACTGCCCTCGTTGCCCTCGTACACCTCTGCCTCGAGACGGACAATCTGCGGGAAGGTCTCGAACGTCCAGGTCGAGAAGGCCTTGACGACGCCTGTGGCGATCCCGCGCCCCCAGTATTCCTCGCCGAGCCAGTATCCTATCTCCATGGTGCGGTGGTTGACGTCCGAGCGTGTCTTGAGGCCGATTCCTCCGATCGCAGTGGTTTTCGCCTGATCGGTATCCGTGCCATCGCTGACGGCAATCACGTAGTCGTACATCGGCGACGAATTGAGCACCGAGTCGATCCATTTGCGTGCGTCGTCGACGGTGTACGGGTGCGGGAATCCGTTGCGCAGCCAGCGCGCGATAGACGCGTTGTTGGCGTGGTGGGAGCTGGACTCGATGTCTTCGGTCGTGTAGGGGCGAATTACACACTGGTCTGTTTTGATCATTGTGAATATAGGGCAGTAGAGAGTGGTAGAGTTATAGAGTGGCAGAGAGAGGGAGGATATGTAGAGTAAAAAAAGAGAGATCTGACCAGCTAGTTTCAGATGAGTCAGAACACCACCACCAGACAAGTTATTAATAGTAGGTTACATTGGCTATTGACGATTATAGACGAGTTAATTGAATGAAAAGAATAGACTAGACAGCCGACTAAACATGTGGTATGCACTACTCCACGTAAATATCCACTCCCTCGATCAAAACAGAGTCGCCATTCCAATTGAGCAGGCTGATCACCACCTCGTCGCCCTCCGACAGGGTCAACGGAATAGGCGCCTGCTGCGTGTACACGGCAATCGTGCTCTCAATCAGAACATTGCCCGCGACCGCGACCCCGCCGACGGTGACGCCCAGGTTGAGGAAGGAATTGTCCGACCCAGAGTAGGTATACTGCACCTGCATGATCTTGTCGCCATCGCTCCCATCCCAGGTGAAGGTGAACGTCGTCGAGTCGGTCATGCTGACTGCTTTCCCACCCGAGCAGTCATCCGTGCAGGAGACGGTGGTGCGCGAGCTCGACTCCGCCGCCGTGATGCTCGTGTACGACAGGTCGGCCCAGGCGCCTGTCTCGACGTCCAGCGACCACCCGCCTGTGTTGTGGAGGGTCATGGTCCCGGAGGAGTCGATTTCTAGTGGGAGGAAGCTGTATGTCGAGGAGAACAGCTCGTCTCCGTTCCACCGGTCGCCAAAGTAGACAAAGGTTGTCTCCTCGCTGCCTACAATCGTCAGGTCGTATGCGTTCTGCGACAGATAGGTGTATGCCTCGGTAGGTGCGAGTTCTTCATAGTCTGACCATGGGCCCTTGGCATTATTAGCATTAGCATTATCATATTCATCTCAGTGTAGGTGCATACACTCATCGAACTGGCAGTCATGTAGATGTTGGCCGTCGGAGTCCAGCCGTTCTGCGGCGACACAATCAGATAGAACGTGTCGTCGTTCTTGATGACCCCCGGCGCCTCCCAGTACACATCGGTAAAGTTGTACACAACCTCCGTGGTGTTGGTGTAGTCGTCGTTCAGCAAGGCGATGGCCAGATTGGCGTTATCGTCCGTAGCGAAGATGAGATATGCCTCGTCGGTGTCCGGGTCCTGGTACACGCCCATATCACGACTCTGATGGCCCAAGGGTGAGAAACCCGACAGAAAGGTGTAGGGACCCTCGATACTCGAGCTGGTAGCCACGCCCACCTCTGCCAGCCCGTAGTCGCTGTTATCCAGATGGAACCACATGACGTACTCGTCGTTCTTTGCGTTGTACAGCACCTTGGGCCGCTCGACCACCGCGTCGTCAGAAATTGCTGTTCCTGCTGTAGGCGACAGCGCCAGCCCCAGGTAATCCCACGAGGCCATCCCGTCGTCGGACTTGTAGCACGGCACGCCTAGGAACCCGTCAAAGTCGGTGTCGGTGCTGTCGTCCTGGCCGAACCAGTACCATGTTGTCGCGCCCGAGGCCAACGCGTTCTGGTCCTGGATGATTGTCCCGCCGTGGGCCTGGATGATATTGCCTGACGTGTCGGTCAGGTTGGTGTTTGGGTAGAAGGACACAGAGGCTGCGCCGCAGAGGAAGGTCGCCAGACACACTATAGAGGCCATACCGTAGATGTTAGCTGTGATGAGTAAGGAGAATGGTATAGTGTAGAAAAAGGAGAATTGAAGAAAATAATGACACTCTTTATAGCCCCTCGGACATCTCCCCCGGCCTTCGCAGGATGTCACGATCAACAATTCGGATGATTCATCTCGGCAGTCGGTTGAAGTCGCTCGCTCTCCTCTTCTTCAATTTGTTTGTCTTCCTGCATTATAGCAAAGCAAGGAATCGCCAGGGGAGTTGCACCGCTTGGAGGTGCAGCGTGCGAATCATGACCCCTGTCGCCGTTCGTCACCTGGAGAGAAGAAGCAGGGATCGTCAGTATTCACGGGGATAGCGGGATCGTCTATTGAAATCCCCGCAATTTCCTCCGGTGCCTGACGAGTGTCTGCGGGGTTGTGAGGACTGACAGCGGTGGTTGAGAGTTGTTGAAAGAGCTGAGATGAGGTAGGAGGAGATTCGATGCACTTGGCAGGAGAAATCGATGCCCGTGTTTGATGGATTCTATCTAGAGAAAGAAAGACAACAAAAGTGATAAAATAACATGTTTTATTTTAATAACTGATAAAGTTCTAATAAGGCATGTATTTCTGCCTTCCAGTCCTAAATCTCACTTCTCCCTCGTTATAAACTACAGACTCATTGCGTGCTTGTCTTTGGCATGGCCGTGTTCCAATAAAGGGTCTGAAAGTTCATCAACGCTTATGCAAGGCAACGAGAGGTTGTTTCAGCAGGGAAGGACTCAACAGCCATAAGCCAGACGTGCATCAAGAGTAGACAGAACGACAGTCTTTCATTTCGTTTTGGAAATGAGCAGCAGTCAACAGAGCTGGTTCTGTTAGTAGGTTCGATCAATTCAGCGTCTAGAAACCTACTATTATAACTTCTGAGTGCCCTGCAGGACAGGGAGTGGCCTACTCATTAGCAAACCTCGCGAATATAAGGGGTTTCTTACCAGGATACTGCGAGCTGGAGCCTGGCAAAAAGACCTCGTAGGGAAGAGACAACGCAGCAACGAGCACAGGAGCTTAAAGTTGGCCTACAGGGGCGCCTTGAGGCTCCGTTCTGCATTGTAGAGGACAGACTTTTCAAGACAAGAGGTAGGATTGTACTCCAGCAAGAATTGTAAATATACCTGAGTAGAAGGAGGTAATTATTAGGAGAGAGGTATTCCAAATGTAGACCATTGAGTATATATCTTGACTGTTATAGAGGGATAGAGAGACGAGAAGAAGAGGAAAGAGGACCAGGGATTCAGGGTATTTATAGTCATCAGCAGAGAGTATTCACTGGTGGAAGTATTCTTTATAGGAGATTCCCTATAGCATTCACAAGACTAAATAATAGGAAGTAAATTGAAAGAGAGCCTTAACTAAATAAGTATATGAATACCTGATTATTAGTAAATATCTCTAAATCTACACATTGGAGCCTGTGTCTCTCCTATGCTTAAACCTGGGGGAGTAGACACTTACTCTATATAGTAGGATTAATAATCCATGAAGCAGTTATCTCCTGCTATATAATAATATCTATAGACTATAGTATACTCTATTCTGGCAGAGGTGACTAAATTTAAATTTTACACTCTTCAAAGTATTAAATAGTAAAGGGTATTTTAGAAGAGCAGCAGGATCTCACTATAGATACCATATCTACTAAACTAGAGTATTGATGACTACTACTAGTTAATTGAAAAATGTACTCCATAAATGTGTGACAGATTGTTTGGAACCTTTTAGTCCAGTGGTCTTCCATCAAATTACTAGTTGTTACGAGGCGTCTACTTTTGCAGCGAAAGCAGTAATTTACAGATACTAAAATAATACCAATACTCGAAATTACCTCTATTGAACTAGCCATGCAAGTCTAAATTTAGGCTATTATTTAATGGATTGTTCCAATTTACTACCTACTCTGTACTGTATCAAGCTATATCATTGCTTCCATATTGACCACTATCAACTTTATGCGAATGCGCTCCCAACAAGGACTAGCGCGTCACGTGATGTCAGCCGCGCCATTCAGAATTGTCGCCCCACCAGGACAATGCAAGGTCTGATTGGCCGGCTCGGATTATGACATCACTGATGCTATTCTGAGCCCTAGCGCTAACCCCTTTGGGATGCTGTTGTTCCTTTGCAATCTGTCCGACCATCAAGGACGGAGTCGAGAGGAGAATCTTGACCATGCGGTATCAGGACGACAGGCTGTCTAGGGTTCCTGTCCAATCAACAGGCGAAGATGTTGCCCCTGTTGCAGAGGTGCTCATATGGGGGTTTAGTTCGATGCAGCGCTTTAAAGAGCCCCGGCAGTCTCTTCACCAAACACTCTTCATTCATCGTCAGTCGTTTACTCGTCTATTAGAGTCGAATCTTCCCTCGTTGACTAAGTCATTCAAGTTGTCTCTCTCTCTCTCTCTCTCTTCCATTTCTTGTCTCCATCTTTTCCTGATTCTCCAGATACCCTATAGTACCAGAACCGGCAGTGAGTATCAACCACACGAATCTTAAGATGGAACGGTTATCACTGACTATTCAGAAATGGCTATGAGCTATGAATTGATCGTCTTCCTCGTCATCCTCGGCTGTGTCGCCGCCGTGCTCATCGCATACGCCCTGCACTCGCACTTCTCCCCTCCCACGGAAGACGTCTTCCCCCAGCCGAGTCATGAACAAAAGGGCTATATGCGCGAAGTACGAGAGCGGAATATAGATGCTCTGGTCTACGAGTCGCGCAGGATAGAGAAGCGGAACACGGCGGATATGTGTTGAGTGAGTATTCCCTCATATCTGTACTTGACGTATATGTACTGACGGTGTGTAGCTGTCATGACCCATGAGCATGGATATCTTTCATTGTTTATACCGGCTGAGCCGGTTCGCTCGTTGAATGCTCTAATACTCTGTCTTGATGCCCTTGCTTGTATTGTGACAGTATACCAGTTGCAACTATCACCGAACATGTATTCGTAATCTCAATGTATAATGCACGTGTTGAACGCAAAACCAGCCGAGATGTTAAACCAGGAAACATATTGAAATCAATTTAAAAGGAAAGGAAGATGAAAAAAAGTCTAGTTGTCCAGCTTGACTTTCTCCAAGGCAGCGGCCGCAGCGGCAGCCTCTTTCTTCTGGCGTTTGCGCTCCTTTTCGCGCTCCTTGGCCGCTTTCTTTGCAGCCGCCTTCTCGGCCTCCAGGCGTTTCTGCCTCTGCAGCTCCTCGCCACCAAAAGCATCGCGCCATTCATCCAGCTTGGCGGTAGGGATGGTCTGGAACAATAGCTTGGGCTCGCCGATCGCCTGGCCAGGGGCCAGAAGCGTCGGGTCGAACGTGTCCGGGATGAGCGGCGTAGGGTCCGCGCCCAGCTGCTGCAGGATCGACTCGGCAGTGCCAGGCATGTAGGGCGCGAGCACGCTGGCGAGCAGGTGCAGGTGGTTCAAGGCCAGACCGATCACGGCCGCACACCGGTCGGGCTCTTCGGTGAACAGGCGGTTGTCCAGCTTGTTGTCCTGCAGCAGCTTGTTGCCCAGGGCGGAGATGTGCAGAACATCCGACAGCGCGGCGCGCATCTTCATGGCCTCGAAGTTGTCGAGGTAGCTCTTGAGCAGGGCGTTGGCTTGCTTCTTGTGCTCCTCCAACCCCTCACTGGTATACTTGGTGTAGTCGGGCACCACGCCGCCCATCTTGGCCTGGCAGAACTTGATCACCCGCTGCACCAGGTTGCCCACGTTCTTCAGCAGATCGTTATTGTTCGTGCTGATGAATTCCTCCCACTTGAACTCCGAGTCGTTGGTCTCCGGCCGGCGCGACAGCAGGTAGAACCGCCAGATGTCCGCGTCCACCCCCGTGTCCTTGGCGTTAGTGCCGAACACGCCAACCCCCTTGGACTTGCTGAACTTGCCCCCCTCGTAGTTCAGATACTCGGTCGCCGACAGCTTGTGCACCTGCGTCCATTTCTGGCCCGTGCCCAGCTGCGAGCCGGGGAAGATGATCGTGTGGAAGGGAACGTTGTCCTTGCCCATGAACTGGTACAGAGAAACGTCGTCCGGGTTCTTCCACCACTGCTCCCACTTGGTGCCCGACAGATCCTCGCCGTCGGTGTAGTTCTTGGTGATCGACACGTACCCGATACAGGCGTCGAACCACACGTAGAAGACCTTGTTCCTGTATTCCTCTTCGCTCAACCCCTCCACGTCCGTCGGAATCGGCACACCCCATTTGAGATCGCGCGTGATCCCGCGGGGCTTCAAGCCCTTGTCGATCCACGACTGCACAATGGCAATGCAGTTGGCGCTCCATTCGCCCTCCTTGCTGGCCTTCTCGAACCAGGGGACAATCTTGTCCTTCAGCAGATCCAGACGCAGGTACAGATGTTTCGTCTTGCGTCTCTCGGGTGTCGCCCCGTCCAGCTTGCACCGCGGGTTGATCAGCCACCCCGTCGCCTTGGAAACCACATCTTCCTCCTGTGTAGGCTGCGTCACGTTCTGGTCTGTGCCGGGCTCCTTCAGATCCGCCTTGTCCGACTCCGGCTCAAAGGGGTCCAGCAGGTTGCCGCACTTGTCGCACTGATCGCCACGGGCGCCCAGGTCATGACATATACTGCATTCTCCCTCGACGTATCGGTCTGCCAGAAAGCTTGCGTGGGACTCGGTCGGACAGAAGGGCTGTGTGGTCTCCTGCTCCTCGATGAACCCGTTCTCCCACAGGCCGCGGAACACCGTCTGCACAATCTCCGTCTGCTGGGCGGTGGGCGTCTGTCCGAAGATATCGAACTCGATCTTGAACCAGTCATAGATCGATTTGTGGATCGCGTGGTATTTCGCACACAGCGTCGCGGGGTCTACCCCCTCCTCCAGCGCCTTGGTCTCGGTCGCCGTACCGTATTGGTCCTACACCACTCTAGTTAACCAGCTGTTCATCATCAACCAATAGACTCCTTCACTCACAGATCCGCAGATATACAGCGTCTGGAACCCCCGTGCCTTGCAAAACCGAGCAAAGGCGTCGGCGGACAGCACACTCCCCACCAGATTGCCAAGATGCGGGACATTGTTGACATAGGGCAGGGCGCTGGTGATGAGGATGTTGCGCTTGCCGGGAATCGGCAGGATCGGGGTGCAGGGATTCGCCATGATCGACGCTATCAGACCGGTCTCCAAGGTAGGCTCGACGGATGCGCTTCTCTGTCTCCTGATAATAACCGCAGAGTGACTCACCCACAATATTTCATGGAGGGGCTATTTTCTGCCGCTACCTTCCGCTGGAGGGCACGTGATATAAATCTCAAACACAAACATGCAAACATGCAAACAATGCAAATATACCAAACACTACAAACACTACAAACACTCCTTTACCAACACGGAAGGCGCGATGCTTCAACTTGTCGACGTCTGCTGCAACTGTCTTTATCGACATGTTTCATGCCTGAACCATCTTTCAATCATCCCTGAATCGTTTATGAATCAAAGTCTACTGGAGAGAAGATTAATAACGGCTCAATACAATTGAAACTAGCTCAACTATCATCTAGACAGCTGACAAAACAAAGCAACAGTGACATCGAACAGAAAGAGCGGCATTCCGACAGAAACCAACGAAAGACACAGTAAAAAGCGTAAGTCAATCCACGGCTTCAATGAGTGACATAAGCTGACGAACAGCAGAGATCGTCTGGTCGACTTCATCAAGACGAAACCCCAGCAGCCTGAACGAGGAACTGCGCAGCGCTCTGAGCGTCAGAGCCGTAGGTCAAGTGCGCCATCACGTTGAATCCATTCTCGCACACGGGGTCCCCGACGGCACAGAACTCCTTCACGGCGGAACTGGACAGCTTGCCCACGGACTGGGCCTTGAGCGGGTCGCCGAAGAGGACGGCAGCCTTGACCTGACCGGAGGAAAGCTGGTTGGCGGCATAGTGAACGACCATCGCGCCCTGAGAGTATCCGCCCAAGACAACTGTGGTGTTGGGACATTGGGAGATCGCCTGCTTCACTAGGCTGGCCATGGTAGGGCCGCCAGAAGCGCCCAATTCGGCGTTGCCCTGATAATATCAGTTAGGTAATGTCATTGATACATTCTTGGGAAATATTCGTTTCTTACCTCAACGGAAGCAGGGTAATCAACACCCTGGACAACTACTTGGTTGTTGGTGAGACTCGCCAGTGCAGAGGCGACAGGGGGTCCAACAACGCTTCCCATGTTACCCATCTCGGTGGTTCCTCGGGCGAAAATGAAGGTCAGAGGCTGGCAGGCGGCCTTGCTGGTGACACCGTTCTCTGTGATGGAGGAGACCGAACTGGCGCGCTTGGCCTTTTCCTGCACCGCTTCACGCTTGGCCTTGTTCTGCACCGCCTCACGCGCGCGGAGTCCTCCCATCAAGCTGCTCAATTCGGATGAACCGGATCCACTCTCCAAGTCACTGAGCATGCTGGTCCAGTCTCCACCGCCGCTCATCAGGCTTGGGAAGGAGGTGGGAATCAGATCGGAAAAGTCTCCCAGACTGCTGGAACCTCCAAGGCTGGCCAAACCAGAGGGAAACAAGGAGCTCAGATCGGTAGGGAAAGAGAACTGACGCTTCTTCAGGAATTCGGAAAAGTCTCCGAGGTCATCCAGGTCTCCAAGGCTGGCCAAGCCCGAAGGGAACAGAGAGCTAAGATCATCACCTCCCTCAAGGCTAGCCAGACCAGAGGGAAACAGGGAGCTCAGATCAGTAGGGAAGGAGAACTGACGCTTCTTCAAGAAGTCGGACAAGTCTCCGAGATCATCGAAGCTTCCAAGACTGGCCAAACCAGAGGGAAACAGAGAGCTCAGATCATCGCCTCCCTCCAGGCTGGCTAAGCCGGAAGGGAACAAGGAGCTCAGATCAGTAGGCAAGGTGAACTGGCGCCTGTTGACCTTGGTGGGAATGGTCTTGGTGGGAGCCAGAGGCGCAGCAAAGGCGAAGCTGCAGAATGCCAGCACAATTGCAGCAGTGGTCGCCTTCATGGTGATTTGTAACGATTGATGAGAATGACTGACGGTTTAACGAAGGATATCGGACCAGCGTTCGATCGAGAAAAGAATGTCTGAAGAGAGGAGAAGAACTCGCTGAGTCTACTCGATGGCTTTGCAGTGTGACAGAGCATGAAAATGGCCTGGGTGACCGTCCATAATTTATACCTTTGGAGTCTGTCTCACTGTCGACAAAGTCCTCATTCTCCCAAATGCCGTATACCTCAGAGTCGACTCAAAGAGGCAACCCGAGTTTTCCCAATCAGGACTTCCAAAACCGGGATTGTTTCAGCTTCAAGGGACCAGAATCCATGATCATCAGCGATCCCAAGGGTCCAGGGTCCTGCTTTGCCTTTCAAGCCTACCATACAGTTTCATCACAACCTACTCTGTACTTGTTACACCTCGTTCGGGAGTAAACTGTGCGATCCTGCTTACCGTGCTAGGGAATCACTGACTTTGGGGGGAACCCATTCTTGAGGCTCAATTTGCCTAGATGGACGATGCAAACCTTGAATAGAGACAATTGCACAGCTTTCGACGAGTCATTTTGCTTTTGACGGTGAAACAGCTGCCCTGAAGATTCGCAACAGGGGAGCAGAACCTCTGCATCGTACAGACTCGACCCTGGCGGATCGCAATGTCACCCTAGAAGTGGACCATGTGGAGGCTCACATCACATCGACGACCGACCAAGCCTTGGATTCAGGGACACTCCCCAACCCTTGGAGCCCCTGATGATCAAAGCACAAACTACAATGGCATGCGCTATTAACCAAGGATACTAAATCGACTTTGGCGAGAACCAGGTCATCACAAAGGACAGGCAGTATGGGGCGTATGAGCAAATCCCTTTTTTGTCGAGCTTTCGGATGATTTTCTTGAACCAAAGATAGGCTGGCTCCATCTCCTGTCGTGCTATCCAATTGACAGCTGGGCACTGGACAGGTCCAAAATGGATTCGTGCGAGGCACGACCTCTCAAAATTTTTCCTTGTCTCAGTTTGCCGCACCATCTATACGGACCAACAACTTATCGGGGGATTTTGAGTTGGCGAGATTTTGGGGCCAAAAGGCACGATTAGCCGGAGCAAGTGCCGAAGGTACCTCGGATCATGGATTTCCTTGGTTACTAGTCATTCGGTTCAAAGTGGTAGGCTGTGATTCGGTGTGGTCGAGTCATTCGGTATGTTTATTTGTCTATATTTCCTTTACGTTTTGACTGGAAAGAGAGGTTTGTCAAGATGGAATATAACATTGCTTCGACAAACCTATTTCTGAAGTATACACTGGCTGACCGTAGTTCCATTGATAATCACCACATATGAATACTAGTTATACAGAAATTGTTCAAGTATGGCCTAAATAGCTCTACCCCATGTGGCATCGGCACGCTCTCCACTCCCCGTCTCGGTCAACACTTGAATCTCCCTTGTCATAATGATGCCCCTGGCCCCATGGGCTGGCAGGATACTCTCCTCGCTCGAGGTTTTCCCGCCCGGTCGAGCATAGCTGGTCGCCTCGTACTGCTGCCGAGTACGATGGGATGTTTCAGAGGTCTCCAAGTCTACACTGGAGAGCGGCTTGCTGCCAGAGCGCGAGTGTTTGCGCAGCTGGTAGGACTCGCCGCCGGTGCCATAGTAGGGCTTCGACTTGGAACGGGAGGCATAGGTGTTGAGCACTTGCTTGAACAGCGGCTTGAGGGTGGGGAGACTGCCGGCAATGATGCCTACGTTGCATTCCGTTCTGTGGACGAATGTCAGCACGCAAACGACCAAAATCACCATCACGATCTCTGGATAGCAGGCATCCTTACACTACCCAGATTGTCAGGTCGCTGTAGTCCCAGAGAAAATCGCCCGTCTTGCCATAGTTGGGCAGGATGGAGAGCTTGACAAACGCAGCAGCGCAAGCACTTTGGAAGAGGGTTGAGTCAGCAAAGTGGTACTTCGAGCCAGCTGGACCGTGATTGTGTGATGCCACTTACAATACTCCCAGGCCGAGAATACAGGCCAGAGACGCCTTGGTGCGTTTGTTGACTTGGAGATGCCTAGTTGGAGACAGCGGTGTCAGTGGTGAATCACCAGCAGAACGCTAGAAAGGAACACCTACCGAAGCATGATCCCAGGAAGAATGGCGAAGATCAGATCAGTGAGAATATTCAGTCCTGTATCAGACAGTGTCAAGAATGTACCAGAAGAAGAAGCGATAGAGTGGCATACCTGCGTTGGTATATGCCAGGGCCAAGAGCTGCGTTGGACTGAAACACTTGGAGGGAACATTGGGGTTCCAGAGAGTCTCCATCTTCTTGCATTGGAACAGGATGGTCTGAAATTGATCGCGAATGAGAATCATGATCTATAGCCATATCCAGAGAGGAAAAGGGTCGGAACTTACAAAGTTACAGATGAGCGTGTACACTGTCATGGCGACTGAAGGTTTCACGTCCGTCAGCATTGTTCCGTTCATCTTTCAGACTCTCTGGCTTACCCATGACTACTGAGATGAAGACCCTATATCCCCGGCGAGGAGCGAAGCGCAACAGAAAGAATCCGATGGAGATCTTGACGGCTGCAATCGCCCACAGGTAGATGAGTTCCGTTGCAAAGTTCAAGTGCATGGCTTTGCTCGCCGTCTTCTCCACGTATATGGTATGTCGGCCAGCGCCGTTCAGGACTTCGGGGATAGTGATGGCCCATCCACTGAGGGACTGCGAAGCAAATTAGGATCAACTGGACAGACAAGGTGGGAAGAAAGAAACCACATACCAAGGCCATCGTCAAGACCATTGTCCAGTCCTATCATTCATTTGTTAATATCAATGGCTTTTCCTTGGGCAACGCAAAGAACTCACATCCAAGCCCACATTGCGGATCACAAACACACGGACATACATGCGAACTGCCACGACAAAGAAGGCAGCCCACGTCACGATCGAGGTCGATATCAGAATCTTGGGGCCCAAGTTGACATCCGGCAGGCCGGCGCCAGCGACATGCGACTCCGAGCGCGCCGCGGTCACCGCGAGCTCTTGGGGATCCATCTGGATGCTGTACGAAGGGGAGAACGAGATCAATAGGACGAGCAGAAGACTTGGACTTGATCAGATCATTGTTGCAACACCTCCTCGCGACAGCCGGACGTGAAATATAGTAGCGACTCGATGGACTCAATAATTGAGAAATCGAACAAGGAACAATTATCACGTCTTTGAGGCAAACTCTGGAGGCCCGCCCTTGTCTTTTTTTTCTGTCCTTACTAAACTTTCGACAGCATCGGTGAACTTATTCGCAAGTCCAGAATTCCCAATTCTCCCCTGACAGTGACTTCCTGACTCGATATCTTTTCTTGCTCTGTTCTCTAGGAACCGACTAGACAAAAATCAGGGTCACATCCAGAAAATTGGCTCACCCGTCTCGTGTACACCAACGGCCGTGCACATTCCTGGCGGCTATCATTTCCTCCCATGGAAATACGACCATGATCGTCGGGGGTTTGCCGGTTTGGCTGGGTGGAGAGATACGATCCATGGGAGGAGTGTCTCCCTGGAATGTGAGCGTCGCCCCTCGCGTATGGCCACAGACTCCTTTCCCGGGGAGCGATCCAGATGAATGAGCGGGGTCCAGAAGTCTGAAAATTGAACCCTTGAATGTCTTGCATAATCCAGATCCTCAATATTGAGTCTGTGACCGTTGGTGGAGTCGCGTTTTCTGCAAACGGTCGTCTGCCAAGAGGGCGTAAGGTTTGCCTCAACAATTGTCTTTGGGATTATACCGAGAGTCACGATAGTTCATCGCTAACACTTGGCAGATGATGATGGATGTCGGTTCAACTCGGGCCAACAGTTCACACAGTTCCCATCCCACATGCCTCAATATCTCACCGGATCTCCGGCATTGGAGCCCTAGCCACTTTCTGTCCTTGGTCGGTCCTATTCGCCAGCTCAATGGCTGTCATTCAGCACGTTTTTTGACCCCTTTTGGCTTTTGCCTTTCAAGCGGATCTATCCAGCAACGTGGGTGACTGGCTCGGCTATTCCGGACGGTAGAGAGAGACCTCTCCTGCTAGGAGAGAAACAGCTTGTCTATATATTTGCCCGACTATCGCTCTGTTGATCTTGGATCTTCTCCTCCTCCCGTTCGTGCCAAGTTGCTTGTCCCGAAAGGCTCCTCCGTCTTCTCTGTTTCATCTCCATGATGATCGGCTCCAATCTGTTTGGCCTGGGCCTCTGCGCTCTCCTTCTGCCGTCGCTGGCTGTCACTGAAAGCACGTCGACGTTGCCTACTGCTGCGGCGACTTCGACTGCGGTGGCGGCCGTGCAGCTTGACGACCTGGCCAGCCATGCCTACAACCAGACGGTGGCCAACCTGACGGCCGGGTCCAACAGCAAGCGTGGAGGGTGTACCTTGGAGACCCTGAAGGTCCGTCGTGACTGGTAAGACCGATTGGAACTCCCATCTTTCTTCTTGTTCTTCGACAGTCCCACTAACAAAGCGCCCTGTAGGAGCACCTTCTCGAAGGCAGAGAGAAAGGAATACATCAACTCGGTGCTGTGTTTGCAGAGCTTGCCGGCTCGGACCCCTGCCAGCCTCGCAGCGGGTGCAAAGACTCGCTACGATGACTTTGTCGCCACACACATCAACCAGACACTGTACATCCACTATACTGTATGTTCTGCTCTGACGAGAAGGCGAAGAAGAAGAAGAAGAAGAAGAAGAAGAAGAAGAAGAAGAAGAAGAAGAAGAACTCCTGCTGACTGGATAGGGAACGTTCCTTGCCTGGCACCGGTACTTTACGTGGCAGTTTGAGCAAGCCCTCCGTGATGAGTGTGGCTTCACTGGCGACTTCCCGTATGTACACCTAAACTCTTACAGACTACTTGAATTATCAGAGCTCACACGTCTAGGTACTGGAACTGGCCTGCTACAGCCAACAGCCTGGAGGACTCGGCCGTGTTCGATGGCAGCGACACCTCCATGTCCGGCAACGGCGAGTACGTGAGCAACGAGTCGGAGATCATCCTCTACCTGGGCGACACCCCCCCGGTCGACCTGCCTCGCGGTACTGGCGGAGGCTGTGTCACGTCGGGTCCCTTTCTCAACTACACGGTGAACATGGGCCCTGCGGCGCTGTCCCTGCCCGGCGGCACGACGCAGTCCTCGGCCAACCCGTTTGACTATAACCCGCGGTGCCTGAAGCGGGACCTGACGACGGCGATCATCGAGCAGTACGCCAACTACACCGCAGTCGTGGACCTGATTCTGGCCAACAATGACATCTGGGACTTTGAGATGGCCATGCAGGGCGTTCCGGGCTCCGGGTCCATCGGCGTCCACGGAGGCGGCCACTACGCCATGGGGGGCGATCCGGGGCGCGACGTCTACGTCTCCCCTGGCGATCCGGCGTTCTGGCATCACCACGGCATGATCGACCGCGTCTGGTGGATCTGGCAGAGCCTCGACCCGGCCCACCGGCTGGAGGCCATCTCCGGCACGGGCACCTTCTTGAACGAGCCGCCGTCGGCCAACACGACGCTGGACACGGTCATCGACATTGGCTATGCGAATGGCGATCCCATCGCCATGCGTCAGCTCATGAGCACCACGGGGGGTGACTTTTGCTACATCTATATGTAGACACATTTATGTGTAGACACATCTATGTGTAGACACATCTATGTGTAGACACATCTATGTGTAGACACATCTATATATAGACACATCTATGTGTCGACATGATGATGTCTTGGGAGGTATTGTTTTTGTCTTCAACTCTTTGTCATTTGAGGTTGAAAGTCTGGTCTTTGCAGCATCAAATCCACCAAGGGTTGGAACAGCCTGTCTTTATCGAACGCCTGGAGATCCTCCCACGTTGCCCACTGCCATCCCTCGCATTTATGAGGTTCCGTTACCTATATACATTAATTAGCATTAGGAGCATTAATAGTAGCTTATCAGAGAATTTACCGTTGGCTCCCCGTGGACCCTGCCGCCCACAAACACCGTGACATAATGTTTGCCCCCAGGCATGACATCGTTGGTCGTAGTGAAGAAGGAGATGTCCTTCTCGTCCACCACCAGGCCGGTTTCCTCGAGGGTTTCGCGCGCGGCACACGCCTCGAAGCTCTCGCCATACTCGAGGTGGCCGCCGGGGAGGGCGAGGGTTCCTTGATTCGATGAGATGAGATGAGATGAGGGTTTACAAGATAAGATGGGATTCCCGGAGTCGACGTACCTGCGCCGTGGCTGTTCTTGCGTTGGCCGATGATGAACTGGCCGGTGGCGTTGAAGAGGAAGACGCCGACGCCTACGCGGGGGTCCATAACCAATGTTTATAGTCAATATGTTAAATAATAAGATAATGAGGTAAAGGATTTATAAGATAAAGGATTGATCTGGCAATGACTCATAACACCGGGTATAAGTATTAATAAGCATCATAATCTAAAGTACAGGAAATGTTATATACCCTATGCTAGAATCAGATATATACTTCAACTATATACTCCAAGTGTGAATCATCATTACTAATTTCAGTAGCCGACTCTATTCTTCTATTCCATGGAATCTTCTTGCTCCAAGATGAGCAACCGGAGTGTCATTACTATCGGGACTATGATCGCCATGGATTAAGAAAGCACATTAAAAGCCAATGTCTCTGCTGTGGTATCAACACTCCCATCCGTCTCAAACACATGCACTTTTCCCCCCGTGCATGAGCTCGTCTCCCACAGCGTCACCACCTGGCCGGCCTCGAGGCCTGTAACTCCAATGCTCGACCCGGTCGGATAGTCGACGACGGTGCACTCCAGGGCGGCGCTGCCTTCGTGGTCGCCGTAGGGGGTGGACATGGTCCATGCTGCGGCCATGCTGGCCAGGCCGAGAAGAAGAAGCATCTATCATTAGGAACAGTCACAACGGCCAGAGGTATCAACTTACTGTAAGTGGTACGGAGTAACTCGGTGGTTGGATATCTACCTAGTCCTCTGTCAATGAGTGGTACTGGGTGTCGCTTTATATAAATTGTGATCTGCAAGGGGTGAGGTCGCCGGGCAACGAGAGTACATAGTACATAGTAGAATAATAATACTCCGTAGAATAGTAGAATAGATATAGAATAGTCAAGGTACAGCAACTATACTGTACCTATTACTCCATAACTATTTGTTACCTACCTCTACCTCATAGTACCTCTACGGTATTGACAAAACAGTAATGCAATAATACAGGACGTAATACCGGCGACGCGTGGCCCAAACCGTAACCAGTCTAGATTCTCGCCACTGACGCCGTCCTGGCCAATCAAACATCTACCGGCCCCCATGCCGTCCTCCCATTGGCTCTCCCCTGCAGGGGTCCTACCGCCCGTCCAATCACTGTCCAGATCCTCCCTCCGGGCCCATCTCCTGTACCGGCTTCGATCTTCCGATTCCCTGAAACTTCTCCGTTCGCTCCCACCACCATCACCACCACCATCACCACGTCTATCACCACCACCACGTCTATCACCACGTCTATCACCACCACCCTGAATATCCGATACGCCATGTTACCTCGCAAAGGCGGTTGATCGTCGTGCTCTCCCGCCTCGTCCATGGCCGTCGCTTCGTGATTCCACGACCATGCCTTGGGGGCGTGATGGCTGGCGGAGATGCTTCCCGTCTGCTGGTGCGTTCTCTTCTTCATCATCATCTTCTTCTTCTTCTTCTTCTTCTTCTTCTTCTTCGCTGTCAATATACTGATATTTCAGGATCCTCCACCCAGAATGGTACCCCCTGGCGCCCGCTGGCCCTGCGCCCGCCCTTCCTCTTCGTCCTGGCCTCCGTGATGGTCGCCGCCATGCTCACCCTCGAGGGCTTACGCTGCTACAGCCGTCAGACCGGGGGATTGGTCTTCTACGACAACGCCGATGACATCTCCGATGCCGTCTCGCTGCTCTACAACTACATCCCCGCCCTGTGCGCCGTCCTCCTCGTCACCCTCTGGTCCTTCACCGACTACGACGTCCTGCGCCTCGAGCCCTACTTCCAGCTCGCCCATCCCCAGGGCACCGACGCCCGCATCCTGTTCACCAACTATAGCTTCCACCCGCTGCTGACCCCCTTCATCGCCCTGCGCCGCCGCCACTGGCTCGTCGCCCTCGTCTCCCTGCTCACCCTCCTCCTGCGCATGTTCCTGCCCGCCCTGCAGACCAGTCTGCTCGACCTCCAGCAGTTGACCCTCCTCTCCCACCAGTCCGTCAAGGTCTGGCCCCGGCTGCTCGGTCTGCCCGGCCAGGCCGACTGGTTCGCCATCGAGGCCGCCCAGGATATTCACGCCACCGCCGCCGACTCGGCCCAGTACGCCTTCCCCCCCATCGAGATTACCGCCGCCAACACCTCCCAACACTCCACCTGGCGCCTCAACGAGACCATCTACTGGGCCGATCTGGCCTGCGTCAACCTCTCCCTCGTCCACCCGGCGTTCCCCTCCTCGCCCACCGTCGTCAAGTCCGCCGACGCGGCCGATTATCTCACCTTGTCCTGGTCCGTCGACAGTCTCGCCATCCCCAACACCACCACCACCGCCGCCAACTGCAAGCTCAATCTCAGTGTCGAGGCCGAGGTCCGTTCGTGGGACACCCAATTCCAACTCCGCTACTGGGACCCAATCGTCGGTCAGGGGAATTCCACAGGGAATATTAGCACCGTTACCACCAGCACCACCGCAGAGACCCTTCACTTCAATTCCACCTGCACCCGCAATCCCTTTGACCTCTACGGCATTGTGATATCCGTGGACCGTCTCAACACCACCTCCAGTAACGGCCTTCCCGAATACAACTCCTCCGCCTCGGCCTTTGCCTGTCGACTGCAATATCAGTATGCCAATGCGCAGGTGGAGATGCGTGCCAACAGTTCCGTCACCTCGGTCAAGTTCTCCAAGCACACGGTCCCCAAGAATCTAACCAGCGCCACGTTTGACGCCCAGGGGTTCAAGAGCCTGCTGCTCGACCGGGCCTCTGCCACGGGGGGTCTGTGGGTGGACGACGGCGACGATGATGACACCCTCACCGGAACGCAATGGCAGAGCGAGGTGACCACCACCGTCAAGGAGACGTTCGCCTTTGCCCTCAATCGACTCTTCAATCTCGACTCCAATCCGGTCACCCTCGACGCCGATGAGATCACCAACTCCGTCGGCCTGGCCATCGTCCCTGGCGCCGCTCTCATCTCCGAGGCCATCCTTCTCCTCTGCGCCCTGACGGCCGTCGGCCTCGCCTTCCTCTACCCGCGCCGTGCCAACTTCCTGCAGTCCGATCCGGGCTCCATCGGTGCCATGTGCAGTATCGTCAGCGATCTGTTCGACCCGGAGAATAATCTGCTCGCTGACCCACAGGTCGGCTGTGACACTTGGTCCACAGGCAAGCTTCGTCGCATGGCTCGCTCGCTGCGCTGTCGTTGGAACGGCCAGGGCCGTATCGAGATCATCCCCCTCGACGGCCACCAGCAGCATGTCTTCCTAATGACCCATCCGGAGGCGACCGATCCCAACAACAACAACAACAACAACAACAACAACAACAACAATGACAATAACAAGGAGAAAGGTCGCGCACCGTTTCGAGCCCCCCGCGTGGCCGATCCTCGGCCGCATTTTCTCGTCGTACCCATCTTTCTCATCGAGTTTGTCGCGCTGTTGACCATGATCACCGGCATGGGGATCGCTCTGCGCTCCCTCATGAACCGAGGTTCCTTTGCCGATCTCTCCCAGTCTTCATCCAGCGTCCTGCAGGTGATCCTCTCCTTCGGGCCTACCTTGCTGGCCTCCTCGGTCAGCGCCCTGTTCACCTCCATCCACCGTCACTTGAGCGTGCTCGAGCCATGGGTGCACCTGCAACGCGGCCACGCCCCCGCCGCCAGCTCGCTCTCGCTCAACTACGCCTCGCAGACCCCCTTCGCCGTTCTGTGCAAGGCGCTGCGCGGCCGACACTGGCTGCTGGGCTTGGTCGCCCTCGCGTGCGTGGTCAACACCTTTCTCAGCGTCATCACGGGTGGCCTCTTCACCCAACAGCTCAGCATCTCCGCCCTGCCCACCTCCGACCTCGCCTCCCCCTACAGCCAATCCGTCCTGATCGACCCGGGCACTGCGGGCGACCTGGTCAGCGATGACTTCTTCCAATCCAGCCTCAACGCGCTGCACCCGTTGTCCCCCTGGACCACCTTCGGCTTCTCCTTCCCGCCGCTGACCGTCGCTCACCGGGACCGCCACCACGAGTTCAGCGCCAACACGCTGGGCATCGGCGCCCGGCTCGAGTGTCGGTCTCTCATCCTCAACGATTCCGTCGTGACGACCAACGCGACGACGGGCGTGACCACGTGGCAGTACCAGCCGCTGGGAGAGAACAGCACCTCCTCCTCCTCCTCCTCCTGTCACATCGAGATGGCTCCGCTGCGCACCGACAATGGCTCCTCCGTCCCGCTCTCCATCCACTACCTCGGTCCCGGGGGCGCCAACGTGTCGACGGCATGTCGGTCATCCGTGCTGATTGTCAGCCGGTGGCACATCGCGCAGGCCCACGAAGCCGTCACGGCGGCCAACACGATCGCGCTGTCGTGCATGCCGCACATCGACCTGCGCAACTCGACCATCCAGTTCGACCGTAGGGGGATGATCCAGGCCGCGACGCCCGTGGCCGGCAGCGCCATCAGCTCGGGCCCCGTGTACGACAACGCCACCCGCAGTCTGGCCGAGTACCACCGGGCGTTCCTCGCGCTGGCGCGCACCTCGACGCAGAACGGCGCGACCACGGCGGCGGCAGCGACCAACGGGTCCAGCGACGGGGCGTACGACTGGCCCGGGTTCCTCACCGCGCGACTCTACGAGCAACGGGCGGCCAACGGGACGACGGGCGCCCGGCTCGAACCCCGCCCGCTCCTCGCCGCCGCGGAACAAGTCTACGGCTGGGCGTTCAGCTCCTACTTCAGCCTCTACCAGTCCATGTATCTGCAGTCGTTACCGCGCGCCGCCCCCGTCGCCAACGGCACCGTCATCCACCACACATGGGGGATCGCCGCCTCGGCCCCGACCGCAATCACGATCCTGGCGATCGTCGCAGCCGACACGTTGATCGTGATGGCCGTCTTTGTCACCCGGCGCGGACGCTTCCAGGCCCCGCGCATGCCCAAAACGCTCGGCGCCGTCGTCCCCTGGGTGGGCGGGAGCTCCATGCTGGCTGACTTCCGCCGCACGCATGGCTGGACCAACGCCCAGCGACGCACCCATCTCTCTGATCTGGATAAGCGGTATAGCTTTCGGCGCTTTCCTCGTGCGGGAGTCATGCGGTACGCCGTCGACGAGGAGGAGATTGTCGAAGCTGTCTCTGTCGAGGTCGAGATCAAGGAACGCGATTGACGACTGTATATGTATATATAATTTCATATTTTCATGATTTACGCTGTAGGGTGTGTAATATGCCACAGCCACAGCCCTATACCTTGTTCCTACCTATTGATTCTTACATGATCATTTATAAGAAACGACGAATGTCACCCAGGATGCAGAGGATTATAGATGCCCGCCGATTCAGGCAGCACGAGGGGCGTCGTGCTCAACGGCCACGACCACTGTCTCGTTCACTACGAGGGCAACAACACGCACTAAGTGCTCTCGGCGACTGCAACTACGGCGTCTCGATGGGCGCGTATACCAAGTTCCTGGGGGCCAACAGCCTCACGGCGACCAACGGGTCCGTCACGCTCGACATCACCAAGACGCAGATACATTTCGAGTGGAGTACGAGGGGGGGATCTCTACTATGTCAGCCATGACTTGAGGCCATCCTATTCGTTTGAGATTAAGAAGTAGACAGTGAATGTGAATGACGACTAGACGGTGTTTAAGATGCGTCCGACCTTCCTCCACGTCTCCCTGCGTAGGGTAAAAGACAACCACCAGTTCCCGTCGGGATCCTGGCCGATGACCGGCCCAGCATTGCGGACTGAGAAGCCATCTGCCGTGCCGGAACAGATGACCTGGACTGTCTTTGCTTTCTTTGCACCGTCTGTGTCTTGTGCAGCAGCTGAGAAATCGACAAACAGCCTTCCCTTGTGCCAGTTGGACACAGCAAAGAGGAACATGCCCGGTTCGCCAAAGACCGGCAGATGGCCCGTCCGCAGGAGAGAGTGTTTCTGCGTGTAGAAGGAGGCTTCGATCTGCGGTGTCGTGCGGTGAGCAAGCAGCGACTGTCTGACTTTCCATGCCGTCAGGCTCAGCGTCTCGCAGTCTCGCGCCCGAAGGAAGGTATAAGACGGGAGAGTCATGTTGGAAAGCACACGGGTGTGTTGTGTATGTTGCAGGATGTCTCGCACGTCGAAGACATTGATCACCGTGATGGGCTGGGACGGGGAGAGGTTCTGCGCACGCACGACGACCCCCAACCACCAGGCGAGAAGGACATCTCCATGACTGACAAAGGTCGATTGAGGGAGTTGGGCGAGCGCTTCGTTGCGCAGCCTGTCGACGTACGACGCCGGAATGCAGACGGTGCGCATCTCGTCGCGGTAGCAGAATAGCTCGAAGATATACCAAAAGACAAAGAGCATGAAGCGCCAGCCCTGCAGCAGACGAGACGAATGGATGAAGTCCTCCCCTTTCTCCATCTCCAACTGCTTCTGCAACGGATCGCCATGATAGAGATCCGGAACGCCTTCTCCCCGCATGACAGCCGTCCAGGCATGCAGGAACCCAGCCAGCCCCATGGCATCGGTGAGCGTGTGCATGAATGTCAGCGTGAGCAGCGTCGTGTCGGTGAAGCGCACGACATGCACCGCCAGCTGGGGCCGGTCGGTCTCCGTCCAGTCCGCCAGTCTGCTGGGGGCGTCGGCGGCACGCAGGAGAGTGGCGATGGCAGCGGGCGAGTCGAACACGGTCGGGGTCTCTGTCGCGACGGGGAACTTGTCTGCGAGCGGATGCTGGACAAAGGGGATCTCGTGGTGGTCTGTTGTGAAGATCACGCCTGGTTGCGAGGGCGTATACTCTGCTGGAATCTGGTAGCAAAGTTTTCCGTTCTACAACGTCAGTATAGATGTGATTAGACGTCAGTATACGAGATGATAAACTGTCAAGACGCTACATTCTTCCTCAGTCTCGCGCCGAGACGACGCCAGTTGCCTGTTGCCAGCAGCTTCTCCAGCGAAGAGCGCAGTTTCGTCGCGTCGAGGGCCGCGTCGATGCGCAGCGTCACGTCGAGCGACATGGCGCGTATATGTTGCTGGTCATCCCAGAAGGGGAGCTCCATGTATAGTATAGAGAGTAGTATATATGTAGTATATATAGTGGTATAGAGAGTGGTATATGTGTATAGAGTTATAATACTTAGAGTGATATTAATAACAGATATCATTTAGTCACATGACAGCATTAACTAGATAAGATGAATATTATAATTAAGAATAAGAGAAATACTTTAAAATATAGGATTATAGATTATATTTAATTAACTAATAACTTTTAGGCAATAGGTTATAATAAGCCTACTCATAAATATAATAATAGGAATTAATGATAATAATATTCTATATATCTGTTAGATCTCTATATCCACTAGACTAGCATTCCGACATCGGAGTCACTCATTCACCTCTTCGTCTTAGATCGTAGTTAGACCTCAATCCTTATCCTTCATTCCTCTACCTTATTGCTCATGGAATCAGCAACGTATACCCACGGACATCACCCCTCGGTGCTGCGCGCCCACACCTGGCGCACGGCACGCAACTCGGTGGCCTTTGTGCTCCCCCATGTGCAGCCGGCGATGCGCATCCTCGATCTCGGGTGCGGCCCGGGCAGCATCACCGTCGACCTGGCGGCGTACGTGCCGTCGGGCCACATCACGGGCGTCGACGCCGTGGGCAGCGTGCTGGAGCAGGCGCGGGCCCTCGCGCAGAGCAGGGGAGTGCGCAACATCACCTTCACGACGGGGGATGCCAACGCGCTGCCCTTTGCCGACGGCGCCTTCGACCTCGTGCTGGTGCACCAGATGCTGCAGCATGTCGCCGACCCCGTGGCGATCCTGCGGGAGATGAAACGCGTCACCCAACGGGGCGGGCTGGTGGCCGTCCGGGAGGCCGACTTCGGCGGCTTCATCTTCCACCCGCGCTCGGCGCCGCTGGACCGCTGGATGGAGCTGTATGCGGCCGTGGCGCGGCGCAACGGCGGCGAGCCTCATGCCGGGCGACGACTCCATGTGTGGGCGCGCCAGGCCGGGCTGACGGACGTGGCCTGCTCGTCGAGCACCTGGTGTTATGCGACGCGCGACGAGATCCAGTGGTGGAGTGGCCTGTGGGCGGAACGGACGGTGGCCTCGTCGCTGGCGCAGACGGCAGAGGCGCATGGCCTGGCGAGTGCAGACGAACTGGCCGAGTTGAGCGCCGGATGGGAGGCGTGGGGGGAGGAGGAGGAGGCCTGGTTTTCTTGTCTGCATGGAGAGATCATCTGTAGGGTTTAGATAGTAGTATATATAGTATATACTAACTATCTATACTATAGTTGTATAGTATATACTAACTATCTATACTAGTTGTATAGTATATACTGACTATCTATACTATAGTATATACTAACTATCTTATATTATATACTTATATACTTACTACTCTCATATAATTCAATTTATAATTTATTACTCTGTTATACAGATATTAATCTCTTATTATAGGATTAGTATAGTGAATCATTAGGCTATTCATAAGTATATACATACCATCATCCAGACATTAGTATAATATAATAATATAGAGAATATAATATAATATAGAGAATATAATGATAATAACTACGCAAACTGCTCTATACCCCACCGTAGAGCTGACATCAGCCAAGATGTCATAACAGGCTTCCTTCAATTCCTCTCATGCATCATCATGAAGCGAACGCGAGCAAAAGGGCCAAAGGTCCGCACCGGCTGTGTGACCTGCAAGTAAGTGATGCCTCTAGAAAGCAGAACGCCCTCTAACAAGTCCAGGATCCGCCATGTCAAGTGCGACGAGGCCAAACCAGCCTGCGGGCAATGCACACGCACCGGCCGGACATGCGACGGCTATCCTGAGCCTGCGCCGCGCCAGAAGAAGGAGAAGAATCCCCCTGCAGTGCTGGCGACGGCGTTCCCAGGGATAGCAAACGACTGCCGCTTGATTCTCGTCCCCGGCACGCGGCTGGAACGCGAGAGCGTCGATCGATTCTGTCGCCATCTGTCGGCCCGCATGGCCGGACACATTTCCTCGCCGTTCTGGGATTATCTACTGCCGCAGCTGAGTGGGAGGGAGTCCTCGATCCGGCATGCGATGGCGGCCGTCAGTGCGGCGCATCGCCGACGAGAAGAAAGCCCTGCCTCGAGAAGCGAGAGCGCAGACGAACAGTTCATCCTGGAGCAGTACAACAAGGCAATCCAGCATCTGATGTTTCCGGTGAAGAAGAGGTCGTCGACCCTCTGTGTGCTGGTGACGTGCTGTCTGTTCGTCATCCTAGAAGCTCTGCTCGGCCACACCCAGCGAGCTGTCGATCATGTCCAGGCAGGCCTGACTATCCTCGACAGCCAGTCCCGACAGGAGAACCAGCAGGAGAACCAGCAGGCAGCGCCCGACGAATACACGCGAGTGATCCATGACGAACTGGCTCCGCTGTTTGCTCGACTGAACATCCAGCTGTCCTTCTTTGGCCGCGAACTGTCGCCGTTCACCCACATGCGAACCCAGCAACCGGACCGTTCGTTTGCCAATCTACACGATGCCCAGCTCGCGCTCGACCGCATCACGGGCGCCGTGTTTCGTCTCGTGCATGTTGCCCGGGCCCAGGGCGTGTTGCCCGATGTCTTCCAGCAGCAACAGCTGCTCACCACCGAGCTGCTGACATGGTCCCTCGTCTTTGACCGTCTCACGGCCTCCGACGAGACGAGTACGAGTACAGCTGTATCAATCATGCGCATGCATCACCGGGCGTTGCTCATCTGGCTGGCCTCGGCGACGTTCATGAGCCCCCTCGACTTTGACGCCTATATCCCGGACTTTCAATATATCGTGCGTCTTGCCGAGAGTGTCCACCAAGGGACAGGAACAGACCGGAAGCCCTTTACGCTTGAAATGGGCGTCGTGGTGGTGCTGTATCTGACCGCATGCAAATGTCGCCATTCACGCACCCGCCGCAAAGCAGCCGATCTTCTTCTCGCCTCCGAAACGAGGGAGGCCATGTGGGAGCCCCGACAGGTGGGCAGAATCGCCGAAATGGTGATTCTCGAGGAAGAGGGGATCAATCCTGACGGTGAAGACCTGTTTGTTCCCTTGCACAGACGCATCCAGGAGGTCTACCTTCTCGACACGCACCTCTCCAATCCCACCTCGGTCATTCTGGCTTATATATCGGGGGGGGAGTGGAAGCTGGTCAATCGATTAGTAGAGTGGTAGACAAACTACATACATACTTAGTACGCTCCTAAGTAATGCTATAGACATCATTCCATAGGGAATATAGAGAACTTGGATCAGGTTCGTAAGTATCGTCATGTCAGGATGGGATGAGCAGAGCTCTAGGTTAGGGTTACAACAGTGAACATGTAGAGAACTGATAATGCCAAGTATCTAATTCTTCCTCAACCGCTCGCCAAAAACCTGGAACATGAACGGGATGGGCGAGATGCCCAGGGCGATAAAGCCAAGCAGGGTATTCCCCCATCCCAAGCCCAGACGATCGTACAGCTTCAGGCCACAGAGAGGGAGGAAGCCGCCTGCCAGACTGCGCAGAACGGTACAGGCTGCAATGGCGCTGGCGGCGTGTTTGGTAAAGGCGTCGACCAGGTAGGTCTGCACCGCCATCAGGATGACGATCATGCCGTAGCCGGTGATGGCGGTGCCAATCTCGGGCACAATCCAGTGAAGGTGTTTGTCTGTCGACCAGCCATAGACGAACAGGCCGACGGGGATGCTCAACGCCCCCGGGAGGGTGATGTAGGAAGGCAGCCGGTCTTCCGGCTTCAACGGTTCCTTGTTCTCCAGCTTGCGTTTGATGCCTTTATCGCTGAGAGTGCCGGAATAGACGAGACCGACGAGCATGCCGACCCCGCTGCCGAGGAAGGACAGTCCGCTGGCGCCCGAGGAGAAGCCGTACTGGCCCTCGAAGACCTCGGTGAAGGTGGTGAAGAGGATGTAGAGCAGGCCGTACAGGATGGCGATGTAGACGCACATGGCCGCCACAATGGGGGAAAACAGCAGCATGCGGGTTGGCCGGACCAGACTCTGCACGAAGCGTTCCTTTGGGGGGATGCCGTCGTCCAGACGGGATTTATACGCCGTCTCGCCAGTTTCTTTCTGCAGTCTTGCGGCCTTGCGGCGCAGAATCGTCGCCGGGTCTGTTTCCGGCACGATGAAGAAGAAGGCCGTAGACACAACGCCGCTCTGGATCTATCAATAAGGACGTCAATAGGAAGTGAAGGCAAATACACTTACGGCAATCGAGAGAACCCAAAACACCCATCGCCAGTTGGTGGCTTCGACAAGAAACCCCCCCGCCACCGGCCCGACAATCGGCCCAAAGAGCGGCCCCAGAGACCAAAAGGCCATCGCCCGGCCGCGGCTCTCCGGGGGCATCAGGTCGGCGATGGTGCCGCTGCCGATGGTGGTTGGGGTGACGCCGACGACGCCGTCGAGGAAGCGGAAGACGATCAGGGCGGCCAGATTGGGCGACAGGGCGCTGGCGATGTTGAAGATCAGGAAGAGGAGGTTGCATGTGTTGTACACGATGACTCGTCCGCTGTATTCACTCCAGGGGGCAACGATCAGCGGGCCAAAGGCGAAGCCCAGGATGTAGACCGAGACCACAAAGGTCGCCAGCGTGGTTGAGCTGCTGTGGAACTCCTCCATCACCAGAGGGACGCCGGGGGCGAACATTGACGATGCGAGGGGTCTATAGGATCAGTAGATGCTTTCAACTCTGCTCGACAAGACTCACGTCAAGAAAGTGGTAAAGGAAACAGCGGCAATGATGGTCCATTTGCGCGTCACCGACCAGTTCATGGGGTTGGCAGGATCCTGGTCGACCGGATCCTCCCAGAAGACATCCATTGTGCTTGTGCTTGATTCCATCTTGATGTCAAGACAGTGCTAACAGTCTATACAGCCATCTTTTATATCTTCCTCTTTTAACTGCATGCTTATGCTGTACGTCATGTCTCGTATTCGGGTTCGGAAATCACTATGGATCAGGTTCATATTTAGTCTTCCAATCTAATTAAAAGTCCTGATCGACATGTCGTATTCGGCTCTTGGTGTTCATCTGTAGGTATCTATATTCATTGCTTCATCATATCTATATATTCATTGCTTCATCACTATACATTATCCTTATCCTCTACGTTCTATCATCATCACATCATGTTCGATATCAAATCTGGCCTGCTGGCCATCATCTCCTTGGTAAGAATAATGTATCCTTCTATCTACTTCTAAACACCACTTACCAGTCTATGTTCAGACACTATGTTATTTCATCTGCCAAACGATATACAACATCTTCTTCCATCCATTGTCTCGCTTCCCCGGCCCCGTGTCGCATGCCATCTCGCGCATCCCCTACTGCTACCGCCTCATCCAGGGCACGCTGCCCTTTGACATGCTCGATCTCCACCGGAAATACGGCGACATCGTGCGCATCGCCCCAGACGAGCTGGCGTTCTCCCACCCAGACGCCTGGAAGGGCATCATGGGCCACAAGAACGGGGAGCCCGAGTTGGAGAAGGCGCATTGGTTCTACCGCGTGGTCGACGAGCCGCTGCACATCGCCAACGAGGACCAGCACACGCATAAAGGGCTGCGACGCACGATGGCGCACGGCTTCTCGGAACGGTCGATGCGCGACCAGGAACCCATTATTCGCAAATACGTCCATCTCCTGCTGCAGCGGCTGCGTGAGAACTCGGCCGACGGGCACCCGGTCGTCATGTCCGACTGGTACAACTTCACCACCTTTGACATCATCGGCGATCTGGCCTTTGGGGAATCGTTTGGCTGTCTCGAGGGCTCCAACTACGACTCCTGGATCAAGGGCATCTTCGAGGCCGGCCGACTGGGCACCATCTTCCAGTCTCTCTCCTTCTTCCCGCTCCTCAAGACCGTTCTTTTGGCGCTCGTGCCCAAGTCGCTCAAGGAGTCGCGCGAGTACCACAAGAAGAAGACCAGGGAGAAGATGATGCGGCGGTTGAACCAGGCGGAGGAGCGCTCAGATCTGATTGAGGGTATTTTGAAGAAGCGAGAGGAGCTGGTAAGACAACCACATTTATACTGATGCTTATGCTTATACTAATTTCGAAGAACCTCGGACTGGATAAAATCATTTCCAATGCAGAAATCCTCATCATCGGCGGCTCGGAAACGACAGCCTCCCTCTTGAGCGGCGTGACGTATCTCCTCCTCCAGAACCCCGACGCATACAAGAAGCTCGTCGCCGAAGTGCGCTCCGTCTTCACCTGCCAGGAGGAGATCAACCTCGTCAGCGTGGGCAGGTTGACGTACATGATGGCCTGTCTTGAGGAGGGACTGCGCATGTATCCGCCTATTGCAAACGGTCTGCCTCGTGTGGCGCCCAAGGGGGGTGTCACCATCATGGGCGAATTCATCCCTGAAGGCGTAAGTTGATCTCCATCTTGCTGACGGTTTATATACTAACTGTTGTCAGACAAACTGTGCTATTCACCAGTGGGCATTGTACCATCGGGAGAAATACTTTGAAGACCCGGAAACCTTCCATCCCGAACGGTTTCTGGCCGACTCGCCGTTTGATGATCGGAAAGATGCCTTCCAGCCCTTTCATTTCGGGCCGAGGAACTGCCTGGGCAGAAAGTAAGAACACAGCCTCAATACCACCAGTTCAATGCAGCATGCTGACTTTCTAGCCTCGCATACAGTGAGATGCGCCTCATCCTGGCCCTGATCCTGTTCAACTTCGATCTGAAGCTGGCCGAGGAGTCGCAGGACTGGATCCAGCAGAAGAACTTCCTCATGTGGCAGAAGGGGCCTTTAAAGGTCTTTCTCAAGCCTGTCAACTAGATGGTCTGGCATAGCATTGGTCGTGTATTTGTATATAGATAAATCTGCAAGTTACAGTATGTATGGAGTAGTATATTGGTATTATATACCAGATCAAAAACAATACTTAGGGTTAGGGTTAGGGTTTGTCTCTTGTCCCTACGCGATCATGCTCCTTTTAAATAGTCTGAGCATTATTAGTCAAGCTAATGACTTGGTCAATTATTCATGAGTTCTTGTACACTGTGAGGTTGGCATTTTCGACCTAAGATAAGATTCATCAAGGCACCCTGCTAGAGTGAAAGGCAATCCTTGTCTATGCATTGCGATATAATCAGGGAGATGTGGGTTAGGCTACTATATAATGGCGGCAACCCATGGGTATTGGCTAGATTTCACATTCTGTGTAGGAAATAGCCAAGGCTTATTCATAGAGAAGACATGAAGCATATATAATAAACTCTTATCCACCCATAGTAGCATTGAGCTGATAATTACAGTCGATCAATGGGTATTATACAGTGAATGGTATACTTAATGCTTATGACAAGGAATGACTTTTTGAATAGATACAAGTATATAAAAGAAATCTATAAATCTAAGCCATGTCATTCTCGTAAAAGGTGCGCTCCTGTCGCTGCTGCCGGGTCCGTTCCAACCTGACATAACTTTGGCGGCCATTCGGGCTGGCTTTGAAGGTGCACTTTTCCGGCAGATAAAAGATCGTCCAGGCGCCCAGGACGACGACCATCTGGAAGCCATCAAAGGCATACAGCGCCCACTCGTTGTCGACAAGAAAGGCCACATTGCCCGCCATGGTCATGCGCATGAGGTTGCGCCCCGTCGCGATGATCGACACCGCCAGGCCGAACAGGTTCTTGTACAGCTTCCAGTTGAAGGTGACCGTCTTGCTGGCCTCTGTTGGGTGCCGGCCCAGCCGAAAGGTCATGGCGATGTTCTCGGCCAGCGTGAACAGCCAAAACACCATCTGGATGACATAGATGGCCACCGTCAGCTTCGTGGCCGCGGCGATCGTCGAGACTTCCGTTGCCGTCACGGTCAGGATCCCGCCCATCGCCTGCGCCACCAGCAGCGCACTGTTCACCCCCAGATATCCCCATCGCTGCGCGGGGAAGGGGAGCCAGCAGAATCGTCCGGCGTCGAGCGCGCGCGCAAACTCCGTCTGGGTCAGATTCACCGAGAACATGAACAGACTCGGGCCCAGCAGCAGCAGCACGCTTTGGGCGCGGTACGCCGCGACATTGCATACATCCTCGCTGCTCACCAGTCGAGAAGCGAAGCCACCCAGTTCGCCTGCAATCGATCAGCATCAATATCAATCAAGCAAGAAATATGATGAGAACTTACATAAGCCACCGAGAACAAAGAAGATGCTGTCCCATGTGCGGGTGGTGATCATGCGGAAGCTGTGGACGGCAGTCAGGCCTGAAAAGAGAACGACGGCAATGGCTGCCATGGCCATGCTGGGCGTGTAGGGATATAAATCGCAGGCCATTTTATGGGGTTGTTGATATGATGAGTGGAGTTGAAGGTGATGTGTTGATGTTGATGTTGATGTTGATGTTGATGTTGATGTTGAAGATGGGAGAGTGTTTTATAGAAGGAATTGTTCTGCCTACCCAAAAATGGTTGATATCCAACACTTACACTCAACCTTAATCGTGCCTCAAGATGCTTGTTGAAACCTCCTTGGATGATCCGCTAGCCTGTTGCAGGGCATGCCGATCTCTCGGGTTCGGGTTCGGGTGGCATTTAAGGGTATTACTTCTAAGTTGATAGAGCTAATGCAAGTGTGAGCTAGAAAAGAAAGACTCTAGAAATTGCCTAAAAATTGCAATGTAGATCTCATATTAATTATGGAGTGCGAGATATCCAACGAGTACTAGAAAATGGAAATAGCATAATAGGCTGCAGAATAACGGAATGCTAATATAACTATTATAATAATAGTACTCGAGAATATAAGAATAGAAATAAGAATAGAGTGCGCTAATCTCCAAAGCTCAAGGCTACCAGTAGGGAAAAGGTATATTCCAGGATAGTCTAATATATTCCATCTGATTAGCCGTGACAACAAGGGATCTATGATAGTACTGATAAGTCGCACAAATAGTACACTCAGCATCTAGATATATTTATGACTGCATAGTACAGACGTTGGTAACCTCTAAGCTATTCTTGCTATTGGGATATATCTTTAAGCGAGTATACTAGAAACAAGATCAATAAGGATAGGAATAACAAGATGTCATAGCAGGCATGATTCCTTTAGCTATAGTAGATAAAATGGTAGACCTCATCTCAGGTCAGGTTATAATAGAGCCTAGGCATGATAATCATTTAATAGACTAATTAGTATATCTTCAAGACTATATAAACATAGACATGGAGTAGACTATAAACGCTGAAAGTATCATTCTGATTGCTTTTCTCATCCCTACCTGTATAGTCTTAAAGCCAGAGCCGGAGAATCGTAGAATATAGATTCAATAGGGCCGAGTGGGAAAACACAGTGATGTAGTAAGCTAATGTTGTGTGGTATCTAAAAATGCTGATAACAGTATAAATGCCACTTCTTTAGGGAAACACACCACTCAATCATATGATTAATAATGGCACATATGGTTTTATAAAGCTAAGGCTATACATCACCCTTGCATGGTAATTAATCATGCTGCCAAAGATCTAAATGTGGTGAAGAGGCCAGTAGTCTCCGGTATGCCAGAAATGCTTAGCAACCAACGCTGACAGCAGTACTCTATATTATAGCCTAGGACAAAGCGCTGATCAGGGTGATATTGTTGAGTTTGCAAATACAGGAATGAAATGGTAGTAGCTTCAAAATCATGTAAATGCCCATATCGACTCACTATATCCACTTGAAGGGAACAGCAATCATATCCTAGACAAAACTCTCAATACTAGGCCTGAAGGAGTCCTTGCGTGGCGGCCACTGTTGAGGAAACAGGACATTGTTTTACTCCGGGTGTCAGTAGTTCAGTCAATTGTTTACTGTCATTATGACGGCTGGGATGTGCCAAACTATAAGTGTATGATTCTAAATCAAAGTATATTATGCATTTAAAGCATAGGGTTTATATATTCGATGCCTTCAAGACCAGATAGGTCTACTGCGAGTCTCTTGATATTGATAGCTAGAATGAAGAGGTAATGGACAGTATTTCTGTATATTGTGCTCTACATTCAAGGTTAGTACCTGAGTAAGCTCAGCGGGGTAGCCGGTACCGGCGTCAGACATATAAATACCATCTTGATTTCATCACTCTTAGAGATCAATACATACTACACACATATTATATACTCGAAATGGCAGGCTATATTCATATTGGTAAGTACTGCCAACTCTCGACTATAAGTACTGCTTACCCTCGACTGCACTCTAACTCGACTCTCCAGTTGGCTTCAAGTTCCGCGAGGACATTTCTGATGCAGACAGGCAGGATGTGATCGACTCCTTCCTGGCCTTGAAGCACAAATGTCTTAGAGATGGCAAGGAATATATTCTGGTAGGCTCAGAATACCCTTTGTGGTCTCCTTTACTGACAAACAGGCCATCCGCCACGGCTTCCCCCAACGGACCTTCCCCTGGCACAACGACGTGGACGCTGTTTTCGTGGTGGAATTCGCCAGCAAGGAAGACTGCGATTATTACCACCAGAAAGATGAGGCGCATGCGGCCTTCTTGCCCAAGGCGAAGGCTGCCAACAGTCCGACAGCGCCGGGACTGGTTGTTGCTTTTGCTCCTGTGAACAATTAATTCTATACAACAGTCAATAGATTATTATTTCCATACATCTATTCTCATAATTGTATTCTTTTTCTATTCATTTCTATCTTGTTCCCTCGCGAATCTCGCGTATCTGTATCTGCGTATCTCCGTGTTGCGGGGAATAACGGAGAGTCCGAACCACTATACAATCAAGTATTATTTAATATAATATTCAATATTAAATACATTAATATTACAGTCATACTACATAGGTATAGAATTACGCCTTAATAGCCCCCCCCGGAGTCAAAAAGGTGAGATAGTCAAGGGACAGGTCGGTGAAGAAGGTGGCTCCCCCGACGGTCTCAGGATGGCCCGCCTCGGTGACATTGCAGTAGTCGATGAAGTTACCGGCGGCTTTGTTCTTTTCGGAAATGTATTGGGTGTATTCGGAGAGCAGACACGACTTGCCTGGGCCGGACTGGCAGAAGGGGAGAGGCCAGACGGCATCGTTGAAGCGGAGACGAAGATAGGCATCGTTTTCTTCTTCTTTGCCGCTCTTGCTCTCGGACTCGGTACAGTTGAGGATTTCAAAAGCAACGGTTCCCCGCATGGTGATGAAATGGGCGACCTGGTAGAGATGGTCGGTGGGGATGTGGTCGTCCGGCAGGAATCCCTCGGCCTCGAAGATGCCCATGGCAGCGGTCATCTCGGCGATCTGGTCGTCATTGAGGAACGCCATGATCAGGTTGGGAACGTTGAACTGCGTGCCGTTGGGTCCTGTGCCGACCTGACCCGGTCCCTTGGTGAACAGTTCCATCAGACTGTTCAGGAAGGGGAGGAAGAGCGTCTTGGCCGGGCCGACGGAGCCAGGGCCGACCTCGTAGAAGTACGCCAGATCCTGCGAGTAGGCGTAGTTCTTCAGCTCGTCCTGGGTGAAGACGTCGCACCAGGGACTCAACCGGCCGAGGATCTGCGACTCGTACGCGCACAGGTACGGGAAGAAGGTGACGTCCGTCTCGGAGAAGGTCAGATTGCCGCTGACCAGCTTGTTCACTCGCGCCGTCGTGGCAGGCAGCCAGGTTGCATCGACTGTAGAAAGAAGGTTAGTAACGGCTTAGGGTTTAGGGTTAGGGTTTAGGGTTTAGGGTTATACTAGGGTTAGGGTTACGTACAATCCGTAACGTTGTCTCCCCCGCTAGAAGTGGCAGCGTACAAGGGACAGCTATCAGACGGCCCCAGGGAGTTGCCAATGGCGCTGACAGACCCTGTCGAGTTGACGCTGACCACCGTGCCGTACGCCTCGGCAAACTCGTACAGATATCCCCAGGCAAACGCCCGCGCGGTCTGCACGACGCGCGACTCGTTGATGGGCGACGCATACTGGTTTGCCCAGATGTAGAAGGGCTCGCCGTCGGTGTAGAAGGTCGGATAGCGCGACCGCAGCTGGTATCCCAGATCGGTGGCCTCCTTCCACCCCGTCCGGCTCTCCTGCGACATCTGCAGGGCTGTGTCGGTGAGGACGGGCTCCCAGTCGGCGATGAAGGAGAGGGCGTCGCGGGCGGCGAACCCGGAGCCCTTGACTGCGATCTGGATCTTGTCGTAGATCTCGACCCAGTCGCCGTATGAGCCGCTATCAGGGAAGCTTTTTCTATCAATAAAGGAAATCAATAAACAGACACGAGTGATGTTATTTACCGACTGCCGTGGCGCACCACGTATGCCGCCTGCTGGACGGTACATTGGTCAGGGACGTCCGAGTCGATGCCAAAGGTATTAGGACCTGCAGCTGTTAGAGGGAGAATGATATAGAATGTCAAGATTATAAGTACCCGCCCAGTAGGGAGTATTTCCTCCCGAGTAGATCAATGGGTTGTCCGAATTGGAGGCGGAAGGGAAGACGACATCGTCGGCAGGGGCCAGAGGGGCTTCGACCTGGGCGCGAACCACGCTGGCGGCGAGGAGGGCAAGAGGGGAGGCCTTCATCTTGCTGTTGTTGACCTTATTGAGAACCTGTACAACGGAGCTGTATAGGTCGAATCCGTCTATCTTTATATCTTCAAGTTTTATACGGAGTACTTTATACTCTACTCTGTGCCTGCATAATCACATGCAACACGTGGTTGGCTGGTCAGTTTGATTGGCCCAAAAGGAGGTCCGTTATATTAAACCATTTCTTAATTTTATCAGGAGCAAATCAGACTGACAGACTGGAGCACAGGCTCGCAAGGTCTAAAGAGTTCTCTCGGCAGATTAATGGCATAATATTAATAAGGTGGATTATACTAGTATGTATAGAGCAGAAGTAGCAGTCATGAGAGTATATAGGATTATTAAGAGGTTAATATAATCACACATCAATATAAGCCCACACTATCTTTATAAGTGATTATAAGTATATAGAGGATTAATGACATAAAGGTTAGAAAGTATACTATATCAACAGGACTGCCACCAGAGCAGACATCTTAAGCTGTCAACCCTTGCCATTAATTTTAATAATGGCCATAGTCTAGCCTAATTTGATAATTCAAGCCTATTTGCTGACACCTAGACTATGCCAAGAGACTAACATCACTAGAATATTCCTACCCTTCCTAGGGTAACGCTGATTGAATAGAGCCGAGGCATTTTTACTTCTCATCTATTCTACGTCTTTGAAAGGATGGATATATTATTCCTTCAAGCTACATGCTGAACTCAGCAACCTGACAGAAGCTGCGCTGAGGGTGAAACCTCTAGATAAAGGAATTATTTAGTCTCTTAGTTTGCTAGTTGTATTGGGGTATGTTCTATCACTAGCTTTCTCCTTAATTAGGGTGTTTATTTGGCAGTGCAGAGTATAGTGTTATTGCTATATATCATATAATATAGACTAATCATGTTGCAAGAGTACTCCATATTCTCTATTTCAACTCTATTCTAGCAATTAGAGTAAGGGCTTCCTTCAGTCAGTATAGATAGAGACTTGATCAGATGTAGGAGTTGGTTTATTCAAATAGACACTAGAATACTTTTATTGTTCTTTGAGGTGGTTTTCAAGTGAAACTATTATTCCATTCTCCATTATTCTTCTACAAGGCCCAGGATCGGCAATTTTCAACAACGATGATCCTTTAGACCCTTTGGAGCCAGCACCTATACAGAGTATAATATAAGAATTACTAAGTTAAACTAAAGCCAGATAGGAAAAGCCAAAGATTTAGTGGCGATTGTGGGACGCGTAAGCACGACAACAGTTCATGAACATCAACTCACCACCATCACTTTCATACTCTGTACATCTCACAAAATGCCGAGCAAAGGAATCAGCGTGTACAGCTATGTTGGCGTGGAAGGGTACGAGGTGGGCTTCTCGGTCCCCCAGACTCAAGTGCTGCACAACGCGTCGCACAACTTCACGCAGCGCCATCTGGAGGTGGAATCGAGGCACGTCGCGGGGCTGGAGAACTTCACGGGCCGGTTCGAATGGACGGTGTTTCGGTACGGGCAGCCGGTGGCGAGCCACTACAACGAGGTGAACGCCCTGACAGGCAAGATCGAGGGGGGAACGATGATCGCGACGCAGGATTTCCACCCGGTGGTGACGGAAGACGCGATCATCACGTACGGCTTCTACGCCGCGGGCCATGGGGAGGTCGGCCTCCCCGACCGGCACCAGTGCTACGTGACGATCTGTTCACGGGCAAACGCAGCGTGGATGGGCAGCGTGGCGCCGCCCGGGTCGGCGGCGGCGCAGAAGCCGTTCACACGGTTTGTGCTGGCGGCGCCGCACGACAACGGGATGAACAGCATGGCGTCGTGCGATGCGGTGTTCCAGCATCTGGACACGGACATGCTCGCCGCGGTGCGCAAGATGGTGCCGTCGCTGGTGCACATCAACCATATCCCCGACCACTTCCTGATGAGCAAACTGCCGTACATCGTGTACGGCCTGTCGATCACGCAGAAGAAGACCGTCTCGATCATGCTGGCCATGGGGGCGCGGTACTTTGAGTTCCGCCCGGCCAAGCTGCTGCCCATGTTCCAGCAGGTGTCCGGGCTGCGCGACACGTTCTACTTCCAGCATGCGTGCATCCCGGGCCTGGCGTTTGACGAGTTCCTGCGCGAGCAGGTCGCCTTTCTCGACGCCCACCCGACCGAGATCGTCACCCTCCATATCCGCTGGGACAACATCGTGGCGGAGTGCAAACGCCCGACCGCCGAGGAGCTGTCCAACCTGCTGGGCGAGGCCTGCGGCGAGGCCGTCTCCCACGTTCTCACCTGGGGCTCGCGCGACTGCTTCCAGCAGCCGATCGACGAGCTGCGCCGCACGGGGACCAGGCTGATTGTCGTGGTGGAAGCCGAGAAATACGACAGCTGGACCGCCGAGGCGTATGCGACCCTCAGCGCGGCCCCGATCCTCGCCCGCTTCGAGTCCATGACGACCGAGGGCCAGCTGGCCTCCGACCTCACCGTGCTGCAGTGCCAGGCGACCTCGCAGTCCATCAAGGAGGTCATGGTCTACAGTGTGCTCTCGGCGCATGCGGCCAGCTCGTGTCTGACCTCCACCAAGGGCAATCTCGACAGGCAGACCCTGCCGTGGATCAGAGAGCATGCCTTGGAGCGTCTCCAGGCGGAGAGGAACATCGTCATCATGAACGACTTTATTGACGGGGCGACCATTGACACGTCGATCATGTTGTCCGGTGCGCGAGTAGCGAGTAATTAGTATACTTCTAGTACTCATATAATAGAAAATGAATTGATGATAGTTCAAGGCAGGTAGTAGCTTTTATCTATACAGTTAGTAGTGCAAGTAGGCAAGAAACAGACGCATCACTACAGATCATACTGTGAAGAACTACGCCAGGATATCAAACACATCAAAAAGACGGTTCCGCATGGCCTTCCTCGGCGCAGGCGTCTGCATCAGCTGCGAGACAGCCAGCTGCGCCCCTCGCACATTATACTCCATGCTAAACGCCGGTTCATCGGGCAGCTCCACGAACTGACCGACGAGAGCGACATTCCCCCCCGGGACGAGCGTATCAGGCCGGTCCCCCTTGACGCGGGTGAGCATGGCGGCCGTAGCATAGGGCATCACGCAGGGCACACACACGGAGGAAGCGAGGATCTCTTGCTGGGCGTCACTCGGAACCTGCAGATGGACGAGCAGCTCCGAGAGGATCTCTTCCCCCGTACACTCTGCCATTCCCTTGTGGACGAGGGTTCCCTCTTCCTGGGCGTTGAGTCCGTACCCCCAGATCACCTGTACATTGGCTGGCTGGTCATCGAAGACCGGCTGCCGAGGCACATTCACGCTCAGACACCACCGGCTGTCGCCCAACGTGCACATCGCGCCCCCCGCGCCGGGCTGGTTCCCCGTCAGCGCGACATAATGCTGCAGGAACAGCGGGCTGCGCAGCGTCACGGTAAAAGTGACGAGCCGCGACTCGCCCACGCGTCCGATGAAGTTGGCCGGGTTGCCGAACCGGGGACTCTCCGCCGCGAGCAGGTACCAGAGCGACCAGTCGCGGCTGTCGGGGCGGCTGATGGTCTGTTGATGCACGTCTGGCCGAGCAAAATGACTGCCCAGGGCTACGGTTGAGGCGATCGGGCCTGGGTTGAGGATGCAGACGTCGTGAGGCCCGAGAGAGATGGTGGTGGTTTCTTTCGCCTGGGATATCTCCAGCTGAGTCAGCACCACGTGACTGTTGTCCATGACTAAGCGAGACACGTGAGTGGCGGCCTCAGGCCAGAAATCGACTTGCCTCGCCGCGAGATACCGGCGGAGGGGACGGACGACGGCGTCGAAGAAGCGCATCTGCAGCCGGCCGAAGATCTGCGAGTCGTTGATCTCCTGGATGTCGGGCAGGTGCTTGCACAGATGGCGCCGGAGCTCTTTGGCGCTGTGCCACGGCTGGAGGGCGAACCTGGAGGCCGATCAATGAGAGCAGGAAGGGAGGGAGCGGAGGGAGGGAGCAGGGAGAGGTACGTTGTGGACCAGAAGATCCAAAAGGTGGACGCAAAGAAACGGCTGTCGAACAGCTGCCGGATGCTCTGGTCGGCCAGACTGTCTTCTGCCACCATCATGATGCGCGCCAGGTCGAGCCGGTCCTGCAGCTTGAGGTCAAAGTGGTGGAGATGGCTGCGTTGGCCGTGTTGAAGCAGTCGCGTGGGGGTTTGAGAAGAAGATGTCTCTGCCTGCCTCCATTCTGTCTGCAGAGTCTCATAGAGAGATTCTCTCGGATGGGCGGGATCAGAAGGCACCAGACGGAGGAGATCGCGCATACACTGTCCGTGGAAGTCTGGCTGCAGTCCCGCATGGATGGAATACCCGTCGACGGCATTGCCAAAGGAAGACAGACGCTGCTGCTTGTCGCGCTCCGAGGAGATGATCTCGATGAAATGGATATTGGGGCCTGGAATGCCCGTCTCGAGCAGATGCACGGCGGCGGCCAGGCAGGCAACGCCGCCGCCGATGATCCAGCACTGGCTCTGTTGGGGGTCTCGAGAAGACATTTTATTTTATCTTTGAGTATACCACAAGGCGTATTCTGATTCTTATTAATATACCAGGGAGTCTAGACCGCCGGTGGCGATGCGGTTCGTGTGGGAGTGTCATGATAGTCACGTCATCACTAGCTTTAGGTTATAAGTTAACTTTATACATTATTAGTTAAAATATACTTGAGTTGTATAGTATAATAGAAAGTTAAATATAGTAAATAATACTTCTTAATGAGTATACTGATTAGCATAAGGCTAATGGTATAACTATAAAATAGTTATTAATATAAGACTATTCTCAACATCACTGGTGAAATTAGGGTGATATCTCTAGGTAATGATCTCAGTAAATGGCTGATATTGAGAAGTATTAAGGAGAAGGATAAATCTTTAGTTTAAATACTATTATCTATAAGTAAAAATGACTATTAGCATATTATTCTCTACTATAAGTTTATCTAACTGGATTCACCTGCTTTCTCTCTCTCTACCTAACCTTCTCTACTATATTCTTTCTCTCTTCTAAACTCTTCATTCAGAAATGAGATGGATAGATCTAATAAGAGACAAGGCTGATGATTGATTGGCCTGAACTAGCGCATGCAAGGCTGAGACTGACAGATCCTTGAGATGCAGCCTCAACCCCGCTCTCAGCTCTCAGCTCTCAGCCCTCGTCCCCTTCAGTTTCTCATCTCTGTCCATCTCATTCCACTTCCGCTCGCTCGCTTTACTATCTTAGCCTCGCCATGGGCTTTGGTTGGGGAGCGGGGGATATCCTCGCTGGCATCCAGCTGGCTGTCAAGCTTCAGGAGCGATTCCGAGAGGCGCCAGACCAGTTCAAGGCGATCTCTGCAGAGTGAACATACCTGATCCTATTCTCCTTTTATACGCTAACAAACCAGAGTACAGAGCTTCCAAAAGGTCTATGCCACGACCTTTACGAATATCTCCCAGTATTTGCTCTCCACGGAGCAAGAGGACAATCTAAAAGGTATCCTGCACGGATGCAAGGAGGTTTTGGATACACTGGACCACACTTTGGACAAATACCAAGAACTGGGAGAGCAGAAAGATGGGAAGAAGAGTCTTTCAATCAAGGCGAAACGAGTCTGGAAACGACTCACGCTTGAACCGAAAGAAATCCAGGATCTGAGGCTGCGGATGATATCTCATGTCGGGCTGTTACAAGCCTTTAACAACGAGTTGCATCACACAGCCGCAGAGGAATCCAACAGGAAGATTCTATCTCTTGCAGAGGGCATAAATGACCGACACCTGCGGCAGGAGGAGCAAGAAGAGAAAGACAAGATCCTGAACGCCCTCAGTCCGATCGATTATTCCGCGCGCCATCGAGACGCTCTCGAAAAACACGAAACTGGCACTGGCGGATGGATGCTCGAGTCTCCAGAGTTCCAGACATGGATCAAGGGCAGCCGACAGACGCTCTTTTGCACTGGAATGCCTGGCGCTGGCAAGACGGTCCTGACGGCAGTGGTGATTCAACATCTCACGGATATGATCTCCCATGATCCACAATACGGATTGGCATTTGTGTATGTGGAACATAGCCAGAGAGAGGAGCAGAAGACGGTCAACATCCTGCTCAACCTCATCAAGCAGCTCGTCCCCTCTTCAGAGCCTATTCCAGAGAGTGTCAAGGCTGTCTACGCCACCTACAACGCTCAAAAGGCGTGGCCTTCTGTAGATACTCTGGAAAAGACGCTCCAGTCTCTGTTAAATGGATATTCAACCGTCTTCATCATTCTGGATGCCTTGGATGAACATAATGATCGGTGGGAGCTTGGAAAGCTGCTGTCGGCGCTCTTTCGCATCCAGTCTCAAACACAAACCAACATCTTTACCACTTCACGACAGATTCCGGATATTGAAGCCCACTTCCAGGATGCAGCGAACAGCGTCTCCATGACTATTCGGGCTCACGATGAGGATATCAGACGGTTCCTTGAAGCGAACATCAGTCAGCTTCCCTCCTGTGTGACTTCGCGACCTGACCTCCAGCGTGAGATCACAGAGCAAATCTTGAAAGTCGTGGATGGAATGTACGAGTTGAATATCTTATAAAAGACCTTGTACTCACAGCTTATAGGTTTCTCCTCGCCCATCTCCATTTCGATTCCCTCAAGGGAGCACGTTCCGCCCGTGCGATTCGCAAGATCTTGGAATCCCTCCCCACGGGCTCGGATGCTTATGACCAGGCATATGACATGGCGATGGATCGTATCAAGTCCCAGGTTGAGTCCTCTCGCACCCTCGCCCTGCAGACGCTTGCCTGGGTGGTCTGCGCCAAACGACGTCTGAACATCCTCGAGCTGCAACACGCCCTCTCTGTCGAAGAGGATATGACCGAATTCGATGAAGACAACGTTCCAGAAATGGGAGACATTATTTCCGTCTGCGCCGGTCTGGTTACCGTGGAACGCGACTCCAAGCTCGTAGGACTGGCCCATTTCACGATACAAGAATACTTTGTCCGCCATCTCCACCGTTTTCTTCCCGACCTGGATACATATCTAGCACGATGTTGCATGGTATATGTCTCCTTTGACTCCTTTAGAGATGCAGAGTCCGACAACGATGATACAGACTTGGTCACATCGGATAAGCCCCTCATGGAGTACGCCGCTCATAACTGGGCCCGCCATGCAGCTGCCTCATCGGACGCCAATCTTGTCGACCAAGCGGTGCAACTGGTCGACAACAGGGACTTGCTTCTGAGGATCGCCAATATAGCATATCAAGGGATTGAAAAGTTAGGTTTGGGGTACGACATGAAAGCTATCACTGGTCTTCACATTCTCGCAGATTGTGGTTATTCTGCGGCGGCACGCAGGTTGATCGACAGAGGCGCGTCTCTGGATGCAGTCACAGAACGGATGCAAACCCCTCTGCACTGGGCTGCGAGGGAGGGAAACTTGGAGATTGTCTGTCTTTTGATCGAAGCGCATTCAAAGATCGACCCCAGGGATGAAGATGGCCGCACTCCGCTCTCACTTGCAGCCGAGGAGGGCCATGACGCGGTTGTGTCACTTCTTCTCAGCACTGGCAGTGTCGATATCCAGTCCCAGTGTGTTGAAGGTCGAACAGCCGTCTCGTACGCTGCCTCCAGGGGCTCCGTGAAGACGATTCAGGTTCTGGTGGCAGCCGGGGCGGACGTCAACCGGCCAGATTTTGACCTGGACAGTCCTCTTTACTTTGCCATCACTCACGATCGAGAAGAAGTTGTCAAATGGCTGATTGAAAATGGAGGTGATGTCTTCCACAGGAATATCGATGGAGAAACGGCACTTTCCGCGGCGTTAAAAGAGCAAAAATTCGCCATCTTCCACGTCATCTTGAGCAAATACGTCGATGCGGGCAAGAACAGCCACCGCATCAAGGATTTGATGACCGACACACTTTGCTATGTAGCCAGGATAACCAATAAAGAGCCAGTCCGGTGGCTGTTGACCACCATGGGCTCCGCCACTGATCTCAGCACCAAGGGGCTTTCTCCGCTCTCCTGTGCGCTAGACAGTCGATATTCCGTCTTTAGATGGACGGAGAGTTCATGGATAAGACATCAGGCACTCAAGCGCATTGTGGAGTTGCTTCTTGACTCCGGCGCCAATGTCAATGCAATCGATCGGGATGGAAATACGCCTCTTCACTGTGCTTTGCGATCAAAATATGTGAGAGAAGATGTCAAGATGTTGCTTGGGTATGGCGCAGACGTGAAGGCAAGGAACGCCTGTGGCCAGACAGCTCTCCATCTGACGGATTATGTGAAGGTGCTGGATCTTCTGTGTGCCAGAGGCGCAGATATCAACGCCCAGGACTACCGGGGCAAGACGCCGCTGATCGCATCCATTCAACGGGGAGACAAACCCACTCCTTTAAATCATATAAGCCGTGGAGCTCGGGTCGATCTGCAGGATGATCATGGCCGCACAGCTCTATTCTATGCAGCCTTTAAAACCGGCCACATGGAGGTACTTCAAACCCTGTTGCAGTTTGAGATAGATCTGGATAGACCAGACCACGATGGCCGGACTCCCTTTGCCTATGCTGTTAACCAGAAGAGTCCTGATCTTGCGGTGCTTAACCTGCTGCTCGACAGGGGCGCTTGCCCAGCTGTACGGGACAGAACCGGTCGAACGCCTCTACACTACGCGGCCCGCTGGTCCAATGAAGCCTTGGTGAAGTTGTTGCTTGCGCTCGGCGAGAAAAGGGGTATTGACGTCCATTGTCGCGACGAGGATGGTCGAACGCCTCTTTCATATGCTGCAGAGCATGGACACGTTCCTATCGCACAGCTGCTGTTGACTTATGCAGCAGACCATGGCGCGAATAACATGGTCAAGGTCTCCTACACGGAGATGAATGGTCGAACGCCCGTCTCGTATGCTCTGGAACGAGGCAATACGGCGATGGTCGACCTCTTCATGAGCCATGGGGACTCAATGGGCTCGCTTGATCGATTCGGTCGCAGCAGCGTCAGCTACGCCGCCCGCAGTGGGAGCAATTCGTTGCTTCGTCGAGTTCTAGAGTTGGGAATGGATAACCTCGATCTCCCAGACGTCAACGGGCGCAGTGCATTGTCCTACGCTGCTGAACCAATATCCTCCTCGTGTCTCGCTCTGTTGCTCACGCAGAAGGAGGCCGTCGATGTGAACTGCGCAGATAATAAAGGATGGACCCCGTTATTCTACACCACCATTCTCTCGAAACGCCACATCACAGACAGCGAAAGACGGAGGAGAAGGCCAATCCATAAGAGGAGAGGCCATCGCAGCACCGAGATTTTGCTTAAACATGGAGCCGATCCGCATGTCCGCGACAATGAGGGCCGCACCGCACTCTTCTACGCCGTCGAGTCGTGTAGTTGCAGCCTGCTACGGCTGCTTCTTTTGCACGGCGTGGACTCTCTGAGCGGCGATCGGAACGGGCATCCGCCTTTAATATTTGCTTGCAGCGACTCTTCTCGAAGACTGTTTGATATCTTGCTGGATCTGACCCCCGCAGATCATATCACCGAGGATGTTTTGCACGGGGCTCTCAGATATGCGCAAGACGCGTACTACGTTCAGAGGATCATTGCCCGGGGCTCTCGCCAGCTACCCATCACCCCTCGTCTGATGGCAGCAGCGGCTGAGAACAGCGTTAGGATGGTGGAATTCCTTCTGGATAAGATGGAGGAACCGATAATGCCGACACAGGAGGTCGTCAGAGCCGCTGCCAGATGTAAAGATGGAGCAAAGATCCTGTTCATCCTGCTGAAAGACAGTAAATCGGACGACATGATCACCGATGAGGTCTTCCAAGAGGCCGCAAGGAACGGACATTTGGAAACTGTCATGTTTCTAGTGAACCGTTATCGCAATTGCTTGAAAGATCCGATGGCCGCCATGCGAGCTGCATCTGGAACAGACGCCAGGTCTATCCGGGCGAGAATTTGCGAGATATACTATGAAGAGAGTACCTACCACTCGGTGTGAAGCCTCTGCCAGAGTGCAGTAGAAATCGAATATAGGCGTTGTTCATTGGTTTAGGGTTAGGGTATTGGAGATTTTAAGATTGCCAGAATTACGATGATTGCTCAAAATAAAGCTAGAATAGGCGGGATAAAAGTTCTTGCCATCACAATTAACTCTAACCCTAGCCCTGGCATTTTAAGAGACAGATCATAACATCAACAGGAAGGTGAAAGCTGTTATATAAGAAGTTGAATAACCCTAACTTACTCCTCACACCGGGCATTAAGTATTTGGTTTCTATATACTATAAGTTCTAGCCAGCTATCATTGCACACAATACTCATGATTGATAATGAGATAGGTAGATACTCTTAGGGTTAGGGTTAGGGTTAGTACTCGGTCATAACCCTAACCCTAACCCTACTCAAATAAGAAAACACGGCTACATCCAAATGCTATTCATCATGGTCATTCCCAGAGACAGGAGTGTACTTGTCAGGGAACTCAACAACGAGGTCTTTGATATATCTCGGAGTGGGATCCTTCCCATCGGTATCTGACATGAAAATCGGCGTGGATAGAGACACCCCCTTTGCGACTCGTAGGAAGGTCGAGAACTGTGTGGTATAGGTGCCTTGATTTGACCAGATACAGAGGATACCCGAAACCACAGCGAGAAGGGACAAGATAATCCCAATCCCGTACGAGAGCCACAGGATGGACTGGGAGTAGACGTAGCGGTTGTAGTAAGGGGTGATGGTGACGTTTGTCTCGGGCGGAGCATAGGGGGACGAGTAATTGGGTCTGCAAGGTGAGTCTACATTCAAGGATAGTTTCCAAAGATAAAGGCTTACTGTAGTAGGTATGAGTTCATTAATGAGATGGTTGCATTCCGAAACATTTCCTCCAGCGCATCGACTATGGGTAACGTGTGATTCTGGACTGGAGTTACGGACAGACCGTTCCAGGAGGTGGTAGGCAGCGTGGCAGCGGTTAGGGACTGGCCTTTTGCTTCGCTAAAGTTGAAGTTGTTCAGAAAGGCCATCTCCTTGGTGTTCATGAGTCCGGTGCTCACAACGTTGGTATTCACGGCCTGATAGATGGCGTCCACCTCGAACTGCAGCCCGTTGACGATGGCAATGCCGCCGAGCAGCATCTCATTGAAGGCCTCCATGACCGCCTGGTAAGAAAAGGTCTCCATGATGGTCGTGTTGTACGTCCCCGGCAGAAAGGTTCCATTCGAGGCCTCATCTTCGAACATGGTCGTTGATGACAATCCATACAACCAGGAGACGGGATTGTAGTACGAGTCATTGATTGAGAGATCTACCGCCTGCGACCCCTCGACATAGGTGAAATTGGCCGTGTACGAGGCATTGTACAGCTTGCACTGTGCAATGGTCGCGTTGGCCACCTGCTGGGATATCGTGACGGAGTCTACCAGGGTGTCTTCCGCTTCTTCCACGCTGGCGATGCACCCCAAGGCGTCGGGGTTATATTCCATCCCCGGCAGGACGGCCACGAAGAGGGATAGAGCCGCGCCATCTTCACTGTCGACGGGTCCGAGGGCCGACGAGCGCAGCGTATAGTTGGTTTGGCTGTCAAAGGGGAGCGAGCCGTTGGCTCCAGCATCTGGCGTCCAACACAGATAGCCATATGAGGCGGCACATTTGGTGTATTCCAGGAATTCTACGATATTCTCCGCGATCCTCACGTACAAGTCAGCGCCCACCAGGGAGCACGACAGCGCCGGAGCCGGGAAGGCCAGCATCCATGTCGCGTTGAGGGCCGGCGATGCCACGGGCAGGATCTGCGATTCGGTGAGCGAGGCTGCCACCGCGGCCTGCACGGCAAACTGGGCATTGCTGTAATAGTAATCCTCCGTCAGCGCAGACTGGGATACCACGTCGTCAATGTTGACGCTCTGGAGCAAGAGGTTGGCATAGTTGGTGCTGGTAAAGTCGAGTCGGGGCACTCGGCGCAGTGAGCTGCTTGGAGACGCAGCGAACTGCACGGTCAACGTCGCTGGGGGGAAGAAGACGGTGAGGGGGAGGAGCCTGAATGATGAGTTGAATCAGCACTCTACGACACCAGTCAAGAATGCTTATTGATTATAAGGAGAGTGATATACCAATAGACCACGGCGAGCAGCATGGTCGACACACTTCGCTTCCACAAATGAAGATTCAAGAGATCAAAGAGGCTGGTTTTGGCCGCAAAGGCTCCATCGATGAAGGCACTGGGCATCGGCCGCGCTTTGATCGTCCTCCAGGTCGCCTGGTCGTGCGCAAGGGAGATCCCCATCCCTAGAAAGGCCTTGACAAGAAAGGCAAACGCAGAGCCGACGGCCAAGTTGAGCTGCTGGCCGGTCAAGCCGCTCGAACGGCCAAAGGCTGCGTAGACTGCGTCGGGGGGGCGCGTACCGGCCAGATGGCGGTAGAACAGATGGTGGCCGATGGCGAGGATCACCCCAGTCACCAAGGAGCCCGCCATGTGGGCCAAGGTGGGCTTGAAGAGCGACCGAATGCCCATTTTCAGAGGGTTGGGATGGTTGTGTCGCGAGATCAGCTCTCGCGCGGGGCTCAGACTTATCAACACCAGCGGCTGACACCAACCTCGTATAGAGATCCGTGTGGCTGATTTTTTTTAGATAGAGTGGTGATACAACCACATCCTAAACTATACTCAGTAAGAAATCACACTACGGTGATTATCAAGTATGTCTGTGATATACAGAGGATACGGAGTACACTATAAGTACTCCATACAAAGGACCAAGCTACTGGAGTATTCTATCTGGTGGATTTCCTACTACAAAAGTACTAAGCAGCCTAGCTTATTGACTATTGATCTGAATCATGAGGCCTGCCAGAAGGGTATTTAAATCTGGGACATGATTGCTGGGGTATATCTTCAGGGTCTGTTTTATCAGTCCTATAGATATCTTCTAGGGTTGATATAGAATAAGGTGAATGGTATTTCTATATAACTATCAGGCAGGCACTCACTCTCAGCTTTTACCTTGCTTTAAATTAAGAAGGGCTATTATAGTATTATAAATTCTATCTATTAAAGACACTGATCTACTGTTAATAAAATAGCCAATGAGAAATATAATAATATATATATATTTACATATAGAATTGCTAATGAGCTGAAGATGCTCTGTCCTGCTGTACATATCAAGAAGTTCCATTATAACACGCAGGCTATAGGCCTGATTATAGATATTCTGTCCAATATTATGATAATAGTTAAGCCTACTTCAATAACTTATTCTCATTAGGCTGCAGAAGTTACATAGCCCAGCTAGTTCAAAACCCTAGAATCATTATCAAAGTGGGCGCTTGGGGAGGTTGTCAGACGTCTTCTGAGATTATAGAGCATACCCACTGCCAAGTCTGTCTGTATTATTTAATCTACTACAGTGATCTTGATGCTACTCCGTATAGAGAGTTCCATATACTGAGCCCCAATGGAGCACTGCTAAAGACCTGAACCAATAACCAGTGGCAGGAATGATTCACTCTGCTACGAATAATCACCAGGGAATATCTACTAGCCATTCGATCTAGTCTGCACTGCTCGGCAGCTCTAGATCCTCAACCTAGTTATGATTACTGCTGGCGACGGTCGAGTACGTCAGCTCGCAGGGATTCGGTTCGTAGCTACAAGTAAAACAGCGTAATCAATCTCCATTCAGACCAGGGCGCATCTGGTGGCTGGCCTATACATAGGGGAGGAAAGCTTATCTCAATCTTCAAGTCCAAATAGCAAAGTAATTGACAGTGAGGATTTTTAAAGAGGTTTTGAAGGTGTAGCAGCTGTGGGGAAGGCCAAAATATATTAGTAGTTGTGTTCTAGAACTATAGGTCAGGTTCAATGGTCCATTTGCTAATCCCTAAGGTGTGTTTTAGGCATGTAATAGCACTCTGTATTGTAGGCGAATATAGGGCTAATACGGAGCCCAATTTCCTACCCGAGAACCCGATGACGCCGCCAGTTCCGGATAACGCGTTGTCCTGCAGGCTGCAGGGGGAGCTATAAGTGGTATTTATGCTAGATAGCTATAAATACAGAGTAGCATTAATGAAGAGAAGCTGTACTACATGGAGGCAGCTACCCATAATAAATTTCAAGGCGGTTGACTACATCAGTACAGAATGACTTACGGAGTAGTAGGATACTAGAGCGACTTAGTACGCAGTATTATTAAACTGCAGAGTGGCGAGACGGAGTGGATTATTTTCCGCTAGTGCATCGGATAGAGCGATCAGGCCGAATGTATTTTATAATTGTGTGGTGTGACGTCACTTTATTTACATCGCCTGTCTTTCCACCAGCTCTCCTTAATAAATATAGACCCGAGAATGAGTCCTCATGCTGTTTACAGCAAGGAAAAACAAGCCAGATAAAAAAAGCTTAGTATGTCTCAGTTGTCAGGTGACGGTTCGGGAGTCCAGACGCGTGACAACAGGTACGCCTTGGCAGCAGGCCGGCCATTGGTGGAAAGCAGGGAAGATGGCCCCGCTGCTAAAAAGCTTGGCGCATTGTGATTGCGCAGGTCATGCTGGATCCAGCCTAGTACACGCCCTGCCAGCCAATCAGCCAGCCAGACTAGTCTGGGGTGCATGACCAGACGACAGCCACACAACATGGGCGGATAAGCCCGGCCAACTGGAAATCACTCATTCACTCTCCTGGACTCCTCTTTTTTCCTCTGTCTTCTTCTTGTCCTGTTCTTGCTCCTCCCCTTTAGTTGCCCCCCCCCAAATTACGCGTCACTCCTTACCACGCCTTATTATCACACCGTTTTGTCACTCGTTTTCCGTTATCTGAATATCACTCGTTTACACCTGTTTTTTTAGTTACCTGATTTTCTTCTCGAGTATGCTTCTCCTGAGTATACTCCCGCTCGTGCTGCCGCTGGCAGAGGCCGCCTCCAGCGCCGAATGGGCGAAACGGTCGATTTATCAAGTCATCACAGACCGCTTTGCGCGGCCATCGAGCGTGACGACAGAATGCGACCTTCTGCTGTACTGCGGCGGCACCTACTCGGCGCTGATCGAGAAACTGGACTACATCCAGGGGATGGGCTTCACGGCGGTGCAGATCTCGCCGGTGAACAAGCAACTGACGCAGGACACGATCTACGGGGAGGCCTTCCACGGCTACTGGCCGCAGAACCTGGACGAGTTGAACCCGCACTTTGGGACCGCCGCCGAGTTGAAGAACCTGTCGGCCGAGCTGCACTCGCGCTCCATGTACCTGCTGCTGGATGTGGTGGCGAACGAGATGGCGATCGACATCGGCAACACGACGATGAACTCGTCGACGAGCATCGATTACTCCGAGTTCCACCCGTTCAACAGCTCGTCGTACTACCACGCCTACTGCGACCTGGACGACTGGTCGGATTCGAGCATCTACACGACGTGCTGGCTGGGCAACGAGGGCGTGGCGACGCCGACTTATGTGCTGACGGACAGCACGGTCAACGCGACGCTGACGAGCTGGATCGCCAACCTGGTCAGCGAGTACGACATTGACGGTCTGCGGCTGGACGGCGCCAAGCAGATCGAGACGGCCTTCATTGCCCCCTTTGTGGGCAGTGCGGGGGTGTGGACGATGGGCGAGGTCGACGACGACGTGGTGAGCTTCACATGCGGCTATCAGAACTACTCGTTAGGGCTGGAGAACTATCCGCTCTACTACGACATCATCGACGCCTTCACCGACGGCAACATCACCGATCTCGTCGACGGCGTGCAGACCATGCAGTCCGAGTGCCAGATGCAGTACATGTCGCTGTTTGTCGAGAACCAGGACAACCCGCGATTTGCCTCGGTGGACTCGGATATGGCTGTAAGAGATCCTTATGGGATGGTATGATCCATTACTGATGTTTTCTAGCTGGCGAAAAACGCCATGGCGTTCACCATTCTCGGCGACGGCATCCCCAAGATCTACTACGGCCAGGAACAGCATCTAAAGGGCGAGGAATCGCCCTATAACCGCCAGGCGCTGTGGCCGACAGACTACGACACCTCCGCGACTCTGTACGAGCTGGCTGCAACGTTGAACGCCCTTCGCAACACCGCCATCGCCGTCGACGACGACTACGTCAACTACATGAGCGAGATCATCTACACCGACGGCTCGACCTACGTCACCCGCAAGGGCTACAACAGCGTGCACATCGTCGCCGTGCTGACCAACCAGGGCAGCTCCGGGTCTGCCTATACCCTCACCGTCACGGGCGCGGCCGACGAAGGCCTCAACATGACCGAGGTCTTTGAGTGCAAGAGCCAGCTGGTCGGCTCCAACGGGACGCTCTATGTCGACATGGACGCCGGTCAACCGCGGGCCTTCTTTGCCTCGTCCGAACTGCCGGGCTCGGGCCTGTGTGGTTATGAGAAGTATGCTGGCTCGGCCACTCCCACGGCCTCGTCGGCGACAGCTACAGCTACCAGCGATGCCTGGACCAGCGTAGCCAGGCCGGGCTTCAGTGCCTTCATCGTTCTGGTCTTTGCATTTGCATTTGTCTTCTGTTAGTTGCTTGTAATTGTAAATATTTCATCTTCTGTATATATCCTTAAATACCCACAATCTTTCAAGAACAAACCAGTAATAGCATATCGCTGTAGATGATCTTACAGTTAGGGTTAGGGTTACTTCAGAATTATACTCGTAACAATTTGGTGAACGTTTCAAATTCACCATAATCATCTCTGTTAATCAAAGCCCATGGAGATGGACTCCTCGAGTCCCATCCATGACCGTCCATAGAAGCTCCGGAGCAGCTCCCCGGATCGTTTCGCCGGCACAATGTCCATGTTTGGGATTCCTTCCTCTGAATGGGGATCAGGAATAAGGGAGTTGTCCGGATAGCGTGTCCTCAAGATGGGAATCACCTCATTCCATGAATAAGGAGCCGCACAGGCAAAGATGCGTTCAGATTGGACATTTAAGTCCAAGAGGGCAATAACGTGCACACGGGCAGTGTCTTGCACATTGCTGTACCATTCTATCTATAGATTAGAAACCATAATTCAATGGAAAGGAACCGACTTACGCCGCGAGGGCATTATCTGCATTGCCAGGGTACTTCCTTGCAAGAGTGTCCGGGTGAGGCCCATCGCCGAGAATTGCTTCTCAGGGAAGAACATGGTTCCAAACTGACACTGTCAGGGTAATTCACAAGAATGAGGAAACACTTACATTGACATTTGGAAGCACCGAGTTGAAGACAAAGTGTGGCTTATTCTCCGCCACCCATTTCCACGCAGCTCGCTCTGATTCCACCTTGGACGCATTATACACGATGGAAGGCTTCTCGGCATCTGGAGTCTCAGGGTCCCAGGCAGCCTTGACAGAATAGTCGTTCCATGTCGCTATGACGGGTCAGTTTTAATTTGATGAGATCTAATGCTGAAAACCCACTTTCATCGATTATCATATCGCCTGGCTCACCGGGTGCCTTGCTGTAAGCAGCTACAACTGAAGAGGTGATGATGACTCGCTTCACTGATTCTACCCGGGACGCAGTCTTTAAGACGTTGAGACTCATTGCCACGACCTCAGTAATGACAGTGTTAGGATCCGGATTAAAGGAGTTATTGTTCGCCTAGTTGACAATATCATCAGCATCGGTATAAGAAAAGTGTGGATGTGATCATACCACATGGATAACACCACTCATACCCTCCATGCAGGTGTCCAGTGAGCCCTCCTCTTCCAGCTTCGGCACAATGGCGGTTTCAAAGCTGTCTGGGCCGTATTTGGACTGATAGAACTCATTGAGCCAGGGCTTCTCAGCCCTGACAGTGCCTCGCACTTTGTATCCATGGTCAAGGATACGATCGATGATATGGGAGGCAATAAAACCGTTGGCACCGGTCACAAGGACCCAAGAGCCGGCTGGGAGGCTGTATTCGGGGGGGGACATGGTGAGGTGGGATGAATATTCTGGCTTGAGGGAGATTACAACGGGTAGGAAGAGGGTTTTATAGCCAACATTCACTTAACATGTATAGGAGCAATGTTTCTTATTATGTCACTATGTCAGGATGAACGAACGGGCGAATCAGGGTCGATATACAGGTTAGAGTGGATTGGTCGATCCTTTGGCCCACCGTCAGACTGAATTTGTGTTGATATTGGATGAAGACTGTCTCCATCAATAGAAGTCCTGTGGATAGCCAAGACGAACCTATTTCCAGATCAAGGAACGTAATGCTCTCCAAGGAAAGGACTTAATCAAGCTTCTCAAGTTATGCTTGTTGAGCATAAAATGCTTAAGCAATCTCATGTCTCCTTCTCTGCTTCATTCATAAGACCATTAAGCTAGCAGTGTATTACCCATTAAATAATGTACTTGCTTTATCTAACCCTAGGGTTGGTCTGGTGTCTTTAAGTGAAGTGTATTCATAAGTCTTTATTCTATCTGAAATCAATATCTATTCGTCATGATCATAACTCTATTGATAGTCCCAATCCCCCCATCTGATCCAAGAGGACAGCCACAGATCGAGTGAGTTCCACGGATAGACAAACCAATTCTTACCCGTTTTTCGATCAACAAAGTACTATAGGGTTAGATGGATTATTACGGTATAGACGAGAGCAGACTCACTGTGGAACAGCTGCCGCTATGTACCGTCTGGTCAATAGCGGCATGTAACTTCTCATCAAACAGCCTCTCGCTCTCCTGTCGCACTTCGACCGTCTTTTTCTGCTCTTGAACGATGGGTCGGATGATACTGATGACCATATCGACGGAACTAGCCAGTCAGTGTACAGTTCATAATATAGTCAAGTATGTTGAATGGAGTCACCTTTCAATAATCTGGACGGTAGAAGTATAGAGTCTGCCTGAGTTCGGGCCGAGCAGGTAGAAGAAATTAGGAAACCCACTCATAGCGACGGTCTTGTATGTCGCCTTATGCCCGTATCCCGCCCAATGTTGTTCTCTGCTTTGCAGGCGGCCCTGGACGGGTGTATCGTAGTGTGTCAAGGCGAAACCATTGGCAAGGATCTACACTTAGCATATGGAGAGTGAGAGGAACAGAGTAAACTCACGATTACGTCCACTGGAACTTCTGTTGACTTTGTAATGATGGATGAGGATGTGATTTCGACAATCGGGTCGTTCGTCAGCGTCATCTTCTCATCGTGCAGTGCAGACAGATAGTCTCGATCAAAAACCCGTCTCTGGTATGATCAGCACACATCTTTATGTATGGGTGAGTTTATATAAATACCTTGCAGCCGAATTCATATTTTGGAATGAGCAGATCCAAGTATCGAGCAGGAGCCATTTTCTCAACATATTCCCTGCTCTCTTTCTCCGAGGCTGCGCGTCTGGCCTTGCCGGCTTCAGAGCGGAACTGGAAGAAGCCTCGCTCGAGGTAGAGCAGCATGAAGAGTCGCACAATGTACCACACCAGCGGAATCCGCAGCAGGAGTTGCAATGTCGGGGGGATGTCGTAGTTCTTTGCAGGAACAACATGATGGGGGGTCTGGATTATATTCAGCATATAGCATTCAGATATATTTGATGTAAAATAGCATACCCGCATAAATTGTGTGACGGAATTGGTCTGTTTGAGAATCGCCGGGACAAGCTGCAGGGCAGAAGCTATCAGGGTCAGTATTGTACAAGTATAAGAGGGTTCATATAGAAATAATACCTCCATTCCCGATCACGGCGACATTCTTATCCCGTAAATCGATATCCCTCCAGCGAGCGGTATGGAGGATCTCTCCTTGAAAGCTATCCACCCCTTTGACATTCAATGTATTCGGATTGACGATCCCCCCAACGGCAGAGATGAGAATGGAACATTCCCGAGTAAAGAGCTTGCCCGTTTGTAGATCCTGCAGTTCGACAGTCCAGCTCTGGGTCTTCTCATGCCAGCAGGCGCCCTTCCATTCTGTCGATCCCCGGAAATGCCTATCCACGCCGTATTGTCTCGCCACGCGGGTCAGATAGTCCAGGATCTCGGGCTGGGAGGGGAACATCTTGCTGAAGGTCGGTTGGGGGGCGAACGAGAGGGTATATGTGCATCCAGGGACATCTACTGCGCAGCCAGGGTCTAACAAGTCAGCATGTAACTATAGTCAGTAAATAAAAGACCGAGACAGACATTGATTGGCCATCCAGCAGCCTCCAAGAGCCGGTTGACGGTCGTAGATGGTGTACTCGTCCAGATTGAACTGGCGTTTGAGCTGGCAGGCCATCGCCATGCCGGAGATGCCGCCTCCGATGATGATGATCATTCTATAGGTGAATAGATAATAGAGATAGTAATAGAGATAGTAGAGAGTGTGTTTATAGAGGGAGGATAGTATATACTAATAGACAGGGGATAATAGTATATATACTAGACAGCCTTTTTGGTTTGTTTTCTTATTTCACGATTATTTTTTCCTTTTTCTTTCCATTTTTATACTTTTCAATTCCTTTTAGTTCATTATTCACTCACTAACTCGAGACTATTGATTGTATCCCGCTCAATTGTGGCTTGCGCATGGAGTCAAAGCGATGGTCTAATGAAAATATTTCCGCAGACCCGGTACCCAGCTGAGATGAAAGCCGAATAGTCTCATACTAACGGTAAACTAGAACTGCTGCCTCAAGCTAAAGGCCAACTAAGTCAAGCCACTCGCTAATCTTCAGCTGAAATCGCCTGTCACTGCCACCTGTCAGTGCATCTGTGGAACTGTGACAGGCAAAATCCCGAACTAAGCGACAGCCACAGTCTCCACTGAGATCTCGGAGCTGCCGGTTTACCTACAGAATCCTCACGAACTCACGAACTGCCCAAAGGAAGGCCAATGGAGGCTTCGTATTTGCATTGGGCCTTTTCAGCCAGCCCCTCGGGTTGACGTAGGTGACTGCACCACATACGTGTAGTGAAGAGGGTATGTGTATGGAGCAGTGGCATAAGGACTATCATAACTTTATAAAATTTATTTCTTCTTTCTTTTCACTATTTATTCCTCTCTCTCATATCCTTCTCTATCTCTCATTCATCTTAATTCATTCTTATATTCCACCATGGATACCCTCTTCCTGCTGTATATCTCACCATGGCTGGTCCTGGCCGTCTTCACTGCCGTCTCCCTCTTCTCCCTCCTTAGAGTCCTCTTCACCTCCCGCCAACTGGTCTCGCTCAGTGACACGCCATCCACCGTCATTGGCAAACCCCTTCTCTTCCCTGTCACCTTCAACCACAAGCGCTTCACGCCGGCCAAAGACCGCTTCACGAACCAGTTCCTGTTCGTTGGCGTCCCTGTCGGGCTGAAATGCCGCATTGGCAATTTCCTGGCCGTCGACGATCCTTCGTTGGATCTTTACTCCTCCTTCTCCCTCAAGAGGATCTTCTCCCATCTCTCCTGCTGGTTCAGCTTCGACTCGCGTCGCTATCTCCACCGCGGCGACCAGGTCGATCTCCGCGACAAGCTGGACGAGTACCTGCTGTCGATCGACGAGAAGCCCTCGCAATGGCCGCATGCGTATCTGCTCGGCGTGCCTCAGTTTCTGGGCTTCTCCCGTGCGGTTGTCTCCTACTGGTACCTGTACAACGCGGAGAAGGAGCTGGACGCCGTCATTCTGGAGATCAACAACTCCTACTGGGAGAAGAGGAACGTCTTCCTCCGACTGAATGGATCTGGCAAGGCGGCGAACAATGAAGACAAGGAACACTATCTGGACGCTCTGCATCTCATCCAGTCTCTCCCCTCGTCGCCACACTCAAACTTCTACCAGGGAACATGGGATAAGAAGATCTTCGCCTCCCCCTTTGAAAAGGTCGACGGGCAAGTCTCGAACCGGTTCATGGACCCGTTGCAGCCGGCGTCGTGGAAGCCAAACGCCTCGTTTGCCAACATGACGACCCTGGACGAGACCTCCGGGACCGTCAAGATGGTAACGCGCATGACCTGCTCGGGGCTCCCCATCGACCCGTGCGAGATGTCGGCCTGGCAAGTGCTCTGCTTTGTGCTGCGATGGACTCTGCCCGGCATGTTGACGACGGGGTATATCGTTTTCCATGCCCTGCGCATCCGGTTCACCCTCATGCGGATGATGAAGAAGCCGCCTGTCCGGATGGGGAGTGTCGGCCGTTATCCTACAAAGAACGAGCTGTAAGTAGTATACCATCTTATATCGTACTCTGCTGACAATACTAGGAACCTGGAGAAAATCTTCCGGGCATATCTTGCCTCCTGCGTCGAGAGATGCTCGTCTCCCGTGAAGGTCGAGTATCTCCCCTGTCGAGCCATGAACAGCGATACAGTCTATATGACGTCTCCATCGTACAACGAAAAGGAAGGCCAGACCATCACCGTCGAACCGGCAGATCCAGGGTTCTATACACGCTTCGCTCACTACGAGAACGTCCGCACGGCGATCATGGAAGAGATCCAGCTCACCAACCATGAAGCCGATCCCACGGCGCGGAGACTGTTGCTCTCGCACCCTGACCTGATGGCGGAGATCTTGACTGTCAAGCCGGAGCAGAACAGCCGTTTCTCTCTCCCCTTCAGGAAGTCATTCATGGATGGGTTTGCCATGTCGCAGCCTGGATATCTTTCCTCCGTGCTGGAAGATCTCATCGTCGAACGCTTAGCATTTGGCTCCTGGCTGCTTTTCAGAGTATATGCCATTGTCTGCTCGTTTCTGCTGCGATGGTCTGTCTGTGTGTGGAGCGGGTATTCCCTATTTGCATATCTCGGTGCAATGTGTTTATTCTCTTATTTCAATCTATAACAAGAATCAATGAATAGAAACATATCTCGCTGGAGGTCCCAGATAACTCTCTCTCACCCCCCCCAGATCAAGGACAATCTTCTCCAAAGCCATGCCAGCCCCCATCATGCGAATCTTGATTGTATGGCTCCCCGGCGCAACGTGGCCCAGCATGACGCTTCGTCGCCACACACAGTCCTGCACGGCGGTGCTCCATCCCTCGGGCAAGTCGCCCGCCGTGGCAGGCGCCTCGATCAGCCGTGTCTCACCATAGGAGTCGTCGTCGAACCAGACGTGGAATGCCAGCGGGTTGGTCGGGTCCGTATCCAGCGCCATGGAGAAGTAGAGGAGCATCTCGGCCGTGCTGCGTTCTGTGAAGGTGTAGACGCTATACTCCAGCAGGGTGTCTGTCGAGTCGAACGGGACGGCCACGGCGCCTGTCCGGCCTAGAAAGGAGAGCGAGAGGGCATTCCCTGTCTCTGCATTGATTGTCGTGATGGCCACGCATCGGTCACTCTCGACAAACCCGGTGAAAGGCCCCGGAATGTGTCGTGCAGACACGGGAAGATGCATCACTTCATAGTCTCCACGATCCGAAAAGACAGCCACCTCGACCGTCTCGTTGAAGTAGAGGGGAACGGCCGTCTGGTCGATCGTGACCTCCACCCGGACGTCGTTGCAGGTTGAATCCAGTCTCCCCGAGGAGGGAGACAGAGCGATCCACGGACACCTTGTAACGAGAGACCAGTTGAGACAAGCCGGCCCTCGACGGAAGAGCTCGAACCAGCGGGTCTGCGGTCCATACGTGTCGAACGGCGGGAGAGTGACGCCAACGACCAGATCCCGTTGCGAGGGATGCGTCCGGTCGGATTCCTCGTTCACCAGGCCCGGCCGGACGCCCGGATGTCCCTCGACGGCGACGCCCATGTTGCCCATGATGGGATTCGAGGGTTGGCGCAGCTGCACGAAGCACAGGCCGTCGACCAGGTCCCGCGACGGCGCATGCCACGTCGTCGCGCTGTAGCCGTAGTGCGGCTGGCGGAGGAGATGGTTCCATTTCCCGTCGAGGAGGGCGTGGTATTCTTCCGCGAGATCGTAGTCGGCGTCGAAGAGAGCGAGAACGTGCTGGGCGACGGCGTTGGTCTCGTTGCGTCGCTGGGAACCGTACAGTCTGTTCCGGGCCTGGTGGAAGCGCAGCTGCATGTAGATCGTCGACGCCTTGATCGGGTGCAGCACCAGCTGGAAGAAGGCCGGGCGATGCTCGCTGTCGAGGGTGGCATACAGCTCTTCTGCCGTGCTCAGCTTGTCTTCCCAGCCGAGTAGGATATCCTCTGCCTCGTCGTAGTTGAGCAGGGAGAACGTGTCGGCCTCGATGTGCTCGTGTTTGCGCATCGCAAGCAGCCGGTCATACTCGCCCAGCAAGTCGGCCGCCTCCTCTGCCACGGGGAAGACGTTCGTCTTGCAAAAGTCGAGGAAGAAGGAGGAGAAGTCGTCGGCAGAGATGGAGTCGATCTTCCACGCCAGCCGCAGTGCCATCGACAACGGCATCTCCTGCGGCTTGATATCGCCGACGTTGAAGACCCAGATCTGGTCTGCTCGCCGGCTGTGGGCGAGCTGAAGCTGCTGCCAGATGCGGCCCTAAAGAGTCAACAGACAGACAAGATATAGATATAGATATGATATAGACAGATACTCACGCAGTGGTTGCTGTTGATCCATTTGTAGCTCCTCGGATGCCCGACATACTCGAGATGATAGTAAATCTGCCAGTCAGCCAGAGTACAACAATAGATGGAGAGACATACTCCAGCGCCTCCTCGTCGGTCCATCTCTTTGCCAACTGGCAGTCGTCGCAGCGTGCCAAAGTTGTCGTCGGCGAAGAGCAGCGTCACGTCGTCGGGAACAACGAGTCCGTCGTCAAAGTATTCCTGTACTTCTTTATACAGCGCGAGGAGCTCTATAGATACAGCTTAGAGAGAGCATAGATAGTGAAGAGACGCCAGACTCACGCTTCGGCTTCTCGTCGTAGACATCGTCAATGACGCCCTGCTGGAAGGCAAGAATCTCCTCGAGAACAGCGCGCGGATTGTCGACCTCCATGGCCTCGTCGCTGCCCCCTCGCATCCCGAGAGTGAGATAGGACTCAAAGGGCTTCGCCCGCTCGACTCCCTCGCGCATATACTGCTGGACTGGGGCCTTGTTCTTCGTCCACGACCAGCTCTCCTTGTGCGGGTGGGATTGGAACCACTCGCCCATGGCGCGCTGCATCGGTTCATGATGCGAGGTCGAGATGACGATCCCCCAGTCCTCGGCGACGATCTGGTTGCGCGGATCGTCTGTGAAGAAGCTGGCGCCGGCCCACATCGCCGGCCACAGGAAGTTGGCCTTGAGCCGGAGGAGGAGCTCAAAGACTCGCTCGTAGAACTTGGCATCGAACACCGGTCCGATCTTCTCGTGCAGCCAGGAGGTCAGGGCGGGCGCCTCGTCGTTGATGAAGATGCCGCGGTATTTGACACTCGGAGGCCCGTCGCTTTCTATGCCTGGCGAGATGAAGATGGTCTTTCTTTGGATCGGACACACATCTGCCCACCAGTACCATCTATATTCTTAGAAAAGACCAAAGACCAGGAAGGATATCTTACGGAGACACTCCGATCCATTCGGACAGCGTATAGATTCCATAGATGGCGCCTCGCTTGTCGCTGCCGGCAATCACCACCGCCGCATCAATGCCCGGTAGAGGATCGTGGACGACGGTGATGAGGAATGATTCCCAGCGCTCCTCGATCTCGCCGACGGTCAGTCGAGAAGACTGGATCAGCCGTTGCAGCAGAGGAGACGCCAGACTCCCGGCGATGATTACCACGTCATCGCCAGTCGCATTGAGGTCTGTCACTCCAGCTTCGTATCGAATATTCCTCGGCCGTGAACCCGTCACCAGCTCAAAGTCTTTGGCCAGACATGATGCGGCGATGTGAATACCGGTAAAGTCACCGTCGTCGACCACAATCGGCGCCCCGTCCAGACGGACTCTGCCGGGCGAGAACTCGAATGAAACCAAAGAATCCATAGTCTTGACGATGGGTAGATTCATGATGGGATATTCCTATTCTGCCGTTGGAATTTACCCCGCTACCCCGCAGTATGAATCCGGATATTGCCGATCAGATACACTATTGGAGGAGATGAAAAGCATTCTGTATGAGGATTAGAACTGTTTAAGATAGAGTGATGGCTATAGTACAGCTTATGGTAAGACATGCTTCTCCTTTGCATCTGTCAAATGCCTGCTAGCTAAAAAGACCTCTCCGGCCTGATGATGAGGAGAAGCTCTCTGGCATAGGCCGAGGCCGTCAGAGCAGCGTAGTTGTGCCATTCATCATTCTTATGCGAGTCGCAGTAGTCGCAGATCCCCCGGATGACAAGACAAGGGATGTTGTTCATCAGACCGGCGGCCTCCATCTCAAAGCACAAGACATTCAACTCCGGGTCATGGGCATATCTGTCTCGCATTGCCGGGTCCTTGACCAGCGTGTTACCAGAGGCGATTGTCCCGTAGTGGGTGGCGATTTCTCGAGTATTGAACTGCTGCGGACGCTGGACACACGCCCCGGGGGAACAGCTCCTGCAGGTCGTTCCCCCCTGATGATGGTAGTCTGACCGATACAGCTGGTCGTGTTGAGGTCGTCTGAACGCCGGCACGTCCTTCATGCGTTGGATATGCTCTGCGATCCGGTCAGGTTTGCGGGGATCGTTTTGGCGCCGTCGCAATTCAGGGATTGCTCCTAGAAACAACACTGGCGGCGGACTCAAATATCCGGTTCGTCGGAATTGACCACCTCCCTGGTCTATCCCCAGGTCATACTGCACCACACCTCCGAACGTGGGTTGCGGTACGCTGACAACCACATCGCCCAGTCGAATATCTCGTTCTCTCGTTGGTGCCCCTCCGCCGATTCCCACCAACAAGCTGTAGCGTACGTTGGGAAAGGTGCGAGCCATGTCTCTCGCTACCACCGCCGCAGAGTTGGTGCCATAACGCCCGAGGGGCAAAGAGCCGATAACGACATGATGAGCCCCGACGCGGCCGAATGTGTATGTGTTGTTGTCGCCGAGTTGACGGACGTCTAGTCCAGGGAATACCACATCCAGCATCCTGACTCCAGCTTTATATTCTTCCGGGAGGGCACAAATCCAGCCCACGGTATACTGATCGAGAGCGGGATTCATCTGGTGAGCAGGCATAATTCTGTGGTAAAGTTGTAGTTAGAGATTGAGTAGTTGAAGAGATTGAGTTGAAGAGAAATAACAATGAACGTACTCGGGAAGAAGACAGATTATAAAGTGTGAACTTCTATAACCGCCGACTACGTTGCTATTTTTACACGGCGTTAACATGTTTCAGCTAGCCAGCGATAATGACAGCCAAGTTTTACGCGCCGGACAGGCTTCCCTATTAATCTGATCTATAAATACTGAATTAATAGATTACTAATTGCTTCTGGCAATTTGTGGACTACCTATTCTGACTGAACATTGTGTGGTTGAAATTATATTGGTATACTACAATGCTATTACTAGGATACTATAATACTGACTATAATACTATAACTAAGTAAAACAAGCAGCCCAGTTGCCTCCCTGGCGGGCAAAGCTCAGCCCCTGGACAAAGTCGTCCCTGGTGCATCTCCCCAGCGAGTCGACGGCACAGCCATGCAGGGGGATGACGCGGTCGTTGATCAGCACGCGGACCAGAGGCTGCTTGTGGTTCTGGCAGGTCATCATCTCGATGTACGCCCGGGCAGAGTACGGGACAGACCAGGCGGCCGAGTATCCGTTGGTCTGGTCGACGGATTCCACCGAGGTGTTGGACAGCGGCGCCGTGCTGTTATACAGCCCCATGGCGAAGAAGATGGGCTCGAGCCCGTCGTCGTGGGAGAAGTCGGCATACAGCACCGCGTCCAGGGGGAAAGTGGCCGAGCTGGCGTCCAGGGTGTGGTTGGTAGACGTGTCGTCCTGAACAGCCTTCTGGGTGAGGCGGGCGATGACCTCGTTGGTGAAGCCGACGCCCTGGGCGGCCCCGAGGACGTTCCCCCCGCCGTATCCATAGTACTTGCCCAGGGTCTGGTAGTAGTTGTACTGCACCCACTCGGCCTCGGAGAACAGGGCGCAAAAGGGAGACAGCTCGCTGGCGTCGGCGGTGCGGGCGACGGTGTCGAAGCTGCACATGTCCATCAGGTAGATGATGTCCGTGGTGGAAAAGCTCATGCCGGGCAGGTTCTTCTCGACGCGCGCCAGGATGGGGGGCACAAACACGGCGGCCCAGGTGTCGGTGGCGTCGTCGCCCGTCTCGCTGTTCTCAAAGTTGGTGCAGGTGCTGGGGTCGAGCGAGTTGTTGAAGCCCGTCGTCTCCTCCAGCACGACGTTGATCGTCGGCGCCGTCTGCTTCCTGTTGGCCTTGCGGTCGGCCTCCTTGGTGGCCTGGAAGCCGGCGTTGAACTGCTCGCTCGACTCGATCACCCGCTCCGAGCTCGACGAGCGCACAAACGGCACATGGTCCCTGGCCAGCGACTCGTACCGGGTGTAGAACTTGATCCCGGCCTGGTACATCTCCAGCTCGCCAAAGGGGGTGAGCACGTCCGACGAGAGCGAGTAGTTGTACGTCTGGAGGAACGCGTACTCGCCCGTGAACGAGGTCGCGTTGCTCTGGATCTCCTCGATCAACGCCTTGTACTTGGTGTTCTTCGACGAGGTCGGGTACCGCGCGCCGTGACGGGTCAACGCCTGCACAAACGTGATGTCGCACGACTCGGGGATCGCCGGCGAGATCGTCGACTCCGCCGCCAGCGAGAAGAAGGGCGCGTATTCCCCCCAGTTGCGCGCAATGGAGGGGAAGCAGGTGTATCCATCGGCGACGCTGTTGCAGGACTGGGCAGCAGCCGAGTGAGGAGCAGCCGAGGCTCTACCATCATCAGACTCTGTCAGATATCAATGATTGTTTGACTTACCCAGCAAGGAGCAGAAAGAGAGACAGAGTAGCCATTTTTTCTTCTCTTTTTCTCTTTTTTTTTGCTCTTCTCCCCTCAAGGAACACCTTATATACTTATCCTGCTCCTGCAAATTAGCTGCTAACCACCTTGGGCTAGTCTGGTGGGCTGCATAATCTTAAGCTTATCAGCAATCACCATAACAGAATGAAGCACGTGGGCAGCAGTCTGTCTCCAAGCGACTTAGCGTGGATTGATGAGGGATTAAAGAAGAGAAGAAGAAAAGAAGAAGAAGAAAAGAAGAAGGAAGGGTGAAGAATCTTCCGCCAGCTTAAGATAGTAGAATCATAAGACATGATGAATCATAAGACTAGCTAGTGGCTTGCAACTTATGATTCATACAATTAGTATGATGATAAGATATAAGCCTGATACCATCACTATATAAGGCTATAATCAGTGTTGTTATTTTAATAAGATATCTCTAAAACCTACTCTAGACCTATAGCCCTCTATAATAATACCTATCTAGATACTAAGGTCTATTGGCAGCCACTGACCTACAGCCCTATTTCACAATTTTATTCTAATCTAGATGATCAAAGAATTATCCTAGAAATTACTAGAATCAGTATATAGACTTGAAAGCTTAATAAATACTTACCTAGATAATAAGAAGAAATATGGACTTCCTAGATAGGATGAGCTTATTATAAACATTACATCTTGGCGCCAAGAAATTGATATTCTGTATAACAGAGAGTATAATGGCAAGCATCTATTTTAAAATTGATATCTAATATAATGCCAAGTGGTATCAACGCTGATTAAACACGCGCATAACTGCTATCGCCAAGCAAGACCTCGTCCCCACCCTTGAGACGATCCTTGGAGATGATCTTGCTCGGGTGGAACAGATTGAAGAGAATACAGCAGCCGAGCATGAGAGTGGCGTCGAAGATGTAGATAAATACCTCGTGGCTCTGGAGAAAGCCGGTGGTGCCCTGGATGTATTCGGCGACTCGGTAGATGGAACGGACCATGATCATCAGACTGGCGGCGTACAGCACCATCATATACTTGGTCCAGGGGATCTCGGTCTTGACGACGGCATGGCTGGGGCTCGCCAGCATGCGGCGGTGGAAGACAAAGGAGACAATGATGAAGAAGCCAAAGGAGAGGACCTGGACGAAGAGACCGCCGATGATCATCTTCTCGCCCATGTTCACGGCCGATGTGGTCGATGCGGTGGCCATCATTCCACCACCTATACACGATGAATATGCAAGCTTTATATAGAGAGATCCTCGGGGGGTTTACCTCCACTCTGGATGAAAAAGGAAAGGACATCGCCCGTCACAAAGATCTTAGTCAACCAGTTCGGTCGGACGAGCGAGATGGAGCCAGCGTTCAGCAGGCGGATGATCCGGCCGAGGATCATATACACCGACGCCGCGAAGAAGGAGGGCGCAAGGAGGAGGAGGAGATTCTGGCCGGCGTATGTGCCGGTGCTGTAGTTTGGGCTTTGTTTGGCGGACATGTATCGCATGATGTACCCGAGTACCTCGACTAGAATATTAGTCGGCGAGATGTCCATAAGATGTAGACTCATATCAATAGATACATACAACATCCTCCGATGACAAAGGGAATAAAGTACCACGTCTTTTTCGTGAATATTTGCCAGAAATGGAGCGCAGTGGAGATGGCAAACGCGATGGTAAAGATGATCGCAGCCGCGGCAGAGGGAGTGTAATTGTACAGTACATAAGTCATATTGAGAAGAGGAAGAGAAGTGGATGAGGAGAAAGCGAGTGAAGATTGATGTGGATGAGAAGGAATACAGAGGGCCCTATTCTTTCTTATATCTGTTGTTGCTAATTTTCCATATTTAGGTTTGTCCAAACGGGTAAGGGATACGAGAGAGGGTGGAGTTTACGAAAGCTCGAGTTTAACCGATGTGGTGCGCTATACGAGAACGAGAATGAGCAGGCATCAAAATTAGCATGCAGTTTCAGCAGAAGCATATCAAGGTGATACACCAGTTATTCTAGGGAGTACCTGATCAGGGCGGTCAATTTTACTATTCTTTGGAGTTTATCCTGCCCTGAGCGACTCTGGACATCCACAGCCCTACCCCTGATTAGCGGTATGGCTTAGCGCACAACACGATCTACAGGACATTAAGCTTTAGTTCCAGGGCAACTGGACCTTTTATCTAAAGTAGTTAATGAACTAACCATGCTGCCTTCCTGGAAGTATAAGATTGTCTTCTAGAAGTATAAGCAATTAACATGTATGCCCTTTACTGCTATTATAATTATCAGCAGCAATATAGTTATAGACCTCTATTTCCTACATAAATTATAAATATAAACACAAGTCACTCTTAGACTACTAAGATAAAGGCACATTGATTGGTGAAGAGATAAGGAAATTAGAAGTTATAGTAAGATAATAATAATTGAGATATATTAATACTATATAATCTCATTATTTATACAAGTAAGACTCAATGATAATAGACTAACCATAGCTAGCTAGTGCTATGTGGACCACCCGAGCCGAGTCGAGTATATACAGGACAAGAGGACGCATACTCTGTATACTAGATGCTCCAAAAGTAGATCCCGCCATGCTCACCCCTGTCCATTTCTTCTCGCATGGGTCGACGATGATGCTGGGCGAGGAGTCGACCTCCGCCTCGTACTGGAAAAGCTGCGGCGACGAAGCTTTGAAAAACGGGATCAAAGGCGTGATCGTGATGGTAGGATTCCCGGTTCCGAAGATTCACATGAAGACCGGCTGATGGATGGATGCCAGGGCGCGCACTGGGACTGCTATGGCGACCAAATCCAGGTGTCGACGAACGCGCAGCCGGGCAAGTCGCCGGTGGCATACGTGCATCCCGAGAAATACGTGGATTACGCCCTGAACCCGGATATCCCGACGGCCCAACGGGTGATTTCGATGCTCGCCGCTGCCGGGTTCAACGCATCGGGCAACGAGAGCTTTGACTGGATCCACGACGTGTATCTGATTCTGATCCGGATGTTTCCTGCGCAGTGTCCGCCGACAACCATCGTCTCGCTCAACGCCCGCTACGACCCGCACTTCCACCTCAAGGTCGGCTCGACGCTGCGCTCGCTGCGCGGAGAGGGATACCTGCTCATCGGCACGGGCGGCGCGGTGCACAACCTCTACCGCAACCGGTGGGCGCCGATGCTGCGCTTCCGAGACAACTTCGCGCAGGAGACGCCGCCCGAGGCCTGGGCGCTGGAGTTCCGCCAGTCGGTCGAAGATGTGCTGCTCAAGACCTCTGGACCGGCCCTGCGCCGCGCCATGACGCGCCTCATGAAGCATCCGCACTATCGCGATGCACATGCTACCGACGACCATTTCATGGCCGCCATGTTTGTCGCGGGGGCGGCGGGCGATGCCCAGGATGAGGGATCCCGCGCTGTCTTGGGCGCTGAGACGTGGGAGTTGACCAACATGTGTAACTCGCAGTTTACCATTCACAGTGCGGTATAGATAGTCCTAGTAAATACATAATCCTCCTATCTGGTCTGCCTGGTCGCTAGGATCCTCATCCCGAGAAGTGAACAAGACACAAAGACTAACGAACAAACCCCGGTGATGATCCCCTGCTCGAAGAAGCCGACCCGATATCCAGGCCGTTGGTCGATGGCCGGCAGGGACTCAACCAGAGGCATCACAGCCGAGCCGAGGAGGGCTCGGATCTGTCCTGCCGTGCGCGAGCGGGTGACGATCTGTGGCCGGGGGATCTCGAACCATGAAGCCGAATAGCGGGTGGACTGGATCTGATCGACCACCGGGCCGACTGGAAAACCACCAGTCAGTATGGATGGAAGAAGGCGTCGGAATGCAGTGAAGATGGTACCTAGCATGTTGTATGGAACGTGGTTGATCCACGCTGGGGCGTCGATGGACTCGGAGACGTATTTCGCTGCAGCCGGAGAGGCAAACGTGTACGTGGCGGAGATGGAACGCCTATCGATCAAGACCCATCGGATCAGATGCCACCTTCCGTCGGAAGAAGAGAAACCAACTCACTCGTTGCAGAAAATGATGGCGTCGTCAAGACTGGAGACGGAATGCACCGCGACTAACCGCCGGGTTATCTTCCGTCGCAGCAGCGAGTCTCTGTCCTTGACCAGCACGACTGCCCACCCTGTCCCGGAGACGATGATTTGACCGGGGAGATTCTCTTGCGGATCGTCTTGCCTATCATCCCGCTCGGATGCCTTCATCCTGCCCACTGTCTTGGCGGTTTGCTGGATGACGGATTCGAGAAACGCTTGCAGGCAGAACTCGTTGACGAGAATCACGTCCGGCGCATAGGGCGAGCGGCCATGGAAGGCCAGACGGGCGACGACGAGCTCTTCCGCCGACTTTTCCACACTGCCGGTTCGGTCGACGATCGCAGCCACACAGCCGGGAGAGGAGGCGATGCTATTCTCCGACAGGGGACCGTCGAGGGCGGTTTGCGCTACGACCAACGTATTCCGAAGGAAGTCGGCGTCGGGCCGGTCCTGGACAATCGCAAAGGTGTCGCTGTCGAGGACGGAAAGAATCTTTCGGAGAAGGGGAGACGAACAGGATGGCGACACCGGAAGTTCCAGAACAATGCAGTTCCCGGCGGCCAGGGCGGCACTCATGGCAGCCACTGCCGAATAGAACAGCGTGTACTGCGAGGGCACAATGTACACGATCCCGAACCCTCTTCTGGCGTCGCCATTGTCCTTTCCCCTTGCCACGCGGTACTCTCGCTCCAGACTGGCCGGCAGATCGAGGGAAGCGTAGTGCGTACGGATTTCGTGAAGCGCCAGGAAGATCTCCGCCTGTACCTCGCCCGCCGTGTGGTCAGAGTCGGCGGCGATGGCTTCTTCCAGATCTGCTAGATGTCGCACGATGCTGTCGTACAGCCGGTGGAACTGCGTCTGTCGGTATCGGACATTCTGGGTGCGGCCGTCGATCTTTCCGGCGGAGATGGCAGATAACATTACTATAGTATGGTAATATGGTCTATGCCTATGGGTGGGTATAGTATGGAATAGAATATATGTATATCGTATATGTATGTTGCCTCGGGACCACATCGGGACCCCGCTCCGCTCTGGAGAAACAATATAGTCACTCACCGATACTCATCTCCCGATATTCACCAATCCACACCATGCAAGACTACGCTCTCCATCACAGCGAGGTGAAACAAGCACCCCAGGAAGCTCGACGGGCTCAACCTCGCCGTCCACCATGGACAACCGATCATCGCCGAGTCCCCGAGCACCGCGCGGCCAACCGACATCTCGATCTCGAACAGCGACCAGCGGGGACAAATACGGCGGAGTTTACCATGATCCAGGTCATGCTGCATGGCGTCTGGCTGAATTCAGTATCCCTCCCTTTTCCGAATAGGATTTACCCATGCTGACTGCCAGGTGGTGGCGAGGGTGTGGCGGAATACGGGGGGGAGAATCAATCGCAAGATCTTCCACTATGAAATTGGAGGGGAGTGGTAGTATCATCATCATTATCATTATCATTATCATCATACTCTATACGCATTTCATATATCATACTTATACTTCCACACCATGATAATTATTGTATATCAAGAAGTTACTGCAACCATAGGGGCCCTCGGAAGTCGGCTCCACATGGAATATATACAGAGCCATTCATCGGGTATATAACATCGAACCGGGTCCCATTCATCTATCCTGTGCTATTTGTATTCTCTACATACTCGACCGCATACCATACGGCTACATACACATCATGTACATCTACGAGGAAAACGTGTCCATCCCGCTATCCGACGGGCTGATCCGATGTAACGTGTACCGGCCGCAGAACCAGCAGCAAAGCCCTGCCATCGTGACCTACGGCCCTTACGGCAAAGACATACACTACAAGGAGTACAGTCCCCCACCCATGTACATGTTTCCTATTGACCATGTTAGCTTCCACCTCCAATCCTACAGCGAAGTGGATGAAGAACACCACTCCGAGCATTCCGCCTGGGAGACACCCGACCCCGGCTTCTGGACCGCCCACGGCTACGCCGTTGTGCGAGCCGACGAGCGCGGCACGGGCCAGTCTCCCGGCCTGCTGGACACAATGTCGCGCGACACCAGCGAGAGCTTCGCGCAGGTGGTCGAGTGGGCGGCCGCGCAGCCCTGGTGCACGGGGAAAGTCGGCCTGCTGGGCATCAGCTACTATGCCGGCACCCAGTGGCGGGTGGCTGCGCGCCAGCCAAGGGGGCTGGCCTGTATGATCCCCTGGGAGGGCATGTCGGATTACTACCGAGACCGCTGCCGGCATGGGGGCATCCTCTCCAACGGCTTCATCCGCTTCTGGTGGGACAGACAGATTGTGCGCAACCAGTACAGGAGAGAGCGTGACAAGACCGTGGCGGAGCACAGCAGCAACCCGGCGGAAGATGCGGATGCGGATTCCGAAAACACCCTGCGGAAAAACCGTCGCGACCAGAACGAGGACAACCGCGTGAACCGCTTCCGAGACGATGCCTACTACGCCGAGAGGGAGTATAACCTGGAAGATGTACGGGTGCCGCTGCTGTCGGTGGCCAACTGGGGCGGGATCATGCTTCACCTGCGCGGGAACGTGCAGGGCTTCATGCACGCCCGCTCGCCGCTCAAGTATCTGCGCTTCATCGCCGGACGACACGACCTGCCCTTTTACTACCACTCCGAGGTCCACGACGTGCAGCTGAGCTTCCTCGATGCCTTTCTCAAGGGCGACGACCGCGGCGGATGGACCACCGGCACCGCCCCCCGTGTCAACCTGCTCCTTCGGAAGGGGACCGTCGGCTTCAACGATCCCGTGGCGGAACGGGTGTTTGCCCGCCGCGCGGAGACGGAGTGGCCCATCGGAAGGACGGTCTACCAGAAGTATTTCCTAACCTCCGAGAAGAAACTATCTCCCGCTCCGCCGCCGCCGTCGGGCCTACCCGTCGGCCGCGACAAGATCAGCTACCGTGCCCTGGGCAACTTGACCACCCCGCACGCTGTGCAGTTCATCTCGGAAGCCTTTGCTGAGGAGACGGAAATCACCGGCCACCCTGTCGCTCGGCTCAACGTCTCCGTCACCCCCGACACGGGCGGCCCGTTGCCCTCGGAGATTGATCTCTTCCTCACCCTGCGCCACCTTGATCCGTCGGGAAACGAAGTCTTCTATACCGGCACGGCGGGCGACCCTGTCCCTCTCACCAAAGGTTGGCTGCGCGTCAGTCTGCGCAAGGTGAACCACCAACATCGCCGTCATCGGGACTACCTGCCTCACCGCGACTACTTTGCCTGTGACGTCCTCCCCGTGCTGCCGGGCGAAATCTACCCCGTCGATGTCGAAATCTGGCCGACGAATGTTGTCGTCGAGGCAGGTGGGAAGATTGTTCTCGAGGTCTCCTCGGGTGATACGCAAGGCTGCGGCAATTTCCAGCACAATGATCCCACAGATAGGTATGTCGATCCCGAGTATTGATCTCTGTATGATAGTGCTGATCGTGGTAGGTCGAAGGATAAACTGCAGGGAATGAACCATATCCATTTGGAGTATGAGAATTACGTGGTTCTTCCGGTGATTCCTACCTAGAGATCGAGTTGTAGACACAGCCAAGTATATATTCCAATGCTGCCTTTGATATCGAGTAGAGTATCGTACGGCTGGAGAACAGTATAGATTATAAAGTCAAATCTAGTCAATGAATAACCCCCCCGACGCAATGAGATGTGCGCCATTGATCCATCTCGCCCGCTCCTCGCACAGGAAGGCCACCGCATACGCAATCTCCTCCGGCTGCGCCATCCGACTGCCCACGGGCGTCTGGTCGATGATCGGCTGAAGGATCTTCATCTGGGCGTCGCCTGCCGCCGCGAACCCTTCTGTTCGTGTCGGGCCGGGGCTTACCGCGTTAACGGTGCAGCCGTACTTGGGAGGGAGTTCTTTTGCCCTATGATCGTTAATATAGTATAGAGTACGTGAAGAGAGGCATAAAGATCAGATGGGGATTATGAATAAGCACAAGGCAAGTGTAGTTACCAGCACTTGGTGAAGGAATCCACCATCCCCTTGGTCCCCGCATAGATGGTCTGATTCGGGGGCGGTCCCCGCGCGGAGATGCTCGCGATATTGACGATCCGCCCAGACCCTCGAGTGAGATGAGGCAGACTGGCCTGTGTGAGCAGGAAGGTCGCTCGGCCATTAATATTCACCAGTTTGTCCCAGTCGGCCAGCGTCTGTTCCTCCAGTGGCCGATTGACTGCCAATGCAACGCAGTTGATCACAATGTCGAGCCGACCCCATCTCGCCATGGCCGCGTCGACGAGACGCTGCGGCGAGTCAACGAGGCCCATGTCTGCCTCGACACAGACTGCCGCCGTCTGCAAAGAAGCCGCCAGGGCATCGGCTTCCTCCTTTTCCGACACGGAAGGATGGTTGATTACCGTGTGGACGCCACGCGACGACAGCTCTCGCACAATCGCCGCTCCGATGCCAGACGAGGAGCCGCTTACAATGGCGACCTTTCCGACGAGGTCCGTAGAAGACATTGTACCAGAACACAGCGGGCTAACGAGGACCAGAGGAGCGTAATACACTCTGTATTGAAGTACGTTATAAGTATGTACTTCCCCCACTTCCCGAACCCTGGCCTGGGCCCACCCCCGCGTTTCACCCGCCCCCCGCGTTTCATCCGGCTATTCCATCCCCAGATAACCGCAGATTCTGGCCTCGGGATCCCACTTCCGACGGATGGCCGTCAGCCGCTGCGTATTCTCCTCGCTCCAGTATTGCGTCTGCCGGGCTTGGAAGTCCGAATCGCCCAGATATGCGCCGACAGAGTGACTGGCGACCCGCTGCATGACGCCCTGCACCCACGCAGTGCACCGCTCGTCGTCCGTCGCGTCTTCCCACACGGTGTACAGGGCAAAGTAGTGGTCTGAGTGCAGACTGAGGGCCATGTCCGGGAGCGGACGACGACTGCACGGATCCATCGCGTACCACAGGGCAAACGCCTTCCGATGCGGCAGCGTGGTGAAGGCCTCCTCCAGCACGGCGGCCACATCTGCGGTCTCGTTGGCGAGATAGGCGTTGTCTGCACAGTACCGGTGACCGTCTGGGTTAGCCTTGCCCTGGTTCTCATACTGCGCGTGCAAGCTGTCCTCCTTGCAGAACCATTCCTCCACTGTTCCGTCGGGTCGTGATTGCTGGGCGGGGAGCAGCGCCTGTTCGGCCTCTTCGGCCGTGGGTTTCATGCACACCAGCAGGATGAAAAGACACAGCTCCTCCCTTCCCTCGGGGTACTGTGCTACCACTGTGATCTCGGTGTCGGCGTCGTACCCGGGCGTCAGCGATAGAATCCAGTCAAAGGCCCGGCGGTATTCGCATATCGGGTAGAGGTATCCGGACGATCGGAAGACAGGGTTCTTGATCAGGCTCAGGTGGAATTGAACCACCACCCCGGGGAAGCCTATCATGAGGTTAGATGGCTTCATTCATGGCTGGAGCGACCCTTATGTCCGGAGCATACCAGGCCCTGCCCCCCTCGCCGCCCAGTAGAGATCTGCATGCTCGTCTTTGTTGCAATGGACGAGATCTCCGTTGGCAGTGACCACATCCACCGCCTCGACCCGCTCGCAGGCCCATCCCCAGCCCTAATTCAGTATAAGCCAGGCGGATTCATTTCTTGCATCCATTGGAAAAAAGGAAGATACCCGACAGTTCCATCCCATCCCCCCCTGGAGAAGAAACCCTCCCAACCCGACATCCGGGCAATGTCCACCGGGAAACATCAATCCATACTCATGGACAAGCCTGCCGTTCAATTCCTTGCCCGTAATACTGGGAGATGCTCTGGCACGCAGCGCCGCAGGATCGACTTGCAGCGTTTTGAACTCGCCCAGATCGATGAGGACGGAGTTATCGCGCACGCTCCACGCTGCCCACGAATGGCCGCCCGAGCGGATCGCCACGCGGCAGTTTGAGCGGATCGCCAGCTGGACTGCCTCTATCACGTCGGCTGTGTTGCGTGCCATGACGACGGCGAGAGGGTATCGGCTTGGTCGACGGGCGTTGAAGACCCGTCCTATGCGGGCTTCTTCGTAGCCTGGAGCGGAGTGACGAACGATCTGCATTGTCAATATCTAATCATATGTCTTAGTCAGAGGAAGGCATGTAAAAGGGCATGTATATGATTTATATACTATTCATCTATCTATGCATGCCTGTTGTATGTGGAGCCGAGCCGAGGTACACCACATTGCAGATTCAATACGTAATAAGATGGTATACCAGACAGGACTATACTGCATGGTCGTTATGCGCAAGTATAAATTCAGTCATCAGAGAACTTAAGAAGCTACTTAACGAGAACCTATCCTCAACATGTACTCGACTACTCCCCCACCTCCCGATCGTCCTTCCAGAACACAAACTGGATAAACGGCCACTTCATCGCCGCCGTGCGGAGAGCCTTACCCCAGAAGAACAGCGGGATGAAGAAGAGCAGACAGCCGCCCGAGATGGCGGCCATGGTCCCGTACGCAGAGGCGTATCCAACCTCGTCAATCCAGGGGTTTGTATAGAAGGAGAGCAAGAAGCCGAAGCATGCTGGATCGGTCAACATTGACTTTATAGCCATTGTCAGACATAGATTCGGATGAGGCTTACACTTGAATGCGAGCTGGGTGACGGTGACCTCGCCGGCGACCGGGCGGAACGAGTCGATGCAGTAAACGAAGGAGACATTTGTGCCCTGGGCGATGGCAAACGACACTGGAAGGATTAGCATGCCACATATACACATACAAGATGTTCGGCAAGGATTCATACACAGCCCAAGACCGATTGTTGGAACAATCCAATGCCACTTGTAGGCGATGCCGCAGCCGAAGAGCACCAGGGAGAGGGGCGCGGCAATGACGCTCGGAATGATGGCAGGCAGGCGCATTTCGGGCTCTCGGATGCCGCCGTTGCGCTTGGTGAAGTAGTCGGCAACCCAGTCGGAAAAGGGGCCGCCAACGAAGGTGCCAAACACACAGCCGATCATGCCGGCGATAAAACACAGGCCGCTCTGCCAGGTGCCGAAGCCGTAGGTGTTGGCAAACGCGGTGGCGAAGTTGGAGGTCACGGCTACAAGGAAGCCGATCGTCACGGACATGACGATGGTCGCCCAGAAGATGGACGGGATCAAGATCAGACCAAAGGGGCGGATGAACATCCGCCAGAAGGACTCGTCCGTGTACCGCTGCCCGGACCAGAAGCGGAGGTTCTGCCGGTACGTTCGTTTGGCCGGAATGTCGGGTAGAGCCTCCTCGACGTGCTCGTCCATCACCTTGTCGGTATGTTCCGCCAGCGGGTTTCCGACCCGTCGGAAGGCGGTCTCGGGGAAGAAGAAGATTACCACGATGATCAGGCCGCCAGTAAGCCCACATCCGACCCAGTAGTCGTACCGCCACGAGTGGTTGATCGTCACCAGACCGGAGATGACAATCCCCATGGCCACCCCGGCACTCAACGCGGCATTGTATATGCTGTCGCCAGTCAGAAAAAGCCAGTAAAGGAGGGGGGTCTTCATACGCCATCCCGTATCCACGCTGGTGGAGGTAGAAGACGTCGGCAATAGTCACCGGCGCAAGACACTCGCCTGCGCCTGCGCCAATGCCGAGTATGGTGCGAGTGACAAGCTCACCGGCGTAGGTCGTGGCGAGTCCAGAGCCGAGGATCATGAAGAAGTAGACGATGAAGGCGGAGATGTAGATCGGCCGCCGGCCGTACTTGTTGAGCAGCGGCACCCAGAACAGGGTTGACACGCCTTGCAGCAGGGCCGAATTGTTGAAGAAATACGCTGCGCGATCGATCCAGTCGGAGAGGGTTGTGTCGCCGCCCTCGGGAAAGGCGGAGGCCACTTCCACCATTGTCACCGTCGGGCCGGCCGCCATGAAGTTGCACATCAGCATCGCTAGGGACACCAACACGGCAATGTAGATTTTATACGAGGTGGACCTGTCTCGTCAGAATAGACCCAGTGTTGACGAACAGAAGTGTCGGCGATGATTACCATCGTAGAGGGTCATTTGGATCCAAGGATGGCGCAGGCGTAAGGATCACCTCGTTGGTTTCTGCGTGACGCAGCCGGACATGGCCGAGATTGTGCAGGTGGAAGGGGTGCGATTCTTCAGCCTGAGTGGACATTGCGCTGGCGAAGATTGAGAGGAGATGGAGGAGGTCTGGGTGGTGTCTATACTACATGGAGGGTCTGCATGTTTGTTTATAGGTACGGAGTATGAAGGTCTAGGTCCAGCGAGCCGAGCGGCCCGCCGGGGATGTGGGGGACCTGCCATGCGGGGTCCGGGGAAGCTTAATTAATGAAATGCGGAGTTTAGCTGTCATTACGCGGCCTGCCTGTTCGGGAAGGCTGCGGCGAGGGATACGTGGCTCTATTGGCAATTCTAGGCAACAATCAGGCCTGTACGCGTCTGTGGCGGAGACTATAACACAGTACTGGAGCTGTGTTCTCGATCCCAAACTAGGCTGATACACTCGGATCGGCGGTTTTAGCTGCTCATCTACTGGTTGGTATCTGATCTACACAGCTCTTGGTCTCTAGAGATACTCATGGTGATATTTCTATGATAATGACAATAGATACTGATTTATTCCGTATGATTGATTGTATACATCACTGTATCTATCTGGGTAATACTAATATGGGAACAAGATCCCTCCACCCGACAGGCTGACGGTCGTGCCATCAAGATAGGCATTGGCGTCGGCAGTCACGTCATAGGAAATATTGTACCCTCCGCTGATGATGTTGCTGTGCGTGGAATCCCCGTTGGTGAAGTTGATGAGCTCGACATTGTCCGTCAGCGTCCAGGTCGAGGTCTCATCCAGGTAAACCCCGAGATAGCCCTTGCCGGTCGCGGAATAGGCAGTCCCTGTCCACGAGGAGTAGCTGGCGAGAGTCCAGGCGATGGAACTGCCGTTGTAAGCGACCAGATCGCCGCGCAGATCCGACTCCTCCACCAGCACTGTAACCTCCGCGGGCTGGATGGCCGAGTTCTCCTCCGAGCCGGCGAAATAGTCAAAGGCCTGGGTCACCTGCGACGAGTTGGCAATCACCAGAATGCCCGAGGTGGTGTTGATCTCCGTGGCGACGAGCTGCACATCAGCAATGACATTTCCGAACCACAGGGCCGCCATATCCGACCCCAGCGTGGTGAGCCGGGAATCCGTGAAGCTCAACTCCGCTCCGCTCTGCCGATCCGCCGAGCAGAAGAGCACCGTTCCCGCCAGCAGGCCTGCGGTCAAGTCCACCCGCACAAACACGGAGCTCTGCGCCCCGTCGGAGAAGACGCTGGGCGCCTGGTCCGTCCGCCCGACCACGTCCGTTCCGTAGCTCTTGCCCAGGGTGTAGAAGGTTGCGCTTCCGATGCCTGCCGTGTGTGCCACGGCGTCCGTCACGTACAGATATCCGCCCGGATTATCGCCCGAGAAGGAAGAGGCCCGGTTGCCGCCGGAGTAATGCCGGATGTTATTGGCGTAGATGGTTCCGTTGCCCGCTGCGTACAGGCCGTGCGAGACCGGGCCGGAACTATACAGGTCCACGTCGCTGACGTAGACAGCGCTTCCCGTCCCATACGCGTAGATGTTGGCGGCGCCGTCGTGGACGGTGATGTTGCTGTGGTCGATGTACGCGGTCGACGCGTTGGCGACGTTGACGGCCGCATTGACGCCGAAAAAGCTCGCCTGGTTCAGCCAGGTTGCGTATCCCTCCTTGACCACTGTCACGTATGACAGGTTGACTGCAGAGTCTTCTGTGATGACCACCACAGAGGTGTCGTTGGCGTCGACGGACAGCACTTGGTGAGCAAGCGCCACACCGTCGGTGGCGGAAAAGTAATATGGACCGGTGATGTTGTAGATCAGCTCCTGCGGGCCACCATTGTCGGTCCAATAGTTGGCCAGGAGGGCGTTGTCGGCGGTATCGGCGGCAAGGTCGGCGTAGTTGCTGGGGTCGACGATGGTCACAGACCCCAGGGCAAGGCTGGCAAGGCCGAGTAGGACAAGGGTAGTCATTGTATCGAATTGGAATAGCAACGCAATACTCCGCTGGATGCTGTCGATTCAATGTGTTGTACAAAGGTATATATAGATCTCCATGCCTTAGATGCCCTGTATCATCTCCATCATCGTCGAAATCCCCAGTGGAGCCGTACGGGCCATTCTCCGCATTTCTGGGGTATCCAGGTGGTCCCGATGGCGTTCTATCACTGTGATAGCCAAGATGGATGACGAGGCCTAATATCCAACATATGCAGATCACCGCTGTCCACGTATGCACAGCTGCAAGTGGTTAGAATATTACAGAAGACAGTGCGTCAATAGTATAGAATAGATAGAAAGCATACAACGTGTGATAGTGGAGGGTTGTGGAACAGCTACCATGCATCTGTATCCAAAATACTGAGACTACACCTGTATAGAGGTAAGAGCAAGTGAGAGCCTATGTATAGGTTAATCAAGCCTGTGGTTGATTATGTTAACAAGTTATAATATATACTGTAGTATATATATATAGATATGTATAGGGTACAGAGTTGCAATTGTAGAATGGTCTATCAGTGCTTACCTAGTATCTACTATGACAATATACTTGAAAAGCCTGCCGGTGAGATATTGTAAGAATACGTTTTATTGTATTAATCAATATACAAGCCATCATGTACTCAATCACATACAGGATATCTGTATCCTGTACTGCTCTCAAGTTCTATCGTTGACTGATAATTCTAAGCATTGGAATTTGCTTTTCAAAACATAGAAGCAGATGTAAGATGCAGCGACTCCTGAACATAACATTTATCATTCTGCTGATCTGATTGATACCATTCGATTGTACTATCCTCTTGCACTTCTACTAAATCGGCCTCGCTCCAGATACATCCGGGACCCCCTCGCCCTCGACAACCTTCCCCCCCACAATCTCGTAGACCGGCAGTTCTGCCAGACGTGCGATGATGTGGTGCATGGTGGGCAGCTGCTCCCAGTCCAAGGGGTCGATGGAGAAGCTGGCCTTGGACGTGGTATAGACCCTCTTTGGCTGCGGGGTGGGCACAGCTTCGGCAAAGGGATCAAAGACCGGATATTCCTCCGCCGCGACGTTCTTGTTCTGCCGCCCGGTCTTGGGGATATACTTGTAGACGAGAATACCCGCATCGTTCTCCCCGCTGATACCCCCCCGCGCACTCTCCAAGGCATCCTTGCCCTGTAGCTGCTGCAGATCCTGGAGCAGGAAGTTGCCCCATTGCGCGCCCTCCCAGCCGGTACGGATCCGATACGAGTGTTCCCGCCGGTAGACGTCAACAGAAGTGTACAGCTTCGGCATGCCGAGTTCCTCACGGCCCGACACAATCGGGTCCGTCAGCGACTCAAACAGGATGGGCATGTATGTCCCCCGCACGACGGTGCCGTCCGGGGAGCCCACATACTCAACCCCATGGACGTACAGGCCGAAATGCTTGTATCCCGAGCCCCCGAGCCAGTGCATCTTGTTGAGCGTCGTCTGCGCAAAGGACGCATACGCTACCGTGTCCGGCGCCGTGAACCGCCAGCCACTTCGTCCGGGCGGGAAGAGATTCTGCAGCACGGTCCGCGAGGTCTTGAACCGGATCGACGCCGTGGTAAAGGTCGACCGGGTGCCGTCGCGCGGGAGGCCCAGGTGCGTCTGCCGGGGGCCAGGCATCGGCCCAAAGGCAATCGGCATGCGCCAGTAGGGCGATTCCATCCTGTTCCAGGTCCATTCGCGCAGCCGCTGCGTGGAGTTGTCCCATTCGTCGTGGCCAAAGTTGTAGTCTGTGAAGCCGTACATATCAAACGCCGCCTTGCCGGTGTTGCCATTGGCGACGGACCGCGCATCTCCGTCGGCTCTATCCTGTCCGGCGAGTCGGGAATACTGCTGGATGCGTGTGGCGCGGCCGTGCCGGATCTCGTCGTACAGCGCCAGCCGGGCAGGGACCTCTTCGGCGCTCACGTCCGCCGGCAGCACCACGGCCAGCGAGGCGGCGTCTTCAATGGCGACGCCGCCCCCCTGGCCCTGGTGCGGGAGGAACGGGTGGGCGGCGTCTCCGAGGAGGGCGAGACGCTCCGTATGCCAGCTCGGGATCTCGGCCATGTCCAGCAACTTCCACACCCGCACGCTCTGAGGATCCGCCTTGGCCAGCAGCTTGAGGATGGCGGGATCGAAGCCGGCGTAGACCTGCAGCATCCGATCCAGATTGTGCGTCTGCTGTCCCCAGGTTTCCCTCCCCTCGGCCTCGCCTCCCCGTTCGGCTTCCTCGGCAGACTCCTCCGTCGGATGGATGAGCACAAAGTTCAGCACGCTGTTGTGTGAGGTTGGGTACAGCACGATCCGCCGATCCGCCCCGTACCAGATGCACAGCTCCCCCGGCCTGGTACAAAAGCCGGCCGTCTCGGGGTCAGCCAGGGCTGCGTTACGCGGCACGAGGAATCGGAATGCGCTCTTGCCACTGGCCTCGGCGCGGACCGTGTGCGCTCCCGGAAGAGCGGATCGGGTGACGGAATGAACGCCATCCGCGCCGACAATCACATCGCCTGTATGCTGGCTCCCGTCGGCCAAGACCACCGTTCCCGTCGCGGCGTCCACGGAAGTTACCCGGCTGGCCGTGTGGAAGGCGATCACGGAGCCATCTTCGGCAGGGGTCTGGACAGCCTCCTTCAACTGGTTGTGCAGGTCGACCCGGTGGGCCAGCAGCCATTCCTGTAAAGGCATGAATGAGTTTTTTTTTTTTTTTGTATATCAGGCAAGAGGGTTCATGTCTTACATGCTGCCATCGCTTGTTGTCCTCGGTCAAGTCCATGGACCTTTTCAATTTGCCCCCGTCCGTATATTCCGTCAACTGGGCGGTGTTAACACCGTATATTGTCCTGAGACGGAACATAGACAGACCCTCTCCATTGGATTCGCACCCCCCCGTTCGGCAAAAATGCCCAAGCGTTTCAGGACTCCGTTGGCATTCGGGGCAAGATGGATCGCGGCCCCGGTCTCGGTGGCCAGACGGGATTGCTCGAAGATCTAACAGTCAGCAGAGCTTTTTCTGGCACTACTATTAACATACTTCAACCTGATGGCCCTGTTTGCGGAGGGCGATGGCGGCGGTGAGGCCACCGATGCCGCCTCCGACGATGAGAACATGGAGGGAGTTTGCGGTTGTGCTCATGATGTTCAAACGGGAATATTTGTATCAATATGAGCCTTGTAAAGAGATGTGTATACACTGTGATATGTCTTACAGGATGAGTACATTTATAGATTGAACCTCGGGACCACCTCCGGGTGGAGGCGATCCTGTCCTCCGCACACATCTAGCTATAGTATGCACAGTTCCATACAATACGCGATGGTCAGGCTAGAGAAAGATAGGTCTAGAAATATCCCAGAAGTTTATGAATACTACCACCCCAATTCGTCTCCGAGATACTTGTGCGCGCGGATGTCCCCCGAACGGGCGTGTCCTTCAAACTTCTCGACCCGAGCTGCGCGCCCACACAATCTCCCCAGCTCGCCACTGGCGCGGTCATCGCGAACTTCCTGGTAGGTCAGGGTGCGTAGGAACTTGCCCACCCACAGGCCGCCGGTGTAGCGCGCCGCCTTCTTTGTAGGCAGCACATGGTTGGTGCCGATCACCTTGTCGCCGTATGAGACGCAGGTGCGGGCGCCGAGGAACAATGCGCCGTACGCAGTCATCTTGGCCAGGGCGCGGCGCGGGTCCGCCGTGAGGATCTGGACATGCTCGCTGGCGTATGTGTCGGCGACAGCGTAGGCGGCGTCCACCAGCCCGTGATTGCCGTCGTCAGTATCCAGGACATCCTTGTCGTCATTCTCAACGACGACAACCTCGCCGAAGCGCTCCCAGGAGGTCTGGGACAGCTCCGCCGTGGAAAGATCCCGTTGCAGCAGTTCCTGGACCCGGCAGATCGTTTCTCTTCCGACGGATGGAGACGTGGTGATGAGGACCGCGGGGGTGTCGGGCCCATGTTCCGCCTGGGAGAGCAGATCCGTCGCGACGGTGAACGGATCGGCCGTCTCGTCGGCGACGATGAGGATCTCCGTCGGCCCCGCGAAAAGGTCGATGCCAACCTCGCCGAAGAGCTGCCGTTTGGCCTCGGCAACAAAGGCGTTGCCCGGCCCCGCGAGGAAGTCCACTTTGGCCATCGACTCGGTGCCCAGGGCCATGGCTGCGATCGCCTGCACGCCGCCCAGCAGGTAGATTTCGTCTGCGCCTGCCAGCGCCATGGCCGCAACCGTCGCGTTCGGGATGTCTCCTGCCATCGGCGGCGTGCATCCGACCACATGGGGGACCCCCGCGGTTTTGGCCGTGAGGATGGTCATATGCGCGGATGCCAGCAACGGGTATCTTCCGCCCGGAATGTACCTATCGGAAGTTAGCACAGACGGACAGGATCGTTCTTCAAATGCTGGCTTACGCTCCCACCCGCTGGATCGGCAGGTTCCTCTGTCCGAGGAAGACACCTGGCTGGATCTCGTATTCAAAGTCGGTGATGGACTCGCGCTGCTGCTCCGCGAACAGCCGCACGTTCCGCTGGACGGTCTTGATATCCTCGATGGTCTGCGCAGGGCAGGCTGCGATGGCGGCATCAATCTCCGCGCGAGACAGCCGGAACGAGGCCGGCGACCATTGATCGAACTTGTCCGAGTAGCGGCGCACGGCAGCGTCTCCGTTCTTGCGGATATCCGCGATCACGCCGTGGACGATGGCGGAGACATCGACGGCGGTCGCGGGGGGGGCAGAGCGTTTGAGGTATTTCATTGTGCAGGATTCTATGGCCGAATAGCAATAGCTCATGTCTACCTGGTGATATGTGATGGCTATATACATGTTCGGCTCCACCTGGGACATAACTACTAGGTAGGTATAGACACTGTATTGTAAATACAAAGCATGTAAGATACTGTCACCACCTATCTGGTATTGCTCGGCTTGACATCGTCCATCCCCCCCCCGTAGTCCTCCTCCAAGGAGACCCCCTCAATCAGCAAAGGCTGTGCCTCTTGCAGGACATAGAGCATGCGTGCCCACTCGGTCGAACTGGTGTTGCGCCAGGCATGGTTCGTGCCCCGTTGGACAACAACATCCCCCCGTTTCAACAGCTGCTTCGCGCCCGAGTCGAGGACCAGCTCGACCTCCCCCTCGAGGACGACACCGTAGTCTAGGCTGACGGTACGGTGCATGGGAGAGACTCCCCCGGGGTTGATGTCGACAAGGCGCAGGACGGTGCCGCCGGGAATGCACACGCCCGGAAGGTCCGCGAGATACGAGTTGTACACGGCCCTGTCGGCGTCGCCGTTCATCTGCACGGGGATCGTGTTGGTCGCATACCCGAGGGCAAACCGGTCGCCGTTTGCGAGCTGTTGCCATTCTAGCGGGGGGAGATGCGACACGCGGGTGCGGCCTTGGGGGTCGTGGTCGGTGATGAACCGCTGGACGGAGCGAAGACGGGTTTCCATGGCGATTGAGCAACCGGGCAGCCTATGTTCATTATTGATGCTCAAGTCATCCATCCGGGAGTTGTTTACTGTCTATATATACGCTACACCCATGTGGAGCCGAGCCGAGGCGTACGTATTGTATGACTGTATACTACAGTAAACAGTACTTTGGAAGACTAGCTGCTGGCATCTCGGAGTTTCCCAAGGAGATGGATCAAATTGGCCACCAGAGGAGGCTGGCTGTCCACCTGGTGGTTGCGCGCCATGAGCGAGATGGCAAGATCGAGCACGCCGCAGGAGTTGGTCAAGGGAACGCCCTCGGCCTCGGAGCCCTGCAGGCAGGGCACCCCCCTTCCGAGCGCGATGTACCGGTTGGTCTCCTCGGTCTCGGGCCCATCCAGACAGACCAGCGGAGTGGATGCCGGGCTGGGAGGAGAAGCGTCGGCCAAGGGGAACAGCCACGTCGAGGCCATGCCGTACGCCCACAGCACCAGAGTAGCCTGGTACATTGCGATGGCCATAAAGTCGCGCAGGCCCTGGGGCGGAAGGGCGTGCGCGGATCGGATGACCTGCCCGGCGTGCCAGACGGCACGTCTCGGCTCGGAAGGGGTTTGCTGATGGAACCACTTCTGGAGCGCGGCGCACGCCCGCCGCGGATGGTCGGAAGTGGCCAGCGTCTCGATCTCCTCCAGCGACATCTGCATATGCATGCGGATGACGTGCTGCTCGCCCGAGGTAGGCGCCGCGGCATGCGCCATCGAGAAGCAGTCGAGCATGGTGGTGAGCTGCTGCCGGCGGGAGGCCATCAGCAGTCCGCTGCTGTCCCAGTATCGGGCCGGGGCGCCAGCGGAAGCAGTGGGCGTTCCATGACTGAGTAGCCCGGAGAGCTGTCGGTATTCCCATACGAGCCCCCACACACAGTGCAGGATTGCCGAGCCGGCGAGGTCGGGGTCACATATCATTCGACTCTCCTCCAGGAGATCGAGATTAGCCAGCGCGGCGGTTAATGTTGGTGGGTGGGTGGGTGGTTCCATGGTGCAGTACAGCTCCTTCCAGCGTTGGGCGCAGGGAGCGTCCCACAGCGCGGGCGGACAGGGCAGTGGAAGGGCCATCTCGGCATAGGAGATGAGCGGGTTGGTGAGAAGGGCGATGGAGACTTGCGCCTCGAGCCGGAACAGCTGGTAGACAAGTCGTTTCGAGGCCTCCTGGCGGCTCCAGGCACGCCACTTGCGATCCAGCGCCTCGCCTGCATCTTCTGGCGAGACGGGGAGGGTCTCGGCGGACCGGTAGGCAGAGTGGTGGAACAGTCCGCCGCGGCGCACCATGGTGATCAGCGGCTGGCGGAAGGCCTCGGAGATCTCGATCTTACGGCTGTTGCCGCTCCAGAGTCCGATCTCGAGGTAGATCAGGTACGCTTGATGGCGGTCCAGGTCGCGGACGGTGGTGTTGTCCCTCTCGAACACGGCCGGAAGCTGGAGACGTACGACTTCCTGCATCGCAAAGCCGAGCTTGCGCAGGGACGGATCGGGCGTGAGCACGGCGCCGGCGCCGGCCATGGCCAGCAGCAGCTCCGGACACATCGATCCCGGACGGAAGACCGGGCGATGGATCCACGAACTCGCATTGGAGACCGGGCTGGTCAGGAAGTATCGGATGAGCATGTCCAGCAGCTGAACCGACGGGAAGGAGGACAGGGCTGCCGAAAGCGGGTGTTTGAGCTGACCCAGCACAATCCCGAGGATCCGATCTCGGCAGGCAAGGTCGAGGCTTTCTGTCGGCGGCTGCTTTTGCTGCTGCTCCTGCCGCTGCTGCTGCTGCTGGTGGTCCGACGATCCCGCCACGAGGCTCCGAGGCGTCAGAGTCAGGGCCGGATCGGACAGGAGAAGATTGCCGTGTTCCAGCCAGCCGTGGTCGTGCGGAGCGGGCACAAACCGCCAGCGCAGGCGGGACATGGACCGATCGCCCTCACTCGCCGAGGCATAGGCAAATGGGATGTTGTCCATCGGCAGCGGAGCCTCTTCAAAGGGGATGCGGCTGTTGTACGTTTCCAAAAAGGTGAGATCGACCATGCTGAGATCGAGGTTTGTCTCCAGTCCAAAGGCAATGAGTCCATGGGGGGTTCTCGTCCCACTGCCGAACAGATCGGACAGGTCTGGCTGGTCCGGCTCAGCCAAGTCGAGCTCATTGCCATTGAGCTCGTACTCTGGCTCATTCAGCTCCATCGACTCCCATAGGGAGTCAGAAGGCGTAGCCATCACGATGGCTGACGCTGCGGTATCCGAGAGTGCTGTTTCGGAAGATGCGGGTGCGTCCGACATTGTCTCCGAGGGGGGTTTATTGTCCGCCCGAAAAACACAGGAAAGGCCTCTCCGGCGACATCGTTTGCACGGCTTCTCGTCGTCGCAGCGCAGATGGGCATCGGCACAGGCACTGCACGCCTGGGAGGTGCGGACTGCCGGGCTGGCTCTTGGCTTCTGCGGCTGGCTTCCGTGGAGGGCTGAATGGCGCCGCAGCAGGTCACTAGGGTGAAATCAATCAATATGCAGCCCGGAAGAGGAAGCAGGGGAAAGATATACATTCTGCCAAATGCCTTGTTGCACACTGGGCATTGGTATGGTTTCTCATGGGTGTCTGCCAAGGTCAGAACATCAATGAATCCCAAGCAGCTGGAATGACTTGCGAGACCGAACATGCCGCTGCAGATGGTCGATCCGGGAGTAGGACTGCGAGCATGTTCCGCACTGGTACGGATGGCGTGGATGGGTCATGGTGAGATTGTGTTCCGACATTGACCCGAGTGGAGAGTACGGGGTAACTATATATCTCCACGGCAGGCTACCCCGCATCGGCTCCACATGAGTCTATTATATAGTAAATATTTTTATACTTACACAGTTGTATACTCACGGTATATCTTCCGGATTACACTATTCCCTCTCCACCATGCTCACTATCCCCCTTATTATTGATAATGAGGACATTCTCCTCGAGGGCAGACGGGAGCCTGTCAATGTGTGCACCGGCCCTAAAACGTTCCAGGGGGCCACCAAAGAGATCGCCCTCAAGGCGGCAGATTCGAGTGCGCGCGCATTTGAATCATGGAGCAGGACGTCTCCAGCAGAGCGGAGAGCATCTTTATTGAGACTTGCCGAGGTATCCCCTCAGCTCTACTTGATAGTGAATCCATATCGATTGCTTGCAGGTCGCCAGATCCCGAGCGGCGGAATTGGAACAGCTGGCACAGGACGAGGTGCAGGCGGAGCCCTTCTGGGCGCATCTGACCATGCAAGACGCCATCGGGTTGATCGAAGACTGCGCCGGAAAGACATCCCCAACAGGCTCCGTTCCGACGATGGAGGGCGGCGCGTACGGGCTGGTGATGAAGGAGCCACTCGGCGTCGTGCTGGGGATAGCGCCCTGGAATGTTCCGATCTTTCTCTCGCTGCGGGCCATCATCGCGCCTATCGCAGTGGGCAACACTGTGGTTCTCAAGGTATGTGTGTATTCAACGGCTGATTGCATCTCATGGATGGTAATCTGTTATCTGTCCCTGTGCTTAGGGCAGTGAGCTTTCCCCCCGGGTGCACTACACCATCGCGAGTCTGTTCCGGGACGCCGGATTCCCTCCCGGGGTGGTCAACCTGCTGCTGCATCGCCCATCGGATGCGGCGGAGATCTTCGACACGCTCATCACCCACCCGGCGATCAAGAAGTGTAACTTCACCGGCTCGACGGGGGTGGGCAGGATCGTGGCCTCCCAGGCGGCCATGGCTCTCAAGCCTGTCCTGCTCGAGCTGGGGGGCAAGAACTATACCATAGTCCTTGATGATGCGAATCTAGATCTCGCCGCCGAGCAGATCCTCCGGGGGGCCTTTTTAAATGTAAGCGTGATGGAGATATGCTCTTCCCCCCCCCATTGAACTCACAATGAATGCACCCAGAACGGCCAGATCTGCATGTCCACCGATCTAGTATTGGCGACCAAGACCGTCTCAAAATGCCTGGAAGCGAAGATGCAAGCCCTGCTGCAGCATGTCGGCCGCCGGACAGTCATCACACCTGCGGCAAGAAGCAGACTGGACCGGCTGGTGGAGGATGCTGAACGCAAGGGCGCCAAAGCGTATACCGCGCCCCGGGCCGAGACCGACTCGCTTTCGGCCCGAGAGTTTATGCCCACTGTCCTGACAGGGGTCACATCCGAGATGGAATTCTTCCATACCGAAGCCTTTGGCCCGATGGTTGGGATTGTGGCCGTGGATGCGGAAGAGGACATCTTCAAGCTCGCAGATCGCGCTCGCTACGGACTGTCGGCGGCAATCATCTCGAGCAATCATCTGCGGGCCTTGCAGCTGTCGCGCCGGCTCAAGACAGGCGCAGTGCATATCAACTTTATGACTGTCTATGACGATAACGCGCTCCCGCATGGAGGAAGGGGAGAGAGTGGCTGGGGGAGGTTTGGCAGTCATTGGGGGGTGGAGGAGTTCATCCAAACCAAGTCCATAGTCCTACATGCATAGTATCTACGTGATGGAAGAATCACCGACTTTCATTCATTCTGATTTCTACACCCCCAAGTAGATCTTCCGTCCGAAATGCCTCATTCAAGCGGTATAGAACTCCTTGAATTCAGACTCCCGCGCAAGTAATGCAGACGGACTATCGCATTCAACAAGCTCTCCTTTCTTCATCAGAGCCACTCGATCAAACCGTGTGATATAGCGGAGCCGGTGCATGACCATGATCACTGTCTGCTTGGTGAATTCTGTCTCTATCACTTCCTGCATGATGGATTCCGTCTCACGGTCGACACTACCCCCCATTAGCCCCTAACCCTAACCCTGCAAACAACCATTTCTGAAAGGCAACATACTTGCTTGTGGCTTCATCGAGGATCAATATGGGGCTTCGCGAAGACAACGCCCTCGCCAATGCCAGCAATTGCTTTTCGCCCATGGACCATTTGGAAGCGTCAAGGTCTCCGTCAAGACCACCTTTTGTCTGAATCTGCTCCCATAAGCCAACTCTCTTCACTGCATGGACTATCTCGTCATCAGAGGCAGCCGCATGGGGGTCGAGATTGAGCCGGATGGTGCCCGGCACAAAGTATGGGTCTTGGGGGATGACATTGAGTCGCAAGCGGGTATCCGACGGCGGTACGGATGTCAAGTCCTGCCCATCGATCAAGACATAGCCTCCCTTGACTTCTGTCATCTGCAGGAGGGTCATGATCAGTGAGCTTTTGCCACTCCCCGACGGACCGCACAGCGCGATCTTTTCCCCGGGCTTGATAGTCAGAGTCAGATTCTTGAGGACGGGTTGACTGTCAGCACTCCTAGGTGGGAATCAGTCATTCTAAGAGGCCATAAAAAGGAGTTGGGTGCCCTACTGGTAAGCCACTGTTAGATCTTCAAAGGCGACAGCGCCCTCGGTTGGCCATTCTTGGGCGCTGAGTGCTGGTTCTAGGACGCCATCCTCCCCAGGGGTGTCCTTCTGGAAGCTGTGCACGCGAGTAACCGCTCCGATGGACGTTTCCAACTGTGTCCATGACTGGATGGCCAGCACTAGAATCTGATTCAAATTCAGCACCAGGTTCAGCGCGACTCCCATCCCACCGGCACTGAATTGATCTCGCAGCGATGTAGCAATTCCCATCAGAACGACGGCCATGGCGGCGATGACGAGATCCAGAACCAGACTGAGCCACTGCTGTAAGCAAAGCAGCATGTAAAATGGCCTCTGGGATTGATTGATCCGCTTGGTGCATTCCACTTGAAAGCTCCCTCGCCACCCAAACGCTCTCATCGAGGTGATCCCGTCGATGGTCTCGACAAAATGTGCGTACAGAGGTGCTTTGGCTTCGATGTCGAGTAATCGCACTTGTCGAGAGGTCCGCAGGTAGACGCGCTGGATGACAACGAAAGTGGCTATTAGGAATGGAAATGTGACAGCCATATACTTGCCAATCACACAGAGAAGAATCAGGTTCATGACAGCGCTTGAGACATCTGTTCAGCGTGAGTAACTGGATTGAAATCAAAATCAAGTCTACTCACTTGCTACGGTGTTGATCAACCATATAGGCAGCTTCATATCAATGAGGTCCATATCCTGGCTGAACCGATTGGTCATGGTGCCGACGTTGGTGGTTTGGAAGAAGCTCCACGGTGCTTTGAGCGTGGCTTTCAACAAATCAGTGTGTAAGGTGAGTGCCGTGTCATTGATGATGTTAATAAATAATAGGCTGGAGATAACTTAGTACTGGACTCTCGGATCCTCCTAGTTGAACTTACATGCAGCCAATGAAGAATAACAGTGTGCCGATGACTGTGAATGCGGTATAGAACCCCAGATACCAACCAATCTTGCCGTTGGGGTCTTTCGAATTCGAGTCGGACCACCATTGAATCCATAGGGCTATATACATCATTTAGCCGAGTCCCTTTATACAGATTGAATACTTACTGGAAAAGGTACTGAGAAAGTTCGAGATCATGAATGAGCCAATAAAGGTCGCAGTAATCCAGGGGCCTGCACTCTTGGTGTAGTAGGTGTACACTTCCCAGCTGCCGTCGCGTCGAGAAAAGTCGTCTTCATCTTCATTCTCACTGATATCAATTGGACTGCTCCCAGCTGCATCACATTGGCTTTCCTCTACAGGAGTCTTGTCAGTATCAGAGTCAATTTGTACCTCTTGAGTCAATGTCAAATCCTTCAACATAGCACCCGGCGTACGGTCTATGAAGTCTTTATATGAACCTTTATAAACCGCCGCACCCTGTTCCAGAACAATGATATTATCGGCAAATGGAAGGAGACGATCTGTTCAATGTTATCTTCAATTCCCAATGGACGTAGGATCCTTGTGAGCTATACCAGTATGTGTCACCAGGATTACTGTCTTTCCAGAGGTGCGGAAGTATCCATGCTCGGCAAATAGGTTCGCGGATATGTCGCTTATACGCTTGGAATCCAGGCCGCTGAAAATGTCGTCAAGAAGCAATACAGGAAATCTCGAGTAGATGGCCCGGGCAAGGGCCTGAGACCCCCCTATGTTAGCCATGTCGACATGGAGCTTCATATAACAGGATACCACGTACCAATCTTTGCTTTTGGCCTCCACTGAGAGAGGCACCACTACTCCCTGCAATATGCATGTCTCCAGCAGGGATAGACTGGAAATCATCCTTCAGACAAGATGCAGAAACTGCAAAGTCATACCATATCTCATCGAACTCTGTCCCACCGGTGATATTATGTCGGATAGTGTCGTCCACAACCCACGGTGTCTGAGAGCAGTATGCAACATTGCTGAATGCAGTATCAACAGAGCCTTTCCTCACCTTCATTTCACCCAGTATACTTTTTACCAGGGCTGATTTCCCAGAGCCCACGGGTCCGGTAATCATTGTGATTCCCTTGCCAATGTCCAGGGTGAGGCTTTGAAACACAGCTTCCGAATCGGATGACCACATTATGTCTACATCTTTAAAGGATACCACAGAAGGAATCGTTGGGGGCTTGTCTGCATATTCGGTTGCCAGCTTTTCATTCCTCGATGAATCGGGGATTGGCGTTTTCTCTAGATATACCTGGATTCGTTCAAAACAACCAATGCACTGAATAAAGGATGGCGCGGCTTGCACAAAGCCCAATAGCGGCGATGTCAGCAACGAGATCAATGAGAGCGAAGTGAAGGCCTGGGATGCCACGAGGGACTGATCATTCCGGGCTAAGGAGATGATTGAATAGATGGCGAATGTTGCATATGGGGCAAAGGTTAATGGAATGTTTGCTATAAACGGTCAGAACTCCCCCATTGGAAAGAATATGGATGAATCACCCACATATGAGGACCATCCAGATGAGCAGCTTGCGGAACTGGGAAGATGTTTTCAGTTCTGCCACACGCAGCTTGGTGATGAGGCCAAGAAACACCTCGGTCAACCCCAGCATCTTGACCGATTTCATGTCTTTCAGCATCGAGGATGTGACAGACACCCGCTCTTCGACTCTCTCAACCCAAGCCTTCTGCGCTGGAGCAGTTCGTGAGGATATCGGGCCTGTTCCAAATACGCATGCTAGAAGACTGTCAGCATCTTACCCAGGGCTGAAGCACTGGCTAGAGAGGTCGATCTCACCCAGAGAAATGATTGCAGGGACAAGACAGGCCAGATAAACCTGCCGTTCCAAAAGATAGAGCGCCACGCCGACTTCGATAATCGAAGCCCACATTTCATGTAACGACCTGAAGCTGTTGACAATCCGTTCCACGTCTGTTCCCATCAAGGTGAGAACGGCACTCCCTTTCACGTCTTCTGCTGCTAGGAAGACGGTTTTGGAGTACAGGCTTGACATGAGGCCTGCTCGCACCATAGTGCCCAGGCGAAATGTTTGGCGCCAGTATACAGCCGTCGATATCTACAACCCTGAGTAGACATTCACAAGGAAAGGGGATCCGTACTCGAAAACACATACTGCGATTCCCATATACACAAGCAGAAAGGCCCCCACCAATGCCTGCCCGTACTCCTTGGGCTTATCCTTTGCGTCTCCCGTGAAATAGTCCACAGTCGCTGTGATCAGAAATGGCTGGCAGAAGGTGAATCCACTGAGCACCAGACGAGGGACGATTGCCGATAGGGTAGGCCAAAGGTATGCGCGGAAGACAGCTTTGATGAGGCGATGTTTCCCCTCTGATCGCACCCAGGCATGGTCCAGTTTCTCGCGAGTCAGATCGCCTTGTAGGTTTTCATCGGCCTCCGGCATGTCTCCAACGGAGAGGATTTTAGAGTATCCTGCTTGGACGAAAGGCACCACCCATGCAAAGACGCTGCGAGACCAGAACCCGCTGATCTGTTCTGCTGTGACATGCTTATACAAAGGACGCAGAATTCTCACCTTTCTGGTGGATTCCAGGAACGCAACCAGGACCGTGATGGTGTATATCGCCGTCCACAGGCCTCTACAAGGGCCCGATGAGGAAATCATCCACAATGAGCGCAGCTTGGGAATCCCCAAAAGTGCCAAAGCAGAAAAATAGATGACCAGAAGGTCTGACGGCCGCGCGGAGCGCTGGTCTTCCAGAAACGAAAGAACCACGGCGCCAGCGGTGACAATGATATTGAGAATGTCGGATGCGAGTGACGACGGGGTACGCAAAACTGGCGTCCTGATGCGTAGTACTGCATAGACAACAAGCAATACAAACAGGGCCGTTAAGAGTGTCTTTTTCCCTCCTCATGCATAGCCTGTGGTTAGAACTCATAACTCTACAAATGGAGGGCATCCTTACCAGTTTATACGCCGCCAGTCTGTAGGACACCACTTTCACTGGATCTCTTCGTATGAAATACAGCCGCGCTATTAGGAAGAGAGCAAACAGGGCCGCTGGTATCACTGTGAGCACAGCATCCTCGAAAAGAAGAGTAAAGTCGAACCCTCGACAGTTGGTAGCAACGCGAGGGCCAAACTGATCGTCACTGGCATCGCAGGCTGCCGACATGTCGACTTATCCGCCCGTTACAGGTTCTACTAAATCAGAGTGTTTGAAGAAGTATCTCCTACTAAGAAAGGAACGAAAAGAGCATAGGAAGAGATTAATATGTAGCAAAGACATGGTGCCTCCATCCTCACATTGACTTTGGCTCCGCCAATCAGCAATTTTAGCTGCCTAGAATCTTATCAGACAGTCACATCCATCTTAATTGATATAGGGGTTAGATGAACGACGTCCCTCGGTATTACGAGACCCTGCATACTATCCTGCTAGGCAAAGTTTCTTTTTAGGTTGCCACGTTTCCTTTGTTTCCTTCCTATTACTATGGAAGTTCATGGGCTCTTTCTACTACTCTTCTATAGTCCGTGTTTGCGCCAAATAGTATTTTAAGCTTATCGGGCCTAGTAACAGTGTCAAGCACTACAGGATTATATCTCCTCTGCGGACTTGATTCCCAGGTACGCTCCTAAGCACGATCCTAATGGCGAATATGATGACATACACAGAAGATAGGATAGCAACAGTTACCACATCGGGAGTAGTTCATTCGGTCCTGCTATCTAGACCCCTGTCAAGGCTTGATGCGATTTGTCAGTACTTTGGGGTATGAACCTGTACGGCCACTCGGAGATAGCTGCTCCGCATGAAGGGAAGTGATATGATAACCTCATTGGTCCAGAGATCATCCAATGTTCTGGATTGGTACCGTTAGTCCAGTTGGGTTGAACATGGCAGTGTTTAAACATCCAATTTAGATAATCTTGCGTATTGAACCTCTTTTTTTACGGCAAGTTAGACCTTTTAGCCTGTTAACTTCCTTTCTCACTCTACAGCTCTGGGGCCGCGCTATAGAGGCCTCAATGCAACATTCCTTCGCTAGCGCCGAGTGAGAACAATAACATCTCGAGCGGTGAGCACCAATGAGCGCCCCAGCCTCCCGTCAGACACTTATTTGTCTCAGGAATATTGACGTGTCACGTCTTGATCTGCCATCTTTCTCCAAGATAGTCTACTATAATATATCTACTGGCGATTATTTTCAACGTCTATAGACACAACTATACAATGGCAACCATATCTAACGATGAAATTGCGCCTTTATTGGGGACCAACGCATCCGCGTCGAGGTCACGGAAACTGTTAGTGATGATCGGAGGGTCCATTCTCATCCTCGCCATGGATTTTGGATTCTTTCTGACCGTCGCCCCTCAAACGAAAATCTTCGAGGACATTATCTGCCGGGACTACCTCGCTGCTCTAGGGAACCGAACAGACACGATTCCCCTAGAGGGAGTCTGTAAGTCGGGGCCAGTGCAGAGTGAATTGGCCCTGGTGAATGGATGGAAAGAGACAGCTGATGTCTTACCGGGTATGGTGATCAATCCTAGCAGGGCATGTAATTACTGACTACAATGTAGGCATTCTTCTGTCTATTCCGTATGGCGTGTTGGCGGACCGCTGGGGGCGCAAACCGGTTCTCCTTCTGGGCATCCTAGGGATTCTCCTCGGGGAGATCTGGGTTCGTGTTGTGTGTAAGTCGGTGTTTCGTTCCTTGATGTTTAGGGTTTGTTCAACTGATGCAGACGATGCAAGGCTTGTATCCCACTGTCTTACCACTGCGGCTAGTCTGGCTATCGGGAATGTGGAGGCTCATTGGCGGCGGAGATATGGTCCTTTCGTCCATTGCTCTTGTCATGGTAGCGGACTGTTTCCCTGAGGATGAGATGTATACATATCCTTGTGCATATTACCCTATTCACTTGCTCATTCTTTCTAGGGCTACGGCTTTGTTCCGCCTGTTCAGTGCAGTGATTCTATCTGAGGTTCTCGCCACCCCAGTGAGCGCATATCTCATGGCTAGTGACCCTTGGGTGCCATACATGCTGGGACTTGGGATTGCCATGGTCGGATCATTGAGTGCTTTTCTCATGCCGGAGAGCTTGAGTGACGCCAAATCCAAGATTTCCTCGACGACCGCACCCAGTAATGAAGAGACACAGTCGTACCCAGATGGAAAGTTCTCTGTGAGGCAGTATATCTTGGACAAATTACAGCACTTCCGCGACTCGACTCGGTTTATCATGAGCACTCCAGGCGTGGCCGTCTGTCTTGTTGCGCTGTTTATCGCCTCCATCAGCAAGCAGTCGACGAGTCTCCTGCTGCAGTATACATCGAAACGGTTCGATTGGAGTATTGCCGATGTACGCACCGTCATCATTACACAAGGGTTAAAGGGCTGACAATCTTGCAGGCCAGCCTTCTTATATCCTTACGCGGAATTGTGACACTAGCGAACTTCCTACTCCTCATGCCAGCCCTTTCCTCCATACTCACCCGGCATTTCCATCTTCCAGGCAAGTTGAAAGACTTGCGACTATCCCAAGTCAGTAGTCTTGTCTCGGCCCTTGGCTTCTTCATCATCGCGACTGCCGGATCCCGGGCCATTCTGATCCTAGGCATGATGCTTCTCTCGATGGGCGCCGCCTTTCTGGTGTCATGCCGCAGTTTCGTGACGTCGCTGGTTCGGCCAGACCATGTGGGAGCTCTGTATTCATCTGCTACGGTTGTTTCCTCCCTGGGGATGGTTGTTGCCGGTCCGCTTTTTGCTTATGCGTTTCGATTGGGTCTGAATCTGGGGCCTGCGTGGCTCGGACTGCCTTTTCTTCTGGCGGGGGTGATTTATCTTCTTGGTTCTGTCTCACTCATTCGGCTGAAGGTTTCTAATAGACTTCATGGAGAGTAGTATAGGTAAGGGGGGTTCTATACTTTGGGGTCTCACCTGGCAAAGGGTTCATGATCTAGACTGGAATATAGAGGAATCCATCCACTTGTTTTCTTGGTAATTAACGAATAATATATAGCTCTCTTGATTGACAGTATTGGTGATAGTAGACTAGGGCTAGCTACCGCCATCCCAGTGTTTAGGGTTAGGGTTTAGGGTTAGGTTTATAATATTGCAACCCTAACCCTAGTTTAAGATGAGATATCCTTCTATATTGTACAGAGTATATGACTTATATTGCAGTCAATGCATATGGTATAGTGTTTTATATAGTGTTTTATATTAATGTGTATATGTTGTATGTTATTATATGCAGTATATACTGAGAGGAGCCTAGAAAGAAAGGCTCTCGCCAATATCACAGATGGTAAAATCAGTTTCCGGAACGGCCATCTTCTTCAAGGCAGCCTGTAGTTTCCTGGGCGGCTCCAGCACATCCTCTTCCGTGAGCACCCAGGTCCCCCAATGCATGCCCAGCGCCCGGGCACAGCGCGTCTGCAGGAAGATGTTGACTGCGTCGTGCGGGTCGGCGTGCATGCTGCTCATCACCCAGCGCGGATCATAGGCGCCGATGGGGATCAGGCCGAGATCAAACGGCCCGCGATACTGACCGATCTCCTTGAAGGCGGGACATGACGGATACAGGCCGTCGTACTCGTCGGCGTGGTCGTCTTTTCCATCCAGCTCCTTGGGTACGGATCGATAGCCGGTGTCTCTGGTGGGAATTATTAGTTGTTCAATACATCTCGCATGGAACTATGTATCCTCAGTGTGAAACAAACCCTGCAAAATATACTTTCTTCCCCCCCGATTCGACAAACCAGGAAGCCCATAACGTCTTGGCTTTGTCGAACGGAGTCCTAGCTGAGATGTGCTGACAAGGAAGGCATCCGATGCGGGCGGAAATATCCGACGGCGATGAATCTGTGGACAACGAGACATCCCGCTCGTCCCACCAGTCGAGCTCGGTGACTTTGTGGATGCCGGCCTCGACAAACCACTTTTTATTCCCCAACGGCGCAAAGAAGTGACAGTCGGGATGCTTGGCGGCGATTGCCTTCACCGTCGGATGGGAGAGATGGTCGTAGTGGTTGTGCGAGATGACGACCGCGTCGATGATGGGGATCTGCTCGACATCGCACGGCGGGGGCGTGTACCGTCTGGGTCCGAGGAAGGAGAAGGGGGAGCAGCGGTCCTCGAAGACCGGGTCGAAGAGCACCCGCAAACCCGACGGAAATTCCACGTAGAAACACGCATGGCCAAGCCAGGTGGCGCGCAGGCCGGGGGTTTCCCGATCGGGCAGGAATGAGGGTTTCCGCACGGGGACGGTGGGGGGGCTGGTATCGGGGACGTTTGCTTGGCCGTTAAGACGGCGTCTACATATTAGTAATAACTCGGATATATTATGATGTATAGAAGCTTACTTGATCATCTCATACGGAATCCAAAACCCGTTCAGCGCATGCCAGGAGCTAGATTAACCAGTAAGTAAAACGAGATTAGTCATAAGGAGGTGTACGCACTCCCATGGATTGATGAAGCCGTCTTTCGCGTGGTGAGCTTTGGTGGCCTCAGGCTCCCGCGCGGGAGGCACCGAGATGGTCAGGACGGAAGAGCCCATGAGGAGCGGTCGTAGGGGGGCACGAAGGGGGAACCGGAAACGCATTGCAGAGGATGACGGAGAGGGCTTTTATTATGGCTATTTAACCTGCCTGAAAGTGATTTAAATCTCACCTGTTGTCGGGTCGGGCGAATTTTCGTCCGACATTCTTTGCTATTATTAGAATAAGCAGGAGAATTAATCGATGAGGTATTAGTATAAATTAAATATTGAATATCAATAGAATAATAAGGAGAATCAATCGATGAGGTATTAGTATAAATTGAGTACTATATGCTATTATCCTTTATGATCTTCCTGGCCATCTCAACCAGAGAGTCTGCGACAACCTCCACCTTTCCAAACACTTCCCAAACCCCTTCCTGCTCATACTCGGTGCAATACGCGCCCCGAAACCCGACCATCCGCGCCGCCGACACATCCCACAGATGCGCCGCCGCAAACCATTTCTCATCCCCGTCGGCGAACCGGTCATACACTGCCCGGTACGCCCCCAGCGCGGGCTTTGCGACTCCGAGTCCATCGCAGCTCACAAACTGCTCCAGCGGGAACTCCCATCCCCCGCGCTCAAAGTATCCCCGCACACGCGCCACATCCCCCGTGGTCAGACACCACACCGTGAAGCCTTGTTCGCGCAGCAGCTCGATGCATTCGCGCGCGCCCGACCGCAGCGTCAGCTCTGCGTATCCCGCTAGACAGGCCTCGCGCTGGGTGTCGGTGAAGATCTCGCGCGGCTGCTTGATCCCCGCCATGAAGAGCGTGCGGTAGAAGAGCGCCTGCATGACCTCGCGGTACGGCTTGTATCGGCCAGACGTGCTGAGGAAGGTGAACTCCAGCTCGGCGGCCGTCATCCACGTAAAGGCAAAGTGTGCGGGCGTGATGCAGTGGCTTTCGAGTTGCGGTCCGATCGTCGCGGCGATCCGTGCGATGTATGCGTCGAAGGACACCAGCGTGCCCACCACATCGAAGACGACGTGCTTAGCCATTGAGAGAGTATAGTAGAGTAGAGACTGTGTTAAGAGGAAGTAGAGTACAGGAAGAGTGGTTAGAAGATGGTAAAGGGTAATAGAGGGGGAATACTATGAATAGTGTATTGTCTCCATATACGCTAAGACCGGGCCGGATGCTAAGATAAGACCCGATAATGGATGATAGCATTAGATAACCCTGATTTATTAGATAACAGTCGAGCCTGATAGACAGTCAATGAGATACAGAGTACGGAGTAGTTGAGAGTGTTAGAATAAACCCTAATCTCATCCGGTCAGGGTTTGACAACCCTAACCTAACCTAACCCTAATATGCGTGATGCATTATGGCTGCTTAGCACTATTGAAGTTCACTACCCAAGTGGTAGCTGTAATCTATAGATTACAAGTCTTAGTAAATAGAAGATAAACATAGAATACAATACTTATACTATACTATAATGCTACCACTTCAGTTGCACACTATTATTCAAGTGTTAAGAACCAGTAAGCAACAGTGATCTTAACTAGAATTATAGGCACTTTTACTATTTATTCACTAAGATAATAACTATTAGTGCTTTTATAGCTTATAATAAAATAATATATTATTATATTATGTAATTCTCTATATTATACTGTAGTATAGGTAATACTATAATGGTTGGGTTATATACTCTATCCACTACAGTATGTGTTTCACTAAGAATTAGCTGTATCAGGTACCACGGTTCTTACATCAAATTATCCACCATTAATATCCTTGCCAGCTATATATAAATCACTCCTTGATCTCAACACCATCATTCCATTCTCTCTCGATTATTTTAATATACTTATTCTTGTACTGCCGGCAGTATGAAAGCATTCCTTCTATCCGCTCTCGCCACTCTTTCTCTGGCGTCGGCGCCTCCTGCCAAACGCCAGATCACAACCAGCACGACCGGAACCAGCGATGGATGGTACTATTCCTTCTGGACGAACGGCGGCGGGACCGTCGACTACACGAACGATGACGGGGGAGAGTATACCGTCACCTGGGAGGACTGTGGGGATTTCACCTGCGGCAAGGGATGGGAGGTGGGAAGCGAGAGGTATGTTTGATTTCTTTCTTTTTACACATCTTCGCAAGTGTTGATGGACAAGGGACATTACCTTTTCTGCCGACTTTTCACCGTCTGGAAACGCATACCTGGCCGTGTACGGGTGGACGGAAAACCCGTTGATCGAGTACTACATCCTGGAGAACTACGGGGACTACGATCCCGGAACGGAGATGACATACATGGGTAGCGTGGAGAGCGACGGCTCGCTGTATTACATCTACGAGCATGAGCAGGTGGACCAGCCGTCGGTGGAGAGCGACTCGTCTACCTTTATGCAGTACTGGTCTATCCGCGTGGATCTGCGCTCCGAGGGAACCGTGACGACTGCCAACCACTTTGCGGCCTGGGAGGAGCTGGGGATGAGTCTGGGGAGCGACTTTAACTACCAGATCATGTTGACGGAGGGGTATGAGAGCAGTGGCAGCTCTATCGTTACTGTGTCTTAGTCTACGATGCAGGATGAAGTAGAGAATGTGATCGTATGAGAATCTATTTCCACAACAGCTCGATGAAATTCGACCGCTCCTCAACAACAGGCTCGGACTGATAGATGTCAATCCACTGTCGAATGGGCATCTCCTCCAGCGAGACAATCTTGGTCTTTTTGGTCCATTTGTACCCAAAGTAGAGGACCAGAATGATGGGAATGTTGATATAGTCCGTAATGAAGGTCTCATCGCTCCATTCCCCGTGGATAAACGTTGCGTACCCGCCGGTGATCAAGAGGATGGTGAAGAGGATCAACGAGGCCCACGTCGTCCACGGCTGCCAGGGAGCGGCCCAGGGCAGCTCGCGGTTGCGGTCGATGCCCTGCTTGCGACAGGCGTAGTAGAAACGCAGGTAGACGATACAGATGCTCATCCAGTTGATGAGGGTGGAGATGCTGACCAGATCCTGTAGCCAGTCGAAGGCGGTGCTTGCCGTGCTGGAGACGGCGGTGTAGCCCAGCGTCATGAAGACGCCGAACAGGCCGACGGCGATGGCGGGCACGCCGAAGCGGTTCATGCGCTTGAAGATGCTGGGGGCGTGGCCGTGCATGGCGAGCCCGTAGAGGATGCGCGAGCCGCCGAGCATGTTGGAGTTGCCGGACGACCAGGCCGAGGTGAGGACGACGGCGTTGATGATGGAGGGCACGACGTTGATGTGGGCGAGTTTGGCGGCGATGACAAAGGGCGACTCGCTGGCGTTGCCCGAGTCGATGGACAGCAGGTCCGGGTTGTTGGAGGGGACGATCAGGCCGACCATGAAGATGGTGATGATGTAGAAGAGCGCGATGCGGATGAAGATGCGTTTGGCGGCCTGCGGGATGGCCCGGCGCGGGTTCCTCGTCTCGGCGGCGGCGGTGGTGATGGTCTCGATGCCGGAGTAGGAGTACAGGGCGTTGTTCAGGACGGTCCAGAAGCCCAGGAAGCGGCCCAGCGAGCCCTTGATGCCGAGATACTGCACAAAGGGGCCCGGGTGGTTCCAGTATCGGAAGCCGATGGCCTCGTGGTTCGGCGCGCCGCCGCAGGTGATGACCAGCGCCATGATGTTGATGCCGACGATCAGCAGGATCTTGAGGATGGAAAAGCCGTATTCCAGCTCGCCGTAGACGCGGACGAACAGCAGCGCCGTCAGCAGCATCAACAGGCCGAAGACGGTCACCCACACGGCGGGACTGATGGTGACCCAGAACTCGACCAGCACGGCGGCGGCGACGATCTCGGCGGGGATGCTGACGAGATAGCTGTACACCAGGTTCCAGCCGTTGGCAAAGGCCAGCGCCGGATCGAAGAAGTATTCCGCGTATCGCACAATCCCCCCGCTCAGCGGCACCAGGGCGCCCATCTCGCCGACGGCAAACAGCACCGATGACAGCGACGCGCCGATGATGGTGTAGCCCAGAAAGGCGCCCAGCGGGCCGCCGTTGGCAATGGCGCGCCCGGAGCTGAGGAACAGGCCGGTTCCAATGGTGCCGGCGAGGGCGATCATCTGGATGTGTCGTTCGTGGAGGCCCTGGCGGAGGGTGTCTCGTTCGTCCATCAAGCCGGCCTGGACGTCCGTTTCGTCTGGACTGGGGGCTTTTTCTTCATCTTTTGACATGGTCGTAGCTGGAGTATACGGAGTATACGGAGTATACGGAGTATATAATATCGTATTACAATATCGTGGTAGACAAGGAATGAATAGAGTAGTGATGGTTATGGAATCTGGTATAGTAGATGCAGGCGTAGACTATTATATACCAGATAGTTACTAGTAATTGTAGAGAATCTGGGGTTAGGGTCAGCCAATGGACAATTCGCCATTGAAAGACCGGGTTTATATTACCAAATTCAATGTGTTTATCTGCGGGGAACCGGAAACGTTCCATCCCGGTCCCGGTCCGGTTATCAATATCTCTATCTCTATATCTATATCTTCTATATCTCTATCTATCTACTATCAATTTATCATTCAGCTCACTTATTCCTTCCACTGTACTCTATCTATCTATATCTATATCTATCGATTATCATCTAACTCACTTATTCCTTCCACTGTACTCTATACTTCTATATCTACCATGCTCCCACACACTTCCCCCTCTCCGTGTTATTGGTCCTTGCCTGCCCACCCTCTGCAGGATCATCGCAGCACCGAGTCTCTCCCCCCTAAAAGCGACATTGTCATCGTCGGAGCCGGATATGCCGGCGTCGCCACGGCGTATCACCTGTTAAAAGAACTGAAAGAGAGCAGCAAGCAATGCTCCATCACCATTCTCGAAGCCCGCGGCGTCTGTTCCGGCGCCACCGGGCGCAACGGCGGCCATCTGCGCCCTGATCTATACGGACATATTCCGACGTACATTGACCGGGCAGGCGTTGAAGCCGCGGCGGAGATTGCAGAGTTTGAGATCGCACACGTCCCTGCGATCAAGAAACTGGTTCGCGAGGAGAAGATCGACTGCGACTTCACCCTCTGTCGCACAATCGACGTCTGGTGCAATCCCGATGCGGCAGTAAAAGCCCAGGCTGTGTATGAGAAGATGGTGGAGCATAGCCTGGACTACATGGAGGACGTCATCTTCTACACGGGCAAAGATGCCGAGGGGGTAACTCACCCTGTCTGATATAATGATGCTGGATACTAATTCGATAGATCTCGGGAGTCAAAGGAGCAAAGGCATGTGCGTCATATACCGCTGCAACGATGTGGCCGTATAAATTCATCCTGCATCTGGTTTCTTCCATGCTCGACCAAGGCGTCAACCTGCAGACACATACACCAGTCTTATCCGTCACTCCGGCTGAAGAAGGAGGCTTCGCCATTGAAACCTCTCGCGGCTCAATACAAGCGACGCAAGTGATCCACGCCAGCAACGCATATGTGTCCGCCCTGCTCCCCGAATACAGCCACAACATCATCCCCTGCAAGGGCATCGCCTGCCGCATCGCCGTGCCGGAGGGGACCCAGGCCCCGTTGCTGAACAACAGCTACATCAACCGCACGGAAGACAACACGCTCTCATATCTCATTGCCCGCGCCGACGGCAGCATCGTCGTCGGCGGGGCCTCGGCCAAGTTCCGCCCCTTCCTCGACCAATGGTACAATAACGTCGACGACAGCGTGTTGATCGACAGCGCCAAGGACTATTACGAGGATTACATGCAGCGCACGTATCACGGCTGGGAAGAGTCCAACGCCGCCGTCGACAAGATCTGGACGGGCGTCATGGGCTACTCGTACGACTCGAACCCGCACATCGGCCATGTGCCCGGCAAACCGGGCCAGTTCGTTCTCGCCGGCTTCAACGGCCACGGCATGCCTGTCATCTTCCTCGGCGCCAAGGGTTTGGCCAAGATGGTGGTCGGCAATCTTCCCTTTGAGCAATCCGGCCTGCCCAGGCTGTTCCGTACCACGCAGGAGAGAATCGATAGGGCCAAGAACGGGCGTCAGGAAGATGGCGATATCCTGGGTACGGGCTCTTTTCCGGCCACCAAGCAGTAGAAGTATATGAGATCTGTGAGGTAGTAGACTTACTATATATCACTACAATAGAATGTAGTTCTAAAGATGAGATTAGGCACTAACAAATTCTCTACCAAGGTTAGTGGAATATTAAATAGATCTAGTACTGTCAAATGTTGAGGAATTGTAGTGAAGTAGTGAAATATATCATGAATCATTGCATAAAAGTCAACTTTACAATCCCACATCACATAAATCATGGTGATATTCTGTCATCCAACAAGAATATGATCCACATTCTTGGTACGAGCCTGCTCATATGCACAGTTGAGGCAGCATTTATAGCAGAGGAGAGCCGGTTCGCCAGCCAAGCAGAGGAACTGAGCAACCGGATTCCCTGCTGTTTGGGAAATGGCAATGCGGTCACCTCTAGTGTTAAAAGCCACCTTGTCTCCCATGTTCCTTATGATCACCTCCGACTCGTACTCTCGTTTGAGAGGTGTATTCCGTGGATGTGCACAAGGCTTGGCTTTCAAAACTTCGAAAAGGTTGGTCAAGCAACCTGCAAAGCCGACATCATAACGCTTGCCAGCCCGGGTGGCTATGGCTCGTAGAGACAATCCGTCAGATCTCTCTGAAACGAGTAAGGAGAGATCAGAATGCACCCCGTCAGCGCAGGGTACGATCGGGCCAGAGGGATGGAGTGGGTGTGGAAGGAACATGTTGTTCACTCCTTGAAAGTCATTTTCATCCGTGAGGGAGTCGTGGTAACGTCCATTATACATGAGAGGCCCGTCAAGAAGCTCCAGCCCCCGGTATTGACAGATATTCTCATTCTCCCACAAGGTGAAACATGGTGAGGGGACAAGAGTGGCCTTCCGATCCGAACTGGCCACTGTCCGCCTTTCCCAGCGAGGATGGAGCCGTGTCCAAATCGAATGGGGTTCAATCTCGAATCTGCTCGTCACTGCATCTCCCCAATCTCTTGGTCGATCCATTTCATTTTGGGAATAGGCATATTTCCAAGTTGTGTTTGGATGGGCATTCACAAAGAGCATCACAAACATTAGCCAAATGATTTTAAGGAGTTTTCCGCTTTCCATGACGCTAGTGATATCATCGAAATCATGTCCAGAATCTTCAAGGCGTTGCTTAATAAGGTTGTCGAGTTGGCTCAATGCCACTGAATAGGAAGGCCACGTCTGTGGGAGTGATAGTCCAACAAGCACCTCGCAGCGCTGATGCATAAGTGTGTGATACTGCTCACCAAGAAGCTCCGTGACAGGAAGCTGCACCTCACCCTGCTTGCTGGAAGTAATAATATCAGTCTGATCTACAGCAGATAGGGCACACACTCCAATAGCTCTAAGCACCTCTGGTGAGCTTGCTAGGCCACACCACATGTAACCAATGGCTAGTAGTGATGGTATCAGTTCTTTCCATGCAAAGTTTGGAATGAACAAACTCGGTGTGGCAGACACAGCGGAGGAGTCGTGAAAGAGGTCATACATGGAGTCCACATGGCGCATTTTGTGGACCTCAATGGAATCGTCAGCCATGGATTCCACAATCTCCACAAGAACGGAGGATGAGCGGCTGCCTTTGTGGACAACGAAGCCTTCGATCGTTACCAAGGTGTCATCGGCAAAAAGTGTGACCATGATGGCCATGACATATCCCATTCCATCGCATCCACGGATTCGAACCAACCCGTTATCTTCCCGTAAGGCATGAGAGATGAGGACAAGCACTTCTCCCATCCAGTCTGCACTTATATCTCCGAGTAGATACCTTGGAGTTCGGTTTTTTAGGTGTTTGTATACCTCGTGGATGCGACAGACCTGCTTGGCGATGATATTCCCGAATCCGATCACTGCCAACTTATCGGCTAGAACCTGCGCGGCTCGTTGCAAAAGGCGAGGGCTGCTGATACACCCGGATTGGGGCAGCAGCGCCTTTGAGAGCGCGAAGAAGATATCTCCAACCGATTTGTTAAATAAATCCGACAGACAGACTGACAGCAGGGCGATGGCTTGGCCGCCAGTGGACTGGGCCATGAGCGACGCGGAATCACCCTTGCGCCAGCCCACCGCGATTCCCAGACGCTCAATCCTGGTGCTTTGAAAGCGTTGGAGGTAGTCTGGGGCTGTGACTGTCACTGGGCCGCTGAGGGGAAACGCGGCGCCAAGGTTCTGGAGCTGGATCATGGCGATGGGTTGGACGTCGTCGGCGGAGAGCGCTGTAAGGATCGTTGAGAAAGCTCCCAGGCTGGCCAGGGAGAGACTCCCTATATCTGCTTGAGGGGAGGCAGAAGACATGTTGATAACAGCAAGATCAGATCAGTAGAGGATATAGAGGAAGAAAAGGCGAAGAAAGACAGGAAGAGGGGCAAGAAGTAAAGAGCAGGGCTGATAGGAGAGACAAGGCTAAAAAGACAGGAAGAGGGGAAAAAAGTAAAGAGCAAGGCTGACTTTATGCTGTCAGCCTTGTTTGTGTAGGAGTAGAGGAATAGTAATAATCATATTATAGAAATAGAATATACTTATAGATTATCTTATATAAACTATACTTATAAACTATACTTATAAACTATAACTACTTATATATACTTGTAATATCTTACTAACTCATCCTTTGCTTCCTGCCTTAGGCACTACCCCGCTATCAGTGGCCAATCACAGTGAATCACCTCCAGCTCCGACCGCGGCGATCACCGGCTGTTTCCTTCTCCTCTTTTGCTCCTGCTAGCGACGATGGAACCGAAAAAGGAGGAGCGAAAACGGGCGATCAGGGCGTGAGTGGTGTTTGCTCAAGGGACTCGCGTCTGCTTCATGATATCTACTGACAGATACCGCTTAGATGCGACCGGTGCCGCAAGGTGAAGGAGAAGTGCGAGGGCGGTCTGCCCTGCCGCCGATGCAGCTACTATCGCCATGTCTGTGAGTTCAGCGCTGCAGAAGACAAAGCGAGAGCGAGGAGGTATCTTGACCTGGAATGGCTCTAGGCTTGAAGGATCCCTGCTGATGATACAGAACACGCATCTCCAAGGCGTACGTGGCTGAACTGACGCGACGGACGCTGTATATGGAACGAATCCTGAGCAAGAAATGGCCGGGGATCTCGCTGGAGACGGAGAGTCTACGAGTGACTGCCGAGTCGCTCGATGAGGGTGGGGAGAGAGGCTGTCTGGACACGGTTGTTGGGGACTCTCTCGATGAGGACGAGGATGAAGGAGAGCTCTCGCTGGAAGAAGAGTGTACCCTTGATCCGGTCCAGGACAATGTGACCCGTGAGTGCTCTGATTATAGCCAGTTGACTATGAATAACCACGTCGTCCTGATGGCAGACTATTCCGGCGAGTTCTCGTATTGGAACTTTTCCATGCGTGTCAAGCGACATCTGGACGACCGCATGTCGTCCACGATGCAACCGACGCAGGTCTCTGGATACTGGCGAGCCGAACAGCTTCGGTCAGGCCTGAGCAACCTCTCGGCCGCCATCTCCTGCTGTCCGCCGCGGCATATCGCCGACTTTCTGGTCTCCATCTTCTTCAAGCACGCGCAGACCAGCTACTTTCTCGTTGACGAGACCTGGTTCCGCGCCCGGATGGAGCTGCTGTATACCGACGCGGCGCAGCTCAACCCGCGCGACGCCAGCAGCATTGCCGTCATCCTCGCCGTGCTGGCCATTGGCACGCAGTACGCCTATCTCGACTCGCCGCAGCGCACTGTACGGATGAAGAGCGGGCTGGCGTTTTCCGAGGACGAACTGGGCACCATGTTCTACCAGCAGGCCATCAAGCTCTTGCCGGAGATCATCGAGCTTTCTTCGCTGGAGAGCGTGCAGGCTTGTCTGCTCGTCGGGGTGTACACGCTGCCACTCGATGCGTCCGGCCTGTCCTATATCTATCTCAACCTCGCCCTGCGTCTGGCGGTGCAGAACGGGATGCATAGACGCTATACAGGGACCGAGCTGAGCAACACCATCATCGAAACACGCAATAGGGTCTGGTGGAGCACATACGCGTTGGAGAGGTGAGCATAGCATATAAGACATGAATACGATGTGAATGACCAGAAGTTTATATCTTGAGGGAAATAGGAAGATCAATATCCTTCATGGTCGCCCGCTTTCCATTCTCCGTCGAGACGTGGATGCCGATACGCCGGCGAATATCCCAGAATTGAACCAATGCGTTGGCCAGATGAACACTTCTATCCAGCTGGTGCATTATCTCGAAGCCTTTCTCAATGAGATGTAAGACGAGCTTGTATACTTAAATTGCTATGCTGACTATACCTGCCCGATAGGACCTCCCTCCGAACCAAACAGATCAAGAACATCCTATCAAACATCACCAGCACAAAGGAATCACTCACCAGCTGGTGGGCGTCTCTGCCGTCCACTCAACTCTCTCCTGATCGATCCACGATGCACCTGCAACTGGAATACTGTCTCGTCAGACTCTTCATCGGCCGGCCGTTTCTTCTGACCCGACATACGGCAGAGATGGATTCTCCGCCTGCGCCGGCTTCCTCTCCGTCCTCCTCTTCCGCCAAAAGACCATCTCAACGCAACGCCCTGATACAAGACTGCATCGACGCCGCCCTCGAGGCCCTGGACATCTGCCATTCCCTGCGTGACGGGCCGGGGCTCGCTCGCGCCTCGTACGTCGAGTACAGCGCGTGTCGGGCATCGCTGCTCGTCCTGATTGCCTACGCCATCCAGACCGGCTCGGACGCCTACCGGGCCTGTCTCTCGCGCGGAATGGGCATGATCTGCGAGATGTCGTGTGCGGGGGATTCCGCGCGGTCAGAAGTCTCGTTGATCGAGAGTCTGGAGGGGGCCCTCTCCAGACTACACCATGCAGAGGGCGCGGGTGAGGGTGAAAGCAAGAATACGTACGACTCCTTCAAGCACTGGGAGCGGGTGTGGACAGAGGAGTCGTCGCGGCCGGCGGAGGAGTTGAACCTCGCCAGAGTCTTTGACTCGGACTTGAGTTTTTTGAATTTTCCCGACGGTGACTTTTTATCTGTATAACCTTTGTATAGCATGTAGCATATTTAGTCAATTTTTCTTATAGCATTCATATCATATATAGCATATGTATATCCATCACTTATATCATATATAGCATATGTATATCCATCATTTATATCATATATAGCATATATATATCCATCATTTCACAGGCCTTGAAGTATTTACAAGTTCTCCACAATGTAATAACCTTGCCAAGTGCCCGCAGAAGTGCACTCGCCATTGAAGAAGCCGTTGCTTTCGAGATACCCGGCCTTGTCCGGGATGACTTCACAAGTGGCGCTCTCAAACGCGACGCCCTTCCAGTAGGTCTCGTCGGCCTCAAGATAGCAGTAGTCGTACGTTGCGCCCAGATCAGCGCAGGTGAGAATAGCATCGTCACCGGTGGCAATCTCCGTACCGTCGGTGCACTTTGTCATATCAATATTTGAACACATGGGGATCTACAGAGAGAGAGACGTACCGAGGAACCACAGTACAGGGTCCAGTCGGCCACGGCCACGGAGAGGAGGGAGGCAAGAGCAAGAAGCTTCATTTTATGGATAGGACGATACTGGAAGTAGAAGATGAGACTGGAGAGAGACTGGAGAGACTGGAGAGACTGGAGAGACTGGAGAGAGACTGCTTTTATATTGATATTTCGCTTGGCATACGCGTCAATAAGTGAGATCAATCCCTTGGCCTTGTACAGAATTAGGCAAGGTTAGCGACTCTCCAGCGCCTATTTTAGGCAGCTGACCCTGGCCTGCAGAGTGTAATCTTTGTACATTATATTGAGATATGTCAATTATGAAGCAAATCCAAGCCAGTTCTCGACTAATATTGTTAATTTTACTTATGAATACTACATTGGCAACATCGCAACTCTTACATATTCAGAGATATGAACAATTATGGTTTATTATTCATTATTTTGTTTGAATAATATCGAAATGCTAGGACTGAGCTACTGCAGAGTGCTGGAGCCACACTACACATGAAGGAATAGTCATCGGCTACTCCGAGATGGCTGGGATCCTTCTCGGGTGTGCGGATCTAACCGCATCATTGATCTGACCTCATACATTTCTTCATCTCTATTGATCTTTTTCTATCTATATATCATCACAGTTTATCTATATTGTCACACTTCTGTCTTAAAGGCCTTATTCGGCCCTGGAAGTTACGTAGTTAGTCGGGTCAGTATAGTGTTACATTTGGCTCATTCGTATTGTTGTGATCCCTGCCCTCTTAGCTAGAAGTAGCTTGGTCTGAGGGAATTATCTAGCTGTCACTAGTTAACACTTGAATCCTTCTATCAGATGAGACTAGTTTGCAGAGCTTCGCTTTACGATGTCTACTCCGTAAAAGAATACGATTGACTGAACTTTGGCCTTTTGATTCTGATTGGTCCTTCAACCATGATCTGATTGGCTATCCTATCTTCTTGCTCAGCTGTAACTTTCTCTTGGCCCCCTTAAATTTAGTATCGTACGATCTGGAAAGTATGTAGGGAGGTTTATACTTTTAGGCATGGCAATGTTCTTTAACATTTAACACCCAGAACTGCAGAGGGGGACATATTATATTATATATAATATACCTTTTATCCCTATTCATCTAAATAGCTAAGAATCTACTTGTGTACCTTGGTAATTCCTCCATTCATCTCTGTGTTGATCCTGAATCAATTCCTTACCTCCTGCGAATGGAAGACTATTACATATGCCCAGCTACTCTATATGACCACTAGTATAAAGTACAGCCCTTCTTATACTTCACTACATTGTAAGTGAGGAACTATCCTCACTTTGTGATGGTCTATTATAAACATGGGACCCTCCTATGAAGTACCGTGCCCCGTATGGAAGCAAGAGCTTGGCCTATTTATAATCTTGAAAATTTATAAAAATCTAGTCATTTATAGACAAGTGCGCGGGTGAGAAAAGAGTTTAGAAGAATTTAGTCTAAAGACACAAGTTTCCTCTCTCAAACTATGATGTGACAGTGAGTTAGTGATGACCATGGTTCTGGGCGAAGAGGCGTAAGTGCCTGAGGCATGATATAGTGAATGAGATCTTTATCACCTTCCCTTTTTGGATTAGTGCCAGTTTCTGGTGTCCTCATCTCTGATCACACCCTTTACTTCTCTTTTATCCTAGTGTCTAGTCTAGATGCTACCAGTATGGCCTATCAATTTTGGGCCACTACACTCAAATTAGGAATCAGTGAGTACTATAGAAGCTTTCTTATTGTAAGAGAAGGTAAGAGTTATGGTTATCCCTATAAAGTTACTACTATAATAGATCCTGCTCAAATTCACTATATGATGTGCAACTAATAAATGCTGTATTTTTGAAGTCTTTCCATCCACCACGCTGCTGATGACTCGATTTTCAACTCTCCCCCCTTGAGATGGATTAGAGCTTTGCCACCAATTTGTGATATAGGTTCAGCAAGAGATTAGCACCTGAACTTTAAATAATAAATATAACCATAACTAGGTGTCAAAGTGTACTACTAGACTTCATAAAGGGCACATTAAAATCATCATATTTAGGCACCAAAGTTCTAGAAGCACAGGACTTTAGGTTATAAAAGCCCACCAGATCTCCAAGAGTTTTTCTATATTATTTTATATAATAGTAGTGAGTTCTCATCTATAGACAACGCGCAAGTGGGAGTATACCAAAACTATAGCCTTGCTCAATATGATATTGAAGGCTTCTCTTGTCTTATATTGCTAGGCATACAGACATACTAGGAGAGAACTGGCAAGTCATGTAAGGAGGTGTTCAAATCACTCATCTGATTGGAGATCTAGAATATCAAGTCCACGAAGGGAGGTTTTTTTAGATACACCTAGACAAAGGTTTTCATGATTTTAACTATGAAACCAAAGAGGTAAATAGAAATAAGATCAATTTATTTCGGCAGATAGGCCTACAAATGATTAGGCTGCAGAATATTAGATATTTTGAAATATAATCTCAAATAACAAAGGTAGTGAGAAATTCCTAGCCTAGCACCTTACCATTCAATATACTACTAAATAGTAGTATATGAAGTGAGGTGGCTTATATAGTTCCGAGATATTGCAGTAGTATTTCAGATGGGCACCTTGATCTTTAAATGTGAAGGCTACAAGCATAAATTTTATCTTCCACGCTAGAAACGTTTCCTCGGCAGTTGGTCGGCACTGACTGCCGAGCGTTGCATCACACTCAACTTGCCTGCAGGTAGTTAATAGCATGGTCAAAATAGAAGAATAGTTATATAGGCAATCTAGAGTTACGGAGTAGACTGCTCGAGGGCAGATAAGCTGGCCGGTCGCAAGCTAATGACGTTGACAGAAAGCAGTCTTTCCTATGACAGATCAGCATAGCTCATAATCTGATAAAGGTTTGTGGTATGGAGAATAGCGGGGCAAAGCTAGTGCTAATCAAGCAGTTGTATGCAGTGTATTTGTTAATCTACTCCATATGTATATTATTCTGTAGTAAATATTATCTTATAGTATTCCATTACCCTAAAAGATAAATAGTGTGTTAAAACCTGCCCAACTATCACTCACTTGGAAGAGGGATTTGTCAAGTCCCCTGTCAGTGATTACTCGGCTCTCCTTTTACGGACAGAGCCGAGTCACTAGCCGGTGCTAGCTTATTAAATAAACTCTCCCTATGGCGGACAGAGTTACCCCGCATGGCAGACCGCCAATGAAAACCGCCCTGTTTAGTAATCCCCGGCGTGTTCCAGCCAAGATGCAGCAGGAGGCGGGCCTTTGATTGCTCGACGGGGCTGCGGGGAACGGTTGGAGTGAATGTGATCTGAGCCATCGGGTATATAGCCTGCCCCTCTTTCCTCTCCTCTCTTCCCATCTTCCCATTCTCCCATTCTCTTCCCATCTTCCCATTCTCCCATTCTCTCCCCATTCTCTCCCCATCTTATCTCTCCACTCCTCATTTCCACTCTTGTGACTCATATTAATCAGACAGTACACATACTATCTCATCATGGCGAAATGCCCCATGGATGACATGCTGCGCTCCGGGGCGGCGGGCGCCGGCACCCGCAACCGGGACTGGTGGCCCAGCCAGCTGAAGCTGAACATCCTGCGGCAGCACGGCGAGGCGTCGAACCCGCTGCGGGACCAGGACTACGCGGCGGCGTTCAACTCGCTCGACTACTTTGGCGTCAAGAAGGATCTGGCGGCGCTGATGACGGACTCGCAGGAGTGGTGGCCGGCGGACTTTGGGCACTACGGCGGGCTGTTTGTGCGGATGGCGTGGCACAGCGCGGGCACATACCGGGTGTTTGACGGGCGCGGGGGCGGCGGGCAGGGCCAGCAGCGGTTTGCGCCGCTGAACAGCTGGCCGGACAACGTCAGCCTGGACAAGGCGCGGCGGCTGCTGTGGCCGATCAAGCAAAAGTACGGCGACAAGATCTCGTGGGCGGACCTGCTGCTGCTGACGGGCAACGTGGCGCTGGAGACGATGGGCCTGCAGACGTTTGGCTTCGCGGGCGGGCGCGTCGATACGTGGGAGGCCGACGAGGCGACCAACTGGGGCGGCGAGACGACCTGGCTGGGCAACGAGGTGCGGTATGCGGCGGGCGGCGGCAGCGAGGGCGTCGTCAAGGACGCCGGGCAGGCGGTGCTGGCGGCGGACGAGGACAAGCCCAACCGGGACATCTACACGCGCGAGCTCAAGACGCCCGTGGCGGCGTCGCACATGGGCCTCATCTACGTCAACCCGGAGGGCCCCGACGGGCAGCCGGACCCGGTCGCGGCGGCGCGCGACATCCGCACAACGTTTGGGCGCATGGCGATGAACGACGAGGAGACGGTGGCGCTGATCGCGGGCGGGCACAGCTTCGGCAAGACGCACGGCGCCGGGCCCTCGGAGCAGGTGGGCAAGGAGCCCGAGGCGGCCGGGCTGGAGGCCCAGGGCCTGGGCTGGGCGAGCAGCTTCGGGGCGGGCAAGGGCCCCGACGCCATCACGTCCGGGCTGGAGGTGACGTGGACCAAGACGCCGACGCGCTGGAGCAACAACTTCCTCGAGTATCTGTTCCGCTACGACTGGGAGCTGACCAAGAGCCCGGCGGGCGCCCACCAGTGGGTGGCCAAGGGGGCCGACGCCATCATCCCGGACGCCTTTGACGCGGCCAAGAAGCACCGGCCGCAGATGCTGACCACCGACCTGTCGCTGCGCTTCGACCCGGCGTACGAGAAGATCGCGCGCCGCTTCCTGGCGCATCCCGAGCAGCTGGCCGACGCCTTTGCGCGCGCCTGGTTCAAGCTGCTGCACCGCGACATGGGCCCGCGCATCCGCTATCTCGGGCCCGAGGTGCCCGCCGAGGTGCTCGCCTGGCAGGATCCCATCCCCGTCGTCGACCACCCGCTGGTCGGCCCCGCCGACGTCGAGAGCCTCAAGCAGGCCATCCTGGCCTCGGGCGTCGCCCCCGCCAGCTTCATCGCCACCGCCTGGGCCTCGGCGTCGACCTTCCGGGGCAGCGACAAGCGTGGCGGCGCCAACGGCGCCCGCATCCGCCTGGCGCCGCAGCGCCAGTGGGCCGTCAACGCCCAGCCCTGGCTGGAGGAGGCCCTGGCCGCGCTCGAGGCCATCCAGAAGCAGTTCAACGCCTCGCAGCAGAGCGCCAAGCGCGTCTCGCTGGCCGACCTGATCGTCCTGGCCGGCAGCGCCGCCGTCGCCCAGGCCGCCCGCGCCGCCGGCCACGCCGACGTCGCCGTCCCCTTCACCCCCGGCCGCATGGACGCCTCCCAGGAGCAGACCGAGATCGAGTCCTTCAACTACCTGGAGCCCCTCGCCGACGGGTTCCGCAACTACGGCAAGTCGACCCCGCGCATGCACACCGAGGCCCTGCTGGTCGACAAGGCGCAGCTGCTGGGCCTCACGGCGCCCGAGATGACCGCCCTGGTCGGCGGCCTGCGCGTGCTCAACACCAACTACGACGGCTCGCCGCTGGGCGTGTTTACGGCCCGCCCGGGCACGCTGACCAACGACTTCTTCGTGCACCTGCTCGACATGAACACCAAGTGGGCGCCGCTGGGCCCGGATCTCTACCAGGGCACCGACCGCAAGACGGGGGCCAAGAAATGGACCGCCTCGCGCGTCGACCTGGTCTTTGGCTCGCACGCCGAGCTGCGTGCCGTCGCCGAGGTGTACGCCAGCGTCGATGGCGAGGCCAAGTTTGTCAAGGACTTTGCGGCGGCATGGACTAAAATCATGGATGCGGACCGCTTCGATCTCAAGTAGTAGGTGCTAAGTATTATCCAGAACGATTTCGGGCAATTCATTCTAATTTCTTTTTTTTTTTCTTTAGTGTAAGCTTTCCTGTTAAGCAGATCGTAGTCAGGAGCTCCAAGATTTGATGCAATGGCTAAAGGACATCAAAGGGCATAAAAGGGCATAAAAGTCAAGGTCTTGTATTATTGTTTAGAATTAGAATAGAGTTTTAGAAAATGTTTATTACTGTGACCTATCATTCACCATAATATTAAGATCTATGTTCTACTATACTCTAAACTGTTGACCCCCCACAACAGGAATCGAGTGAGGATCAACATCCAGCACAGGGAGATCCTCCCAGTTGGCATGGACCGTGCCGTCGCCGTACAGCAGACGGTGCACATTCATCATGACGCTATACATAACCCCCCAGCTCCAGGCCGGTTTGATCTCGACCTTCCCCACGGCGTCGGCCTGGTGGATATCAGACCCTTTATTCTCCGGTCCGGCAGCCCGGTAACCGCCCGTGAGCGAGGGATACGGGGCGAAACAGCGCAGGAAGCCGCTGCCACAGATGCGGCCGAGGGCGACGTCGATCTGGGCGCCGCTGTCGACCACGCCGGCGACGTCGGCAGGGCTCACAGACAGGGCGGACAGCAGGCGCCGGGCGCCCACCGCGCTGACGGCGTAGAAGGGCATGCACACGCCGTCCGACACCGGGCAGATGATGCGGGAATCGGCTGCTCGCTCGATGGACGGGCCGTCTCGCCAGTAGGGCAGGAAGTGGCTCGGCGGCAGGACGGTGGGATCCGAGTCTGCCATAAAGTAAGGCGCTTGCTCGGCACAGGTGATGCCGCAGTGGCCCATCCACAGGACGTCCCAGGCGTCACCGTAGGGCGAGATGGCTTCGTCGGCTCCTTGCAGGGCGCGGACTGCGTGGGCGAAGCTCTGCAGCTGTGTCTTTAGCGAGACGTCCCAGTCGGCGTCGTCTTCGATGATGAGGGCGCTTCCGAGGCCTTCCTCGACAATGCTGGGTGGTTACAGGTGTTAGTATGAAATTCTGGCAGTATACATTCCCTGGATCAAGTCTACCGTTCCATGGCGTTGATGTGTGCCCGTCGCACGCCGTACTCGGTCTGTGTGAACTCTGTGTGCCAGTTCTCACATCTAAGCAGCTGAAACACATGATGGATCCATTGAGCTTACATAGGGATACGAGGCTGGGTTGACCTCGTCGGCCGTCACGCCATCCACGAATTCAATGTGAATATTGCTCAAGGCGGAGGCGAGGATCAGGTTGTCGCGTTTATCAGACCGAGTGGGAAGGTTGATGGCAAATATTTTTTGGAACTAGAACCAGGTCAGCAACTTGAGGATTTCGCGCTCATGTAACAGAAAAATTAAAAACCAAAAACTATACTCCGAGGGTTCCGTTCCGGATAGGATCTTGGTGTGCGACAAGATGGTCCCCCGCGGCAATGGGCACTGGGTGGGCTGGCCATATGAATAGAGAAGCCGGCAATATTATCATCACAATGGCTGCCACCCCGAGACCATATAACGGAGCCTGTCGTCTGAGTGCCAGGGAGGCCATCGTAGGAAACATACAGTGAGAGGAAGGTGGGAGGTCCTTCGTAAGAGGCTTCTTTTAGCAGATAGTTAGCCTCGGCGTTTTGGACAGTGGGGGCTGAGGTGGGCACTGGGCTTAGTGGTGGAGAATTCATTTCCCTATTAATACTTGAAAAGTTCTGACATTAGAAGAATGAACAAAATCATTGATAGAAGAATAAGCGCTGGATTCTATAACAAGTTAGAATACTATGCGCGAGTCATGGTGGGCGGCAAATAGTTGGACAGCGGCAATAGTTATTATAAGCATGGAACTAGTGTTATCACAGCACTATAATAGAAATACAGTCTTCTTTCTCTTCTTTCTAATATTTTCCTCTCCATCTTTACCATGTATTTAGTTACTCTGCTTTTACTTGCATCCACCAGCTCTGCAACATGCTACTACCCCAACGGAGACACAGACGCCAGCTATCGCCAATGCCCAGACAGTCTCGCCTGCTGTCTGGAGGGTGAATCTTGTCTGTCCAACGGCCTCTGCTTTACCGGCAACTTTGGCATTCTCTATCGCGGTCTCTGCGCCGACACTACCTGGCCCATTGCCGACTGCCCGAGGGCTTGTTATACAGGTGAGAAAGATTACCTGCACGAGGGTTAGGGTTAGGGTTGATAGTAGGGTTTAGAAATCTCCGATGGATGGGCGAATCTATTCCAATGCAATGACTCGACCACGTTGTTGACCTGCAGCCATGAGATCGAGACACAGTCTGCCTGTAAGGCAGCCAATGCTCTGGGCACCTACACCTATACCTCTGCCAACGTCACCGCAGGCCAGGTGGGGATATTCACCAACTATTCATCTGCCTCATCGACGGCATCTTCATCCTCGTCATCGACATCTCCTTCATCCAGTATTTCATCCTCATCATCGACAACTTCCTCATCACCTTCGGCCTCAAATTCTACATGCCCAACACGTTCACAATCGGAAATGATCGCTCTGGGGGCTGGACTGGGGGCTGGACTGGGCGTGCCTCTGTTACTTTCGACTGCCCTTTTAATATACTGCGGAGGACTAAGACGGGGAACGAAACCGCCCCAGCAAGTGTCTGATAAGGTGGAAGTTGTATCTGGGCAGCCGGCGGAATCGGTTGTTCACTCATATGGACCGAAGGAGTTGATGGCGCCGTATAAGAATCAGTGGGAGCTGCCTGGTTCTTGAATTGGTATAAGAATTTTCATTGATGGCTATAGGCATAACTGAGTGTGTAGGTCAGGGTTGGGTTATGACAGATGACAGATCACTAGTCCGAATCTTCCCAACAGCTCTGATGGTTTAGAATGTATCCCAGTTGCGCCAGAACCTGTCGGTTATTAGTGTACTTCTTCCATGACAAGGGTGAGAGACTCACCTTCTATAGGGCCAGTTGGTCTTGATGATTCTCGAAACCATCGTGGGTGTTTCGCCGGCAAAATCAAGCACTGTCACGCCCAGCTGAGGCACTGGGTGATTCTTGGGGTCTTCGTACTCCTCGAGCTCCGTCAAGAACCAGGGGTTGATGCCCTTGTCGTCGTAGTCGGGCTTCGGGGCCCCAAAGAAATCGCTAACAGGATTCCACACGCTCGAGACTTCTCCATAGGCTCCCGTCCGGGGGTTCGTGATGGGATCCGATTCGAACTCGATCCCCCCCAGCGAGTCGCGCGGCTGTGTGTGCACCGCGCAGCTGAGGAAGTTGATGAAGATCTGGTCGTCCGACTCGGTGGCCTGTTGGCATGTTTCAATCAGGTTGGTGATCCAGGCCCGTTTCTCATCCAGATACCAGTAGTAAACGTTGTAGTAGTCCTGCACGACGATCCCCCCCGTCTCGTTGCTCTGCCGGTGCGACTGAAGCTCGCCTTTATCCCCGCCGCCCCAGGATACCTGGATTCCGGGCGTAGGCCCGCGGTGCTTGAACCGGCACAGGAGCTGGATCCTGCCCCGAAGCTCGTCAACCCTGGGGGTTGTATGGTCCAGTCTCCATCTCTCCGGCTTCTTTGCCGTCAGTTTCTTGATGTCGTCCCCAATGTCTTCCTCGGAGCGGCCCTCGTGGCGGTCATTGTCGTCTGCAATCTGCACCAGCAATCCTTCCGTGGGGAATCTTTCCAGGAAGGTGTAGAACTCTTCCAACACCATCTCCAAGGTCAGACTGGTCTTTTTGGAGTCGTCGGTATAGCAGGTGGCTGGCCCGTGACAGCAGACCAGATTGCCGGTCACTCGGAGATCAAAGTATCGGATTCCTTTCGCCAACTGCATCTCAATGGTCCAGTCCTGTGTTTGCGCCGTCTTGGCCGCATCGCTTCCGAGCCATTTGATGAACTTGCTCTCGGTAACCCCGACGAACCGCGTGGCAGAGTCGTGGGTGCCGGGGATGGACACCCGGCTGATCAACTGGGAGCCATCGATCAGCGCCATCCAGCTCCTCATCTCCGGCCGCACCGCATAGTATGGCGCTGGCATGACGCCGATGGAATACTGGAGCGCGTCGTCTTTGTCCCACCACACCCCGACCATCGCGTCGTCCTTGTCGCTGTGCGCCAGCCCGGGCAGCTTCAGGTCCTCCCGGAGAAGGGATGTCGCAGAGAGGACCTGCCAGCCCCCCTGCCGGATGCCATAGCCCATGATCTGCCCTTTCCAGCGGACAGAGTCATAGTCGGGGCCTGATTTCGACTTCCACATCAGCAGAGCCCCGTGGGGGCCACTGCTGCCAACAATGCCCTCGTTGCCCTGCACATGGTAGTTGTCGTCCAACATTCCATCTCTGACCCAGGAGTTCGATTGGGGGGGAAGAACCCTATACAGAACACGCTGGTTGTCGTCTGCCGTGGCAAAGAACGTCGCCAACGCACCCTGATGCGCCACCAGGGCCACCGGAGCATTGGTACTCTCGCCTATCCCGGAGGCTTCGGTCCATCTATTTGCCTCCCTACAGAAGTTATCAGTGAAAGAGATCAGAATGGATGGCCTCAGTCAAACATACCGATCAAACATTCGCCAGTAAATGTTTTGGTCATGGTCCCTCTTGAATGTGCAGTGCAATTTGTTTTCCAATGGACACAGTGCAACACCACACTGGTTGACCGTTTCATCCAGCGTCAACAGTCGACTCCAGCACTGGGGCCCTTCTTCCCATCTCCAGTGCTCCAGTCGAGATGCCCCTTTGTCTTCCTTCTGAGTAGGGAGGAGCAAATGCAATTGCTGGTTGAAGAGCACCAAAGACGGGTTTCCAGAGGGCAGAAAGTCGTTGTCGTGGAAGGAGATTATCCCTTTGGCTGGTATTTGTCCCAGGGGTTTCTTCTTATGACTCGGGTCATTTTGACTGGGGGCATCTTTGTCCCTATAAGTCTGATCCCATCGAGGACACCAAATGGTCTTGCACTGCTTGCCTTCGATTCGAGCACAGACAATCTTATCCTGATAAAACGCAATGGTTTCCCGGTAGGGAGAGGGGGCATAACCACCCTCGTATGAAGAAATGTTCCCAAAGTGATATTTTGACTCCATGGTTAGATCTGCAACACATCTCTAGAGGATTGCTGGGAGAGTCTACTTATTTATCATACTGTGGCAAGCTGTGGCTAGCTGATTTCTTCAGGGAGGGGTAAAATCATGATACTAATTAGAAAATAAGCATATTTAAGCGATTCAATCACAAGGATTGCTCCTCGGCTCTTCTTGCCACTGAATCTCTTCATAGATGAGGGGATAAGAGAATCTTATCGCGTGGGTTCCAACTATGCCTGTTAATGAGGGGAATTTCATTTCAAGGAGAATATAAAGGTTTATAAGGAAATTGCTGACAAATGGATTATCTACACTTTCCAACACTAATAGCAAATCTAGAGAGTATATCATGATTCCACTATTTATCAGATTCACTATTTATCAGATTCTGCTGTTATGTTTTTTGACAAAATCTAGGGGGCCACTAGACCGCTGAGCCACTAAAAATGTCTAGACATTAATTAGAGCCTTATATGGTCATATATTCCTGTGACATCTTTTTAAGTACGAATTATCCTGGGACAGATCTCATAGTAGATTGAAAAAACTTGTCATTACGTCTTCGTGGCCATCAGGCTTCATCAAACCCCGTCAACAATCTTCTCGCTGACGGTCCCATCGGCCTGCTGGACAATCTTGTCCAGGTGCTGGGACGCCTTGACTGGATGGGGCTGTGTGTACACCCATTCGAGCTGCTCCAGGGTGCGGCCTTGGGCCTCAACACTGGTCTGGTTAGCAAGACTGAAACAAAGCCGGGTGGGATGAAAGAGAAGACAGACCAGAAGAAGTACCAGAGCACGGCTTCGACGCAGTCCCAGCCGACAAAGACCCAGATATAGTTGAGATGGATGGTCGACTCAGCAATAGGGGTGCAGAAGGTGTTGATGAAGCCCAGACAGCCGGTCAGGAAGCCGTAAAACGCCAGGCCCTTTGCGCGGCGGCGGGTGTCGAGGGCCTCGACGGGCAGGACGCCCTGCAAGGGGGTGTAGGCGAAGGAATTGACGACGTTGAAGAGGAAGTAGAAGGCGAGGGCGGCACGGCCGGCAGAGATGTTGTTCTCGTTGGCGCCAAAGGCATGGCTGGCGCCGCCGTTGATGGCCAGCATACAGGCACAGGCAAAGGTGCCGTACACCAGGACGGTGCGTCGGGGCATGCGGTCGGTGAAGCAGACGGCAGTGCCGGCGCCGATGGCAGACAGAACAGAGTTGAGGACGTTGTAGCCCAGCTCCTGCGCGGTCGACTTGATGCCCATCTCGTCGAAGATGTTGGCGTTGAAGTATCCCAGCCCGTTGCCCGAGAACTGGCCAAACACGCCCATCATCAGCACCTGTGCCGAGCGCCAGCGGCCCTCGTGCGTGTCAAACAGACAGCGAAAGTCCCACCAGGCGATCTCGCTGTCGCGCAGGTCCTGTCGGATGCTCTCGTGGATCTCCTCGATCTCCAGCTTGACCAGCCGCGACTGGCGGTTGCCGTTGCCGTGGTACCTGACCAGGAAGTCGATCGCCTCGTCCTCGCGGCCCCTGGCAAACAGCCAGCGAGGCGACTCCGGGATGAAGTACACCGAGCCCAGGACGATGAAGCAGGCAAAGCACTGGCAGATGAACGGGATCCGCCACGACCAGTTGTTGTCGATGTACTGGCATCCAAACGTCACCAGCGCCGCCGGGATCGAGCCGCCAAACCAGCCGCAGTTGTAGAAGCCAGTGCAGCGCCCACGCCACTGCGGCGGAGCAATCTCCATCGAGTACGCCGGCGCGGCCACCGTCATGAACTGGATGCCACAGCCCAGCACGATCCGCCCGATCGTCACCTGGGTCATGCCGAACGAGCTCGATGCAATGATACTGCCCAGGATGATCCCAAAGGAGCCAAATACCATGCCAACCCGACGGCCCCATTTGTCGCTTACCGCGGCAGCAAAGGGAGTCGTGATGATGGAGCCACTTGCTGGTTAGCATATGAATATAGAAACTACCGTTCTTGGTATTGATGTTTAGGGTAGGGTAGGGAGGGTAGGGTAGGGAGGGTAGTACGACTCACACGCTGTACAGAGAAGTCATGACGGAAACCTTCCAGCCGTCATTCTGGCTGTGCATAGTCGCCTTGAAATGAGGCATGGCGGTAATCGAGCCCATCAAGGAGCCATCGTAACCATTTGCACAGGCACAGCAGAAGGCAACAAAGACACAGTCTATTGGTTAGCCATATTAACTCACAGTATAGATGGTACTCACAGTATAGATGGATGGTTGCTTTGCCCCATCTGGGGATGTTGGACTCCTGAATAGCAGCGTACAACTCGGCCTAGACGAATGTTAGTAGTGTATATAGTCTTTCCATGCTTCTTCCCAACACATACATTGTACACCTCCCTCTGCGTGGCACCATCATTGCCCGCAGTCTTGCCCGTGCCTTCGGCGACAATATGGGCATTCAACCCTTCGGTGACTTGAGCGACCTCTTCTCCTTTGGCCATTATGAAAGATGTTTTAAGACAACCACTCCCTGGTAGACTAACCTGGGAGACATCAGAGCTTTTATGCCCATTGAAGTTCCAAATCCCAACTCTCTCGCTTCCTGGCTTGGCAGTTCTCCGGCAAGCTGGCCCGCGCCTTTCCTTGCGTGCCAGTCATCAGATGAGGGTGTGTGACTGGTGTTGCGAGACCAGGGAGGAGTGACTAGGCTGAATACAGAACGGACCTCGGAGCGGCCTGTGAATGGCTGTGAATGGCTATGCATGGCCTGTTGCTGTGATATTGCGGGCCTCGGCCCGAAGCGACCCCACCCCCCAACCTTTCATCTCCAAGTTTTCCATCCCCACAGACCCTTGGGCTCTCCCCAGATTGTCAGCGGCTGTCGCTCCGACTTTCCGGGCTCGTGTTCAATATATTATGTTTTCTGACTGACAGAAGGGTATTGAGATCAGCATCAAACAGATCACAAATCACCACCTTGTCTATGCTATCCCGATCACTGTCGGCTCTACTTCGTACAGTAGGAATTTCAAACTCCGACCCGACCCGATTTTGAAAGTCACGAGAGACCATCATGGCGGCTCGTGGGGTGTTCAGGATAGCATGACAAGGCAGAGTGGTGCCTCTAACCTATTTTGATCCATCACCACCAATCGTATGATTTCTTACAGGTAATGGAATGGTGTGGATAGAGCAATAAGCCAGTAGAGCGATCTCAACTCATCATGGATTTCCGGTTGGCAGTCTCACCGAGGAAGCTCTACTCTGTAATTCAGGGATTGTGGTGTACCTGCAGATGCTTAGACCACTTGATCCTGTCACCCAGACGGGGCTGTTCCCTCATTCCCGAGTCCCATCGGTTTCTCTTCAAGGATGAACCCGGTACGCTCGACGGACGTGGTCAAGTATGGTGAGTGAGTGTATTAACTCTATTCTGATGGTATTGAACAGCTTCTAGCCATTGTGTTGAAGATGCGGACAAGGCAGATTTGAGGCCTCATCAATCATTCCAGCACGCTTCAGGTCAGTTCTCACTCACTGAGACATTCCTAAAGATATATTCGTCGATCTTATTGATATAACTTACTATATGACAGCAAGAATGGGAAAATAAGGATAATAGTAAACAGAGAAATTAAAATAGATAAAATTCAGTTGGGTTTAGGGTTAGGGTTTTGATAAAACACTTAGTGGTCTTCATTCAGACCCAGCTCTACAATTCATATAGTACTCTCAGGTCAGACCAGCTCTACAATTCATATAGTACTCCGAAGTCAGACCAGCACTTGTTATAGCTATTCCTCAACTGTAGCAGCGCAGTTCCCTCTCTGCCAGCTTGTCATAGCGATTCTCCCGCACCAGTCTCTGGGTGGTGATTCTGTCTGGGTAATTGCGCATAAACATGTTGGTGAAATGCGTCCCGTAATGTAGAGCGCCCTCGCTTCCATCCAGCGGTTTGAGCACGGCGGCGAAGTTGGGCTCGTGGAAATAGGCAAATACGAAGCGTTCGCGTGTATTCAGGCCGACCTTATGCGGTGTTGCTGTCAAATGGTTTTTCGTCAGATACTGCATCATGTCCCCTGACTAGTAGTTAGTGAGGCTAACAATGTATATAGCCTACTCTTATAGCAATACCTAGGAAGACAGTATGCACATCAGGCACCGGCGGGACATAAACCCATCCATCATCTTCCTCTCGCAAACCTGCAGCGCTTTTTTCCCAGTTGGCAAACTCTTCGTCTTGACGAGGGGGACGGATGAAGAGGCCTATAGGATAGATGTCAGTACACACATGGAACAATGTACTCTTGTATACATGTTGTATACCCCCCACGTCGTCTTGAGATGCAATGACTAATAAGCCGTAATCAGTATGTGAACCAATGCCTCGTCCCGTCTTCCCCCTGCCGTTTGTCGCGTTGCGCGCAGGAAACCGCAGGACACGCTGGTGATGCCATCCATCCCGAGTATATCTCGTCAAAGAGCCCTCGGAAACTCCTAGGCCATATTCAATCAGTCGGAGGAGACGCTCGCCCTGCCTGCCCAGCCAGGTCATATACGCCTCGATTGGCGCCTTCATCGTCGTCGTCGTCTCTCGGTCAGGAAAAGGGGGAGGCCACGGACAGGGACCGTGGCAGGGCCATTGCGCCTGCACCCGCGGATCAGAAGGGGGTAGATCTTTCAGCACGGTGAAGATCTCGGAGTAGTCTGCAATCCCGTCGGTGATCTCCTCCCCCGAGGCAATGTACCCGGCATAACTCTGCGAATCCACACACGCTGCCTTCTCATGCGATGGCCGACGGAAAAACCGACGACTCGCCTCCATTGCCTGCTGCTGCAGCTGCTGTCCTTCGCTGTCGGTGGAGATCTGCAGGATGCCTTCCTGTCGCCATGTCTGAATCATCGCACGTCCCATCGCGCGGTGGCCTGGGGTGTCTGTAACATCGGCTGGGAGGGTGAAGGTCTGCAGATTTCCCACTTTGGCATTGTATCCCGGGGGCATCGAAGACAGGGCTCTCCTGCCATGGGATATAGCTGAGCGAGATGGTATCAGTAAGCGAGAGAAATTCATGTTCATTACACTGCGAGAGAGAGTATAGAACGAGTAGGATCCAATCGATATATGGGGGAGCGAGAACTTTAATAAATTATCAACACGTTGCTGTGCGGGGTTATGCGAGGCACCTCTAACCGATCCAACTTGATTCCTTGATATTCATGGAGATACTGAGCTACTAGCGCTAGTCATGGTCTAGATCTCAGCAGAACCTGAGCTAGCCATGTCTTACTGCAAATGAAGATGCGTAGTTCATATAAACCCTGTAGCCTCCAGGTGACGTGGCTAATGATAAAGGGTGCAATTCAGATAATGAGCTGGCAATATAAGTATTAGTTTTATGTGGCATATTAATGAGAAGTATTTTACAGCCTGTTAGATCCATAGTCCTATATTCTAGATAGACACATTTATACTTTAATATAATAGTACTATATGACATTCAATATCTACCCTCCTATCAGCTTTCTATATTCTAAGCCTCTAAACTATGATGCCTTATGGGATTCTGTAGCAGTCAAAGAGATGTTCTGATCATTAGAAAGCTGCGACAGCCACCAGTGAGAAATTGCATTGTAGTATAGTACCTCTAGCCCACATAGTATAAAGAGATCGAGGACATCTCTATGCCTGTATGTAGGCTTGGATATCGGCGGATGCTTTGGAGATAGGTAAAAAGTATAGAGAATAGGATTTGCAGCTCTCTAGATTCACAATACCAAAATAGCTTTATTTAATACTATAGAAATGGCCGTAGTCTTATCTAATAGTTATAATTCTGTGCTCAATAATATCAATTGATAAATCATCTGTTGCCGAGTATATTGACCCCAACCCCCATGTTGTTGATATGACTAAAGGAAACTGGGAATCGACCGATTTAACTAATCACGATATAGAACCGAGTCATTGAAAATCAATTCCATCTTTGCCTCAAGATTGATGTAGAAATAAAGCGTGCTTGGGATGATTTAGATCTTCTTGAGCTGTGTAAACCTGCCCTATGCTTATTATCACTGCTAGAGCAACTTACTACTTGATGGCTATTTATTAGTTCTGTTGATTGACGCCCAAGTCAATACCAGGTGTTTTTCACAATCCCTATATAGAGTCAATAGTATCATAGTACACTATATTGAGTATGCTATATAAGAAGGTTCAAGTTAATCTTAACTTAACTTCTGTCACTGTTTACTATAATACTAGGCACTTTATTATTATATATTTATGACTCATGACTATTTTATTTTTAGGCTAGTTTTAGTAAATATTGATCAATATTTTACTTAATATCACCATTATCTAGGTTTTAAAAGAATTTATATTTAATTATTCTAATAGATTTTGAATCCTACTATCCTTTATAGTGCTCTTTTAAGCTCTAGGGGGCGTGAATTTCCTCACCTGTAATACTTAGTAGAAGGTTAACTCTATACTCTGCTAATAACATAAAAACTGTCCTTCTTATTAATCTGTAGCTGCATTGCGATGTCACCTGCGTCAAGCCAGTATAGCACTGCACCAAGGGCAATCACTGGCAAGTACCAGCTTTAGCATCTAGGTAGATAATATATTTATCATGCTAACCCCGGCTGTGGTCGAGGGTCCGCCGCTGAGCTGAACAATACTAATTCTCTACACAGCTCCATACATGAAAATCCCCTCATAATGAAGATTATGGAGACGCTGGTCGACCTGTCGGAGGATCTCAACTTTCTACACTCACAGTGCCTTGCCGGATGATAGTGACCAGCGCAAAGAGACAAAGACGGTAGAGGCTGTTTTAGAAGTGATTCAATCTGTTGAGCAAATGTTGCAAAAAGGTGATTATATCTCTGCATATAATTATATCCATCTTTACCTACATATATATATATGACTACTTTCCAGCTTTGGAGGAATTTTCTGGCAAACAGACCACTCAACCGCTCCCAAAGTCATTCTTCAATTCCCTCCAACCATGGCATCGTCGTCTCTTTATAGGGGGGAGATGACATCTAGAATAACAGGGAGAAAATTTAGACTATACTCAAGGTAGATAGTATGGATATTTCTTAGAATAGAAATAAAATACCAGGAAAGAGAAAACACTGTACCAGACCCAATCGGGCAACTTGGGATATGGCCGAAAGGTGGCCCGAAATAAATCCGAGCCTAGATCTGTCGTTGATGTCATATGTATCTATGATGATCGAGTTACCCGCTAGTCTGATGCCTCCTACTCTAATACTCCATCGCTCTGATTAGCTGTAGTTGGCTTGGATTACAATAACCATTTAGAGTTAGACCTACTGACTGATATCTTTGAACTGGCGTTTGATCTAACCCTATTGAGCGGTTTCAACAACATCCCTGTCTAGTCTGAGTGATTTTCTCTCTCCTTTTCCTTTTCCCTTTTTCAATTTTCATTCGACTGCTCAGCAATCTTAGTCTGTCTAGTAGGTGGCCTGACTAGTGAGGAGAGCAGCTCTGATAAAAGGAGAGGTCCCGGTCCAATCAAGCGTACACCATGATTTGGTTTAATGCCCAATGAGGCATACTATCGTGCTGTGGTCTATTAAAGTATATATCTAGTCCACTCTGTATAAACTTCTATCTGATGACGGATTCGCAGTCGATCCTCTCCGTAATTTCTCAACGTTTCTTAGCCCGCCTAATTTTACCCGGCTATATTTAGGGGCTGATTGGGATCTGCCCAAGACTGATTAATGGGACAAAATTAGTGGCTTTACAAGAGGAATTAAACTCAGAGCTAGCCCTGGAAGGGGATAGCGGCCCGTGTTCGATGCAACGCTAGACCCACAACGTCCAGTGAGTGTCTTGGCAGAGCAGCCCTATTCCGGCCATCACGTGGGGCTGACTCAGCATTCCCGAAGGTTGGAAGGTTCAGGCTCCAGCCTTTTGTCTCAGCCTTGCAGAAAACTGCATATTAACTACTGAATCGCTGCAGACGGTTCAATGCGAATCAGTGCAGTTTGAAGCAACATACCCAGGTATAAGTGTGTTTAAAGCGTCTCTTTCCATCTACTGTGGTTGCCATGCCCGCCGCCGGTGGCCGTCGGTCACACCGCAAGTCCCGCAGTGGATGTCTGCAGTGCAAGCGGCGGAAGGTCAAGGTAGGAGGCTTCTGTATACATGGATAAGCATCGTTCTGATTCCTCAGTGCGACGAGGGCAAGCCCAGCTGCCACAAATGCCTGGTTCACGGCGTGGAGTGCCTGTACTCGGCGCCCGTCAGTTCATCTGCCAGTCATAGAGAAGGTGTGCCCAGCCCGGCGACGACGATCCCAGCCAGCGGGCCATCACCACCTCCGACCACAAGCACAGCAATGGCATCCGGCGGCTCCGACGAGAGCATGGCTCCCGGGGTGCTGACGGTGTTTGATCTGGAGCTGCTGCACCACTACACGACATCGACGTGCTACACGCTCTCGCAGGCGAGCGCGGTGCAGGCCGTGTGGCGCGACAAGGTGCCGCGGCTGTCGTTCGGGATGCCGCCGCTGCTGCACACGATCCTGGCGGTGGCGGCGCTGCATCTGGCGCGCAGCGAGCCCGGGCGAGAGGAGCAATGCCTGGCGCAGGCGCAGCGGCATTACACGATCGCGATCAGCACGGTGGTGCCCGTGATGCCGCTGCTGGCGTCGCAGCACTGCGGCACGCTGTTTGTCTTCTCGTCGATGATGTGCATCGTGGCGTGTGCGCGGCCGCCGGACTCGGCCAACTTCCTCGTCCTCTTCGAGCACGGGCACATCTCCGAATGGATCCGCCTGGTGCGCGGCATCAAGGCCGTGCTGGACCTGGGCAGCGACGAGTTCACCACCGGCCCGCTGGCCCCGATCTTCGTCAACGGCGCCTTCCTGGCCGCCGCCCGCCACGATCCCTCCGTGCTCGAGCAGGGCCGTCTCTACCTGTGGGGGGTGGCCAAGCTGGTCACCAAGCACTGCGCCCACGAGCCCGCCCTGCTGGCCATCTACCGCGACGCCCTGGACGAGCTGGCCCGCACCATGGCCGTCGTGATGAAGTCGGACCGCCAGCATCTGCCGCCGGAGCCGGGCCTCATCTTCGCCTGGCTGCTCGAGGTGTCGGACGAGTACCTGAATCTGCTGCAGGAGGGGGAGCCCCTGGCCCTGCTCATCTTTGCCTACTTCAGCATCGCCATCCGCCAGGTCGAGTGGATCTGGTGGATGGAGGGTCTCAGCGATCGCCTCATCGCCCAGCTGCGTTCCACCCTGCACGCCCATCACCCGGACTGGGTTCCGCATCTCCCCTCTGGCGATCTCTATCAAATATGAGCATGCCAGGCCTTAGCATACGCATTCATTCACTTCAGCGGTCATGTCTCACATGCTCATGTCAATAATATGTACATACAAGTTTATAGTAGATCTAATCTTCGTATATAGATTCATCTCCCTCATACTTATTTACCAGTATATAGTCAGGTGGATATAGTCTACGCAGTATAAATAGTATCACAATACTCGGTATATGATAGCCCGCACAGACTCAAGCGTGCGGCAAGAAGATAGACGTCTAGTCAGCTTAAATTGAGTCTTCAAAGGTAATACCTAACCCTAAACCCTAAACCCTAACCCTACTGATATATAAATATGATAGGCAGAATAACATAAATGATCTATATACGATATATACGCTGAGATATATACATATGAAATATATACATATGAAATTGACATGAGAGAGGATTATGCGTGGTACTCGCTGGACATCAACTCAGTCCCCTCCAAGATTTTATGGCCTTCACGAGGGACGACCTGGCTGGGATGAAAGATAAGGAAGATGACGGTGACGGTGAACATCAAGGCGGTATCAAACAGATAGGCAAAGTATTCGTGGCTCTGCAGAAAGCCCGTGGTCCCCTGGATGTACTCGATGACACGGTAGACACAGCGGATCATGATCAAGAGACTGGCAAAGTAGAGAATGTACAGGTAGCGCTGCCAGAGGATGGAAGTGGCCAGAGAGGCCGGGGTGGGATTGCTGGTGATGCGCTGGTGGAAAACCAGCGAGACGATGACGAAGAAGCCGAAGAAGAGGATCTGGACGACGAGACCGACGATGATGACGTCCTGGCCGAGTTTCAGCTTCGATGCTGTCTTGGCGCCGGAGAGAATACCTCCTCCTGGTTTTATCAGCATTCATATTCCTTTCTCACTTTATAGCCAATATCTCACCTCCGCACTGCATCAGAAACGCGAGGATGTCGCCCGTGACGAAGATCTTGGTGAGGCGGGTAGAGCGGATGAGAGAGCGGGAATCGCCCTGGGTGAGCCGGATGATGCGGCCGAGAATCATGTAGATGGAAGCGGCAAAGAGCGACGGCGCCAGGAGGATGAACAGGCTCTGCATCGCGTACGGCATCGTGCTGTAGTTGGGCGCCTGGTGGGCGTTGACGGCGCGGGCGCCATAACCGACGGCTTCAAACAGACAGCCGATGATAAAGGCCAGCAGGAACTTCATGCGGTGTTTGATCGCGAGGAAGAGGTGACCGAAAGCGACGGTCAAGAAGCATATCACGGCAATAATGGCTGCCACCAGCGAGGGCTTGTAGTTATAGAGAACGTAGGTCGTCGTCATGTTGGATAGTAAAGAGTAGAATAGACGTATAGAATAGATGTATAGAATAGATGTATAGAATAGATTATAGAATAGATTCTAGAATAGATGTATAGTATGGTGTTGAAGAGTATGAATTGAAGTTGGCATGCATAGATATATACGTTTAACATAGGCAGCAACAATATTGTTACAAAGATCCCACAGATCCATAATAGATCTATAAACAGGTCCGGATCTTGACCCGAACCCGGATACGAACGACGTCAAAACATGAAATGCAGAGTTCGACGCATCATTTATATTTACTACTATACTCAAATAGACATTTCCTAGGTAATAACATTATTTCAAGCATATGACTTCTATGCTATAGCTCATCCTCAGTGTACTCTGCGTATGCACTATATGATTCAGTATGAGATGAGGTTATTCAAGGGACCTCGTATTCGGGTCAGCATCTTTTTCAGTAACCTGAATGGGAAGTATGGAGTGTCGCTAAGCGAAAAATGAATACTATGTAGATTGTCCTGCCTATGCAGCCCTAGGGATCGCCATTCAGCCTTAACAGCTGTCAGTGTTTCACAATGGAATATAATTATAGGACATATATACGGCTAGAATAGCTCTCATGTATATTAATAGTCGAAATTCTCAATTAGTATTCTTTAGACACCTTTTTAGTCTAGTGGAATACTCCGTCAAGCTGGCCCCATTTCTAACAATAGTATTGTGTTTATCTAGACTATCTTCCAAGTACAGCTATGCTAAGTGTATAGCTATGGAGTATTTGCCATTTACAACAAAGTGTGAGTTCTTTACGGTGTTGAGTACTATATAGTATATTAGATTATATAGGAAGAACTGTTGAATTAAATCTTAATATATATATCTACTCTATTTATAATATATATATATATATATATGTGTGTCTATACTGAAGTTAACATCATTTTAATAGCACAAGTACTACTGTAATTCATTATAACATCCTCCAGAGCCTGTATCTGGTCGCCGGCGGCCCTACAGAGCACTGCTAAAACGCTGTTTCCCGCGTCGAGGGATCCTACCCTGGTGGCAAGTCTCTGTGTTGAGTTGATTTTGGCAGAGTAATATATAAAATGTATTAAAAGGTCTCTAACATGGTAGTTAATGTATTAAAGTATAACCTAACCTACTTGAATTTGTCCAGGACAGCCTTGCAAAACTCCTTCTCCTGGACCCGCGGATCTTGTCCTCCCCGCTGCGTCTGCAGCTCGTCGATAAATGCCCGCCAGTCGACCTGCGTCTTGCGGTCAGGATCGGCCTGGCCCTGGGGCCCGTCCTGCTTGTACATGGCTCGCGCGCTTTTGACGCCGATCAGCACGGAATTGACCGCCAATGCGGTTGCTAGAGGGTTAGACAGGATACATCGGGAGCAGGAATGTGTCTTACTGGTGAAGGGTAACAAGGCGATGTTCCCGAACAAGCGGGCGGTGCCGACGCCAATCTCCTCGACGACGTCTCGTTTGGCCCCGGTGTTCTGCAGAATGAGGACATTAGTACACTTGGCTTTGCTGAGCTGTCGGAGACGCTTACCCTCTGCAAACCAGGCAGTTTGCTGACTAGATCCGAGGCGTTGACGATGTCGCGAGCGGCGTTGGCGACGGCGCCGCGGTATTTGGCGGCCGTCGGCTCGGCCTTGACGTCGTACACATGGATGGGGAGGTTGATCAGATCGGCGGGCTTGAGACGCTGGTTGGCGATCAAGACGGCCGCCGCAGCTGCAGACAGTTCCCGGCCGGACTCCTGCACGCGGTACACGGCCAGATCGCCCGTGAGGGTGCAGAGTTTCAGCCGCGGCGCGATCCAGCGCGAGACACAGCGGAGCACCTCCTCCAGGGAGGCCGACGGGTCGGCAGGCGGCTGCATGTTCTGTCGGAGCCCCGGGCTGAGCCCGAACTCGATCGCCTGGCTGAGCGTGGTCGGGCACACGGCGGCTTCGGGCAGGGGGGCGGCCCCCGCCCCGGCTTTGGCGATGGCGACGGCGCGGTCGTGCTGGTCTGGGCGGCAGGCGAGGGGGATGGTGACGCTGGGAGTGCCGGACTGGAGGGTGATGGCCGTGGAATGGGCGGTGGCATGGTGGACGGCGATGTCGACGCGCGAAAGGATCCAAGCTGAAGATGAATACCATGAGAACAATGATGATTATAATAAGTATACAAGGATTGGCTTACCCTCCTCGTCACTGACGATGATGTTATTGCCCAGGGGAAGCAGGGATTGGCAGGACGGGCTGAGGATCAGACGGAGTCCGTGATGCTGGCTGACTTGGTGGACGGCCTGCGTGAGCTGGGAACGGTTGACGACGGCCTGTTCGTCGAGCGCGAGGTAGACCAGGGGCCCCGATTGACAGAAATTATCGAGAGCCTTGTTGATCGGCGAGGATGCAGAGCAGTCGAGCGGGTAGCCGGTGATCTCGACCCAGCTGGGCCAGTCCCGGGGGCGAGGATAGAGGCGTGGCGAGCAGAAAAAGGTGTGCGGCACGTTGCAGTCCTGGAGCAGGCGGCCGGCCAGCTCGGACGACAGCGCGGGCAGGCCCAGCAGCTGTCGGAAGCGGTTGACGGGCTCGGTGATCCTGTTCCAGACAGACTCCTCGAGCATGGCGTAGGTGAGCATGTTCAACAGCCCCGGATCGTCGATCTGGGTGATGCTCTGGGCTTCGGGATGCGGGAACTCGCGCGTCGGCCAGCAGGGGGTGCTGGACATGATGTGCAGGGGAACCGACAGCCGCTGGGCGCAGTGGATATGAGCGTGGGCGAGGGGGGAGGCAATAATCGCATCTGCCATGAAGGGCTGGCTGGTGACGCTGCTGCTGCTGCTGCTGCTGCTGCTATTGTCGTTCGCATCGAGTGATGCTATACAGGCCTCCCAGCAGCTGGTATACTGGTCCAGGAGCATGACGCGAGTCTGGGGGCCATCTGCGGCTTGGGAGAGATCCTGCCGGTCAGCGGGAGAATATGTAGAGGCACCGCCCATTGTCACTCACTCCTGTCGACCGGACTGGGTAGAAATCGAGTCCTTTCCGGCGAACCTGCTCTTCGTGCTGCTGCAGAGCGGCGACTCGCACGCGGTGGCCATCTCGGGCCAGTCTCTTGCCCAGCGTGAGGAAGGGATCGACGTTTTCTGAACAACCAGTTTTTAGAACCATAGGATTTCCCGGGGCTTGCTCCATTCACGTACCCCCCACCACCATAACGACAATATCTAGAGAGGCCGGGATGGCTGCCGACTGCGTGGTGGACGAGACATCGATCAGGCGCGGGGCCTGGCAGGGTCGCAGGAAGGACTGGACAAAGATTGACATGCGTTGGACAGAGCCATTTCCCGCTGATCGATCAACAATGACGCTGTCGGTCGGGCTGTGAACGAGGGAGTCATCCGAGACGGCGGTAGAGGCGACGGATTCTCTCAGGGAGCTGGTGCGCGAGTAGGGAGGAGGAGAGTCGCGCGGGAGGTGGTCTGGAGGGGGGTACGGCGGGGGGTCGCAAGAGTCGTGTTTCGCCATGAGAAGCCGAAATTGAGTATGCGTCTAGATTGATATTTCTGTATGTGAGTATAGAATGGGTGGAAAAGAGTGTAGAGGAGAGGAGAAAATAAATTCAAGGCGGCAGTTCAGTAGATTTAACTGTCCATAATTGCGGTTTCTATCGGCTTCGTATTCGTATACGCCTGGCAGTTGGTCTTACTAGAACCGGTTAGTCAGTGACATGATTCTAGGCAATATGTTTCCCTAAAAGGCAGGGATCTGCGCCCAAAAATGCGTTATTGCAATTAAATTGTACTTGGCCACTAGCAGAATATGCAATGGCGGGAACTAAAATGCAGAATCTTGCTCTAACTATTTAAAGTATATGACTATATATACTCCATATAATAAGCAGTAGCTCTATTCATAGTATATATATTATTATACTAGACTAGCCTATTAGTATTAGTATTACTTTAAGAATAAAATCAACATGAGTAATTATGTAGAAACATAAGATAGGGTATAGTCTCTTGTTCCAGCACTTAAGCTATACTGATTTAATCTACTTAGCTATCTGCTGTATAATCTTATATATCTGTAGAGATGACATGATACTCTAAAGATGCATCTGCCATGCACCTATATACTTATAATATATTCACCACTGTCAATTCTGAATCATTACTGAGCTATTATTAACTACTCTCTACTCACTACTCTGTTGATAGTAAAACAATTGAAGAGAGAATGCTATGCTATGTACAAAAAGGGGATAATCACTCAAAAACCTTGACCAGCTTCTTGACCAAGGATTTCTTGCCGACCTCCTCATCGTCGTGATCGGCATAGAAGCGTCGGCACTGGTCGATATCGATGGTGCTGGCATCGACCCAGAACGGGCCGCGATACCAGCACTGGGCGCCGATATAGATGACGATGATGGCGACGACGGAGACATAGTTGGCGAAGAAGTTCTGGGCCGAGGGCTTGTCGCCCAGCGGCCAGATGCTAAGATAGAACTCGACGCCCGTGATGATGATGCACCAGGCAAGCCCCCAGTAGGTGGCGTAGGGATACGCCCACGAGCGCCAGGGCAGATGGGCAACGTCGCGGCCCTGCAGCTTCCACGTGTAGCGGAAGCGCAGATGCGACACGCAGATCATCGCCCAGCCGAACAGGGTCAGCAGCGAGACCAGGTTGGAGAGCCAGGTGAAGACCTCGGCCCCCGTGTGCGAGACGTTCAGGTACGCCAGGGCGCCGCCGATGCCGATCGTCGCGATGTATCCGGCCCAGGGACGGCCCATGGAGTCTGCTTTGCCAAAGACCTGAAAAATCAATCAATATGCAAAAGAAAGAAGAAGAGAAAAGGGGTATCTACCTTGTGGTTCATGTTGATATGGGCCAGCCCCATGAGCATACGAGAACCGCCATACCCGGAGATACTCCCCGTGGAGATGACGGAGATGAGGATGACAGCGTTGGTGATGTGCGCCATGGCCGGAATGCCTGCACTCTTGAAGGCGATGACGAACGGCGAGGCGTTGCTGCCCGAGGCGCCAAAGAGATCAGGGTTGGAGGGGTCGACGGTGAGGGTGATCATCAGGCTGCCGAGCACGTAGAACAGGCCCAGACGCATCCAGATGGAGCTGATGGCCTTGGGCACCGAGCGGCGCGGGTTGGCGACTTCGGTGGCCACCAGGGCTGCGTTCTCCGAGCCGGCCATGCCGAAGACACAGGTGGGCAGGACAGACAGAAAGCCCTTGAAGCCGTTGTTGAATGGCTGGGCGTCCCAGTATCGGAAGCCGATGGGGCCCTCGGAAGTGCCGCCACAGGTGATGACTGATGATTAGCATGATAACAACAACCATAATGAATGATAGAAATGACATACCCAGGAGAGCAATGATGACGATCAACATCCAGCCGAATTTGACGGTGGAGGAAAACACCTCGACCTCGGCGAAGAACTTGACGACCCAGATGTTGATGAGGATGATGACGAGCCAGAAGACGGTGATCCAGGCGGCCTTGGGCACGGCGTCGGTCCAGTATTCGAGCACGGTGACGACGCCCTGCAGCTCGTTGGCGATGGTGATCCAGTAGGAGAACCAGTAGCTCCAGCCGAGGGCAAACCCGGCCGCGGGCGAGACGAAGATGGTGGTCCATTGCACAAAGGCCGAGGGTAGCGGGTACATGATTGCCATCTCGCCGATGGACTGGCACACCGACCAGACCACGGAGCCGCTGATCAAGAAGCCGATGAAGAGACTCGCCGGGCCGCCGTCAATCAGCGACTCGCCGCTGCCCAGCCACATGCCCATCCCAATGGCCGACCCGAGAGCCACCATGGTGAGATGGCGGGTGCCCAGCATACGGCGCAGCTGGGTGTCGGCGCCATGGTCGATGTCCTTGGCCTCTAAGCTGGGCACCGTCTGCAGGTCGAGGGGGGGTTTTTCCTCGATGGCATCTTTTTCCATGTTAGAGTGTGATGGATGAATATGGATGATGGATGGGTATAGGATAATAGATGGAGTAAGATGCTAATACAGATGAATAGAGATGATAGGAGAGAACAGGCTGGGAATATATAGCAATACAGAATAGGATGAGGCTCCCCCGCATTTACAAGGGCAAGCCTTATCAGTAACCAGCAAACGGCGTTTGAAGATACGAGACGGGCTTTGAAGGTTATCTGATGTTAACAATCATCAATTGATAAATTAGATAAAATTGTAGATAACAGATAGTAATTCCTTTCCAGACACTCTCATTGGAGTTTCCATAACATATAACTTGGAATATCTCCACATCATAGCAGCCTATCCAACAAGTGGCCTACCCCCCTGGCCTGTTCCCGCACCTGCTCGACGATATCCCCGGCCTTTTGCACCCGTTTGACCAGCCCAACCCCTGTGCCGGCCCAGAGACTACCGGTATCCCTGTAGCGGCTGCCGCTGGCCCCCCTGGACGCCCGGGCATACAGCCGGGCCCGGATCTCCTCCATCGACAGCCCCTGCTCGCACTCGTCGGAACAGGCGTTCCTCAAACACCGCCCGTCGTACAGCGCCGGCCACGGCGACTCCCCTTGCTCGCTCCACATCTCATCCCAGACACGCGACCGCGCCGTGGATTCCCCGCCGTCCGATGCCGCTAGAATCTCCTGGCGATAGGCGTCCGGCACCTGCGTCTCCTCCGCCCCCAGAAAGCGGGTTCCCATCACCACGCCCGCCGCGCCCAGCGCCAGCGCCGCGGCAACCCCGCGGCCGTCCATGATGCCCCCGGCGGCAATCAGCTGGGTGCTTGCAAGCAGGTTCTGCTCCGCCAGCGAGTCCGCCACCTCGGGCAGGAGTGTCACGATGCTCGACCCGCGCGCGTGGCCGTGACCCCCCGCATCGGACCCCTGCAGCACCACGGCGTCCGGCCGACAGGCCTGCACCGTGGCCACGGCGGCCGAAACGCTCCCCACCTGCACCCAGACCTGGGTTTGGGGAGAGGCGCGCCGGATGCCTTCGCTCCAGCGCGAGAAGTCGTCGGGGGACCCAAACGATAGCCACACCACGGCTGGGCGGTGGCGGGCCACCAACGGCATGAAGGAGGATACGGGCAGACCCAGCACAATCACGCCCACCCCAACGGGCAGGGGACTGGCACTGCCACTGCCACTGCCTTCGGGGACTGCCTCGTCGCCGGGGACTGGTTCAATCCCCGTCTGGTTCAGCAACGCCCGGGCTCGCTGCAGGTGCTGCTCCAGCCGTTGCGGGTGGTCGCAGCCGATCAGGCCAAGTCCGCCTGCCCGGGTGACGGCGGCGGCCAGCTCGCCTGTCGCGGCGCCACTCATGGGCGCGTTGATGATGAGAGGGAGTCGAATCCAGGGGAACATCTTATCTCGATCTGGTGATAGGGTAGTGTGGATGATATTAGTAGTGGTGTTGGAGTAAGCTTCGCTGTGAGATCTTACTGGTGTGTGGTATCTCCATGATATATACGAGTTTATCGCGTGGCATGATTACCAAGCGGATCAAAGGCCGTCAAGGCCGTCTCAAAGGCCGGGAGGATTTAGTCATTGTACAATATCACAATATAGATGATTATCAACGCTCTTACCGAGTTTGACGCCCCTGAGATGGACCAGCTGTAATGCAATGGTAGTCATACCACTATTCCATATCATGCCAGCAGAGTATAGTGAAGTAGCTGAAGGCTTTGATCAAGCTAGGGTGATTCAAGCTCCAAGGTACCAAGAGATATCTTATATATTCAGTATGCTGTCCTACAACCTGATTACTAGGTAGTCTTCTATACTCTCTACTATTCCTACTAATGATAAAATTAATGTCTTGCATAATGCAGAATCTGATTCCACAGAACTTTCTGACTGAATAATCATAGTCTAGCTGATACTGTCTGCAACTTTCTAATTGATAACTACTACAATAGTCTGTAACATATTCTCATAATCATAATGGGTATAAACTAATTGATTGCACGAAGTACACGGGCCATGGCCTCCTCCAGCCAAGGCAGCGGATGGGAAAACACAAGCCGGTACCAGCCCGGAATCTCCGAGCCATAGGCGGTCCCATGCGCAACATAGACCTTCTGGTCCATGAGCTTCTGGAAGATCATGTCGGCAAAGGCAGGACCCTCTGTCTTGTCCTCGGGATGCAGCTCGCGGTACTTCTTGCCCAGGTTCACCCACAGGAAGAAGCCGGCATGGCAGCCCCGGGCGTAGTCGATGCCGTGCTTGTTGAGCTCGCCCGCCAGGTAGGCGTGCGAGGCCGACAGCTTGGCCTGGTTGGCGGCGATGTAGGCGTCGGTGAAGGCGTCGTCGGTCAGGATGCGCGCGGTGATCTGGTCCGACATGCTCGAGACAAACGAGTAGAGCGACATGCAGCGCTGCGCAACGTGGAAGTCCTCGTTGCTCTGCGAGATGATGGCTCCGACGCGCAAGCCGTTGGCGCCGAAATCCTTGCTCATCCCCCACATAACGTGCACCAGATGGGGATCGATCAGGCCGGTCAGATCGCGCGACAGCAGCGACTCAAAGGGGGCCTGGTTCTCCTCGCCGCCATCCACCGTGTTCTTCCACACCGACAGCGCGTAGATCTCGTCGCTGATGAGATGCATCTGCCGCTTCTGGCACAGCTGCAGCAGGGCGTCGACGGTGGCGCGCGGGTAGCAGCGGCCCAGCGGGTTGTGCGGGTTGCACAGCATGACGGCCCGGACCGCCTTGCCCGTGCGGTCCTCGTACGCCTGGGCGGCCTTTTCGTAGCGGGCGACGACGACCTCCGGGCTCAGCGGGTCGAGGCCGTCCATGTCGACGGGGACGACGACGGCCTCCGGGCGCAGGGTCAGGTCGGCGACAAAGGTGCTGTAGTAGGGGCGGCTCAGCAGGACGGCCTCGCCCGGGTTGCAAAAGGCGAAGCTGAGATGCTCGATGGCGGAGGAGCAGCCGTTGGTCATGAGGACGTGGGCGGGCTCGACGCGGCGCCGGGGATGGAAATGGCGGTTGAGGAAGTGCGCAACGGCGGCGCGCAGGGCCCGGGAGCCCATGCTGCCGTTGTTGTAGGTGAGATGCTCGCTCGACAGGCGGGAGTTGGCGTTGATGTACTCCAGCATCGTCTCGTGCATCAGCGAGTTCTCCGCCATGCCGATGGACAGGATGCCGTCCGGGTTGGTCTGCGCATGCCACATGTCGCTGATGATGTCCCACGTCTTGCGCGTCCTGCCGGCATTGACGGCATCCTGGCCCCGCGTCGAGAAGACGGCGGGTTTGGGGGGGGTTGGGGTAGAGGGGGTGGCAGAGACTGAACCCATGATTGTGTATGATGTCTGATGTGTTTTCTCTTGATGTCTGTAGTGGGTGTGGTGTGTGGTGTATTTATATCCCCCCAGCCGATATCGGAAACAGGAGTGAGAGGGACTGATGCCAGAGGTTGAGGCCTCAAGAGAGCGCAAGAGGCCTCAAGAGGCCCAAGAACCAGCAAGTCAGCCTGATAAAAATTTATAAGATTATCTGGATGCCCCACTTGGTGTGGTCCACTGATAGGCTCGTGCTGGGCGTGTGGCGGGTCTGTGCGTCGATGGCGACTTGCCGGATCCGGAAAGGTGGCAGAACCTTAGATGGTCGGTCTTTGATCGGGGCCTCCGATTGGCCCGGTGTCTACAGTATCGATTACCAGATTGTTCTATTTTCTTTATAATGTCTAAATCTTATGTATGATATTTTCTTATGGACTAGGAAGTAGGCATATCATTATTACTGTGTGGTTATGTTGATTCTGGATTATATGTTGCATTAGTGGAACCAGTGTGACTATTCTTATTGTAGATCTGAATCATCTTATTGATTTGTATATATACAGGAGAAAAGGTGATTCATTGCAATATTAGACAGTAGAAAGGAAAAGTAAAGAAAAAGTATGGTATCATGAACAGCATTTCTTTCCGACTCCGTTGGCCTGCGGCCGGCCCTGCGCCAGAACATCCGGCGCCTGCGAGGTATCCAGGCGGCAGAAGCACGAGGACTTGACGGGGACGTCGGCGACGGCGAGGGCCAGCTTGACGGGCTGCTCGAGCACGGCGGCCTCGTCGAAGCGGCCCATGCGGATGAGACACTCGTGGTAGCCCTGCAGGGACCAGACGTTGTTGGGATGGCGGCGCGGGCGGATGATGGAGTTGTCCATGCCCAGATCGGCGCGGTAGGTCTGCGCGGCCTCGTCCAGGCGGCCCTGTTCCATGAGGAGGGCGGCGTAGGCGTGGCGCACGGGCTGCATCCACGACCAGGGCTCGCTGTAGGGCAGCTTGTCCTCAAAGTCGATGGCGCGACGCAGGGCCGCAAACGCCTGCTCGTAGTTCTCGGCGCGGTACTCGATCTCGCCCTCCAGCATGGCGTTGGCCACCTCGAGGATGTCGATGATGCGGCCGTTGTACGCGCGCCGCGAGGCAGGCACCCGCTGCCAGGCGGCCCGGAACAGCGCCTGCTCCCGGCGCGCGGCGGGCACATCCCCCGTGGCGGCGTGGGCGATGCCCCGGGCGTAGTGGGTGACGGCGGTGGTGCCGGCGTACAGCGCCGGGTCTTCGGGCAGGGCCCGCTGCTTGAGCTCCTCCCACATGCCGAAGCGCACCATGACGTGCAGGCGCAGGGAGAGGAACTGCTCGAGCCAGTCGATCATGGGCGGCGACTCGATGCGCAGCACCTCCTCGGGCACGGTGGCCTCCATACGGGAGACGGCGTCGAGGGCCGTCTGCGACTGCCCGGCAAACATGGCGGCGTACACGAGCGAGTGGTAGTCGTGCATGCGGTAGAAGGTGTAGAAGTTGCGCGCGCCGTTCTTGCGGAAGAACTTGTCGTCGGCCAGCGTCGACTTGTGGTTGGAGGCGATGGACCGCCGCCAGTCGCCGATCAGCGCGTCCAGATGCGTCGGCATGTGGTGCATGTGTCCGCCGTCCGGAACGAGATCGCGCAGCAGGTCCGCCGCGGGGATCCCCAGCTCCGGCGTCGGCGACATCTCGATGAAGTGGATGTACAGGTGCAGCAGGCCCGGGTGCGTGTTGGCCCCGTCGGCGACCTGCTTCAGGGCGCGCTCCAGCACCCGCTGCACCTCCCGCGTCGGCGCCTGCGGGTTGGGCTGCTCCGTGAACAGATCCCACAGCGTCCAGGGGGTCATGTTCATCAGGGCGTCGGCGTACAGCGCCGCGACGTCGAGATCGGCGCCAAACTCCTCGTACACCCGCGCCATCGCGGCCGCGTAGCTGCGGTTCAGCGCCGGGTAGTCGCTGGCGGGCTGGTCCGTGGGGAACCGGGCCTCCATCGCCCCGACCAGCGCCCGCTCCAGCGGGGTGGCCCCGGGGGCGTGTTTCAGGGCCGCCTGGGAAGCCTCGAACCCGCGGCGCACGCAGTTGTGCAGGTCGCCCTGGTCGAACTTCTCCCAGGGCTTGTTGTAGTTGGGCCCCACGGCGTAGGCGAGCCCCCAGTGGGCCATGGCGCACTCTGGGTCATGGTTGATGGCCTGCTGGAAGCAGTAGGCGCCCTCGACGTGGTTGAAGGAATACACCCAGGTCAGGCCGCGGTTGAACCACACCTGGGCATCCGCGCTGTTGCTGGTGATGGCGCGCCCGAAGGCGCCCAGGTCATAGTACTCGTCAGCAGCAGGGACAGCCATGGCGCAGGCACAGGAAGCAAGAGGAAAAGGAAAGATGATGGATTGAAAGGAGACCAAGAAGATAACACAAGGTGATTTTATATCGCGGCAGATAACGTCCCGAAGTGGTCTAGCGCCGTCATGGGCGAAAAATGGCCTGAGGATTCTAGAATGGGTCTAGCGTCGGACCGGAAAACGGCCCATGATCAAAGGCCGAGTCGCCGACTTGATCGATAATGAGAATTATTTGATCTTAGTGATTCATTTTACTAGTCTATTTGTTACACATATTACACACCTATATAATTTTCTGTTATTATTATCGAATTTTCTGTTATTATCGATCATGAAATCGCACCCCTCGCGGCCGGTCAAGCTGGCCTGTCTGGCCTGGTATGTGGAGTTTATTTTCCGGCATGCAAGGGATGCTAATAGACGTGCAGCCGAGCGGCCAAGATCCGCTGTGACGGACAGAAGCCCTGTGCGAGTGTAAGACCCTGACTGGTATCAAGATTCGTACTCTGTACTCATGGCAGTGCACTCTGCACCGCACAGAATGCCGATACCAGCCCAGTCGCCGGGGGGGAGCCCGACGGGGGCCCATCGCGGCCGAGGAGCTGGCGCTGAAGAGAGCGCAGCGGATGAAGGCTGTTGTTGACCGAGACGGCCCTGACCATACTCATCCTCACTCTCATCATCATTCGAATTCTCAATCTCATCCTCACTCTCAATCCCATTCGCATTGTCCTCCCCCCCCCTATGCGCCGCCGCTCCCCCCTCAATGGGATCCATTCCCCGCGCTGTCCCTGTCGCCTCCCCGGCCGGCGACTCCCTCGTTAGACGCCGGCGATGGACTCGGCTTTCCCTCACCGGGGGCTGCCCTGCTGGAGCCCGTCGATCTTCCCGCCTGTCGGATCCGGGCCTATCGATGTGACCAGGATTTGTAAGTCTCATCTGTGTGATGTCTAAGGATCATCTGTGTGATGTCTGATGTATTGACGTCGACAGGATCAACACGTATTATATCTTCATTCATCCGTACTTCCCCCTGCTCCCCCCGCCAGCAGTCCCCCAGTGCGAAGACAAATGCCTGAATCTGAGTCTGCGCTCGTCGTACGCCAATGCGTCGCTGATGCCGTATTGGCCCACGACGCCGCTGGGGCTGGCCCTGGCCGCCCTTCTGGCGGTGATCCCCCCGCCAGAGGTGGAAGACGGGCCCGACAGCGCCCCTGACGACGCCCAAGCCAGCGAGGAGGACGCCGTGGCCCTCCGGCGGTCGTACGCCGATCTGTACGCGCGGTCGGCGTTGGAAACGCTGGAAGACGGCCTGGAGGCGGCCTCGTCGCAGCACGAGCTGGCCAAGGGCCCCCGGAGCTCGCTGCACGCGGGGATCCCGCGCCGGATGGAGCCGGTGCTGGCGCTGGCGCTGCTGGGCCTGTACGAATGCTGCCACCGGGGCAACATCGCCAAGATGCGGCTGCGCACGAACCAGGCGCTGACGCTGGCCATGGACCTGGCGCTGTACAAGGAGGACGCGCAGACGGGGTGTCTCGATGCCCATCGCCGCTGCTGGTGGGCGACCATCTTCCTGGTGTACCAGTCGTCCATCCTGAGCGCGTCGCCGCCCATCATTGCGTTTGACGATCTGCGCATTTCCACTCCGTTTCCGGAATTCCGGGGCTGTCGCGAGGTACTTCATTCTTCCATTCTTCCATTCTTCCATTCTTCCATTCTTCCATTCTTCCATTCTTCCATCTATTCTATCATTCGTTCTAATCCATTCTAAGCCATGGCCGCTGGTGGTGAATGCCCAGGTGGCGCTGCTCCGCAGCTGCTCGCTGGGCCGTCAGCTCATCCGCGAAGACAGCAAGAGCACCGTCAGCAGGGAGGAGATGCAGACGCTCGACAGCTTCATTCTCGAGCTGGCGGCCGAGGCCGACCGGTTCCGCTGCGTGACCAACTACCAGGGCGCCGAGGCCGACGCCTCGCGCAACCTGTGGGCCATCTCCAACGCCCTGATCCACACGGCGCGGCTGACGCTGCATCGCGTGCGGGCGTTTGTCGACCGCCCGATCTTCCTCGACGGGCAGTGCGACCTGCTCGCCATGGACGGCACCAGCACCGTCGGCAGCACCAGCACGGCGTCTCCCTCGCATCTCCATCTGTCGCCCGGGCGGGTCGCCGAGATCCAGACGCTGTGCGCCCGGACGGAGCCTGAATCCGTGCGCATCTGCCTGCACTCGGCGCTGGTCGTGTCGCGCGTCTTCCGCCGGCTCCCAGCCCCAAACCCCAACTACTCGGACACCGTCGAGGTCGATTCCGGGGGCGGCATCTGGCCCCGGCCCCGGCGCTGCGCCGTGCCGGGCCACCCGCGCTCCATCCCCTACATGGCGTGCTGCCAGCTGCAGAGCTTCTACACGCTGGCGATCATCCTGCGCCGGGTGCGCGCCGGCATGTGTTCGGGCAACATCGCCAGCTATGCGTATCTGCTCGACCGGCCGAGTGCGACGACCGAGGTGCAGGACACGGAGCGGCTGATTGAGGAGCTGCAGGCGGGCATGGAGGCGCTGCGCCGTTCCATCCAGGCCGATGTCGTTTTCGGGGGGGTTGCCTCTATTGCTCTGGAGGTGCAGAGACTGTATGAAGCGACGGTTGAGTAGTCTGCTGTGATGACTGTAGAAGACTCTACAAGACCTAGTCTATTATATCTCAGTATACTACAATTTACAGATGAGATGATGAGTTTATAGATGAGAGATGAGATGACAAATTACTTTACTCTCTATTATACAGAAATATCAATTTCCTGGTACCAAGATGTAATGTTCACAATAAGCTAATCCTATTTAGGAAGATACATATTTTCCTATATATCTATTTCTTTTATTTTCTCTCTTCTTTTCTTCTTCTTATTATTTAGATAAGTATTTAATTAATCTTTTAATGGAGTATAAATACTGATCTCTAGGCTAATTCTTATATTAATTCTTATATAATTCCTGCGTCAATTCCTATATTGATTCCTGCATTGATTCTTGCATTGATTCCTATAATTCCTATACTAATAACTAGGCGATTCTGATGTTGATTCCTAGATGCTTCTTAACTAATCATCTAGATTAGTATGAACAATTGTAAATGTAGGGCCGTAGGTCTAGAGTGGCTGCCAATAGACCTAAGTATATAGATAAGTTATATGTCTAGAGTAGGTTTAATTTCTGGAGCTCTACTGTATAATATCTTAATTAAAATGATAATAATAATAATAATAAAGAATAATACTGATTATAGCCCCCGTCTTTGAGCCCCCTCATGTGGCGAGGGTATCAGGCTCATAGATGATTACGTACATGTGCGCAGTTTGTGTAGGATACGTTTACGCCGGCGTCTCGGTCTTTGATAAAAATGGGGCATGGAGTGGGTATTTCTTCTATCGGTATATAACCAGAACACCTCACCAGTGTCTCAATCAGCATCATCATTATGTCCAAGATGGGCGCCGCAGAGGCCACCGACGTGGAGAGTGAATATTCCTCGCTTGTCGACTTCGAGGGCCCCGACGACCCCAGCCATCCGTTCAACTGGTCCTTGCCCCGGCGCGTCTGGACGACGGCCGTCGTCGCCGTGCTCAACCTCATCGGCACGGCGGCCAGCAGCATCTTCGAGACGGGCAATGGCCAGTTCATGAAGGAGTTCGGCATCAGCCACGAGGTCGCCGTCCTGGGCACCTCCCTCTTCCTCGCCGGGTACATCCTCGGCTTCCTCACCTTCGGCCCTCTCTCCGAGCGCTTCGGCCGCAAATGGCCGCTGCTGTGCGGCCTGGCCGTCTCCTCGCTCTTCGACCTGATGCCCGCCCTGGGCCACAGCCTGCCCGCCATCCTGATCGGCCGCTTCTTCGGCGGCCTGTTCGGCGTCGCGCCCGTCGCCGTCTTCGGCGGCGTCCTCAGCGACTGCTGGCCCACCGCCCAGCGCGGCATCGCCATGGCCCTGACCGTCTCGCTCGTCTTCTCGGGGCCGACCTGGGGCCCGGTCTTTGGCGGCTTCATCATGGGCTCCTCGGCGCTCGACTGGCGCTGGAACATGTGGGTGGTCATCATCGCCGGCCTCAGCGCAACCGCCCTGTGTGTTGTTGTCTTCCCCGAAACCTATCCTCCGGCTATCCTCCGGCGTAAAGCCCGCCGCCTACGGAAGAAGACCGGCGACGAGAGCATCCGCACCGCCTCGGACAAGGAAGGCCTCAGTCTCCAGGAGATCACCCGCGTCTACCTGATCCGCCCCTTCTGGCTGTTCACGACGCAGCCCATCCTGGCGCTGCTGACGCTCTACCAGTCCTTTGTGTACGGCGTGCTCTTCCTCTTCTACCAGACGTACCCCGTCGCGTTTGGCACCAACCGCGGCTGGGCCACCAGTCTCGAGTACCTGCCCCTGCTGGCCATCATCGTGGGCATCTTCGTGGCCGCCATCGGCATCGTCATCCATAACCAGCTCTACTTCCGCCACCACTGCCACACCCCGGACGGCGTCTTCATCCCCGAGAGCCGGCTGCCCCCCATGATCGTCGGCGGCATCCTGGTCCCCATCGGCATGTTCTGGTTCGCCTGGACGGCCACCCCGGCCGTCGCCTGGGCGAGTCCCATCTGCGCCTCCGTCGTCATCGGCGCCGGCATGTACCTGCTCTTCATCCAGGGCTTCAACTATATCGTCGACTGCTACACCACCATGGCCAACTCCGCCATGGGCGTCAACGGCTCCATGCGCAGTATCTTCGGCACCGTGTTTCCCCTCTTCGCCACCCAGATGGTCCACGCTCTGGGCGTCGCTCGCACCACCACCATCCTCGGCGCCCTCAGCGCCGCCTTGGTTCCCGTCCCCATTTGTTTCTGGTACTGGGGGGACCGCATCCGGGCCTGGTCCTCTGCCAAGGTGGCCACTTTTTGATTATCATATTTCGGTAAAATTATCTTTTTATTAATTGAATTAGATGTTATAACTTTGCCTCAAGGATTCACAATCATTTATAGATATAAGCATTGAAGATGTAAATATACCTGTCTGCAGCATAGCTGTCTGCAGCATAGACGTCTATAGTTAAAGTTATCAAGGATAATAAATTATTTATAGACAAGCATCCTCCGTATCTCATACCATGTCAGACACTAATATGCAGGTGATAGGCCTATACGAGGCGCCTATGAACAACCAATTGGGTATTTTAGACCGCTTATATCAAGTCTTATAATAGCAAAGAATAGATTAACAAGCAGCTTTAGTCAGCCTGCAGACCTGCCCCGCCTGGTATATAATTCTTGCCGAATGCCTCGGACTGTCTCAGTCTCATCTCACTACATACTAACCCTAACCCAACCATGTCTCTCAGTCGAGTCCGGATTGCATGCAAGGCCTGCCGCCAGAGCAAGGCTCGCTGTGAGATGCGTGAGGCGCCCTGCACCCGCTGCACCCGGCTGGGCCTGTCCTGCAGCGTACAGCCTGGGTTCCGCCGCGAGGGCCGCCGCGAGCGGATGCGACAGCTGGAAGACCGTGTGCAGCGACTGCAGGGGCTGCTCACTGACGGATCGTCCTCGACGGAGACAACAGCAGCAACGCCGGTGATAGTAGTCGCCACCAGCTACACGATCGGCGAGGTGACTCTCTCCTCTGGCCGAGTCCAGCGGCTGTTTTCTGTCTTCTGGCAGAGATACCACCCTGTCCTGCCCTTTCTGGACGAATCCCGTCCGGCCGCGGAGTATCACGGCGAGTCCGAGCTGCTGTTCTGGTTTATCATCTCCGTCGCTGCTCGCCACTCGTCCGACCGCTCGCTGCTGGCCCGACTGATGCCGCTGGTCAGCGAGCGGCTGTGGACGACCGTCGCGGCCAGCGCGCCGTCGCGGGGCCTGACGCAGACGCTGGTCTTGAGCTCGTGCTGGCCGCTGCCCGATTTCCGCCTGTCCAACGACAAGTCTGTTATTCACGCCAACCTGGCGCTGACCTGTCTGTCGCATCTGGGGCTGCATGCGTCTCAGGAGGATGTGGCGGCGGAATGTCTCAGGATAGCATGTACCATTCAGTCGTTAAGGTCTGCCTTGAAGAGAGAAGAACAGCCGTTCAACATCGATATACTAACCGAGTAGTCTGTCGATGGATCAAGGCATCCCTCCCCCCGCCTCCGTGTCTCTTGAGATCCATCCCCACAGTCGGATCCCCCTCGCTCTGCGACAGAACCTGCAGATCCAGCAGTGGAGCGTGCGGGCATTGCGGACGCTGTTCGGGGACGACGCCTGTGCGCAGCTGCCCGCCGCCGCCGTCTTCTACCCGACGATGGAGTCGCTCGAACGCGACTTTGACGGCCTGTGCAACACTCTCGGCAGAGGCCAGCAGCTCTCCCTGACGACTGCGCTCCGTCTGGCCGCCGCAGGGCTGTATCTGGACTGCCTGTACTTCTCCGAGACGACGCCCGGCCCCCAGCGCAAACAGGGCATCTTGCGCGCGTACAAGACCGCCGGCGAGCTCATCACGACCGCCATCTCGCACGACGCCGCCTACGACGAGCTGCGGTATTCCTCGGTGGCCACGGCGCGGCTGCTGCTCACGGCGGCGATTGTCATCTTCCGCGTCGTGCATTCCACCTACGCCGTCTCTGTAGATGTCTCCAAGGCGGTGGTGCTCTATCACTCGGCCTGTTTTGCCATCCACCGCTGCTCTCTACCTGACGGAGAGGAAGATGAAGAAGAAGAAGAAGAAGAAGGAGAAGAGAAAAAGGATAAAGACCTGCCGTACCGGATGGTGGAGGCCTTGAAGCTGCTCTGGCGGATGGGCGAGACAGACACCAGTCTGTTGAGTCGAGAGCCCAGCTTGACCGTGCAGAATCGCATCTGCGCGGGCATCTTCTTCGACACCGTCGTCCTCTGGCGACAATACTCTCGTTTGCCGGCCATGACGCTCGATTTCTTGCCGGACATGAGTTGGGATGCGTCGGACTGGACATTGTTTGAAGAGGCATTTACTAATCATTGATTGACTGGTATTATCAAGACTAGACAACCATCCCAAAGAATTCACTCTCCCGCCTGGCGATCGAATTCCAGCAGTTCGTTCATTCCGCAGACCCCAAAGACAAGCGGCGGCGAGATGCCAGGCCCGTACTGCTCACAATCACCCTCTTGCTTGAGATGGCGCAGGGCTTGCGTGACAGCCAGATAGGTCGGGATCAGACACAGAGCGGCATAGACCAGGATCTTGATGCCCATCTGCTGGGCCTCGGCCACGGTGATCTTGACGGCGTTTGTGCCCTGGACCATGCCGTACATGATGGGCACGCCCTTGTCGCGGAAAACACGACAGTACGTCTCGATCTGCTCGCGGGTCTCGATGGCTTCGAGGAAGACCACGTCCACCCCGAGCTCGACGGCGTCTTGAAGCCGCAGCAAGGCTTCGTCCAGCCCGAGCGGCTGGAGAGCGTCTGTCCGCGCAATGAGCACGATATCCCCTTCCAGCTGGGCGCGCATGTTGACCGCCGCCCGGATGCGAGATTTGTATTCCTCGCGCGAAACAACCTGCTTCCCTGCAAGATGGCCACATCGTTTATTCACCACCTGGTCTTCCAGATGCATCGCTGCCACCCCGCCAGCCATGTATCGCGCAACGGTCCGTCCGACGCTCAACGCGCCCCCGTACCCGGTGTCCGCGTCGGCGATGAGCGGCACCCTCCAATCCAGCGAGGCGATCATCCCGGCCTGGTCGGCCATTTCCGTCATTGTGGCCAGCCCGAGGTCGGCCATCCCCAGCTTCGACATGCTGGTTCCCGCGCCGGTCATGTACAGCGCGTCGAAGCCTGCTTGGATCGCCATCCGCGCCGTCAAGCCGTCGTACACGCCGGGACCGACGATGATTTTTTCTCGGTCGGCGAGCATCTCGCGCAGTTTCTTGACGGCTGCCATTGTATGTGCTGAGTATGTGAGATGGATTGTAAGGAATACGTTTGCTGTAGTATAAGAATACCTTGGAATTTATAGTGCTCAGGATGACGAGCGGAGCGGAACCGGCCCTGAACCGGCGCGGACCGGGCGGAGCGGACAGCGGACGGAGCGGAACCGGCACGACTAATATAAATAGACTGTATGAGATCCAGAGCATTCAATATGGCATTCCATGGAGATATCATGATGGAAGTCAAGGTTGAATTCACGGCAGAAACACCCTCTGAACGCCGCTGTCTCGCCCTGCTGGAGGAAACTGGCGTGCAGTTTGTCCAGACAGAGAGCGAGACAAAGAGCGATCGCAACCTGATCGGATTCCTGGCTCTGCTGGTCGACAGCCTCCGACAATCGGGGCTGACAGAGCTGACAGACCTGGCGAGCGCCTACGCGGAAGCCCTGCATCGATGCATCGCCGCGTCCGACTTCGGCGGCTGGGGATTCACCTCGTCGCAGTCCCTGTCGCCCGCTCAGGAGAAGGAAGTCATCTTCCTCTGCTCGGCCCATCTCGAGGCTCTCAACTCTGCTCGTCGGGCATCTTCCGGTCTCCCACGCGTCCAGACTCAGCGTCCGGCGGGTCGGCGAGGGATGACTGTCGCTGAGAAGATCCTGGCCATGCATGATGTCTCGCGAAGGGGGTTTGTCTCTCCGGGCGAGATTATTCAGGTGGACGTCGACTGGGTGATTGCCTCGGAGCTTGCATGGAAGGTAATTTTCCACCGATGTTCGGGTTAATAACCCTACCCTAACCCTAATTCATCTCTAATGATAGAGCATGGAAAACGTATACAACGCCGTCGGTCGACCAGGGATCTTCCGCAATGACCGGTTCTGGCTGGCTGGCGACCACCGCGTCGAGCCAGAGCTGTATGAGAAGCCCGCCATCCGCGCCCTGATGGACTGCAGCGAACGGGCAAAGGAGGATTTCCGTCTGACGGACTTCCAGGGCTTCAACTACACCATCCTGCATACCGAGTTTGCACGCGAACGGGCCCAACCGGGGATGCTGGTCATCGGCGCAGACTCCCACACCTGCTCGGCGGGCTCCGTCAGTTGTCTGGCCGTGGGAATGGGGGCAACAGACACCATCATGCCTCTTATGACGGGCCAGACGTGGTTCAACGTCCCTGAAACAGTGCGTTTTCGCTTGATCAACGCACCCCCCTTTGGTGTCGGGGGGAAGGATATCATCTTGCATATTCTGCAGCACTTCAAGCGCAACACCATCGCTGCCGACCGGGTGGTCGAGTTCTCGGGGCCCGGTCTGGCCTCACTCTCGTGTGACGCCCGCTTCGCCATCGCCAACATGTGCACCGAGTTTGGCGCCGTGTCGGGCATCTTCGCCGCCGACGAACGCACGGCGCAGTTCGTCCAGCGAAGACGCATCGCCAAACATAAATCTGCTGCCGTCTACTTCCAACCTGACGAGGACGCCGTGTACGCCGACTCGGTGGAGGTTGATCTCGCCACCGTACAGGCCGGAGTCGCGTTGTATCCCTCGCCCGACAACGTTGTCCCCGTCGGCCAAGCCACGGGCACCGCCCTCGACGGCTGCTTCATCGGCGCCTGCACCACCGCCGAGGAGGATCTCATTCTAGCCGGTCTTGTGCTTGAGACTGGCTGGAAGCGCGGCTTCCGTCCCGTTCCGCATGGTCGCCGTGTCATGGTTCCCGGTTCGAGACCTATCCGCCATAAACTGGCCCAGCTGGGGCTCGTCGACGTCTACGAGAAGTGCGGCTTCAAGGTCAAAGTGCCTGGCTGCAGCATGTGTGTTGGTCAGGGCGTCGACCAGGCTGCTGAGGGTGAGACATGGCTGTCTTCGCAGAACCGCAATTTCAAGAACCGCATGGGAAGGGGTATGTATAACTATATCTATACTTTCTATCACTTCTAACGAATATAGGCTCCTTTGCGAATATCAGCTCTGCAGCGACAGTCGCCGCCTCCTCTTTCACAATGATGATATGCAATCCGCAAGAGCTACTGGACGCCCTCGACAAAGACCGGCTGCTTCAGTGTCTAGACTGGCCGCGTAACAAGTCAGAAACGTCCCCCTCGCTGCCCTCGCTTCCAATACACTTCTCTGAGCCGTACGGGGGAGACGCTCGCTCGACTGTGGGCTCCAAAATCCCTGCTCCAACCGCCAACATTCCACTCATCCAGGGCAGGGTTCTCGCTTTGGGGGATTTCGTAGACACCGACCAGGTAAATACATCCCTTGAAGCGGAATATGGCAGTCGTGCTAAGAATATAGATAATCCCGTCGCAGTTCCTCGCAACCTGCACGACAGACGAACAGCTCGGCGCCCACTGCATGGAGTTTGTGATGCCCGAGTTCCGCGCCCTCGTCCGCGCAGGCCACCATGTTGTCGTCGCCGGCCGCGCGTTCGGCTGCGGCTCCTCGCGCGACGTGGCCGTCAATGCTCTCCTGGGCGCGGGCGTCCAGTGCGTCATTGCCAGATCGTTCTCCTTCATCTACGCGCGGAACCAGCCGAATCTGGGCCTCCTGGGCATCACAGTCAAAGATGACGCCTTCTATACCGCTGCCGCGCAGGGAGAACACATCACCGTCGACCTGCAGACTAACACTGTCCAGTGTGCGGGAAAGGTCTGGTCGTTCCAGCTCAGCGATATGGAGAAGCAGCTTATTGCCGTCGGTGGACTGACGCAGGCTTTTCACTCTTTTGGCAGGCAGCTTTTTGATGTCATGTGTCGGCCAATGAGTTCTCCTGTTGTGACTGTGCAGGATATCGAGGCTATCAAGGTGTAGCTTTATAGTAGGACATATCAGTATGCACAATAATAACTGTAATGTTTATAAGTACAGTCGTACATAATATTATAATAAGCTATAGGATGCATAGTCATATTGAAGTAGTAGATTTAAGAATCTAGCAAGAGAGCTAGATATATAGATCCAAAAGAGTATTACTAAAGGGTTAATTATAGTAGCTATGGTCCCTTGATCTTTATGTTATAGTCTAGAAAAAAATAATCTTAGATCTATGAGACTGTGTCTCTTTATGTTAAGACTGTCTGTCTATAAATAGGCTACATATATGCTGGTGTTTCTAAGTGTTAGTTCTAATGAGAATTACATCAAGATTAAAGAATCAAGATAGATTTGTGAAAGAAAAAAAAGAATGACCTACGCAGGATTCGAACCTGCAATCTCTTGATCCGTAGTCAAGCGCCTTACCATTGGGCCAGCAGGCCTTGTTGTAATCAGTCTCCATAATCCAAACTATAAACTAAAACAAACCGAACCTGCTATCGCCCTGTCATAAATATTTAAAACATCAGGGAGAATCAATAAATATGAGATGTAACAAGATATTTACTGCTAGGCGCATCGTCATACTGTTCGAATTGAGGAATTGCATCGAAAATTATAGATACAAGGCTAAGGAACTCTGTAGTTATGGTGCTACTTAACAAATACTCAAGTATACGACGTTATATATATTTTCCTGATGGATTTCATTCTTGGACAATATCAACTCCTACTACACATCATACCTAGTAGAACTTTGATATCTGCACATCCATCTGTCATGGTGACCTAAGCAAAGTCAAAGGAAATATAGGTGATCTGACCACGATATTGGACAAGTGCTAACCCATTCTGATGTGAGGCTGCATAACGAACCAGGAAATCCTCTGGACACCACAGGAAATTTCTTCCACCTCGGGAGACCCACCCGTCATTATCATGCTCTAAATCGCTCCAGCCCTCGGCCAGGAGAGGGTCCGTTTCAGAGTTAAGACTGATGACTTCTGACCCGGCCTTGATGGACCTGCCGTCTGCCGAGAATTCTAGCTTCGCGTCCATATCGAAAGATTCGTGAGTTTGATAGCGAGTGGGAATCCCGTCTGCCTCATCCAGTTTCCAGACTTCGATCCAATTGTCCCATGCTTGACATGCGAGGAATCTGCAATCCGGAGAAATTGCCAGATGGTAGATTTGCATTGTGTAAGAGAAGACTGTCCGATTGAAATTCAGAGTCTTCATCTCCAAGTCAATATCCCATAGTAGGACCGGCCCTTGTTTGGTGGCCGTAGCCAGAATTTTCCCGTCGGGGGAAAAGGCCAATTCAGTGAACCGCAAATCCCGCTTAAGCATGTGAAAGGGTTGTGGGTTGCGACTGCTCTCTGGGAGGGAATCGATGTCCCAAACGAAAAGCTGGCCATTCACGGTGGAGAGGGAAAGCATTTTAGCAGTGGAAGAAAAGGCAACTTTGACAAAGAATTCAAGGTTGGGTTGTGCATGCTCCCCGTCCAGCTGGAACTCCTTCCACAGGCTGATTCTGGTATCGACAGTCCAGATGCGGACGGAATTGCCACGGTGACAAGTGACTAGTTTCGTGCCGTTGGAAGAAAAGGCAAGGGCATCAATTGGCGGCTTCGCATTAGAGTCCAGCTCTGGCGTCTCCAAAGTTCCAGTCAAATTTGGGGAATTCGCATCTTCCAGGGCCCAGAGAAGGGTTGGTCCTAGAAGGAAAGCAGATGCCAACATCTTGCCGTCTGGAGAGAAGGAGAGAGACGACACGGGATAACCGGGTCCTTGAAATGTCCTTTGATTCTTCGCATTCATAGCCCCGGATCTAAAATTGGAGATGATGATGATGTTCCCATTCTCTGAACCGCATGCCAATAATTTGTCATCAGGGGAGAAGGCTACAGAATAGGCTCTCCCGAGTACTGTCTCCGAGATGACAGCAGCAGTTGACGGATTGATTTTCCAGAGAATCAGAGAGTCCGCAGCGGCAGCCAGAAATCCTCCATTTCGTGAAAAGGCCAAATCACGAACGAGTCTTCCCATCGTTTCGAAAGTCTTGATGAAAATACCGGTGCCTCTCTTTAAATCGACACCCCAGAGGCAGACACTCCTATCATCTGTACCTGCAACCAAGAACCTGCTATTTGGCGAGAACGCAATGGAGCGAAATGACATCCAGCTTCTTATTAGGACACATGTGCATGTGGCGCTGGTTGAAGTGATGGCCCAAAGGTGTATTTTTTCTCTAGAGACAGATGCAAGAATTGAGCTATCATGAGAGAAAGCAACCGACCAAACCCACTCTGTGTTAGCTGCAATGGTTTGTACTAATGCGCCTGCCCCCATCGCAGAATCTATAGACCAGAGCAGGATATTGCCAGAGATAAGCCCAGAGGCAAGCAATTTACTATCAGGTGAAAAAGACAAGCACGTGACCTCAGAAAAAGGAAGACTTAAAGACTGGCTGAATGTGGCAGTGGCCGTGAGAGGGTTGATGGTCCACAGCCGGATAGACTTCTCTGCAGTAGACGCAAACATTCGGCCATCCGGTGCAAAAGACACGTTTTTAGGTTGCCAGCTACAGCGTGGAAGGGCTTGTCTGTAGGCATCCCAGTTGGTTTGGATTCCAGTCCTGTTGTATGGGCCCAGGACGTCTTGGATGCAGGGCATCCTTTGGCCCCAAAAGAGCTTCTTGATGATGCTTTGTGTGGGACAGAAAACCAGAGCGCCACCATAGAGTTGTAGAGGCGCTTGCTCAATAATGAATTGGAACTTGGCGATGAATCTGTCGGCTTCATTTAGAAAGTCTCTTAGTACAGTATTTGCCTGCTTCTCACTTAGCACTCATTCCCGTAGCAGTCAATATGGATCAGAAAGTAAACGTACTATTTTCCCCATTTTTAACCGGTTGATGGAGGGAATAGCCCTTGGAAGTTGTTTAAGAAGACTCAAACTCTCAATCCAATGCAGAAAATGCGATTCAAGAAACCTCAGTGCAGATTGACACATTTCAGTCACTTCATCAGGATCACTTTCCTGAACTACAGCGTCGTGTAGGTGGTCAAGCCAGAAGAGACAGCCGTACTTGATCTCAAGCAATGGATCATTTGCAGGTTGGACTACTTCACTGGATTTGATTCCCCAGTCTCCAAGCTTATAGATATCTCTTTCGAGGACGGTAGGCATCTTGTTGATGGAATGATTAAAGATATCCCGGTGTCCTCGGATGGTGCAGCTGGCCAAGGCCGATGGCTGATTCTTGAGAAAGTCCATCGCTGATTTATGGTTCGCATAGATCATCTTCTCTGTCACCGTCACAAATGAATTGCAGTCTTGCACCGACTTGTAACAGTCAGTCTTCTTAGACCAAGGTAGCAGCATGTCAAGCTCAGCAAGAGACAGCGGCAAATGGTAGATGAGAGATATGACCTTTAAAATATCTTTGCATTGCTGTTGTCTCTCTGGATCATTCTCATGTTTCGTCATCAGCTTCTCAAGCTTATGGTCATACAGCTTTGAAAGCCCAGGAGGAAAGTCTGGGATGCTTTTTGAGGCGAATTCCGGCCGTGTGTCTTTCAAGTCGCTGAAAACAATAGACACCCAGAGAAAGTTGTTGTCGGATTGCTTGCGAACTTGTTCTTCGATTTCTGTGAACATTGTTTCAGTGTATTCGTTTCCAAATGGAGAGGTCTTCAGCTCATCCAGCTTGTGATGAATATATCTATTCAAGCGGTCTTCCTTGTGTTGGATGTCAATTTGCACCAAGGAAGCTGCTGTCTGCTGACTGGGCCGTTGCTGCGCATCAAATTGATTCAAGTGCTCATCAACCTTGACATCGGAGCGACTGGAAACGATCCATCTGACTTTGTTGGAATTTGTGACAGAATTCGCAATCACTCGGATAAGCTCTGTCAACCCCTGGTCACACTCATCAAGCGCATCGATGAGGAAAAGAACTGGTTTGGCATCTTTAATCATGCTCCCAAACACACGGGCCAACGCAACCGAGGAATTCACGTCTGAAAAGGGATTCTGACCTCCGGAATCCTGGTAATCCTGCTCCAGATGCGACATGAGGTCTGGCTGCTGGATGAGAAGCATCCACATGAGGGACTTCATGATGGCGGCCATGTTGTCTAAGCGGGTATTGCTTTGAAAGAACGAAAAGGACAGCGATGGCGAAAAGACAGCCGACTGCTGCGAGAAATAACGGATGAGAGCGATCAAAAGCATAGTCTTGCCCGTTCCTCCAGTTCCCTTGATCCATAACATGCGAGGTGTTGAGGGATTGTATTCGCCCCAGTCAGCAATTTCAGTGAGGCGTGGATCGTCTAGAATCCAATTCCAGGTGTCATCCATGAGTGTTTCATTCTTCTCGTTGATGATCCGTTGCAGATCGTCCTGCGGGTTGGTGAATCGAAGATCAGCCAGCATTCGGTCTTTCTTCTGATCCCTTTTGAATTGCCTTTGCTGAGTAGTAAAGTCCCAGAGTGATTGACGAATATCTCCCAGCTGCTCTGTCATGCTTTTGCTGAGCTCAACCCGTTGATGTGACAGCTTCTGGGCGGTGATATCGTTGACGTTGTGCCACCTGTGTAGAAGATCATCTTCTGCCGTGGTAACTTTGCTTAAAGCATCATCCCATTCGTTTGAGTTCATGGCGGCGTGGAGGAAAGCTCGCCCCTGATGATCAAAATAGGAGCAGATGCTCTTCATTTGATACGACAAAATGGCCTTGTAGAGCATGATGACTTTCTGCCGGAGCTGTTCCATCTCCTGGTCCAGAGATTTATTCCCTTGTTGGTCCAGCAGGTGGTCAGTGAAAGAGCAATACCATTCCATCTTGGAAATCACACATGTCATTCCTTCGAGGTTAGATCTTGCTGCCTTGGCCGGGTTTGAAAGCATCTAATTGCAAACGAAAGATCAGCGACCATCTTAATAACATGATGGGGGATTAAAGCTACCTGCAGCCCAAGACAAACGCCAGCCCAAGGAAGGGCAGCAGGCGCAGCTTGTGGAATGCCTGTGACGGCAGCATCACCAATAGGTTTGATTGCCAAAATGGCATCTGCGAACGTTCCAATTCGCTGGCAAATCTTTGATGCCCTAGAAACCTTGGATTGACCCTCCTTTACGAGCCTCTGCATGTACTCCTGCCTCTTGTTTCGATCATGAAGATCGGCAGGGGCAGACAGGTTGTCGGGTGCGAGAACTCTAGCCAGATAGCCTAAGTATCTCTCCACAAGTTCAGCACTCTCTTCAGCGCCTTCAAGACTCTCGTACGCGGCATCCCAGATTTCTCGGGAGAGTTGGCTGGGAAGGATAGGATCGGGAATTCGGGCTAGAGTAGTAAAGTTAGCGGCTATTCACGAGAACCACTTGCCTTCTTATTATTATTATCATTCTTGATCTTCTTTTCATACCTGAAGGAGGTGTCGATGGCGTGGGCTTTGTAGAGCCTCGCGAACCAGCATCGACACTACGACTGCGACTGACGTTGGATGTCTCATCCTTGTCTTTGTGTACAAAGCAGCAACATATCGCTCTCATCACGTCTTGCATCGTCACAGAGCCTACAGCTGGATGAAAAACCTGAAAGTGAATAAACGCTGAGATGGAGAGGTCGAAAATGAGGAGGGGCAGGAGGAAAAGAGGTGTTGGTTGGTGATTTCAGCCTTGTCTGCTATCCCCCAATAGCGTCAAGCGGGGCAGATTTGAACGAGCAGGGGAACAGCCAATGACTGACATGACTTACCGTCCCTCCACAAGCAGTTGTTGATGATACAGCGCTTCTTGATTTCAAGAGGTTGTTGAAATGGGGGAGGGGAGTCAATGAGGGAGAGTGAAGGAGAGCCAAATGGGTATATACTTGGGCTCTTACCAAACCCTAAACCCTAAACCCTAAACCCTAAACCCTAAACCCTAAACCTAACCCTAATTCTCAACAACCCAGAGTCTCGACAATTTGTCACAAGGGACAGATATAGTCTATACACATGCTATTCTCGAGGACTGGTATGATCTCAATGTCCCTTTTCAGAGTTGACTACGCTGAAATATATTGCCTACCGTCGAATATATCAATGAACAATACGCCGTCGTTTCACCGGATGCTCGTGGTCTCCCAGGTCTAGACCAGGAGACAAACGATAGTCATATTCCGACTCTACATCTGGTCGGACGTGAGACAAGAGTAGTTTTGCAAACGCCGCCGCCGTGGCAGCCGCGTACTTCTGCCACTGCTTGTTCTTGTGTGAGTCGGAGTAATCGCAGACTCCCCGGATGATGAAGGAGGGCAAGACGTTCATGATTCCAGCGGCCTCCATCTCGAAGCAGAGCACGTCGTGTCTGGCGGCGATCTCGTCTCTTGTCCGGGCGTCCTTCATGACTTGGTTGCCAGAGGCAATCAAGCCGTAATGGATATATGGTTGGTGTGATGGTCTGGACGGTCGTATCTGTACCTTTGATAGATCACATTTCGCACAGGTAGACTCATCCCTGACGTGTGGATAGTCAGGGACATACAAAACATCCAGCAGGGCCCCGGGGTATGCGTATTCCTGGCCACCAACCTCTCTGATCTGTCGCAGGTACGGCTCCAATGGCGTGCGAGAGAGTCGAGGATCAGACTGCATCAAACTGGACATGGATCCCAGGAAGCGTGGCGGAGGCTGCAGGTATCCGTTCATCTGCGTTTCGCCGTCGGCCAACGTCTTGACCATGTCGTACTGCAATACACCCACGTTGCTGCCGATGGGCTTGCTCACCACGACGTCGCCCAGCCGGATATCATGTCTGAGGGACGGGACTCCGCCCCCGATCCCGACCAAAAGGCAGAACTGGAGACGGCTAAAGGTTCGCTTGACGTTCGACGCCACACTGGCTGCAGCGCTGATTCCGTATTCGCCGTCGGGAAGACAGGTGGCGACGATATTGTGCATGCCCATGCGTCCAAAGACGTACGCATTGAGGTCGGTGGACGAGACCCGGACGTTGTCATGGTAGGAGTTAAAGAGCATCCGCACGGCTTTCAGTTCAAAGTGAAGAGCGCAAATAATGCCTACGGTGTAGTCGCTCGTCGTGTATTGTGGTTGGGAAGTCTGGGGGCTCCGTTCGGGATATTGATTCGTCTCATCGTGTAGAGCAGATGTGGATGAGTCTCGACTGTCTCCAATCCCGCTGTCATAAAATGGAGAGCCGTTGTCACTTTTCCTCGCTACAGGTTCTTGAATAATAGGTTGTTTGGACGGCTCTCCGGTTTCTGGCCAGTACCAGGTATTCTCTGAATTCTGACCAAAGATGAACGCACCGTCGTGTACTGCGTCGGCTTGAAGGCCCTGCGAGGACAGTCGAGATGACATGGATGATGGGAGAAGCACCTGGACAATGTCAGAGTGCTGACGGTCCTTGTTCGTGGCACAGCGACATGTCGTCGCTCCATCCGTAGGGATATGCCAGGCAATTAGATCCGTCAGAGTCGGTGGACAGGAAGATAAATTGCCACACCATGAAGCCACAATCTCCTTGAGGTCTTGATGGGAGACTGCCAGACAGGACCGTTCAGTTGGCATGGTCACCCACTGGGAACAAACGTCAAAGGACCGTATAATCTCTCCAAATCCCCGCCCAAACAGAGTGATCGCACGCATAGATCGGACGAGATCAACCCACGACCTCCCAGAAACGTCCAGTCTGGATTCTCTCGCCAGGACAGGATCACGGCCGGCAGCGAGATTCTCAAAGTCCCAACCCTCCAGTCGTGCTCGAGAACGGGACCGTTCCGGATGCCGATTCACGGCCGCTGATTCATAGTCGAAGATCTTTTCCAACAGCTCATAGAACTGAACAACGTGGTTCTGGAAGGGCACCGGACTGTCGTCACCCTCATGGATAGGGAGCTGCATGTTGGATGGGTCTACCAGAACCCTCGACGCCGAACCAGGGCCGTACGGCGATGGATACACCATCTCTGCCGGGTCAAACAATGTGGCAGAGGCAAAGGCGCCCTTTCGATCCAGTTCTAGAGCGGCACGGACGAGATGCAGCAGGGCGCTGGTTCCATTGACGAGCCACCCACGTTTGTCCTCTTCGTCCCAGAGGAGGACGTATTGTTTCTCGATCCACTTGAGCTTCCGGATATAATTATGGCGGACCTTGGAGAGTTTCTCGTCGACGCTCAACGCTCTTCCACCAGTCACAATCCGACCCAAGGAGATGGATGTGTCGGCAAGGAGACCGTTGGCGGATGCCCTGGGGAGATTAGAAGTCTTGACGTCGTAAGATGCTTGGTGAGTCCCTGATTCTTAGTATCTTATATACCGTAATCCCCCCCTAGAAAAACTAACCTGCGAGGAATTCAATCTCCGAAGACCATCCGAGAATATGACGAGAGTCGCCCAAGTCCGCCATTTGGATAGAGGAACAGCTCAAGCTCACACCCTCGTTGTATGATATCCGGTTTCCATCAGTGGAGGGAAGCAGATGCCACATCATGAAGCCATTCTCCGACTGTGTCGCCACCAGCAGGGTGTCAAAGCCTTTGATGAACAGAGTGTCCGCAAATGAATGGACATGACGAGTCTCTAGAAGCGCAGCCATCATGGACAGCGATATCTCAAGTCCTGGGAGGCTGGCACCTATTCTTCGGGCAACGGGGAACCCTTCAACCACCACGGGGTTTCTGAACAGGCCATGCCAACACTGTCCCTTTCTTAGTGGCCCACCACCCTCGCGATTGGAGACGAATTTAATTCTGCATTGAGGTTCTTGGGGAAGTGAAGGATGTGTTGGCAAAATTGGTCTGTAGAATACAAAGCGGTTTCGAAAAGGAGAGACCTGCAGAGCGGCACCAATCCAGGCGAGCATTTGACCGATTTCCACAATCCAAGAGGGAAGGCCATCTACTCGAACACGGAGCTGTCTACTATCACTCAAGTAGTCTGCCTCAATTCTCGTGTCGTCTGGTATTGTGTCTGTGGCTATCATCAATAATCAAACTGTGGATTCGTGCGTGGGATTTCTTTTCGTACCAGACTGAACAGGAGTGCCGGTATCTTGTACCAGCTTTTGGATCAAGTTGAACACTGCCAATCCACTCGATGGCCACATCATCTGCAGGTATTCAGTGCATCTTAGCATCTGAGCAGTGGTGCTGGACCCAACCAACACGACCGTGTTCTCTATAGCGATGTCTAGAGACCCCGAGCATGGCAGCTCATCAAGGAAACACCACAGGTCCCAGTCCAGGAGGTATGTCATGTTCGATCTTTCAGGCCGTACTTTTCTGCTGATTTCCTTGGAAACGGGGAGCTTTTTGTAGATACCGTGGTAGAGATCCTCAAAAATGTCTGGTTTTGCTCGTGTTAGGACACTTTCTCGGCGAAGATCACCCAGGAACTTTTGGTATGCCGGAGAGGACTGAATCAGTTCTTTATAGGTCTGGAGCCAAAAGCAATTTTCCTTGAGAATTTCCTCCTCGGACTCGTCTGTCAATTGCTCCAGTCTTGGTATTTCTTCAGGGACAGTATCCATCTTGTCTTGGTTTTGCCACCTCCTTACTTTTTCTTCAAAGGACATATTCTCGAAGATATCGCGGCCTTTCACCAGAGAAGGACTGGGTATCAATTTTGCTCGGCAGCTGGCAGCAATTGCCCTGAAGACACATATAATCAGCTTCAATATAAACTTCCAATGGGCTGGCCCACCTGCGGTCTTTCCATAACCGAGCCATCGCGTCTAGATCCGTCTGGGATGTGCCATTATACCCAATTCTCACGGCCAGATCGTTAAGCAGCCGTGGAAGAACGCGGCAGATCTGTTCCGAGATCTCTTCACTCGTCATGTCAAAGTTTTCAACAATCTGACATATCTCTTCCACCATGGTGACCACATAAAGATCGCTGGTTGAGTCTGGCAGGGAAGAGGTTGTTGAGCTAAACACTTGCATTGTCAGCAGTTTCACCCATCAGCTGCGTGGAAGCTTGTTCGATGCAGACACTGCTTTACCAAAAAAGAGAGATCTTACTATCTTCCAAGTCGTCCAAATGGACTTGCTTTATCGCCAGAGGCTGTTTATTTCCAAGGCGAGCAAACTCTTGTTTTTCCTTGGACGGAAGATCATCGTCTCGCGCAAGTTGGCTTTGCCTCACCAGTTCATCGATTTCCTCTATCAACTGATCAAGTTCCCGTTGCGCCTCCCTGATAGCTTCTTTTCTTTTCGCCCGCTCTTCAGGCGACAGAGCGCTGAGTTTATAGATTTCCGCCGGTTTTTTAGAGGCCTCATCGTGCTCCCGATTCCAGTTGATCTTGCCTGGCTGGACTTTGGCCGCTGTTGATATGGACATATCAGACCAGTCTGAGTCGTCGAGCTGTCTTTTATTTTGATACCCTCGCTCCATGATTCAGATTAAAGGCTATAATGTATGCCGGAGATGAGAAATGATGGTTTGAAGAGAAGGTGGAAAGGGGAAGCGGGGAAGTGCCTCTATCAGCCGCAGCACAGCCCCAAGCATTCAGCCAGCATCGTATCCAGCCACTAGAGAAGAGTCTAGGTAGCTAGGTACTTATGATGGATGTAAGACATTGTAAGTTGTTTAAGAATATTTATCTAGGTCAAGTTAATCATTTTCAACCTTCTTGTTGGCCGACGCCTTATTGAATAGTTCACTATAGGTTCAGCTCTGATGGAAAAATAATGAAGTGATATATTATTCTTGACTTTCATTGATCTATATTATATATCAATTTCTATACCTTATAGATGATTCTAAAATGGTTCTTGGGATAGACATGTATTATAGACAACACTACGGTAATTCCAACGTACTCGGCTTCCAGACCGGCGGAGCCATTAATTCACTCTGTGGCTGCCCGTACAGCTCCATCTTCCCCCCCATCATATATTCTACCGGCTGTATTGAACTCATCTGAGGACTTGGGCGTTGTTCTTGGTGTCTATTCCTCCGTAGGAACCAGGTTGTCGCCAACACACCCGCCAGCACGCCGAGGGGGATCCCTAGTCCGAGTCCGACCTTGGCAGCTGGTGAGAGCGATGAAGTTTGAGTAGGTGACGTATGACTATCGTTCTTTGTAGTATTTGATGTACTCGTATTCTCTGCACTCGTTGTGTTTGTCGTAGGTGCGTTGGTGTAAGTTGCAGTTGATATACTCATACTGGCAGTGCTTGCACAGGTGGAAGTCGTCGTAGAGGGTGCAGCAAGAGTGAAGGTTCCATCATCACAACAATCACCCTGGGCCAGGTTCAAACTGCTGTCGTGACAACAGTAGCTGGTCAAAGCGGCATTACATGCCCAGATATAGTCACCAGTTGACGATGAGTCTAATGAGAACATCAGACACTGGTAAATAGAGTAGAAGTAGAAGGAAGAAGATTACAGGTGGTACACTCGATTGAGCAATTCTTATAGCTCTTCTCCTGGCAGGACGCAGTATAGTATAGTCCCGTATAATTATAGCTATCCCCATCTGAGAAGGTAGTCAACGAGCCGTTGGGATGGTTATTCTTGTCGCGACACAGGCCGTTGCTCATGCATGTGTCGCCTGAAGGACAGCACATGGACGAGTTGGCGCAGGGTGTGTCATTTTCCGCGACGGTGCCGTTGCGGTAGTAGCATGTTGCTTTGACTGATGTTATCTGGAGAGATGAGAATAATAGAAACAGAATTAAAAGCATTATGTGTAGATGGCAGAAAGTTGTTTTTCTGGGCTGACATTATATTTATAGGTATAACTCGGCGGTTAGATAGAATGATTCTATGGTAAATGGGAGTGTTTGGATAGCCGCCAGATGCTAGAGCTACTAATAATAGATGGTCAACCAGACCATCCAATTAGACAGTGAAAAAGATAATAATCATCAAATAAATGTTATGATAGGAATATTCTCAATGGGTTAGATGTAGATCTACTATAGCATTATGATTTAGGGTTTAGGGTTAGGGGTTTCCACTACAAATCTAAGACAGTCTCAGGAAAGAATATAATAATGAAAATAAGGGATCTCCTATGTTATTAAAAAATGAAAATACAAGCCTAGGTAATTATAGGAACATTGAACGCAGTGTAGCCTGATAGATGAACTCCACCAGCCACAAAGATGATCTAAAAAGCTGCTCGTCTTATTTCCACTATCAGATGACAGATCGGAAATAATTCAATGTAGATATTGACAAGTTATGACGTAGAATAAAAGCAACCCTCATGACCAAAGCTAGACAGCAGTTTCTTCTGGTAAAGCTTCCTCGAAAGTAACCTCTTCCTCAACCACCTCTTCTGCTAAAAACTTGTCGAAATCAAAGTCCTCCAAGACATCGAAGTTCTCCACCTCTGGCCGGCATTTCTTCGGTCTTCGATCCGTTTCCAACCAGCAATCCTTCTCAAAATATAGCTGTACCCCTAACGGGGAATAAGGTCCCTCTTCATCCTCTTCTCTCTTCCCTTTGGCTGGCAACTTGTTCAGACTCTTCTTCTCGTACATCAACCAGCCTGCAACCGGCTGAATCGTGTCCAATCCGGTTTCCTCAGGGGCTTCTGCTTCCTCCAGCGGTTGCCCACTGGAACTGGCGTGGACGCCTAGAATGCCTGCCACCATCACCATGTCATGTTTCACCCCTACTTCGTCGGTGACATCGACCGGAACTGAAGAGTAGCCGGGGGGGATTCTGTCGGTATCGAGTTTGTAATAGCGGACGCCGTCGAGCTCGCAAGCATCCCATGTCGGATATTCTCTGTAAAGCAAGTAGCCTTCGGTGTCCCAGAAACAAAACGCTGTCACCCAGCCGGAGAGATAGGATGGCCCACTGCCGCCAATGCTGCGATCTGCACACCGGCCCCAGAACTCGTGTGCCGCCGGCGCCTCCGGATCATCAAAGCAGGCGACAAACCGGGTGAGAATCGGCCGTAGAAGCTTAGCGAAGAGGGCTGGCTCCTCCCCGAGGGTCGACAGTGGCTCTAGCTTGCTGAGCAGTAACTCCCAGTCCTCCCGCTCGCCCAGCAAGGTGACACTGGGGATCCCACAATTCAGACAGAAGCCATACGAGAAGAACCGCTGCATGCTGCCCAGCATGAGAATGGCAGCAACGACTGTGTCGGTCTTGGTGGTGGTGGTGAAATTGGGCATGATCCATGTCCGGAGATCCGGATCGAGTAGATGTTTCTCCACCTCCTTGGTCATTTTGACGGCCAGGTAGCCAAAGTCGGCAGTCGCCATGTTGTCAGAATGATGCACTGTGAGCCGTTTCTGGCCCTGATGAGCGACAAACATGTCCCGCAGCTCCTCGGCATGGGCCTGGATGTAGAAGCTGAGCTGGTTGAGGATGGAGAACCAGACGTCCTCGGGGCGGAGGACGAGGTGGTGGTGGTAACAATAGGCGTCAAGCACCGCCCGCACGAAGCCATGGCTCGTGCCACTGATGTGTGTCTCGCTTATAGAATGCGAAAGGCCACTCCGCACCACGCGCTCGCTGTCGTCATGCTCGCGAGGACAGGATTTCGCGAATAGAGCGGTAGTGGTGAGTTCACGGTCCGGAGCCCACTTCCTCGCGCCATGGTCTGCTGGCTTAAGAGTGACGGGCATTTTGTATGGTAGTGTTGATAGAAAAGCTGTATGAGTAGAGTCGAGGATTGAGAGAGGGAAACAGGGAAATTTATACACATTGGCTCTGTACTCCGTATAGACAGCCGCTATGACGTGGCGTGGCGTATTAGTGGGACCTGGCATTTCAGCTGCTCTCGAGCGAGAGGCGTATACTAAAGGAGTTTAGCTACGGGAGCTAATGCACCGGCCCGTCAGTGTGGAGATACCATGTGGGGATATATTGATGCTATTAAATACATATATCCATGCTTCTCCTAGTCTTCTATATTATAATGCCCTAATCAGTGGAAGTCGCTCCGCACTAGGCAATCAGGTAAGGGCGTAAGTCTATACTCACCTCGCTATATTACATTTGACTACGCATATTCTCATATATAGAGTAGATAGATGGCTGCTCCAGTATTCATTTTCCATATAGCAATATCTGCACTTGACCAGTTTTTAGTGATTGCACTGTATTATTATTTCATATGATAATAACCCTAATACTGCTTAGATTAAAACAACCAAACCTCAGTCCGATTGAAGATTTTGGTCATGTTATACTTAAACCACAAGTCAGTTGTCTCAATTCGAATCATTATGCGGTGGCTAGTACTATCACCACTTATTATGCCACTAACTGCCCAGTACTGATGTCTACTTCTTAAGTACAGTAAAGTAACACTTACTTTAATAATATTTTCTTTTATACTACTCCTTACCATTATGACTATTGCATTATCAGTGCCACCGAAGGTCATATTGATACCTATATTGTGAATACTCCTATGCTCTGCTACACTCAAGTAGCAGGCTTACAATGGGAGGACAAGCTACGCTATTTTGCAGATGAAAGAAGTATTGAGCTTAATCTAATACTTTGACGTATTGACAAGGGTGCTTGTGCTGGCAATCTTCTCTGCCAACTGCTTCAACGGCTGCGATGCGAGAAATTCAAATGAAGACAGATCGGATCCCAGAGTGTGGGACACCCACTGCTGGACCTCGGTCACTTTCAACGAGTCGACTTGGCAAGTCAGTACAAGCATTGGAACAATCATGGATCAAATACTCACCTCCGAGTGCAGACAGCGGCAGCTCTGGATCAATGACATCCGGAGTCGCCATCATGGCTTTGGCAAGATACTCTTTGAAAGCCTGTTCCACATACATACCGGCATCTTCAAGAGATGTGGCCTGTTTCAGCCGACCAGCCGGGGAAATGGAGTCAGGAGACACAGTCGAGTCGCCATCGTCATGACTCTGCACGATCCGATGGCCGAACTTGCGATCCCGCTGCCAGGCCGGGGCATCGTCGGTGTCGCGCGGTAGATCATCATGGATCCCTGCGATGATCTGGGCAGGCAGGGAGGAGGGAGACTGATGCTGCTGCAAAATCACCTTGATCAAACCCTGCACTTCCCGCGTCAGGATCTCCGTCCCCTGTAGGAAGCGATATCGTCGACGACGCTCCTCGAGGGTTACTTCAGCCTCCCCCTGGCCACTCCCGTCCACCACCAAGCCGATATTGATGCTGTGACCGGAGAGGCCGCAGGTGCGGCGCCAGGTCATCAGCGTGTCCATGAAGCTGTTCCCTGCCGAGTAGTTGCCTTGGCCCATATTGCCTATCACACTGGCCACCGACGACAAGGCAATGAAGAAGGCCAGGCCAGCATCAGCCAGGGCGCGGTGAAGGTTAAGCGTGCCTTGTATCTTGCACGCAGTCGATTCCGTCCACTGATTGAACGTCATATCTTTGAACATGGTATCCTGGAGATCAGCAGGGAACAGTAGAGGTCAGTACAAGATTGAAAAGAAACGAGTCTTACCCTAAGGACCGTGGCACACTGAAGCACGCCTTTGATCAGCCACTTCTGCTCTCTGGCAGCGGCAACAAACTGCTCAACAGCCTCGCGGCGAGTGATATCACAACACACAATATCTACACGCCCGCCATTCTGCTTGAGCGCCTCGACGCCCGGCTGCAGAGTCTCTGAAACATGCCCTGAGCGTGAAAGAAACACCAGATGCCGAGCGCCGCATTCATGGAGGGTGTGCGCCAGGGCCACGCCGAGCGTGCCCAGTCCCCCCGCCAGCACAAAGGTATGATGCGGGTTTAGGGTTATGGCGGGGGGTGGTCGGGGCACGATAGATACTTGTCCAGGGCCCATGAGATCGAGAACAATTCTATCGTCGGTCTTACTGACATGGTTCCTGCTGGCAACAGGGACAATCATAGCTGGACGGAGTGTGTCTGGCTGGGAAGAGCCAAACAGCAAGATGGCCGCCCGGAATAAAGCGCATGCCTCCTCTGGCTGATGGCGAAGGATAAGATCCAGGTCTGGGGTGGACAGCGTCCTTCCCTGTGTCCAGAAGGTGCCTGGCAAGCTGTTGGGGTGCATCTCGCCCCCGAGATTGATATAGGTGCCGCCAACTGCCAGACAACGGGCCGCCGAACGGGCCCAGGGATCTGCAAGACATGAAACCACCCTTCCAACGCCCCGAGATGCGGTCAGCTGGGCTAGACGGGCGTCCAGTCCACCGTCGAGTGGCAGGAGATGAATATCGGGATATAACTGGCGTAGTTCCGCTCTTGCGCGCTCCTCTTTGGGGTCAGAGATACCGGCGATATGAATCTTCGTCTGCGGGTAGCCGATGGCGACGGCGACATTTACGAGCGCCCGGAGCGTCTGGCTGCCCCATTGCCCAACCAGGAGCAGCGGTTGATGAACAGCACTGTGGATAAGACTCATATATGCCATGGTATAGGCTATGCCGACGCCCACGACCTGTGCTGGGGTAAGCCCAGGGGGTAGTTTGACTGCTGCAGAAGCCGGAATCTGCACTCTGGTTGCCAATGCGGGAATATTGGCCTCATTATGGCTGTCTCCGACTAGAAGAAGGATGACAACATCGCCGACTGCCAGGTCAGTGCCCACCTCGTCGCCCAGCTGGATGATCGTGCCAACAGCCTCTGCAGCAGAGACTCTCCCCTCTGGACCGGAAGATGAGATCCCGCTCGTCTGGAGGTGAATCTGCACTTCAATAATATCAGAGGCCAGGGAGGGGAGCTCATTCTCTACCCATCGGCTTCCCTCTTCGTCTGTAATCTCTTGCAGCGGTCGAGAGTCGCTGACTAGTCGCCCCGGAGTTGGTTGAGGACCATAAAGGATCCCCTGCAAGACGTCGTCGACCTGGTCAAGGGCTAGAAGTCGCGGAACTAGTATCTGTCCCTGTGTCAGACGGTATTCATAATCGCACACCCGGGTGTCTTTGTGTCCCGATGGTGATAGTGTGCGCTGGAGGACTCTTGACAATCCCCTGGCCAGCTCATCAGGAGAATCATCTAAGTCGATTTGGACATGGGGAAGGCTGAGATGGGGATATTCATTGCGAAGGGTACGCAGGAGACCCGTCGATATCCCAGAGACGGTCTGTGTATCGCTTGATGCCTCCCCACAAGGAGGAATAGGTGATACTGACAGAACACAGCGCGCACGTCTGAGGAGGGCCTGCAAATGGGCCAATTCATCGGCTGTCCAGGCGGGAATCCAGGATGAGTCCATGTCCAACCAGGAGATGACAATCGAGTCGTTGAGGGCGTCTATCTCCTGCGTCGTGATGGAGCGGACATTCATTCCTTGACTGGAAAAGACTTGCTCTATACTGGTCTGGAACTGACCGATGGGGGAGCCGGCTGTTAGAAGGAAGACCGGGGTTGATCCCAGCGAAGCAGGGGTTGGAGGGCGTGGGAAGAGGACAATATAGCCTTCATCCTGGGTCAGGCCAGTTGTATTCCAGTCCGACGACTGTTGCATCCTTGATATCACTGCCTCGCGTGCTGCTGCATCACTGGGCGCGCGTATCGCCAGGCTTCCATCGTTGCTGATCACAGAGCGTAGATAGACCAGATCCTTATCATGTTCGACTCCTTGCCAGAATGCAGCCTGTTCTACAAGTATCAGATTGAAAGATTTTGTATCTTTCAGCACTAAAGGTATCTCGCTCATCTTGTGCGTATGTCGACTCCGGACCCCAGGGATGCCCAGCTCGTTTGTGTCTGTAGCTTCAACGCCGACGTGCAGCACCAGCAGCTCATGGAGACAGGGTCGACGGCTCTGGGGCATCAGGGACCGCAGACTGGTGATTGACATGCTCGCCTGGTTTGTGATGACCATAGCCCGGGCATCGCCGTGGGTATAACACAGCCGTCGGGCCCAATCTGCTGCAGAGGCCGGGCTGGTCGGGGATTCCAGATGCTCTATCCATTCGAGAGATGAGCACAACTTGGAAGTGGAAGCGACATCTATCTTATTGTTCTTCTTCTTCCTTGCAGCCACATTCCCCAGCTGGATTCCCTGGAGAATGACTCCAGGATGCACCCAGTCCGGTCTGGCGGCAATGACATCCCGTCGTCCCCCGCGAGACTCGGTATAAACAGCAAAGGGATCACCGGCGTGTAGCAGCCATTCTGTGGAAAGATACAGCCGATCGACCGCAACAGGAATCCTGGAATTGGCATTCCCCAATGCCTCTGAAGCGGAGAGGACAGCCGTCTGGAACAGGGCATCGAGCGCCGTGGGATGGATGAAACATGGGGATTCGTATTCATGCGGCATTGTTCGCTGCGTGTCCGGCACCACAGCCTCTGTGCATAGGCTGGCATCTTCCATGGATGAAGAGAACAAGGCGCCCGTTAGGGATCGAAAGGCTGGGCCCAGCGTCACTCCTCCCGTCTCGGAGAGCCAGGAATAAACGGCGTGGATATCGATGGCCGCAGCAACAGGCTGGACACCACGCATCCGACGGACGGTCTCCTCCCAGGCTGCATCTTGGATAGGGATTCCCGAGGCGTCACGATGGTGTGTGAATGCGCCGGTGGCGTGTAGTACCGATTCGGAAGATGAGGGCAACGAGAACAGCCGGAACTCATACCATCCCGCCAGACTGGGGTGCAGACACACCTGTAGCACGGTCTCGACGCCTCGTTCGTCAGGGGTGACCACCAAAGCGCGTTTGAATGCCAGATCGTTGAATTCGATGCCCGAGAACGCGAGACTGCTCGCATCGGCCATTTGCCGCGCAGCTTCGGCCACCATGGCCACCATCCCTGCAGCAGGGAACAGGATAGACCCCGCGACGACATGGTCGGCCAGCCAGGGCAGCTCGGCGATGCGTAGGAAGTTGCGCCAACGGGGCTCGCTCGTGCATTGTGGTTCCCACGCGGCGCCGAGTAGATCGTGGCGTGGTTCTCTGCGCTGTCGCCGGCGGGTGGATTCCAGGGGTTCATGCCAGAACCGCGACGTATGATTCCAGCAATAGGCGGGCAGGTCGACGGCCAGCCGGGGCTGGACACGGACAAGACTCTCGTTGACTGCGTGGATGTCGATCCTGGCGCCGAGGCTCCATAGACTGCCGGCTGCCTGGAGGGCGGTGGTTAGGGCGTCGGTGCCCCGGCGTACAGGGGCGAGATAGGGCAGAGCCCCTAAGTTCGGGGTGTCTAACCCCTGTAGGATCTGCGCCACGGGGCCTCGTAGGGTATCGTTCGGGCCTATCTCAACCCAGACGCCCCATTTCACGGGGGAGACACGCCGGCGACTGCCCTTTGCCGTGACGGTCATCCGGGCCATTTGGGAAACAGCCGCGGTGAACTCGACGGGCTGAACCATGTTGCGCACCCAGTAACTCGCCGTGAGCTCGTGCGGTGCAACACGTTCCTTGGTGACAGACGAGAACATCGTCACCGGCGACGCGGTGGCTTTTGCCATCGGTTGCACGCTCTCCAGCAATCGCGCGCACTCGGAGGCCAGGGCTTGCATGTGTGGTGAGTGATAGGCGACGTCCACACGAAGCCTACGGGCAAACCGGTTCTCGGCCTGGAAGTGTTTCTCTATCCTTTGGATCTGGTCTGCATCGCCGGAGAGAGTGACACTCGATGGGCTGTTGACGCAGGCGACCACTACCGCTTGTGAGGGTACTCCCTGCTGCCGCAAGGCACGCTGGGCGTCTTCTGGTGATATCCCGACAGCCAACATGGCTCCGCGGGCTCCCTGCTCGGCCACTTGCCGCGAGCAGACGCCCCGGCAGTAGGCGATTTTCATTGTGTCGGCCTGGGAGATGAATCCCGCTGCATATGCAGCCGCTGGTTCGTTAGCTTCGCAGATGATTCCTTAGAGTGTGGATATCATACCAGATTCCCCGCTGGAATGGCCAACGACAGCCTTGGGGCGAGTCCCCCAGCTGGCCAGAAGGTCCACCAGGGCCACCTGCAAAGCACAGCACAGCGGTTGGCTACGGTCTGGCTGGTTCAAGGCCGACTTGCCAGCGCTGGCCTGTAGCTCGTCGAGCAGCTTCCATGGACAACCAAGAGCAGTGAGGATTTCCTGGCTGGTTTGAAGACTCTGGGCAAAGACAGGACAGGCCAACAGCTCGACTCCCATCCGGGCCCATTGAGCACCCTGCCCGGTGAAAATAAAGGCAACGTTGGCCTGGGTAGTGCGACTGGCCCTAGGGAACGACGGAAGGCCCTGCTGCAGCCTGGCGGCGAGGGAGGTCTGGGAATCGGCGACAGCGAAGCTGCGGAATGCGAGCTGCGAGCGCCGGGCCATCGTGTATGCAAGATCGATGAGTCCAGCGTGAGGCTCTGACTGCCGTTGAAGGAACTGGATCCATCGCGCAGTGGTTCGCGCCAGGCCTGCCTGGTCCTGGGTCGAGAATACCACCAGTTGAAGGGGCCGGGGCGCCTTAGAGGCATCAGGGGCTGCAGCCTGCTTCACATAACCATCGGCACTCTCTAGAACTGTATGGGCATTGGATCCCCCGAACCCAAAGGAATTGATGCTCAGACGCAGGGGGAGATGGGCAGGCCAGGGGATGCATGCGTCGCTGAGCCTGAGACGCCACTCGTCCAGATGAATGCGCGGATTCAACTGCGAGAATCCCGCGTTGGGGACAAGCATTGCGTGTTCGAGACACAGCACGGCTTTGATTATACTGGCCACGCCCGCGGCGCCCTCGGTATGCCCGATATTGCTCTTCACAGACCCTACATAGACCGGTTCGTCGTCGGTCTGTCTTGCCGCCCCCAGGGTATCCCCAATCGCCGATAGCTCAGTGGGATCCTATACCATTAGCCTCATACACTGGAGTTAGGGTTAGGGTTTAGGGTTAGGGTAGTACGCCAATTTCTGTGCCGGTGCCGTGGGCTTCGAAATAGGCGGTCTCTCGCATTGATGGTAGGCCCGGCGTATTGTAGACGCTGCGGATAAGGGCAGCCTGGGCATCGCGGCTGGGCATGGTGATCCCCGGCGTTCGGCCGTCCTGGTTGATCCCTGTAGCTTTAATAACGGCACGAATGCCGTCCTGGTTGGCAATCGCGGTCCGCACGGATTTCAACACCACGGCGCCGACCCCTTCGCCGCGTCCGTAGCCATTGGCTTTGATATCAAAGGAATGGCTGATTCCGTCCGCACTCAACATGTGCATGTAGCTGAGTCTCTGGGTGAAGTTGGGGTCGAGAATAAGACTTGTGCCGGTGACAAGGGCCTTGAATATAGGGTTTGGTTAGGGTTTGGTTAGGGTTTAGGGTCAAGGTTAAACTACATGATGAACTCACCATGTCACATTCTCCCGCCCGCAAGGCTTGAACCGCGAGATGGAGGGCCGTCAAGCTCGAGGAACAGGCAGTATCCAACATGACACTCGGCCCGCGCAGGTCAAAGAACCAGGACAGGCGGTTCGCCAGCATGGTCCGCCCGTTGCCCGTGGCTGCATTGTGAGGCATATCGTATAGATCGGAGGTGGACAGCAGCTCGTAATCGTTGGTCATGCAGCCAGAGAAGACGGCGGTCCGACTGCCTGGGAGAGTCTCGATAGGCACGCCGGCATTCTCAAAGGCCTCGTAGGCCACCTCGAGCAACAGACGCTGGGCTGGATCCATCCCGGCGGCTTCTTTGGCGGTGATGGAGAAGAAGGGGGCATCGAAGTAGGCCGGATCTTCCTCGAGGAAGAAGCCACTCTCATGGTTGATCTGATTCTTAGCCGTCAATACTTCAAGCGAAGCAAGAAGACTTACAGCTCCTTTCCGTTCGTGATACGGGTGATACCAGGCCGAGGCTTCATACCGGCTCGAGGGAACACGGCCGTGAGTGCTGCGGCCATGGCGTAGCAGGTTCCAGAAGCCTTCGACTGAAGAGGCCTCGCCAGAGAAGCGACAGCCCAAGCCAACAACCGCGATGGGCTCTAGGGATGAGCTTTCAAGGGCGGGGGACATAGTGATGGTGTATAGTTTAGTATATTGAATTAGTTTAATCTTTCTATAAAAGTCACCTATATCTATACTTATACAATCTTCATCCTATATCTCTCATTCAATCATTCACAAGCACTCACGTCACACCACTAATATAAGTGATGTAACCAGCTTGGGTGACACAATAATACCATATGACCATCTTATAGTTCTTCATAGCTGAATATGCAAGGGTTATAGATTTCAAGTATTGGCCCTATTGAATAGTCTTTGGATATAATAATCAGCACTCTCATATATCTCCAACAGAGCTTTCGAAACGTTATAGAGGGAATTAACATCATGCATGCACTTATTGTCACAGGTCAAGGCCAGGTCTCGCTCTGTGAGCGCCCATTACCTGATCTACTGGAAGATTACATCCTGGTCAGAACCAAGGCCGGTACGTGCTCCTAACTGACAGCTCGTCTGCAATAAGGCTAAGGCAGCAAGTTGCTCTCAATCCCACCGACTGGAAACATGTCGACTTTGAAGATTGTCAGGGGGCGGTGGTGGGCTGCGACTACGCCGGGATCGTGGAGGCTGTTGGGTCCCGCGTCCGCAAACGCTGGAACAAGGGAGACCGGGTTGCCGGGTTTGTGCATGGCTGCAATCCCCTGCGTCCGTCTGGCGGTGCTTTCGCCGAGTATATCCTGGCCAAGGGCGACATTCAGTTCCGGGTGCCTGGCGGGATGAGCTTCGAGGCCGCGGCAACCCTCGGCGTCGGGCTCACCACCGTCGGGCAGCACCTGTATCAGTCCCTGGAGCTGCCGGGGCCTCTAGAGGGACATCCCGGTGGCAGCCAGGGCTCGATCCTGATCTACGGAGGGGCCACTGCCACGGGGTCCCTGCTGATCCAATGCGCCAAACTGTCGGGGATGAAGGTGTTGACGACCTGCTCCGAGGGCCACCGTCCGCTCGTTTACAGGTGCGGCGCCGATGTCATCTGGGATTACCATGAGACCAATGTCGGTCAGGAGATCCGCCAACACACAGACGATGCCCTCGAATTGGTGTTGGATACTGTTTCCAGTGGCCAGTCGGCGGCCATCTGCGCCCAAGCCATCGGATCGGCGGGAGGCTGCTACAATTCTCTCCTTGATATTCGCTGTCCACGCGCCGATGTCGAGAGCCAGGCTCTCATGGCGTATGCCATGATTGGAGAACCGTATCGTCTTGCAGGGAGACAGATGCCTGGCACTGAGGCGGATCTGGAGTTTGCCACCTCCTGGGCAGAGACGGTCGATACCCTCCTCGAGACAGGCCGAATCCACCCGCATCCTATCCAGGTGCGAGACGGTGGCCTTGGAGCCATTCCAGAGGGGCTGCAGCGGTTGCGAGAGGGCCAGGTTCGCGGCTGCAAATTGGTGTATTGCGTAGAGTAACCCCCTTACAGAGATAGACTGCATTGGAGAGGATACAATACATATTAGTGGTCTGAAAGACAACACCAATCTTAACTTCAATATGCATTAATTGATTGCTAGAGAAGTAAACCTACAGCGATTATTTCAGAATATAACCTCGTTTCAGCTGCAACTCTTGCCATGCCAATTAAAACTCAAGTTATTACAACTTATTCAACACTCTCGTAAATAGTATCAAGGAAGGTCACATCATAATGAAGATTCTCTGTCTCCACGGCTATGGAACGAATGCAGATGTCCTGCGATATCAAATGCGCCGCTTGAGAGAGTCTTGCGACCCGAGCTGGGAATTTCACTACTTGTCTGGAGAAGAGCCATGTTCCCCTGCTCCAGGTATGAAACTGATTCCAAGGCGTCTGGCCACAGCCATTGATTCCACCCACAGGAACCACAGACAACTTCCCGGCGCCCTTCCTGTGCTATACAAGCCGATTCGACCCCGAGGGCCAAGCAGCAGCACATGCCCTCATTGACGAGGCTATCGCCGAACATGGCCCGTTTGATGGCGCCTTCTGCTTCAGCCAGGGGGCGTCGGTGATGGTATCCTTCCTCTTGGAAAGCGTCAGGGCAGACCCCGACCTGCGGCCCCCTTTGAAATTTCTCATTCTTTGCTCGCCAACCATCCCCCTAGCGGAGAGCCCCGACTACTGCCACACCGTGCTGGGCTCGTTGTCCGATGCCGACCAGGCTCATCTCCGCTCCGGCCAGGATGAGCAGATCAAGCTGCTGCCGGAGCCCGCGCAGCTCCTCACCACCTCCTTGATTTCCGTTGTGGATGCGGTCAAACCGATCACAGGCCAGCCACGCAGCTTCTTTCTTGATCGGCCTTTGAATGAGATTCCATGCGCCTTGCATCCTGACCTCTGTCCTGCTCGCCTTTCCCTGCCAGTGCTCTATACACGAGGCAAAGACGATCTCAACGGCATGCCGGAATGGGTGTCTCTTGTACAAGGCTTCATCACATCTTCCAAGCAGCGCGTCTATGAGCACAGTGGCGGACATAATGTGCCCCAGAAACAAGTCGAGGTCCACCAGATGATAAGCGCCATGGAATGGGTGATGGCTCAGAGCCTGCTGCCTACATCCTAGCATTGCACTAGATACTGTACATTCCAAAACACAACAAGAGATGATCATAAATAGCAATGTTAAATCCATGATATGCAGGATCAGTTGTAATTGTGATGAAATACGGATCCAATTACCTGGATAATGTTGACCGCCAGATTCATCTCCTTGCTGGAGGCGCATCACACTGTAGGACAAGATCGATCTGGGACATATCTAGGGATCGATCGGAATTTGGTGCGATCCTGCTCGATTTCCTCATCCAACTGCCATTCAATAGAATGTAGAGATAAGTTGAACTTGCGTTGGAGTCGGTTTGAAGATTCAAATCAATCGTTCATCTTTAAAATTCATAACTCTGAATGTACAGATAGTGAAGGATAATTAAGGGTTGGATTAAACTCAACACAGCCTGTACTTGGAATATGTTTCAAGATGTCGGGAATCCTACAGGGGGAATGGATAAGTGCATTCTTAAAGTAAAATATTCTACTCTCGCAACATACCTACCGACAATGCTGGGAATACATTAGATAGTCTGGCACTGGTGCATCATGAACAATGGGCTCGACAACGGCAGGCGAAATGGCAACTTCTTTAGCTATCACTGAGCTGGTGGACCAGCTGGCTGAGAATCATCCTAATCTGCTGTATTGTGTGCATCCCGAATCGCAAGATGGCGATATCTTCTGGCGGGAGGTCACGATCACGATGCTGGCCCGAGCGATTAATCGTCTGGCATGGTGGATCGAGGACAAACTCAAGCACGCTCGCGGCCAAGTTCTGGCATACATGGGAAGCAATGATTTGCGATATGCAGCTTTCATCCTGGCCTGTGTCAAGACCGGGAATAGAGTCAGTGCCGTCCATCAGGAACAGTGGAATAAGAGAACACTCTAATACACTTGCAGGCATTGTTGCTGTCGACCCGGAACTCACTGCCCGCATCGAAACACCTGCTGCAAGCCACCCACTGCTCGGTTCTGGTCGATGGCTGCGAAAGAAGACAGCTGCAACACAAACTCGACCAGCTGGAGGATGAGTGCCAGGATCTTCCGCTCCAGCGATGGCGAATCGATCCTCTCTGGGAAGTGTTTTCGCCCGCCATCGTCACCCCGTATATTTCGACGCAGCCCAGAGATCTGATCAATACTCCGGTGCTGATGTTCCACACTTCCGGCACCACAAACCACCCCAAGCCGATTTCCATGACCCATGGGTACCTGTGGACGTTGGCCAATATGCAGAAGTTGCCTGTGCCAGCTGGACGCCAGCCAGGACACCTCATCCTGTCTCACCAGGGCCAGCTGCGGTTCATGTATGGGCCGTTGTTCCATTTCCTTGGGGTCGTCTGCATGATGGAGTCTCTCTTGTACGGCACTCCCTTTCTATTGATTCCAGACCGGCCCTTAACCCCGGAGCTCTTTGCCGCCGTGATGGCCAGGGACCAGCCCCCGAGATGGGGGTTGATCGCCCCCTTCATCTTGGAGGGCCTGTGTGCTTCCGAGGCCGGCCGGACCGCCCTGGCGAAACTGAAAGGTCTCAACTATGGGGGGGCGCCTCTGAATCGGGCCTCGGGGGATACCCTGGCGGCCATGATCCCCCTGGTTCAACTGATGGGCAGCACAGAGACGGGATATACCCCTACGCTGCGCTGTGAGGATCCCCGGGACTGGGAGTATATGGAATGGCACCCGGCGTTTGCCTTGCGCATGGATGCCGTGGGCGACGATCTATGGGAGCTTGTGCATATACGACCAGAGTCAAAGGCGGATGCCCTTTGCGCACACCATGCGATATTCCACAGCTACCCACACCTGAACGAGTTCCGCACGGGGGACCTCTTTCGCCCGCATCCTGATAAGGCGAGGCTATGGCGATACCAAGGCCGCGGCGACGACATTGTTGTGTTGAGCAATGGGGAAAAGTTCAATCCAGTCCACGCCGAAAAGGAAATCCAATCACACCCCCTTGTAGCGCAGGCCGTGATCTGCGGCCAGGATAGATTCCAGGCAGCGCTGTTGATTGAACCGGACTGGAACCAGCTGCCGGCCGACTGGACGCCCGAGTGGCTTCTCCAGACCGTGTGGCCGACGGTGGACAAGGCCAACGCGAGTCTGCCGGCGCACGGCCAAGTGTTCCGCAGTCATATCGGCTTCGCATTGCGCGACAAGCCGTTTGAACTGTCCCCCAAGGGCAGTTTGCGTCGTCGCCAGACGCTCAAGTCGTATCAGACCTTGGTCGACCGTCTGTACGCCCAAGAGCCAGAAAAATCCGTGCCAGATACGGCGGCAACAGCAAGACTTCCCGAGGCGGCAGATTTAGAGACGGTCCAGCGGTGGGTGCGACAGCAGACGGCGACAATCCTGGCCATGGACATCATCAATGAGGACGATCTGGTGGCTCTGGGACTGGACTCCCTCCAGGCCGTCCGTCTGGCCCAGGTCTTGCAGGATGCGAGCCACCAGACATCGGCCAGCTGGACAAGTAGCGAGATATACAAGTTAGCCACCATATCAGCCATCTCCAACACTCTCCACCAGCAGATCCACCGGCTCGACTCACCCGGGGACACCTCCTGGCCTCGCGCCACCCTGCTGGGGAAACTGATCTGGGAACAGGCGCAAATGCTGGGCGATGGAGGCCTCGTGGTGGCCCTGACCGGGTCAACTGGCGAGCTGGGCAGCCACCTCCTCCACCAGCTCCTGCACAACCCGGCCGTCTCGCACGTCTATTGTCTGAATCGAACTGCAGATGCGAGGCAGCGACAAGTAGCCAGCTTCCGCGAGAAAGGACTCCCCCAGAACTGGCTCAGCGATGCTTCCCGGGTGCAATTCTACCAAGTCAAGCTGGACCAGGACCATCTGGGCCTCAGCAACGTCCAGTACGAGTATCTGCGCCAGAATGTGCATCTCGTCATCCACAACGCCTGGCTGGTCAACTTCAATGCCCCCGTCCACCGGTTTGCCTCTTGCATTGCCGGGGTTCGTCGTCTGCTCAGCATGATCGAGAACTCCCCGCGCCAGGCGGAATTTCACTTCATCTCGTCGATCTCCACGGTGACGGGGCCATCGCTTGCCGACCACCCCTTCGTCCCCGAGACCCTCCACACAGTGTCCAGCGTGATGCCCCAGGGATACGCCGAGTCCAAGTACATCGCCGAGGCCCTGTGCGGGATTGCCGCCCAGCGGTGCGGCACCCGTGTGGCCATCCACCGGGTTGGGCAGTTGGGGGGCCCGGCAGCCCCTGACGGCGGTGCCTGGAATCCCAGGGACTGGTTCCCGGCCCTGGTTTGCTCGTCACGTACTCTACGCCAGGTACCAGACAGTTTGGGCTTTCTCCAGGTGGATTGGCTGCCGATTGTACGTTCATGATTGATCTGTTTGCGTGGTTGGAGACCCGATACTGACTATCAGGACACCGCGGCCCAAATCATTGCCGACGTTATCCAGACACGAGTGGCAGACCCCCGGCCAGGCCTCACCGTCTACCATGTCGTCAACCCACTGCCTGTGGACTGGAGGATATTGTCCGGTGTGGTGGCCGGCGCGTGCCAGGCAAAAGTGGTGTCGTTAGACGACTGGATCAGGAGCATTTCCCAGCGTATCACCAGCTTGGATATTGATGTCGATGATGTGCCAGCGGCGCAGCTGCTGGACTTCTTCCGCGGGCTGGCGGCACGACGCGGCGAACAACGACCGCAGATCGCAGTAGGGAATACCAAACAGGGTTCTGTGACTCTATCAAAGCTGCAGTCTGTAGATGCGGGATTGATGGGGTTGTGGCTACATCAGATGGACAAGGCAGTCGCTAGGGTTTAGTGTTCTAAATAAGCATCTAAAGTGTCTCACTTTTACTAGCTGTACTCATTCTAAATCAAAGAGATATAATACAATATACTAAATGAATAGTTTAAAGTAGTAGACAAACTAGTAGTATTATGACAGGTTAGTAGCTAGACTACAGAATATACCCTTACTAGCACGGCACCAGACTGCCTTATGACACAGGTCAATCAGTTTTTGTCCTTAGGGTTTAGGGTTTAGGGTTAGGGTTTATGACCCACTGATGAGTCCCAGAGTGAGGATTGCCTGAGCATGAACATCTGGACTCCTCTGTTCTCCCCGTCTTCCTGTACGTCTACGGGGGCGCTACGGTGACCGGAGGCAGCAGCAACGGTTAACCTCGAACATCCAGCGAACCGTGATCTCCGCCCGGCATGATTCGGAGGACGAGCTGGTAAAAATGGATGGTGAACACAGGGTGGTGATGCCGGGCATTGCCGTGAAGCAGGAATATTTTGTGCATGAGGTCAAAAATTAAGGTGCTTGAGAGGCATTCAATACTTTTTATGATTCCTTCAACTCGATCTATCATTATATGTATGTATACACACAGCAATACTACTGTAACCAGCTCTTTGCCTATTCTTTCATCGACTCCAGTGGGCACTCAGGTCCTCGGATAGGGTCGGTATGAATTTGACATTATACCTTAGATTGATGGGCACAAGCTCCTATGCGGTCATTCTGCCAGGGCCACCCCTTGATTGGGATACCCCTCAATGGTCCAGCCCGAAGTATTATACCTGGTTGCCCACTCGTGGATCTTCCAGAAATTGCGGCAGGTGTGTTTGGAAGCAAAGTTGGGCATCCAGGGGGCTCCACGCTGGTGATGGCTAGGCTTGGGGATGTGTGTGATTGGCGTGACGTCAGAATGGCACATAATAGTCTGTCATTAGATGGAAATATAGCCGTGTCAAAAGGAGAGAATTACCTGTCGAAGATAGTCGATACAGTGGTCTATCATTAGGTCTCATCATGGATATATAGAATATAGGAACTCACCAACATGCATCTCCGCACCCACCCCAGTGACAAAAGTTGAAGTGTTATAAATGAGCCTGCGCAAGGAATTCAGACAGTGCAGTTGATGAAACACCTCAAGGTGGATTAGTGGTGTATCATCTGTTGCAGAGGAGGGCTCTGTTGTCTGGCCAAGGATCTTGTACATCTCATCGTCCAGGGCAATGATCCCGGCTACGAATTAGAAGTAAGTATCGATGAGAAAGAAGAGAGACGGAGAGAAATATATACCATTGATCAACCCATACCATTTCAGGTTGTTCTGCTCATTTGGCGGCCCTTCATATTCAGTGACAGGATGTTCTCTCGTTCCCATTCCACCCAAGTCAAAGACAATATCCTCATACTCGATTGCGCTAGCCACGGGACCTAATATGATAAGAAAACGAATAAATATAGCCAATGTTGAAAAAAGGAAACCGACTAAACTCCAGCTGCCGCAAGCTGGGGCATCTGTTGGCCGTGAAGAAATACGTTCCAGCGAGCCAGACCACAGCCAGAAGCGCATGGAGAAGGAGGAGGCTAGAAGCATGTGGATGAGATGATCTTGTTGGGGAATCTTCGTCATTTTCGAGACGGTTATATTTGAAATATTGGAAGAACATTTTGGTAATGGTTAGGAGATTTATGCTACAATTCAAAACTTTCTCTTTACTTGGTTTATATCTATCCCTTGTTAATGTTACATTGCTTAATATGCATGACACAGGGACTAGTACTTGAACTAATTAATTGACAATTGGGGTTAATTTGATCCTATCCGATAGATACACTTCGTCATGTCATTAATCTAGATTCATCTAGATAAGCTGATTAACCACTAACATGACACAAATTTCGTCTGGATGATGGTATTGGTGGTATTCCAGTCAACCCCCTGCCGAAGTAGCATCCGCTCACAATGCTCGGTATGCGCGTATTGCCTGATATACCCGTCCAGCGGAACCTGCATCATAACTGCCCGGTGCATCTTACGCCAAGCATATGTGCAGTGCACAAGATGGTACTCCCACGAGACGTACAGGGACTCATGCTCGCCGGCCAGCACGGTTTCACGCGGCACTGGCAACATTCCTTTTGCGTCGAGATACCATTCCCAGTCGCTGCGCTGCAGGAATTCCGCGCTGAGCTCGACATCGTAGCAGCGTGGGGGCAGCCAGGAGAAGCTCATCGGATCGAAGTGACAGCCGTGCTTCCTGGCTTCAGCGATAGAAGTGCCGCAAGTAGCCGGGATGTGCAGCGGTGAGTGAGAGGAGGACGACAGGACGGAATAGATCATGCCGAGGAGTGTGATAGAGAGCAAAGAAATGATAACACCTTGTTTCCATTTGGATGTGGATGGCGTCGGTCTGTGTTTGAGGGATTCCATTTCAGACAAGGCTGGTCTTCGGTATTCTCAGCTGTGTGATAATCTGAGGATGCTCCAATTTTGATTATTTATGTGGCTTCATATCAGACTAGCAGGGATATATTGTGATGTAGCATTGCACGTATGGGGTAATCTCTTCCGTAGAGATAAGACTGACTCCTCCATTAAGTACTATTCTGCAATATAAATATGGCTGAACATAACCCTCATTGAAATCCATTCCATCAGCCCATCATCAGTCCATCACTATCAATCTGCCACCATCAATCTATCCATCCACCACCATGCGTTTCATTGCTACCATCCTCTCCCTCTTTGTCCTCGCCAACCTCGGCCTGGCTGCCCCTGTGGCTGGAGGCGAAGTTGCAGCTGTTGGTAGACCCATATCATTACACCATTCGTTCTATTGCTAATACTGTTTAGAGAGAGGAGAACACTGGTGCTGAGGATTACTGCTATATCAAGAGAGACGACGGCTCCACCAAGATTGTTGTCTGTTGAGCGCTAAAGCCTGAAATGATTCTTGATGATACATGTCTTTCGTTGATCCCTCTGTATCTAGTTGGTACTATGATATATTATCCATCTATACGTGTATCTCTGTGGTAGGCAAAGATTCGATATATATATATCGGAGAGTCTGATATGTGAATGAAGCCAAGACAAATTGAATTAAACTATTGTACACTGAAGCAGTTAAGCGGAATTCCGAAGTAGCGGTGAGCCCGACATGACCTTGCCATCACTTTCCGCTATATTGGCTGCGGCTTCAATATCTAGATTGATCTAACATCGGCCCAATATATGCGCCTGTAGCAAATGGCGTGTATATAGAATCTAGGTCCTTGATAACAGGCTTTTCAGGGCTGTAAACAGGGCCATCCTGACTAGTATTTCTCTTGTATCTGAAACGGCTACAGCTCACCTCTCCAAGTCAACACAGAGTTAGCGAATTGACTAGAAGCTGGCCAAAACCAGACCCGAACCAGCTGATATAATAGTATCTAACACGTAGTACGTCTGTGTCCACAACTATGGGCAAAAATTCAGTCTGTGTTCTCTGGCAGCCTTATTACATGCTATAGTGCATTGATTATGATAGTCTCCATGGCAGAACGCTTGCAGAGACTGCTACAAGGCCTGGAGGATTAGATTACAGGCACATGAAGGATAATCTAATAATGAATCCGTCATGGACATTAGGAAAGAGTGATCCTGAGCAAAGAATGGTAAAAGTGGGTTTATGGCTACCTTGCGCAGAGTGCCATTGTTGCATCCTCTCGCATCTCCTCTAGCCCGTGTTCTAAGTTCCATCGTGTATAGTCTCAACCAGCGCCCCGAGATCCTTTGCTAAGAGTCCGTCGGCCCTCCGGGCGGTACCCGGAAACGGCCCGCAATCCCGTGTGACAGTGGCGCATCGTTCAGGTAGACTAAATCCATCTTTCAGAGTCATGCCATATGTAGGATGGGTATAGTGCTGCTCTACTAAGTAAACTAGTTAGTATAGTGAGGGCAATCAACTAAAGAAGTGTCCCTTTTGTGATCTACATTTGAATTATGAAGGGAAGTTCTCTAGAGCCTGGAAGGCTCATCAAGAGCGTCTTCAATAACGTGATGCTATAATTGTTTCAGGCCCCACACTTGAGTTCTGCAGGAATAATATCCCTGTCAAGCTAATTCCAAGGACCTTCCAAATTGGTACAAGAAGGACCTTTAATGATGATACTGGATGGATATATCCGGAAAGCCCGCACAGATATCCTACAAATGGCCTCGGTCGACTATTATGTCCTGCGTTTTTGTTTTATTTGCGCCCAACCCGCATTAATAATAGGCTTGTATTGGTGCCTGAAAACGATGTTGATCGATCAAAGGTCCTCCTTTGCTTCACCTAGGATCTAGTTGCCTGTTGAAAAATGTAGTAGGTGATATATGCCCGGTAATACTTAATCAGCTGCTTTAGACTGGCTTGCAATGAACTGGAAGCTTTCCTCAGAATGAGCTTATCATATATAGTAGAAATAAGACCTAGATTAAGGGTTCTCGAGACGCTTCTCAAAAGCTTATCTTACATATAATAGTTACAATCTATTTATGCACCAACTATATACTCCGTGGCGCTAGATATTAGTCAATTCTATACTAGTCTACTCTAGAGAAGCTACATATATTAGACGATGACGTGTCATGGGGTCTAGTGGCATGCAGGGGCCAAATCGTGAAATTGATGGTCTGACTCGGTGACACAGTGTAGCAGCAGGCTAGACTCTATATCGGAACAAGACAGCTTTCAGTACAATATATCGATATGATATGCTTCTAATGGGTGTGGTTTACTTATATTTGGTTAACCAGCGCAGTTGACTTGTAGAAAGCAAGATATGTATGCCATGGAACGGACTTGCAGAGTATACCTTTCTCTTCTGTATAGTAATCCTGAATCTCCGTTATCCACTGCTGCAGCTACGGCCGTCTCGGCCCTCCGTCCGGCCCCCGCAGCCTCTTGCTATCCAGGACAGGCCGAGGATATTCTCCTTATCACCACCAACCGCTAGCTCCGCAGCCAACGCCAGCAATTTCCCTGCCGGACAGGCTGGGGAATGCATTTTAGTCTCAGTCGATCTGTGGACTAGTTGTATCAAGCTAGGGAGTCACGGCTAAGAAGACAATGATTCTATAATGACTACGGATTGGAAATTGGGGATGTGGGGGAGAAAGGGAGACACACGGCCGCCTCTGTCACTGCCCCATTCAGTAGGTATAGAATGGGGATGGATTTATGGCGACAACTCAAGCTGTCAACTATTAGTTCGCCTTATTCTCTTTTACCTGCATGGATACTGTCTTATCTATATCTATCTATCTCCTAAGCTATAAGACAAGGTCTAGTCAATTTCAATCCACACCCTGCTCATCTAGGCTAATAAACCCCATAGTATAATCCTCTTGGGAAAGGCCTGTTGTCCTCCGATTTGATGGTATAACAGTAGTCTTTCAAGTAACTGCTTCTCAAATCAATCAATATTGTAGGTCTCTTGTTGAGTTAAAGTATACCCCTCTGACCCCGCACTATCCAGGTTAGGACAGCGCACCGCATTCGCTATCTGAAGCCTCCATTCCATCTCTTGAATGAGACTGAATGGATCTGCCTCGTTCCCCAGGGCCAGTCCCCAAATCGAAGCAAGAGCAATTCGGTGTGAATAATGTGTATTCTGGGTAAGCCCAAACTGCTCCATGTAAACCTCCTTGGTCTTCTCTGACAAGGTGAATCCCCTCGCCCGTGTACAGCAGCCACACTCTGTTGTACAGTGGCCCACGCTATGCTTTCGCGCCGCGGTTGTCCGTGTATGACGCCGAAAACAGCAGCCGCAATCACGACCACAGCATCCACCCCGACCGGCACAGTCTTCTACCAAGATTTGATGTAGATACCATCGCGGGTGCGATCTCCAGAGCTCAAAGCCTCTTGTCAATGGGCCTTCGGCAAAACAGGTGCGACAGTGCCACCTTGTGCGATCAACACACCAATATCTCTTGTTGAGGTCGGCGAGCTCTTCTTCGTCAACTGTATCTCCATCACGGATGGCTTCCTCCCGTTGAGCTATCCCGCGGAGCTCTTCTTCCATATCCAGGAATATAGCAAGGTAGGTGCCATTATAGCTTGCGAAGAACCCGATGGCGCGATACCGCTGAAGAGAGTTGATGTCCCCAGATGCTTCCAGTTGAATTTCCATGTCCGTCTTATCGCGCGCCGAGTGGAGTTTCAGCTCCTCCCTTCTTCGTTGAGAACAATTCATTTGCGATGATCCGAAAAGCGGCCAATAATTCTGTTGCCCAGGGCAGATCCACCGCCGAGCGAAATCGATCAAGGAAGCCATGATGATAATAGGTATAGGGAGGAGGCAGTGAGTTGATGACTGGTTAATCACTAGGAAATAATTAATAGATGAATAGGCCATCAAGATATATGTATTTATTCATTTGAACGACTCACGCTGATGTCAAGTCCAGGCAGCATCAGGCACCAGCAGCTACAGCTGGGCGCCCATTTAGGATTAGTAGCATCCAGGCTCCATCAACCAGGCCTTATAAGGTGTCTCTATTCTTGTGTGGGCTCAGGTATGTGCATGGTGGCCCAACCTAATACAAATTTTAATCTCATTAATAAGGCGGCTTTGTACAAAGAGGAAATGGACAGGGGGAAGGAGTCGCGATTTTTTAGCGGATCGGTCACCTCATCCACATCGTCCAGTCGCAGGTTGCCATTAGCGACAAATCAAGAATAGCTATAAACAATATACTCCCAGAATAATAAAATATCATTTGGTCTCATTGCCGTCTCTCTTGGCGATATTTACCATTCCAGATTGTTGAGCCAAGATCCTTATGTCATTACGTCAGCCTTTGGCGAAGACTTTCTATTATGGGAATTTGGATCAGCTGTCAGTATAGTTCCTGATTCTGGTCATAATTACAAAGGCTCAGCGTGCCTAATCGCCTTGATCAATATTCTAATCAGAAGCTGCGTCAAATTTCGGGCCGTGTCACTAATACAGTCCCTCCAACATTTTCCGTTACACAGACTCTGCTACACTGATTTACATCTATATAGATGCAGTTAACTAGTAAATGAAAATTAAGCCCCTTTTATTTGTTAAGGACCATGTCTAAATGTATACAGAGTACTCCTTAGGTCTTCATAGAGAATCAATGCCGCTGTCTTGACTTTTACCAACTCTCTCCAAGTAATCAGATGCCCTAGGCTACAGCTCAGTCTACCCATAATGTTTTTCGCTGGAGAGGTTCCAATACCGGTCATTAGGTGCTCAGGAAAAGGAAATCAAGTTTTAAGATCATGTAACTTCCAAAGGGATGAAGTTACTTGACCTTGCCATTTTTTGGTAAGATGATGAACAAACACCCTAGACACTCCATGCTAGGTATGAGGATGCTCTACACCGTATGCTTCTAGAATGTATTGATTTCCATTGTTAAGCTAAGTATCACGTGAAAACCTTCCATAGCAATATATAATCACTTTCATATACAGACTTTTTCTATTAGTCTACTGGAAAGCTTCGAGAACTTGGTCATTCCATCTTTCTCGTCAGTTCGTCTGCAGATTAAAGTCACAAACAGAAAATGAGAACTTACGATAGGTACTTGCCAGTCAATGATTTCGGAGCATCAATCACCAACTTGGCTATGACATGGCCAGGCTGTTCGGGCTTGAGCAATTTTCCATCCTTGTAGACTGTGGTGAATATCGAATGGAATTGAGGGTCCAGAGTGGTAGCGTGATCTTCCCGTATCTCTCGCTGCATTTCGGTGTCGACCAAGCCCGGCTGAATTGATACGGACGTCACGTCAGGCTCTTCTTCCCCGAGAGTTAAAGCCAGATGGTTCATAGCTGCCTTGCTGGCACCATACAGACCCCATCCCCTAAATGCCGAGGTGGAAGCTCCTGAAGAAGTAAAGATGATCCTGCCCTGGAAGTCGCGAAGCGCAGGAAGTCCAGCTTTAACCTGTTTTAATATGGGCGTTAACAACCCCTCCCCAAGCAGAGCTGTTCACAGTAGCTCCCCTTATTAATCAAATCTGTGTGACCAACTTACAAAAGCCACCAAGCTGATAAAATTAACATCAAATCCCTGCTTCCATTGTTCCAGATCTGCCTCGGCGATTTTGCCCACCTGGCCTAGTGTGCCATGGTTAAGAACCAATCCATCAAGACGCCCGAATGACTTTAACGCCAGATCGACGGCCTTCTGGCCGAGAGAGAAATCCTCCAGATCGCCATTCAGTACCTCGACCTGCTTGCCGTACTGGTCTTTCAGCTTCTGGAGGGGCTCAACGCTGCGGGCGATTATGATCACATTATGGGGCTGAGGCGCAGTGAGAAGAAATTTAGAGATTGCAAGGCCGAGACCTGTATCGTGGGTGGGATGAGTTAGCTTTTTAGCGGCCCGGGTTGGGATGATGAGTCAACATGATCGATTTATTGAATTGAGATCCTACCTCTCGAGGCACCGGTGACAATGAAAGTTTTAGGTGACATATTGATTAGAGCGGGGAATACCTAAGAGGATTGAAGTATCTGATGATGTTAGGGGAATATACAGTAATACAAAAGAGAGAAGTAGGAGACAGTGATTTAGTGAAGGAATGTGGAATTAATAGTACTAGTTATATAGTTGGTGTGAGTAATCGCCATCCTAAATAAGGACCCCACTTTTAAGCCTGATATTGATAAATCCTTCTTAAAAAGAATATAAGCTTCATTCTTCGTTGGAGGGAAGGCATTGAAATAACCTACTCTGTCAATGGCACTTCCGTCAGACGATATCTTGTATTTAAATATTTATAGATGATGGCAGCTATAGGGGATATGTGGATTTAGAGATTTACTTTATTATTAAGGAGCTGAACCTTATATAAGATAATAATGATACTTCATTGAATCTTCTATTATAGTATTTTATTGTTCTATATAACACTAAATAGTCATACCGCAGTGTTTTAAACCAGGGCTAGAAGTAAAGAGGGGGCATAGTGACTCAGCTCCCAGAAGTCAATCCTCTTCTTGTCTGACTGAGTTCTGCCGCCGAACAATTGCAGGACAAATTCAAATATCATTGCTCACATATGTATGCCAAAACCCTCAATCAGACAGCCACCCATAGCGTCACAAGCAGTGGAACCTCCCAACTCCAAGGCCTCCTTGATAATATCTGAAGCCCGTTCCGCAATGGCATAAACTGTTGCCATGATGGTGGCGCTGACCTGCATGGGCATGACACTGGCATCCACCACACGGAGACGCCGGACCCCTTTAACCCGCAGCCTCTCATCGACCACCTGTCCAATTGCGCATGTTCCCAGCGGGTGATGGTATGGCATGATGTTATCCCGAACAAATCGGCGAGCTTCCTCCAGATCTGCGAGGTCAAGTCCCGCAGGGGGACTAACTCGACGGCCAATTTTTCCGTTCAATAACTTGGATTGAAAGACCTGATCGACAAAGACAGTTCCAGTCGCCAGAAAATCCACGTCCACCGGATGTGAGAGAAACCCCGGATCGATCGCAGGCGCGTCGAGGGGATTAGAGGTCCATACATGCACCTCCCCGCGAGATACAGGATACATGTTGCTAACAAAGATTGAATAGCATGGATAGTAGCCGACGGGAGGGCTAGACATGACCTTGGTAAAGTTCTGGTGGCCTGTGCTGGTGTTGAAATACGCTGGAATGCCGATAAACTGAATATTTGCAGACCTGGGACTTTGCATCCGGGAGGCGATCACCTCCTGCTGCTGGCGTTGGTAGTTGATGTTTTGCTGAGCCAGTCCTCCGCTGTTCACAGTTGAAGTTGAAAAGATCCGAGAAATGGTGGTATCCATCTTGTCGGCGTGCGATGAGTACGGAATGAAGCCCATCAGACTCAGGGATCCAGACAGAGCCCCAGAATGGTGTTTGGCGTAGAGGCTCTAATGCTCTTCTCGCAGGGCAGCGTCTTTGCCATGATACCGTCTGCCAGTTTATAAGACACCGGGTACATGGTGTGTTCTTGTAAATTGTTGCCCACGTCGACGTTGGCCACTCTACACACAATCCCAGCTTGTTCGAGAACGTGAGGATCTCCAATCCCAGACAGCTCCAGCAGCTGGGGACCCTGGAAAGATCCAGCACTAAGAATCAAGCCCCGCTTAGCTGACACGACATGTCTCTTTCCCATATGGTGAAATCCCACTCCTTCCGCGTCTAGAGTCCCGTCTGAAGCATCAGAGAGAATAAAGCGGCACACCTGTGCGTTCTCTAAGACCTTGAGATTAGGGCGTCCCATAACAGAAGCAAAATAACCTTTAGCCGCATAGCTCCTGACTGGCTTGCTGGTTCTGTTTATTGTGAACAAGGACCGGTAGAATCCCAAATGATCGCCACTATAGGGCTCAACTGGCCGTGGAAGATGAGCGGCCTCATCGAATGCAGCCAAGAGGGATTCTTCTATAGGCGGTTGCCAGGAGCCGATTGAGGCATGAATGGGCCCATTGATTCCATGAGCCTCTAGGTTCACTGGACAATCTGTTGCGCTGGTGTTAATGACTGGCTCCAGGTTCTCACTTTGTTTAAAATACGGCACCAGGGCTGACCATCTCCATCCTTTGATGCCCAGCTTCTCAGCCCAGTCATTGAGGCCTTCAGCACATGGTCGATTATAAGACATGAAGTTTATTCCACTTGAACCCCCTAGCATTTTGCCTCGGGGAAGATGATACGCCTTTTCACTAGTGCCGGCCTAGAGGATGTGAAATTCAGTTCATCACATCATATCACAATACTATAAGGCCATACACCTGGGGAATGCTCTCAAAATTCCAATCATAGTCGGGTTGCTCATCATTTGACAAGGTCCCGGGGGAAGGTTGACCTTGGGATCGTCCAGCCGAAAAGACCCTGCTTCGATCACCCCGACTTGGACGCCTGGTTCCTCGGATAGACGAGTGGCAAGGACGAGGCCGGCTGTTCCCCCACCGATGATGATCACATCAAATGGATTGGTAAGAAGATCAATGATATTCACTGTGGACATTATTGCAACGTTTTTTTGCTTTTAAATATTCAAATTGAGGAACGGCTACCTGTGGGGGACAGCTTTGGTTCCTATCGGAAGCAACATGGTACACTGAGTTATATCTACTTCGAGCCAATATTGTTTTAGCTTGTTGATAATTCTAATCCACCCACAAGAACTAATTTGACTTTGAGCTTATCATCCTGAAGGATCTCCTTGTGAGCCGTTAATTTGCCCTGGTGTCTTCAGGCAAGAGAGACGTCAACATACAGGACGCCTTAATGAATGATAGTAAATGTCAATACGTCCTGAGCTGCGCAGTCCATACAAGTGAATTGCGTCAAGAGCAACATAGCGGATTTCCTGATCTGATATGCCGAGGCCCCGGACGAATCCGATGGGCGCCGATAGATTCCAGATCGACAATGATCCTTGCCCCCACCTTCAGGAAAAGTGTCAGCATGGTCATCACCGTCAGATAACTGCCCTTTAGATTGACCTCCTATGGGCCTCACCAGGTCTTAAGGTCTCTCTCCGCCAGCAGGACCCATTGATGGAGCACCAACACGTCCAGGTGGCCAATCGCCCGGATCACCTCAGCTGCAGCATTTGCCATGTTGGTTCCACCTGCGACATCCAGTGTCACCTTGCGAACCTGTGGGAGGGCGTAGCCGGCAGCCTTGGCGGCATGAAGGGAGATCGTGCTCTGATCGCAATGAAGAACTCGCTCGCTTGCACGACCGCAACCGCTACTGCAAGCGGCCTATTACCTTGGATTTTGAAAAACATTATGACGTCCATACATATGTGTTTCTTACATAGAACTTTTTATAGTGAATTGATCATGGTGCTCACTAGACAAGACAGGTGCTCCTTCCAGACCATCTCCTCAGTCCCAATCATTTTTAACCATTGAAAAGAGCATTATGAGAGAATAATTGTGGTATAGTGGAAACAGGCTATCTCCACAGTTTGTGGAAGAAGCCTGTGGATTGACACGCGACGCGTACGTTGTCGACTGCCTTGTGGCCGCCATTACTGTTTGGGTCCTGCAGATAAGGACTGATATTGACAGCCGGCAGATAAAAGGAGGACTCAGAAGAGATAGGCATCCCACTGAACCATTTAGGGACTGATTTGCAAGTTACCAAGAGCGGTGCCAAAGGCTACAGGGCCTTGTGCGTTGTTTGTTTACTAAGTAGGATTGGTCAGAGTACATTTAGCAATGATAGTCAGGGTTTGTCAATCAAAATGGCTAATCAGAATGCATTTTAATATGGGAAAATCTGGCGCCAGCAGCAAACCAATACTGCAAGCAGCATGCAAGTAGCATAGGTAAAGGCTACTAGATGGGCTCTATTAAAATATAAAGGAAAATGATGATCAGATCATTAAGGGGTAGCTTATGTTGGCATATGAACAGGAGGATAGGGTTTAGGGTTTCACCACTGGTCTTGCTCTATATCTGCCCCTCATTCCCGCACCTCAATCCTCTTCTTGACTACTTGGAGCAGTGACTTGTGTATCCCTCTTCATCCTTTACACCACCCTTCTTGTCACCATGCCCCAAAGAAATAATGAGATGGTCGATGAGACTCTACACCTTCCCCGACTCCTCTGTCTTCACGGAGGAGGATCTAATGCTGTCGTCTTCCAGTCCCAATGTCGCCGGCTGATTGCCCACCTACGATCAGAATTCCGCTTCGTCTTCGCACAGGCACCGTTTCTATCCGACGCCGGGCCTGATGTCCTGTCAGTATACAGTGAATACGGCCCCTTCAGACGCTGGCTCCGCTGGCGCCCGGAACACCCCGAGATTCGGCCGGAGGACGCATTGTGGGCGATCGAGGACTCTTTGGAAGACGCAAAGCGCCAGGATGACGCAAAGGGCGCCACAGGGCCGTGGATTGGCCTGCTTGGATTTAGTCAAGGCGCGATGATGTGTGCCAGTCTCCTCTATCGCCAGCAACTGCGCCAAGAACAACTAGGGTGGCTATTCGGCGATTCAGAGTATCGCTTTGGAGTGTTGCTTGCGGGCCGGGCCCCGCTGGTCTGTCTGGATCCGCACCTCGACCCGCGTTCCTCTTTACCCGATCTGTCGCAGATCACAGATGCCAAATACCCCGGTCCAAGCCGGGATGTTTTACACATCCCTACTGTGCATGTACATGGGCTGCGAGATCCCCACGTGGCTCTTCACCGGCGGTTATTTGCAGAATTCACTTCTCCTGATACCAGGAGACTGGTTGAGTGGGATGGAGAGCATCGGGTTCCTTTAAAGTTGAAGGATGTCTCGCTGGTTGCGCATCAGATTCGAGAACTCGCAGCCCAGACGGGTGCATGCTAGCCATTGGGGACACGTTGAGCTTTGTTGTTCATTGTTCATTGGAGGACTTATGGGCGCTAAAGGAGGGGACTTCTATATTAATCATATCTCTAATCTGCTTGCCGTCCACTATAAATATATGTGGCAACATGGAACCCAAAGAGGTTTAGGCAGGTAAGCGCGGGGTTGATTTCGACCAAGGGTTACAAATCGCACCAGGAGAGCGGGGTATGCAGAATTTGTATATCATCGTTTCGGAGACTCTCCGTCATCATACTACTGCTAGAGAGTGGAAAAGGGTGTAGGAAAGAGGCAACACCTTTTTGGAGAGGTTGAGATGGACTTATGCTCTCCAAATGCATCAAGACATGGTTACACAAGGAGATATAACATATGTAGTACCACTTTTGGAGTACTGTGTACAACATATGTAGTACTTACTACAATGCGCACGCGGCTAGGAGTGTTTGTGATTTATCGAGGTTCTGACGGCCCACAGCCAACATCAAGAATAATTGGATCCTCAATGGGACTGATTGGGCACAAATTCTTGGCGAGATAACCACGGAACAGAGGGTATAATTTTACTGGTCAGAGAACTCTGTATTACAGGATTATATAGTTACATTATGAGTATATTGCGTAGTACAGTATATATCTCTGTGCGCCGAGGCCACCCCGGTCTAAGATACAAGATTCCACAAGGATTCCCCGGAGTAACTTGAATTAATTATCAAGTATTGGATTGTTGACTATTCCTGGGCCTGCGAGACAAAAATGGCAGAGTTGGATGAAAACATACTGTTGATGCTTACCATAATCTAAGGTGATCCTGCCAATATAAATAGCAGTAAGAAAGGTCCACAGATCGACTGAAGGGACATGTAGAACAAGCGGCTAAGTGATAAAGGGAATTATAGTACATACTCCACTGATATTATATATAGCTGCTGTAGCTTAGACAGTCAGTAATGTCCTATGTAATATTCTATATCAATTTCACAGCAGTTATCAGTATGATTGACTCTCCAGTCTCCAACCCGAGAGCCAAGGGACTAGTATTCAGTTCGCAAGATTTGTCATTCAACCTCCAGTCATTCAAAAGGCTTCACAATCAGCTTCAAAGTCACCAATGGGCTCTTGATGTTCTCGCCATCCTTCCAAAACTTTGGGATGACTTTGCCGCCAGTAACCCGACAGCACCGCAATCCGGCAACGTCACCCTGCTCCAGGGCTTGAATACATGGATTTCCAACGGGACTGCGCCCGAGAGGGCGTTTCCTTTGCCAAACGTGCTGCTTTCCCCGCTCTCAGTCCTTGCCCAGTTGGTGGAATATCTCGCATTGCTCAAGGCAGCATTTCCAGATCTAGAAGACAGGGATGACCTGCCCAGGTGCCTTTCAGAAGGCACAGAGACGTTCGGTCTCTGCACCGGCACTCTTAGTTCCTTTGCAGTAGCCTGTGCTTCCAATGTAGCCGATATCCAGCATTACGGCGCATCCGCTGTAAGGTTGGCTATGTTGGCCGGAGCCATTGTTGATGCCGAAGAGGCGTTGTTCGAGCCAGACCAGAAGGCAATGAGCATTTCAGTGTCATTGAGCGGTGAATCTTTTGCCCCCATTCTCGAGTCATTCCCTGATGTAAGTCCTGGAAGTTCAGAGCAAACCCTAACCCTAAACCCTAACCCTCACTCTCTAGGCATATGTATCCGTTGTTGTTGACCTGAAGCGGGCCACTTTTACAACACCCAGGGTAACGGGCCCAGCTCTGGTTGAGCGGTTGAAACAAGATGGCGCTCATGTCACCTCCATTGCGCTTGCGGGACGATTCCACTGGCAGAAACATCAGGATGCCGTTTCTGGTCTCCTTCGGTTTTGTGCACTAAATCCAAATCTCCAGTTGCCCGATGCGTCCAAGATGTTGCTGCCCACTCGATCCAGCGCCAACGGGCAGTACATCACCACTGGGAAGCTCCACGAGCTGGCTTTGCAGATAGTCCTCTTGGAGCCGTCTCAGTGGTACGAGACATGTCGCCTTGCCTACTCGTCCAAGTTCATCATGGACGACGCAGCAGTGGTTTGTTTCGGAGCAGAACGGTGCCTGCCCCCGACCATTGCACGAAAGCTTGGTTCACGTCTGATATATGCATGCGAACTGGATGTCCCATCATCGCCAGTACCTGCGCAGCTTCTCGGTGGAACAAAACCACTGAATCTCGCCAACCTCCCCGATGACCGCATCGCTGTCATTGGAATGGCGTGTCATCTCGCGGGTGCCGCAGACCACGAGGAATTCCTGGAGATCCTGAAACAGGGTCGGTCACAGCACCGAGAGGTGCCTGAAGATCGCTTTAGCATGGCGACAGCCTGGCGAGACGCGGGAAAACGCAAATGGTACGGCAACTTCCTCGACAATGCGGACACGTTCGATCACAAGTTCTTCAAGAAGAGCCCCCGTGAAATGGCCTCCACGGACCCCCAGCAGCGTCTGATGATGCAGGTGGCATATCAGGCTGTCGAGAACTCCGGTTACTTCGGAAACAAAGATGTGAATCCCCGTATTGGGTGCTTTCTGGGAGCCGGAAATGTCGACTACGCAGACAACATTGCGTGTTACCCGGCCAATGCGTATTCGGCCACAGGCAATTTGAAATGCTTTCTTGCTGGCAAGATCAGCCATCATTTCGGCTGGACAGGACCAAGTATGACCCTCGACACTGCGTGCTCCTCATCCAGTGTGGCGATTCACCAGGCATGTCGGTCCATCCTCAATGGAGAATGTAACGGGGCCCTCGCCGGAGGGGTCAACATTCTGACGAGTCCCGACTGGTATCATAATCTGGATGCCGCATCCTTTCTGAGCCCTACCGGTCAATGTAAACCCTTCGATTCCAAGGCAGATGGGTATTGTCGTGGTGAAGGTGTGGGCGCTGTGTTCCTAAAACGGTATTCCTCTGCCGTCGCCGATGGTGACCAAGTGTTTGGTGTGATTGCAGGCACCAAGGTGTATCAGAATCAGAATTGCACTGCCATCACTGTACCCAACGCGATCTCTCTCTCAGAGCTCTTCAGGGATGTTGTACATCAAGCCAGACTGGAGCCGAGAGACGTCACTCTCGTTGAGGCCCATGGAACAGGAACCCCCGTGGGGGATCCGGCCGAATATGATGGCATTCGTTCTGTCTTTGGAGGTCCTATACGGTCTGACGTGCTGTCGCTCGGATCTGTAAAGGGCCTTGTTGGTCACACTGAATGTGCTTCAGGTGCGGTCTCCTTGATAAAGACCATCCTCATGATCAATGAGGGCTTCATTCCTCCTCAAGCCAGCTTCTCGAGCATCAACCCTACCCTTAATGCGAAATATGAGGATAGGATTGAGATATCAACCCGCCTCAAGACGTGGGAGGCTCCTTTCAAAGCGGCCCTCATCAACAACTATGGGGCTTCTGGATCCAATGCCTCCATGATCGTGACACAGGCCCCAACACTGACGGGAGGCCCCTCAGTGTCGCTGCCGGAGAGAAGCTATCCATTCTGGATCAGTGCCTTTGATCAACAAAGCCTGCGAAACTACGTTAAGCAGCTGCGACGATTCATCCAGAGAGTCCCGGAAGACAAGAGAACAAGCGTGGCAAATCTTTCCTTCCAGGTTGCTCGTCAATCTAACCGGAGTCTTCCACAGGCCCTGATATTCAGTGCCAGCACCAACGAGGAACTGAACAGGATACTTGAATCCTTTGAGAATGGCAGCGCACATGTCCCGTCTTTCCAACGCCGTGATCCGAAGCCAGTCATCCTATGCTTTGGTGGACAGGTTTCCACCCAAGTTGGGTTGGATCAAGAGGTCTATAACAGCAACGCCATCCTCAGACATTACCTCGATCAGTGCGATGCCACTGCGCTTTCGCAGGGTCTGGCAAGCATCTACCCAGCTATCTTCCAACGGTCCCCTATTGAGGATATCATCCAGCTTCAAACCGTTCTGTTCGCGATGCAGTATTCCTGCGCCAAGGCGTGGATTGATAGCGGCCTCGGCGTTGCCTCCCTTGTTGGACACAGCTTCGGTGAACTGACAGCTCTTTGTGTCTCCAATGCCGTGTCCTTGCACGACGCTGTCAAGATGATATCTGGTCGAGCTCGCCTCATCAAGGAACGCTGGAGTGCCGACAAAGGATCGATGATGGCTGTCGAGGCGGATCTCACGGATGTGAAGTCCTTGATAGCTTGGGTAAACCTACCAGGGCTTACTATCGCCTGCTACAATTCCCCCAGAAGCTTCACATTGGCAGGGTCTACGGAAGAGATAGAGCAGGTCGAGATCGTGCTGAGGAATGACCCAGTCTTCTCTGGAATGAGAGCAAAGAGGCTGACTGTCACCAACGCCTTCCACTCAGCGCTCGTGGACCCATTGATGGATGAACTGGAGACTCTGGGTCAAGACATCAAGTTGACGCAGCCAACGATCCATCTCGAAAGAGCAACAGAGCAGGACGAGTCCACCAAACCCTTGAATGCCAACTATGTGGCCAGCCACATGAGAAAGCCCGTGTATTTTGCCCAAGCCGTGAAGCGGTTGGCAAATAGATTCCCTACTGCCCTGTGGTTAGAGGCTGGATCCAACTCCACCATCACCACCATGGCTAGTCGGGCTCTGGGGACATCCAACTCATCTTCTTTCCACGCGGTCAATATCACCAGTGAGGGTGCATTCCGGTTCCTCTGCGACACGACCGTCAACCTCTGGAAGGAAGGCCAGAATGTCAGCTTCTGGCCTCACCACCGCATGCAGACATCCGCGTACAAACCGGTCCTGTTGCCCCCGTACCAGTTCGACAAGTCGCGCCACTGGATGGACCTGAAGGTCCCTCCCAAGCTTGAGAATGAGCCACCGGCAGTGATGGAGGCACCCAAGGGCTTGACCACTTTCGTCGGGTACCAAGACGCATCGCAGCGCGCGGTGCGGTTCAGCGTCAATGTCACGTCAGACAAGTATATCCGGCTCGTCTCCGGCCATATCATGACCAACACAGCCGCTGTCTGTCCCGGGATGTTCCAGGTGGAAATCGCGCTGGATGCCTTGATGAGCCTCCGACCAGAGCTCCAGGCCCGTCGCTTCATCCCAGAGCTGAACGGCATCAGGTATTATCAGCCCCTGGTGCAGAACGACTCCCGCGCCGTCTGGATCGAAGCAGAGTCGACCGACGCAGACAGCCTGGTCTGGGACTGGAGGTTGACGGCATCGAACGACAAGGGAAGCCATTCCGTCACCCACACCTCAGGAACCATCACCTTCCAGCCACCGGACAGTGTGTCCGTCAAGACAGAGTTTGAGAGACTGACCCGTTTGATCGGCCGCAAGCGGTGCCAGCAGCTCCTGGATGGCAACATGGCGGACGATGTCCTGCAGGGCCGCAACATCTACCGTGCCTTTTCAGAGGTGATTGACTACAAAGAGGTCTACCGCCATGTCACGAAGATCGCGAGCAGGGAGAACGAGTGTGCGGGAAGGATCGTCAAGCCGAATGACGGAGAGACATTGCACAGCACTATCCTGACTGACTGCTTCTTTCAAGTGGCAGGAATCTTTGTGAATCTCATGACGAGCCAGACCGATCTATCAGAGACGGGGATATTCATCTGCGACGGGATTGATCGGTGGTTGCGAGCCCCTGAAGTCTCAAAGGATGTCCCCAGTGAAGTCTATGAGGTCTTTGCTCTGAATCACTCTGAATCGGGGGCTAAATATGTCAGCGATGTGTTTGCATTCGATGCTCGCGATGGGTCACTGGTTGAAGTCGCTCTGGGGATCAGCTACCAGAAGGTTCCCATCCAGGGTATGCGCAGGGTCCTATCGAAGAGTATCCCAGCCGGGCTTCAATCATCCCCTGAAAAGGCTTCATCCCCTGAAAAGGCTTCATCCCCTGCAAAGGCTCCCACTAAGACCATCACTCCCACCATTCCTCCATTGATGAATGCTTCACCTACTAACAGGATGAACAATACGGCGACAAATACACTCAAGACACCCAAAGTAGACATCTCCAAGACCATGCGCGACATCATCTGCAACCTCTCCGGTCTGGAACCAGACGAGGTCAAGGACAGCTCTGACTTGGTGGAAATTGGAATTGATTCACTGATGAGCATGGAGCTGGGCCGAGAGATTGATCTGGCCTTCAAGATCAGCATCGACGTCGGCCAGTTGATTGATTTGACTGACTTTCGGAGTCTGGTGGAAACCATTGGGGGTATCCTGGGCCAGGACAATCAGGAAGACGCGAACGGGGTCGAAGATGAGAACAGACGTGAAGGAACTGTGACAACCAGCAACGGTTACCATGTCAATGGGACTAATGGCAACGGGGTCTCCTGTCCAGATGGAACCTTTGCCCTCTCAGAATCTGCAGTTCTCGAGTCTTTCCGAATGGCAAAAGAGGCCACCGATAATTTTATACTCAAGGGCCAACTGGCCACATACTGCCACGACGTCGTGCCACGGTCGACTGCGCTCTGTGTGGCCTATATTATCGATGCCTTTGAACAGCTTGGGTGTCCGATACGCAGTGCCGCAGCAGGGCAGAGACTCGAACGTGTTTCGTATCTTTCACGACATGAAAAACTCATCAATTTGATCTATGGACTCCTGGAAGAAGCCGGATACATCGACATCCATGGGTCTGAGATCACCCGAACGGCCGTGTCGGTTCCCAGGAAGGCCGTGGATGAAATGCTGGAAGCACTGCTTCATGATGAGCCTGTCCATGCCGCCGAACATAGGCTGGTAGCTCTCATTGGGCCTCATCTTGCAGACTGTCTCATTGGCAAGGAAGATGGGCTTCAAATCATTTTTGGGTCCCCCGAAGGCAGGGAGATTGTCACCGATGTCTATGCCAAATCCCCCATCAACGCCGTCTGGGTCCAGCAGGCGGAATTCTTCCTCGAGCATCTCATCAACAAACTCCCCAACACTGGAGAGCCGCTGCGTGTTCTTGAAATGGGCGCTGGCACGGGAGGGACCACCGTGAGGATGGTTGCGCTGCTGGATCGTCTGGGCGTGCCCGTCGAATACACCATGACGGACCTTTCCTCCTCGCTCATCGCCGCAGCCCGCAAACGATTCAAGCAATATCCGTTCATGAAGTTCAGGGTTGTGGACATCGAGTCTCCGCCGGATGCAGACTTGTTCCACAGTCAACATATCATCCTGGCTACGAATTGCGTTCATGCGACCCGGAACCTGGAGATCTCCACGCGAAACATCCACAATCTGCTACGACCCGACGGCTTCCTCCTTCTGTTGGAGCTCACTGAATCGATGCCGTGGATGGATTTCATCTTTGGCTTGCTGGAAGGGTGGTGGTTGTTTGAAGACGGCCGCCAACATGCCCTGCAATCCCCAACCCACTGGAAGAGAGTCCTCACCTCCGTGGGATATGGCCACGTTGACTGGACTGACGGTGCTCGTCCAGAGACCAACCTCCAGCGCATTATCATTGCTCTTGCGTCTGGACCCAGGTATGATCGTGATTCTGCGCCCCAGTCACTCGCGCCGGTGTCATTGACAGATGTCGCAGGGCGCCAGGGGATCATTGATACATACGTCCATGAATATACCAAGGACTTCCACTCCCTCCCCATTCCTGGATTGCAGGAACCCGTTCTGCCCGATCTCCCAGGGCACTGTGTGCTTGTTACTGGCGCCACGGGGAGTCTCGGCTCCCACATCGTGGGCTATCTCGCGAGTCTTCCTACTGTCCACAAGGTGGTCTGTCTGAATCGACGGAGTACAGTGCCTGCGACCATTCGCCAGGAAGAATCTCTCAGGGTCCGAGGGATCTCCCTTGACGGCGAATCTCGGTCGAAGCTGGAAATCCTTGAAGTCGAGACAGCGAGGCCGTTGCTTGGGCTCCCAGCGGAGACGTACCAGAGGCTCGTCAACACTGCAACGCACATCGTTCACAACGCCTGGCCGATGAGTCTCACCAGGGCTGTCAGAGGCTACGAGAGCCAGTTCAGCGTGATGCGGAACCTCATCCATCTTGCACGAGAAGCCGCTGCACGCCGGCCGGCACCATTCAAGTTTGGCTTCCAGTTCATCTCATCAATCGGGGTTGTCGCCTACTACCCGCTCTGCTACGGAACCATCCGGGTGCCCGAAGAGGCGATGAGGGCTGAAAGCGCTCTGGCAGTTGGATACGCCGAGGCAAAGTTGGTGTGCGAACGCATGTTGGACGAGACGCTGCATCGGTATCCGGATAGATTCCGCCCCATGGCAGTCAGGATCGCCCAGATCTCTGGCTCAACAAACAGCGGGTACTGGAATCCAATCGAGCATTTTGCTTTACTCGTCAAGTCGTCTCAGTTCCTCAAGGCTTTCCCAGACCTTGATGGAACCCTCTCGTGGTGTCCGGTCGACGATGTGTCTTCGACACTGGGTGAGCTGTTGATTTCCGATACAAGGCCTTATCGGATCTACCATATCGAGAATCCGTCGAGACAGCCATGGCGGGATGTGGTAAAGACGCTGGCCGAATCTCTTGACATTCCCCGAGATAGCATCATTCCCTTCGACCAATGGGTCGAACGAGTCCGAAGCTCGTCCTCTTCACTCAACGACAACCCGGCGCAGCGATTGGCGCACTTCTTTGGTCAGGATTTCATCCGGATGTCCTGTGGTGGTTTGATATTGGACACAAGCAAGACAAGAAAGCATTCGGCAACCTTGCGGAAGAGGGGGCCTGTAGACGCGTGGTTGGTGGAGAAATATATTTCAATGTGGAAGTCCATGGGATTTCTAGATAAAGCATAATCATTTATAACTATAATATATAGTGACTATATATGATGCAATCCTTTACTGGATAAACTTGTAGAAGATGGTAGGTTTAAATAAAATTATCCCATGTAATTGAAAGAAAGCCGAGCAAAGACATAGTCTAGTTAATCCTAAATGTATTGTATATATAGGCCCAAGAAGAGAAAACGCAGCACTGACCTTGCACACAGTAAGAGTACTCTATCAAGGTTTTCCCCTCATCAAGCCGAGGGATCGACGGAGGGCAGAGCCTTTGAATAGGCTTTTACGCCCATTATACAGAGATGGTATATGAATGTATACTCAATTGTCCCCTAGCCCATGGTTGATATGATGGGCAATGGAGATATATGCTACTACTACAACAGTCGTGGGAATAATATTATTATTTCCTACTCGTCTGCCTAAGACTAGTAGTGCCAGCAACATGAGGTCTTTTCCTGCCGAAGCTCATCACTAGAAACGAGGAACTTCCTGCCGCTGAGAGCGGCCGAATGATCAGATGGCATCGTGTCAGATATAATGAGTTACTTGGTGTCCTCCTTAGGCCATTCTTCAAATTGCACCTCCAGGCGACCAAGTTGTTTATGAGCAGTAGCATGAGCACGACTCTCCATTTTAATGATGATGACTTCGTCACGGAAAAAATAAGATTCAAATGGAAGTATATTGCGGCAAGGATTGCTCAAGTCCTGTTGGAAGATTTGTTTAGTCATATTGAAAAAGATTATGTATGGACTTTTTGTATAATCTGCGTTGAACGATTTCTATTCTTGATCCTGTATTGCATTAAAGTGATCATTGTTTCGGTACTCGTATTCACTGGTGGTGGCACCTGTCCCGAAGAACCTGTCACTCACTCCACTTGCCATCTGGAGCGAGTTTATTAGGATCTTTTTCAAGAGCAGTGTGAGGGTTCTGGTCATGATGGGCTGGGAGAAAGCGCAGCACTAGTTCTCCTTTAGTTTTCACAATGAGATATCTATCTATATGGCACGGCATCAGGAGACTGGTACCAAACGCTCATGGCAGGCAATTCTAAAGGAACCGGCCACTTAGACAATTACCTCAACGGCCCTAACAATTTTTTCAATGGGTTTAGTATGGCTCGGGCTTCTAGAGGGGTATTGGCATCAGTCTAGTCTAGGATTCTAATCAATACTGCTGAACCACCTGAAATCTAAGCATATTTCAATTTAATGGACTAGCTACTACTTCTGCTAAGCATTCCCAATAATACCACACAACTATAAGCGGATGTCTCGGACTTTCCTTACGAGGTACTTCTCCATTGTTATACCATGGAAGCAAGCCTATAAGCACAGCGTGCTTTTTCCGCCATCCTGAGTCAATCTTGAGCGAACCCTGACGGTCAAGTAATCATCACCTAGGCGGCGGAAACGGAATGACCCATCGTCGCACGATTGCACATCTACTATCGCGGTTGGAGAGAACAGTAGCGCTTCCCCAACTTTCAGCCGAACAATCTGATTGAAAAGGGGACTTGCATCATCTCCCAGAATGTCGCACTCATCTTCTTCTTTCAATCCCCGCTTATATGTCAATGAGTCATATGCAGCGGCAGCTAGATGTTTGTTCAAAGCTCGCAGCCACTCTGGTGAAGTAAATCGATGGACAATCGTCGTGGAGCAAAGATTCAGCAACGCTGTTGATATGGTCGGCTCCTGCGTGGAGATGATAACCCTCACGCCCAAATGGCGCTGCAAGCGAATCGAGGCCAGTAAGCTGCTTGTGAACGCCTCGGCCTCCGACGACGAATTCATATACTTTTGAAAGATCAGCCCCTGCAAACCACTATCCGGCAGGGAGGGGAAGAGGCAATTACCTTATGTGCTTCATCAAGCGCCACCACTCTCCCAATGTTTGGATCCTGCTCTAAAAAGATGCTCAGGCACACGTTGAACAAGGAACAGGCTGTTTCAGGAGAAATGCATGGGCAAGATAGATCAACAATAATGAGCTGGCTCCCCTGTGGCATGTCAGCATGATTGAGGCCCCTGAGGAGGGGCTTATTTCCGCACTTTTGGCTCCCAGTTTGTTCCCTTGTTCTGCTGGGTGTGTTTCCGGCCCTTTTTAGTGGACGCCGCAGTAGCCTGTGGCATAAAACTTTCCAAGGTATCCAGACGCTGCTTTAGAGGCTCCATCTGACCAGGGGAAAGACCGCAGTCCCAGAGGCGCTGCTTGAATTCTTGATAGTCGAACTCAGCTCCTGACTGCTGTTGGGAAATGCGCATCTGCCGCAGGATTCGCTGGATTGTATGCATGTACAAGGGCATGGCGCTGGCTTGTGGATCAACTGCCATGAGGTCTAGCATTCGTTTCGTATTGAGGTCTCCCTGATCAATCTCCAGCGGCTGAATGTCGACATTGCTGAACCGGGAATATGTTTTCTGGGAGTCTCAGCACGCTTCTTGAACACCCCCTGGCTTTATTATTGCTTGGCTACCCACCTTCATGGTCTGAATATTCGTCGGCGAGCAGAGCACTCTCACTTTGACAGCTGGGTTCGATGAGAGGTATGCCGCTTCACAGGGAGAGCCCATCTGGTCACTAACAAAGGTGTCGTAATGGAACACCACGGCGGTCAACGGGTTGGGGAGCCTGCCGGCTTTGGAAGGTATCAGGCAGCTTTCTAGCATGCAAGACAACGTGTGGCTCTTGCCGGATCCCTGCGATCCGCATATGAATGTGCTTGAAGGAGGGGTGATGTTGAAAAATAAGCGCGGATCCTGCTGTTGTTCGTCATTCATGAGAGGATCCGAGTGATTTAACACCTGGCTGACACCAGCAAGCAAACCAAATTGAGACACTTTGCAATGTTTCATTAGGCTAGCAGTAAATATGGGTGCGAGTTTAGCATCCTGCAGCTCATCTGAGATATGAGTGGAGCCCAGTAAGCTAAGATGATACTGTCGTGATGCCTCTTCTTCAGCTGCCATTGAATGCGCTGACCCGGCAAGGGGAACTGAACGGTCATGATCACCCATTATTACGAATAGTGAGAGATAGCGAAGATGTAGGGAAGAGGTAGTGGAAGAGATATTGGAAGAGGTAGTGGAAGAGATATTGGAAGAGGTAGTGGAAGAGGTAGTGGAAGAGGTAGTGGGAGAGGTAGTGGAAGAGGCAGTTATATAACATAATTTATACTAGAATACTTGGTATCTAAAGTAAGGGTGCGAATTCCTTGATTTCAGGCTGAATGATCTGGAATTCTGTACTGACCTCTTTTCATGACCCATGTAAGGGAGAAATGGACAATAAGATGTCACTATGTCCAGATTTACTTCTCTTCCTATTCATCTATAGATCTACCACCTCGATACTATTTTATAACCAAGATAATATTTTTTAATCTAGAATTCACTATGCATTGGAAATAGACCTAGCCAAGTATAGATAACAATCTATGTGACCATTTCTCTTCGGCCAGTATTTCCTGTTCTGAGACTTCCTCCACTGCCAGGATGTCAAACAAATGACGGTGGCCAGACAGGACTGAATGAAGCATCCTGTACACTCGGTCGCTGAAAAGACGAAGATTAGGTCCCTGTGACGCATCCAGAAAGCCCAAGAATGCACTGAATGTTTCATTGGAGCTCTCAAGAATCCTTATATAATCCTCAGTTTTTGTAACAGTAAGTCAGCTCTTAAAACTTACATATCATCTGAAACTAAGACTTCTGAAGCCCCAGTGAGACTATGTGCAGGTAAAAGATAAATCACCCCACTGCCAAACTTGTCTGCCATCAGCATGAGTCGATGGCCTAGTCGTCGTATCTTGGTGACATATTTGTATCTTTTATTATACTCCTGACCAGCGGATGGCGATAAGTCAGGAAATATGGCCTTCATCATCTTTTTAGTTATATCCGAGTCGGCAAGGTTCTCGGGATTTCCAGCCTTTCTCGCCTGCGTTCTAAAATCTGATGGAGTTGTAAGCCTCACACTCCAGGGCTCCTGCTTCCTGCTGCCCGCGAATTCTTGGTACAGATTCAGTATATGAAAGCGCCGGAGAAAGTGATACGAGGCTATTCTTCTGTCACAGGCTTCAATCATCTTGTAACGCTCAGGAAGAGATTGGGCTTGATAATTCCGAAACCAGTCAGGCTCACAGTGGCTGCGAATACTTTTGACTGCTGCTTGGAGGACCGCGATTGCCTGGGGACTGGCAACAATGGTAAAGATTCTTCCAAGCGTAGTCTGTTTACCATCTTCGCCAGTAAGGCTTTTGTTGTTCCACGACATATTGCTTCTCTTCCGAGCGACCAGCGTTGTAGACGACGGTGCAATAGGTTGCGATTCCACCCGCTTCCTCTTTGCAGGTCTCGGTGATAGAGCTTGACTAACATGCTGATTGCCCGGGTCTCCATGTTGGGGCTGATCTATTAGTCTATCTAGAAGCCCACAGTCCCTTGGTTTCAAGCCAGCAGCGTTGGGCGCCGTAGCAGACGAAAAGATAGATATGTCGGCAGAGACGCAGTCGTACATGTCAAGATTGACACCCGAGGAAGCTAAATCGACATAATCTTCGTTCCCTACATTGCTAGGGGGTAGCAAGACTGGATGTATCATGGTACCTCTGGTATTACCCCCGTTTTCAATGGCGGGAAGAGATAGTTGACCGGGGTCCACAGCTCCATTCTCAACCGTGAAAAATCTACAGAATGATCTGTCTCAGGTAGCTGTTCCTCAAAGCTCTTGGAAATAAGGTACCCAATATGTTGCAAAGTCCTACTGCAAAGTTTCAAATCCCAGTTGCTATCCAAGAATACTGCAGCGATGACTGCATTCAATGCTTTAGCCAACACCTTCTGCGAGAACTGGCCAGAACGAGGGTTATAGTTGATGCATCGATCAATACCACATCGAATCGTAACCATCGCACAATGCTTGATATTACTGAGCCGGGCCCTATGATGGAAGATTTCACCTGACACCTGTTAGGGAGACTGCTATGGAGTCACTTGGATGGTGACAACTTACTCGGAGTAAGCCGTGACGCGATCCCCTCAATATTCAATAAGAAGGTTGTCAGTGCCATTCCCCCTTGTGCTAATCTCCGGTTGCCATCATAGTTATCCTGTTCAGCACCAGCTGCTGTCAGCGCTTCTCGGATGAGGTTCTTAGAGTGAAATTCATGGTTTAAGATTCTCTCAGCGCGGAATATCTGTTCAGAAGCCATGTTGTTTTTCTAGGGGCTTCTTAAGTAGTGCATGGAAAGAAACAAGAATCAAATAAAGTGGTGGATATTATTTATATTATATATCATGTTAAAAGCATCCTAACTTTTAGACATCAAGCAGGTTATGCTGAGTAAGTGTCAGTCTTGTGCAACGTCAATGTAGATCTTTGCCTATTTTGGTACTAAACACCTCCCAGGGTTGTAACCTCCAGTTTGGGGGTGCTGGCATACATACTTCATATCCTCTGAGCCAGTCTCATCCTCAGCCTCTATTCTCCAGGAGTAGTGAGATCCACTGCCTATTCATTGATTCCTTGCAGCTGTTCTGGGATATATGGAAGCCTTCTCAAATCTGAACCAAGGCATTGTGCGAGACTGCAGCCGAGAAATTCTTTAATACAATACAGCCAACAAACTTACACTGTGTGCTGGTTGCGAGGATATAACCCTCCCAATAAATATTGCTACAGGCGATATAAAGTCTGCAGAGTAGTCAATAGTATAGTCATGATATTAGGGTAAAAGTATTGAATAAGATAATTAATCCTGTCCTATAAATCAAGTAAGCAATTGAGTAGTTTGAGTCAAAAACATGCTGCAGACAGAGAGTTGGCGGTGCTACTGACTCTCTGTAGTCACTGTTTTAAGAGGCAGATCCATTTAGATCGCCTGATCAGCAGTCCACGTAGCCAGCAAATGTAGCGATCGATGGCCCCACTGGTCCAATACGGGTACACTAACCACTATTATCAAGGCTATCTAATGAGTATCTGCTTGCCTTTTCTCTCTAGCCTGCGCGCGTCCTCGATAGCTTCATCATGAACACTACACATTATCTCTTCCGCTTTCTCCAGGCCTTCCGTGCCAACATAAGATAATCTAGGGAGTATCCTAGGCAGGAGTAGGCCATGCTTCTGGGCTAGAATATTCTTGATCATGGGCGCTACGCTGATAGCGAGCTCAAGATGGTCAGTCTAGGCGTTCTTGGTGCACTTATACCCAAGACTTGATTTCACTCTTATATTGATATATCAGAAAATAAAAAGTACACCAACTAGCCATCCTCCACCGGAATTACTGTCTCTAAGACCAACATTGTGAATAATAATCTAACTAGGTAGTATCCTTACTCTGGAGTTCATCATGCTGTGTCGCCCTTAATATATGATCATTTTCACTAAAATATTCCAACCTCGGCTGGTACAGGTTGATATATATATTCTCTCGGCTTTTATTCGGCCTGCATACCATTGCTTCAGCATTAAGAGAATCTTACTCGCCTTCCTCGTCATCTTTAAGCTCGGCGCGCTCTTCTGCAGCCTGGATTTCAACTTGTCGACTGGGCGATCGCCTGGGTTGGCGCGGCAGGTATCTTGAGCCGGAATTCTTCGGTTGCCAGTCATAAAAGACGCCAATCAATGCTGCATGAGAAATGTGTACATATGCACTATAGTTAAGACCATATGACTGGCGACTGTAGATATTGCTAGAGATAATGCCCTCTTTAGAACCAGGGCAAAATAGAACCATATACTAGGAGAACAAAGAGAGAAATCATCAATATTGTGGTGCCCCTACTTATTATCAAGTTATGCTCCTAGGCGGCATTATATATGGACCCGGTTGTTCTGGAAGTAGAACTGATTCTCATCTTGATAATATTGGTTGGAGTATAATTTTACTATCAATTTCCTTTTCATGTGGCAATTATGACTGTACATATGTAGTCAAAACTGAGAACAGTTAGTATATTGAAAAATGGACCAGCCTGTTTGTTTATCTCAGGCCGCCAGCTGCATATCTTTGCATTAATAGACCCTACCTGTATATTATAAATACTAGCAGGTCTAGCTCACCAATTCCTTAGTATTATAAATTCTACTCTATACTAAAATGTTGGATTCATATAAAGTATCCTTTTTATCAATTCACCTTAGAGATCTTTCTGTGGTCCTGTTTTCACTCCTTGGTGTGTCTATAATATGGACCCTGGATTTAAACACTATATATGCTGTCCTCCGCCCTCATTACTTCCTCTTTGAGAGTATTATGGTGGGGGTTGTCCAAGGAAGCACGGCAGTCTTCGTCACTCTCTGTTCCCTATTGAATAACCAATGGAGACCGTCTTTGCCGGCAGTGATTCCACTGGTGGCGACGAATATTGGATGCTCCATGGCGTTTTGTTACATTCTTGCCTCATTTACCGCATGGTCAGTCACAGTATTCAACCATCCCAGCGTTTGGTATACAATGTGTTGGCAATTTCCACTGCTTGGAATTGTCGTCGATTTCGGCCACTATTTCGTTCATCGGGCGATGCATTCCAAATTCTGGTATGAACATATCCATTACGTACACCACAGCCTCAATGACGGCGGACCCCTGACGGCGTATTACTCGCATCCCCTTGATTTCTTGCTGGGAATCACGGCTCCGGTGGTGCTGGGATGGTGGACCATCCACGGCGATCTGAAGGCCTTCTTGGTTTATGTTTTTCTAGCTCAGGTCGGAGCGCTGTACATCCATAGTGGCCAGAGCTGGTTGGGCAATAAGTGGCACTATCAACATCATGCCAAGTTGAAAAGGGTATATGGCTTGTTTGGTATAAGCGACTTTTGTTTAAAATAAGCTCCTACTTGAGTCTGCTATCTATAATCACCGAAAGATTCAGGAATACCGAGAGCATCGATGGAAAGTTGATTAAGGAACCGCTCGAAGAATCACACGAATTCTAAGGATATAAGAATCAGTGTTGGCATATCAGTGTCGGGGTCAGTATTTGGACAGGGACATTAACATGGAGTATTTCCTGGCCTCACTACGGTTTCAATTGTCGAGGAGTATATAAAGGCTTATTTATGTTGCGTGTAATAGTATGTCTCCCATCTTCTAGTTATATCACTATAACTATAACAGATTTACGCTGTATGCCCATAGCTATTCTATAGGATACTCCATATATCTCTACCCTGCATGCCAATCAGTTGAATATACGACTATTAGTCTCTATCTCGCTGGCAAATATAAGCGAAAACCCAAAATTGGCCAGCCTGCATGGCCAGCCTATTAGTCTACTATATTTTAGATCTGTTGGCAAATACAAGCAACCACTGATCCACCTGGCGACTAAGAGATTTTGAAAAATAGTCACTAGTAACTGCATCCCTTAGAGTTACTTCTTATGATCATCAGCACAGTAATAATATGGTCTATTGAGCTTATATTTACCTTTACTAAATAATAATGGCCAAGTCTTCCCAAGGGACTCAGAACCCGCCCATTGTCTAGTCCGCTAGACAGCTACTCTAGCGTAGTAGGCGGTTTTATCACTATACATTATAACCAAGCATTCATTTATTAACTCCACGGCAAGGACTATCGCTTCAATTTGCCGATTTCCAGATCGCAGCTTTCTTGCCCCTTGCCATGTTGTGATCTTCCCTCGAAAGCTGTCCTCTTGCACTGTTTTGCAACGCTCACGCAAATCTGGCGGACCATGCACAGCATCTTCCCATCCTGCATCTGGTGTACGCCGGCTATCGCGACGCCATGTACGTCGAGTATAGCGGCCAAGGCGGCCAGCGCCAGCTGATGACCGTCGACGGCGGGCCGTGAGACAATGGATCCCAGCATGGCAAGAAAAAGGAGGGAAACACACAAGGGCACGACGCGGCAGACGAAGACGAGAATAACACGACGGCGAAGCAAAGCTCGGGATCGGGACCGTATGGGGACAGAAAGCACCAACGAAAAGGAATACGAGCGTGCGCTCTGACCTGTCTCTCCTCACCGTCCTCGACAAAGACCCTGTCAGCGCCAGCATCCGGATGCGCCCTTACTCTGCCCTGTCACCTTGGCCATGAAGTTATAATACCACTATTTCCTAGACTGGCTGTTTAGATACCTTTTCAGTCTAGGGTTAGTTCCCCCTGTAGCTTAAACTTGTATCTCTTGTTATAGTGCTCAGAGATAGGGCTTAGGGTTTAGCTGTAACTTGCTTTATTTGTATTAAGGTCCGGAAATAGCTATCATTCTTATTAGACCAATCTTCAAATTTCCAGAAAAACAATATGATATAATCTATTGATATAATTGATTATTATATATTACTTATTACAGGTCTTAGATGTTTCTATTAACCCATGGCCATGCATCCACTTTGACTAGAAATTTCAAGGGATGTTTGGGGAAGTGCCACAACGCGCAAGTGAAATCTTGAGGGATACATGCCTGCTTTACTTTTTAATACGGCAAGAAACAGGAGACCAAAGGAGTAAATGGTAGTTGATATTGGAGTGGTTGTTATGAGATTGGGTTACTGGAGTTGAAATGCACAAGATAGAAAAGGACTCACTGCAAGAAAAGCATAGTATCGCCATGTTAAATACAACCGATACAAAAACCCTAAACCCTAACCCTAAACCCCACCGTAAGAGTCTTACTCTATCTCAAGTAGATCTATATATATAAAATGATAAATACAACAATTACTGCTTATCTAAGCTAATGCCTAATTGCCCATATCTGTCTGCTATAGTGATCTCAGTAACTTGGATAAGGGTATCTAATAGTTATAAGATTAAACTTATTACTCTATTGCTCTCTTAGCTTAAAGTTACTTGGTAATGAAAAGCAGATTACATGGTTAGTAGCCAGCACTTTAGCTACAACTTAAGACTACATATATTACTGTTATCCTTTTTACAGCCCAGTTTAAGAATTTTTTAGAGTTCTAGTCTCTAGTTTAGTGGTTAAGATATAGATCACAGCCCTACCAGCTACGCTACATGAATCAACTAGCCATGATCAAGATTTATTGGTCAGCTCTCTATACTGCCTAATAGTTGTACCACTCAGCTTAAGACTTCGCTTTCCGCAGCACTAGATCAAACACACAATGAACCTCCGTCACATCCTTCAGATCCACCGACGGATCTGCATACACCGTCCAGGTTCCCAGCGGTGACTGGAGCGGAAACTTCTCTGTAACGCCCATATTGGGCAAACTCAGGCTAAAGCTGTCTTCCTCTTCTAATGAGCTGACCATCTCGTACGCTACCATCTCCTGGGATCCATCCTGAACCGCCAGAACTGCTGATAGGAGGACTACTATCCTGCAGTGCGTTTGACTGCGCTGCCGGATACCAGATCTTGCGGCCAGCAGGGGAGCCCACCTCGGACGCCTTGTGGATCTTATAGTTGAAGTCGAAGATATTGCTCGGCATGGAGAACTCGTGCATTTTCCCTTTCTCATCCACATAACGAAAGTTCCCCCAGCTCTCAATGCCAAGTTTGATTGTCTTGGCTGTATCCGCGGACCCGCGTGCCTCGGGGGGGAGCTTGTCGACGTCGACTCGCGCGCCGACAAGATAGATCTGGACGCCCTTGAGGCGGATGTCAAACCATTTCGGGTGGAAGCCATACGCGACGGCCTTGTCCCAGTCGAGATCGATAGTCATCTCCCGGGTTTTGATCAGGGCGAACAGTTTGTGCGGTTGACGCTTGGTGGTGAGGGAGACAGAGACGACCTCGTCGATACGGGGGTGGTCCTTGATGCGGTTCCACCAGATCTTCTGGTCAGCTTCGAGGGTCTTGTCGTAATTGATCCGCAGAATCTCGGCTCTGAGGCTGCCAAAGGTCTGCATGGTGTTGGATTTGACCCAGGACTCGTAGAAGGAGGTCGGTCCAAGAGTGGCGCAGTTAAAGGCCCGCCAGAACTTGTATAGAGAGCGAAAGCTCTCCTGCGAGATGCTGGAGAGAGTGGACTTGAGGAACTTGGCGGCGAGGCGTATGCTGTCGTCTGAGACGGAGGGCAAGCTGCTCTCCAAGAACCCGAGACTCTCGTTGCCATTGACCATCTCGAGACGGAGCTTGGCTAGGCGGACGGTGCTCAGGTTGTATTTCTGAAGGAGGTCGCTGCGGTCGCTGATGGCATCGACAAAGGCAGCAAAAGCGGCCTTTCCAGCCTCAGTCTCTGGTCCGTCCAGCTTGTTCAGACGATCGTCGCACATCCTGTCGAACTTGTCTTTTTCGACGGTGATCCGCTTCAGCACCTTGGCAGAGGGATTGTCCATATTCTTGATATTCTCACTGAGGCCCTGGGCGAGCTGATCACTGCCCTGTGTCAGAACAGTCATCTGCTTCAGCAGGCAGTCTTTATCGATCTTGGCTCCTGAATCCGTCATGATGGTGTTCATACTATCATCGCAAGCACTGAATGCTTCGGAACCGACGCTGAGAATGGCTCCCTCGACCGCAAAAGGTGCCTAGGTAGCCATTTAGAGTCAGAATCCTTTCTGTCTCTTTCCCTCTCTTAGGGTTAGGGTTAGGGTTGCAACATCATAAGAAGCACTTACAGTCGCAGGGTGGCAGAACATCAGGGCCGTCGCAAGGGCCTGGAGGACCTTGAGCCAGCTGACATCACAGTGAAGTGCGTTTCTAATTCTGTCTTCCAAAGCCAGCGTTGCATTTTGCAGGGTCTGGTGCGCCAGCTTTACTTTGTCGCCGGCCACCAAGACCTTGTCGTGGAGATCGTTGTGGTTTTTCACCTCCGTCGCCCAGTTTGAATGCGCATCCGCGATCGTCTTCTTCATCTGGTCAATCTTGGATCCCAGCTCGTCGCGAGCTCGGCTGCTACCCTCCACGGCGGCCATGGCTGACAGATACGCCTCCTCCACGGACCCATACACCTTCATCACCGACTCGATACTTGGGGTACCGATGCGCGGATTCGACACATGGGACGGGGTGAAGCCGTAGATGTCGGCGCCTCCACCCCTGCTGCGGACAAAGACGTCAAATTTGCGCTTGATCATAGTGTTGGTTGTTGCATTGGCGTTGACTACAGTGGAGACCTAATTGTATACTTGGTAATAATCTCTGTGGGCGTTGAGGATCATCATCTCGCTGTCTGAGCCTTGGAACGTCTTTGGATCCAGTGGTGGTGGCGTCTTGGCCGGCAGGTACCTCTGGCTGCTGAAGATGTTGTGGGCTTTAAAATACAGCCGGTTGATCAGCGAAGACAGGAAAAAGGTGTCGTTGGCGAAAGCGGGCTCGTATGCTCCGTCGAGGGTTTCAAATTTCGTCGACCCGTCGATGCCTTCATTGTAAGCTGTCGTCGCGGCGGCCGCGTTGCCAGAAGAACCGTTCAGAGGTTGGAGCTTATTCCTATCGTGACTGCCATACCAGGACGAATTCCTAAAGTCCTTCAAGGCATTGTAGATGGCGGTGGATTGAGGCGAGACGTTGTTCCAGCATTGACTGAGGTCTAAGTAGAAGCGATCAGGCATGTTCGAATAAACCCCGCCGCCGCCGCCCTGTCCCGGGTCTCCAGGGGTTCCATGCTGGCCCTTGGAGGCCGTGAGACGGAAAAGGGCCTCCATGGCCTGCCGATCCTCCCCATCCGTTTGGGGGATGTATATCTTGATAGCACCCCCGTCACCGCCGGCACCCCCGGCGCCGCCTGGGCCTCCATTCCCTCCATTCCCGCCCGGGATCACTTCTGCCCACGCCTCAGGGATACGTTCCCATACTGTGAAGTTATCGGCTGTGTTGTCGTAATTGAACACTGCGCCATTCCCTCCTGAGCCCCCGCTACCGCCTTTCCCGCCGTCTCCGCCCTCTCCGCCATTCGCGACGATGTGAAAGCAGGGACCCCCGTTGGACGTGGTACCCGCATCGATTCTCTTGAAGCTCAGCTGGAATGTGCCACCAGGATGACCTGGCGAACCTGCGCCACCAGGCTTTCCGTCTTCACCGGTCGAGCCTGGATGGCGGGCCTCATCCGCATTGAGAGCCAGGGTCTTCCTGCGCGTGAACTGACGGAAATACCAGGTCGTATCTCTTTCATAGCAGTAGGAATAGATGATTCCATCACCTCCTTTTCCGCCATCAGCGCCTTCCGGTCCATTCTTTTTGTCGGCTGGAAGACCGGACACGTTGATGATGGCGGGTTTATTGTCGCCTTCGACAGGGAAGAAGTGCAGCTTGCGGCATCGGATGGTCATGTCATGGCCCGAGAAGTCATAGTTGAACCCGCCGATGAATACCAGCTCATCCGCAACGACGACTATCCGTCTCGGGGCGGTATTCCCTCGGGCTACGTCGAAAATGAATGTCTCTGCTGGGAGGAACTTCTGGAAGACTTCGTCGTGGGGATTATCGGGCCGGATGAACGCATAACGGTACGCGACGGCGTAGATCGTCTCGTCAGCATTGCCTATTCTCGTGAAGAGGCCGCCGGTATCGACACTGGGTCCTGTGGGAGAGGGCATAATAGCTCAACCTCGTTCTTCCTATGACTTTCTCATGGAGAAGAAGCTGGAGAGAATGACCAGGAAGAGACAAGTCGTCTTCATATTGTACTACATATATAGAATCATGGGGCCTCTATGAATACGAGAAATGCTGCATCAAATCCAAGGTGAAAATAGGCGATAGGTTTCTACCACATGGATAACCATACCATCTAGACCCAAGGGAGTTGTATTCTCAGCTGAATTCCCACTTGTGGCGCGCAGAGTCGCTTGTTTTAACTGTTTCTTATCACTACTTTTAGAGAGCAGCTCTAATTCTTTGCCACCCCTCAATGAACATAGGAGATACTACATGATAATTGAAGGTGAAAATAAGCAGTAAGTCTTTAGTGCCCGTATTTCTTTCCCCCCTGCTAGTTACTTATACTCCATAAGCTTATGAATGACAAGACTTTCCCACTCTATATGTTTGTCTAGCCACTAACACATAAATTCAATAAGCCACCCTAGAGGAGGCCAGCTTCGACAACTCCTAATCTTGCATAACCTTGGTTTCAGTTCTTGTCTCTCAAACCAATATCGTCATGTTGTCAAGGAAGATTTTCCACCACGAGCTCAACGTGAGCAACCTCGTGAACAATCCCAGTGTCTATTTCTCGGGCAATCCTTTCAAACCCAAGCCCGACCCGTTTCAATTCTCCGAATTAAACTCCAGGTACTTTCAAACATGGCAGGATGCCAACGGCGGAAAGCAGCTCAACCCCCGCCAGATGTCTAATATTCTCATGAGCGATACGGCAGCAGCGTATAATCACTGGAACATGACTTTTTATGTGGCTGGTGCGTATCTGTACAGCGCTGGGCCAGCGGTCGCCCAGCTCTATGACAGCAAGAGCGGCAAGAATGGCCATATCTATATACGGGGAATGCTTCTGGACATGGGTTACAACGCAAAAGAGCTGCTTACAAACGGCCTCTGGCTGCCTATATATTGGTCAAGCGTCCATCCTAATGTCTACATGCTGGAGAAAGATTCTCCCTTGGCGCAGAAGCTGGGCCAAGACAACCTGTCGGCGCAGGACCGGCTCTCCATCACGTTAAGGGAAAAGGTGGCCTTTGAGCAAGGCCACGACGCGGTCGTGAACAAGATCCTTACGGACAAAAAGATCCCCTTGAGCAGACTCTCCGTTTACATCAATGGCCACATGGTAGACCTTTCCCAGATAGAAACCAGTCAGCGTCCAGATGGCAGGATTCGAGCCAAGGTTCAGGCTGTTACATGGCTGGGAAAACACGGCCTGAGCGGACAGGCAACCCACAGTCTTGAATGGCACCCAGCCCACCCTGAAAAGGTCGCGTACATGGTTTATGGGACGGGGGAGGGACACTGCGCGGCTGATAAATCCAATGGTGTGAGTGGTGATAAGCCCTCTTGCTAGTTCCTCCCCTATATAATATACTAATATATATTCCTCTAGCCAATTAGTTACGTTCTGTGGGAATGCTGCGGCGACACCTTGATAGAGATGGTCAAGTCCATGACAGAACAGAGCGCGTTCGGCTCGGAGGCGCGGGACAAAGGGTATACAGGTCTTCTCTGGAGAAAGTTCCAGAAGTCCCCCGAGGCTGGATTCCGCCATTTCATCACTATGGCAGGCTTCAATGCCTCCACGCCTGCCGCCCTTGCCATGGCACGGCGCACCATTCACATTCCATACAACCTGGGTGCGCTCGTTCCGTTTAGCGACGAGGGATACAATGGCGACCTGCCACATGAAAGAGGAAACTGAATTGATGTCGAAAGTATTAACTAGCTTACTCTAGGCGCAGAGGAGGCCTATATATTACTTGATCTTATTAAGTTTAATAGTACTAAACTAATAGCCGCTGACGCGCTGGGCAGTCTTTAAGATAGTAGCCATATTATTAATATGAGCGCGCTGCTTTAGCCGTCATATACTCTTGCTATAATAAACCTCGCGCGGGCTTTAGCCTAGCTGGACTTAGAGATGGTATAGAAGGCCTATAAAAAAACACTGGGCCTATCTATAATGGAGATGAAACTACTTAAGCTGAAGAAGATCAACTAGGATATTGCTATAAGGGAGATGACCAAGATGGTTAAGCTCTTTATATCTAAAGAGCCTATTATTCCTAAGGAACTGGCCCGTAGCGTTGTCTAGCGCGGTATTAGTGCTGTGGTGATTAACGTATGGGCCTGGCCTCTCCTTAAGAAGCTTCGCCTAGATATTTAGGACGATATTGCCACTAAGCTCCTGCAGGAAGTTAAGGATAAAGATATAAAGGAATATATTAAGGGGCTATATTCTAAAACCTCTATCCTAATGACTAGAGAAGATAGTATTACTATAGAATAGGAAATTAATGCCGCCATGACTGTCGCCCAGCAGTACAATAATCTATAGACTATATAAAGGTTAGAGGAACTACTGGCGGATTAGTCTATAGTTATAGCATAGTTGTAGGCGGCATTGAACCAAAAGATGTAGGAAGTAAGTATAAAAGTAGGAGTAAAGAAGGATAAACTTAATAAGGAAGTGGCAGAGATTAAGAGTTAGGTGGAAATTAATAAGGCCGCCAAGGTAGATGTTGAGCATGCTTTAGAGATTATTAAATATAAGCCAGCCGCTAGAGAGGAAGTCAAGAATAGGGAAAAAGAATATATATAAAAGATTTAGGAAGGCCATTGCTAATAATTAATACTTAAGTTATAATAAGTCTCTCTTATAGTTACGCACACTTGAAGTAAGAATTATTAATATTATATTATTAAATAAGGATTAGTTAGTTTTAGTAGATGAAATTATATATTTAGATGTGCTCTAGCCATTCCTTCAATATATATATTATTAAGTTAGGTGATTAAATATAATATATTTATGAATTTTATATATATTAGTATTTATATTAACTATAATTAAGTAGATAATAGTCCTTTAAGGACTAAAAATATAAATAGTAAAATAATAAGATGGCCTCTATTTTCCACACTATAGGTATAATTCACTAAAACAGTCTTTTAAGATCCTTTTTTATACTTAAGTAGATAAGTAGGCTCTCTTCTTATCTTATATTAACACCACCCTAGAGTGGCTAAGGATGGTGAACCTTTCTCTTGATAGACCTCACTTCCTTATCTGTGCACTAACCCTACTATACTACTAACCTTAACCCTAAGAATAGTATCCTTATATAGGGTAGTATTAATATGTAAGTAGCCAATAATAATAGGCCATAAGGCTACTTCTATAGGGGCTAAGCCTATAAGGACTTTCTGTAGTGAGGAAGTTTGCGGGTTATGGAGGATATAAAATAAAATATAATAAGGTATTAATACCCTCACTAATAAATAGCATATTTCGAAGGCTACTATATATAGATTAAATAAAATTAACTCTTCAATAATAGCATCTTCTGCTTAGCTAAGTAGTTACTATATTTACCTCTATAATATCCTATATATCCAGCACTCTCCCCCCTCGCCTTAATAATTATCTATAATATGCCTATGCTCTAGACGGCAGCTCAGACGCAGAAAGTCTTTATAATAAATAGGCTAGTCTTTATAATACTAATATTATTAATAGCTACACTTTTCCTTGGTGCTGCGTGGAAACTGTCATTAAGAATATTAATATCATATCCTCACTTAAGAAGCTGAAGATCCTGGATGCTGGCTGCGGCACTAGTCTCATGGATAACTGTCTAGCCCAGTCCTCTCTTGCTAGAAGATTCGTCCTTAATAGAGTAAATATTAGTTCCGGCATGTTGGAAGCTGCTCATAAAAAGGGCGTCTATTAGGAATTAAAAATAGCGAACCTGGACCAAGGGGTTGGAAAACCTGATGGGAGTTATAATGTTGTTATGTATATAGGGACTCTAATAAAAGGGCATATTAGGCTAAGTGTATTAGCCAAATTCGCCAGACTCACTGCCCAGTCTAGCTTAATTATTGCCACTATATATAATAAAGTATAAGAAAGTAGTGGCTACAAAGTGGAGACTGAGAAGTTATAGGATGCTGGGAGTGTACAGATTCTAAGCATAGATGAGTTTGGGATCCTAGAGTGGACAGCTACTGGAGGAAGAATGGTTATATTAAAGAAAAATAATATATAAATAGTTAATACTTAGGAACTTTAATTGATTAGATGCAAATTTAAACCTTTTGATACTGCGCCTATGCCTTTGCTTTCGCAGGTTCTAGGGTGAGCAGCAAAATATCCCTAATTTCCCCTATAACCTTATTGTAAAGCAGGTCACTGGCTCTCTTCAAGCCATTTAAAAACAACATTAAAGTGGATACTGCAGGTTACTATATAGATTTAATACTATTAGAGTCCTTTCCCACTTTCCCTATTCTCCTTGATTATGTAGGCTATTCCTCACCTGTCACAGATTGCTTGACTAATGCCAAATCTATTTTATTTTTCTGTACTTAATCAAGAGATAGATATGTACTATGTGCTTGAGTATCTATATATAGGATTCTTTGTCTTAGCCTGACCATAAATAGTTTGTGGAGGATTCTATGACTATCCTTTAATAATTAGGTAAGGAAATATTCTAATTATTGGATGGTAATTTACCCTATATTACACTTAATTTTCTCTATTAAGTTCTTTCCTTTAGGGAAGTATGCTCCTTTGTATTCTGGTGGCATCTTTATTTGTCATCTATAGTGGTCTCATCATGTAATCTTTGTCTTCATTTTAAAAATGACTTCTTCACCCTTAATTCTAGCTCTAAGTGGGAGTCAATGATGATTCGTCGATAAAGAGATCCTGATAAGCTGGCTCTATTATATATGACACCTATGGCACTAGCTGAGCTTCCCTTATAAAGCTTTCCTTCCTATAGAGTATAAAAATACTATACCCATACTGCATTAACCATAAAAGAATCCGACAGCAGGATAAAAGGAATCATCATATTAACTCTTTAAATAACTATCCCTTATAGGGGCTCTGCTAGTCTATATAGACTATATTTAGAGGCTATTCACAGCAAAGAGCTTTATTTTATTATTCCTAGAATAAGATCATTTTTCTATTTTAACCTAACCTTGGTCAGCGGTGGATGCTGCATAGTCATATTATGGAATAAGCCTAATTATGACATGGAATAATCGTCGACTTTAAGCTTTAAGCTATATAACTATGATCCTATGACTTGCTAATAAAACTATTAATAGAAGATTAATTGGCCATTCTTTATCCTATATAACTCTTAAGCGATATGTTGCTATCATAATTTAAATACAAATAAGACACTTAGTGCTCCTCCTATGGATTTAAAATTAGGTCTAGGCTCCCTTGGCTATCTAAATACTGAGCAAGTAAGATCTAATTAATTACTATTAGAAATCAGCTAAATTTGACTAAAGGCTAGTATATATGACCCTAAGTGGTGCTCAATTATTAGATATCGCTTCAACCACTATATATGATATGAGTCCTCATTATGTCGGCCCTCTTCACCAGTTAGAAATAATGATATGGTTTAAAGAGGCCCTTATAAAGAAGCCCCTAACCATATATCTTATCTATGTATTCTGCTAGAACTGTCTTATTAAGTATTTCAGCCCTAATTAACCCTCACTTAGTAGACTATTTAAATTATTTTAGTACATCCCAGATTTCATAAAAGACAAATATGAGTTGATTCCCCTTGATTAACTCGCTATTTACTGTTCGGAGGCATGTGTTAAGACCTAGTATAACTAGGGCAGGTGGACACCATTCTTTAATTTAAGGATCCAGACAATATTCCCTATATTTTGAAACTCTATTCACATAACTAGGCCCTTCTATCCCTAAGTTAAGGATTTAGTAAGTCAATAAATATAGTATTCTTGGATGATTATTTTGCTGTCTTGCCCCTTAAAATTTAGATGGAAATTGCAGTCCTCCTACCTACAAAACGTTATCTTATTCTTTACTTTTGCTCATGGGCAATGGCTGCTGTCTTTAGAATAAGGTTATTCTAGCAGACTAAATTCCTAATATATTAAGAATAGGGCTTTTGTGCTTATATTCTAGGAGATTATCTAGAAGGATTATATAGAGATTGGAGACTACTGTACCGCTATACTAATTATATAGACTAAGCTCTCTTATAAGCAATATAAAGGCATTAGAAGATTAATATATGGCTTTAAGAAATATGCTTAATGCTAAGAGCCCTAGATGTCGGCGCGGAAATGTGCGAGAAGCGCAGATTATATTGGTAGAAAGTTTAGGTGTTTAAATGCAGCCCTATTCATCCCTATTGGAATTAGGAGAAATATAGAGATTTCACTTAGATAGTCAGCTTCTCCACCATGGTGGTCAAGATTGAAGTCTCACTTCTTAAAGAGATGGACATGACTTATATTATAGGGTTAAAGTTGATCCATCAGGACGCACTCATAATGCTAGATACCCTTATTAGCTATTATATATTCTAGAGATGGGTAATAGTCGATCTTGAAAACCAGCCGCTGCAAGGATTTATCCTTAATATAGGGGGTGGAGGTATCCATGCCATATGCCCTGTTATAAATAAAGAATTAGGCTAGGTAGGTGAGCTAAGGGATAAAACAAGATCTAACCTTATCTCCGCTCACCGTGTTGCGGCTGTTAGGGGGAAATTTAATGTAAGTATCTCTTGAAAAGGAATTCCTGTCTAGTGATAACCTTTAGCTCTAGTATTATAAAATGACTGGTTTGGAGATTGGCATTGATAGTCGTGAGACTATACATTAGCTAATCAACTCTAGTTCTATTCAAAATTCAGTCACTACTTAATGTTACTTATATATTACTTATGGGTGATTAAAGGTGTAGCTGCATATAACTAAACCCTTGCCTAATCAATCTTGCTATAATTTGTCGTAGAATTAGAGTCTCCCTTCACTAGACCTCTATATAGTAGATACCATAGGCTTACTAACCCTTCTCACTTATTTTTTACACCTCCTTCTCCTTCTCCTTGCTTTCTCTAGTGGTTATATACAATGGCTTCAGTAAAGCTAGCACGACTAGCTATGAAAATATGCAGACTGTCAGAAATAGTATTTTAATTACACAATTATCCAGCGCTTCCTATACCGCGTAAGGGCCGGTGCCCTTGAAATCACCGTGGACCATCTCTGGCCACAGCTTCTTGCTCTCTACTTTCGCCGTGTTGAGAGGTAAACATACATCTCTGCACACTCTGTTTAGTCTTTACTTTAATAGACTTTATAACTCAGTTTACACCATGCCCAAGCATTCATCCTCTTATATCACTCATTCCCATGATATTCTATGACGATTCCAACATTGTCAAGTCGGAAGCTTTTGCGGTTCTGGAATCAGGGGAAGAGGAAAGATGCAATCAGCTGTTTCATCGTGTGAACAACTACTTTTTGGATCAGAACTTTTGAAACAAACAGACAATTGGGGTTAGCTCTGACTTACAAGGAGTACTTTTCATTGTGATACAATGCCTGGTGGATCCTTTGCACTTTTCCTTCTTCACGACCAGGGTCAAAATCGACGGCTTCCAGAAGCATTCTAGTAAAATGATGTTCTTGGAAGAATAGACTGGCAAATTCCAACAATCTCGGATAGAATCCTGCTGAAGCCCAGTCCAGTAAACAGATACTACCATCATCCAACCAGATAATGTTTCGGGGGGCTATATCTAAATGACAGAGTACCAATGGGCTAGGTTCAAAATAAACCTTGCCATCTCCAGGAAAAAGCCGGCTGTTGAACCACTCCTCCACTTGCTGGACAGTGTTGATTATCAGATCATTTGTATCTGGCCAGAGCAAGCCAATCGAGGGGCCACCACATAGGCTACCAGCCCTATCGGCAGTGATAGATTGTAAATGCTCAAGAACGTGGGCGAGCTTTTGGATATGAGATTCTGAAAGAGAATCGATAGTTTCGCCCGGAATGAAATCCGATATCATGTAGCCCCACCTCTCATCATCCACGAAAAAATCATGAACCCGAGGGACTATGATGATGTTTTGATCAATTATGCTGTATGCTTCTTGCTGGTTCTTTGCTTCATAGGCGAAGACATGTGGGCCAAACTTGACTACCAAGTCACAACCTGGAAGCTTGACGACCTGGTTGCCAGATCTCAAGCCTCCAATAAGTTGATCTTCTGGGCAAGAACGGCAATAGTCAATGATCGACTGTTTAGTATCTAGTTGAGCAAACATGGTGGTATCAGATAGTGAATGAGAGGTAGACTGAGTAAGAAAGGGATAGAAAGATCGTCTTGGTTGCCTCCAGCACACATGATCCACCGCCTCCGGACACTAGATAATCCGATGTCTTGGGCCCAACCCCTCAAATGAAAGCGAGCTGAGTGATCGTTGTACTATCTTCCCTCTTCCATTCTCTCTTTGTTCTAATCAATATCTATTCAAGGAAACATGGTCAACCTGAATCCAAGTCAAGTTCTAACAGATGCTCGGCGTGTTGGGTGTATAAGAGTTGTGGTTCATGTTGGTGATGCAATAGATGGGTCAGATAACCATTGGTCAATATATCTCCTCCTTCAGACCGGTGGATCAGTACGTGTAAATATGGTGACAGAATATGGAGAAATAGATGGGCGTCTTGAATGGTCAGATCTCGCATATCTTTTGACAACTTCGGCGATACAACACTGGGACTTTCCGGTTACTATGGCTATCGAGGTTCGACATGTCGCTGACACAATTTACCGAAATTCCCGTCATCGGTATCAGTTCTCTGGTGGAGGATCTGGCTGTCGTTTCTGGGTGTGGGTATAACTTACTTAAAATTAATAGCTTATCGCCATTAATATTGATATAGTCACACAATCATGTATGACATTGAGGGCCGTCAATATATCGCCGCGGGAACATCAAACAATTTGTGGCAACACCTACAATACCTCTATCGCCGGGACAAGGATCCCCTGCAAATTAATTGGGTCCAGGGGACATTTAAATAGTCTTTATCAATGTTGTTCTTGTCTTAAATGTACACACTTAAATCACGCTAACTTGGACTTGATGTAAGGCCGGCTCTAATATAACACTAATGTACCACTAATATGCCGTCTAGTGATTAGTTACTTACTACCCGGCTGGGTGACCAGTTGGCAGATCTGTAAAAAGAAACGAGCCCATAACCCTCGCTACGCTCAGGGGCTCGAAGAGGGGGGCTATAATCAGTATTATTCTTCATTCTTATTATTATTATTATTATTATTATTATTTTAATTAAGATTTTGTAGAGTAGAGCTCTATAAATTAAACCTACTCCAGACCTCTATAATAATACTTATCTAGATACTTAGGTCTATTAGCAGCCACTCCAGACCTACAGCCCTATATTTATAATTATTTATACTAATGTGATATTCAGAAGCTAACTATCTAAAAGAAAAATCTCTATCTATTACTACTATAAGTTAAAGGGGAGGTATCTATATACCTCCCCTTAGCTTATTAAAGCTAAGTAACCAGGTGATGATAAAACTCTATAGAATCTATTAATCCTTGAGTTAAGGTAAGAACTTATATATAATACTCTTGTAAGGCCGGCACCAACGCCGCCCTACAACCCACCTGACTAAGCATACCTTACGACTATTAGTTAATATTAGGCATTAATTAGGCACTCATTAAGTACCCCACTTAGAGATAGGATATATATTATCCCCCTAAATAGAATAGAACCTTAAGTACTTTATCTTATTCTCTTATTAGACCTATTATAGACTTCTTATATCTCTAAACCTTATTATTATCTAGTTATATTAATATCTTTCTATAGGGCAAATCTCATATATTAGATACTTCCTAAACCTTCATATTTTTTCTTTATTTTGAAATATGATAATTCGTTTTTTAAGAGGATTTCAAAAATATTGTCCTTTTTTTAATAGGCCTAAAGGTGGTAGACTTATAAGGGATTAAAGATATTATAGAAACCTTAATCTAATTAGCATAGAAATTCTATATTAACTTAATTAAGGTTTCTATAATATCTTTAATATTTTAATAATTAAAGGGGCTATAGACCTTAGCTAAGCTTCTAAAGAAAACTTATTCTCTATATAGTTATCTATTATTACTAAAGGTTAAATAAGGAATATTAAGGTAGTATAGTTATAGGTTAAAATCTCTACTATTTATATATATATATAGCTATATACTATTATAGAGTTTAGGGTAAGATGATTCTACTATTTTTAGTTTTTATAATTTTTTTATTAGTTTTTCCTCTGCCTCTAGCCTCTATTATTAAATATCTATATCTAGAGGGATATCTATGTCTAGATAGATGTCTATATCTAGATGAATATCTAGTCTAGATAGATGTCTAGTCTAGATAGATGTCTAATCTAGATAGATGTCTATATCTAGATAGATATCTATATCTAGATAGATATTTATGTCTAGATAGATGTCTATATCTAGATGGATGTCTATGTCTAGATAGACATCTATATCTAGATAAATATCTATATCTAGATGAAGATCTATATCTAAATAAATGTCTATATTAATATCTATATCTAAATAGACGTCTGTGTCTAGATGAATGTCCATATCTAAATAGATGTCTATATCTAGATGAATGTCCATATTAAGATAGATATAGATATCTAGATAGATGTCTAGATAGACGTCTATATCTAGATGGATATCTATATCTAGATGAATATCTATGTCTAGATAGATGTCCATATCTAGATGGACGTCTATATCTAGATGAATATCTATGTCTAGATAGATGTCTATATTAATATCTATATCTAGATATATATTATTTATTTATATAGATATTTATATCTATAACAGCCCTAAGTAAATAAATAATTAATTAGTGGCTTTAATACTAAAATATTTAAATAAAGAGGGGAAAGAGAAGAGAAGAGAGAGATATATTATAAAATATATTTAATATCCCTCTCTTCTTTCCTATATTAAGTTAAAATAGGAATAGTGGCCTTATTTACTATAGCCTACTTAAGGCATCTAGATAATCTTATTATTATTATAATATTATTCTCTTATTTAGCCTTTAATTCTCTTATAAATCTATATTTAATACTTCTATACTTATAAAGGTACTATAGCTTTTTTAATACTTTATTTTATACTATAGCCTATTACTTATAACTTTACTTTATTTAGCCTCTTTTATTTCTAAGGAGAGTTTATCTTATAATATTTTAAGAATAATAAGGTAGCTACTTTATTTAGATATTATTTATAAAAGATTATTTATTTATTAATCTCTCTCTTTTTATAGGTCTACCTCTTTTTATACTTTTAATTAGTATCTTATTATTATTATCTTCTATTAAGGGTCTTATAATATCTAGATAATACTTAAAGGTTATTATTTAGTCTTACTATATTTTTTATTATTAATATAATCTAGTAGTTAGATATTATAATAGAATTACTAGGTGATTAGAGTATTATTTAACTACTATTAATTATATAAGAATTAAAATTAGTTAGTTTAAATATTATATAATAGCCCTAAGTAAATAAATAATTAATTAGTGGCTTTAATACTAGAATATTTAAATAAAGAGGGGAAATAGAAGAGGAGAGAGAGAGATATATTATAAAGATATCTCTCTCTTATTTCCTATATTAAATTAAAATAAGAATAATAATCTTATTCACTATAACCTGCTTAAGGCATCTAGATGACCTTGTCGTCACTATAATATAAATCTCTAATTAGATTAATATTAGTAGCTTTACTATAGGAGATATCCTATATTAGGTTATAATCTATAAGAAAGTCTAGTTCCTTATCTAGTATAGGGCGGCGGCCTAGTAGTTATAGTCTATATCTAGATGAATATCTATATCTAGATAAACATCTATATCTAGATGAATATCTATATCCAGATAGACATCTATATCTAGATAGATGTCTATATCTAGATAAATATCTATATTAATATCTATATCTAGATAGACGTCCATGTCTAGATAGATGTCTATATTAAGATAAATATAGATACCTAGATAGATATCTATATTTAGATATCTATATCTAGATAGATGTCTATATCTAGATAAACATCTATATCTAGATAGATATCTATATCTTAATATATTTATATATCTAAATACACCTAGATATAAAGTATCTATATAATATATAATTCTATATCTAATATAGATAGTTATAAGGATCCTATATATAAATAAGCCCTAAAAAGATAATAAAAAGCTATATAATTAATATAGTCTAGATTTAATCTATATATAAGCAACCTTTATTAATTAGTTATAATTAATTATAATTATTAAAAACTCCTCTAGGATAGAGTAGTTATTC